CTCTGGTACCTTGGGGCGAGGGTCGACTAGGATTTGGTATACGAAACCGAACGGCAAACGGCGACAACTACCGGATAGGCACGTAGTTACACTTTTTAGCGGCGCGAGATTGGTGGTTTGAATGGGCATGCTCGATGCCGTTTCGAGCTTCCCGCTGTCCTATGATGCTGCGTATAAAGGCGGTTGTTCAGGGTGGCACCGTATTATTCTAAATAGGGCTGAGATGCCTCTCGAAGGAAGAAAAAGTAAAGAAAATAGGTGGCATTCGGTCCATAGCTCCTATTGGATAAATATCCACCGAAATGACTTTCATCGCTCGTTGCTGGATCCCCCCTAGGGCCAGGGGTGATGTACCAGTGTGACACCTAAGTACGGAGTAGTCTAATCGTTTCCCCTAAGAAAAGGAGTTAATAATATAGACCAACCGCTAACTCACATGAAAAGAAGCGTAAACTCATCTTGCAGAGTCGAGAGCAGCCTGGAATCATCCATACAGGTGCTATACAGATGTATGCTCCGCACTGACTTGCAGTTGCTCTGCATCTTGACCCAGAAATTGTTCACCTCCAGGGTCCCATCCCATGTTCAATCTCCCTAGATCCCTATATAACATGTGGCCAAACCAACGATTTTTTCAAAGCGAGGGCTGGGGGGAGGGGAGGGATGGAAATGCTGGTGAGAATGGCCGATCTCCGACTGCCGATGCAGACATGGCATAAGTCCGTATGCACCCAACTGCGAATGACGTCGTCAAATCATCCTTGAGCCACCAATGCAACGGCTGCCACCCCCCTAATTTCTATCCAGCGCAGTGACAGGCCCTACCTGGCGATCACTGAACCCCTGACTTTGTTGAGGTAGCTTGTTCTTCGGTCAATTTGGCCTAATGCGGTAACCATCCCCAGCAGCAACCGTTGGCTTGAACATTGACTATTGGTAGCGTACGTGTACCGTTAAAATTGTAATAGTATGCGCTCTAACGGTCGGTCAGAAGGAGATGGGAAGCATTGACCACGGAAAGCCCAAATCCCTGTGATCAGACGTTATTGGAGAGCAGTGAAGATTAGCTGCTGGGATAGTGCATGCATGGCATCCGCAGAGCAGGCTGATATTGCATGATATACGGCGAAACTGAGCGGTGAAATCCATCCCGATACGGCGGCGTGCTGTCAAACGAGATAAATTATCCGTAGCATGGGGAAGGATTGTATACTACTTCTTCAGCGTTCTCCTCACATATAGACCTAGTACCCGTATATGGCGTTCGGTATATGTTAATAGCGTTGTTATGCATATACGCGTGAGTTTGGCCAGTCAACCTTCCTGCGTTCCTGGACGGTCGAGGTAGGCAGGTCGTTTACACGATGGAACATCCCGATAGCGAGCAACCGCAGCCACAGACCGACGGAGTATATCGCTGCTCTGTAGGCGACGACCACCGCATGCGGATCGGCAAGGCTTGATCATGTCAAAGTTGCGAGATAAGCAGAACCTGTGCAAGTCTTGACGGTGAAATGCCGACCATTCGTGCATCACATCGCATGGACAAGGGCAGGGGATAAGAACATTGAATAGCATAGCGTGGCACTGTCGAAGCCTCCAGAAAAGACTGCATTGCAGGCCCACTGACCGGGTCTCTATCATGCTACGGCTCCGTACACGAAAGGTGTATCGCGATGGGAGGCGACTCTGGCCAACGCTAATCTATCAGACATGCCCTGTCTCAAGCAAGTGTCCCCAAAACTAGAAACCCCCTACAGCCTATGATCGACTGACATCTCGTTAGTGAAGTGTGTGTGGTTCGATACTCGCGAATCTCTGTCAGATCACACCTGGATCAACAGGGGAGGGGGGACCTTGTGTCTTGCTGGGAACAGGCTATATACGCAGAGACGACAGAGACGAGAGAGACGACAACCTCTCTTTGGGTCTTCGATGTCAATATACATCTATTGGTTCCACGCCGTTCTCATGCGTCGGGGAATATATGTCCGAAAGAGAAGACGGACATGCATACCAATATAAGACGCGATATCACAGATCGATCCTACCGTGCCGTATGAAGTCACCCGTGGGACTCGCATATCAACGACTCATGCCATGCATATCCACCGTTTTCCTCCCTCCACACGCCAGAGAGAGAGAAAAAAAGGAAATATCAAACTCAAACGGTCAAGAGTCCTAGGATTGGCTCCCCCACGCCCAAAACCTACAGTCTAAAAAGCCGTGTGGTCAGCTAGTTAGATTGCTGCAACTCACGTTCGGACGATGAACGGCAAGGTAGATCGCCGCTAGGGTACTAGTCGTTTGAGGCGTTGTCTCTCGCACCCAATCAGTCTACGCTACGGCATAATTGCACGGCATGTTTTATGATGTCAAGTTACCGATGCTACCAGACACTCTGCTCGGCCTTCGCGACCAGGACCAGCCGGCAGAGCAGTGGTCACTTGGATATTTTCCTCCAGCTCAGTTCAGCCAGCCGGTTCCTCCAAGGTAGACGCAAAGCTGTATTGATTGGCAAAGCTTCTCCGCATATCTCTGGTGGGTTTTGCTGTTAGGATAGGGTGGGCTACTGGTTGAGGAATGGTGTGATATCCCGGTGAAACTGATGCATCGGGTGGATCCTGTTCTCGCGTTTGGCAAGTTTCCTGCTCCAGCCTCCACAGCCTTCAACCAAGATGGAGGAGGCTGGTTTGGATAGGCTGGGGGAGTGGTGCACACGCGCTGTTATTTCCCCTTCCCGTTCTCCCATCCTCCACTTATATCCTCGCTAATCCTTTCAGGCAGGCTAGCCGGTGTGATGAGAAAGAGGAAGCCCGCCAACAGCAGGCTAGGAAACGTCCGATTAAGTATTCCGGGCTCGAGTATGCTCATGTCACACAGGCGGTAGGGAAGAGAGACGAATGGCAAAGGTAAATTGAACCTAGGAAGAACATCACCCCTTCGATCACGCGAACGGTGTGGTATATATGGGGTACTCTATACATACAATAGACTATGGGGTAAGGTGTATTCGCCTCAGCCAGGGGGGGGGATCTCCCACCACTCAAACGATCAGGGATCCAACTTGGATTTTCGATGCTGTGTAGCATTCAAGTTTCAATCCCAGGGCTTGTTCGCGAATCACCAGCGAACCGATGGAGATTATGGCCCCTCTTGCCTATACTCGACCAGTTTCCGATATATACTTTTTGCCTGGTGTCGGAGGTAGCTTTGCCAACGTCTTTCTATATATATAAGCTACACTCGTTAATTGATCGGGAATCACGACATTAAGCTCGATGGCTGAAATAGTAACTTCCACACGGCATGCTGATCGGGGTTCATCTCCCTCTCCCATCCTTCTCGTATATGACGATCACCCGAAGGGGGCTCCAGTTCGTCCCTTCACACTCTCACCACCGCCTGTTTTGTCTCTACGCCCTTGTTAGGGCGAAACAGGTTGAATTTCCACCCCGCCGCTACCGTCTCCTCCCATCCGCTTCTCCACAGGACTGCTCTCTACATCTACAGAGCAGTCGTCATGCTGTGCCCATCCATTAGGGCTGGGGATTTTCAGCTCACCCGGCCACTCAACATCCCTGCGAGAGAATGGGATACCATGCCTGGCTTTATGATGGCGAAACTATGCCGGAACTCCTCTTATCTGCTCCCTTATCTTGTTCGCTATACTCCCAAACAGCTAGTACAAGCCCACTCCGTCTGTATACGTAGACCAGGGGGCTACATGCAAAGCTCCACCATGCGCCTAGGCTAGCCCAGGGAGGTTTGCAAGGGCTAATTAAGCTGTTAATTTACATTCGCGCCCATCACTGACAAGAACCCCATACCTAATAAAATAAAAAATTATAAAACAGTAATGAAAAAAAGGTAAAACCAACAGAGAGCGAGAGGAGGGAAAAAAAAAAAGCCAAATGAGAAGTTTTTTTTACTTCGGGGATAAATGGCCATTCCAACCACTCTTTGACAAAAGAAAAGAAGAAGAAGAAAAAAGCAAGCAACGAAGCGAGAAAATGCCAACAATAAACTCATTAAAAGAAGAGTTCTGGAAACCCGAATTGCTTTTTCAGGTATACCGAGTGAGTGAAGCTTAAACTGGCCGCAGGAGCTTGCTTTGTAGGTGACAGCTGCTCTACCCTTTTTAATTATATTTCAACTGCATGAACCCCCCGAGCGAGATATTCACTTGATTCGCTTTTGCTTTCTGTTGAGGCCCGAACAGAGCTGCCAATTGCGGTCCATGATGTGAGAATTGTGTATTGTGGACGGAGTTTACCATTTTTCAAGCTTGATCTCTCTCAACCTCTCCTTGTTTCTACTTGCTCCCACTCCCCTCCCCCCCAATTTTTTCATACTTATTTTTATATATATCTTCCTTCTTTTTTTCTTTTCTTTTTTTTTTTTTATATTTTAATCCTTACGAAGCTCTCCACCGGAAAGTTTCTTTATCCTCGTGAAGGGCCCGCCGATTACCTTACCTTGTTCCACTCTAATGACCATTCCACTCTTCACTCATCCCTCCTGGATCTCAAAAGACCGTTGTTCTTATTTGAGAGCCTTCGTCGACCACTGAGCCGTCTTCTCTTATTCTTCTTCGTCTTTCCATTTGGGTACTCAACCTTAATTATAAACCTCGGCCGTGTTGCTTAATTTCATTCCCTTTCTCTCCCTTTCACTCCTTCATTCATTGCATTCTCCTCTTCTACTTCTTCTTCATTCTGCATTTCGGTCATTTCGCCCGGCATTTTCCACTTCACTCTCCTATATCTAGCCCTGCTGCCGCCTGTGTGTTGTGTGTGTTTTTGCTCTATCAATTGCATAAACATCCAAGACTGCATCGTGTTGACCAAGCCATATGAAGTGTCACAGCAAACCGCGAGACTAAATAGCTGGGGATCGGATTGCCTCTCTGCAGGCAAAGGCGAGCTGATATCGAGAGACATCTCTAAGCCAGGAGCTAGAGCACGGAATTGTTGCATTTGGAAGAGAACGAAGCCACCATGATGACCTTCGAATTCACATATCTTTTGGCCTTCAAGCTGTTATTGTAAGTGGCAGCCAGTTTCCTCCGTCCAGCTTGTATTTTTTATTTTTTTTTATTTTATTTCATGTTTGGCGCATTCTAACCCTGTCGTAGTGTGTACCGGTACCTGCGATTGGTTGTGAACCTGTTTGCAGTATGGACGTTTCGACCAATACCACCACCAGAGAACCCAACTTTGACATCACAAGATGTATCCATCATCATCCCCTCGCTGTCTGGCTGTGGAGAGGAGTTGGAGGAGACGATCCGTACCATCCTGCTCAACGAGCCGTACCAGATCTTCCTGGTGACCATCGACGCCAACCGCGCCAACGCAGAGCGCATGCTGAAGAAGATGCCAGCTTCCCGGACAAGAATCCAACTTCTCAGCATCCCCAAGCCCAACAAGAGACGGCAGATGGTGCGCGCCATCCCTGAGGTGCGGACGGAGATCACCATCTTCGTGGACGACGACGTTAGCTGGCCCAAGACAGAGCTCAAATGGATCCTGGCAGTGTTCGACAAGGATCCCATCTACGGCGGCGTAACCACATGCCAGCGCCTGCGGAGGGTCGGCGCACCGCTGTTCTCGATGCAACGGGCCTGGGACTTCCTCGGTGCTCTGTATCTAGAACGTCGAAATTTCGATTGCGCCGCCACCACGCATATGGATGGCGGGATGCCCTGCCTGTCGGGACGGACCGTTGCGTACCGAACCAAGATACTCCAGGACCGCGAGTTCACGCTGGGCTTCACCAACGAGGAGTGGTGGTTTGGACGCTACGAGCTGAACGCAGACGACGACAACTTCCTCTCGCGCTGGATGGTCACTCACGGCTGGGAGACGTACTTCCAATATCACCCCGAAGCGGAAATCCAGACGACGCTCGAGGACAACCCGCAGTTCCTCAAGCAGTGCGTCCGCTGGTCTCGCAGCAACTGGCGCAGCAACCTGACTACTTTGGTACAAGAACAGGTAGTCTGGTTGTAAGTATCTCTCTCAAAATAACAATACAAAAAAAAAACAATTATAGATGGCTAACTTGGATATGCAGCCGCCAACCATGGAGCACCTATGCCGTCTTCCTGACGACGCTCTCCCCGCCCGCGCTGGTCGGCGACCTATGTCTTCTCGCCTTCTGCTACAAGGGAACAGAGGCCTGGGACCCCCAGCAGCGAGCATGGGCATTTCAGGCCCTGCTCCTCTGGATGTTCGTGAGCAAGTTCATCAAGCTGCTGGGCCACTACATACGGTATCCGGCCGACTTCCTGCTGCTGCCCGTCTCTATCTTCTTCGGCTACTTCCACGGCCTCATCAAGCTGTATGCCGCCTTCACTCTCAACGTGGTAAGCATCCTCTCTTCTTCTTTTCATGTGTCAAAACACCCGCTGCGTTGTCCTGGCGGCTTCTGGGCCGTTCCGAAGGAGCCAACCCTGCCTCCCTCTTTGTTTCACCTCCCTGTCCACACAGCAGTCCAAAAAGTCAAGTTTAATTTGTTATCTTCTTCTTTTCTCGCTGCCGTCTGAGTTGCAAACGAAGTCACTAAAGCCGTATTTCTTTCTCCAGACTACTTGGGGCACCCGTGAAGGCGCCGATGTCAGCGATACCGACCGCATGCGGGAAAAACAAAATTACGAGATCCTCGCTCCCAACCCAAAAACTCACAACCTCCGTCAACCTTCGCCGCCACTACAGGAGAAACTGTAATATGGGCTCATGTAGCTTTCAATAGTTTCTCCCTTGCGGCTTGCTGGACAAGTTCGACGACAACGCACGCACATGCGACAGCATCGACCTCCGACCTTCGACCACCGACATAGAACACTAACCTTCCTCGCCAGTTTTCCTGCTTCACGGCTTGCACAAGAGAAACCAGAAAGAAAAAAAAAAGAACGAGGATTCCTATCGGCCCACTCTTTTGAGTATGTGCTATGTAGCATCCATGTATGCAAGCATCCGAATAAGGAAAATCCCGTTTCCGCATCGCCGACCCTCAGGCATCCGTATAAATCTGTGCTCCATACCATGGCACGGAATACGGAACGGAGGCATCCTCGCTGGTCGAAACAACACTTCATCCCCCCCTTACACACATATTACACACATACCTCGCGTTCCTCGCTTTCCATGACGTTAGCGAGCGGCGAGCGTCTGCAACTGGTGGCTGAATTTGAAACTTCGGCAGACGGGCAAGCTTCAGACAAGGAACCCTTCCAACCCCGTATACGATTTGTGCGATATCAAGTACCCCCACATACCCGGAGCAAAATACTCTTTTTTTTATTTTCAAAGCTACTGCGCTGCAGTACAACCAACTCTGGAGTGCACTTTTTTTTTTTTTAGATTGAGCACAGATTCGATCATGCTGGCTGGATCTTTTATTGTTATGTGTGTTACTGTCGCCAAGGCTCATGCAACCTAACACCTATCCCGACGAGGCATTCCATGGCAAAACCACCTGGCTCAGAGAGGTCCAAGAAGTCTTGAACAAAGGCTGCCATTGATTGCAGGGGGCAGGTCCCGGCCATGAAGCGGAAAACGGCGCTTACTCCAAACATCTCTCCCATTTACCACTCAACGGGAAATACCCATATCTTTTGAACCCTGGAGGTGCATAATTCATACCTTTTCTTAAAAAGAGAGACATTCATGACTTGGAACTGGAAAAAATGGGCGGCTCTTTTGGTGTTATTCTTTCTCTTTTTTTTTTTCTTTCTTTCTCTTTGATGACCTGTTTTGATAGACTGCGTACTGGTTTGGACTAAAAGAATCTTGGGAACTATGGAGTTGTATATTACCATTTTAATCGTCTTTCTTGCTTGTTCTTATCATAACTTCTCCTCGTGCAGCTTGCGCCAGACAGTGGTTGAATATCATGGCTGCGCTTGTCGAGCTTCTCTATGCGTACGTTGCTCGTAGGAAGCGGTAGCCTCTTTGGGTAATTGCATTAAACTTCCCGGCTATCCTACCAATCTTCGACTCGGAGTTCAAAGAAAATACCTCTCCTCTTTACCTATACTTGCAACTTCCGAGAACCTGCAAAGACGGCACACAAATATCCAGGTTTTCACAGCTATACCCAGGGAACTAACCTGTTGCCTGCATGGAGAAATCGCTCATGCACCAAGTGAGCTGAATTCCGCATACTCACCATCGAGCTCAGCTCTGGAAAGTGGCCACCAGGAGTGAACTGGCTAGATGCATGCCTACTTGTCTGTCGCCGGTCGGTTTTGCTCTGGTCTCCCTTTTGCCTCTCTCTCTTCCACTAGCCTCACCAATCGATTGGGTAAGTTTGAGATTGTGAGATGCGATCTCATTCCTGTACAACGCGATATTTGCTGTGGCGGTATGGCTGCATCTTTTACAGGACTGGTGATGTGGTGGCTGATGACGTTGATGCTGCTCTAAAGAGCCAGTATAGGCAGTCGTTTCACATACAGGTCGATATTCCGGTTCATCCAAACAAGCGTTAGAATCTTGTCTAACTTACCACAGTTACCTGTCAATCTCACCCTGGGCTGGCCATAGTCTGACGGCATCGGATTGCCGAAATGCGAGTATGGCCCTTGAGTGCTCCGTATAGTTGAGGCTGAACCTGTGATGGCTTCAGTCTTACTTGACGATGCAAGATCTCAGCTCCAGCCACCGTCCATCAATTAACTATACTTTTGCGTAACCGTCAGCATCGAATATTTATTTGGGTTGTGCTACGCTACAAAACCAGGAAAAGTCGATTTTTTTCTATTCGGAACACGGAAGCGTCGAATAATGGCGACACGATGTTAATCTATGCGAACTGACAAATCCCGAATCAGGTAGCAATGTCTGTGGATGTCAAGGAGACAACCTCTACCTTTCTTGCCTCCCCCAAAGAAAAAAGCGCGTTTTCCTAACTGCTACATTAGATTCCTGATTCGTCGAAGATGGCCTAATTGATGTTTGTTTCCAGACATGTCGTGATGTCCCAGCAGCTTGGATAGCCAGTTATCTAGTGCAATGCACTTCTATTCTAGAGGGCTTCTATTTGTTTAACTGTACGTTTCCATCAGGCCTGGGACTCAACCCCTCCGGTGGCTATTATGTATCAATGATACAGACATATAGCTCATTGACTATAAGGTCATCTTATAGGTACGATTCACAAGCGTATCGATATCCATCATCTCCGATTGCAGGCTCCGGAGATCTAATGTATCCAACCCTGCTCGAGCCCATGACAACTTACTCCGAGCAGTAATATATATCGCTTACAGCGGAAATACCATGATTGGCCTACCATTGCATGAAAGACGTTGGTAAATAACTCAAAAATGCCTTCTATATCCCACATGTTGGACAAAAGGAGCCGCCACGAAGGAAGCTCGGATTTATCCATGACCACACTATCACTGGATCCTTTCTACTGCCCTCGGGAGGTTGAGGCCAAAGCCCTAGGTCCTTGGTTAGATCCAACCCATACGTGCACACAGTAGCTATACTGCAGCAATGCAATGCAGCAAAATGCAGCGATGCAGCCCCCTGTCTTTTGTTGTCCTTTCTTTGTTGAGTTCTTATTATCTTCAGCTATTATTACTCTGATAGCCGAATCGCTTTACTCGACAATGCACGTTCGTCTGCCTCGTGCCATGCAGCCTCACCTCCATCGATCGAGTGGCCCGTTGGAGTTCCTGGCCAGACATGGCGCAAACTCATTGAAGCCCTGGACACCGACCGCCATGCTCTCCGCTGATACCCAGGATCCCCCGAATCTCCCAGGGTACGGAGTACCAACCAGAGACAGATTACTATACCGATCCCTTTCCTGCTATAATCAGGGTCGGCTATGCAGTCAATACTAACTTACCTGACTGGGTTATCGGCTCGGCTCGTATCCTCGTATCGTTTACAATTTGGCACTCCATTTTAGACCTTTTGCTTGATCATGTTGCCACTGCCACCATTCTACCCGAGCCGTTGAGTTTGCTGTTCTACCTTTGAGACAAGCATATTGATCGACTCTAGATCGTTGGAGAGGACCGAGTTGTTGATACCTTGTTACCCGTTATCAGCTACTCGACAGCGTGCTATGCACATGTCATCGTTTAAAATCACACCTGGCGTGGCGATGTTACCCTTTCCAACCTAGTGGTCGTTCTTATAGGAACCACGAGGCAAACCCTCAGAGCTGCAACTCCGATCTCAACACAACCTCCTCCTCTCAAACCTACGGCGAGTGGTTTGATTCTGACGGGGGGCAAAAGTGCCAAAAATCTGGAGAAACCCCCGCCATCTCATGCCTACTTTTTAACCTACTCGCCGGGTAAACATTAACAGCATAGTCGCGTGCCAGCTGCCCGCTTCAGCCACGAATCTGGACATTTGGCTATGACATCCACCGTGCTCTAGGACTCTCTACCCTCTACCTGATCTGCCTATCTCGTTTACCGGCAAAGTCAGAACCGGTATGGAGCAGAACAATTTAAAATTCAGAGTTCATGAGAGAAAAAGTGTGCATCAACAAAGATATCAGCAGATATCATGTCTATCTCCAACTATCTATCAGACTCTAATTCAATATGCGACACGCAATATGATGCGTGTCATATTTTGCATTTATAATTTTTCAAACCCAGGACTTGACTCGGGTTATGCAGATCGGTCGACGAGTAAGCAGCTTGCGTGGCCGAGTTACTCATTTTACGCTTATTATGGAGTGATTAGGTGTCCCATCTACCTGGCCACGGACATCGTCGTACGGCATATCGTTTATATAAGTTACACACACGTCTACTAGTGATGTGAAAATGTGCATTTTATCCCTCCTGCTACCGTAAGACAGTAAGACATCATTACCTAGTTGGTATGCGGCTAGATTGCTAATCCATCTGCAATAGCTAGTTAGCTTCCCGCTTTTCCACTTTGTAACTTCTAACATGCTCGACATGTTAGTTGATATAGAAGAATCACGATATAACTTCCCGTCTTATTTAAGGCCTGTCAGACAAGGACCACTAGTTCTAACGGCAATATCGACAGCCAAGTTCGTGTAATCCTAAACCATACTCTTCATGGAGTCCGTTATATGTAACTGGCTTGGGATATTTCCCGCTGGCGGTGCCTCAGTCTAATGTGCAATGTTACCCAAGTGGCATTTCGATCCGGGCTGATTACAGGGGCAGATCTCCGAATAGATTATCCCGTCGCCCGTGTGCGTCGATGTGTGTCATGGATGCAAGCGAGATAAAGTGGTGGCAGTCTCAGTCTCATTTCATTCAATGTATTTAACCAAGGGTATATTGGGAAATGGGGAGCAAACGGGCAGCGAGTAAACAATAACCGCGGATTGAATTAAAGTAGACTAGATAAGGGAATAAAAGGAAAGCGATAATAATACTAGACAAAGAGAATTAGCCTCAAAAAGGAGCGTCAAGAAAGCGTTCTGGTTCAGATATGAAAGGGGTAAAGGTCATGATACAAAGGGAAAGTGTGCTTCGTTTGTCAGGTAAAGGCAAGGATAGCCAGATTGAATGTGCACTGTGCATCCAAGTCAGTAGGGTGGATGTAGACGAGAAGTGCATGACTGATTACCGAATCAACCAACAAAAGACGACACAATGCATATCGAAGAGGGAATGGATGTGGCAAAGACGTCAGATTGATATAAAAAAAAAAGGAGGCCGCGGAAGAAAGCGAGAAAGGGGGGGATCTATAGCAAAAAGATAAATAAGGCTGAAGTGGTGAATAGTTGAATAGTTGAATAGTTGAAGTGGTAGTAGCATGACCGAAGGAAACCTAGTCCATCCCATCCCATCCCATCCATGTATCACATGTTGTTATGTTGCTTCCCCAGGCTCATCATTCCTAAATCCCGGGAGAAAAATATGCCATGGTTTGAATTGTTAATTGCGTCGAAAGAAAAGATGAAAAAAGAGACCGGCGTTGATATATCCCAAACCACCTCGAGGGAAATAGCCTGGTTGCCTGTGTTGGATGCATACGCGTATGCGAATAAAAAATTCGAATGCGAGATATGATCTGTCTCTCGATAGTTCGGTTTTTGTCGACCCAGGTGGTGGGGCTGGGCTCTTCGCCAATCCCGACACAGAAATATAATATAAGATGATTCCCAACCGTTGAACTCCGTCCAGTAGCGTAACACCGATATGAACAGGATCCTAGTCCCGTTCTGTTCCCGAATTAAATCCAAAAATTTCCCACAAAACACTCAAGTCAACACACGTGCACACGAGAAGATGATTTTTTTGCGTCGGAATATGAGAAGAGTAATGCAAACGGTCGGTTTAGAAGATGCCGTTGACGAGGTTTGAGCCGATGGTGGCGCCAGCACCAAAGATAGCTGTGGGGAAAAGACGAGTAAGTTAGTCTGTAAGATGTAGACGGTTCAAGGAAGAGAACTTACCTGCGTTGCCCATCTTCTTGCCGAATTTCTTGCCGTTCTCTTCAAATTTGGTTGGTACCTTTCCGTGTGACGATGTGCCGGACTGTGATACCTCATATGGCATATTGTTGTAGCTGATGGGCTGGGGAGAGTGGATGATCGGTTTTTCCTCTGTTACGCTGACGTATGTCCGTGGGAAGATACCCTCGAGGTGTGTTCGCTCGTTTCTGCCACGCCACCCTGCAAGGAAGTTAGTTATCGAGTCTTTTATCACTGTCAAAATGTATACATACAGTCGTTGTTCATGTGTTCGAGCACCTGGATGCGGTCGTTAGGCTGCAGTGCCAAGTCACCAGCATCTGTTGGCGTGTAGGCGTAGAGCGCGGAGGCGAGAGACAGGACTGGAGGAGTAGAGGTATATGTTGGAGGCGGCGGTGGGCTCGAGTATGGACTTTCAGACTTCTCGTTCAGGTTGACTCTGGACATCTGAGCTGCCGGGGGTGAGTATGAAGTCTCGGCGGCCGATTGACGTAATGGAGCATGCAGCTGTGTCTGGCTGGGTAGCTGTTCGAGGATGGAGGATAGCTGTGCGGGAGTGATGATGGAGGAGTCTGCGAGAAATTCGAGTTCCTAATTCGACAGCAGTCCACCGGTCAATACACGAATCCATTGTTATATATCTGATAACCGGATAAATGGCAGGATGGCAAGACGTAGGAAGAGAATCGACTAACAGTTCTGATCGTCCGTAGAGACCGGTTGGTCATGGCGATGGAAATGTCGTTTTGGGTCGACATGACGTGAGTTACGTACGCTCTCCGCGGAGAGACGGAACAGGTCTAAAACGAGGGTGTCTCTGGACGTGTGGAAGACGGTCCGCTTCCGGGTGACGACTGGAACGCGAGAGGACCAGCGAGAGGCACGACGGCGATGGGGGAGAAGGGCGCTGGCGGGTGGTCGATGGTGGTCAAATGGTGTAGATGGTGTAGATGTGATGTCGATGTCGATGGTCGATGGGTCACGGAGCAAGCCAAGGTGGCACTCACGTGCACTCCAGGCCCTGGGCTAGTCTTATCGCCGTTATCGAGTTCGACAGCAATGTTACTATACTCTGTACGAGTATACTCTGGATATCTCTGGTATCAACATGAGAAGAGAAGATGAAGATATGAGAAGAAGAGAATAAGAGAAGAGGAGAGGAGATGGAAAGGATCAGGCCCAAGAGGCCGGACAGGGCGGCGGGAGGGAGTTGCCTATTCAAGAGCAAGACCCCCCTTTTGGCCGTAGGAAAGACGACGCCGCTTTTACTCCTGCTGAGTCATCTGATCTCCGACGCCGGCTCAGCCACTTTTCCCTTCTTCCTTTTTGACTAAAACCAACGAGAAAGACAGAAAAGATGCATAAAAAGCGGAGGATGCGGATGCACGAGAAGGCTGAGGATGTGCCGGCTAGCACGGAGAACGGAGCACGGAGAAGCCACTAGCAAGGGCGCAGCTGGATCGCGGTTACAGCTGGTACTCACCACCAGCTGGAATACGGGTGGCACCCCTTTAGTTGAAGCAAGCAGACCCTCGTTTGATAGACCGATGGACACGTTTGATGCTGGCAAAGAGGCAGGACGGGACCGTCCCATCCTAGCAGCCTGTTTGCTCCAGTCGATGCGTGCATAAAGAGGCCCGCCCATGTTTCCTCTGGCACCTTCATCCGATCATCTCTCCACTTCTCGTGTTCAATCCACCTATACACGCCACATCTTATTCCTTCAACACGACTTACTTTTATACGGAATCTTGGGCTGAAACATATGTCTTGATGCCGCAGTTCGCCAATATATGGAGCACTGGCATGCAGGAACGCATACGGGTGTAACTGCTCCTCGAACCGGGTTGAACAGGTGAACCGGACGATCCTTATACGATCCCTGCGCGCAAGGATATAATTCACTAACGACTCTACAGCAACAGATGGAATCTCCGTCTGTCTTATCTTCGCGGAGTCTCCCTATCTCCCAACAAAGAGATATATATCAACTCTTCGCAAGCTGAACTGATATAATGGGGGCTCTGCTCGAACGCAGACCCTTAATGAGAGGGTCAAGAGTATCCTATATATCAATGTTTACGGCCTAGATCAACCACCTTCTGCAGTATTGCCTGCCGAAGCTTTTCATGCTATCAAGATGGCTGAAAGCTATATTTTACCTGTGAAGGAACTTTCATGGACAGATAAAGAAAGGCCCTTCATCTATATGGAATATTTCTGACATCCCCTGGCGAACAGTGAGTAAACCCTTAAAAGGGTAACTCGCCTGCCCACGTGTTGACAAGTGATGTAGTTCACTCGGGAATCGCCTGTTATGGTGTGCTATTTACCTTATGTGTGCAAGCTGGTTGAACTCCAGCTAACCAGTCACTATGATTCTTTCACTTTGCATATACATTCTTTGTCGCTAGTGGCATGGCCTAGCATGTTAATCAAGATATGATGTGAATGTCTGGAAGGATGCCTGGTGCATCCAAGTGAACAGAAGATACCACCTCCCCCTATATATATTGGTCTTTTTCGTGCGTCTCCAGTGGCCGCTCTGTCTCATTCCTCCAAAGAGGATAGAGCCAACTCATCCTTTGCTATACGACTGAGCATTGAGCGCTGCATTTAAACCTGGACCTGACTATCAATACAAAGCACCTAGCAGAGTTGATAATGGATCTTTACCCAGACAAGACACATCCGGCCAGCCTTTCACCCAGCTGCAGCAGCAACAATACCGCCAGGCGCAGTACATTAAACTTCTCCCGCCCACTACCACCACCACAGCAGACATTGCCATATAATGATCAAGCAACTCCCGGGCCCACCGGTCGTGATAATAGATTCCACTCTCCCGAGTCCTCGGGAGAGGAGCTTATCCCACCTGGTCATGGCGCACTCAATCTTAACCCACCAGGTCTCACCTACACGCCTAGGTCCCCCGTCAATCCCTACATGCTCGATCCCTCACACGATCCTAGCCCACGCCCAGGAGCATCAAGCTCATTAAGCCCGCTGCGATACCCCTTTGACGAAAGACCAAGATCCAGACTTGCTATTCCTCGAACAAGACCAGGTCCACGACCCGGCTCTACTATCTCAATCACCCCATCTGACCTCCCGGGCATATCACATTATCAGCCGATGTCATATGGTCAGTTGAAAGAAATCAGCCGGGTGGCCGATCGGGACGACAGAAACAGGTTTCCGTCGGTTTCTGAAGAGCAAGGTGAATTCTGTGCTGAGCCACCAGATGGTGGGTTTCTGGCGTGGGCGCATGCCGTCTCAGGGTTTTTTATATGCTTCAATACCTTGTAAGTTTTACCCGTTTCCAAAAAAAAATAGGCGCAGCTCTCCATTATTAAACCGTGGCTAATATGATTGACAGAGGACTGAACATGGTAATATTTTTTATTGGACGCACTTTTCTCCTAGCGTGATACACTAACTAACTTCTATATACAGGCCTTCGGTGTCTTCCAAGCATACTACTTCAAAGTCCTGCTAACCACCTCAAGTCGGTCAAAAATTGCCTGGATAGGCTCCTTTCAAGTCTTCGCTAGTTTCGCACTCTTCCTACTCGTGGGCCTACTCACCAGCAAAGGTTACTTCAAGCTCTGTTTCCGCGGTGGTGCAATTGGTCTCGTCGCATCCCTCCTGTTAACCAGCTTCTGCAAAGTATGGTGGCAGTTCTTCCTTGTGCAAGGGGTGTTTATGGGGGTTTCAATGGGCTTCCTTTTCACCTCTACAGCTCTGGTAACGACAACATACTTTTCGACTAATCTGGGGGTTGCTACTGCATTGGCTGCTGTGGGGACAAGTTTTGGTATGTCGTCTCATTTCCCGTTGCCGTTTGATAATCGGGGGTGCTAACAAATGTTGTATAGGCGGGGTGATATATCCTCTTATATTCAACTACTCCATTCACAAAGTTGGGTTAGGATGGACTCTTCGAAGTAAGTGACTCCAGCAAAGTTATATACGTGATGCGGCTAACAGGTTCTTTAGTCATATTGCTGGTCAATATAATCACATTGATACCACCACTAATGGTCATCCGTGAAAGGCCCGGAGTGCCCAGAGGATCTGGTGGTAAGATGGATTGGACCATGTTCAGGGACATTCCGTACCTATTGATGGCGGCTGGTATGTGATAGCGATGAAATCTGATAAGTCATGCCACGGGACAGCTAACATGTTTATAGGAATGTTCTTCGCCTTCTGGGGAGTAAATTTTGGCTTCTACTTTGTAAGTATCCTCCATCAGCAGCACTAAGAATGACATATGCTAATGATACTAGATAGCTTTATTCGGCCAGGAGATACTGCACATGACACCACAGATGTCATTCAACCTGCTAATCGCCATGAACACAGCAAACATGTTAGGCCGCATTCTGCCCGGCTTGATAAGTGATGCCTGCCTCGGCCCTCTGAACACCATGATCCCTTCCATCTTCATATCGGCGGGTTTCATCTTCTTCTGGACCGGCGTTGAAAACGTAACCAGCCTGTTTCTGATGGGCGGTTTCTACGGTTCCTCAGCTGCTGCCATCCAGAGCCTCTACCTGCCGACCGTGTTCAGTTTCCTAGGAGGTAGCCGGAGCAACTCGCCCACGCGGATGGGACTGGTGTTTGCCCTTATAGCCATCGCAACGCTGACGGGCGCGCCGATAGGAGGACAGCTGATCGTGGCCAATAATGGGTCATATCTATATGCCGAGCTGTACGCGGGGATATCGTTGATGCTGGGCGGTATACTCTTCCTGACGGCGCGGTTCATGAAGCACGGCTGGAATCCAGACAAGCTGTGAGAGGTCCAGCTAGATTTATACACCATATGAACTATCTCTACCATCATGTATCTATATGCATATGCAGTTTTTATATTCTTACCTTACAGCAGAATAAAGCATGCGTCTTGATGACTCAGCATCGGCATCCAAATCGGGAGGCGGTGAAAGATATGTCGCTGACTAAACACACTAACCCCCTTACGTACTAGCGCATCGGACTCTCGAACATTCTTTCGCCGTTCGTCATATTTTAAGCCCTTCGCAGTCATCTCTCCACATCACATCTTCACCTCTTCACCTCCGTCTTCACCTCACAGCCTCACCATCCAGCCAGCACCCGCCGTTAATCTTCTCCTTCTCTCTCACAAAGCGTGCATTTAGCGATACCCGGCTCTCAAGCGTGTCTCCCGTCGACCGCAGTCATCCTACAAACCCCGCATCGTCCGATAACTGATAAGAAACATCAACATGTCTGACTGGGATACCGTAACTGTTATCGGCAAGGGAGCCCGCGGAAATGCTGCTCCCCGCGAAACTGTCGTCAAGGGTCGTTCTGCTCTCAACGCTGCCCAGCGATCTGGCATGATCGTCGGAACCGAGAAGAAATACGCCACAGGCAATGCTGTACGTCCTCTCTCTCCTTAACATCTCGAGTCAGAAAGACAGCTAACACCCATCCAGTCCAGCCGTCCCGCCCAAGAAGGCCAACATCTCACCAAAGTCGACCGATCCGACGAAATCGTCAAGCCTAAGACAGTCGGCTTCGAGGTAGGCGATGCGATCAAGCGCCGCCGCAACGAAGAAGGCATCAAGCTGAGTCAAAAGGAGCTGGCCACGAAATGCAACACCACCGTCTCTATCGTCCAGGACTTCGAGCGCGGAACTGCCACACCAGACCAGAAGGTGCTGGCGGCCATGGAGAGGGTGTTGAACGTCAAACTGCGTGGATCGGGGATTGGGCAGGAGAAGTTTCCTAAGAAGAAGTAAATAACCTTTTTGCTTCTTCTTAGACTTCTTCCTTCCTGTCCATTTTACTTTTATGCGTTTTGCTGTGTCTTTTGCTTGTTTGCTGTTTGCCTTTTGCCTGCTGCACAAGTTAGCTGGTGTTTTTTGTTCCTGGTTGGGAAAAGGTAAAAGACGACATGACATGACACGTGACATCTTGCTATTTTCGCTTTCACGATATATCGCTTCAATAGAAGAATGAATGATGCTCATAATCTCCATCTACTATACTCCGTACTTTACTCTGCATGTGTAGAACAGAATAGAACCGTCTGAATATCTATCTAGATCTAGTACTACTCTAAAGCTTGGTCTCCTCTGTCAGATTCTTCTGCAACCGCCTCTCGACGGCAGCCATGTACTCCTTGGTAGTAACCCAGCTCTCTCTGTCCTTTCTTCCACAAGCCAAGGCCAAATCCTTGGTCATGATGCCCTCGACATCAACAACCTCGACACAGGCACGCTCAAGCTGCTCAGCAAAGTTGACGACCTCGGGTGTTTCGTCGAGCTGGCCACGACGGACCAAGCCTCGGGTCCAGGCGAAGATGGAAGCAATGGGGTTAGTGGATGTTTCGCGACCAGCTTGGTGTTCGCGGTAGTGGCGGGTGACTGTGCCGTGGGCGGCTTCGGATTCGAAAGCATCACCCTCTGGGGTGGTGAGGGTAGATGTCATTAGACCTAGGGAGCCAAAGCCCTGTGCGACGATATCAGACTGGACGTCACCGTCATAGTCTACCACGGTGTTAGTACTAGTACGTTGATATCAAGATACAAGGTAAGAAACTCACTCTTCATGGCAATAACGTAACCTCCCTCCGACTTGATCATCTGAGCAACCATATCATCTATAAGACGGTGCTCGTACCAGATGCCCTTTGCCTCAAAGGCAGACTTATACTCAGCCTCATAGATCTCCTGGAAAATATCCTTGAAGCGGCCATCGTATTTCTTCAAAATCGTGTTCTTGGTGCTCATGTACATCGGCAGGCCCTTGAGGCTGGCCAACTTGAAACTGGCATGTGCGAATCCTCGAATGGACTCGTCGAGGTTATACTGTGTCTGGGCGATACCGGGGCCCTTGAAGTCGTATACCTGGATACGCTCTGGCTCTCCGCCGGCTGGGGTGTAGACGAGTTCGAGCAGGCCTGGGCCTGGGATGAGGCGGTCTGTGGCGCGGTATTGGTCGCCAAAGGCGTGACGGCCGATTATGATTGGTTTCTTCCAGCCTGGGACAAGCTTGGGGATGCGTGGGATGACGATTGGTTCGCGGAATACGGTTCCTCCTCTATATCGTGTTAATACTGGGATTTTGATGTTGGCGGATGGGTGACTTACAGGATGTTTCTGATAGTTCCGTTGGGGGATAGCCACACTAGATATATGTTAGCAACATCCGTTGTAAGGAGATATCTCAGACGCACTCTTCTTGAGCTTGAACTCCTCTACTCTGGCCTCGTCGGGGGTGATGGTGGCACACTTGACGCCGACGCCATACTTCTTGATGGCCTCCGCGGCATCGGTGGTGACTTTGTCGTCTGTCTGGTCACGGTACTCGAGACCCTACATGGTGTTAACATCAACCATCAACCAACTCCCAGCACACATCGAGGCACCTACCAGGTCGTAGTACTTGAGGTCAACTTCGAGGTATCTACTATCTTTAGCAAGGTCTCTCTCATCGGAGATCTAACAGATATACTAACGGAGTGATAAACTAAACAGGTCAGCATGAACACATCCCAACGTTAAGAGTCCAGTACACACCTTGTCCTTGATATCCTGCCAGATGATTCTGGTCATCTAATCCCATGCGTCAGCCAATTGCACCCGCACGCCTCTATACATGTACCATACCTCATCACCATCGAGCTCCACGATGGGATTCTTGACCACGATCTTTCGCCTGGTGTTCGTCATGTTGCGCTTGAACGAGCTTCCCTGGACAAAAGACGAGTTGTTGACGATGTTCGACACGGCAGGACGCAGATACGAAGACGAAGACGAAGACGACGACGAAGAAGCAGATGCTGACGACCTCCCAACAACGGTAGAAAACAGGCGACTCTCGGTGTTAAAAGCAGACGAGATGGCGCAGGTGGGCTGGCAGCGGGAGCGGATAACCCAGCAGCAACCCCGGCGGAAATGGCCGGAAGTAAGCCGAACAGCAGCCATGGCTTTTGCAGAGTAATACTCTTATACAATTTTTCGCCCGGGGCCCGGTGGTGGGGATGGGATGGGATGGGATGGGATGGGGGATGGGGATGGGGGATATGCGAGTTTCACGCTGCGTGCTAGCTGTGGCCTGCCAATCCTACGGTCGGAGCGTGGGAGGAGGGGAGGGAGTACGGAGTGGTTAAGGCGAGGTGGACAAATATCCCGACCCTCACGATGGGATGGGCCTGTGGATGCGCTAGAAAGGGTTGGGGGATGCAAATTTCGAGTCTGGTGGAGCGGATGTATATCCGACGAGATCTATCTGTCTGCCGGTATGATGTTGTTGTACTCCGTATGTGAGTATATCGTCTCCTCCTCTCCTCGTCTTCTGATATGTGTGCTGTCTCTGTCTCTGATGTCTGTCTGATTGTTTGCTGTCTGTCTGTATGATATGTATCTCGAAGTGTCAAAGTGATCTCGAGAGTCGGCCGACTGTAAGTACTGTGGCGGGGCGTGAGGTCCGTCGGTCCCCTGTAGCGCACCGGCTGTTTCGTGGATCACGACTAACCAACTATCTATCCTTATTCTGACAAGATGTCGCAGTAGTATAGGTCAGGAGTACTCCTCCTACTCCGTATTCTCTATTCCACTCCTATATTCTATTCTCTACTCCCTATTCTACTCTATATTCCATCTCCTCGGCATTTTCCCCCTCGCGGGGCAGCGGAGAACTTTCCTCCGTCGGCCCGGCACTCGGCTTTTCTTACTCAGCCACTTACTCAGCATATCTTACTCAGCATCCTTACTCAGCCCTCTACTCTGCCTCTATGGTCACTGCACAGCCAGGCAGTTCGAGGAGTTCTGAACTGCATAATATCCCGCTGAGCTCGGCCAGGCTCCGAGGAGGGGTAGCTCAATGCAAGGGCAAGGGCCAGGAAGAAGCAAAGTCGCAGCAGAACAAGGGCATAGAACAAGGGCATAGAACAAGGGCAGGGTATTTGCACTGGTTTAGGCCGGCTACTCCAGGCGGAGGATTACTCAGCCTGCCCTGTCTTATGTAACCAGCGAGATCTAGACTGCTTAGTAAGGGCCACATCTAGATGGCAGGCGGAAGACAGTAGAGGAGGTAAGTAGGTATGTAGTTGAGTGTTCTATGTACGTATCTATGCTCTATCGTAGATCCTGGCATGTTGAAGTAGCATTCTAGATCTGTCTGTCTGTCGGCACGGCCGTCTTAAAACAGGCCGTCGACCTCTCCGGTCTCTGCATCCACGTCGACGTTCAGATAGCCTGGTGCAGTCGGCAGGCCAGGGATGGTCTGGATATCAGCCGCAAGTGCATACCTACATCGTGTTAGCATGATATCAAAGTAGAAGAGGAAGCATGATATCAAAGAAGAAGACGACAGAACTTACAGGTATCCAGCGCCAACAGCGAGTCTGACATCTCTGATCGGCACCACGAAGCCCTCTGGAGCCCCCTTGAGGCTCGGGTCGTGACTGAGCGAATACTGTGTCTTGGCTATGCAGATAGGCAGCCCTCCGTATCCTTGCTTCTCATACATCTCGACCTTCCGGGCCGCAAGCTCGCTGAACTCCACAGCACTGGCACCGTACATCTCGCGTCCGATGGTCGAGATGCGGTCCTGCACGCTGCCGGACAGGTCGTAGAGGAAGGAGAACTTCTTGGGGAGCGAGGATGCCTTGATGACGACCTCGGCCAGGTCCACGGCTCCCTTGCCGCCCAGGGACCAGTGGTTGGCTGGAACGGCGTCTTCGGCACCAGCTGCGATGGCCTCCTCGCGGATGACGGCGTGCTCGGCGGCGGTGTCGGACTCGAAGACGTTGATGGCCACCACGACGGGGACGCCGTATCGTTTGGCGTTGCTGATGTGTTTGCGTAGATTGACGCAGCCCTTTCGTAGCAGTTCTGTATCTTCCTGTCTATACGCCTCGGGCAGAGCGGCGCCGGGCGTGATGTCGGGCCCGCCGCCGTGGACTTTGAGTGCTCGTACGGTAGCAACGATAACAACGGTGTCAGGCACGAGTCCCGAGGAGCGGCATTTGATGTTGAAGAATCTCTCGCCGCCCATGGTGAAGTCGAAGCCGGCCTCGGTCACTACGAAACCGGTGGTGGAGTCGTGGTCCTCGTCTGGTTCTGTGCCCGCGAGTTTGAGCGCGAGTTTATCGGCAACCACAGAGTTGGCGCCGATACTGATGTTGGCGAATGGACCGGCGTGGACGAACACGGGCGTTCCTTCGAGGGACTGCATCAGGTTGGGCTTTATGGCATCCTTCATGAGAGCGGTCAGGGCACCACCAGCACCGATGTCGTCGCATGTCACTGGATCGCCAGAACGGGAAGAGGCGACGACCATACGGCCCAGTCGTTCGCGCATGTCGGTCAGATCGTTGCTGAGCGCGAGAATGGCCATACACTCCGAGGCCACGGAGATGTCGAAGCCGGTCTGTCTGGTGTGGCCCTTTTCAGTGGCGGCCTGGCCAACAGTAATAGTTCGTAGATGTCTGTCGTTGACGTCCAGAACACGGCGCCAGGTGATCGTTTCAGGGTCAATGTCAAGTCTGGCGAATCTCTTTATCTCTTCAGGGGTAAGCTCGTTGGGGTCTGTCTTGGTGATTCCCAACTTCTTCAGACGGCGGAACATGATCGGCTGGAATTCACGCTTGCCCTTCTTCGTTGGCACCAGGCGCTTATAGAGTCCTGCGTCTGGTGAGGTGGACTCGTGGAACATGCGCGTCTCAAGAGCTGCGGCGAGCAAGTTATTTGCTGCTGTGATGGCGTGGATGTCGCCTGTCAAGTGCAGGTTGAATTCATCCATGGGAATAACCTGACTGTATCCACCGCCTGCAGCACCGCCCTTGATACCGAAAGTCGGACCCTGACTGGGCTGTCGTACGTTGGCAAACACGACGCGGTTCAAGTGTGCTCCCAGAGCCTGAGTAAGGCCCATGGTGGTGGTCGACTTACCCTCGCCCAGTGGGGTGGGAGTGATGCCACAAACGAGGATGTAGCGACCATTTCGTCGATGGCCGAGACGAGAGAGCACGTCCAGGCTGACCTTGGCTTTGGTGTGGCCGTACGGCTCGACTTCGTGTGGTGCAATGCCTACTTCAGAGGCAATTTGCGTGATGGGCTTGGGTGTCTGGGCGCGCGAGATGGCAATATCAGACGGGACGGGCGACAGTATGTGGATGGACAGCGGGGAGACGGTTCGACTCCGTTCCTTGTCAAAGTAGTAACGAGCAGACTTGACAACGTTCTGTAACAGCATAGCTACCGTCATGGGTCCCACGCCGCCGGGCACGGGTGTGATCTGCGACGCAACCTCGACGGCGCCTGCGTAGTCAACATCGCCTACCAACCGCTGACCAGACTTCTTGCTGGCATCGGGTATATAATTCGTGCCCACATCAATAACAACCACGCCAGGCTTAAGCCATTCAGCCTTGACGAACTCTGGCTTCCCAATGGCAGCAACGAGGATGTCTGCCGTCTTGACCACCTCTTCGACGTTCTTCGTCTTGGAATGGCATATCGTGACAGTCGCATCGGCATTCTTTAGCAGATAACTCACCGGACTGCCCACAATATCACTTCGTCCCAGCACAACGGCAGTCTTACCCGTCATCTCCACGCCACTGGCATACAGCAGCTCCATGACACCTTGCGGGGTGCAAGGGATGAAAGTCGGCTTCCCTCCACGCTTGGCCAGCTCGCCAATGCTCAAAGTACCGAAGCCGTCGACATCTTTCTCAGGCGAGACAGCCGAGGTGATGGTGTGTTCGGACAGGTGCTCGGGGAGAGGCAGCTGGACGAGGATGCCGTGGACGGAAGCGTCATTGTTGTCAGCCGTGATGCGGGCGAGGAGGTCGGACTGGGAGATGTCGGTGGGCAATTGGACATGTTTGCAGATAATAGCGGCCTATATGGCTATTAGCATAGAATTGAACCTCGTAGACGTAAGAAGGGCATACCTCTTCAGCAGCCTTGAGCTTCATGCGAACATATGTGCCTATCCGGTCAGTATATCACTGTAGAAGTGTCTATATGGTATGAGGTAGCCGTACTGGAATCCGATCGTTCGCCCACTACACGGCCATGGTCAGTACTGTCTGCTATTATGAGAGAGAGATGAAAGAGAGGCGTACCCTGGTAGATGACGAGAGACGGCTTGAAGCGCGGGTTCGTCTGCTGGGTCTCCTTGATCTCGCCATTGAGGCGTTCTCTGATGGCCTTTGCGATGGCGGTGCCGTCTATCTTGGTGGCTCCCATGGCTGCGGTAGTCAACTGTCGGCGGGATGTGTCTGCGTATGGCGATGCAGAGGGGAGAAGAGAAGATGCCGCGCGGGGGCAGAAGGAGGGCGGGGCTCGGAGGAAGGGGGCTGCAGATACTCCAGACACTGCAGATACTCCAGACAGCGCGGACAGGGAGACGAGACGCAGGACATGAGGCCGTCCACGCAGAGACGGAGAGAGCATCCTACGCCTTATCCTGCTGGCATGTCGTCTCTTGACTTCGCTTGACTTGAGCAGGCCGGAGCAGACTTGCTGGTGAAAACTCTGACCGATAAGATAACCATTACAATTCTTTATCACGACTACAATCTGAGACCATCTCTATATCCTACACGGACGCTACGCTCAGCATTCTACCTTAAATAACACGGCTGAGTCTGGTCGAGGACAACTCTTCTATACAAGTCCTAGGATGCATCAAGCAGATACCCTCAAGCTTGACTATTCACCCTATCAAAGAATAGACCGGTCTACAGTGTTCATGGATACCCATGGTATTGTTCTTCGATTACGATGCTAGGCGTCATTGGTATAAGCTACTCTCTCATTGAGTGACTGAATCTGGATACAGAACCACTTTCAATAGCCAGATGCCCGTTTCTGCGCCATGAACAGCCAATCCACTCTCTCAAACTTCTTCTGCAAGGGGCCCTTTTGCCCAAAACACGCAGGCAGCTTCATGACATCGGTACTCATCACAGTGCGGATGATGTCTAGTGCAAGTCTCTCGATTTCCTCCCGCGACTGATCCTGTCGCCACGAGTACAGGCAGCGTACGGAGGCGAGGATATCGAACGTCCGTATAGCCTCTTGGGGATATGACTGAACTGTGGTCCAGATTTCATGGAACTGCACCCCATACACCCGACAGAAGGCTTCTTTATACTGAGGGGCGTAAGCCAGTCCATGGTCCTCGACATATCGAATGGCTTCAACGTCACCGCAAATGTCACCGCCGTGTGCAACCTCGTTTCTGAAAACCATGATATCCTTGTCTTTGGCGGACAAGGTCCCGCCCAAGGTTCGTATTTCTTCCAAAAATCCACGGCGAAGGGCGACCTGACTGGCCCTAAAGCTTGAAACCTGCCTAGAGTTAGTCAAGTTCTCTTACTTTGGGACCGGACTCCTTACTATTCTCTTTATTGCAGCATTCTCCTTCAGCATATCTGTCCATTTCTCTTCCCTAGCGGCTTGTTCTGCTTCTCGTTCGGCCCGTTTTACTTCCCTTGCGGCTTGTTCTGCTTCTCGTTCGGCCCGTTCGACTTCCCTAGCGGCTTGTTCTGCTTCTCGTTCGGCCCGTTCTACTTCCCTAGCGGCCCGTTCTGCCTGCATGGCAGCGTTTTCCTTCCGGACCATCTCTAGCATGGCCTTCGTCTCCAGTAACATCTCGTTTTGACTATCGAACGTATCCATCAGGGCCAAACCGTCTCGGTTACCAATTCTGTGTCTAGAGCTGTCGACTTGAATTTCGTTTCGATTCACGCGTTTGAGTAATGAGTTGCCGATGTCCTGTCCGGGGATGATGGCCACGTTCCTTTTATATATGACTCCATGGTACTATTTTCCTGTTAGAAGCCGCACTTGTTCTCGATCTGAAAACGAGTCACTTGCATTCATCTTCGAGCTGCGAAAAATGGCGGTTGGGGCCATTTTCACCAAGATAGACGAGTATTCCCAACTTTTCTCTTTGATCCGAGTCCGTATCTCCCAAGTATGAGGATATGATACACCAAGATGCTTGCGTTCTAAATGCTGCTCTTGCGGCATCAAGCGTTATTTATCTTACATTTTGACTCCTCCTTTACAACTTAAGATAAACAAAGATACCCATCAGACTTATTCCGTTGTTTTCTCCTAGCTGAATCGCCTGTATTCCAGAAATCGTCTTCTGTTTGTGGAGGTTGGTTCCTGCATCCTTGGTTCTACTTCCCCTTTATCTACTCTTTTTTTCATGATGAAATCAACTTACTTTGTCACACTCAGGCTATATGCCGCCTTGTTCGCTTGAATATAATTGTTATATCCTCTTTCTTCTTTCTCTATAATTCCATTGTCAATCCAATGAAAGCTTCTAGATGAACCGTCCTAACCCTGACCTCCTCTTAAATTATATTTCCTGGTCTAACATAAAACTAAACCATTACACCATTACCAGCGAGCCACACATACGATCTAGGATGGCATTACCCGAGCAAGTCTCTTAAAGAGCTAGCACGAGTATATAAAACTCAAAGGGAACTGCCTCGCAAATGGTCCAATGCTCAATAATTATTTTCTAAAGCATGGAATCACAAATTGCTACAATATATTGTTAACATACCTCTTTTACGTTTGTTCATCAAACTAAAAATGAAGACTATTGACCTCTTTAACGCTTTTTCCTGGATTGTTCCTGCAAACCTAGTGATGGAAACTAGAGCTCGACAGGTACCTAGTTAACGAAGTGGTTATACGGTCCGTTCATTCGGGGTATTAATAATTTCCGGGGTGTATTGAAAGCTTGAAAGGGCCGAAGTCACGCATGCTATGTCTACTTCTTCGGCCTTGTGTGCTTGCAACGTTTGGTATACACTCATCCTAGTCTTCGTTACACGCTTCCTACAGATATCAATGTTCAGTGACCGTAAGCTCGTCATCTTGTTCAATCCATGTTGCGCCGAGAACTCCGGATTGTGTTATTACTGGTTAGTTGTAACTATCAACTAGTTAGATAACCGCCGTGTCTTCTGTCATTCTCCAACCTCTTTAACGCAACAGGTATCTCTCACAACATGGCGGGGTCTCACAAAGTCCAGTTATGGAAGCAAGGCAGTAAGTTAACTACCTGGATTCCACGGGTTGGTTAACTAACTAAGCGCCGGCAGCCTTGCTTAGCGAACACACATGGTGGATCTTACGAGCCTCGTACCAGGAAGACCATCGATGGGCGTCTGTGGACTGCGTGTTTATCAGTGTCGATCGTGGCTTGGTCGAAAAGGACAACGTCTTCTCTGGCAGTCTCGACGGCCTTCGTCTTGTTGCTGTTGACGAGAAATCCCAGCAGCCGACTACGCTCGAGCCCGGATCCTTTGGCGGACTGGAAGCTTATAGCTTCTTCTTGAGGATCATCTCGACACCAGCAGTTCGGGGCCAGGCGCGGCTTGTTAAGCTGATTGTTCCACTGGCAAAGGGATACATCGTGCGATCAGACATCATTCCTCTACGTCTTTGCGATTGTTTAATGGTGGAGCAAGTCTGCTCTTTTGCACAGCCGCTCCAAAGCTATGGAGGTGATGTCGCTTGTCTACACCCTACCACCTTCGATAGTAAGAGAGACAACCTCTCCCTACCTGAAATATCAGGCAGTGCTGTGGCTGGTATACTTGTCTGCCCGGTGGACCAGGCTGAGTTGGAAAGTGTCTCATCAGACCTGGATCAAGAACTTGATAATCGACTTTCCTTTCCATGGATTATTGAGACAGAAACACCACCGCGTCAGAGGAGGCTTGCTCTCGTCGAAGCAAACAGCTCACATCCAGAGGATGGCCTTGGTCTCTACACCGCTGCTGCTGCGCTGGGAATCAGCTTGGTCGTCTTGGACAACGCCGGTCACTGGCTGGAAAGCTCTGGTAGTGCCGTCTGCGAGGCATTCCTCCCTACGCGGTTGACCAACCCTCCACAGGCAGAGATGAAAGATAATATTCTTGCATCTCTGCAGGCCTACGGTAAACCTATAGACGGCATTGTCACTTTTGCAGATACCTACTGGCCCTATGTTGCTGAGGCCGCCAAGGCCCTTGGTCTGTCGGCCAATTCGTCCGATGGCCTAAGGATCGCTACAAACAAGTATCTTTCGAGCATACATGCAGGGCGCCAGGCCCATAGCGTGAAGAGCCTCGACCAAGTTGTCTCGATCTGCCAGGAGCACGACCTGCCTTACCCCTTAATTGTCAAACCCTGTGGGGGATGGAGTTCCGAAGGCGTTTACCGTGTTGATTCACAGCCTGCCCTCGAGGATGCCGTAAGCACCGCACTTGCTTCTCGCCACGGGCACGAACTCGTTATTGAGCCCTATTGTGACGGGCCAGAGGTCGATATTAATCTTATACTACATGATGGAGAACTTCTATTTTTTGAAGTGTCGGATGACTTGCCAAAATCGGCGGATACCAATGGACAAAGCCATGGCTCCCTATCCAATTTCCATGAGCTATACAGCGTTTATCCATCAGAACTGCCTGATGCGGAAATTCAGCTTTTGCGACATACCTTCCTGGCTATGTTACTATCTCTTGGTATAAGGAGTGGGGTGATGCACCTAGAAGGACGCATACAGGATTCCACAGTTGAATATACAACCAAAGATGTGATGATGGTGCTCTCCCCACGGGTTGATATGGGTCGTCATTCACCAAAGGCATGGCTCATTGAGATCAACCCACGCCCCCCGGGAATGACTGGTTCTCATATTGTTCAATCCACTTATGGAATTGACTACTGGGGAGTGGCGCTACTTTCCGCCATGGGGGATAAGGCTCGCGTACTTGCTCTGGCCCAGCCATTCGTTAAAGGACCGCAATACACCAGCGTCATGGTCTTTATCCCTGCAGACTTTCCACCTTCATGTGAAGGAATCTTTGATTCAGACGACATCTGCATTGACCTTATCAAGCGAAGACCTGATCTCAAACCGTTTATTAGCAGATATGGGTGTTTTGTGAAACGAGGGCAACATGTTCCACATCCCAGTACCAGCCGGAACACCTTTCTAGCTTATTTTAATGTCTTCTCGCGCAACAGTCGTGAAGAAGTATTAAAGATTGCTCATCAGATTCGAGAGGCAGTTACATATACCTTCATTTAAAATAACAGTGGGGGGGGGGGGGGGGGGGGGGGGGGGGGAGATACAGCTAGCATTTGGTGTCATTGGCGAGGTTGAAACGCAGTTGCAGTCTGTCTAAATATGCATGTACATAAGACGGCATAGATCCCTTCTAGCAGTAGCTATAGTTAAGAAGCCAAGCGCCTCTAGAAAACGAAGCTACCACCTCCCTCCGCTTGTTGTTCATATCTTTGTAAAGTAGCCATGATTAATGCTACTTTTTGCTTCTGGTAAGAGCACGAGCTTTTAAGGCGATCTACCGGCCGCTTGCCATTCTAACAATAGTGGCTTAAACCATCAAGATGGATCCCAAGTAATGAGCTCATGTAGGCGCCTAAGCTCGACTATAATATGCCCCCAGATAATTGCCACCTCCTCGTCTTCAGCCCTGTACTGACCGAGTATTAGGGAGCCTGCCAGAGGAGTAAAAAAAAAGACAAAAACATACGACAGTCGGGATTCGCTGGTGGTCACCCACCCAACTACTAACCGACCGGCAAGTGGCTTAAGTACAGCTGAGCGGACGGGAAGCTCTGTTTTCCACTTCCTGTGGTCGTATGTGCTTGTTTAGAAGAGGAGTAGAGTTTTGTAGTGGGTGATAACGGTTTTGAACGCCGGACATGGTATTCAATTAGCAATATTAGAAAGGGATGGCCGTCTTTTCCTATTTATTATCTGTTTAAATACTGGGCGAATATTCAGCATTCAAACATAGCTTCGGCCTGACTGTTATTCCGCATCACCCTTGAAAGAAGTTCGGATAAGCTGCAATTCTTATAAATGTTAGCGCACGATTCAATTCCTTAGGAGTATGATAGTCTATATTCAGACTGTTCAAAACGTTCTTGTTTGCGCAGAGTCTTTATGTCCCAATTCTATACACATTCCGAATAATTTGCTATCCAATCAATCTTGTGTTTGGATTTATCTGCAATTCTTTGATCATGTGGACGGCAAAGAGCGATGTTGAAGAGTTGCACCAATCTTCTTTGTCGAGTCCCGGCCCCGTAAGTGCTAATATTCTCCGCTCCCCAGGATTTCTTCTTATGGATGTAGGTTGCTCCCCCAGCTGCAAATGACCTGCCCATTCACCCTGCCCACGTCGAAGTTATTCAAGTTAGTCGGTATTATCCTCCCGGTGTCTCCAAGATTATCGGCCGTGGCGGTGAGAGTTATATCGGCCTTATCGACGAGTCAACAGTTTTAAAGTACCCATGCATCCCTGGCAACCGTGAGGGCATTGAAATAGAGGCGGAGCTTCTCGCGATTCTAGGAAACCATCCGCGAATCCTCTCCTTGAAGGGTCTCAACGAGCATGGTCTACTACTGCAATATGCGCCAAACGGAAACGTCTACGACCGCGTCCTCTCGGAGCCCGTTATACCTCTCGACCAAAAACTCTGTTGGTGCAAACAAGCTGCCGAAGCTGTCAAGTACATACATGAAAAGGGGGTTATCCACTGTGATATCAACCTCCGCAATTTATTACTGGACGATAACCTTGATATCCTGCTCGCAGACTTCCAGGGTATGCTAAAGTCAACACATGGTGAAATATTGCTGGATGGGTTATCACGGGAATGTTCAAAATCATTCATGCCCCGGATTCACGGTGATTTCACACGTGTTAAAGACTGATATTTTTGCATTGGGCTCTGCAATGTATTTCATAATATTGGGACATGAAGTCTTCCCGGAGTTGGACAGCTTGGACGATGATGAGCAGATAGCATCTCGATTCCAGAGCGGACAGTTTCCTACTGATAGCCATGCGTACTTTAAGATCACAGATAAGTGCTGGAGGCAGCTGTACGAGTCCGCTGAGGATATAATTCTTGACATCTCTCGGGTCCAGACATCGAAAGCTGGGGGTGAACATCAAGACAAATAAAAGAGAGTATAGAAGACGGTGATAGAGCATAGATAAGGGGAGAGTAAGGGCCGGATTGATATATACCAAAAAGGGGAGGTTTGGGGTGTTCGGAATAACTTAAATACGCTCCGATATACACTTACTAAGCAAGATATCTGAGTCAGCCGGTGTCTTCGGGATAAAGTATATCCGTATCTTACTAAGCCATGATGTAAAAGTTGTGTGTGGTGAAATTATCTGGTCGAAGAACGATCCGCGAGCTCGATATCAACCAACCAGCCATATCATACAGACAGACGCCCGTCAAGCGTGCATATACAGAACAGACATACCTACAGCTACATCAAAAGCGATACAGGATGAGACCAATCCTCCTTCAGGGCCATGTCCGTACCATCCCATCCTATCCTCACCCCACACAACTCAGCTAACCCACCTTCCCTGCTCTAGGAGCGAGCCCTGACTCAAATCAAATTCTCGCGCGACGGCGACCTGCTCTTCTCTTGCGCCAAAGATAAACACATTTGCGTCTGGTACTATGCCAACGGCGAGCGGCTAGGCACCTATTCTGGCCACCAGGGTGCGCTCTGGACCGTCGACGTATCTCCCAACACCGTCCTGATCGCCTCTGGCGCCGCAGACAACTCCGTGAAGCTATGGAACATCAAGACGGGCGAGTGCGTGAAGACATGGGATTTTCCCACAGCTGTCAAGCGAGTAGAGTTCTCCGCTGATGGATCAAAACTTTTGGCCGTGACGGAGAAGCGAATGGGATACCTGGGTACTATCGTGGTTCTTGATGTTGCATATGGGGATGGAGAAGGAAACGGGCTACAAGAGCAGGCTGAGGAGCCAAGCTTGAAGATTACCTGTGAGGAGAGCAAGGCTACCGTTGCTGGGTGGAGCTATCTAGGGAAATATATCATTGCGGGACACGAGGATGGAAGTATCAGCCAATATGATGCTAAGGTGAGCATGACTACGTATCTACATCCGCGGCCGGAGAAGGTATACTAACGGACAATTAGACCGGTGAGCAGCTGGAAAATGTGCAGGCGCACGAACTTGACTGCAAGATCACCGACCTCCAGTTCTCTGCCGACAGGACATACTTCATCACCGCCTGTTCCGACAAATCAGCCAAGGTAAGCCTGCCTCTATTCTTCACTATACAGCCCAGCTTCATGCTAACAAATATGTAGATCCTCTCCTCAAGCACCCTCGAAATTCTCAAGACCTACCCCGCCGATACCCCACTCAACACCGCTGCTATCACTGCTAAGAAAGATTTCGTTGTTCTAGGCGGTGGTCAGGCTGCAATGGACGTCACTACCACCTCTGCCAGACAAGGAAAGTTCGAAGCCCGATTCTATCACAAGATATTCGAGGACGAGATCGGCCGTGTCCGAGGCCATTTCGGCCCATTGAACACAATTGCTGTTCACCCTGCTGGCGTTGGATATGCCTCTGGTGGAGAGGACGGTTATGTACGTGTGCACCATTTCGATAAGTCCTATAACGACTTTATGTATGAGGTTGAGAGGGAGCAGTTGAGGAAGTGAGGGTGTTCTTTTTTTCTTCTCCAAGTTCTCCTTTTGAGTTAATCCTTGAACTGGTTGGGTTGTTTAATGCCGCTTCATGATAATTTTATTTTCCCACGCTTTGTTTTCTTTCCATATCCCTCACCTTCTATTCTCTTTCTTTCTCTCTTTGTTCCTTTTGGTCTCTTAAAATCTGCACTGCATTGCATTCATTTACCATGGTGTTGTGTTCATGTTCCTGTTCGTTCGGCAAAAAAGTGGAAGGAGAAGGGGTGTTCTAGATGGGATGGCCTCCTGCTACTCCATGTTCCGGCCCTGGTTCTTGCAAGATAAGCAGTGGGCTAGAGATGGATAGAAATGCAAATGCAATGATTTATGATCGTCAAAGGGCTACATGAGAGCAGCTCACATGAATACATATAAATTCTGCAAGTATATATCCCACCTTATCCTATCTCATCAATATCGCATTTCCAATACCTACTATATTTTTTAATGAGCAGGCCGTCCCTCTAATCAGCATACCCCTAACGTTAGACTACTTACTCTTATTCTCGGCCTTTGCGATTATCCAGCAAAGAGACGTCTGTCCTACGGGATGATACCCTGCTGATACGAGGCATTCCACCAGAACTAGGATGACCTAGGACGGCGCCGTTAACAGCTGGGGTAATCCTCTACTTGAAACAACCGTTAGCGGAGGCAGATTCTATTGACGTAATGGTTCGAGGAGAGCATCGCACGACATGCTTATCCTCGATGCATGAAGAGTCTACATAGCCTTCCTGCTTCATCTTCTATCGCCTATCGCCTCTCCTAGCCGTTACATCAGCTTGTTCGGACACATCAGCATACCAATTACCGAACGGAGATTCAGTCTATTACGAGTCGTTGGCAAGCGTTCGAAGATCATCATTTGATGACATTGCCAAATACGCCATACAGAAGATGGGCAGACTATTGATTTATTCTGCAGGAACTGTCTTCTTCAATTCTCCGATACGAGGTTTACAAGCTTCTGAGACTAAAAGCGCCATCTGCAGGGATAATAACGGTTATCGATCGAGGGGCCGTACTCTGAATTTAACGAATGACCAATATCCCTAATCCGCCCCGAATCGACGCAGTTTCACTACTCGTTCTCTACCTGACGGCCCCAGAATCCCTAAAACCCAAGTACGACCACCCATGACGGCTGCGGGCTGCCTGATGCCCTGAAGATGGGCACAGTACGACCCTATTATGGTCCCTTGCCCCCTGCGCTTATAAAATCGTGCGGCGTCCTTCTAAATATAGAGAGCCAGGAAATCTCTCACCTACCCACGGCGACTCAGCATGACGTTCTGATATTGCGATGCTGATACTCCATGTTGCGACCCTGACAATTCTCGTTGGCCGGATAGACACCGAGACCTTCCCTTCCGTGTAACTCCAGCCAACCGTCAGCCAAAAAGCAAAGATAGACTGCTAGAGCGACCGCTGCTTGGTGTCCGCGGGCGTCTGAGGGCGAGCGGGTGTTCGGGGTGTTCGGGGCGTATATGTCTTCAACTATGACTCCATCCAGGGGGCCCTACCCGTACTAATATGCGTTCGCGCAGGGAGGGGAAACCGTCATTTAATTTTGCGCCAGGCTGGGGTTGCGAAGAAAAAAAAACCTGGAAAAAGAAAAAAATTCATTGTTAAAAGGCAGATTTCGCCGTCGCTGATCGGACAGTCGCTGCCAACTCTTATTCTTTCGATTCAGTATATTTAAATTAGACCCAGCGACCAGCCGTCCGTCCGTTTGTTCAGTCTTTCTGACTCTTTTTTTCCCTTGCCGTCTATCCTGGTACGGAGTAAAACATCGCCCCAACGAACTGAACTGTCTGTCTGTCCTGCGATCTATAGTCACGCTGTGTTCCTAGCTGCGCCGACGATCTCGACTTCACCACTAGATATATCCTCACGGCTTTATCTGGCGCTCGCAATGGCTTCATCTTCTTCGCTGTCACTCCTCGAGTCTTCTACCTGCTTCTCTTATTGTCTGCTCTGACTGTCCGCCTGACTGATATCAATCACCCGGCCCTCCCGCGTCGATATATCAACTTCTCTCTCTCTACTCTGGTGTCTCTGACCCTACCTGACGTCGCGTCTCTGCTGACTCTCTGACCTTTCGACCCCGTTCCCTCATTCCCTATCCTCGTCTCTCCGTCTTCGAGTTTTTTCCTCGCTCTATACTCACGCGATGGTTCCGCCGGCCCGAGAGGCGCCCTTGGCAGTAAGCCCTCCCGCCGACGCCAAGAGCCTCATCCTGCCTCCCGCTCCGTCGCCCATCGCAAATCTCACGCCGCCCTTGACGCCCGTCGAAGAGGCCGGCTGCTCGTCTGCGCCCTTCGCAGAACCCAAGATATCCATTCTAGGCAGCGTTCAAACACAGGTATCGCCACTATGGGCTGCACAGTTCGACGGGCCGAGCGAATGCTCCCTCACCCTCGAGTATCGTCGTGGCCAGGACGGCGGGTTGATAAAGTATGGCGAAGGCGCCTGGAGTAAGGTATACAGTGCGATAAGCGTTGAGCATGCACTCTCCCTCAATGCCTCTCCGCCTAGAACTCCGACTCGCGCAATCTCCTCGTCCCCTAGACTGGGGCCGTCAAGCGGAGACACCACTATATTCGCCGTCAAGGTGGCGTCCGGACGCGATGCACACCCTATCATCTGCGCAGAAGCAGATATATTGACGTACCTGCACCGCCTGCCGGGCAGCACAGCTCACATCGTGCCGTTCCACGGCTATATACCCTCTCTACACGCTATCGTGATGACTGCCATCCCACTCTCCTTTGCAGACTATATCAAAGCCCGCTCGACCGAGGCTGCTGCGTCCTTTAGCACGAGAACGATGTTCAAGCCCGTTGTGGGGACAGCAACCTGGCTTTCTTTGGCCTCTGGTTTAGTCGAAGGCTTACATTGGCTTCATGATGTTGCTGGCGTGGTCCATGGCGATGTTAAACCGCAGAATATCCTCCTCCGTCAACGCATTCCTAGCATCAACGCCAGTACTGCAAACACCGGGAATGCCAGCATCAACGATAAGACCGTGGATGCATACGACCCGCTCTTCGTTGACTTTACATCCGCGCACTGTCTGCACGCCAACGACATGGTTCCAAGTTCAGCCACTGGTCTATCAGCACTGAGTCCGCCATTCACAGCTCCAGAGCTCCTATCGGTTGCGTCCCTGGCAGCCCCAGAAATCGTACCAGCACCTTCATCAGACGTCTTTTCGCTGGCAGTTACCCTACTCGCAGCTGCAACGGGTTATGTGAACATTTACCCTGGAGCGGACCGCATGCAGCGTCTCGCCATGTCGCGAGACGGCCATCGTGTGCTTGATTATATCCGCTCCGGGGACCAAGGAACTAGAGTTCCGCGCAAGGGTATCGTGGAGAGGGTTATTTCTCCTGCTGTGCTGAAGGAGGCAGAGAGGAGGGTGACTGCAGAGCAGTGGCTAGGGACTGTTAGAGGCGAGGTTGCAGCTTTTGCACAAGAATGATGGAATGATATCTGTTTGGCGGTTCTATCCCGCATCTACTAGTAGTCTAGCGTTAACCTGACTTGTTGTTTTCTCTGTCTAATTGTATGTTATGTTATGTGATTATGAGATTGATTGTACGTTTACCTGTTGTTGTAGCAGCATATGGAGCATGATGAGACTGGAGTTTGTTTAGCCTATATTTATTTACTTGCTACTTTATGTATGCTAGGACTGAGATGTTTATCCTATGTTATAGAGCAGTATACAACATTGTACCATTATAGTACTTCCTGCCATTCCCTTTTTATTCTGCTAGAGATAGGTTAAGCTTGCTATATGGTGACTATCTCCTGCCTTGCCCCCTTTGACCAAGTTGCGATTTCCATATCAAATGTCTAGGCTGATAAACATGAAAATCCAAGCTGGAGCATCTTCTATCCCTCCCTCTGCATCAGCTATCCTCTCGTTATCCCAGTTACTACTACGCTCGCTTGATGCATCCGTCAGAACTTCTTGCTGATTCCCCACCGTTTAGGCACACAGTACCTCTGATAGTTCTGGTGTGGCTTGTTTATTGGCTTATTGCTATATATGTTTTTGTTATTCATTATTTTTAAGAGACGGTTAAATTACCACAGCGTGGGTGACTCTACCATGTATTCCTATCTCCCGGCAATGTTTACTCCTATCCTTCGGGCTTTGAGGATTCTCAACGAAGCGCCAGAGAACGACGTCTCTCTGCCCATAAACACGCATGCTTCTACAGCTACGCCGGAGAATGGTCCGACAAATATAGAAACGCCCTCGGATGCTGCAAACGATGGCAAAAAGGTTGGCGTTGGTCGCAAACGAGATCGCCATATGAACAACATACCCAGATTACATAGTCTCAAGCGGTCGATGACTATCTCGTCTCCATCTGCCTCTGCGTCCCACGACCTTATCCCGAACTTCTTCATATACAGACAGGACGGTACCAAGGTCCCTCTGATACCGTTGGACGAGTTACCACCTGGCCTGAGGATCGGGGAGCAAAATTGGTTCCATCGTTTCTGGCTAGGGTATATGATTCCCGCTTCGCTCAGCAGGTATACAAAGAGGGGGGAGTATGAAGTCACCATTCAAGCCGGTGCACAGCTCAAACCGCAAACATCGAGTACAGTGGGAGGTAGAACGTCCGCAGGCCGGGAGCAGGGTGACCCCATTGTCGAACGCTACCGTTGTGTGGGTAGTAGGCACTGCGAAGAGGATGGCTGTGGTGACTACCCGTGTCACCTTGATAGGAAAACTCCTCTTGAATCTCCTTTATTGACACCGCAAGATCTGAAAAGGAGTCGCAGTCAAGTGCCGCTCACTCCGCCAAACTCGTTGGCCACGCCTCTGTCAGGGGCCCAAAGCATCAAGTACAAAGGCGGCAGGGCCGACGTCCATAGTCCTGACCAGGACATAGATACCCTCGGTCTCCAAAGGGGTTTGGATAGTCTGGCTCGTCAACAATCAGCCTCATCGCAAGGCAGCGAATCAAACTCTCCGTATCTATTGGATCTTGACTCCATAAAGGGGACTTCAAGCCATACTCCCGCAACACCAGTAGACCCAAATGACACTGGGGGAGAAAATTTCGACGTATTGACGCTTTCGAATAGCGTGCCACCACGGTTAGATACAGAGGAAGAGCCACAGGCTTCCCGCAGATTGACATTTCCTTGAAGAGTGAGCGTATCACAATTCATACGATGTTGATTATAAATTGGTTGAATTCTCGTTTGCCGTGAGATGCAGCCGGTCAATGGTGCTAGTTCATTCTTCAGTGAGTTGATTTCGGTTCGCTGTTCACTATTCATCTTATTAACTGCTCTTTGTTAACCTGTATTTGCCCATTGTTAGTTATTGTGTTTTTGAACTCCTCCCTTGACTTTCCTTAACTTGACAATTGGAGTCATGCCACTCTTTGTATATTTACCGTTCTCCAGTATATACATTCATTTGGAACATGCGCCTTTCGTTCAGAGGCTGAAATGAAAATCGCCTTGCGGCACGATTCTATTTCCCTGGTAAGAGGATAATGTACACACGAATAAAAGCCGTGGGTCACCGTTTCCCGAATGCCTCGTTCATATCTTCGACGAATGCACCGCCTAGTGATTTCGATAACGTATCCGGCATATTCTTCTCCGCTCGCCACCTCTCCCACTCAACAGCAATATCCCATACCACTTTGCTCGGGAGCCGCTGCAATGTGGCATCTGCCAGACAGTCTGTATCATATCCTACAATCACACCCGCCTCGCTGGTTTTCACATCCTTCCATGTAGCTGCCTCCTTGGCATCCAGTGTGATCTTCGGCGTCGCATACTCGGCCAACGAGGGTATTGCCGATGGGAATTCAGCTATAGGCCTTGATGCAAACACTTGCCGTAGCAGCTGCTCCACTGATTTTTTGGATGCGGTGGTGAACGTCCTCAGTAGCGCAAGATATGTAGTTAAGGCTGATATATATTTGAATGGTTGGTTTGAGGCTTTAAACTTGCGTTGGGCCTCGAGGATTAGCGAATTAGGGTTCGGCTGGATATCGACGATTGAACAAGGTATATAGGGAAAGAATTCGTGTTTATTAACATGTAGCGGTTCATAGGCGCGCTTATCCCAAAGTAAGAGCGGTTTAGGAGATGGATTCAATGAAGAACTGGCCATTACACGCCGTTCGTTCACATATACCGGGTAATGGTGATCGAGATATTGTTTTCCTAACGAAGAGAGGATAACGTCGCGCTCCTCCTTCAACGCCGCAAGCCTCTTAATCATTCTGCCCGCGGCTCCATGTGTCGGTACAGGAAGAGTGCCGTTCATCACCCTTCGAAGTTTGGATTCTATCCTGTCAATCCCGCTCTGCCTATCATCCGCCACATGAGCAGATTGAATCTGCCGATTTTCGTATGCATAGCGTTTCTTCAAGGCCCTCAAACGCTTCCGTAGCTCCTTCAATTTTGGAGGCAGTGGCTTCTTGACTTTAACGCTGGCTTCTTCTGTTTTCAAATCTTCCTGAACCTTCAAGTATTCCCTGTGCCAGTCGTGAATAGGTCGGGGGAAATGGGGCTTCGACTCATCTACAACAGCAGGCTCTGGAGCAAGTTCCAACGGGATTGCCTCTCGTCCAGCTGGCACCTTAACCGGTGAAGTCTTTAACCGCTTTGCAACCATATCTGCACTATGCTTTAGAACCTCCAATCCTCTTCGTGTCCAGTGTACTGTCTCGCTGGTATCTCCCGCCACCTCCTTAACATCCGCAGCCACGCATTCCAGCAGCGTCTGCGTCCGCCGTCGCCTACTAATGGACTTAGGCAGGATAGCGTCTACATTCGACGTTGGAAAGATTGCAATAATTCGCACCAATCCATATCGGTGAAAATAGCTTTGATCCAGCACTGACTCGATATATTTTCGTATATCCAAGGTCCGTATATTTGTAGCTGATCGAAGAAGTGTCATGTTGGCCAACACTAGCAGCGTGTCGTTCACTTCTGTAGACCCTTTCTCCCGCTTTGTCTGTTCAGGGAGATACCCCTTATCATAAAGGTTCGCGAACGTCCTGTCCTCGACCGGGTCCCATGGAAGATGCAGATATCGTGATCCCGGTGACGTTAGAAGAGGGTTTAAAAAGGATTGGTATGTTTTGAAGTTCGGTTCTAGTAATATGTGTCTTCGTGGGCGGATATGGTCATGGAAACGAGAGGACCAGATACCCACGCCCGGGTATACATCGATAATGTCAAGGGGCCGGTCTGTAGGGAGGGTCGGAGCTAATCTTTCCAGGACATCATCTACACAGGATTGATTAGATACTGGTATATTTATAACCGAGGCGGGTCGAGCTTACCGCATAGTTTATGGCTGGTTATATGGATCCTAGCATCCTTAATTTTTTTGATACCTGGAGCAATAGTTGGCTTGGGGCTGTCGGCGTATCCGCGCACCAGTTCCCATCTAGAAGCTATCGATGGAAATGTCTTGTAAGCCCGGCGCATGGCAGGATTAGATCGAATCAAGGGACAAGGCGAACGAGAGAACGTCGCCGTGGCGACCCATTGGAACATAAATGCCAGGTGCAACAGATCCTACACCATCCAGCGTCCACGATTCCCTCCGGTGAAGAGCTCCTGGTGCTGTGGTGACTTTGCACCGTTTTAAACATTTGAAGCTCAAGGAGTGAGAGAGCTCTATTAGTAATCAGCCGGAGATAAATTAATGCGAAAATGTAATAAAATAAGGTTTGATTTAGCTTTTATATTATTGGTTTGTGGGTAACTTTAAACCTTATTTATCAACCAATTAAACCTAGCTTTATATCCATATTTAGATACATATTTTTAGAAAGAGGGAGAAATTACAGCATCTACTCTGACTATCAGCCACTGGGAAGAGGCATATCTATCCATGAAACACAGGGTTTGAATTTATGATTTATGGTTGATCGGCAAGCATGGGGTTTATTTTTAGCTCTGGGTTTTAGATCTGTATTGGTCCTGTACTTTGCTAGGAAAAAAGGAAGTAAAGATAGCTGCAGAGGATGATATGTATATTTCTGCACTCAATCACTATCTACAATAGTTCAAGTCTCGCTTGAAGGAAGGAGAGTCATCTCGAAAATCTCACTATATACAATAAACTCGTTAAGTTCGTTGGTGTTGGAGGAACCGTTTAGCAGGTGGCCAACATGGAGCTCAGGGCAGACTTCTCGGCGCTGGTGACGGTCAAGTGGTAGACAGACTTGACCTTGATCCACATGCGGGAGTAAGTGCACCAGTAGGACTCTAAATCTTGGGATTAGTACTTGCATCGGAAAGAAAGGAGGGGGAAGGGAGGTATCTTACGGAGTGGGGGCTTCCAGGTCTCTGGGCCCTGATCACCCTTAGCCTGGTTGACCTATTAACGAGCAGGTTAGTATGATGATTCTAAATTAGGCACGGGCAGCTCATCTACTTACATTGTCGGTAACAGCAATCAATTGGGGGTTGGTCAGGTCATTGGCAAAGCCCTGACGCTGGGAGGTGGTCCAGGAAGCAGCACCGGACTTCCAGGCGTTGCTCAATGGGACGACATGGTCGATATCGACATCGCTGGTGGCAGTCCAGGTGGCACCATCGTAAGGGCTGAACCAAGAGCCAGAGGTGGCAACGCAGCTGCCGTCAACCTGGACGTTGGTTCCGTCACGGCGGAGGACGGTCTCACGGGTGTTGCAGGTTCCGGAGATGGTGATCCAGTGGGGGAACAGGTCACGGCTGTAACCGTCCTGGGGTCCCTGAGGAGCGACGGTGAGGCCAGAAAGGAGAGACTGAGCAGTAGAGGCAGATGGAATGTTTGGTGGAGTTGGGACGGGAGCTGGGCTGGCCAAAACGGTCACAGCAGAGACGATGGCAAGAAGAGTGTACTTCATCTTGATGGTTGTACTATTGTAGATAGTATCTGAGATGGAAGGATTGAGTGGTTTGAGATAGAAAGAACACCCATCTCCGTCGGGGAATCAGCTCTATATATACACAGTATATACAGCCATCATGCGTCCACCTCGTGACATATCAACGGGAGGACAAGCTCATCAGCGCCAGTATGGAGAAATATCCCGCCGAAGAGCCACCAGGTTACTTCATTTCACGATGGTGGAGTAGAAACACGTCTCTCTCGTATAATGTATCGATGGGTTGCGCAGACCAGATCTCCCGCAAGAACAGACCATCAAGAGTAAGAGAGAGGAAGAAAAAGAAAGGAAGAAAACTGAATGCAAGAGGATCAGCGAATCTTGCCTTTGCACAGACATCACAGGTTGCTTCCCAGTGAATCCATTGGATTGACCGATAGCTAGTAAGCACTTACATTTCAATCTGGCTGCTCTTGATTCTGCAACATCTCACGCTTTGGCATCGAAGACTTTCCCCCCCGGCGATGGGACCCGACAGCTACTCGCAGCGAACAGCTAACCACCACGGCGCCCTCCATCCACACAACGCTGCACATGTTGCCATGTTTGCCCCCGCTGATCGTCGAGCCGTGGGGTATAACTCCTAGCGCTACGCTGTGGACGGCCAATACAAAGCTGAGCCGGGCTGGATGCGACGTAGTATAGTTAGCGAGGGTCGAGTTTATGCAACGTTTAGACAGACCCCTGGCAGAGCGGGAAGGACACCACTCACCGGGCGACTCCGAGCTGTCGTTGATGAGATGGGGAGCTTGGATGGATGCAAGGCAGACCGTTAGGCTGTTCGTCTTCTTGATCCTGCCCTTGGTCCAGCTAGAGCTTGGTTGCTTGTTTATGGGTTCGGAACTTTTATCTACGCGACTTGAACCATATATCTCTACATGTCTTTATCTATCCATAAGTCTTTATGTCTAGCGGTATAATGGTACGATAATAGATCTTCACCGCTAAATGAATTCGAGGGTAGACATCTATATTAATAGTCTAAGAATAAGAGACCGAGGACTGATGTTTGCTCATGCAGGGTTGCCGGACCATGTCATTCAACTAGTGACGACTTGAACAAGCATCATGAGCATGATATTCATTTGTATAACCCCACAAGAGCATGTAATCACACCTGTCGGTCAAACTCATCAAGATTCCAGGTCCGAGGTCATTCCACAAGGTACTAGAAGAGAGAATATTCGTGATACATGTAGGACTGTTCATTATCCATAGAGCGCATAAGCCAAGTCATGAAAACAACCCGATTCCAATCGGCTACTGGCACCACGGCTGGTGCCAGGCCGCCAAGCAATATTAAGACCTTCGACAAAACAAATACATCAAGCCTCAAAGCCCGTTCATCGTTCTCTCAGCCTTCAGGGGGTCTCCTTCCGTGATGAAATCGAGAAGCACCACGTTGGGCTTGCGGTGGTAAATCGAGTTGCATAGGTCAACCTGGGCGCCGATGCTGCCTTGGCCGACGGCAGCGTTGGTCCTATCGGCCTTGAATCTATCCGGAAGAAATATGCCCAGGATATTGACGTTGAGAGTATGGTTGACTAGATACATGCGTCCATCGGCGCTGGCACCCGCCGGACGGTCAATCTTGCATTGAGGGAAGTTCTCGTCTGTGGTGCTGAATGGTGTCTCGAAGTAATATGAGAATTCATCAAGGAGATATGGAAATCTATTCGTGTCGGCCTTGGAGTCTGTGCCACGGGCAACGTTAGCGAAAATGTATATAGATACTTATGTAGCCAAGGCAGGTTTGAATGGAAGCGAGGCATGAATCCCGTCTGTAAGGTGCAACACCTACCCACGAAAACTATCAAACGCTTGCCAGACTTGATCAATTCGCGTAACGTTGGCCAATCGCCGAGGCCAAGTTTGGTCTGGGGCGCAAATGTATAGTCCTTGATCCCGCCGACGGCATTGAATGCATCGTCGAACTCCTTGATGTCCAGCCCGTCCCCGTTCGTGATCAGGAGTGTGACGACTTCATCAGGGTGGCCGTCTAGCCATGACTTGACCGTTTGCAGAAACGAGCTCACGCTTCCAGCATCCTCTAGGAGACACGAAGTATGGCACATGCTAAACACTCCATCGTCGTTCTTGTGTGTCTGGCCCTGAAGATATCGGATACCAAGATCTAGTTGCTGGGTCACTGAGACGTCTTGGTTGTGTTGAAGCAGCGGACCAACGAACGGAGAGTTGTGGGCGCCCACGAATGACAATTCAGAGTATCGACGATCACAGTACTCGGGGTGGCCATTGCATGCCTGGTCCTGGGCCGTTGGTAGCGCGCAAACCTGAAGGCCAGCCGAGAGCAATGCTCCCAGCCAGAAGAAGCGTCTGAACGTAGACATACTTGATATGCACCGTTTCGTGGGAAGCAATACCGAGAAGCACCAAAGAGACGAAGCCAGGCCCGGTGTTTATATACACCTTTACCAGGCACTTGTGACGGTATCAAGCGGGTTATAACCTTGTCCTTTTATCCACGGGCACATCACATAGGAAACGCAGGCCGGTAGTTTCACCTGACCATGGTGTCATCCGCATTTGCCTTCATCAAGGCCCGCCCCGAGGAATGAATGCTTACTCTCATCTCGGAAGAAGAAGAGGTAGAGGCAGAAGTAGAAGCAGGTGGTGGTGTATAGCAAAGGCAGGGTCAACCAGGCTGCCCGTATATGCTTCTTCCTCCCCGCGACAAATGAGAAGCTCCCAACGACGATGCTACGAGGGAGCGACAGCAGGGATGCGGCCCTTGTCCATCTGCATAGCATCGAGGTCGCTCCGTCATTCGTCGGCCTCGAGAACTCGAACTCTCCCCCTCGCAGGTCCGTGGGAGGGAGCAGGCGGCGAATGCGCAGTGTAGGCGTCTTCTTCCCCTGACCTGGCCTCCCCATCCATCGGTGTCCATGGTACGGACACTCCGTTGATCAGCGCCGTGTAAGTGTGGCGAGCTCTGTGCAACGCCGGGGGTGATCAGTCATATAAGCATCTCAGATCCTCCGTCCACTTGCTCCATCGCTGGCCCTGTGATGGTTTGTGATAGAATACAACATCCATGGATGCGTCCCGATATCCGCATTTAGCGTGGCTGCTCGGTCCGGCGCAACTTACCCGTTCAGGCAATATTTCTCACAGCAGAGAAAGCAGAGAGAGCAGAGTAGAGAGATCGAGGTATCAGTTGGAATGTGATGGTCTCCTTTCACGCATGCATTATGCTTCCAGATGGTAGGATTGCTCCGTCGGATATCTGTGTATGAAATATGCATACTGCTAGGCCAGGGACACCCGAAGGATCAGGCTTTCATGCGTCGATATCAATCTCAAACGTGTTGATAGTGATGCTATATTGAAGGACACTCGCCTGTGCAGAGGATCGCGAACTGAAATTAACTATCATGGTTAACGGCTAGGTATAATGATAATATACTATGTGGTTGCCCTATGATACCGGACATATACAGCCTAACAAGCGAAAGTTGCTATCTATCCGAACAATACAGGCCTCATCATTCTACACTTGCAAAGTGGCCAAATAGAAACCTATATACCTTGATATCGGCAAATCCCGTTGAGAGCTTTAGTTGAAGGTGATACTCGTCTAGCGTTACCAGGGGCTTATTCTTTGCGATGCTAGAATGGACCACGAGTTGACTGGCTGGTAATGCAGTAAATATACCCTGGTGCATCTTCAGATTCCTCCTTGCAGGCTACGGTATCTAAGAGACGACGGATGCTTGGACTTGAAGGGCAGGAATGAAGTTGGAGAAACGTACTTGTGCTGTATAAGACAGCATCCAGGCCTGATGATTTTTGGAAGACGTGGTTGAATTGTTAGCAACCAAGTGCCTGCGATTACAAACGATAATCTCCTTGAAGAGGAACCGAAAGGTGTCTCCCCTTAATTCTTCGAAAGCTAGAATGATGAATGTTAACACTTCGCTAGAACTTTGGTCGAATGTATCGCCGGCGAGTTAGTATCAAGAGCTCATTGATGACTACGGTCGAAGCAGCCTCTATTCCACCATGGCAAAGGTCTATATGCCTTCAAATAATCAAGAGTTTCTAGATACTAACTCATGAGCTTAACGACAAAATCCAAGTGACCTAACTTAGACTAGGAGTCGTCTCGTCCGAATTTAGCCCTGGTGAGGAGCTTCTAACGACGATGAAGTGAAGTGTCATATAGACCTGTTCTTAAAATTGCCATAATTTTACGTCTGTCTGGGGGCAAGCCCTATCCACGGACTAGATAAGGCATGCTTCTCTGCCTTTATATCACATATATGCCATCTGCTTTTAGGTCTGGGCTAAGGCATATTATGAGAGCTGGCACGGATAACCCAGGTCGAAAGTCGAATAGCAAGGGCACTTCAGCAAAATGGATTAAACCCTGATATCACTTGCTGAGGAGTCAGTGTCTGTTTTTAAGATGACGAATTTTTATTTTTCTCCTTGATGAACCACCTTGCCTCTCATCATGTGTGGCTGCATGCAGGGAACGATACCGTCGTGTTTAATTCTTGCAAGCCGATACCTAAGGAGCTCAACACAACTGTTTGTTGGATTTATGCTGGGCCATCGCTGTTGTTGAGTTACTTCACTTCATTTGATCACGCCCTTGGTTGACCATAAGTAAGATACGTCTCTCCATTTTCCAGGGCATTATAGCCTGTAGATGGTTAATAGCATCACGCCGCCCTACCACTAGGCTTTACCCTTTTTCCACTAGTCGAAGTGCTCTTCTATCCTAGGACAGTTCAAGTGGGCTAATTCTGTTAGGAATCCGTGACGCTGGGTGTACTCGGTGCCTACTATAAGTCAGGTCATAAATCGGGGATGTAAAGGCGTGTCGACACTCTGCTCATTGTTAGGATGGTGGATGGGGTTAATCTTGCTGCACATCTCATATTGACATGGGCCATCTTAACAACGTTTTATGGCATGGACATGGGATCGGTGTAGAGAAGGAACCGGGAAATGCAAGATATTCTCTAACCGCCGGTGATATATTCAATAGTATACAAGCATTGCATCTTATGGAGAGATATATTCAACCCGGATCGTCATAGAAGTGGATTGATGATCCCTCCTTGCCAGACATGATATCTGGTATCCGGAGTGCATCGCAACTATCAACCTAGAGTATCCTGGTCTGTACTTCACCATAACCTAACCCATCGATGACATCCATACTCATAGCCTATACTCATAGTCATACTCGTAGCTCATACTCATAGCTCATACTCGTATATTCTCATCCTTCTATGCTGGTTGAGATGCGCCCTCCACGTGACCCCGTATATAAAATGACCAGAAACGAGACGAGAAACAAGAAAGACAAGAAACAAGAAACCAGACAAGACAAGAACCGGAACCTCAAACACAAGTACTGAGACTATGCAGGTGAAACGCCGACTAGCCACTTCGGCCGCCCGTCCAATCGATCTCGGCTGATGGACAACGGCCCTGGCAACGGTCCCGATGCCCACACTCGGGAGTCAGCTCGATGTCCAGGTACCATCGGGCCAAACTGGAGACCTCCCAACGCCAACGCGAACACTAGCCAGCAACCCTGTCGGGTCGGATGACCAGGAATGCTGATTTCGGGCAGTTCGCAGCTTGTCTTCTGCAGTTATTGCATCAATATAGGCCCAATGGACAGTGTCGGGCAGACACCAGGGCTGTGTCCCGGCCATCCTTCGGCCGCAGCCTCTCAGCTCGCCTTGCGACCCTCCACGACCGAAGCCGCGCGATAACGAGCGAGGACGAGAAGGGCCCAGACGAACGCCGAACGCATGCAGAAGCAGATGAAACGGAGACTCCAGGATCGTCTCCCTGGCCGAGCATCCTAGCAGCAGCAGCATCTTCATCCCAGCAACATCCCTATCCTGGAGCGGCTACGGGCGCTGAACACGCGATGGCAGACCGAGCCACGGTTATAGACACGGTTACAGACACGGTTACAGACATGAGACCAGCGCTGAGACGAGCAAATGGTGGCTGTTTCGCTCTCTCGCTGAAACTAAAATATAAGTAAACACGCGATACGAAAGTGTTCGACCTCGGAGTTAGCGGCGGGAGTTCTCGCGGGACCCCGGATCCACCCGTTCGCCTTCTTGCTCTTGTTACTTCTTGTACTTCTACTTCGACCTCTCGCCCTTTCTCTTCCTCTTCGCCAGCATATCTTCCTCTCTTTTCTTCTTCCGACCCGGCCTCTTAAGATCCTCATCATGGCGCCCGCTGCCCTCTCGACCGTCGCCCGCGACCGCCTAGACACCGTCTCCCGTCACATCATGACGCCCAGCTTCTTCACCACCTCGGCTGTCCCCAAGGCCCCCGAGGACCCTCTCTTCGGCCTCGCTGCTGCGTGCAGAGCTGACACTTCAGACAAGAAGATCGATCTCGGCATCGGTGCCTACAGAGACAGCAACGCGAAGCCCTGGGTGCTTCCCGTCGTCAAGAAGGTAGGTCTCAGTCGGAGTCTACGGGCCAGCACATGCTAATCTAGTAACAGGCCGACCAGCTGCTGCGAGACGATCCCAAACTCAACCACGAATACCTCCCAATTGCCGGACTGAAGGAGTTCACCACCGCTGCTCAGAAGCTGATCCTCGGTGAAAACTCGCCCGCCATCAGAGAGAATAGGGTATGCACTCTATAATTCTAGATGCGAGGACGACGCTAACAAACGCAGGTCGTCACTTTCCAGACCATCTCTGGCACCGGTGCCGTCCATCTCGGCGGCCTCTTCATCGCCAAATTCTTCCCTTCCTCCCCCAAGCCAACCATCTACCTCTCCGACCCAACATGGCCAAACCACCCACAGATCTTCAAGACCGTCCACCTCGAGTCCGCCTACTACCCTTACTTCAACCCGGCCAACAAGGGACTCAACCTTGAGGGCATGCTCAAGGCCATCCGTGCCGCTCCCTCTGGCTCCGTCATCCTCCTGCACCCTTGCGCACACAACCCAACCGGCGTAGACCCCACGCAGCACCAGTGGAAGCAGATTGCTACCGTCATCCGTGAACGCAACCACTTCCCCTTCTTCGACTGTGCCTACCAGGGTTTCGCCTCCGGTGACCTTGCCCGTGACTCCTGGGCTGTCCGCTACTTCATTGCCGAAGGCTTCGAGATGTGCATCTCCCAGTCCTTCGCCAAGAACTTCGGTCTCTACGGTGAACGTGCCGGAGCTTTCCACTTCATCACCGCTCCTGGGCCCAATGCCGCAGAGGCTCTGTCGAACGTCGCCTCTCAGCTCGCCATCCTGCAGCGTTCCGAGATCTCTAACCCTCCCGCCTACGGTGCCCGCATTGCGTCTACCATCCTCAATGACCCTACCCTCTTCAAGGAGTGGGAAGAGGACCTGCACACCATGAGCGGCCGCATCGTCGAGATGAGGCAGGGTGTACGGGAGCGTCTCGAGGAGAAGGGAACCCCTGGAACCTGGGACCACATCACCAACCAGATCGGCATGTTCAGCTTCACTGGCCTGACTGAGCAGCAGGTCATGATCTTGCGTGAGAAATGGCATATTTACATGGTAGGCCTATACCTCTTGCCCCTGACTGAATTTTCAATACTAACTATTATACAGACCAAGAACGGCCGTATCTCCATGGCTGGCCTAAACGTTAACAACATCGACTACTTTGCCGAAGCAGTCGACGCCGTCGTTAGAGAGACAACCAAATAGATCACCATAAACCGACTAACCCACAACTACGGCCGCAAGTTGTACACTATGCTGCCTAATGTACAAAACCCAACCATAATCTCGGACATATTTATTCCCTATTCCCCTTAACCCCCTTTCCTTCCCTTCTCCCTTCCATGTACCTACTTATTCTCCCTTCCATCTTCATCGTCATTTTCTCTTTTGGGGGATTGGAAAATTAAAAGAAACCACCACACCGCTACTAGTTAGTTGGTATGATATGATATGATGCTCTTTTTCCTGTATTGTACTATTCGTGAACATTAAATGAGATTTTCATTATTTTAGGCATCATTAATCGTCTACCTTCAGCGTACTGTCACTGAAAGCATTCTTGAAGAAATATAGGGATAGGAGTTGAGGTTTTGCCCCCTTAGGAGTATGTAGGATGGTATCGGGGGGGTAGTTGCTCAAGTCATTTGGTACCCCTTTCGCTCTTCATAGACTTGACATGTCATATGTCATCCTGACTGGGACTCTTCGACTGTAAATAGCTAGACAAGGCCAAAGCTAAGCAATTGGGTGTTAAATTGTCCCGTTTAGCGGTGATTAAAAGATGGCATCCCATAAAATAAGCCACACGCAAAGAACGACTGTGGCCCAAAAAACCATCTGAGCTTCACTCCGTCGTTCACTGGCCCTCTTGAGCTCCTTGTTACCTCTTCCGACATTAGTATGCGTTGTATCTGCATCTGTGACGAGCTGGTTGATGTAATCTTCCTGGGTAGCTAGATGGGCAACCAAAGTTTGCTGCAAGGAGGATATTTCCAGTAGCGATTTTTCCGCATTCCTATGCATCGTTAGTGCCGGCTATGAAATAGTATGATGGATACCGGTCACTGGGAATAGGAATAGGGGGTACGTACTGGACCTTCCCGAGCGTGTCCTCGTAATACTTCAGCATGCCATCGTTCTCCTGCGCAAAGAGCTGTAGCTGTTCCGGTGAAAGCTGCGATTCGATAGCCGCCGCCTCCTTCTCGTCAATGGAAATGTCTCGACCACGTAGAGTATTGTTCGCGCTGTCGTTACCACCATCATACTGTCCATCCTCAGCACCGGTCCTCCCACCATTATTCCGTGTCTGCCCCGCAGCGTTCGCCTTGGACTTATAAAGAACACTCTTCTCCTTCTCTCTGACCCTCTCGATTCTCTTTTCTACCATCCCTCTCTGCACTTCAGCAGCAGACTCTAACCCCCGCCGTAGAAACCAGAGCACGCTCTCTCTCACACCCGTCAAGTTCTTCTCGGTATCTTCTGCTTGCTCCTGTTCAGGCGTACGAGGAACTTCTACCACACCCCCACCGCCGCCAGCCCATTGCCATAATCGTTCATTCAACTTTCCATGACCGTACTTCTTGCGTAATATGGAAGCTTGGGTCTGGGACCGGAGAGACTCGGCCGATGCAAGGTTTCCTATCGATCGTGAAAGGTCCTGTAGTAGAGATGCGGTAGATGAATCGATTGCGTCGCGGTCTGGATCGGTGAGGTGTGTTGATATTGAGCCTGGGTTTAGTGGGTTGGGGTTGAAGTCTGGGTTATTACTGCTTGTAGTTCGGGCTGGTGCGGCGGAGAGATATGTTGTTCGAATAGATTTTAGATATGCTAAGAGTGAGGAGATGTGGAAGTTCTACCCGCACAGTCATCGCTGGTTAGTCTCTTGCTTGCAACGAGTAGATATATCCGTATGCAGTGCAGTGTGCTGAAGTAGATGCCGATCTGGCCACGTACAATTCTATGCGCTTCCTTGAGGAACTCGTCAACGCCTTGGAATTCTGAGGGTTTGGTGGTTTGGCCGGAGAGTATCGAGCTGCCCCGAGACTTTAGCAGCTCATTGACTGCGGGAGTAAGGTCCGTCATGGTCGAGGACTGCCGTTGGATATAGATGTCTGGTCAAGCATCTTCATCTTGATCTCTTTGGCGGTTAAACAGAGCGGGCTTAGTCATCGGTTTATACAAAACTTAGGTACGAGGAGATAAGAAGAGACTATCTGAAAAAAACTCCATGTTTGAATAGACTAACTAATAGACATCAATCGTAATATAAATCAGATAGCAGACATATACGTATAGACATTGCCCCGATAACTCCATGCTAGCTCTAACCCCGGCCCAATAAAAAAGACAAAAAGACAAAAACATGCGGGTATCCCAACGCCCATCTATAAAGAAACGATTACGCAAGAAGACATTTTCAAGAGGAGAGAATGAACGGCCAGATCTTGATCATTGAAGCTCAATAACCCAGATCTAATCGCACAGAGAGCAAGGGGGGTTAGTTACGCAAATGCAAAGCCTACAGGAGGAATGCATGAAACTCTTACCTCCGTCTTGCCCATTTCGTTATTCTCTTTCCTCGCCGCTTGCTTGGCTGCGGTAATCAGCATATCCAGATCGTCCTGGTCCCCCAGCGTGACCATATCGCCATCATCCTGCATCTTGATCTTCAGGTTTCCTCGGAATCCGAACTTTTCACGGATCTTGGTTTCAAACTCGAGGTATTGTGTTGTGGGTGTTATCATGATGAAGCGAGTGTCTGAATCGGCATGGACCTTGACGCGGATCTTCTTTATCTCTGGCCGTCTGGACGAGCCACGGCGTCGGCCTGACATCTGATGCTGTGGCGGGTGGGCTCCGACCATTTCGAAGTGGATGCCGTCGCCGGAGTCGTCGTCAAAGGTGTCTGATCCATAGCCCTCCTCGTCAATGTATTCTGGTAGCCGGGAGGGTTTGGATGCCAGGCCGTTCTCGTTTGCGTATGCTGCGGCGTTTTGGCCGTACATGTTGTAGTAAGCCTGTGGTTCTTCACAGAGCGGGGCGATGTTTGACACCGGCCGTCGATGCTGTCCTGTGGTCTCACGGAATAGAAGCCTCCCGATTGGCGGACCGTATCGTATAGCCGAGAGTCTGGAGGCTGGGCCTCGTGGCTCAGAGGCTGTCCGTATTGTTCCAACTCTCGGCCTCTCCTGCTGCACTTTTGACTGTGCGTCCGCCGGTACACCATTATTAATGTTTCCGTTATTCGGCTGTTCGATGGGCCGTCCAAGCTCAAGAACAGGAGGCCGAGATGCCCGTGTCAGAGACTGTTTACGGGCCAGACTGGAAACGCTGCCTGTCGACCCGTTACTAGGCACAAGAGAGGCAGCCTTCTCGTCCGGCGGCGGTGTAGGAGGGAAGGCATTGCGGCTGATCGGCGGTTCAGACTGCTGTCTGCTCCTAGCCCCGAGGTTCTTCTGCACGAGATTGGTGGCGCCGTACGAGATGGTCTCCGGGGGACGGTCATCTCGAGAGCTCTCGAAGGCGGGGATCTTGGTCTCTGTGCCCTGGAAGCCCGTGAATGTGTTTGCTCGGTCAGAAGCTGCCACCAGCCGTGCCTTTCCCAGGTATTCTTTTGTTTTGAGATTCTTGACTTTGGCGTCACTGGGACGATATATAACCCCGACGGGGATCGAGAAGACAGTGTATCCCTGTTGTAGACGTTAGAATGGGGTCAAAGGGGTATGTATCAGGGAGAAGCTTACCTCTGCGGTTTCTGCAATAGCTTCATCGATAACGTCGTGGTCTGGTTTTGCTTTTTCCTTTGCCGCATATGTCAGATCGTTCATGCCCGACTCCACCTCCTGCAGATATATATAGCATAGCCCCCGATTGAAGAGCACCTCGCACGAGTAGAGCTTGTACTTGAGGCCCAGCTGCTCGTAGTCGATGGTCGTGTTGCCGCGGAGGTAGAGCAGGGTATCGTTGAAGTTGGCGAGAGCCTCCTCGAAGTCGCCGATCAGGAAATTGGACACGCCCTGCTGGAAGTATGCTATGGCAAGGTATTTGTCGAGGGCGATAGCTCGTTGGTAGCAGTCAACCTATCCCTATTAGCTCTTGCACTGATATTCGCTTCCCTTGGAATAACGCACTGCCTTGGAATGTTCCCCCAGCGTAGCGTAGATGACACCGCAGTTGAACAGGATCTTGGACGTATCTGCGATGCCCCCGAAGACCGAGATGGCATCCTCGAACTCGTTGTTATCGTAGTGGGCGAGGGCCTGAACCCAAGTCTCGATCTCCTACTCCCTCGTTAGCCATCGGTCTCGTCTCGTCTCGCCTGTCTTATACTCACCTGCTTCAAAGACATGATGTATGCCCCAGTCTCCTTTGCCGCTGGACGTTTGCCTTCGATTGACGGTGTCCTGATGGCGGTCTCACGGGAGGGGGGTTAGTTAGGATCGCGATGGGCGCTTAGCAGGGAGTATATGGAGTATATGTACGGTGGCACGCTACTCGCCCAGCAGACAAGATGTGACGGGTGTGATAAGCCAGGATGCCTTGCAGCGTCCCTCATGTGGCGATGCCTATATTTATTATACAGGAATAATTGGCAGACGCTAATATAGAGACAATAACCTGTAGAGGCACTGGATATACCGCAAGACGAGATGCAGCCAAGCTGGTGGGCGGCTAAAGACACAGCAGTAAGACTTGCTGCCCATGTATAACAAAGCGACCTCGGAGTTATTAATAAATGCGACATTTATGCCTATACAAGACGCATCCAGTATAATCTATAATCCCTCATCTCTAGACCTTCAGACGATTCCTCTGGAGACCTGTTCCTCGCGCTCCTCCCAGACATTCTTGCCGGAGCACGAACACACCATCTTTTCATTGTCCCAGACGCCGGCACTGCGCGCAACGACTCCCACGATCGTATCACCGTCGTCCTCCCTCAGCGGGCCGTCCCTGTCTCTGGACACGACCATACCACGTCCGATCATCTCCCAGACCGCGATCGGCCGGTCGAGAAAGACGCTTCCCTTTCCGGTCTCATCGACATCAACACTGCCCAATATCCCTCGCGGCTCGCCCTGTCTCTCTTCCTTCTGCGCCTCCCAGACTCCGCCCGTCGATGCCGGGCCCCGAGATATGTCGCCCGTCTCCCGGATGGTTGCCCAGTACCGTCCGGCCGAGAGTCCGTTGATGGTCAGGTCGAATATCGTCAGGCCGCTGGAGACCTGGACCATACGTGCAAGTCCGCGGATTTTGTTGCTGACATCACTCTTGTGTGTTTCGAGAATGCACACGGAGGCATCTCGAGGCTAGGTAAGCCGTGGTTCTTCGAGATGGTACATGGACGAGATAGACCTTACTGTTTGACGTCCCGCTACCACGTAAAATCGCGTCTCTACCGGTAGACTGGATAGCAGCCACGATGGCAGAGGGCGCAGCGCTGCCCTCGACCATCACCAGCTGGTCCTTCAGGTTGGCTTCGACCTTCCTGATCCCTACCACCTGTTAGCAATGTAAGACATCCAACAGACCAACAAGTAAACGGGTAAACGGATGAACGTACCCGCCAGCTCGTAGAGAGGCTTCGAGACATCCCTGATGCAGCTCTCGCAGGTCAAGGGGACCGCAAACGTTGCCTATACCTTGTCAGCGAGTTCGAGTCGTTATGATGGACTCCAACTGTACTTGAAATGGCTCTATCATGGTAGATATCCGACAGATAGACAACTCGTAATTCACAGATCAGGCCTTCCACGGGGCAATCTCCATGCCAGCAGCTCTCTAGACAGACCTCATCCTCGTATCTATAAATGCGCGTCGATGGCGGGGTGTTTTCTCTCGCTTTGAAATCGGCTTCAACATCGTCATCGCGGAATATCCAAAACTCCGGCTTCACGAACGACTTCAGCCTCCAACAAGAAGATGAAGGACTCTCTGCACGGTAGACGGCAGTGAAAAATGTCAGCTCCCGCCAAATCACGGTGGGCGGACGACAGCCCCGAGGCAGAGGCAGAGGTTCAGCGCAGAAAGCAGGAGAAAGAAGCAAAGAAACGCGCAAAGGCAGAGAGACAGCGCCAGCTCGAGGCCGCACGACAGCAGTCGACAGCGCAGGATAGCACCAGCGATCAAGCCAGCGATATCCAAAAGGCAGAGAATGGAATTTATGCCGGATCTGAACCTCCGGCGAAACGACGACGGCTGTCCAACGAAGGCATAGCTGAGCTGCCCGTCTCTGAACAAGAGCAACACCAACAACAACCTACGGCGAAACTGCTTCAGTTCCCAGCGCCAGAATGGGGGCCCTGCAGACACATAGACAACTTTGAGAATCTAAATGCGATCGAAGAAGGGTCTTACGGATGGGTGTCGCGGGCAAAGGAGACGAGGACCGGCGAAATCGTGGCCATCAAGAAGCTGAAGATGGAGAATTCGTACGATGGATTCCCCGTAACTGGACTCCGCGAAGTGCAGACCCTACTTGAATCACGGCATCCTCACATAGTTCGACTCCGCGAGGTGGTTATGGGAGATACAATGGACGAGTAAGCACTATAACTTTCTCTCCCCCTAATCCCCCGGGACTGAAAAGCCCAGATACATGATGGTCATTAACCTCTACTCGTTACTGGATTTTCCGATTCTCGCAGCGTTTTCCTGGTCATGGATTTTATCGAACACGATCTCAAGTCCCTCCTCGACGAAATGCGAGAACCTTTCCTGCCCTCCGAGATAAAGACGGTGCTGCTGCAGGTTATCAGTGCGGCGGAGTTTCTGCACTCGCGCTGGATCATGCACCGTGATCTGAAGACGTCGAATCTGCTGATGAACAATCGCGGAGAGATCAAGCTTGCTGACTTTGGTATGGCGAGGTATTATGGTGATCCGCCGCCGAGATTGACCCAGCTGGTGGTGACGCTGTGGTATCGGGCGCCGGAGCTGCTGATGGGTGCAGATAAATACGGCACGGAGATAGATATGTGGAGTATCGGGTGTATATTCGGGGAGTTGTTGACCAAGGAGCCTCTTCTACGCGGTAAAAACGAAGTAGGCCAGCTATCAGAGGTATATTCCGTCCATATAATCCATATATTCCACTGCTAACATCTATACCAGATATTTGCCCTCACCGGCCCTCCAACCTCCCATACATGGCCGGGCTTCAGATCCCTCCCCAATGCAAAGTCACTCCGGCTCCCACCAACGTCGTCAGACACCTCTGGCCCTACAGTCCCGCTCCTACCACGCTCAAAGTTCCCCTACCTCACTACCGCCGGCCTTAGTCTGCTATCTCACTTACTAGCTCTCAACCCGGCTGCCCGACCAACTGCAAAATCATGTCTATCCCACCCCTATTTCCGCGAAGACCCCAAGCCAAAGCCGAAAGAAATGTTCCCCACGTTTCCGTCAAAGGCTAATTTGGAGAAGAGACGGAAGCGGGATACGCCTGAGGCGCCGAAGAGGGGGGAGGAAGCGGCGAGGTTGGACTTTGCGAATGTGTTTGGCGGTGGAGGCATGGATGGCGGCTCGACGGAGTCGGGTGCTGGTTTTGCCTTGAGATTAGGCTGATGGATTCGTCCTTGGTTTGTTCATTACATACGTTGACTAGAGTCTCTTGTTAGGTTGCATTTGAGCTTCGGGGATTTTCTATAGAATGGTCAGATTAGCACCAGATGATCGCTAGCTAGTCGAGTCTACATTTCTTATAACGTCTCATCAAATGATAACGCCTACTCAAATGATGCGAGACATGGTATCCACGAGAGCAGGATATGACAAGCCAATCTCTTCCCCAGGAACCCGAATGCTTCTGGCTCTAGTCACCTCTTTAATGTCCTCGAACAGGTCGCTGGTCTTCGTAAACAGGCCAATTCCATTATGTCGATCACCACCGACGTATAGGCCAGCCAAACTACCCTTGCTTCCTACCATGAACGAGCCAGAATCGCCAAAGTTCCCAAATGTCCGATCAGAGACGGGGGTGATTAAATATGCCTTGCCCGTGTAGCTGATCAGAGTCCCCAATTTGTTTGGAATCCAGAACTGTATATCAGCTTCCCGGATGGCATCTACTATCCCCGTCGTCTGACCGGTTCGATGGCCCTCTTTCATCAGCAAGGCGTACGAGAGCAGTGGCTGCGTTGAGTCGTAGAGATACTTGGGCAGCGGCCGGTGTTCGCGAAGCATACGACATGTACTCTTGTCCTCGTTCCGGGGTATCTAAGGATGTTAGAATCAAGTATAGCTTGTATATGATAGAGAAGAATCAAGTATCCAGTGTATATGAAAATAGACATACCTCGTTCAGCCCCTTTCTCTCGTTCTTGACGTCTATCAAGGCCCAGTCTAGGAACCGAGACTGTTCGTTTGTCCGCAGTCCAGAGGCAGCATATACCCTCCCCAGACGGTTTTTCCCATTATCGACGAACTGCGTAGCCTGCTTCAAAAGGCGGGAGTTCTCATTGACGTTCTCCCTTGGCCATCGGATATAGTCCATATCGACACCAGGAGACGTCTGGCCGGTCTTCCTGGCCTCCTTTTCCATCGCAGCCATTTCTCTCTTCTCCTCGTCCAACATCTCAGAGTGCCATTTGAGCGAGAACTCATGGTGTTTGCGACTCGGATGGTCGATCTGTATGTTATCATACCTGTTGTCCGGATGAACCCCAAACCTGCCCCAGATTCCTATCCCTTTCTGCGGAACGACGCAGTGGAAACAGGTCACTCCAAACTCCTTCCAGGTGCCGTCTGGCAGCTCCAGCTCCAGATAGCCGCCAAACGTCCCCGAGGACTCACGACAGTCGCGATGCCCGACGCTGCCTCCCAGACAGGTCGGGTCGCGCCAGCCCCTAGAATCCAACGGTGACGGCGGAGCGTGGAGGATCGAGCCGCGGTGGATTTCCACAGCTACGTCGAAGAGCAGCCTGTCATTCAGGATGTTCACTATCTGGTCGAGAGAGTGTGTCCAGTCATCCGTTGTGTCTTCCCTTACCGTGACCGAGATAGTCTTGATCCTTTCGCCCTTGCGAGTGTCCTCCCTTACTATAGGGTATAGTAGAACCCATTCTCTATCTGCCAGAACCTCCAGTATCGCTGATCGTACATAGTTCCAGTTCTCGATGAGATCGTTGTGGCCCAGCAGGGGGAAAGCCTTCATGCTATCTCGGCTACGAGAGCGATCGATGATCTCAACATTCAACTTGGCCAGCTGTTCCCGGAGGAAGACCTGTCGAATCTCACGGCAGGCCTCGAACCAGTTAAGGTCATCAATCGCCTTTCTTTTCGCGTAAATCAGGACAGTGTCAAGCCACTCCTCGGGCGCCGGGTTGAAGTCAGTATCAGAAGCCCGTCTGACGAGGACCGGGCTTGGATTACGGGCCTTGTCCAGCCGTATCGACCATTTACGACAGATGGCCAGCACCTCTTTGCGCAATGATTTCTTGAACCTGACCTGGAGAGGGTGTTCGTCAATGATATTCTCGGTGGCCGCAGGCAGAGTGGCCAGCACAGGGCCGCCGCATCTGAAGTCTTCGCTATGCACCTCCGAGTCTCCATGGAAAATCTGGTCGGCTACTTGAGAAGCGCCTAGGATCCGTCTACACCGTCTCGTCTGAGATGGACCGCCGGAAGCTGGAGATGTGACTACCGGCCCAGCGTAGCACAGCTCCCTCGAGAATGTGTTCTGAGAAGTCATTGAGATGGGATTCCGAGAAACAATATTAGTACTGAGGAAAGAAGTATAGTACTACCAGCAGTTAACATGCAGAGATATTCGCATTGCGAGAACGAGGAAAATCAGCCGGGCCCCCGGATATATAGGATCTATTCTACGGGTAGAACCATCGAATTCGTCTGGTACACCCACAGAATGAAGCTACCAAACCCTTCCCCGTCTCTTCTTCCTGTCGATGAAGCATCGCGGAAGTGACGTCATAGACGTATACAGAGATATCGATCTGTATAGACGAAATGTTAGCTTCCCATCCGTTATTTATAAGCTGCGAGGCCGGCTTTTCTCGCGGCCGCGCGCTTGGCGGCCAGGGCTTCCTTGCTTCTTCCTGCTTCTTCCATTGCATCATCCGCGCAGGGGGGCTTGTCCTCGTCCTGTTTGCGAGCCTTTAAAGTCGCATCGTGCCTCTCTTCTATCCTACCATATCGTCTCCTTCTCCTTTATACTCCTGATATCTTCTTCCTTCTCCTTTATATTACGGAGTACTCCTTATTACTATCTGATATCTTCGACCTTAACCAACCTTATCCCTGCTCGATCACTATTGGCCAGTTCAGGTGCCGCGGCTACGGCGATAACGCTATTTATCTTATCGCTTTGAGTCAGCATGAGGGAGAGAGATATCACCATGGCGGCCCTTCACTCTTCTTCCTCCTCTTCTTCTTCGTCTTCTTCTTCCTCTTCATCGCATCGCACGATGAGCCTCGCCCAGACCTACTTCCTCGCTCAATTAGCCCGCCAGAAGCTTCTGCAAGCTGCTCGGCGGGCAGACAGAGACCTCCGGATCCTCGCTGCACACGCAAACCTGCTCGATGGCCTCATGGCCGAGCTGGCAGAGGCAGAAGACGAGCAGGAGGACTGGTTCAATCAGTCCGTCAGCTATGCGAACACAGGGAGCACTACCACTACCGCCACCAAAGGCGTTCAAGTGACGGAGAGGGAATGCCCTACCTCCGGCTTCGACTTTGACAGCGAGGATGAAGAAGACGAAGAATACGAGTCCGACAACATCTCTACCTCCAGCTCAGAGAGCGGAGAAGACGTCGTCTTCGTCCTTGACGTCCACAACCGCGGATCCCAGACGAAATCTACCTTCACACGCCTCTTCGACGACATAGATCCCAGAGAACTAGACGACAACTCGGACGATGAATCAGACTACCTAAACTACACTCGAGAGAACATCCAACAGCCTCCGGAACTCCTCCACGACCCAGATGACGAGTCAGAAGACGAGAGCCACCCGCCTTCTCCCAAACGAGATAGCTTCGATTACTTTGCCGGCTCCGAAGCTGTAGATGAGACAGTGACGAGACCGTCGATACAGAAGGAGCTGGAGACGGTCCCTTCCAAGGACGATGAAGATGATGTGCCGCTTCTAGGATTCTGTTTTTCTCCCCCTCCGGTGTTCGTGGGATAGGCGCCATGTTTATGCTTATTGTTTTATTTGGTTTTGGTTTCTGGCTGGGTGTGGTCTGGCGGCCTTGGTGGGATTTTTCTATGCGATGTGATATGACTGATATGAATGTGATATGAGGTAATTTTTGAAACGTCGTTAGGTTTATGATAGGAAAGATTAGATCTATAGATGTATAAAATTAATATACCCTTACTACCCAACGGCTCAGATATGTGTTGGAGCTGTTCTATGCATCACTTCTCCGTCTTTCCATCAATGTGCCCGTTTGCACCGTCAACTCCATTCGTCCCATTTGCCAACTTGATATTCCCGTTGCAGCCGTTCGACCCAGTTGTGCCATTCACAACACTTGTATGGACTGTATTTCCCCAGTTCAAGGCAGCCAATGTCTCCATCGTGCGATTGCATTTGGCCAAAGGAAGTGACACTTCGATATCCTGGTCTCGCAAGTCCTTTAGATAATCGCCAACCAGCGGATTCATTCCATGTTCCCTAGCAGTAGTAACCCATTCGTCCAAGGCCACAATCTCAAACGGAGGGCCACCGGCTTCCTTGCCTAAGTATTCTCCCAATTGCTGAATAGGTACCACGATTTCGCCTCCCTCGTGGATGTATTCCACGCCATATCTCTCCGTGGGCGTAGGAGACCCCGGCTTCAGTACGCTCTCAATGATGTCAGAGGCGACGTATTTGACATTGATAAGGTCCAGGTATCCCGTCCAGTTCGGGCAGCGAGGAACCATCTTCGTCTTGCGGGAATATGTTAGGAGGTTATTGACTACATCTATCTGAGATGTGCCAGTGCCAATGATATTTGTCGGTCGATGGATGTAGACCGGTAGCCCGAACTTCTCATTCACGTTTTCCAGGTATACTTCGCTCACCCATTTGGATGAAGTGTATCCGTCTGATCCGTCAGTAGGGGGTGGATGGGCTGCAACAGATACCTGGTCGAAGAACTCGGCGCCACTGAGATGGCCTACTCCTGCAGTCGAGACGAAGTGGTAAGGAATGAAGTGTTTCATAGCCCATCTTGTAATCTCCTTTGTCGACGCTACGTTCGGTCCATAGAGAGTTTGATACCCCTGAACAAAAGAAACCAGCGCACCGCAGTGGATTATCGCTCCACATCGGGCTAAGATACGCTCCTCGTCTGCTTCTGATAACCCAAGTCGTGGTAGAGATAGATCTCCCGTGTACGTCGCGATCTTTTCGGACTTGAGGTTTCCATTCCTTGCTACTCCTGTCCCTTTGGCTCGGATAGCGACGCAGTGAATCTTGGAAATCTCAGGGCTATCTTCAAGCTGGCGGAGGACTTCGTAGCCCAAGAAGCCAGTACATCCGGTCAAGATGACTTCAATTTTGCTCTCTGATGACTGGCGGGGTGTAAGTTTTGTCAGGGGCAGCTCAAGTCCGGGGCAAACGGCTACCTCTCTCTTCCAATCAATCGGTTCGTCGGTGATGTTTGCTTTGGCCTCTCCAGCCTTAGCAAGTTTCTCTAGACAGGCATTTTGGAAGAGGTCTGGAAGAGAGATGAAAACACCGTCGGCCTTCGCTGCCGCAGCAACTTTCATGGCTGCAATGGAATCGCCTCCGAGCTGGAAGAAACTATCCCCTGCGCTGATTTCGGACAGACTGATCTTGAGCGTCTTAGCCCAGATTGCTTGAATCTTGCGTTCCATCTCCGTGGATACCGGTCGTCTGTCCCTCGAGGGGGCGTACGCCTGGATATCTTCACGGGATAATGTCAGCGCGGCTTCCCGTAGGCGTTTTCGATCGGTTTTCCCAGATGCGGCTAACGGCAGTTCAGACAGCGGTATAAATGTCGTTGGCACCATGAAGTTCGGCAGCGATTGCCGAAGCATTTCCTCCGCAGCTTTGACATTTTGACGGAAAAGCTCAGTCGAGGCCTCAAATAGCGAGGACCTACTGTGTTTTGAATGGCCATTTTGCTCGCGTCCTTGCCAGATAAATGCAACGAGTCGTGGATGGTTACCGAGTTCAGTATGCGTTATCACTTGAACCACAACGTCTCGAGTAGCTTGGAAATGGCGTCGAACGTGTGATTCAACTTCGCCGAGCTCGATTCTCTGTCCGTTGAGCTTGACCTGTAAATCCTTCCTCCCGATGAATGTAAGCGTTCCATCAAGGTTGTATTGAACTAAGTCACCAGTCTTATACATTCGATAGCTTTCGCCTTCTCGGATGGTAGACAGCCAGGCCGGTGTTTTGATAAAGGCTTCAGACGCAGCAGGATTGTTCAAATAGCCACGGCCAACAATTGGGCCCTCGACTATCAACTCACCAATAGCTCCAATCGGAAGTAGCCTTGAATGATCAGATCTATCCACAACCCAGCATCTCGCAGCACAAGGGCGCCCGATATTGGCTGGGTTCACCTGCCGCCCTATGTCAGGCTGGATGGTAGAAGTCACGGAACACTCAGCAGGGCCGTACGCGTTGACCAGGCGGACCGCCTTGGACCAGCGAGCAACATCCTCCGTTGCCATTGCCTCACCACCCAGAATGACAATTTCGACAGTTGGCATATCATGAGGCTCTAGTATTCGAGCTACCGAAGGGGTCAAATCAGCGTAGGTTGCCTTGAAGTCCCGGGCTGACTTTGCAAGGTCACCCTTGCAGTCTTCCTCTGAAGGAACACAAATGCAGCCACCTGCGACGAGCGTAGTAAGGTTGTTCTCAATACAAACGTCAAACGAGTACGATGAAAACTGAAGGACCCGAGTTTTAGGTCCTAGACCTAAGATCTCCCTGTTGGCATCCGCGCTACTGGCAAATCCAAGATGTTCAATAGTAATACATTTGGGTTTTCCAGTTGATCCAGAGGTAAATACGGAGTAAACAGCGTTATGAGGTTCGATTGATGGAGGATGCCAGTTACTGACGTCGGTCGTCCAAACCGGCTCTGATTCCGCAATTGTAACAATCTCGTAGTTGAGTGATTGGATCTTTGAGGCGTATGTTGCTGACGAAAGGATCAAGGTAGCGCTGACCTGTTGACACATTTCTCCCATTCGCTGGACTGGCTGGGAAGATGGATCTAGGAGGACGAATGCAGCGCCCGCCCTGATCACCCCAAGCATTGCAACGGTTGTCCATTTCGATTTTTCAAAACATAATGGAATGATCATCTCGGTGCCTACCCCTAGGCTGTTTAGGTACGCTGCCAGTCGTGAAGTGAAGTTATCCAGTTGGCCATATGTGAGATCGCCATCCCATGCGCAGACTGCCTCAGCGTCAGGGTGAGCTTCACACTGCTTTTTGATGAGTTCGTGGATAAGTAGCTCCTGCTTTTGCGGTGGCTCACCATTCCATTTTTTCAATAAGGCCAAATCCTGAGGGTTGATTAAATCGATATTCTCAAGAGACTTTGATACATCCTTCATTGTTTCCTGGAAGACATGCACAAATTGACTGAGAACCCTGTCCATCATTTCGTGAGACAGAACATTTGCATCGAATATAGCTTGGACGTCGATAGAATCTTTGTTCAAAGTGCACTGCAGCGTCAATGGATATGTGTCGAAAGTTGCTTGGTCTGGCAATGGCACTTGTTGACTGAATATATCCCACTGAGGTTCTTCCACATATGGCTGAACGAGCAGCAGACTTTGGAATCGGCAGGCTGCAGCTGCATCCTCCCCGAGGGCGCTGATATTTTGCAACCCAAATTGTTCAAAGGGAATAGACTGGGCAAAATGATCTTGCACATCTCTTAAATGGTCTATAACATTGGCCGCCGGACGTAGCTGGACCCTAAGAGGAATCGTGGCAAGCGCAGGACCAAGCATACTCTCAATTTCAGGAACCTGGGCATCACGTCCTGTCACTGTCACCCCGAACACCACATCGTCCGAAGCTGTGTATTGCGAGACGACAACGGCCCAGGCTAAGCGCAGCTGAGAATTTAGAGTGAAGCCATTTTGGTGGGAGGATGTCAAAGGAACTAATCGTTGAATCGAAGAACTAGGGTCCGCAGAGTAGTTTTCAGAGGGTAGGGATGGGAATGCAACTGCTTTGACTTCAGTAAACTGCGTACGCCAGAAATTGCGAGCAGCTTCATGGCCGTCAGAAATATGTTTTATCAGTGGAACAAATGGCCGTTGCTTCAATTCTTGGCCCCGATAAGCTGCTTCAACAGCTTCCAGGAGGAGACATTCTGACCATCCATCATACAGTGTGTGGTGTAATGTTATAGCCACATATCTCTCGGAATCGTCGGCCTGACTCTTGATCAATGCGAGCCTAATTAGGGGCTCCATCAGCTTCACTGGACAGCCTCGGTCTTGAGTAAGGTAGGTATCCAAATCACTGGCTTCTCCCCACTGGACGCGTTCACGAACAACGACTTGCTGAGCCTTCCCAGAGTCACCTTGATAGATCCTTGTTCGCAGTATAGGGTTTGAATCGATCGTCTTATCCCACGCCGCTTGCAATTGTTTGATTTCAACTGATTTTGGTATCCTGAAAACATGTTGCATTGTATAGGCGCCTGGGACCTTGATACTGAGTGCCATCATACCCTCTTGGAGAGGGGTGCATGGGTATATATCCTCAATATTTTCTCTATCGATCAAGCCTGTGTTGATGACCCGTTGGATTGCGCTATTGCGGGCTTCGGCATTCCCTAACATCGAAAACGGCTCAATTGTTTCAGCCTTCAAATCAAACTCGCATCGTAGAACAGACGTCAAATCCCCAATCTTTGGGTGGTTGAATATATCGGCAACAGTAATACCCAATTTCTCTGCCCTTGCTGCGCCGACCAGTTTCATTGCGCTGATAGAGTCTCCTCCGAGGTGGAAAAAGCTGTCATCTATACCCACGTCATCTTTTGATAACCCAAGTACACTGCAAACAAGCTCCTGGAGCTTTCGTTCTACCTCGTTCGATGGTCCACGCTTGGATTTATCGTCAGTTCCCAGCATGAGGAGGGCTTCGGAAGACATCGCCTCAACTTCCTTTCGTAGGAGGTTTCTGTCGAATTTCCCATTCTTGGTAAGGGGAATATTTGCCAATGGGAGGATGGACTCTGGGACCATATAACTCGGTAGCGTAGCCTGTAGTCTTTCCCTTGCTTCCTGTGCGCATAATGTGAAATCTTCCGTACGTGTTTCCCAAATCTTATCTGAGGATACACCAGCTTTATTACCACAGAATACAAAGCCGATCAGAACTCGAGTCTTCCTTATGCTGGAGAGAACGACGTCGACAATGACATCCTTGGAGCCATGGAATGCTTGTCGTAGACGATGTTCGATCTCACCAAGCTCAAGACGTTGGCCTCGGAGTTTGATTTGCGTATCCTTCCGTCCGACATATCGGACAGTGCCATCAACAGCATATTGGACGAGGTCGCCAGTTTTATAGAATCGCGACCCCCTGCCCCAACGGAAATCATACAGCCATGATGGATCTTTGACAAACGTTTCTGCATTCTTCTCTGGACGATTGATATATTCACGAGCAATAATAGGCCCCTCAATGACCAATTCGCCGACGGAACCGATTGGAACCAACTTGTTATGGTCATGCTGGTCAACTACCCACGAAGAGCTAGCGAACATATGCCCCAAGTTCCGAGGGTCAGTAGTTTGTTTTACTGGGTTCGAGGCTGTACATGCTACTGCACACTCTGAAGGGCCATAGGCTAAAACTAATCGAAGTTTGTCGCACCAAAGGTGTGTCTCTGCAGTTGTGATGAGTTCGCCCCCTATAACCATGGTTTTGAGAGTGCTGAAACGAGACGGATCTAGTGCTCTAGCCAAGGCAGGTGTAATAACCACCCAGTTTGCATTTAGTCTTGCTACTGCCCCGGACATATCGTTTAATCGTTCTGCTTCGGATGGAGTACATATGCAGCCGCCGACAAGGAGCACGGTTACTAACTCACAGATAGTAACATCGAAGGTATATGATGCGAACTGGAAGGCTCGGCTTCCAGAGTCCAAATAAAACGCAGCACTATGCCCTCGAGCACAGGTGAGAAAGGCCGCATGCTCAATAATAACGCCTTTTGGTTCTCCTGTTGATCCAGAAGTAAAAATCGAGTACATGGCATTCTTAGGAGAGACTGGCACGGCCCGTAGGAGGGCCTCATCCTTGCTCCAGGATGATACGTCTTCACTTACAACGAAAACTTGATCTGTCAATTGTTTGGCACCGGTAGAAAGCTGCAGAGACGACACGACAACAGTCGCACTAGTATCCTGATATATTTTTTGGAGACGTTGCTTTGGGTACGCTGGGTCAAGCAGCACAAAGGCGCCACCTGCTTTGAGCACTCCCAGAATTGCTACCGGGACCCATTTACACTTCTCAAAGAATAACGGCACAATGGATTCTGGCCTCACACCCGCGGCAACGAGGCTGGTAGCCAGTTTGGACGACATCTCATCTAGCTCACCATAGGTCAGGTTTCCGTCCCAAGAGCAGATGGCCTGAGCCTCAGGCTGGTCGTGACAGCGTTTTTGAATCAGTTCGTGGGTACAGGCGTCCACTGTCGCTGAAAGGTTGGTATTCCATTTTGCAACTTGTTGTTTATGAACTACACTAAAGTAGTTTAAGCTATCGACAGTGGATCGGCTTGGAGAGGTCACTATCTCGGAGATAATATGGCTGAATGTGGTAGAAACATTGTGGGCTTGCCAATTAGATAGGCTCGCTGTCCAGAAGCTAAGATATGCACTGATATCTCTGTCAGATAGCTCGATATTGGCGCTGATACTGTATTCGGTCGGATCATTTTCAAACAATTCCTTCACAATGAAATCTCCGTTCTCCTCGGGCTTTGACTTGTTTTGTATCGATAAAACAGTATTAAATAATGTTTGGTTAGACACTTTTATCGAATGCAGAATGTCGGCTAATGAGACATTCTGATGTGACAGAGAGTTGAGGAAGTCGGCTTTATCTGCTTGGAAAATATCACTGATACTCCTATCCTTGGAGAGTTCCAACCGGCAAATAATGATATTAGCACATAGGCCAACAACGTCTTCGATACCATCCACGGGCGCTTCCCTTCCTGAATTCATATATCCAAAACATACGTCATCCATATGCGTAAAACATCGCAGAACAAGAGCCCAGGACACTCTGAGTAATGTTGATAACGTGATGTCGCGTTCTCTACACCATTCATGTAGTTTCGACAAATCTCCAAGGTTTATATCTACCCTCTCTAGCTTGTTGGTTTCTTGCCCTGTAACTAGAAACATACCGTCCGTGAGGACTGGGAACAAGCAGGGCTCAGGACTTCTCAGGTAACTCATCCAGTAGTCACGAGTCACTTGCTGATGCATACTCCGAATGTAAGTAACAAACTGGCTATAGCGTGGACCTTGGGTTGCGGGGAGTTCTCCCATGTATGCAAGCTTGAAATCGTTTAATAATGTAGAAATGGACATGCCATCAATGATTGCGTGGTTGAACCCAAGGTCGGCAAGGACTTGGCCATTGGAGTTTTTGCAAACCGTGAGTAGATGTAAAGCCTGTCCAAGTTCACTGAAGGTCTTTCGTTCCTTGTAGAGCATTTCAATCGCTCCATCATTCTCCGCGCAGGGCAGTACACAAACTTTGGCTGGCATGGATTTCAATACCAACTGGTCGTAAATAGCCCCGGGGATGCTACTCTTTACAAAAACGGTCCTAAGAGCAGAGTGACGATCTGTAACCTGTTGCCAAGCGTCATAAACCCGATCCAAATCGATAGAGCCAGTAGACGAAATGAGCTCAATCATCGTACGGGTCTGATAATGTGAAGTGTTCCGGATTTGGCTGAGCAAGATGCCCTCTTGCATGGGGAGACAGGGGTATATTTCATCTATATCGTCTAATGATATCCCAAAATGAGGGAGGACGTCGGTGGTAAGGTGAGTCAATCCATTATAAGACAAAGGTAGGAGTGGAAAGTCGCTTAAGGTAGGGGACTCCTTATGCACCATCAGGCCTTCAACTGCTTCGCGGAGAGAGTTAGCACTGTCCCTGATCCATTGGCTTATGGCGCTTTGGTGCTCCATTTCCCGGCTGTACATGAATTCGAACTGGAGGCTACCATGAATAATAACTGCAGTAATTTCGAAAAGTCCCGGGAGTACCACATTAGGCCCATTGTCACAAGACGCCTCGTACTTCCACGGCACTTGCTGAAGGAGACCGTCTTTACGCTCAAGCTGCTGGTAAAGGCCATGGAAATTAAAGACGATTTCGAAGGGCGTGTATCCGTTAAATGCCGCTCTACCTTCATCATTAAGATATCTGGAGGCAAAGTAAGGCCATCCTCTACCTGGCACTTTTCGCCTGCCGTCCTTGACGCGCCTAACTATGTCGACAACGTCATTCCTATCGTCCACTAGGACTTCAGTTGGCCAAATGGTCGTGAACCAGCCGACTGTTCTTGAAATATCAATAGAACTATCCCACGGTTCCCGACCATGGCCTTCGTTAAAAATGAGAGGTGGGTCTCGGTCGGGAAAGCATCTCATAAAAGAATGTAAAAGGGAGGCATGCAAAATCTCAACTGGTTGGGTATCAAAGGCTAAATTGGCGTCCTTGAGCAGGTTATTTGTTAACTCTTCGTCGACTTTCAAGTGTGCGTGGATGACATTGTCATAGATATTTTTACGACCCTTCATGCCCCAATAATCAGTTTCTAAGGGGGTAGGCTTGAAATGAAGGGCTTTTTGCGGTGGTAAGTGTTTTTGAGCATACTCGGACTGTAAACGGTACCACGCTTGAAATGGTATAGGAATTTCTTGAGAGACGGCTCCTGTTTCCAAAAACTCTTCTAACTCGCTCAATAATATTCTCCAAGACACCAGGTCAATAACCAAGTGGTGAGCAACGAAAAACACATATTGGGATTCATCATGTTCAATCTCAATGAAATCAACTGAAAATAGTGGCCCAGTTTGAGGATTCAATCTTTTTTGACTGTCCACCATGATTGACGTGACTTCTTCTCTGTGGGACAAACGATGACTTTCCAACCGGTAAGAGCCATCAACGTCTTGCGAGATAGATTGTGTCCATTTCCCTTCAGTGGAGCGATGAAAACGGGCCCTAAGCATTGAGTGACGCGTGATTAGAAGCTCTATGGCCCTGATCAATTCTACCTCTCCAACCGCCCGGGAAAATGTTAGGAAAAAGCTTTGGTTAAAGTCGTTGTGGCCTTCGGGACAGTCTTCAAAATACATGTCTTGGATTGGGGACAGCCCAAACGGCACTCCAATCCGATCTTCCTGCTGTTGACGTGATAACGAGGATGCTGCTCCAAACGTAGCACCTTTCGCAAGTTTTATAATCGTCTTTAAACGGAAGATCTCACTGAGAACTAGAGTGATCCCTTGCTTCCGACACTGACTAATTACTTGCATGGCGGTGATGGAGTCCCCGCCACTATGGAAAAAGTCGTCATCGATACTGAGCATTTCCGGGGCCAAATTGAGGACTTCCGCAAATATCGAGTGCAGGCACTTCTCCATATTGGTTGACGGCGATATCCGCGGCTTATTCGTGGTCATAGAATAGGCTTCTAATTCGACTCGAGAGAGGGCTGCAGCCTGGGATCGTAGTAGTTTCCTATCGGTTTTGCCCGTAGTCGAAAGGGGAATCCGTAGCAATGGAATGAATACAGTCGGGATCATATAGGCAGGAAGGTGATTAGCCATCCTCTCCCTGGTTTGGATGGTGCTACTGCGAAAAGAGGCATCTGGCTGGGCGAATATGGTATCTTTTTTAGGCTCACTACCATTATGTCCGTTGGTCGCTTCACAACAATAGATGAACGCGATAAGCATGGGCGCTCCGCCTTCGTACATCGGCTTCACCATTTCTGTCACAACGTCCCTTGCTTCAGCAAAGCATTCACGAGCATAATGTTCTACTTCACCTAGCTCAATGCGCTGCCCACGAAGCTTCACCTGGGTATCCTTCCGGCCAATATACCGAAGGGAGCCGTCCGACTGGTAATGGACCAGATCGCCAGTCTTGTATAATGGCTGGTGGTCCTTGCGGAACTCAGGAAGCCATTCTGTGCTCTGGAGAAACGCCTTGCGGGTATGTTCTGGGTTATCTATGTACTCCCGGCCGACATGGGCCCCTTCGATAAGAAGCTCTCCAATGGCGCCTATCGGCATCAGCCGGTTATGGTCTGATGGACTAACAACCCAGGAGGCTCCAGTAATGGCATGGCCAATATTTACTGGATCATTGGCAACAACAGTCTGAGCGGTAGACTGAATTGAACATTCAGACGGCCCATACACGTTTAACAGGCGTACTTCACTATCCCACTTAGCAATAACATCTTGGGTCATTGCTTCACCACTCAGAACGATTGTCTTAACCGTGTAAAGATCTGCAGGTGACAGAGATCGCAGAAAAGAAGGAGTGAGATCCATCCAGTTCGGTTTCAAGCTGTCAATCACTTCGGCTAGATTGTTATTTCGTTCGATATCAGAGGGGATACAAAGTGTAGCGCCGGCCAGTAAACTATACAAGGTATCAGAAATGCTCACATCGAAGGCGTAGGACGCAAATTGCAAGACCCTGGAACTTCGGTTTAAATCCACGGTTTTGACATATGCAAGCGCGCTAGAGAGGAAAGAACCGTGCTCGATAATGATCCCTTTAGGGTTCCCTGTCGAACCAGATGTGAAAATTGCATATAAGGCATTTGAAGGGCGAACAGAAGGGGCGGTCCAGGATAGGGAGCAGTCTGCAGCAACGGATTTTTCACTGACGACGAAAACTGAAGTTGCCAAATCATCGGCGAGGAGAACGTTTTGAGAAGAAGTAATAACAACCGTCGCCTTAACCTGACGGCATATATGCTGTAGGCGCATAAGTGGTAAGGAGGGGTCCAGTAAGACAAAGGCAGCGCCCGCCTTCATCACTGCGAGGATAGCCACCACGGTCCATTTGGATTTTTCGAACAACAAAGGAACAAAAGTCTCGTGCCCAACGCTAGGGTGCGAAGCAGTAAGTTGAGATGCTAGGCTAGATGATAGCTCATCAAGCTGCCAATAAGATAGTGTTCCGTCCCAGGACTGTATAGCAATATCATTTGGGTGTTGCGCGCATCGCAAGCGAATTAAGTCGTGGAGGCACTTATCTGAGCCTTCAATGGATATTTCACCATTCCACGTTGCTAGTTGGGTAAAATCCCAGGGGCTGCATAAATCCAAGTCCCCCAACTTCCCAGTAGGTTTAAGGAGCATCTCAGCTACAACCTGTTGGAAAGTCTTCGACATATTGTCTATGCGTTTCCCCAATGTTTCATTGAGATACATGTCCAATTCCACTTGTTCTGTGAACCCGTTGTTGACCACATCGACGACGACAGTGTGCTATTGATACAAAACTTCAGTCCATATATCACCTCAATTGTTGAACCGTTCAATCTACACATACCGAGAGAGGATTTTTACATCCTTTTATGTCGAAAGCAGGGCGGCTATCAATCGGCAGCCCTGAGATTGACGGTCTTTGTACCACGAAAGTATCAACAACTTGGGGTTCCGGCGAAGCTCCATTGCTCTTTAAATCGGGGTGCGAAGTGTACTGGAATTGCTCGACGGCAAGCAGAAGAGGCGTGTCGTCATTCAATTCCACCTCGTACGTCGAATTGCAGAGCGTTCCATCAGTTTGCCATATTGTATCGCCGAGAGACACTGATTCGGAAGCGGTATAATATCGGAGCGTGATAGCCCAGGCGACCAGGAGAATTTTGTGAGAAGTGATTCCAGAATTTGTACAGAATTCCTCGAGCTCAGATGATAACTCAAGGCTGAATTGGGCCAATTGCTCATTCACGTGCACAATTGGCTCTTTCAAAGGTAGGTGATTGTCGTACTGACTAACTGATGCGGCAGGCTCTGCTTCGGTTAACAGATAGGGTGCCATATCGTCTCGACAATTTTTAACACAGGTCGCTGGTCTATATTGATGCCCACGAGAACTTCTATTAGATTATTAGGATGTGGTGAAAATAATTGAATCGACGTTCGCATTACCATGGCCTGGTAATGGGGAAGAAAGTTGATTTTTATTCAACCTGTATTTGAGAATAAAGTCAATGCCGAGATATCAATTTCAATCCCAGTTGCAGGTTACACATACACTGCCTTCCGGGAGCTTTATTTGCGGATCCCCAATGCAAAATCTAAACTCTCTCATTGGGGTTAAATGCTAGTTTTCTGCCTGGAATATACCCAAGTTGCATGGATCTTCCGCCACAGAAATAACCTACCACATGAAATAGACATGTTCATGCTGCCATCAGCCCTTTAGACGGGTTCCCAAAAATGGGAAAGACAAGGGTATGCAAGTGCATCGTATCTTTAGAAGCTATACACCGGATATTCGCAGCTAAATCGTTGAGCCGACCTCTAAAAACTGCGAAAGTTTCCCGGTTATCATAGTAATTAGCTAACTGATTCGGAGCTGCGAGATCCATAGCCAATCGATTCGCAATGAAGCCTGAGCCACAGGAGGCAGTCAGCTTTAAACGAAGAGGCTGTCGGTATTGTCCAGCTCAGTATCGATGGCGGGGCAATCTAGCTTGATATCCCCATTTGGTGAAAGCTGCATGCACGGTTTTTGTTTTCAACCAACTAGCGGCGGGATTGAGTGCCAATTGCTGAGTACCAATAAGTCCCACCGAAACTATGACGAACGTAGGGCGGTATATGGGTATCAAGGTTCCGGTGATCCTTCCAGGCATGTTCACTATACAGGCTTAACCCAACCCTCGTTTACTTCGTAATGTGCTCCGTATATCATTCTCGTTCTCTGTACAGATATATGCCACTTTATCCGGGGATTGACGCAACTCTCGAACGATAGACATAGCTAAGAGGCTTTCAAAGCTTTGCCGAGCCCCTTCAAACCTTGTTCAATGTTTTAGGCCTGGCGTCAGAATAAGATAGGTGAAGAGCGCGTTCGTGACAGTGAAGTTGAAAGTTGAACTCGGCATGGAATGTCTCAAATATCCCACTTTCCAGTACGTTTCTATTACCAATTTTCGCGGATGTACCGGCTAGGCCACCGCCCATTGAAATGACATCTTCCCACTATGCAGGTTGAAGCTGTCGAGGCCGTACGAGCACCTTTTGCTGCATCTCGGCCATGCAAGTGATATGCGAGGTCGTGTTATCCAACCGTCTTGAGTCACTCCACTTCTCGGGAGCAGCTGAGGAATCCTCGATCCCATGATTCGTCATCCAGCTGTCTTTGCACTGACTATTGGCTGCGTAGAGGACTCCAAACGAGAAAAAGAAAAAGAAAACAGAGCTTGAAGTCCCATAAATTGGGCTGGTCGTGATGGACCAGGGTATATTCACGTGACCGAGGATCAAGCTCGTCCCTGGCCAGCCTTGAATCCAAAAGCAAAAAAAATCATGGAAGAGAGAAAGCCAGCCCACTCGCAGAAGTTTTTTTTCTTCTCGAAAACTCGGAGTTGAATATTCCTGCTAGTCGACACAGAACTCGAGAGAGGCCGAGGATGATTTTTTTTTCAAGAGTTGGGCGTGGCTTAACTACATACACATAGCTAGGACAGGCCTATACGGAATGTGCATTGTAATTATTTCGATTGAGACTCACTTAAGCAGTAAATCTCGAGTGGCCTCTGTACTACCGTAGAAAAGAAAGACTACCGACGCCAATAGTCGTCGGCCGGAGATGCTTGGTTATGCAGGTAAGGTGAAAATTAGACAGTGAAGCGAAGGAAAATAAACAGGTAAATAAAGGCAAACAAACTCCTTGAGTTGGCAGAAGGCGTAGCGATGTGGCGTAGGGATTGTAAAAAGCCTTGCCCGCTTAGACATCAAGTTTACTTGATAATTGTCCAGCCCCGAAACGCCTGGATTGCATTTTTGCACTGCAGGAAAGCAACCAACGAGAACTCGCATGAACCTAACGCTAGCATCCAGATATGATTTGACGGGAAAAGGCGAACAGCGATCCAATAGGAGGAAAATTCAAGGATGGTCGGGGGATGAACGACATTGGTTAATGATTGAAGGAATATTCAAAGCACCAATAGGTATGACTGGATCTAGCAGGTTTGGGTAGACTGAGATTACTTTTCCAGTTTATGTGTTTCCGTGGGATTCTCGCCTGCTGGTTCGGCAGAGGCTGGCATTGTCGCAGGGGTCGTGCTGGTGCTAGGATCAATATGTGAGCCAGCGCTAGCTTCAAAGTTGGGTAATTGGATATGATCGTCCTGGTCCTTTTCAATGTTCTTCTGGCTGCTATCGTTAAGCTCCACATGATTTGCATCTGTATCCGTATTGTGGGGCAGAGGGGCGGGTGTTTCATCTGTCAAACCACCTTCATGGGTATCAGTGATCGATGTTGCGGTAGTAATTCGAGAGCTTCCATCTGTATAAGTAACATCGCCCTCGCCAGTGTCATCATCCTCGTCCTCGTCGTCATCGTCATCTTCATTTGGGCTAAGATTCGGGCTCTCCATGACAGGTAACGAAGGGCTCTTTAGAGCTTCTCCTGAGGCTTCAGTAGGCGATTCAGGGATCGTAATTGTAGAATTACTCCTGCCTCCCGTTGAATCTGCGTCATTATCAAGGCTAGGATCTTTTGATACAGACAATGATTGGGGATCTTGATCTGACCCGTGGTCGTGATGTTCTGTGTCTCCATTGGTCGAAGAACCTTTGATGGTATTTGCTACCGTAGGGGATTCTCCAGATTCCCCTTCTTCTCCTGGAAGCCTAGATGTGCTGCTGTTCCCACTGACTGAGGTATCAAGAAGACGACCCCCCCGAGCCTCGCTCATTCTCAGAAAGTGATTATAGCTCTTTCTAGAGGGGTCAGCAGCCAGTCGTTTCTGCTTCTTCTTCTCCCGTTTATTGGAGGGCCTGACGACTATGACTGGGATAGGCGATTGTTGAAGACAGTATTTGGATACTGAGCCAGGGAGCAAGCCCTGCATTCCCTTGAGACTGCGGCCACGTGTGCCTACGATAAGCACTGCGGGCTCATAGATTTGAATCTCAAGTAGAAGGGTCAGTATAAAAGGCACAACCGCAAATATATATAGTCGCTCAAACACATACCATCCGCTGGATAATCTCTTGGACTTTACCAACTGCCAGTTCCATAACCAAGCTAATGGCCTTTTCATCCTGCTTATTCTTCGCAATCACCTGCTGGAGCAGGTTTTCGGCTTCTTGTCGATATTTGCCCTCTTCCACGCAAGAATCACTAGCAATCTTCGAGTCTTTGTCGACAACCCGCAAACAGACAACTTCATCCCCATCATCAACCAGCTCGTCGATTAGCCATTCCAAAGCAAAATCAGAATAGTCGTTTTGATCAGTGCCACACAGGAACGTCCTGCTACGGCGCGTGTTTCTATAATCCTTGTGTTTGTAATTCAGAGTCAACGAGAATTCGGTCGCATCTCGATTGTCGAAGGTATCAAACGAAACTCCACGGTTGTAGGAGCTGGACAAGGCCATTAGTAAAGGTAGCTCATCAGGCTGGCCATAGGCCAGAGAAATGAGTCCGCAACTTGAGCTCTTAAAGGTGGTGGTATATATATATCTCAACGAAGTAAGATACAAGCAGACAAGAAACGTAACCTCCGATTCGCTGGAGGCGGGGCTCCAGCCACAGCATCCAAACTCAGAAGCTAGAGAGCCGCAAATGCGACAAGCTAATGCGGGGGAAAAGGGCGTGTGCATCGATCATCATCGCAGCAAATGAGTAAAACGTAACAAGAATAGACCGTTGGGTGATAATATTTCACCAACGACTCAGCGAGCAAGAGCCTGCATTTGCCAGCAGCCCAGCAGCTCTAAGGATCTCAAGGCAGGGAAAGACAGTAGAGAAGCAACATAAAAGCGGTCTTGACTCACGACAACTACGTACCTTGGAGGCGGGGGAGATGGTATCCTCCTTATACTGCTTTTCCTCGAGCTGGCCGTCGACCGTTCCCGCAGTGCCGCATCGGTTCGTGAGGTGTTAAACTGGATGGAACGGGCGCGGAGCCGAGTCTCAGCTGAACAGCAGGGCCCGTCCGTCTGATGGTGCCCTATACCATCATTATGTATCCCAGAAACGACATCTGAGGCTAAAGCAGAGGTACTGGTTGCCGGCGAAGAGTGTAACGAGGGCGACGACAGCATCGCAAATCTGGCCGCAACAGGCCCTTTGCGGCCACGAAACTTGAGAGGAGGTAAATTGTATGCGCAAATAGCGAGCAGACCCAGACACAGGGAGGTCCTGGATTTGTATTTGGTATGCTGCAGTCGTAGCTGTGGAGGTTGAGCCCGTCGAATATCGCTGAGATAGCAACCGATAAGGATCTACTGCCAAGTTATGATATCAGTCAGCGGGCAATCCGTCGCTTCTGCGCACCTGGAGGGCAGCCTACCTCCTGGTCTCTGCGAGATATTAGCAGCAGGCTACACGAGCTTCTGTAACTGCGTAAAGGGGGATATCACAGTATTTGATCCGCCACTACTATTTGACCGCTATTAGATTCTATATTGGCGTGGTAGAAGCCCAGCCCAGCATGTTCGCGGTCACGTGGATCACCCATACTTTAACCTCCGCTCGTTCGTCATTGAGGAAACATCAACCACGGTTCTATATATGCATTTAAATATATATAATCTTCACCTTCCTCGCCGTTGAGCACAGAGGACGAGTGTGAGACTTATATATCAGGTCACTGGAGGTATCTCGCACCTGCGCCCCGTTCCAGTGTCATCACATGGAAAGCAGAATACCGACTAGCTATACCAACTCCTATAACAGCCCTGCCCAAGGAACAGCCGTCCCCATATCTAGCCAGATGAATATGAACCCTCAGACAGACGTTAACGTTAATGGCACCGGCCAGTCAAATGCACCGCCTTCGAACATGCTAGGAGACACCAACCCCGTGAAGGCTGAGCCAACCGACGACTCACATATTAATGGAACTAGAAACTCAGCAGAGAACTGGAACGAGGAGCGGCAGCTGGTATCTGCATTATACACTCTGCAACAGATGCACGGTAAAGTGAGTATTGATCAATAGATGTATTATTTGATGGCTGATTCCGAACATTGGTTTATATCGTCTTGTATAAGTGTATGCTGATCAGAAATTAGATCAACCAACTTCGTGGCCTTGTCCCAGCACGTCTACTAGGCCCTCTAAAACCCGTGATAACCCAGCCTCCCGGGTGCGATAAGTATCAGAAATCACCCCAAGAGCTATGCCAGGAACTATCACAGGCAGCTCGTGACGGGATGGCGGAGATAGACAGCTTCAGAACCTCGTGGAACTCACCCGAGATGATTGATATCCTCGATCATGTGGATGCAAGACTCAAAGAGCGAAACGGCGAATATCCACATATGAGCAACGTATGGGAGAATGATTACGAGGAAGTTCTTGCATCTCTTGACCGGGAAGAAAAGCAGATGGAAGAAATGAAGTTGACGCAACAAGACAAGCTCGAGAAGGATAAACTAGAATCGACACCTGGAGGTTGGAGAGGCATAGTCGAAGCTTTCAAGGCGCGAAACATACCAGGCATCAATCTACAAATTTTGTCTTTCGATGACACGGAGCGGTTTTCCGCAGAGCTACAGAGCATATCGATAACTTTTTATGTGCAGCGGACACGTGGCGCCGTAGGACACGATTCGGAAATGTGGCATGTGAGCATGGGGTTCCAGCACAGTCAACCGAAGTTAGCATCAGAAGTTATGGATTGTATCCAGTCCCGGCAGCGGAAATGGGATCTTCAGTATCTACTGGTAAGTCTCTATCCATGGACCAATTAACATATACTTGCGCTCTTCTTATAACTTCCCATTCCCTCATCGATGGTATCTATTGCATCTAACTCGATAATTACAATAGGAAATGATCGCTTCTTACACCAACATAAAGAGATCGCCTTGTGTTGCGTGTAGGAAAATGATCAACGCCAAAGCCCAACTTCCTACTGTTAGAAAACCAAAGACGGTAGCTGCACCTAATGACAGCGCCAAAACAATCTGGGAGGCATTCCATCCACTGTGTGTTTGAATATATCCCAACAACCCCTCGTCCTAAGGCCAGCCAGGACCAAGAGCCGCCCTTTATTGCCCATGACCTTGCCATCCTCCTTCCCCATGATGGAGTTGCCAGTGAGGATAGGAGTACTGTATGCCATCGGCATCCCAAACAGTAACCGGCGTGTTTATACTGCCGTGTTCGTTCGTATCAGGATACTGCACAAAACTCCAAGATTTCTCATCCGGGTTTCGATACCTTCTTGTTCGAAAGTCATACCTCTTCAGCTTTCGATCAGAGAATGGCAGGATGGGCGGCAACATGTTCTCATCCCCGTCACCTTGCCAGCCATATATATCGTGCCACCTTGACCATCGAGGGGTATGCGGAGTTGTAGACGGCTTATCGATACGCCCGATAAACATATCCGGACCTTTGTTGAGGAGGACATCCTTGAATCTCCTCCCCATCGGCCATTTCAGCGGATTCCCTGGCTGGGGGTCTTTAGGCCATATCCAGCCGATTTGATGTCGTGGGCGATAGAATACCATTATCCCGAGAGTCTCTAGCCGCCTAGAACTCCGTATAGATAGGCTAAATTTGCCACGATATTCGACGGCGTTTGAAGTGTTGATCAACAAAGGGCTCTCAGACGTGGAGATTAACAAGCTTGAAAATCTTCGGTGGAGCTTTGAGTATGTAGGTCAATCACTAGACTAGGCCGTATGGTTCATGTTTTTCGTTTCTTTTGCTACTCCGTATCCTTTCCCGTGCCTGTGTTTATATAATTACAAGACAAACCGGTTATTCTTCAACAGACACACCCTGCATCCCATATCGGATCTCACCGCCCATCTCATCAAATGCAAAGGTTGCCATCTTGTTTAGCATATGACTTTCTAGTACTACCCAATATGTATGTTCGCCATCTCGCCGACCTTGCCCGGCTTCTTACCAGCCTAATTCACTCCTCCATTAGCCCAAGAATAACAAAGCAAACACTCAATCAGGCATGATATTGACCTCTCCTTATTTTGCTTTTTAACGTGATCAAACTCGCAGGCATGATAGGGACTGGTCAGTTTGTTTCGATAGTGTAGTGGCATTGCTTTGACTTCAAGAAGAAACAAACATTAGTATTAATGACAAAGCCTACATCCATATCCTGACGTCATGTACAAGGAGTAAAGGCGCCCTAGATTCTTTTCTGTGCATTAGTTCAGGCACTTTTCCAGGTCTAGGTTACGACCGGCATACGGCCGATATTTACTCCTGAAAAGTGCCATAGAAGTAGGTCTAGCCTGCTACTCTACCCCGATGCTGCTATTACCCGGTTCCTTGCATTTGGACATATGTATGGGCGATGATGGGATAATTTGATGGTCAAACTTCTCCCTCCATCCTGCATGATTAATGCAGCTTGTTTGTCTGGAACAAAAGGCAACATTCCGGGTTCCAAGCCAACTTATAGATGAATAGCTAGCCCAAATGGCATAAAGCAGACGTCAATGAGAGATACCAAAAACAAGAACCATATGTTTGCCCTATCGTGGTAGCCTCAGCGTAGAAAGCCAGCACCCGAACCTACCGCATAGCGATTGCTCACAGGCCGAAACAAGTATTAGTATTATGGTGGAAACATCTGCTTTTCTCCATTATGAATTCCTTGTTGCAAACAAGCCCGAAGCAAAACTCCAAACCAAAGATACAGATGTTATATACAACCTCGACCAGCCCAGTCCCATCAAGTGCACTATTATCGAACGAAGGAGAGAAATGAAAAATAAATTATATCTTGAAAGGTGTTGTTAGATCCGTGGTTGGAAAACGAAGCATCAAGTCAAACAAAAAAGGGGGGAGTCGCTCGCAGTGGAACTCAGACTCAAACGGCATCAGTAAATGAATAAATGAACCCCAAAGCTGGGGGTAGAGTTAAAATGTTTATATTTTCGGGAAAAGGTCGTGTCAGTAGATAATGAGCTGAATGTTGAATAGTGTCTTAAGCAAATAAGCCCAGCCCACTAGCAAACCAGGTGAACGAAGCGATGGTGATGCCGATCATTCCAAACATGAAGCAGAGAGCTTGACGCTCTGTGTTTGAGATAGCTGCGCTACCCATAGCTCGTTCTATTAGGAAGATGTCAGGTTAGCACGAGCAAGGAAAAGAATATTGACCAAGGCTTCGGGGTTTTAACGTACTCTTGAGATTTGGATCGGTCTTGGGAGAGTAGACTCCGAAAACAAAGGGCCTGGAGTTCCCTAGTTCACCAGCTGGGGCAGCATCGGTGGGACCACGTTTGACATCGTGTACAATCAGGGTATAATGTTCGACCAAAAGGCGAATGCCAGCAGTTTCGTATGGCTCAGTGTCCCAGACGGCTTTCCCGGTTTCTTCGACAGTCTTGTTTGACGCAATGGTGTAGTAATGATCGTTTGCCGAGCAGTACGCAACCACATCGACTGCGGATGGCGTTATGACCAGGGAGGTATAATTCCAGGCGAAAGTAGCTTTGTCTCCAATCTTTACATAGGTTGAAGGGTCAAAGACACCAGGCGTGACCATGGCAATGCCACCAGCTGGTTTACGGGGGTCGACAAATGTGCTCTTAGGCTTCTTGGTGGTCTTGGTTCCCTTGTCGTCTGTCTTGGAGCCACTTTGGCTTCCATCCTTTTCGGTTGGAGTGGGCTTGTCACTCCCGCTTCCCTTTCCGCTGTCTGATCCTGTGGTCTGACTGTTGTTCTCAGAAGTTTGACTTGGCTTGTCTGTAGGCTTGTCTGTTGGCTTGTCCGTTTGGCTTGAATCACCGGAGGAGGCTATTGAGACGGAGAAGTTAGAAATGTTGGGTCTTAAAGAGCCAAGTTCAGTCGTGGAATGAACTCACAATCTTGCCTTCTTGCAAGTCCGGTGTTTTGTGGAGGGGAAAACGACGAAACGAGTGACACCAATATCACCAGCGAGAGTAGAACGAATGTGAATTTAATCGACCTCATCTTGAGATATTCTCGTCCACCAAATAAACTATCAATATAGGACCCCTACGGTGAACAAAACCACCTTTTCACACTGCCCTCGGTTGGCAGGCTGTTGAACGGATCCCAAATATTTTTGAGGAACTGGTTGTCCGGGGTAACGCCAGTCGCACGCAATCAAGTCGAAACACTTCGTTAACGAGGGTGTAGAAGCGAGGACCTGAGTAAGATTCCGTAGTTGCTAGGCTGATCGATTCCTCGCAGCTGTTTCTGTCGTTGAGATGACGAGTCGGTCGTAATGATTAAAGGAGGTGCTGTGAGAATGCAGAGGACCGAGGTTGCAGCGAAGGTAGGATTAACGATACGTCAAAGGCGTAAGTACAGACAGAGCGAGATCGAAAGCGAGGAAAAGAGCGTGAAGAACAGAAGCAGGCCCTTATCGAGGACGCAGAACGAGCGTTGGCTGCGTTGAAGAAAGTGAGACAAAGTCTTGCTTGGGCCAGGAATGAGACACTTTTAGACACTTTTTAGACGCGGACAAGATCGTGGATCGGCGTGACGGTACGATACGCGGCATGGGGGTCAATAAATTACCAAAAGAGGAAATAGAAAGGGCGGATCACGTGTTTAAGTTACAGTACGGTTACCCCTGATACGCATCGAGTTTCAGCTTCTTTTATTAGCAACACATTAACAGCATTGACAATGATAATAGACATATAACTAACAGCATAAACATAATAGACAGATATATGTTTAGATGAATATAGAGTAATTGTTGTACATTATGGGAAGAATCACTTTTTCGCATATTCAGGCTTCAGCACCCATTTCCCTCTCCGTGATCCTGAGCCTGAGCCTGACTTGTCAAGCACGGCGATCGTGCGAAGAATCTCCTTGAACTCCGCCGTTGCCCGCGGCGAGTCGCAGAATCTGTTAAAACGATCGACCAGCATCTGCGTATGCACCGCTCCCCCGTGTGTGATGATATAGTCCCGTATCATAACCATAAAGTCCTTCCCCGTCGGCGTCCCGGTCCGTGGTGTGCCGGCCGCAGAAGCAGAAGCAGAAGCTGATGCAGATGGAGAGCTGGTGCCAGAGCCGGTTCTGCCGCCTCCAGCACTGCGGTTGGCAAGATTTGCAAGCAGGCTGGCAGAGGATGGTCCGCCCATCGCTCGACGGACGGTGCTTCCTCCGCCAGAATAGATGGATGACGTACCGGATGGCGCAACGTTAACGCCTGGTCGTCCTGCGGTTCCAAACTGTCCTGTCCAGGTGGGTGTGCCGACTGGTACTGTGCGAGCAAGCTCTTCTGCTTTGAGGAGCTCCTTGGCTGCCTCTGCTGCAACACGCTTGGCTTCCGTTTCAATGATTTTCGGGTCTGCTTTGACCGTTCGTTTGCCGTGGATGATCTGGTCATGTTCGAGGGCCGAGAGCACGCCAGAACGTGAGAAGATACTCTCCATCAAGCGGCTGTCTGTATCGGGCTTCTCACTTCCAGTCCTGTCTCCGTCTTTTGGCTGCTGTGGTGTGCCTGGTGTGCTAACTTCGCCTTGATATTCTTCCACACCTGCAACGCCAGTGACCCGGCTGATTCTCTGGTCTTCTTCCTTCGGAGCAGGTTTATTTTCGGCCTGTCGCCGCCGTTGTTGCTGTTGACCGGTAGATCTAGGGCCCTTGCCCTTTGCAGAATCATCCTCATACACGACATCTGCTTCCTTGAACATCTGGCTTGTCTCCGTAGGACCATCACCTCCTAGCGTAAACAGGTCTTGTATATCACTCATCTGGAAGGTCTGGCGTTGCTTGGGGTCCCGTAGAATTTTATTCGCCAGGAACTGCTTGAAGATCTGTCTGTGGTATATCTTCTCCTCGATCGTGCCAGCGGTCATCAACCGATAGATGGTCACCTCACGCTTCTGGCCTAGCCTCCATGCCCTCTCGTGCGCCTGCACGTCTGTGGACGGGTTCCAGTCTGGATCATAAATAATCACCCTATCTGCACCTGTAAGGTTCACCCCTAGCCCACCCACCTTCGTCGTGAGTAAGAACACATGTAGGTCTGGATCATTATTGAATTCATCAACCATCCCCTGGCGGGCCTTTATCGGCGTGTTCCCGTCCATGCGCCGATAATTAAAGCCGTTAAAGCCCTTGATGAACCGCTCTAGGATATCGAGCATGATTCGATGCTGAGCGAACAACAGCGTCTTGTGGCCTGTGTCCCTCCACAACTCTAAAAGGGACTTGACAACCTGCATCTTCCCCGATTTTGCGCCGCTGCCATAGTTATAATCCGTTTTCAGGGATAACGTCTTATGTTGCGTGAGATCCGGATGGTTGCATATTTTCCTTAGCATATCGATGCCGTAAAGCGCCTCTCTCCGTCCGCGTAGGATAGACGACATCTCTCCCGAGGCTAAAAACGCCTCATACGCCGTCCTCTGTATCTTCGTAAGTTTACAGAACAGTACCTGCTCGCTCTTCTTCGGCAAGTCGGCTGCAACGTCCATTTTGAACCGTTGAAGTAGGTATGGGCTTATTGCATCCTTGAGCGTCTCTGCACACTTCGCTGCCGTCTGAACCTGCAAGTTCGAGGCATTAGCGTACCCGCCCGTTCGGATGGGGAACTCGAACTGGTTCCTAAAATTGACCAGCGTGCCTAGACGCATGGGGAAGACGAAGTCGAATAACGACCATAGCTCGGTCAGATTATTCTGCATGGGAGTTCCGGAGAGGATAAGTCGGTGTGAGGTACGTAGTTCCTTGCAGTGGATAGTGATGGAGGTATCCGGGTTGCGGATCTTATGACCTTCATCCAAGACTGCGATGCCCCAGTCCACAGGTATCAAGAGAGAGGCATACGTCTGCAACCCAGCGTACGTAGTGACTAGAACATGACCATCTTCCAGCACGCGTTTCAAGATGCGGCGAGCAGCTTTGTTACCTCGTTGCGAGCTAGAATTCCGATCACCCCATGCCCCCGACGTATATCGGTCTTCAGCCAGGCTTTCGCTTTTGAGATTCACCATCCCGCTCCCAGAGGTATGTAGTATCGAGACACGGAATGGAGGCCACCAGCGATGGAACTCGTTTACCCATTGCTTCATGACGGTGGGAGGGCAGACAACGATAATAGGACCGTTAAGTTTCTTGCTGTAATGTAGACCAGCCAGGAATCCAATGACTTGGATCGTCTTGCCGAGACCCATTTCATCGCCTATGATGCCGCCGACTTGCTGCTGGTGGAGCTCCCATAGCCATTTGACGCCGGTCTTTTGGTAGTCAAAGAGATACGGGTATATGTCTCCGGGAAGTTGGTAGCCACCATGTAGTACGGTGTCTGGCGTTGTTGGATGTGGGAGATACCATTCCTCCTGTTCAGGGGCTTGCGCATCATGATTATCAGGTTTACTTTCGTCATCTCTTGAAAGATTGAGAGCCTCTAATTTTGCACGATCGCGAGCCTCGGACCGTCTTTGCACCCAGTCTCGCAGTCGCGATTGGTATACCCTCTCGTCCCCATCATCCACGCCCTTGAAATCTTCAATGACAGCGGTAGATGTTTTCCCTTTGCCTTTTCCCTTCTTCCTTTTAGCTTGAGCAGTCGAATCGTCCGAATCCAGTTCTTCCGCTTCAACAGATGATTCCTCCGAGCTCTCTGCCTCCGCTCCGGCATCAGCGTAGTCCTCATCCGACTTTGCAGGAGAACTCGCCTCCAGGCCCGGTCCACCCGTAACCTTTCGTCGTTTCGACGGCCGTGAAGTAACCTCAAACTGGTCATTTGCTTCACTATCATCGAACCCAGGCTTCATCAGGTGTCGGTGCGAGGCAACCGGCTGCCCACTCGCCTCTTCCATCGCGATCTCTTCCTCTCTTTCCTCCTCCGCATCAAGCAGAGCACCCTGCAACGTCGTAGCCACATCGTCTCTCGCTCCACCACCGCTCATGCGCGAAAAGGGCGTAATCTTTCCCGTCCGGATAAGATAATCCCTCCGCGACTCATTGGGCAGTCTCCCTGCCGCCGACCCTTCTTCATGGCCACCACCAGCACCATCCTCTTGCGTACTCCGCTCTTCGATGCGCTGCTGTATCTCCTGCAGGTCGGTCTCTAGCTGCGTCAACCGGGTTTCGGCGTTTTTTATGTCTCCTTCGAACTTCACTCTGGCGGAGGTTCCTATGGGTTCGGAAAGCCGTTGGTGGAGCCTGAGGATCTGGGATTCGATCTTCCTGCACCGGCAAGCCTGTTACTAGAGCATCTCGCGCAAGTCAAGGAAGGGTAGGAGCGTACACTTTCTCATGTCTAGTACGTTCCAGGCGTCGTATGTCTCGCTCATTAGCCTGTTCCTTCAATAGCTTATCGGCCTATCAAATACGTTAGACCTGTCTACAGAGCCCCTCGAACATGTCCATCCAGGCCTACCTGGCGAGTGATATCCCTCTCCAAGTCCTCCTGGTCTCTGATATCAGCGTTGAGAGCTCGCAGCCGACTCGACTCGTCGCCGGCCTCCTGGCTCGCCATCGCCGTCTCGTCCGCCAGCTGCTGCGAGGGCTCGTCTAGTGTAACTTGGGTTTCTGCAGACGTCTCTGGCGAGTCTGCTCGGGCCTCATCTGGCGCCTGTATCCCTATCCCCGCCATCGTGGAACGAAGAAGTATGAGATAGCTGCCTAGATTCTGTGAGACGAGGCGAGATATTACGGGTGACGTATCGAGTCCGAGTCAGCCAAGTGAGAGCGTTTACAGAGGCGCAGCTTGCCGTGCAAGGTAGAACAAGAGACGCTGGACCATGCTGTCGATGCCTGTCTCAATATGACGCTGTTTAACTCATATCAAACTTGAGCTCCAGCTATGAAGATGAAAACGCCAGATTAGTCAGCTCGAGTCACTGTTCGTATTTATGTCTTGATAATTATGCAGCGTCTCGAAGGCTGAATCAAGGCTGATCAGTTAGTTATGGCATTAATGAGGGTGATATAGATGACGGGAGAAGGAGAAATGATGGGAGAAGATGATGGGAGTATACAGATGAGAGATGTGATCTTGCCACTAAAGCCGGGTGAAGCTTGAATGAGATAGAGCTCGTCTCACTTACTGAGGCCGTTGCAGCACTTCCACTGGCTCTTTGACTGTATATCAGGCAGCTCTTGATCGTCCTGGGCAGCTCGGCAGCTCTTGGGCTGGTCTCAGGGGTGCAATAGCCACCGCGGACATCAAAGATGTACCAGTATATCATAGATGCTGAGCATGTTCATACATGTATCATAGCATAGATATATAGATATCATGTATACAACAGTGTAGATATATGTACTCTGTCTGTAGTTGTGTAAATGTGTAGATGTTGTTGTAGTTGTATGTGATGGTTGGCGCCAACCCCGTCTCGCATCGACTTCCTCCCACCTCGTCCTCCACCTGCATCGCATCCTCTCCATCAGACACCCAACGGAGGGACAGCAGACGGCGACAGACACGACAGAGACAGACAGAGACGGTCAGGCAGACAGACAGACAGATACACTTGTCGTCTAACTCTGCCCACGTTAGCCTCTCTCTCTCTCCTCCTCCTCCTTCGTCCAGCCGCCACCAGCAGGTCCCCCAGCCTATCTTCCTCCACCGTCCGTCCTCTCTCTATCCCACCGCATGGCTCGACGGTGACCGCAGAGATACCGCAATTACCTCCGGCTGCGAGCTCATCGACGTCTGGCCGGTCCGAGAATGCGCTGCCCTCCTCGCTCGACCTAGACATCGTCGTTTTGCCCACCGTCTTAGCCGTTCAGGCGCGACCTCTCTTCTACTCGTCCGATCCCTATCCTCGCATCCTAGAGGCATATCCAGGCGGACAGCTGCTCAGATCGTCTGAAACGGCGAGATAGATAGCGCGGTGTATGTTTCACAATCGCTTCCGCTCGAACGACACGCACGGTTACGATATATCAACAACCTCCCACCACCACCACCGCTGCTGCTGCTGCTGCTACTACGAACACTACAAGACCACTGCCCAACATGGAGCCACAGTGGCAGAACTACTCTGATATACCGGGTAACAAGCGAGGGCAATTCACTCCCAGCGCTGCTCAGACGGCGGCAGACTCCCAGGGACAGACACACCAGCCTCCTCGCGGCTTCACGTACGAGACATACCAGCCGCCTGGCACCGTGTCCAAGGTGCCTTCGAGCCTCAGACCGAGCTCCATGGCCTCCTCTCCGTCTGGCACAGGAACCGGCGCTGGGACGCCTAGTACCCGCGACCTCGACCAGGACACGCCCATGGAAGATGCAGACCCGTACAACAGGGCCAAATATCCCTCGCGGCCGGCGGCGCACCAGCGGAGTTCGTCGCAATTCCTGGCGAATGAAGAATCCTCGACCGCTGCCCGCAGATATTCGCCTATGAACGTCCTCTCGCCCGCCTTGCCGTATAACGTCAGTCCCAACACGTCACAGAATACCTACGGGTTCCCGCCAACGGCGCAGTCCAGCTCGCATCCCTCGCCTACCAATACAAATAACTTCTCGACTTCTCAGTCATACCAGTCACCGCCATGTACGTTTCTAGATCAGTTTCAATTACACTTTCAGCCTCAGCCTCAGTTTCAGTCCTCTCTAGGTCAAGGGTTTCACCCTCCTCTCTTTGTTGATGGATTTGGATCACTCAGTGAACCACCAGATCCACGGTCCAAAGAGAGGAAGCAATCCAGACCTCACACCTCTCCCCTCATCATAGATGGATCAAGATCCCAAGATCCGTCACCTAACTCTAGATCAAATGATTTCTTCCCCTTCATCATTGATGGATCAACCCCCAAACATAGAACCAACCCACACATTGAACATCTTGCTGACATTACTCCAGCTGCGCCCTCCCGACCACACGCACCCCGCCTACCTCCCATGCAGTCCAACGACATGAGCCCCGAACGGTACTACCCACAGTCCGCAACGCTCCAGCTTCATTCTGTGTTTGGTCAGGGTCAGGATCAGGGCCAGGGCCAAGACTCTAAGCCCCATCGTCCAACGTCCTTCCAGCCCCAGCCCGCTAGTGGTAGTCCCGGTGCAGGAATGGGAAGAGGACCCGTGCCTAAGTTCCAGAGTATCAAGTCTATCAGCGAGCTAAAGCCTAGGATTAACAAACAGCCGGCCTTTCGACGAGCAAACCCGGAGGGAGGATTTATCAGCGTATGTCCTTGTTCACCCCGCAACTCCTTGTCTAGCCAACGCTAATCGTTATCTTATCTCTGCACTAGCCGCTACAAGCGCTCACCACGCATCTACCAGCAACATACCGAATCTGCAACCCTACTTTCAAGTACGAATCGTCTAGGAACCCTCGCCGTGTGTTGACCAAGCCAAGTAAAGGTGTCAAGAACGATGGCTACGATAACGATGATAGTGACTATATCCTTTACGTCAATGATATTCTCGGCAGCGAGGAAGCCAACCACAAGTACGGGCTGCCTCACCTTTTGCTGCATATATCAAGCCAATGACGGTGCTAACGACCTGGCTATTAGGAACCGCTATCTTATCCTCGATGTCCTGGGTCAAGGAACCTTCGGACAAGTAGTCAAATGTCAAAATCTGAAAACTCAGGAAGTTATTGCCGTGAAAGTTATCAAGAACAGGACTGCATACTTCAACCAGAGTATGATGGAGGTTTCCGTGTTGGATCTAGTACGTTTAGCAGATTCTTTGCATCCTTATATCCACTCTATTCGGCTAACAATAAACAGATAAGTAGCAAACTGGACAAGAATGACGACCACCACCTGCTTCGGCTGAAGGATACCTTCATTCATCGCCAGCATCTATGTCTGGTCTTCGAATTGCTGAGCGTCAATCTGTACGAACTGATTAAACAGAACCAGTTCCGTGGCTTGAGTACTACCCTCGTAAGGGTGTTTGCTCAGCAACTACTGAATGGACTTGCCTTGCTGAACAAGGCAAGACTGATACATTGCGATTTGAAGCCTGAGAATATCTTGTTGAAGAAGTGCGTTATCCCCTCTACTTCTATCTAGGTTGACAATCAGTGGGCATTAACTAACTTTCCCCCAGCCTTGAGAGCCCTATCATTAAAATTATAGATTTCGGATCTGCGTGTGACGAACGGCAGACTGTTTATACCTATATCCAGTCCAGATTCTATCGTTCTCCTGAGGTCCTTCTAGGGTTACCGTAAGTGGAGAATTACCATCAATACCCCACAAGCAAAAACCAGCTAACCAGCAGCCTGCAGATACTCCTCCGCAATCGACATGTGGTCCCTTGGCTGCATCGTAGTTGAACTATTCCTAGGTCTCCCTCTCTTCCCCGGCTCGTCAGAATACAACCAAATTTCCCGAATAACAGAAATGCTTGGCCTGCCTCCAACCTGGATGCTTGAGAACGGGAAACAAGCCGGAGAATTCTTTGAGAAGACGCAGGATGAGTTTGGTCGACGGAGCTTCAGGCTAAAGAGCATGGAGCAATATTCCCGTGAACACAACACCAAGGAACAGCCAAGCAAGAAATATTTCCAGGCTACAACGCTACCAGAAATTATCAGGACGTACGCGATGCCAAGGAAGAATATGAAGCAGGCCGAAATTGATAGAGGTAAGCCTTATCTCAATTTGACTAGCTATGAAGCATAAAACTAATTAATCACCGGCTACAGAAATGAATAACCGCGTTGCTTTCATCGACTTCGTTCGTGGCCTCTTATCCATTAACCCCCTGGAAAGATGGTCACCGCAACAGGCCAAACTCCACCCTTTCATCACGCAGCAAAAGTTCACCCAACCCTTCGTTCCACCCGTTCACCTCAAATCTTCAGTCGTGAACAAGTCCGTTGCCCCGGGAGTCCAACAACAGCAACAGGCCGAAGCCACCTCCAAGCAACGCGCCCAGGCTGCTCAAGCCCAAGCAAACTCCGCTGCGCAATCCGCCTATGCTCTGCAAATGAACCAGTTCAACGCCCCCCACAATCAACCTCCACCCGTTTACAATAATATGTATACTGCCCAGCAGCCACAACAGGCGCCACCACCACCGCAGCAGCAGCAGCAAGGCCCTCCACCACCATACCCTACCCAACAAGGCTACCAAATGCCTATCATGCAAACGGGCCACATGTCCCTTCCACCACAGCAAACCCAATACGGTTCCCAGAACTTATACGCCCAAGCAACTACTCGCGCCAGCCGCCAGCGCGCTACGACAATGGACCAACAACAAAGCGGTATTCCGCAATCTATACAGCGTGTAGCAAGCCATCTGGACCCTAACTCGCCTATCCGACTACAGCCTAGCCCAGCATATTACCCGCCGCCAGCAGACGGGTACGCGGACTCATCGAGCTCCGGCGCGGGCGGCCAACGGCGAACAAGTCGGGCGAGAAACAACGGCTCGCATGGCCGAAACAGAGACTTCATACGTAGTCTCGAGGATGGAGCGTTGGGCGACGGCTTCATGAATCAGAATCAGTGGCATTGAGTGATGTTACTGTCTACATTCACATCTATTCGGATATGTCGATTTGTACCGACTAAGTGTTCGCCTCCACGTCCATGGTATGGAATGGTATGGCATGCCATGGCATGGCGACTGGCTCATTGATACTTACTGTTTAACTAGTGAGTAACCAAGCTGGCAACGGGTTCTTCCTTTGAGCTTTTAAGCCCTGAGGCTTGGAGATGGCTCTACTTTGTACATTTACCACCCCATCCCGCCCTACATTCCACTCCACTCTACTCCACTATGCTTTACACACCATTATATACTCCACGCAAACGAGCTGCAACATACACGCACACGTACGCGCGCGCTCATGACGGTCACTGAAGACCATCACACACTATAACTCACACATTTGGATTTTGGGCATTGGGATAATCGATATATGACTTGATTTGATTTGACTTGACTTTATTTGACTTGGTCGACGACGTTACTGGCGGACGGAAGAATGGGCAATTTGCAAGATAGCATGGAAGATGCGAGAGAGTGAGAAAAAAAAATTGTCGAAAAATGAAGGAAGCATGTCAGACGGACAGGCAGACCGGGGCGGTATATGTGTATGTTGCTTGCTGGGATGGACGAGTGGATGAAATACCTCTATCCAAGAATGACCTTGTTTATGAACCTCGAAACAAAACATATATGATACGCTTCCCTTGTTTTCTATTATTTGTTTCTTCCTCTTCGTCCTCTTCTTCTTCCCTTATTCTTCTCTTCTCCTAGCGTGGCTTTATCAATATAACATCATCCTCTAGCCGGAGGATGGCAAACGCTTGACATTTTTATATCCTTACTTTTTTTTCTCCTACCGTCAATGGCTTTTTGTTGTCTCAACATTTTTATACGTCATTTCTTTTTCAGGATGCACTTGTTCCTTGTTCGCCGTTTGTTATATCCATAGCGTTGGAGTTGGTATCTATTTATCTATATACATACGTATTATACCTACCTGCTTACTTGTTACTCGTAGCCCAACCGTATATAATACATTTAGGGTCCAGCTTCAAGCATGCCCTAGGCATAGGGATATCCAAATGACGTATCCTCGACCAAATATTTACATGTAACTGAGCCCAGCATCGAATATATGTTCATTATGACTCGGATCTTAGGCTCTCGACATATATGTTGTTGACTGAAGGAATAATAGGTATAATGGTATGTCATTCAAGTAGCAGAAGATATTGATGTACAGATTAATATAGTAGTCGTTCATATGTAATGCAAAAAAAAAAATACATGTCATGATTAGCTGGGCATTCCCAACCAATAAATTGTCTTCTCAAACTCTCCAGGGCATTAGGCAAGAACGCCAAAACCCAGCGGACTCAGGGGAGCCTTCCGTCCGTACGCTACTACTTTGTAGCAGTCGCGGAGTGGCCCGCTCTCCTCACTCCCCTCTCCTTCAGCGGCCCTATATAGATGTTAACTCAGGGTATTCCTCTCTCATGTGGTTTAATAAGGTGAAACACTTACGTTCCATCGCCTGGGCCGTCACCTGCCTTCTGCTGGGCTGTACCCTTATAGAAGAGGGAAAGGAACCTGGCATAGACTTAGTATTAGAGCAGCTAGATAAGCTAAAGCAAAGAGTATTGTGGATGTGACTTACGTCTTGACAGGTTTCATAACCTGGCTAAGGAAGCCCTTTTGGCCCACGGCCTCTCCTCCGACGGGGGCGTTTTTACCCGAAGGAAATTCGGGGTAGTGCTGAAATGACAGCAGGGAGTCGGTGCTGGTGCCTGTACCCAGAGCGATTTTTATCGCGTAAACCATCGTGCTTTTTGTCAAGTATGAGATATGTATCAAGTATGAACGTTGTATCGACGTTGAGCTCGAAGTGTAATAGGTTTTATCAAGCCGATTTCAGGTTGAGAGGAGGCAGCTCCCAACTTTTATACACAAAAATGGGATGACAGCCATGACAAGATCATGACATCTATGGCTTTGGTAGGTCAGGGCCGAAACCATGGGAAGAGCTAACCAGAGCCAGAAAGAAACCACCCGTAGTCGATATCGTAAAAGTCGGCATGGCCAGCATAATATAGATATCTCGACTAGCCTACTTGTATATTAGATGCTAATAACAAAGGCAACAGTCTTCGAGTTCCAGGAAGATGGTATCTGTAGAGGTCCTCCTATATGCCCTTGACAGAGCTTAGGTTGAATCAACGCGCGGGGTAAAGGAGTCCATATCTCCTAGTATATTGGCCCCCAGCCTGACTGCATGCTTCCTAGGCTTGTCCTTGCATCTATCCTCATCGAAGGATACAATGTAAGCCCTCTGTATAGGTGTAAATGTACTCTGTAGATTTATGAACGCGATGTTCTGGAGTTGAGATCGCAGAGGCTGCGCTAACCGGATCGGGCTAGCGACGCTCGCTTAGATTTTTTTTGTCACCTTATCAACCCTGGGCCAGTTGGGAGAAAGAAGGACTGCGACAACACCGTTCGATATAACCCCTCCGTTGGTCCTTCAGCACGCCAAAGAAGCCGCTTAACCAACACACGATGTCTCGCTTTTTCCACGGCGGGAGCGACAGCGAAAGCTCGTCCTCCGACGAGGAGGAACTCTACAGCGATCGCGAGAAGGCAGAAGATGAGGAATCCAGCGAGGAAGAATCCAGCGAGGAGGAGTCCTCTGAGGACGAGAGTGATTCCGATGACGAGGGCGGTCTGCAGGGTGCTAAGAGTTTCTTGAGATCAACCAAGACCGCCGTTGAAGTCGACGAGGATGAAGATCGGGTCACTGTTATGAAGAGTGCGAAAGATAAGAGGCTAGAGGAGCTGGAACACACGATCAAAATGATTGACAATGCGGAGAGAATCAACGATTGGGCGGTTATTTCTACGGGTATGTCTTGAGATCTGGTAGATTGTCGGGAGGCGGGGGGTTTTTTTATGCACGACAGAGGATGAACTAACGTCATTTATAGAATTCGACAAATTGAACAGGCAGACAGCGAAAATTGCCCAGTCTGGCCCTACTCCAAAGATCTATATCAAGGCCATCGCTGATTTGGAGGACTTCATGAACGAGACCCTTGCGAAACAAAAGGTTTCCACGAAGAAGATGAACGCCAACAACGCAAAGGGATTCAACACTGTTAAGCAGCGTCTAAAGAAGAACAACAAGGAGTACACTGCCGAGATTGAGAAATACAGGGAGAACAACGAGGAATACATGGAGCCTGAGCAAGAGGAAGAGACCGTGGTTGTGGAACGTGCTCCTCGTGTGGCGGCCCGCTTGGACGATGCCATGGTTGGAGATGACACCGGATTCTCTACCGTTGGCCGCGGTGGAAAGACTCTCCAGTATACTCCAGAGAGTATTCTCAAGCATCTCCGAGTCGTCGTTGAGTCCAGAGGAAAGAAGAACACCGACCGCCTTGAACAGATCCGAACAATGGAAAAGCTCCTCGAAGTCTCCACTACTCCATACCACAGCATCCGAACCCTCTTGACCCTCATCTCTACCCGCTTCGATCTCAGCACCACCTCACCAAACAACTTTTTGGGTACAGACCAATGGAAGCTCGCCGAAGGGGAGATTACAACTCTGCTTCAGACATTGGAGGAGAACCCCTCCTATGTTGTTACCGAGGGTGCCGAGGAATGGGAAGATGACGAGAAGATGCCCCAGCTTACCCCTGGTGAAGTTCTCAAGGTCCCTGGCAGTATTGTTTCTCTGGTTGAACGATTGGATGACGAGCTTACTCGCTCTCTGCAACATATCGACCCTCACACTGCAGAGTATATTGAGAGACTCAGTGACGAGCAGCTCCTCTACAACAACATTGTTCGTGCCCTCATCTATGTTGAGAACCTGAACGAGATCGAGAAATCCGAGCCCAGACAGGACAGCGTGAACAGAGTTTTGATGAGAAGACTAGAGCATGTCTACTTCAAGCCTGCTCAGGTCGTCACTATAATGGAGGAAAACTCCTGGAAGGTTGTCCCCGAGAAACTTGACTCGGGAATTACCCCTCGCGCAAAGAGCACAGATGTCTCCGCTCTGGTACAAACTCTCTGCAACTATCTGTTCGAACACAGCGATGGTATCATAAGGGCCCGTGCTATGTTGTGCCAGATCTACTTCCTTGCTCTTCACGACAAATACCACCGTGCCCGAGATCTCATGCTGATGTCCCATCTTACTGAGAACATCTCAAACTTTGACGTCAGCACCCAGATCCTCTTCAACCGAACCCTCGTACAAATTGGTCTCTGTGCTTTCCGTGCCGGCCTTGTCTATGAAGCACAAAACACCCTTTCCGAGGTTTGCGGAAGTGGACGACAAAAGGAGCTTTTGGCCCAGGGAATCATCATGCAAAGATACTCCTCTGTCTCGCCCGAGCAGGAAAAGCTTGAGCGCCAGCGCCAGCTTCCTTTCCATATGCACATAAATCTCGAGCTCCTCGAGTGCATCTACCTAACATCCAGCATGTTCCTTGAAGTTCCCCTGATGGCTCAAACTTCATCATCCCCCGAACTCAAGCGACGAATCATCTCCAAGACCTTCCGAAGGATGCTCGACTACAATGAGCGACAAGTCTTCACCGGCCCACCAGAGAACACCCGTGACGGTGTGATCATGAGTGCCAAATTCCTTGCCGCTGGTGACTGGAAGAAGGCCTCCTCGACCCTCAACTCTATCAAGATCTGGGACTTGATGGCTCAACCCGACAAGATCAAGGTTATGCTCGCCGAGCAAATCCAAGAGGAAGGTTTACGCACCTACCTCTTCACCTACGCCCCATTCTACGATACCCTCTCCATCAGCACCCTCGCCACCATGTTCGAGCTCTCGGAGAAGAGGATATCTGCTATTATCAGCCGCATGATCTCTCACGAGGAGCTAGGTGCTGCTCTCGACCAGGTTAACGATGCCATCGTCTTCCGCAAGGGAGTTGAGCTTTCTCGACTCCAGAGCCAGATCGTCACACTCGCGGACAAATCGATGTCTCTACTAGAAGCCAACGAAAAGACCCTTGAACAGCGAACACAAGGCATGACGAACGCCTTCCAGCGTGACCAAGGCCACGGTGGACGTGGTGGTGGACGTGGCGGTAGAGGCGGACAGCGAGGAGGTGGTGGCCGCGGCGGTGGTGGTGGAATTGGAGGACAAGGTAGAAGGCCAGGTAATCAACAGTTCGGCGGTGGTGCCCTGGGTGGAGCTATCCGAGCATAAAAGAATAAGACTTTATAATTCCCTTCTTCTACATTGTCTTCTTTCTTACGTCCCCTCGCTTGATTTCTTCTTGCCTATCACCCTTTTTTTTGCACCCAAGAAGTTAATGAAATGATGTTTTTTATGATTTTCTGTGTCAGCATCATTTCCTAATTCCTTTCATTTCTTTTTTCATTATACGGTCTGTCTTCATTTGAATGCCTAAGGTTGAGTCTGCATTTGCTTTTGGCACGGTTCAAAAAGTGTTCATGCATATTATGATCTACGGTGGTTTGAATAAAATAAAACTTCAAAAAAGATTCCACTTCTTAAGTAGGCTACTAAATATGTAACCTAGGGTCTGGTCTTGGAAACATTCTTGTATATCTATACTACCAATCTAGCCTTATGCTTCCTCAAGACTATTCCTGGGGGTAAAAGAGAAGAGAGGGTTCTCAGAGGGTTTCACTCGGGCCTACGCAAGGCCAGGATACCCTTCCACGCGTAGCACTGACAGGCCCTTGGCAAGTTTGGCTGTTAGGGTCTGGTTGATATTATAGGCGGCAGACAACGTTGTCTGGTAGCTGGTAAAGCGTGCTCACCCAATGACAAGCATTCGGCAGGGGTGAAAAATATACCCATCCTAGGCTTTATTTGCACTCGGTCGGTAAAGTTGGTACCGATTCCGCAATATTGAAGTCTGGTTTGTACGCTTCACCCACTATCACTCTGTAGATATTGAGGCGACCAGTATTCCTCCTCTGCGCATTGATAGTCCACCCACACAAGTCCATCTGCGAGTAGATCATCAATGACCGTTTTCGATCTCGCCTTCTCCCATTTAAGATTCAACTGTAGCATAGAGACAGTCACAAAGCCTAACAGCTGGATAACCTCAAGAACGGTGGCTTGGTCTGTGTTGAGCTCCTTTGGAACCGAGCGGACGTATTTCTTACTACCAACTTTCACGATCGTAAAGCCAGATCCAAGTGGCGCTAAAGACTCGACGGCTCGAAGGATGTCATCTCTGATAGAATGGTTAGCTTATAGAATAAAGGTCGTATCCATTTAAATGAGGGGTGCTTACTCTGAGACCTCTAATCCACCTCCAATGGCCTTTCCTGTTCCCACTATTCTCCGGCATGTTTCCACGCTTATCAATCCACCGTTCTCTGCCCTAGTCTCTCTGCACAGCTCAACCACCCGTACTGCAACCTCAAAGTAGAAGTCATTCACATCCCCGCCAAGAATCTGTGTCCAAAAGCTACCTCCCTCCCCAAGCCCTTTCTTTCCCTTCCCCTTGATGTTACTTGCGGCAAGTGGATCAACTCCTATGGCATGGCACATGCGCGCAAACTCGGCACGGAAGGTCGGGTTAGACTTGATCGTTTCTGCATGCTCGAGGGCAAACGTATGGAGTAAAGACTGGAAGACAGACAGTTGAGTCTGGAGAGAGCTCGCATGGGTCGACCGCAGGTTGGCTCCATGGGTAGCGTAAGACTGCGAGGCCTGAGTCCTGTTTACGAATGCCCCAAGCCCGACACCGCGGCCACGACGAGACGACATGGCTGCTCCTTAGACTCTATCCCGTTGTTCATATATATATTGTCTTGCAGTCAAGTTATCCTTATCGCTATCAGAGGAGGGCTTGCTGACGTCATCATCTTCACTTAGCCCTAAGTCCCAAAAAGGGATACACACGTGATCCATCCCAATGCGGCCTAGTTCAGGGCTCGTCCACAAAGCACAAAACTTCTGGCCGAGAAAAGTTTCCGTTCTTTTCTTCCAGTTGTGCCTTCAACGACCATCGACCAGCCAATTCACCAACAGTCGACAACAATCCTTCGACATGGCTCCTACCTCTACGTATGCTTCCCTGCTCTCTCCCGTTTACTAATCTCGGCCCCGTATGTATAGGTGTTGGTTATAGTCCGTCCTTCTCGCTGGAGTCGCTTGCTCGGTTCACTTAACTGTGATCGATGCTAGCACCAGCTCGAACAATCCCGATGCTCCCTTGAATCCGTCCGAGTCGCCTACGGGAAATAAGGAATAGGGTCAATGGGAGCATCACTGGGGCATTGAGGCTGAAGGTTTTGACACACATACCTTCTCCTTTAAATTCATTGTCAGTTCTAATCGCATTGGATCCCAACCCCATATGGGGACTGGTGCTTCATATTACGCGAAAATAGACAGACATTGTCATCCCGAGCAGTCTTTGCATGGGGCATTGTCATTTGAGGATACTTTGTGAAAGTTCGAGCGACCGCGAAAGCTACATTCACCTGCTTTACAGGAGGAATTGCGAGTAGCCACTGCCATAACAATCCCCAGCCCTCATTGATTAAAATCATTTCGTCGAGTCTTCATAAACGCCTTCAGTTGAGAATGTGGCGCTATAAGCTGCAGTTCTTACACTCGGCGAGATTATTTCACAATTTGTGGATTTGGACTATACTAACATCGGGCCATTTAGCACCGTCCCAACCAAGGACCAGGTCCTTGTTCCTGAGACCCTCTTGAAGAAGCGCAAGAGCCAGGAGAAGGCCAGGGCTACTCGCACTGCCGAGCTTGAGAAGCGCCGCAAGGTTAGTTTTCGTACCACTCTCCTTTATACTATGTTATGTTCTTGCTTTATCTTGTGATGATATTTCCAACGATGCGACTAGACCTTATGGTCGATGCTGTCGCTTTCACTTTAACCATCTTTCGGGTCTGAAAGTTGCAACCCAAAATTACCAATCTTGAATCATGATACTTTTGATAGCATTGTGCTAACTGGATGTTATGTACAGGCCAACAAGGAGAAGCGTCAAGTTATCTTCAAGCGCGCTGAATCCTATGTCAAGGAGTACCGCGATGCTGAGCGTGAGAAGATCCGCTTGGCTCGTTTGAGCAAGCAGGAAGGATCTGTCTACGTTCCTGCTCAGCCCAAGCTCGTCTTCGTTGTCCGTATCAAGGGGTTAGTACTTCATTCCACCTTTATATGTTTGATAAATAGAATGCTAACCCCCTTCCCAGTATCAACAAGATTGCTCCTAAGCCTCGCAAGATCCTGCAGCTTCTCCGTCTTCTCCAGATCAACAACGGTGTCTTTGTCAAGCTCACCAAGGCTACCTCTGAGATGTTGACTATCGTTGACCCATACATCTCTTACGGATACCCCAACCTCAAGAGCGTCCGTGAGCTCGTCTACAAGCGTGGTTACGGTAAAATCAACAAGCAACGTATTGCTTTGACCGACAACCAGCTTATTGAGGAGAACCTCGGCAAGTACGGCATTGTCTGTATGGAAGATTTGATCCACGAGATCTACACTGTCGGCCCCAACTTCAAGCAGGCCAGCAACTTCTTGTGGCCCTTCAAGTTGTCCAACCCCACTGGTGGTTTCCGCACCCGCAAGTTCAAGCACTTCATCGAGGGTGGTGACACTGGTAACCGTGAGGAGAACATCAACGCTCTCATCAAGCAAATGAACTAAATTAAAAATGGGTTGCTCGGTCGGTCTTCGGTGTTACGGGCGGTTTGGTTTATGAGGATTTAATGTATTAACGAATTGCCAAATTTTATTGTCACGATGGTAGTTAAACCCATTATATCAAACCCCTGATTACTCCTGTCACCCGATAAATTAAGCACTGTAAAAGTAATGCCATATGTGTGTTCATGTGTGTGTGTGTTTTCAGCTCAGGCGCTGGATAAATACCCTAGTCACATGACTCCAGATAATTGGTCGCGCGTAAATCGAACGCGAAACGCGATTCAAGTTATTAATTGGTTATTCAACAACGCGATTTCCACCACCACATTCTTTTCTTTACCAGCACCACGTACAGTGTCCCTCGTACTCATCACTCCCTTTTACGTTTGTGCATTCTCTATGATTTTCCGTTTATTCTAATTCTTCAATTGCACCATGTCTGCTCGTGCTAAATTAGCAGAGTTGCGAGCTTTACGGGCTGCAGGGAAAAAGCGTCTCTCAACTTACGAAGTCGAAGAAGACGAGGACATTTACGAACAAGTTGACGAAGAGGGATATAAGAAAGTTGTTCGAAAACGACTTGACCGTGACGACTTCGTTGTTGATGATAACGGTGAGGGATACGCAGATGATGGCCGGGAAGAATGGGATGATACTAGGCGAGCGGCCAGCGGAAGCGACAGTGACGACCTCCCAGTCAGAGGTAAAGCTGCTAAACGGAAGCGAGACGAAGAAAATCAAAGGAAGGAAAAGATAGCCAACGGAATCAACAAATATTTTACTGCTACGGTCACTAAGCAGACCTCAAAACCAAAGGTTTGTTCTACCTCTCCCCCTCCTACGCATTGCTGGCCATGTCTAACAAGTGAATCATTTAGCCTGTTGCTACTGCCGACGATGAAGCCTTTCTTGCGGATATTTTAGGTGATGTGGAGACAAATATCGAGTCCACGAAAATTCCCGTCAAAAAATCGATCAAGTCTGAGACGCGGAGAAAAGTACGGATTGTTTCGCCTCCATTGGAACAAAAATCGCGGACAAGGAAGACCGAGAACGACCATGAGAATGCCAGGGCACTCCCTAAAGATGACTCTGCACTGGATACAGGGTTTGAGGACGACGGATTTCTCCCCGGTGGAGATGACGATGCCATAATGAGCGAACAGCCGTTGCCATCGTCTCCCGTCGCTAAAGCTGTCGAACGTAAGACGGTTAATGCTTCGAAGTCGAAACAGGAAATAATCAAGGAGGAGGAAGAAGAGGATGAAGACATGATGGACGTGGCAGAAGCAGTTGCGGACCATAACACCCACACTCCAAGCGTCAATATGGTTGGAAAGCGGCCCCCTCCAAAGATCAAGAAGGAAGTCTATGACGACCCCATGGCCTCTTCGCCAGCCCGGGTTACAACTGAAGTGATCAATCCGTCTGCCTGGAATGACGTAACGAGCAAGCTAAACGTACTCAGTAGCTCTGTTTCCGATATGCAACGGTTTGGGAAACTAAGTGCTCAGGACGCTGTTGAGGAAGACGGTAGCTTGAAGTTTTTCTGGCTGGACTACACCGAGATCAACGGTAGCTTATGTCTATTTGGCAAAGTTAAGAACAAAGCCAATGACAGCTACGTAAGTGCTTTTGTCAAGGTTGATAACATCCTAAGGAAGTTATATTTCTTACCGCGAGAACATAAACATCGTCGAGGCCAAACGACAGATGAGGAAGTCGAAATGGAAGACGTTTATGGAGAGGTAGACAGCCTCATGAGCAGATCGAAAGTCGAGATGCATAAAATCAAACCCTGCACCCGAAAATATGCCTTCGAGTTACCCGATGTCCCCAAAGAAGCTGACTACTTGAAGCTTATGTATCCCTACACTAAACCTACCTTGCCCCTAGACTTGAAGGGAGAGACGTTTTCACATGTCTTTGGGACGAATACAGCCCTGTTTGAGCAATTTGTGCTATGGAAGAACATTATGGGTCCATGTTGGCTGAAAATTGACGATGCTGACTTCACCGCTGTCAACGGAGCGTCATGGTGCAAGCTTGAATGCCAGGTCTCGAACCCTGCTGCGATATCATTAGTCCCTGACTCGGAGGAAGTTGAGAATCCCCGTTTGACGCTCATGAGCTTGGCTTTCAGGACGCAGCTCAACGTTAAGGAAAATAAACAGGAGATTATTATCGCCACGGCTCGCGTATATGAGAATATTCTCCTCACTGACACCACGCCGCCTGAGAACCTACCTTGCAAAACTTTTACCGTCATGAGACCCTCAGCCGCTACGTATCCTCTTGGGTTCGAGGCTGAGACTCGCAAACAGCGCGGGACTGTTATGCTTGAGAAGACTGAGCAATTCCTTCTCAGCAAATTTTTAGCATTATTCGAAAAGATTGATCCTGACGTCCTTATGGGCCACCAGCTCCAGGAGGTGGACTTCAACATTCTTCTCAGCCGTTTGCGGGAGAAGAAGACTCCGGGATGGCACCGTATTGGCAGAATGAAGCGTGGTGAATGGCCAAAGAATTTCTCAAAGGGCTCCGGATTTTTTGGTGAAAGACAACTTCTCGCAGGTAGACTGCTCTGTGACGTTGCCAATGATATGGGAAAGTCTTTGATGATGAAGTGTCAATCCTGGACATTGACGGAAATGTGTCAACTTTACCTAGGCGAGGGAAATCAACGGCGAGATGTCGACACTGAAGCAGCTCTCAAAACATGGGCAACTGGAAAAGAAGGCTTGATGAACTTCCTTAGCCATTGCGAGGCTGATACATTCTTCATCGCTGCACTTGTCCTCAAGCTACAGATGCTTCCTTTGACCAAGGTTCTTACCAACCTTGCTGGAAATTCATGGTCTAGGACTCTCAGTGGAACCAGGGCAGAACGAAACGAGTATATTTTGCTCCACGAATTCTACCGTGGCAAATACATCTGTCCCGACAAGTATGGCCACAAAGCTCAGATGAAAGTCGAAGAAAATGAAGGAGAGGAAGATGGAGCCGACAAGAAGAAGAAGGAGAAATTTAAGGGTGGCCTTGTCTTTGAGCCCGAAAAGGGGCTTTATGATAAGCATATCTTGGTCATGGATTTCAACAGTTTGTATCCCAGCATCATTCAAGAGTATAACATCTGTTTCACCACGGTAGACAGGCACGCATCTGTAAGTGATGAAAATCCCCTCCTCGAAGTATCCTTCTACTAACCAATGCTGAATAGTCTGAAAATGATCGAGAGGAGAGTGTGCCCGAGGTCCCAGATAGTGCTCAAGCACAGGGAATCCTGCCACGTCTCATTGCTACCCTTGTTAACCGTCGAAGAGAAGTCAAGAAGCTCATGAAAGACAAGCATGCTACGCCTGAAGAACTTGCTCTTTGGGATACGAAGCAACTTGCCTTGAAGCTAACGGCCAACTCTATGTACGGATGCTTGGGTTATACACAATCCCGATTTTACGCCCGACCACTTGCCATGCTTACAACATTCAAAGGACGAGAAATTTTACGTAACACTAAGGAACTCGCAGAAAGTAACCAGCTCCGCGTTATCTACGGAGATACTGATTCAGTCATGATCAATACAAATACAGATAACGTCCAGGAAGCGGTGAAGGTTGGCAATGAATTCAAACGCATGGTTAACCAGCGATACAGACTCCTTGAAATTGATATCGATAACGTGTTCAAGAGACTTCTTCTGCATGCCAAAAAGAAGTATGCCGCGATCAACATGGTGGAGGTGGATGGGAAGTATGTTGAACACCTTGAGGTTAAGGGTTTGGATATGAAGCGCCGAGAATTCTGTGCCCTCTCAAAGGAAGCTTCCACTAAGCTGCTCCATGAAATTCTGTCTGGAGACGACGTCGAGGTTGTTCTCAACAAGATTCATGATTACTTACGTGAGCTGGCACAGAAGATGCATGAATATACCGTCCCGGTCCAGAAATATGTGATATATACGGTAAGCCATCCCTTACTTTTTACAGCAGCCGAATAGCCCTAACCATTTCCAAAGAAACTCTCCAAAAAACCAGATGAATACCCAAATAAGGAGACTATGCCTCCAGCACAAGTAGCCTTGCGTGAACTTGCTCGAGGCAAATCGGTCCGACCCAACGATGTTATTTCCTATATTGTGACGACTGGAGACGAGGAAACATCTTCTTTAGCACCTGCGAAGCGATCCTACACACTACAAGACGTCACGAAAGCAGGCTCAGAACTAAAACCTGATGTGGAATTCTACCTTCTTAAACAAATATTCCCTCCGATCGAACGACTATGCGCTCCCATACCAGGCACAGACGCCGCACGACTTGCTGAATGTCTCGGCTTAGATGTCAGGAAATACCAAATCTCAAGTAACGTAACACACGGCCAACAAGAAACAGAGCTATGCGCCCTCGAGTCTCAGATCCCTGACTCCATTCGATTCGAGAATGCCGCCAGACTGAGCCTTAAGTGCCGCTTCTGCCGTAAATCAACCATCTTCGAAGGACTCTCCGCTTCGATGAATGTCTGCTCTCCGAACGGGTTAATATGCCACGATCCATCATGTGCTAAACCCTTCACCGTCATCTCTATCGTTGCACAGCTGGAGAGCCAAATCCGAGCCCAAACAGCTCGGTACTACGAAGGATGGCTAGTTTGCGATGACTCTGCATGTGCCAACCGAACGCGCCAGATGAGCGTTTACGGCCACCGATGTCTAGGACCCCGTGGACGAGCGGAGGGGTGTTTAGGTCGCATGAATTACGAATATACGGAAAAGCAGCTATATAATCAACTTCTTTACTTTGCAGGGTTATGGGACGTGGAGAAGGCAAGGGCCGTGGCTGAGAAGGAAGCTTCTGTCGAGAAGAAAGAGGCGATTCTTGCACTAGCTGCATGGAATCGGACACGATTTGATACCGTCAAGTCTGTTGTGGATGGCTACTTGAAGAAATGTGGACGGCAGTGGGTAGAGATGGATACTCTGTTTGGATTTGCTATGCCATAAGCCACACGGTGTTTGTATTTAGGTAGATTATCTAGCTACTAGATAATATTTAATGACTGGTATGCACCATTTTACTCTTCAAGGATTACTAGTTTATTACTTTCTCTTTCCAAGGGCTCTATTTAGATTATTATCCAGCGGCCTGCCCTGTGAACGATGCTAGAGAAGTCCATCGTAATAAGCCCTATTAGGGAAAGGTATTGAAGAGACACTCGAGTCGGAAGAGATTGGACAAATCACGCTCCTGCTCCCTTCGCCGCTGACTTGGCCCCAGACACCTATGGCTCCTCGACTCTCCCAGTCCCCGCCCTCGTCTCTGTATCTGTGTCCGTATATGCCACTAAGCATGAGGATTATTCCCTGTCCCAAGAAGTATTGTTGTTTTGGCCCTAATACAAATGTCATCATTAACACCAAATTCCCCTTTTGTTCATTCCTGTATTTGAACGGAGGCGAGGTCACTGTGTCAAACAGGTATAGTTATATAGACAACGAGGATCTTCTTGTCGAGTTCAGCAACGTTATCCGGGATAGTTGAGCCGGTGTCAATATATTAGTATTTCATTGAAATTTGTTTCCTAATGTGGCGGGCAGGGCGATCATCTTATTTTTCTGTTCCCGGCTCTATAATTTTGGGCTTGCATTAAGCGAGAAATTATCTTGCTGAACTCCTATCCTCATCAGAATTAGGATAGAATAACGCGCTAATACTAGCCACAAGGGCCAATATTCTCTTCCTTATCCACTCTCTTCTCTCTATACTCCTCCGCTTTTTCTCTCTCTCTTTTGCTTCCCGCTCTTTTTGTAGAATTTTATGTCGCAGTGCCCGGCGTATGACAGCTGGATCCGGTTGGTTAATAGAAAATAATGAACTATACGCGGGGGGCTCGTCCTGTCCATAATAAGTGATGGCCATCCTAAAAGGCTCCTTCGTGTACGGATCAATCAGGTCCAATAATTCATATTCTAAAGGAAACATCTGCAGAAAGTCTCCTTCATCCGTTTCACAGGGTGGGTGGGTTTCCTGTGGTTTGTAGGCCGGGCGTTGGGACTGGCTATGAATGTCTGCATCCTGGAAATTTTCTTTCGTGTAGCTCGGGTTTGGTGATTAACGGGCCAAGGCAAAAGGCCGCATGTAGTGCTCTGTGTCCGTCTCATCATGGAGAATGGGTAGCCCTATGAAAATATTGGGTAACATATTCGGTACAGCAGTTAAGGTAAACCACCTATATGGTGCGCATAAAAGAAGATATGAACTGAAATTGACCAGCCGTACGGAATATGTAGAGGGGTAGGCTGGTTACATATCTGAATTTCTGCGCTAATTATAACGATGCCATGGTCGAGCAGGAAACTTAGCTACTGCTTATGGACGGACCTTTAACCATGGTTATTGAAATTGGGTATTTGTTAGTAAGTCTAAGCATATAGGATCGAATAAGGTCTGCCCACTATGGCCAGGTCTTACTCTGCATCCTAACTCCAAGGTTAGACAGTATTGAAGTAAAGAGGGAGAAACATCGTACGTTAAACATAAGGTAAGGTAAGGAGGATGTTCCCGTTACCCTATTTAGATGACGTGACGTCATAAGGTGAGGTAGTCACATGATATCTGCCCACAAAAAGTATAGCTTATGTAATAAATTAGTGATCAGCGGATATCAATTTATCCGGTGGGCGGTGAAACCCGGCAGAATAGGTTATCCAAAGGAAAAAAGTTGACCGTTTCTGTTATCTCCGAAGAGAGAGAGACGCTTGAATATCGTCTCCTGAGAACGAGCTGTGAGTTGTGTGCGCTGCTTTTTATGTGCTGTTAGCAGTACCTCCATTTTAAATGCTTCGTTCCAGATATGGCAACCTTAGTTGCACTCGTGCCTCAGAGGTGAGCTCTGCCTTGGGCTCCAAGGGGATCTCAATAGTACCTCCAACCCTACTTTCCCGGTACCTGCATACCAGCTCCATATCTCGTGTTTATGGGTCTACTGCTACGCGCAGTGGCAGAGATCGCAAGCCCGAAGACACCACATCGGAGACCTCAAAATGGGTGCGGAAAGACCGATATCGAATGATCGGGGATAGAGGGAGATGGCAGAGGAAGACTAATAAGGAGGCAATGAGGCTTGCTAAGATGGAAGATGTGGTGGAGGAAGAAGAAGGGGAAGGAGAAGGCGAGGAGTGCGAGCACCCAAAGAGTGCATCCAAAAAACGTCTTAGCGACGTGGAATTTGAGAAGGAGATGAAATATATTCAGCGTGACCGTGTGGCATTAGCTGCTCGGGTGAAGCAGTTACTCGGCCTAGGCTATGAGGATAAGGCGCTTCAGCTGGTTATAGAATGCGAAAAGGCAAAAATTGATTGCATTGCGTCTTGGAATGAATTGATGGCGCACACGATGCGCTGTGGGAAGAAGAAAGATGCCATGAAGTTGTTAAATGATGTAAGGCTACTCTACCCCTACCTATTTTGCTAGTATCATTGCTAATACATTTATTTCCTACCCATAGATGAAGAAGAGAGGCCGATTTCCGAACGAGCAGACATTTACAACTCTCCTATCGGGCCTGGCGACCGGGCCGTCGAATTCTTTGTCACGATCAAAACACGACTCAGAAAACGCAATACGGCTTTTTGAATCGATGAGCAATGCCAACTCGGTATCTAAACCTAATATCATACACATAAATGCGGTGCTGAATGTATGTGCTCGAAACGGTGATATGGCGAACCTTTGGAAGTTTGCGGGGGAGATCCCAGAACATGGGGAGTGTGCACCCAACTCCATCACTTACACAATCATTCTGAACGCAATACGGACGTCCGTGATTGAATTCACCGATACTCTGGATCCTAACGAAGGACCAAGGCCTGCCAGGGAAATAGTCAGAAGGAAGAGGATTGCTGTGTCATCCGGGAAGAAGTTATGGGGCGAGATCATTAGGAAATGGCGGAAAGGCGATCTTGTACTGGATTCAAAGCTGGTGACTGCCATGGCCCGCCTGCTTGCGATAGAAGATGGCGAGAGTTCATACTTTGACGTCTTCTCGCTGTATACTCAATGCATGGGTCTGCCAATTCCAACCGCCATACAACCGGATATTACACGACTTAGGAGCATACAAAACGAGATACCCAAAAATGATGAATTTCTAAGCAAAGAAGAAAAAAAGGCGAAAGAAGAGGAAAGAAAGATGCTAGAACACCTTTTTGATCCTATTGATCTTGAAGAAATCCGCACGGCATTGAAGGAGAAACATAAGGCAGGGAAGAATCCTGAAGTTTCCTTCCCTTCACCCACCAACGCCGAGCTAGAGCTTCTGATCACACTATGCCAAAACATTGAGAAGAACGGAATGGCTAGTGGTCGTCATTATTGGACAATCCTTACCTCTAACGAGGAGGGAGGAGGCAAGGTTAAACCAGACTCTGGTTCTTGTCACGAATATCTTCGCCTTTTACGCCGTCATCGTGCTAGCGCCGAAGCCCTGAGAATTATTCAAAACCACATGGTTCCCGAAAAACTATTGTCTAGAAAGACATTTATTATCGCGCTCAGCATATGTTCCCGCGACCGGAACAATCAAAATGTTCTGGATACCGCGAGCAAGCTCCTTGATATATCAGCCTCAACCATGGAACCGGAGCCGTCTTTAACATTGAGATATATAGAGCTTGTTAAAGCCCTTCTCGTCAGAGAGAGACTTATATCTGACGCAAAGAGACTTTCCAAAGATATGGTGAAACGTTCAATAAAAGATACCCCGCCATCGCCTGCGCAATTGCATCAAACCCGACTTCTCAAGGCGGTCACCCATTTGAGACCGCGTATAGAAGACGCTATGGAGCTACTTGCGTTTGGTTACATTAAATACAACAAGAAACCTACTAAGGTTGCCGCGGATAATGCTCTCTTAAGCAATGAGGGAGAGTCAGCCGGCATCCTAAGCACCACCACAATAGAGGAAGAAGCAAATGCCATGGCTAAGAAAGCAGTGAGCAAGCTTAAATCGGAGTCACACATTGGACGCGGTAAATCTATAAGAGGCCCTGACCCTTATGAATTACTTCAGCTCTTGTTCCTTTCGCTCGGCCTTTACAGAAGAATACTTGGCTCTCAATCGATTCCATCGCCTTCCGACCCCTCCCCTGACTCTTCTTCGGTATCGTCATTCTTATCCGATTCGGACCGGGGTTGGTTATCTAAGGGCTGTGAACGGTTGTCAATGTTCACTCCATATTTCAAAAAATTTGGGTATAAAGCTAATGAGGATAATGAGCTTGAAGCTGATGGCGTTGTGGAACAGGATGAAGGCGTTTGAATGGGGGAATCAGGCAACGGGAGAGATATATCTTTGGAGTTATGCATAGGCTTAATCTAGAGATGGACGGAACCCCTCTGTAATTTTAGGATATATATTCAAGAAAATACCCACTTCATAGACAACTAATAAATGTATATTACTCTTGACTCTAACTTGCGGCGCATCTGCCACCTGTATTGGATCGTAAACATGCATTATGGGCTGCTCACCACGATCTGTTATACCACACCGATTAGCATATCTCAATAAAGGACCCGAAACTCTAGATTTAAAGTCAGAGTCAAAATACACATGCTTTACACTACTGAGTAGTAAGATAACTGTTAATTATTTGACTTTTGATGTCTAAGGTATGATTAATAAAGTACAGATATGCCTTCAACCTTTCCTAGGTCGAAGCATAATCCATGGATATGCAATCTGGGCTGTGGCAGTGACTTCCCATCGCCCTTAGTTTAAGAAATAGCAGACCTTTATAAGCGTCAAAACAAAGGAAATAGAAAAAGAAAAACAACCGTAAAACCTGTGATGATGGATTAAGCAGGAGGAAATCTAGGGAGTCGGGCAGCCCAGTTTTTATGTTAACGCAGAGAAAAAAAGTGTAAGGGAATAGATAAGAAACTGATGCCGAAGGTGACACGTGTGTCTATCGTAGGATCGAAAACGACGATTTTGGTCCTTAGGACAGGAATCTGGTAGGTATCGGAATATTGAGGTTGGATATATCCTCAATACTGCTGAATCGCAAGTCTGTAAGAAAGCCTGTCATGGATGGCACTACGTGATTTACCATCTTCGATGGTTTCCAAGAGGAGCAGAGTTGGAAGCAGTGAAACCACCACCACCACGGCCACGGCCACGACCGCCGTAACGGCCGCCGCCGCCACCGCCACCGTAGCGAGCCATTTCAGCAAGACGGGGATCAATTTGTTGCTTAGATTCGGTGAGAATCTTAACCAAGTCACGGGCTTGTTTAGCATCTAAGAAAGGAGTTAGCATCTGTTAGACCAGTATATGCAAGGGAAATAGAAGCAACATACTCTCAGTGGTGAATAGGGTAATGGCAGTTCCATTGGCACCGGCACGACCAGTACGGCCGATACGATGGACATAATCTTCCGAGTTATTCGGATAATCATGATTGAGCACATGAGTGATATCGCGAACATCTTCACACACCTATTGTTAGCAAACATTAAAGATAGACGAGAGAAACAAATGGCCATAGCCCTTTTCTCCGTCGTGTGGGACTCGATGCATAACTCTCTCGGACTGATTTCAGAATCCACCTGTTTACGAGTCCATGGGTTTGACAGTTACTCTTGGTCCTGGATAAACTTAGAGACGCAGCTTGAAAAGTTCAAACAATAGAACCCTGCCTCTCTCCTGGCGTGGATTACAGATTGGAGAGGCATAATCAGAAGCACAGAATGCTACACTGCATCCTAAGGCCAAGGATCCCTTGGAAAATAAACCATAGGAAGGCCCAAGAAGTCATGTTTACCAACATGTTATGAGAGCAAAGCATATGAGTCGGTCACACGACATCAATATGGGTGACATATCAACTGCATTGGCTCAGAATGGAGCAATGTCGATGACACGATGGAAAGGAATTAGGGGAGGAAGGGGTTTGCAGATTTATCATACCAATACCACGCGAAGCTACATCGGTAGCCACCATGATTGGGCTGTTGCCACTCTTGAATTCGTTCAATACCCAGTCACGCTCGCTTTGTTGCTTGTCACCGTGAATAGCTGAAACACCACGTTAGCACATATTTTATTGATAAAGAACAAGGAGTTGGCGACTTACACAGCGCAGGCCAGCCATCTTGGCGGAGGAATCGGGTAATATCATCAGCAACACGCTTGGTGCCAGTGAAGATGAGAACCTTTGATTTCTTATCCTCCATGATGCGTTCCAAATGTTTGATCATCTTATCACGTTTCTCAAACTCTGGTACAACCTCGACAATTTGGGTAATTCTATGGTTAGCAGACAGATCTTGCGAGCCGATGTACACCTGAATGTAGTCATTAAGGAAATCGTTAGCAAGCTGGCGGACATCTTTAGGCCAAGTCGCAGACCACATGCAAGTTTGTCGGTCAGGTCGGATCTGGCCAATAATCTTGCGGATTTGGGGTTCGAAACCCATGTCCAACATGCGATCAGCCTCGTCAAGAACGAGGTAGGTAACTCTGCGAAGGTTGGTTCTTCCAGATTCGAGCATATCGATGAGACGGCCGGGGGTGGCAATGCAAACTTCGACACCACGGGTCAAATCACGGATTTGGGGTCCTCTGGGAACACCACCGTACACACAGGTATTTCGGATGCGAGAAGATTTGCCGAATTTGGTAATTTCAGCCTGAATCTGGACAGCCAATTCACGGGTTGGCGCAAGGACGAGAACAATGGGGCCGTCACCGGGGGCGAGGAGCGGCTGTGCGTTGATGTGGACGATTGCGGGGAGACAGTAAGTCAAGGTCTTTCCGGAACCAGTCTCGGCGATACCGACGACGTCACGTCCAGAGAGAGCCATGGGCCAACCCTGGGATTGAATAGGGGTTGGCTTGGCGAAGCCCTGGGCCTTAACCTCAGAGATGACATATTGTGGGAAACCAGCCTCGTCGAAGTTCTCGACTGGGCGTGGGACGTCTTTTCCGAAGACAGTCATTTCATTTTCTTTTCGGAAGGCCTCAACTTCCTGGAGACTTCGGCCAGAAACATCTGGATGTTCCTTGTAGAAGGATTTCTCGAACTTTGGCATAGTGCTGATGTCTGTAGGCGAGGTTAGTCACTTCTCTTCCGTAATAAAAATAAACCAAAAGAAAGGTCGCATAGTGAATTTGACATACCCCACTGTTGTGTCTTCAGGCCAGCACCGAGGTTGGACATTCTGTCACCACCTTGGCCGCCGGCGGCAAATCCACCACCTCCAAAGCCACCTCCGCTGCCGCCATATGAGCTGGGACCGCCAGAGTGGCCGTTGGAGTATCCGTTGCTTCCACCACCGCCTTGATAACCACCGCCGCCTCCTCCTCTGTATCTTGAATGAGTTAGTGGACGTCTTGAGATGTTCGTTTGCCCCGCGGAAACGGAGTCTGGAATCGAGTCCTGCTCCCAGATTATTCCACCTAGGAGAGGGATCGATAGAGAGGGAAAGATCATTATATGCTTACCTGGAGTTGTAACCACCGCCGCCGCCGCCCTGGTGGTCTCTGTAGCCGCCACCGCCGTAAGACATGATGGAGATGAGAAGTTGCTGTGAGGAAGAGAATAGATCAAACGAAGGCCCTTCACGAGAGATAGGATGTCTTGGTGCAAGGAGACAAGAGCTGACAAGGTGAGTCGGGCGTGGGTTGTTGATGGGAGGAAGTGAGGCGCGAGGAGATAAATATAAGAGGGCAGAAAAACTCAAGGAACTTTTTTTTTGGTCGAAAATTTCTTTGGGAAGGCGGTAAAAGTTAAATTCGATTTTTTTGCTGCTTATATAATACACGTGACTCGGTCATATCACGTGCTTTTGCTTATATAATATTGTCTTCATTTATACCACGTGACTCTATGTCGCTTACCTAATATATTGGGCTTAAAAAAGTCGCCCTTGCTCTCTATCATAAACTGGTCTAAAAGAGGTGTTATATCAGGCATAAGGGGATGTCTTTTGCTTATTCTCCCTTTAGACCCATGTCCCAGAACCCGATCTCCAGTTCCGTTGCCCGAATAAATATCTGGATCAGTTCTTCTACCCGGGAAGGCGAGATGTTTCTCGAGTGCTTCTCGAGCATGGCTGTCCGTTGTTAGCATAGTCTATGGAATTATGGGATGGGGATGGACGATACTCACCCAAACCCAATTTAACGGCGTCAGAATAATCCTCTGCGACATAATTTTCAACCCACTTCCAATAATTATTGCCCTCTCTGACACTTTCTCTGGCATGGAAGAGCCGTTGGGCTATAGCTCCGTATCCAAGGAGACATGGAGCCAGTGCGAATTGGAGAGCGAGCCAGTCGCCTGACTGGCCGATGTCGAGAATATATCGGCTGTATGCGGTGCAGGCTATCCCTCAGGTTAGCTACCGCTGCCATAGCTAACGTCGATACCGGGGTTAGCAAAACTCACTTAGGCTTTCCTTGGAACTTTCAACATCCTCTTTCGATAAGCCAAATGAGGAACAGTAGTCTAGATGCAGCCGCATTTCATGCTGGATATGGAGGACGATTTTCGCAGACTATGTGGATGTCAATAACGGGCTACAACCGTTGCCTATAGTCCGGTTCTTCTCTTTGCTTACCATGGCGATATCTTCCATATTATGGTTTTTATATGCAGCCAGTGCATTGCTTCTCGCGAAGTGTACCTAGATGTTTTGTATCAGGGAAGGCCTTGATCTCCCAGAGCAGTATTCACTTACTAGATATAGATAGTCTTGAACAAGATACCACTTGAAATTCTCGACTGGCAGTTCCCCCGTTGAAAGCTTCTGCACGAAGTCATGTTCCGTAAAGGCCTTCCACACCGGTTGAACGTCAGGTCGCTCAAGCACATAATCTATAAAGTGTCCCCTATTCATTTGCCGTTAATGTGACACATCTATTGTATCAAAGTTGGAGAGAGAGGGTCTTACGGCGCGTATGGTAATGAGTAGAGGGAGTGGAAATGGTTGATCGGTCCATTTCCTTTCCCCAAATCGGTGCTTGTGTTTATCCCAGCCTCAACGTACCGACAGGCCTCGCGCACTGCTCGAGTGATTCCCATATCACTAGCAAGGTTTGCTGCAATTGCCGATGCAAGAGAACACCCGGTACCATGCGTGTTTTTTGATCTAGAAAACTTAGCCTCGATCAGCGTCACTGTCACGCCGTCATACAAAATGTCAACGACAATAGCTGAATCTGAATCCACGGCAGGTTTCTGGCACTGGGCATTCAAGGGAAGATGGCCGCCCTTTAGCAATATATACTTTGGACCGAGTTGATGGACTTTTTTTGCAAGAGCAATTGAATCCTCTATGTTCTCAGGCTCTTTGATATCTGCGCCTGAGTCACGAAGTAGAAGAATTGCTTCTGGGATGTTCGGCGTAAGAACGGTGGTTATTGGCAGCAGGTTCTCCCGTACTGCTTTCACTGCATCTGGAGGCAGTAGTTGTGATCCACTGGTAGATATCATGACCTTGGATAAACAGTCAGACTGGCATCTTATTCAGTCCCGGAAGGAGGGTGAGCATACGGGGTCCAATATGACGAAGGACACTTTATGCGCCTTCAATTCCTCTGCCACCATCACGGCCGTTTCCGTCGATGCCAGCATCCCTAAGGCACGTGTTATTATTTATGAATTTACTCTGAATTGTCATCTTCTGGCGTAGAGGAAACCGATAACGGTCGGCTACTACACACCTATCTTCACACCATCTGCACCAACATCGTCTAAGCCCGCCCTGATCTGCTTCCTCACAAATTCTGTCGGCACAACATGTATATCTTGCACGCCTAGCGTATTCTGCGCAGTCAATGCGGTCGTTGCAGTGAGTGTATAGCATCCGTGGGCCGTAAGCACTCGCTGGTCCGCCTCCAGACCTCTATAAGAAGGATTAATACCGGTATTTCTTTATCTAGCGAGTTGGTATCGATACATACGCTCCTCCAGAGCTGTCTGAGCCCGCAATGACAAGGACACGCTTTACGCCCGCCATTCTCGCGATAGACGTGGATTGCTTGACTTTTTATATGCGATGTCAAGGAGTCCCGCTTGCAAACAGGATAAATATATAAACCTTGTCGCCGTGTTGTTAGTGTCTTTTCCCAAGTCAGTGACATAACAACTAACCATCTTGACTTCGTTTAACAGCCGGAATATCAGACCTCGACTTTGTTGTCCAGATACGAGGGATTGGTCCTCAAAATTGCTGGACCCCAAGAGCCTCGCCCTGCATTAATACAGCCGCTTTCGTACGATATTCGGTTCCTTACGCCACCCAGGCAGCGCTTGGTCGCTCCCTGCATATTCCCAGGCAAAAATACGTTGACAGCCAGCAATATTCAGCATAGCATTATTCAAATGCTTGCATATCCAGAATAGTGCGACTGGTTTCACCGACTCAGAGGGCGACCGAAGAAATATATGGCTTACTACGAGGTCTGGTGGGCGCTTTACTATGCTGAAGTCCACTCACCTACCTGGAGGCCCTACCATCTTTACAGGACCCTTATTCTATCCAAGGGTTAGATAAAAGTCCCCGAGGGACTGATAGTAGGGACCTCTGTCCAACGAAGTCTTGGTTATGTGTTGTCAGGCGAAGGGAAAGCTTCAGGCGACCTTCAGGCTGCATATTGTACAGCCACAGAGAGAACCAAAATTTCGAACTTCTGTCTTGCGAGGGATACCAGCCAGCATGTATCCCTGCAAGGCTCTGCTAAAACCGATCTTTTGTTCACCCAATCAGCATCGGTCCCGGTCTCCTGCTCATTCTAGGTAGGGAATATATATACCTCCAATATTCCTGTATCGAAAGCACTTTTCTACTTTCTGAATATACCCATCTCACCCTCGCTTCTCTGTTTAACATTACTTTCTTCTTTTTAACCCCCCCCCCCCCCCCCCCCCCCCCCCCCAACCATCCAAGCATAATGGGCAAACGAAAGGATGCAGCTGCAGAATGGGAGATGTACAAAGATGATATCAAAATGCTCTATAAGACCAAAGAACTCCCTGACCTAATGGCACTCATGAAAAAGCGCGGCTTTCACAGGAGGTTGGTCCTTTTGCTTCAACCAAATGATGTGTATGCTGGCTAATACTGCAAACAGCGTTGCTCAATATAAGCATAAATTCAAGGAATGGGAGTTTCAAAAGTACTCCAATCAAAAGGAGTACGAGTACATGGCTCATACGGAGAAGAAAAGAAAGTATGAGAACAAGGATACAGAATTCAACGTCCGAGGGAAGATACTCGGGTCGGAAAAGTTGGCGAAAAAGCTTCGGCGTCATCTCCCAAAGGGCTATGAGACTGTACCCCTAATCGGTGGGTTATCCCTACTTTTGTATCAAGTGGCTAGTACACCGTCAAACTCACTGGCCTATAGAAGTTGGGCCTTCGACACCTGAAGGAATCCAGGTTCTCTCCCCGTCTGCGAAGAAGGATGATGAGGTCTACATCGAGTTAGCCCTCCTCCCGTTCTTCCGATTTCAACAGTTCCTCCAGCAAGCTGGTATGTGAAGCTTTTCTAATGGCCTCTATGCCGTAGCTTACACTTGCACCAGTCTTTTCTAGGGAGATGCCTCATTCGTACCATTTTGATTTCTCGGCGATGACCATAGATGAGATAATTCCATCAAGCGGCAGCAAATCTAACGGTCACCCTGGTCGGTTCTTAGAAGCCGTAATCATTGGCCAGACTGAGGACGAGCTTCGACGCTCCTCGGCTGCCATTGTCCACGGCCCCCCTGCTGACGCCCTGTTCTATACCATATCCTATTGTGCTTACCTGGCGTCTAACAATCTACTTACCGAGGACAACCTGGACAGGATTGTTCAATGGATGGTTACCAATGAGAAACGCCTTCCTCTGTTCGATTTCCTAGACCTTGGCTCCCCCACAGTTACTATCTTTATGCGCAAATTGCTCAAAAGTACGGTTCGGCTTGGGCATAAGAGCCTGATGCGCCATCTGCTCCAAATATGCCTGTCTTCCGACAATCTTAGACAAATTTTACAGTCCCAGGAGATATTATATGAAGCAGTTAAGCATAACGAGCTCGAGCTGATGACCTGTGTTCTGGACGCCGGTGTATGTTTGGAATCGTTTACACGGGGCATGTGGGTCATCGTCGAAAATGGCTATGAAAAAATGTTAAAGCTTCTCATATCTAAAGGGTTGAATATTCATGATACAGATCAGTTCGACGGGTGGTTCGAAATTGCAGTGGAGCATGACCAAGCAGCAATCGTGCAGTTGTTAATTGACTTGAAAATAAACGACATGGACATAAAGGATGAAACCTTTTTTCGCGTCCTAGCTGAAAATGAGGAAATGGCTCGGCTACTCGTACGTGCCGGGGTACCTATCCCTCTCAAGTTTGAGTTGGGATATCGCAAAATCTCAGACTGCATGTTAGACGACCTACTCTTCTTCTATCCTGTTCAAACGCCTCTCCAGGTCGCCGCCCAAGGTCATAATTGGGAGCTCGTGAGAGACCTTGTTAAACACGGCGCCTCAATTGACCTCGGGTATACATATATCTCCAACACCGAATGTGAGGCGTGGCTCGCTAACTTGGAAGAGGAGTTCAATGTTGATGGTGTTATACCGGTCTGCTCTGCACTGCAGGCCGCTGTTAGTTATGGAAATGTTGAAATCACATTATTCCTACTCCAGAATGGCGCAAAGGTGGATGCACGACCCAGCGGTTGGTACGGGCACACAGCTCTTCAAATTGCTGTGGCTTCTGGATATAAAGACCTTGTGGAGTTGCTCTTGAAATGGAACGCCGATGTTAACGCTGGTCCTGGCTTATATAAGGGATCAACTGCTTTACAGTTGGCTGCCGGCCTCAGAGACCTTGAAATATTTGAAATACTACTCAAAAAAAAAGCAAATGTTAAAGCAAATCCGGGCAAAGATGGGAAAACTGTGCTCCAAGATGCTGCATATGCTGGGAATATCAGATTGGTCCAATTCCTTCTCCAGGATTCCTACACGGATGTCCACGAACGCCCTCACCCTGAGGGTGGAAGAACCGCATTACAGGCGGCTTCAGTGTCTCTTGTCCCGTCTAGCCTGGAAATAGTGAAATTACTGCTCTCTGCAGGCGCCGATAGCAATGCCCCTCCTGCAGAAAAACGGGGAATAACCGCACTACAAGGTGCTGCGGCTACTGGAAACATAGCCAAAGCAGAACTGCTACTGGCTGCCAACGCTCAGATTGAGCTATGTTCTGCGCAATATGGTTGTACAGCTCTTCACATGGCAATTAGAGGCCGTCACCTTGAAATGGTTGCCCTCCTTTTACATCATGGGGCAACTCCTCATTACGACGCTTCCGCCATCAGCGGACGGACTCCCTTACAAGAGGCATGTTTGAATGGCGATATTCAGATTGCTTCACTCTTGCTTTCTAGTATTCCTCGTAATTTGCATGCTCTTTTTGTCAACGTCCCAGCCACATTCAACAGCGGCGTGACTGCGCTCCAGGCCGCAGTTGAGAGCGGCAATTTCAAGCTCATCAAGTTACTTCTCGACCTGGGAGCAGATCCGAATGCACCAGGCGCGGTGGTTGAGGGGAACTCTGCCCTAGGAATAGCTACTGTTAAGCAGGATTTCAAAGCGCTGCGGGTATTGTTGGAAAACGGCGCTCAGTTTTCGGCAGACTGGAAACTTATACCCTCCGATTTAGATGTTACACACTCTATCGTGAATGTCCCATTTAATTTGGATTATAGGGCCATGCCCTCCTCCTATATTGACCTTAGGGCCAGGGCCTCGGTCTCTTTCTACGCCAAGCAAAAAGACCGATTTAGAGAATTTGTTTCACTGGTTGTGGGAAGCGGGCTCGATATCATAGTATTTCCACGGGTTTTTCTGAAGACAGCTTTGGCATTCGCTATCTACTCTAACGATCTTCGTCTTATCGACGTACTCCTTTCCAGCGACGTGCTTCTCGTTGAGGCGACCATAGCCGACTGCAGCTGTTTACAGCGAGCCGCTTCGATTGGCAACATTGAATCCGTGAAAATATTTGTTGAGCGTGGAGCAGATGTTAACAATGAGAATGAAGGAACCGCACTCTGGCGTGCTGCTGAGAATGGCCATTTTGAGGTAGTCAAATATTTACTCGAGCACGGTGCTGAAATCGAATCCCATACAAGTGGTCGAAGCGCTCTACAAATTGCCGCTAGGAATGGGCATGAGGAAGTGGTTAGATATTTGGTGGAGCTTCACGGTGCTGACGTTAATGCCCCTGAATGTGAATCATTCAGACTAACTGCGCTTCAAACAGCTGCTGAACATGGCCATGTTGGCATCGTAAAATATCTCTTGGAGCACGGCGCCAACGTCAACGCGCCTGCATATCACAATGCAGGCATGACTGCGCTCCAGGCAGCTGCTTACACTGGCCACGCAGGAATCCTATCGATTTTGCTTGACGCCGGGGCTGACGTGACAGCCGCTAGAGCTACTTGGAGTGGAACAACAGCTATTGAAGGAGCAGCATGGCATGGGCGACTTGACATCTTGCATATGCTATTACAGATTCACCCGCCGGACCAACACTTAGCGGCTCAATTGAGGCGAGCTAAGGAGCGGGGGGAGGAGGCTGACCACCCCGAAATATGCAGGGCCATTCGAGAGTACCAGAAATCTCATGGCTGGTTGGATTCTGATTGATGGTAGCCATAGTTTGACCACGGCTGGGGTCGCTATGTTACTATCTACTCCCATGGTTGTTAGATGCTGATGACTGAGAGTTTTGGACCTGGGCTCTATGTCATGAGATTTGATTTTGGCGGCCTTTACAATATGTTTAAGAGTTAGGTAGCGTGGGCGATACTGTTATGCGTCCCTAGGGTAGGGTAGGAGTAGCCGGCAAGTTTGACTACTTATAAGCACCATAGCAAGTATAGTTGGGAAATGAATAATATTTAAACAAGAAGGACTAAGAAACGTAGGAGAGGGGTGACAATAAAATAGGTACAGCATTTTAAGCAAGAGACAGCCAAACGGCCAAAAAAAAAAAAGGAGAAAAAGGGAGGCAATAAGTATAAAAAACAAAGCTTCAATATCATGCAAACCCCAACCTCCCAACCAACAACCAGCAACCCCATTGGTAGGAAACAAAGAACGCAAGAGAAGGAAGCAAAAAAAAACATTACGCCTTCCGACCGCCGCCCACCACCACCATTTGCCTCTAGAGATATATTACCAAGATATTTTGGTTTCATTCCATTGCTCGTGAAAAAAATTGAATCATGTTCCTTCCCCTTATTTATGGGACAGTCCGTTTCCATTCCTTTCCCTTCGGGATCCCTTACACGATGGTTTGACCAGGTGCAAGGCGAAGGTTCCTCCTCTATTAGAGACGATTGAGTGTAGAGACAAAAGAAAGGTAAGAAAGGCACAATAGCACCAAAGGAGGTAGAGAAAAGGAAAAAGGGATGACGAGGTGGATATCAAAATTCAGTTGACATGATAGGTCGCCCCCCCTGATTAGGGGAGTGAGGCAGTAACAAAAAAATTCTGAAGGAGGAGAGGAAGCCAAAGGTCGGTCGTGCATGTAAGTGGGGATTTTTTCCCGACTCCCAGCAAACATATTAGAATTAACTAGTTATTTCCCCTTTCTTCATCCGATATGATGGGTTGGGCGACGGCAGGTGATTAAAAGCAGAAGGTATGAGATAAAAACAGCCATTGCTGGAAGGGGAAATGTATGTAATAGGGTAGAAATGCCGGTGCTCGGAGGAGAAGGGGTAGGGGTAGGGGAGAGGCAGGGAGTAAAAGAGATCGTGAATAACGCAATTAGAGTAACTGGGGCATTAACAGACGGGAGATAGGGTGTAAGGTTTGATGGGTAATAAAAAGGGAATTCCACAGTCTTGATTAGATTATTTTATGGATAGTTGTTGGACTGGTTCTCTGGGACGATCATGTTAGCGGTCAGCATCGCCAATGGGATGGTTGAATCAGCTTTGCTTGTTTTCCTTCCATTGACGGTAAGAGGAAACGTGCAACATGCGGAAGAGTGCCCAGCTTTTGCCATTTCTTGCCAGATGGAAATAGAAAAGAGGAAGGGTTTGACATAAACACCGATGTTCTATACAGTCGTTCAAGGGGGTAGAGCAAGAAGCGGGCAGGTGAAAGGAAAGGGTCAAGGTAGGGATTAAATATTATGCAAGAGAAGAGAGAAGAAAGACGGGGACGTGACTTCACTCACGCGGTGGTTGTGGGTAGACCTGATTGCCCTGACCGTAAGGGGAATGGGGGTAACTTGGAGAGTAGGCAGCAGGCATCTGGCCATTTCCAGCTGGATAGACCAGACCGCCAGGAGAAGCACCATACTGACCTGGCACTTGGCCGTCTGCTGGCTGATAGCCTATTGGCGGCAGCTGAGGCCTAACACCGGCAGCGTAGGAGGTAGCAGGGTGGCTGGGCTGGGCACTTCCGCTCGGCGCACCGTTGTTATCAACCTGGTTTGCCTGTACGGCGGCCCGCTCTCTCTCCTCGGCAGCCTTGCGCTGGTTGTCTTCTTCCTTCTTGCGTGCCTTCCACTCCTTGCGGATCTCCTTGAATTCTACAACCCAGCTGTTAGTATATGATATAGATATAGAAAGTAGATGTAGATGTAGTAGGTTGGTGCTAGCTTAGCATGTCTTGGCATCGGAAGGGTGCTGCTTAAGCTTTAAGGGATGGTTCGGACGCTACTGCACACTCCACAAACATGCATCTTCGACCAGCGAGCAGGCTTCTGTTACACAGACTAAGGGATGCAAGGGACCAGGCCATGGCAAGGAAGATATAGGGGATGGGTAAGACACAGGGATGGGGAGGGATAGGGGAATACAAACCATCTGGAGATCTCTTAGCGCCGTGCGACTGCATTGTGACGTGTGCGTTGAGATGATTTAGCGTGCCGTAGGCCTTTTCACACCCGTTCCATCCACACTTGTACATCCGCTCAATCTCTTCGTATCGTCGTCGGGGCCGCTTGTGTTGCTGGGAGCCGGGGATAGGTACGAAAGAATAAACCTGGGATCTATAATGAGTCTAAATGCAGACAAAGAAGAAGAAAACACATCAGATGGCCTGTTCGGTCCACTGGTGGTCGAGGCATAAGAAAGGTGCCCAAAAGAGAGAAATATAGTAATAAAAAAAAAAGGAGTTGGAGGGAAGGAAATGGCTCCATACCTGTCCGGGTCGTGGCCCAGCGGTGGCAGCGGGGGAAGCTGAACTCACTGCTGAAGCCGGGGAGCTATATGGGCCTGGCATGCCTGGCTGGTGGCCTCCATACTGGTGTGGCCAGTCTGGGCGCGCGTACATCTGCGGCGGATGGCTCTGGTATTGCGTCATGTCGTGGCTCTGAGGAGCGTAGGGAGAGTATGGTGGAGGATAGGATGGGCTCGAGGCTGCAATCGAGGGATCTATAGGAACCTCGGTGTCAGACTTCACTTGCGCGGGACTTCGATGGTCACTCTGCTGCCCATCTTGCGGGTTCATGGACGGACTTGTTGCTTGAGCCATACCTGGCGGCCCGCCGGCTTGGGTATGAGGCGCGTGGTGGTACTGTGGTTGGCGCGTCAGATATTCAGGATAGGGAGACGGGCGCGCGGCGGCCGGAGGCGGAGGCGGATGGGGAGCGTTCTGGTGCAGGCCGTAGTCTGGCTGGGGAGTGTTGGAGGACGAGATGCCGCCCGATCGAGGTTCGGGGGGAGCTGAGTATTGGGACTGAGGAGTTCGACGAGCTTCGGGTTGGGTAGGGGATGCGACGGCGGCAGCGGCAGCAGCGGCAGAAGCCTGATCTGCAGCTGATTGTTCAGACTGTGTCTCCGGGAGACTTGGATATTGAGGGCTCAAACCTGGCTGCGCGTAGTCGGAAGCAGGCCTGTCCATAAAAGATAGCTCTTTGGGGTCGCGCGTCTCTGGTCAACGGTAAACGAACCCCCCTTGATGCGTAGTGTCCTCCCAACAAGATTGCCTCGAACCCGGGTTCGCGTTCGATTTGCAGCAGTTCGGAGAGGGGGTTGATGCGCGCCAATGGGTTTATTTGTTGAGCAGCAACCGGGCAAGGTAAATTGAATTAATAGAATATAGGTTGGAAGCTTGTTGACTAGGTCGAGCACACCGGTACCGTACTAAAAAAAAAAATCCTGCGAAGGGGAGCTAAGGTCGGGGGTTTCTTAGCGGGAAAGTGGTGTCTGTCGGTGTTCGAGGGTTGAAGTAAAAAAACAAAGATGGGAATTTGACGCGCCGAACTGCTCGTGGAAACGAACTAGGGTTGGATTTAAGAGTAGTTCGAAAAGGGCTGGGGGGTTTGCCCTTATTGTTTGCTTTGTCAAGAACGGTCGCGTGGAGAAGGGGGCTTGCTGTGCTTGGATATGCACTTCTCAAATATAGCGTGCTTAAGTGCCCGTTGTCCGTCAACTTTAGGGGGAAGAAGCCGCGTGAACCAGGGAGAAACCAGGAAAGTTTAAGCAGTCGGCAAGCGAAAGAAAGGAAAAAAAAAAAAAAAAACCGAAGAAGAGAGCGATACCCTGGCCAAAAAAGACACCAGTACGAAGAGAGTATGGTTTTATTTCCAATCGGGACGTCTAGACGGTAGCGTGCGCTGCTATCTCGTTGCTGACAGCACCTAGTGATCGATTCGCAGTAGCGCCAAAGTCAATGGAGGGTAGGGAATATTAATAGCGTCTTGTTTCGAGATGGGTTACTAAGGGTAAGTTGGAATGTTCCCTAGCTGAAAAAGAAGGACTTGCTGCGTGCGTGCTGAGACAGTGGCAAGGCGGCCGGCTTTTGACCTAAAATTTCCAACCTCCCAGCTGTCCGATCAAAAGGGCAGTTTGGAACGTCTATCAAGGGTGGGCCTTTGGGGAGAGGAGTCGGAGCGAATGAAAAAAAAATAATCTTTTTGCTTTTTGCCTGGCTGGTCCTTTTGGGTTTTCCACCGAGGCGACGGCCCAATTGCTGGGAAAAGGATCCGCCAAGTGGACCTCGCAGTTGTATATTATGGAATGGTCTTCCTTTTGTTTTTCGATTCAGGCGGATGGGATGGGATGCGCAGAGTAGCACTATTGGCCGTTTTGGCTGCCTTTGTCACGTTATATGGCCCCAACCTAATCACGGAGATTAGGAAGTTGAGCGCAGGTGTGTATCGCGCAGGTGGTGTGTGTGTATCTTGTATCGGTACTCGAGGACGCGGCACTGTATCTGTACTTGAGGACGCGGCACCTGCGGCCGAGCTGAGGATAAGACTGGCGTGCTGGCGTGCTGGCGGCTTGCGGTACAGTTACCTCTTTGGGGCGGAGAAAAGGGCTGGCGAGAGGTCGAGGGAGACTGCAAAAGGTGTGTGGATCGCCTGGTTGGCTGTGGAGACGTAATTTTATAATTTGGCCTCTCCCAGGCGGTCTTCCTTCCGTGGGCACGCAATCACAAGCGAAATATAAAAAAAAAAAATATGTACCGTATACGCAGTCCCAATCAGAGCCTCCTGACTGGGTCAGTATCGCCCGCCTATTCTCCAGAGGTGAGAGAGAGACGACGGGTTGTGTAGAGCTATGTAGTCACGCCTGTCCGTCCGTTCTATCTGGGAGGCGACAGGTTCCGGATACCGCAGTATGCCGATGGGGAAGTCTGGTTCCACCTCTGAGCGTAAAAGAAAAAGTGACCAAGAACCCAAGACAGGGTTTGCGCAGGAGAGTTCGAGAAGTAGTGTGGACGACTGTGTGGAGTCCTGCCACTTCTCTCTCAATAACTTCTCTGATATACTTTCTCTCTTCGTTTCTCTTTTTGCTTTTTCCTCCGTTATTTGAGATTGAGCCCACCAGGAAATACGACGAGAAGGGTTGGCTGGTCGACGGTATCCGGGCGAGAGAGAGAGACCTTGGCCACTTCGTACCTCCGTGGCCGGGGAGTTGTTTTCTTTCTTTCTTTTCTTCCTTTTCTCTCTTTTCTTTTGCTGAGGGTTGTTGTGGTCGTGGTTGTGATTCTGGTTGCGGTGTGGTCTGGCTCTCGCGCGTCGTGGCTTTTTGGGGCAGCAGTTGAATCTCAGTTTGAGGATCCTTGCCCGTCAGCCCTGGCTAATCAATTTAGAAGCCAAAAGGAGCCTAACAAGGGTTGTGATTAGCATCAACTCGTGGCTGGTATGCACCAGGGGTACTCGGGCAGCTGGTAGTCCCCTCGAGCTAAGGGTTTGTGGCCCTGGTTCCAGCGCCAGCGGGGATAGCGAGCGGTCGGGGAGAAACGCACCTTTTACGAGAGCGATACTAGTGTGTCCACTAGCGTAACCGAGGACGCCAACCAGAGGCAGAGACAGTCGACCAGGGAGAGACCAGAGAGAGAGTCCTGAGAGGCGTTGTTGTACTTGTATCGTGGATGACAGGAAGTTGAGGACACTCCGGACTATCCTTTCTCCGGCCTCCTCCTTCTCACTTCACTCTTCACTCTCTCTTCACTCTCTACTACTTCACTCTATTACTTCTCTTCTCTCTCTACTTCACTCTCTCTATACTCCGTACTCATAGTATTGTAGAGGTTACACTGTCGGGGAGGTGGTCCCCGATGAACTCCGACAGATCGTGCAGCCAACCAGCATACAGATGTGAGTCCAGTACTAGTCGATACCAAAGTCTACCTCGTCTCGGGATTAAACTAATTCCCGTTAATTATTTCCACTCTGGCGAGCAGTGCTAATCGCGGATCATCCATCACCGACCTCCCGGCCAGCCAAACCCGGGGCTTAGCGTGCGTCGACAGGACGCGCAGAGATGGCTCCGTATGAAGTAGCATCCGGCGCGAGTGGGACTGCTCTGCACAGGATAGCAGGATACGTATAGTCTGCGCAGGCAGGACGCAGGATGGAGGGACGGAGCTGCATGGATACCTCCAGAGGGTCTGTGTGTCGGCCTCTCTCAGTTGCTGGACATGGATGGCCGGCTTGGATCACAAATTAAGTGCTCCCGTACTCCGTACACCCATCCTGGGATACGTCAGGCATCGCTAATTACAGACACTAAGAAATTCTCCGGCGGGCTAACAGCCGTTTTAGCTGCTTTTTCCTCGCTGGGCATAAAGGGCTGCAGAAACCGCCAACCGCCAGCCTATGAAGAGATATTTATATATCCTTGTCAGACGACGTCTACAGAGAACTCCGTACATATAACGGTCAACATCGCTGTACCTGACGGGGCGGGATTCTCAAGAGTGCCACCTTGCCCGATCCCAGTCGGCGTGTGATTAAAAGAGCCCGTTTTCGAGATTGCGCGGTCCGTCACCGTACCATGTGAGGGCCTGACCTTGCGTATGTAGGATCCGGAGCACTGTCCTTCGTCTTCCTGGTCTTTTCTCAAGGGCCTGCAGGAGGTCACACGCTGCTTGGTTGCTGGGAACCTGGGTGAAGTGCTCACTATCCATGGACTTGGTATATCCCAAAAGATAACGCCCAATGCACGTTTCTGACTCAGTTTGTGTCAAAACATTGCGGTCGTCTCCCTTCCATTCATCCTTCCATCCCCCTTCTCGCTCCACCCCTTTCTCGGAACCGCCATTCACCCATTTACCACTCCAGGCGAAGGCCGTTAACCTCGCTTCAGGGACGAGTAATTACGCTGTCCACCTGCAGGTCTGAAATGGTCGTACCCCGTCACGTAGTATTTATAAATACGAGTCTTAGTAACTAGTCTTTCCCGCCAAAACGTCCCAATCCCCAATGGCCATGCGCAACAAGCTTTCGACCAGCGTGAGGTTTATTCCAGGTCGCGGCCGCCTCTGGCGAAACGTGGATGGCGCCATCGTCCACCTCCATCTCAAAGAGAATGAATACGAGCCGACACACCACTCGAGATATACAAAAAAAAAAAAGGTAGATGGATAAGGTTGGAAATAGAAACGACTAAACTAATTTATGCGCAGACCCAGCTTTTTCCTTGTATACTCCTGCAAATGCAGATGCGTGTGGGAAATGTCACTGAAACAAAGACCCCCATCGCCATGGATGGAAACCTTGCGCAAGAGCGGAGTTCTAACGCCTCTATCTCTGGTTTTGGTTCTCGGTTATCAACTCTGATTGGAAACACTGTTTATATCTTCAACGAATGATATCATCTGCACGCCGAAAGATGCGTGACCCTCCCAGGTTTCAAGCCTCATGCTTCCAACTCTTTGCAAAATCCATGGTTGTACCTCGACCAAACTAACACCTTTTTCCATATCTCGAGCCTCAGAACCAGATCTCCGATCATCAGGCACCAAGCTTCCCCTCACTCGCTATCGAACAAGGTATTCCTCGCTAGTTGATGGGAACTAAACCCCTAGTGTACCACCAACCAAGCAGAATCACCTGTAGCAGGCTAAATTTAAAGTCTTGTCCTTTCCCTGTGTATGGAATCATCATGCACACCTCGGCGTTTAAACGGTCCTCGATTGACGCTCCATTTATGGAGGTACGGAGTAGTCCGTACACTCCTCCAGTCAGTGGGGGGAGGATTCATCTCGTGTCAGCGCCTTTAAGCCGTACGTTATGATCATCAAGTCTCCGCAATGTTCGAGCAGTTTCTCCCCGGAAAACGCTCGGCATGTTCACGGGATGACCAAGATCCGTTTCTGCGTCAAGGAACAGGGGAAAGAAACACCCTAGGGGCAGCAGCATGCTCCGTAAGGAGTACATCTTGCATGAAGATAGTCGGACGCAGTCCGTAAGTATATACCTGTTTCCAGATCGAGGTACTCGATATCCCCCTACCCCCTTTCTCGTCCGTACCTGTACATATCGACCACCACTTCACGTGCTGAAGGAATTTATTCTATAGCGAATTCTAGAATACAGTTAAAGGTAAATCATTGATCTGATCTATTGATTTTCCAAGAAATAAAAAAAAAGAAAGAAAAAAGATAAACAGATCGCTCGTTTGAATGATGGGCATACTTCGGTGACACGGAACGACTCAAAGATGGCACAAAGATACCAAGAAGAACAGGAAGCAGGTCTGCTGACGACAAGAAACGAAGGAACATGGATGATGATCCAGTCGTGCATTTCCTTGCCTTGACCATGGCCACCACCGCCACCACGAACCAAAAATTCAGTCAAAACTCCTCGGATCCGGAAACCTATATACCCCTGTACGCCGCAACATCAGCATGTTGGCTGGAGGGATCGAGGGAAAGGCGGCTGTCTGGGCCAATGGCATCCTCCTCGCCCTTACTCTGACTTCGAAGGGCGTACCCCCTTACCCCCGATCTCGACGGGTCGCGTTCCATGCAAGATAAAAGTATGCACCGCCATTCTCACGGTGTATACGTAAGTCCTCGGTACGTATACTCCGTACGGAGTATGGAGAACGATAATAAACGAAACATTGCACCCGATTCTCGCCCCGATACACGTTGAGCCAGAACCAGGAACTCACAGCTCAGTCCTATCCATCCCCCTGAAAGCTTGAAAGGATCAAACAGGGGGCAACAGATAACGAGTCGTTTACTCCGGGTACGGCTTATCAGTAAAAAAAGCCAATCGACCGATACTCACACGACCTAAGAGTCCGATATCTTGCCTCGCTGCGCAAAGCACACCGCTCGCCTCTTACGTCAACCCCTCACGAGTCTGTGCGAAGGTAGACAGATTGACGTTCGGCACGGATGTATGCTACACTGTTAGGGAGTCAATCTACCCTGACCCTTGCAACGGCTCGTGTTCTCGCCGGCGTCCAAGATTCTACCAATGAAGCAGAGGTAGGGTAAAAAGGGGTGGTAAAAAAAAAGAGAGAAAAAGAAAGATAGATGTTGGCCGTTCGGCACGGAGTACGGAGGACATACATATACGGAAATACGTATGGGTGCATTGCATGGCGTCAATTTCATTGTTCTGTCTACATTCCATGCAAGTACATTGCAAGGTCGAGTTTACGAGATGGCATTCGGTGAATTGTTCCATCTTGATTCTGTGTATGTACGACGTTAGTAGCGTGTTCCTCCATCCCCATGATTTACCACGTTTCGAGCAGCAAGTTAGCTTTCGTCGTCGTGTCGCTAGTCGGGAAGAAGGAAGCTGAGCACCGAGCCACGGGAACTAAACCTCCTAGAAATGTACGCTGTTGATATCGGTTTCCGAAATAAGAAAGCAAGCAAAGCAAGAAAGCAAAAGAAAGAAAAAGGAACGAAAACCAATCAGTGGACTGCAAAATGTAAAACACAGTAAAACTTTCTTTTTGTAGGGTTCTCCATGCTCGCCCGTATTTCTTTGATTCGCCGGTATTTCATCTATTTCATCGCAAGCGGGACTGAGGCCATCGCTGTCAGGGGCCAGGGAAACGTCAGTTCCTTTTTTTGCGGAGATAGGCCAGACCAACAAAGGATTGATCCTATGAATATCATCATTATCCAACCTTGTTCCGATATCGAAGGTTAATGCGCAAATTGTCGTGTTTGAAACAGGAATAAGCGAATGAGGAGCAGAGAATAACTCAAGGCTCTCAGCAGGGATCCCCAACGAACGGTGAACCGATTCCTGGGAGTCTGCGCACTTTTTATCATTGGCTGCCTTTTCACAATAGTGGCCCGTCCAATCCACCGGGGGTAGAGCTGCCTAATCCATATCCTCTCGCCTCTCTTTTGGGAAAATGCGGTCAAGATTTCTCATCATGCATGTAGGCTGGCTAAAAACAAAACATCAGGATCAAAAGTCTTACCCATTTGTACGGAGATGCGGAGGGAAAAAGTGCCTTGAAGTCGTTGATGCCATTGCTGAGAGGGGGGTTGTCTATTTCCCTGACAAATTGAGCTTCATAAAACGGGTCTGAACGTAAATAATTGAAGCCGCCGGAGAACTTGCGAAGCTTCCGTTAACTAATCCAGCCTTTGCCGCAGCGCGGCTTCACTAGCGCCTCTAAGTGCCGTTCGATAGTTACGAGACAACCCCCTATATGCATGACAGGCCTCAGTTAGTCTAAGAGAATAAAAAAGCAAATATAAGGATAGAACAAAAGGGGAAATGGAGACCGCTCTTGAAGATCTATCTGAGTTTGGGCTTTCGGTTCCTGAACCAGCAGAAATATAGCCCCTTGGCAGGTAGCTAAGTATATCTAGATAATGTTGTATTGATCCCGGCGCCAAATTTTGAGATATATTGATCCTCGATACCCCTGTATACCTGCCTCCCGTTAATATCAGCTGATTTATTTGACGATCGTTCCATTCCTTGATTCTCCCTGGATTGGAATGCGTCTCCCGGAATGTCTTCCAGTGCCGATGTGTCTGCCGTTTTTGCATAATGGAGATTGTCCGCAGCATAATAGCGAGATCTAGTTTCAAGGATTGTTCGGTAACCCGATCTCTGACTAGGCGAGCAATCGTCGATGACAGGGGATGCCAGTTGGACACTGACCAGCTCCATGGACCCTAAGATCGCCAATTAGCAGGATAACTCTATAAGACAAGCTTTTCAACATGAAACTAATAGCCAGCTTAGCGTTCCTGGGTAGAGCTCGATCTTATATTGCACCATTTGGAGCCTCGACTTCACTAACCTGACACGCTAGACGACGCATAATATCGCTCTCGATGCTTCTAGGCTCCTGGGCTGTGCGACCACTTTGCCTGGGAAACGTTAATATATCTATTTTCAGCTCGTGATCGGAGTTTCGTGCAATCACCGGAGACCACGATCTCAGCCATGATACCCCGTCCGGATGAGAGGCATGGGAATATCGAGCATTCAAGGTCATCCCTTGCGTCCTTGAGATTACCCTTTGGCAGCCGTTTGGACAAGGTAGAATGCTGGGAGGTATTATTAGCTGGCATCAAGTATGGATCACCCGTGTCGGACTTCTGATATATGCCAGAAATCATTATATACCGGATGTTTCACGGAGCCCTCTCCTCCCCCCCTGGGCATCTTTATCTCGACATCTCCGTCCAAACCTGCCGTAAACGCGGTGCGAGCAAGAGCGTATCGAGCGGAGGGCCATCATGAGGAAGGCTGAGGTTCGCGCAATCATTGCTTCCCGGGGCAGGATCACAGCTGCCAGCTTCAGGCCTTTGATATGCCGCTTTGTCGGTGGTGGTTCAAGCTCCATCTTGAAGCATCCCCGAGATCATCCTCTAAAGGCCGTCTCCCTACCAGATGAGTGTGATATGCGCTGTGGAACCACTGTCTTGAATGTGACCATGTAATAGACCGCATTATTATCTTTTATTCCTCGTTATATCCTCTAATTCTTCTCAACTGGCGTTAAAGCCCGTGTCAACCGACGCTGAAATTGTTTTTAATCATTGCTCGTCTGTCCGTCATATGGCTTGCTCGCGACTCTTCAACCTGTGTGCTTCTCATTCTATCCGTAAGTGCAACGCCATAAGGCCGGTTGAATGAGCTGATAAAAGGCCCATAGCATAGTAAAGAGTGGCGATCGTAACTGTTCACCTTTCAGTTGCATCATCTCGATAATAAAACCAGGTTCGCATCATGGGGATTGTTTCCCCGATGAGGGTTTATATTGGGGATGGAGTAGAGCTGGACCAGAATTCCGCCTTTCGAGCAGTCAGGAGTTACTTTCAAAGAGAGGATATCCAAAAGTGAGTATGAAATATTAAACACGAACCACAAGCCTATGTGGTATGCTCCTCTGGCCGGCATAAGCTGATGGTTCTAGGTTTTGTCCAGCTCATGAGCTTAACATTACAGACTATGAGAAGGAGAATTTTGAGCTCCATCGAGACATACTGCACGCAGTGTTTATACCCTTACGGCGACTCCTGCACCAAGCTGCAAAAGTTGCATCCCTTGCGCTCCCAGACTACCTAGGGGCGGATCTTGAACTGGCGTTTCGTGGGGAGGGACGCAATGCATTTGTATGGCTCAGCTCTATCATCACCGAGGAGCCGAACTGGTGTACGACAAAGGGCTGTCCGGCCTGCACCGTCCTTCACATATTCCACTCTGAGCCCCTGATCCGCATCGTCGCGGTTGGCTGTCGAGTCTCCAACTACCTATCCCTCGTCAGGCTTGTGAGTCCCCGTCACCAGCTACCAAATTTCCATTTCTGGCTGACGGCGCTTGCGAGTGCTGTTATCGAAGATGACTTCTGGGGCATTGAGCATTGGCTTGATATTGACCATCGAGCTGTCTATATGGACCTGAGCACGCGCGAGCTCATACGCCAGTGTCTGGAGATACGGGACGCAGACTGTACTATCCCGCATAGGCCGTTGCACTATGATGCCGGTTTTACAAGCGACGGGCGGCCTCGAGTTGATCTTGGAACCACTCCTCCGACCCTTTACACGCCGGTGAGGAAGATTGATAGCGCGAAATGGGAAGAGCTTGTTCGGATGGCACGAGGGAAGCATTCGTGCTCCCGCTTGCTGTCGCGCCATGAAGGACAGAGATACTCCCGGCGAATGCACAACAGAAACACCGCCATCACGCCGTAGAGTCGCAGACCGATAATGTTCGGCCATAGAGTCGAAGACCAGTAATGTTCGAGCCTTGGTGTCTAGGGTCGGTGTTGGACGTGAGCAAGTAATGCATCGACGAGGTCATTCGTTTACGTTATGTCTTGTTTTTTCGCAGTTAGTATCAATTACTACCAGCCCTTGTAAGGTTGCCTAACATGGATTTACCACTCACAAACCAAGAAGTATGCTTATGACACTGCGTCAAGCTTTTCCGATTGTAGCAGTTCAAGTACCTGATTTCTTAGGGTACCATCTAGACAGATGAGCCTTCACTGGTATCTTGACGGATCAGATGCTATACCGCCGTCGCCTCCCGTGGACGGCCTACAAGGAAGAGCGAATAGGCCATGTTGTCCTTCTCACGTTGAAGATCTCTCCATGGGTATAAGCGGCAGCCGCCCGCTGCGGGGAAATAGTAGGCTATTAAAGAAGCAATCACTAAAGTGCTTGAACCTTTAGGTATCAAGAACCGGCCGAAGAGAAGAAATATGGCGGCAGCTGCTATAGTCTTGTAAAAAACAAAATATATACAGCTCGCCCGTTCCATCGCAACGACGACAAAGCACGTATACCACAGCTTTGACGGTATCTCGTCCATGTGACGGTGATATGGCCGTGTTACTTGCCAAATGGGGGAAAAGGAAGATATCAAAATTGATCTTCGAGATAACGCATGCTGGGTGACACTGATTTTCCAGGCCGATGGCCATACGATCCAGTAATCATCTTAACAGACGCCCTGACCGCCGTCCAACCAGCTTCTAAGATGTCCTAGTTCGCTCTGGCCCGTCCCTGTTCCAGCGGATCGTAAAGATAGGTTGCATATATATCCCGTGTCGGATGAGCTAGCCAGGGCGTCATTTGCTGCTTCTCAGGAACTAGACACCAGAACCTCCCGCTCTTCTGCCCAAGATGCGCGCGGCTTTGAGGCCGCGGATTGGGTACGTAGGGTATAATGCCGTAGATCGAAATTAGACAACGGTGACCAATCCCCGGAGTTTCATCTTGGGCGTTCAGAGCGATGCGCCATGATCCGAGCAATCCAGGGGTCGATCTTTCGTCTCACACGGCGTAGGATAATCGCTTCCATCGATCATTTAGTTACGGATTGATGTTGCATACCAGGTACGGAGTAGGCTGGTGATTAAAGTAAAGGATATACGGAGTACCGAGACTGGGCTTAATGAAAGCTTGCTCGACCCAGGTAATAGCTCACTAATAGCTTAATATCAAAAGCGAACAAGCGGTGGCTGTGGGAAGATGTCCAGCCTCTTATCTCCACCGCAAACAGTAAATGGTGAATATAACCAACCACAGGGAGAACCCGGTGCATAATTGGAGAACTATCAGAACCAAGGCACGATCCCCAACTCACAGCGCCACTCATTAAGCACAAGATAAGCTACTAATAAGAGAACTCAATAGCGAAGCTTATGTTCCGGCCGGCCAGACAAAGCTCGACGTCGCATTCTCCACCGTATATATCGCCATCCAGCGTACCTCGCGTCTCGCTCGCTAAAGAACCAACGCCATCGCCCATCTGCTGGAGAATGCTAACTGCCGGGTGCGGAATTAATGCGTGCATGCGTGGCTGGTCTCGTTGCTTACGCCTCGCATCGCATACCTACCAGGGCGTTGGTCGTTTTTGAATCATGTGTCGGTTTCAGCTCGCATCCACGACGCCGGGAGGATGCGGGTATACAGATCACATTACACCCACAGCTGGACCTGCGAGGCATCCGGGCTGCAGGATGGAAGTACAGGGTACATGGCAGTGTACTTCTGACCTGGCGCCGCGGAGTTGATGGGCCTCGATGGATATATATATATGGTTCATACGGGGGTGGTTATGTACTTCGTACCTTGATATGTACGCCATCCGCGGCCGCTACCATGGCTACCGGATCGAGATCGATACAGGAGCAGCTATTACACACTCTAGCCTCGATCTAGGGATATTACATTCTCCACATCCCATGCTATCGCACCCACTTCCCAGGTTCAATGTGGGTTCCATTGGATGGCGGTGCTGGATGGCGCCTATCCTTGGTGCTATAGCTGCTAACGAGGGGAACGTTTTTCGCGTGGGAGTTTTTATTTGCGGAGAGAGCTAGGTCTAGTATGATACACGGGAAGGGAAGCCAGGGAGTCAACTCATGGCTTGGAGTAGCTATGGCTGGCGCGATCCCCCCTGCCCTGTGCGTTCGTTGCACCGTATGTAAGTCATCGATCTATTTACGAGCGTACTAATGTGTTACAGCAGGCAGCTAAACGAGATGATAGACGAGAGATGATATGCGAGGTGATAGACGAGTGATAGACGAGTGATTTGTGATCAATTGTCGGTGATCTATGATGAAGATGATATTGGCCAACGGCCCTGGACTATCCAGCCAGGATGCTACGGTCGGTGCCAGGAACGGAAGGCGAGAGAGTCAGTTGATCTAAATTCTGAGAGCATGTACCTCCAGAGAGGCCGAGAGCTGGCGTTCCTTGGCTGGCGGTTCGCCATCGCACCGCCTATCTCGTCGCCATCGCTCTAGCGAATCGGGAAGCTGGATGAACCTTCTGCATAGGAGTACGGGGTCGACGGCAGCGGAACGAAAGGGCAGAGAGAGAGAGAGGGAAGAAAACAGGGAGCGTCTGCAACTGCCGTCCGCCGTCTGACAGGCGTCAACCTGGCTAGGCAAAGATGATATGTACGCTCCAGCTACGGACATCGACTGTGTGACGTGGAGCACTGGCTCTGTCTGATCTGCGGCACCACCATGGCCCACGGCTGCACACTACTAGTGCATAGCACAGACACATTCCTGATACGTACTTGTACCTGCAATCATACGTACATGCTACAAGGCCCGCGACAGGGCCGAGATGAGAGGCCGAAACAAGCGACCAAGGCGGACCAAACGGGCAGGCTCGCCTGGAGGGCTGGAGGGCTGGAGGGCTGGCGGGCAGGTCTCTTGTGGAACGAAGGGGGACTATCGTTGTTCTGGGTGCCCACGAGGCTTCTGGGGGTGTTGCTGGCCTTGAGATCAGGGCCAAACGATGCCTGCAGTGGCGAAACGAAAGCCAACTCCAGACGGCCAGATTAGTACAACGCTCGCGGTGGAGGCTATGGCAGGGGAAGTGGCGCCAACCAAGACACCCATCATCAATATCTATCATCAACGTCTATTACGTCTATCAATATCATCAATATCAATATCATCTATCAATATCAGTATCAATATCAACATCTATAATACAGACATCGGGACAGGAGCATAGGCAGGAGGTACCTCTGCGCGTATTCTGGGTGACCAGGTACCTCGGGCCTATGTTCGGCCGCCAACCGCCGAGCCTGGCCCGCCGAGCCTCTGGCCTGGTCTAGACCCGTCTCGGGCGCCGTGTATCCTGCGTACCAAAGATACCCAAAGTTACGCATGGACGCGGGCGCCCGGGGCCGCAGCCGTCGTATTTCCCGTACGCTCGTGCTTTACGCCCCCCTCCACCTCCATCTCCATCTTCAACTTCATCCTCTCGACGTCTTCCTCCTCCTCTCTCGTCTGTCTGTCTGTCTTCGTCTCTGCCTTCGTCTGTCTACGTCTGTCTGCGTCTGTCTACCTCTTCGTTTGTCAGTGTCTCTCAGTGTTCGTCTCATCTTCTCATCTCCAGTGCTGACCTGCCGACAGACTGCTCGTTCCGTCAGTCTGCTCAGAGCTGACGCCGACTTCAGGCTCAGCCATACCAGGCCGCCAATGAAAGACATAACGCTGCCTTGGCTCCAGCTGCATTGACAATCTCTGTCTGGCCGATCAACTCAAGCCCAATCTTGTGTCTCTCGTCTTTAGTCTGACCTTCATCCTCGTCTGGCTGCTGTTTCAGAAGACTCTACGCCAGCACACTACCACCTACCACACACATCTCTCCTCCCTTATACCGTGTCCGTACATTACTATCGTGAATGCTCCAGCATAAGAATGACCATCTGCTCCGGACGGCCCTCCACTCAGATGGTAATACGAACATGAAAGCCTGTGGCCACGACAAGCTAGATATCGAGATAGGTGGCCCATCTTCCTGCCTGGCCTTTCCCTTCCCTTTCGCCGACTACCGTCTGCAGCAACCTAGCCAGAGCCGTCGTAGCGTATCATGTGAACGGACCTTGCCGGAAAACAATATTCATCTCCGTCAACAGCATCACCACCACCACACTGCTCGTCGAAACTCTCCAAAAGCAAGGTCACGCTACACATTCATACACAGTGCCGACAAGCCGGCGTCCAACCCTTTCCCGCTGCCGCCTAAACGCATCCGGAGAAGCATATCATCGGACAGCCTACGCCACGATCTGGGCGTGCACTTTTCGACTTCTTCCTCGACCATGCAATTTCTACCCAAACAGAACAGACAGCTCCAGCTGCCGTCTTTCGAGGAGCTGGGGATAGCTACGCCTTCGCCAAACAACATGTCCAGAGCACAGGAACGGCCGTCGTCCTCTCCATCTGGCTCTGGATCGGTTTCCCATGTCGATGGATCCGTGGCAGCATCACCGTCCAAGACCTCGACCCCATTCGCCGAGTCGCCAAACTCGAGAATGGACGTCTCATATCCCTCTCCGCTACCTATCACGCCGCCGGAATCCGATGACCATGTACAATGGAACCCTAGTGCCAGCCATGCTGGCTCCCTGAGTGATACAGTCTCCACCGATGCCGAATCGTCCGGCGCTGCGGAAGCGTGTATGAAGGAACGCTCGGAGGATACATGTACGCCCAAACAATCGCAGCAGGGTACGGGCCAAAACGCCGAAAACGGCGATGATTCTCGCTCTTTGCCAATATCAAGTAGGCCCCTGCAGGATGAGAATGATAGACACTCGTTCCTGCAAAATGGTATCTTAACTGCTGGTATGCCAATCGCGTATTACCTTTCTTCTACTTTTCTATATATACATTTTGCTAACCTGGTCTCGATAGTATCGTCACTCACAATATCCACTGACCTTGCTAATGTCGTCCAACTCGTCTCTCAAACCCTACCCTGTCCACCCTCCAATAGTCTGCCCAACTCCGACTCTCTCTCGCCGTCTTGCGTTTTCAGCCCCATCGTTCAGACGATCCAATCCCGTCTCCAGCCAGATCAATCGCCCTACATCAACATCACACATGCCGTGCCCCCTAAGTTCTCACTCTCCAGCCTACCTACCTCTCCGCCGAGCACACCCAATCGCCTCTTCCCCGGTGACGACTACTTTAATATGACAGTCTTCTCCAACGCAACCGCTACACCACACTATCCCTTCTCCAGCACATCATCGTCTCTCGGTGCTCCGTCACAAGCACCATACGTCCCCACGCCGATTGTCCCACCTTACAGCGTCAACATCGCAGCTGTCGAACGCTATCTTCCACCAACCTCGACAACCGAATATCAAAACCTCTTCACCACGCATGGGCCATCAGTTCTCCTGGATCGCCTTCGGGAACTTTCCCCACGCAACGGGACTCTACTCCTGGTGTACCCCACTCTCCGCGGCGCCCAATGTTTCAAGCAGCACTACTTGAATCCTATCCTAGATCCCCTACTGCGCCAACTGGTCGTTCTCAACTGCTTGCCTTCAGATATCGGTACGGCCCTTAGCTCGACGCCCGCTCTTAAACACATGGATCCCTTTGAGACAATGCACTCCAAGGTCACCGAGCTCTGTTCCACCCTGACTGCCCGCGACCGCACATCCTTCACTCTCTCTTACGCCTCCGCGGGTTGCATTCCCCTCTCTCGCCCCCTCTGGACAGAATGGTACATTTCACAAGAAACGCCGCGTGCACGGGAGATATTAGATGATTATTGGCGCAATGATCACCGCACGCGTGGACACAGCGCAAGCAAAGGAATGGGCATCGATCGGGAAGTGACTAGTGCCATGGTACTCAGGGAGGTAGTAGATGGCATCCGGAAGAGGGCATTGACTGAGCCAATGGATGATGCTGAGCGAGAAGGCGTCGAGGTCGGCGTCTTCGTTATCCGACGATCACAGACGTCACAGTGATACCTGACGACGGACAAATGGGTTTTTCAAGAGGAGGAGTTGGTATTCAAATTTAAATCAGGTTCAGGTTTGGTTTGGTTCGGTCATTTACAAAAAGGGTCAACAGCGCAGCGCAACACGAAAACGGAGTCAGGATATCAGGATATCAGGAGTTCATTTTTCATCCCCTTATTTTTCCCTTTATTCCCATTTTGGCATATACTATGCGTGCATACCCTTCTCTCTTTTCTATCCCTTCCTTCCTTCCCGCCCCTTTTCTTTCTTGGTAACGAGGTACAAAAAACGAGCTTGGATATGGGCGTTATGGTAAAAATTTTCGATTCCTCTTTTTCTATATGGGGGACTTTCTTATCTATCTATCTATTTATCCACCACCTTCTCATGTCCCTTTCTAATATTCCATGATGGCGTCCGTCCCTTTCCCATTCATATCTCTTCCTTCCTATCGACTCACCCTAAATACCCAGTTTACTCCCCAGATTCCTTTCCTCCCCCATTTGTTTGTTTGTTTTTAATACCTCGGCCGTACTTCTTTCTCATCTTCTGCCATCTATCTACCTATCTACTTCTACCGCGATGTTGCGTGCGAGACAAATAATGATATGATATAAGGTTGTTTCATTTCTCATCTATAGTCCAGTCTATACACTTCCATCGTTTTGACGCTTTGATTCGGCATCTGCTTCTTCTTCCTCTTGCCTTTTGCTTTGTTCTTCTGCCTTCGCTTCCCGCTCCTGCTCATGCTCATGTCCATGTCCATGCTTTCACAGATTTACATGCATTTAGTTATTTCTCTGCCCTCCTATGATTCGGTCGGTTAGCTTGTGTATGTAGTTAGCTACCCCGCCCAGTACCCACGCACCGTGTACTATGATACACATGCCCTAATATATTAACGATAAACCATCCCTGTTCTTCTTGTGCGAGGGTCCGAAGTAGAAAAAAAAAACTCGACACCGCAGGGATTCGAACCCTGGCTCCCGAAGGAATTGCATGGCTATGCTATGCATATGAACTGTATAACGGTAGCAGTGCAACGTATTAACCACTCTACCACAGTGCCTCGATCACGCTCGCCTTGTGCGCTCTGCAATCGGACTATCCAGCATTTTGTATGCGCATTTTGTGATGCCAAGAAATGGCCGAGTCCAGCGTTGCTTACAATATTTGAGCGTTTACAGATAGAATACCAGCAGAGAGAGGAATTTTGCCCTCAACTATGGAGTTTTATGGTATAACTGAGTATATCCCGGCAATATAGGACCTTAGTAGTGGCTGGCTGGGTAGGTTGTCAATCCCCAGAATCTAGAAATTGAGATATGGACGATCTGGTTATCATGGCTAGGTAGCTCTCGATCAGCGGAGATTACGATGCCGTACCACCACATAAAGAGACTCGGGCATTCTAACTGCTGCTATCCCTGCACTGTATGTTAGAGTTGAGAGGTCTAGATCATTACCTGTGTTTCGAGATGCTATGGGTAAAATGGAACAGTTCCTTGCCTCAGCCAGATGCCGTTGCGTTCCCATCCGGGCGTGGCTGGTTTAGAGGTATATATATGGATTATATGCAAAGTACGAAGTACTCAGTCGTTACATCCCGCTTCGTACTCGTTAAACATAGTTAGTTGCCTCAAGCCAGGTCGATGTATCTGCTCGCCGTGATGGCTACCTTCCGTGTAGTTTGCGGAGTGAAAATGCTAGTATATCATTCAATTGGCAGCGTAGCCAGGGGAATACTCTCTAAGAGAAGATAGGGAATTTTGATATCCTTGTTCAAGCATACAAGCAAGCTAGCATCCTCTGGCATCGGCTATGATCCCAGACAGTATACTTCCTCCATCGTCTCTTCTTTCTCAACGTTAAACGAAAGTGTACCCAAGCGCATCACGTATAAGCAGAAAATATACGCGTACTCGACATAAATAGAAGTGAGAGTCGCGTCAAGTATCTGATAGTGATATTGATGCAAGAAGCTGGAGGTGAAGTCGCGACTCCACGTGACCTCGGCGCATCTACTTCGGCTTTAGGGTTTCTCCGGCCTGACATCACGCCTGGCGCAAAGAAGGATATACCTTCTGACGAGCCGAACCAGACGACCTCCTCGCCATACCATGTCTCCCAGCCCATCGAACCTCGAATTACCCTGCTCTGCGTCTTGTCATCGCTATCATCTGCCGATTCACAGATTATAAGGCCTCCCTGCCCATTCCTGCCCCTTCTGCAGGCCTCCTCTTGCTAGACAAGCACCCATTGCGCCTCGTTTTTCTACCATCCCTCCTACCCGGCTACGCAAGCTCCTCCATCCTCTTTCTGCAGTGCCGTCCTTACAATATACAGTCCTACGCTCTTATTCTCCCTGAAATTACTCTCAGGCAAGGGTACGAGCCTGTGGACAAGGAAGAACCTCCCACGTCTACACTCTGGTTCGCTAACCCGGAATCTGCGCTTAACAAATACTCAGCAAGACTCGCCTGCTAATCAAACGACATTGGCAGTATATATGGTCATATTGGGAGTGATACCCTGTTGCTCCGATATTTCATCATTCTACCATCGTCGAAAGATTTTGTTGGTGTAGAGTGGTGGCTCTAACCAGGTAAGTTTTTCACTTCTTCCTTCATCATAGCTCTATGGCGAAGGTTCTCCATCTAGATTACGGTATTGCATGCCCCATTCTATAGCATACCCGCTAATATATGGATTCGTCTTGATAGTTCAACCTCCTCACCCCTGCGAAGAACGCACTGACTCCTCCGTGTACCCTTTAATCGGAAAGCGAGCAATATTCTCTTCGATTGCGGAAAACACATTGGTCATGGCTTATCCCGCAGCTGCCCCAGCATCCCCCACAGCCGCTGCTGGCCCCTCTACAGCTCATACCTCAGCAGCTCGTTACACCGATACCCCGCCTCCAGGCCAATTCCCACTCTCTAAGCGAGATAAACGTCGAAATGCCCTCCAGGACCGAGTTAACGAGTTGAAAGAAGCCTTCGGAAATAATAGAGACTATCACTTCCGCCAACGAGTCCATGAGCTCCAGAATGAGATGGCGTTGATCTCTAATGCGCAAGTTTACGAGGATTGGCCTATTAGTGACTCTCCAGAGGACGTTGCGAAACAGTTGACGCAGCTAGCTGCCAGTGGGCAGATTACGTCCGACACCCCCATCTCCGGAAGATGGTACTCAAATTTTGTCCAGGAAATAAACCGGAGTAAAGAAGAAAGAGATGCGGAATTGGCTGTTATGATGGTGAGTTCTAGCTTAACAAATCATTTTGTAGCTTCTACCTGCTACAGCCTATTATGCAGTGGTGCCATTTGCTGATTCCAGTTCACTCATAGAACCGACATCGTGACTGTTTGAACCGAATCAAACAAGAACGTGATTTTCGAATCCAGCTCGCAGCCGAGGAGTGCAAGCGGCTCACAGAAACAATTCGCGAGCGCTTAGTACAATCAGTCTCCCACCGAAAGAACCGCCTTATGAGAGAGAAAGAACAGCTGGATGTTGCTGATACCAATGCATTGCTTCTCCACCCCAACCAATTCAGCATAGCCAACCCAGGCAGCCCTGGTGGTCTCCAAAGCAATCGAAAGACGAGGCACACACGGCATAGAGTTGATGCCGACGATATCGGCAGCGGCGTAATTAGCGAGCCGATCAATAAACGGAAGAGAAAGGCCTTGGAAGAAGATTTTGGTGCTTCTCCTAACCATGATGGACTTTCAACGCCTGCAGACCGAGCCAAGTCCAGAATGTCCCAGCAACAAAATGCTGCGGCGTACAGTATCCTATCTCTGTTTACGGAGAAGGAACTTGCAATGCATAGCAACGCTGCTCACGTCGCCGCAGTCCACTTCCTCTCTGCCTCGAAACGCGCCAAGCAAGCTAGCCAGAACGCAAATGGGCAATCCATGGACAAAGATGATACATCGGGGTCAGGAGATGCAAGCAGCCAGGAGGACGTCACACCTGGTGCTGCCGACATGGAACGCTCCGCTAGCCAGAACGTACATGCAACTCGCTCTACACGCACGAATGGTACCGGCGCGCTGAATCTCCTCGGCGAGTTAACGGAAAAGAACTCTACTCGCACCAACCTACCATACTATATCCTAGGTAGCTACCACCAACGGCCGAATGGATCCTCGAGTGCCCCAACCCCACCCGCTCTCATGCCGGAGGAAATCGAAGATGATCTGGCGCGCATCGAGCGACTGAGAAACACGAAGCCAGCAGGATGGGCTGACAGCCGTCTAATTAACAACCTGATGACCACCCTCATGGGATCGGATGACGATCAGCCTGTCCGCCAATCCAACCCGCCGAGGATAGGCTCGTTGCACCCAGACTTCCCTCCGACCATGGACGTCCATCTGGTCCGAGCCGCGCCTCGAAAGACATAACTCTGATTAGAGTATACTTGATGATCGCACGGCAGGTTACAACAGGCGTTTTCGTTCTTTCTTTCCTTTCTTTCTTGTTGGATAGGTGGCATAATTTAAACTATATAGGCGTTGCACATAGTCCAACTGCTGGCGGAAATCTCTTTTCTCATTTATTTGTTTCCCTTTTTTATTCTTGTGGGTTTTTGCTTTTCTTTTGACAGTGGCATGGGGAAGAGAAGTTGGATAAATCGTTGGTTCCATCTGCATACACGAGGCCATGCTTTATATCGAACGGCGATTGTTAAAGGCGGAGTGGATCGTTACATGTGCGATTAGAGTCGGCGTTGCGCGATCCTTTGCTTAAGCGATAAGTCTTGTGTTTCCCCAACGTATAGCTTCCATGACTTAATCAAGAACATTCTTTGTCGTTTCTCGCATCGACCGGATACCCTGATCCTCCGCATCTGCATATCCCCGAGCCCAGGAAACATGCCCCAGCTGGGCGCATAAATGTCGTTTACACGGTATTTACCACAAACTCCACCAAAATCTGCCTCCAAATACCGTAATTTTGGTATACATATGTTAGTCATCATATGTCTACGCTGCCGGGCATATTCGTGAGCCGGCCATGTTTACCGCACTGGGAGGTATTGTACTCTGGGTCTGCAAGAACCCTGCTAGTACCGCTTCATCGGGGTTCGATTCGTCCTGACCTGTGCACTCCGTACGGGGACGACGGTAGGAATGTCCAGGAGGGTCGTACTTGAGTTTCGTCTCAATGGACCTTCTCGAAGTCGAATTTAGAGCCCCAAGAATGCCCGAAGCTTGAAGCTTAAATCCTCCGCCCGGCTGCTTCTCAAGTCATCATCATAACGACGATTACAATATATCCATGGGTATATAAAGTTCTGTATGCACTCTCCCCAATTAATCGCTCCTTGGCATGCGCGCAAGCAAGACATCGGGGTTTAACGAAGCCTGGGGGCGGTTGTGGATAGTAGTCTCCGAGCTTGGTGTACTCTGTACTTCAGGGGAGGGGGGCCAGCGTATATATAGAAGACACATATCGCCTCCTCCCACCCATTCTCTCCTCATCAGCTTCTTCCGCTGCCTGCAGTAATCCAGTCTCTTTGCTGTCCAATACCCTACCGTACCCAGCAGGTGGCCTCACCCCTGGCCATTCAATATGTCAACTACCACCACAACGAGTGTGAAGGTGGTTCTGGAGAATGACGCCAGCTATATCCCCCGTGGCAATGTGGATGCTCCTATCAAATTCTTTAGTGAACCTGAAGACGGATCGGTACCATACAACCTCATGAAGGCTCACCTGCAGAGCCATACAACGCCCAACTACCCCTTAAACCCCCACACAATTTCCATAAATGACATTCGCGACCATGAATCCGAATACTTGCTCGAACAGGACGGCTTTCAGGCAGTATCAAATGTCACCTCGGCCGCAGACCCAGCCTTCACCGACGAAGAAAATATCAAGTCCGTCTGGTATCCCGAAGTTGAAGCATTTGTCCGCACCCTCCTACCCGAAGCCAAACGCGTATTTGCATTCAACCACATCGTCCGCCGCTCTAAGCCTGGTTTCGACAACTTTCCGTTAACCAGTGCACATGTAGACCAAACCGCTGTGTCCACTGAGAATGCCATACGGATGTTCCTCCCAAACGAAGCAGACGAGCTTATCAAGGGTCGATACCGGGCACTTAACGTCTGGTGTCCGATCAACGGGCCAGTCCAGGCGACTCCATTGGCTATCGCTGCACCGTCATCGGTACCAGAAAATGACCTCGTTCGCATTGAGCTTCGATATCCAAACTATTCCAGTGAAACCCAGATGCTCAAGTACAACCCAGCACACAAGTGGTATTATTGGTCTGGCATGACGAATGAAGATAGATTGACATTCATGATTATGGATAATAAGGAAGATGCAGTAACGAAGAGAGCGCCTCATTCGGCATTTGTTGACCCTCGGACTCCGCGTGGAGCAAGGGAGCGTGATAGTATTGAGACGAGGGTGTTCGTATTTGGATAGGCCTTGCACATATGCGCAGTATTCCACGGGCCGGAATTTCACGTCCTAGCCCTTTGTCCTTACTCCTTATCAATAGTTAGATGATGGCATGAAGCAATATACTTGTTAGTTCAGCTGAAGTGTTGAATGCAGCATTTTGCACTTTGATATAGCTCGAGTTCTTGGCGCGTAGTGGAAATAAGCTTCTGTCACGTGTAAAAAGATTACTAAGCATATCTACTGGTGGCCGTCATCCCCCCTATCTTTCAATTATATCCCGAGTATACAGAGCTGGCCAGTATTTGTCGAGCCAGACCGTTGAGAAACCGCCAGAGTCTGAGTAGGCTTCTTCTGTCTGCAGTTCTGGTGGGAGTTTGCTGGGTTGAACTTTAGGAGTCGGTCCCAGTACGCGGTATTACTATGAATATGGAGGAAAGGGGTAACGAAGCAATAAAAAGTAAACAGTAAACACTAGGTCTTAAATACAATCTCACCTTCATTAAAAGTACAAATGTATCCGAACGTGTCATCATGACCGTTGTCTTCCTTCTTCCCTTACACATGAAACGACCAGGAAACAAAATAATTCAAAATCGATCCAGGATTGATGGACAGCTAAAAATCAGATCAAGAATCCATACAAAATCAAGAGAAAAATCCCGTCTTCCAAGATTGATTCCACCCATGAATGGATTCTCAAGAAAATAAAAGGTCTATGCCTTGTGCGGTGGGGTATATGAACTGAGGGAAGTTTCGCTGCATGAAAACTGCAGGATATTCAAGACGAAATGAAGAGTAAATGAATAAAGGAAAAGAATGTTATTTTGAGTCCACAGTAAGCAGAGTGAGACGTCTATTAAGACGAAAGGAAACTATTAATGGTCGAGCTAGACCACAAAACAAAAACAAGACATTGACAATGACATGAGATAGAGAGAGTAATGAACATAGAAGGAAGGATTGGCGAGCTGCGCCAGGCAATTATGTACCTCTAAATGTTAGGTATCTAGAGAGCGAACTGAAGCATGCCAACAATAGCGGTCATGCCCATGACGATCCATCGTGAGGAGAGGGACTCCAGGCTGGAAGCAGCACCGATGTAAGGCTCGATGGTAGAGGTTGGGCGTGGCGCGGTACCAGTCTGCGAGACGGTCATGAAGCCAGTGCTACCGTATGGTGGGGAGCCACCAGGCACCTGGGTTGGGGAGACACCGCCATCAGTGGTAGTAGCAGGAGCTGGGCCAGGAGCCAAGATGACACTTGGGTTAGGGCCGGGTGCGGTGGTGAAACCAATGTGTGGGACAGTGATCATGGTGCTGGTGCTGGTGACACCGCCATCGGTACCGGTGATGACCTGTGGGACCTCAATGGTGGTCTGTGGGATGGTGGTAGGAGCTGGGCCACCTGGAACTGAAGTGACAGGCATTGGGCCAAGGGTGATGCTTGGTGGGATGGCAGTTACGATACCTGGGTTCTTGGGAATGTGCTCGATACAGATGGCAGTGAAGCAGGTGAGAGCAGCTTGGACTTCAGCGTCGGAAGATCCCCAAGATCGGATACACTGAATGGCCTTGTCGGTGAATTCAGGGGATGGGCAGAAGCAGCTGATATCGCTGTTGGAGCTGCACTTGGGGATGGTGATCCAGGTGTTCAAACACTTAGGAACGACAGGTGGGCACTGCGCTGGTAGCTGAGGAGTGGGGGAGCCTGGGGCAGGAGCAGGAACGGATCCAGTTGGAGCAGGTGCGGATGGGGCTGGGGCACCAGGGGTAACTTGAGTTGGCTCAACACCGGAGGTAGATCCTGGCGCACCGTAAGTTGGGGCTGGGACTTGAGTTGGGATACCAGTCTGGGTGAGAGTAACTGGGCAGATGGTGGTGGAGAGTGCGATGGTAGAAGTAACGACGACGGTAGAGTCAGATGGGCAGTTAGGAGTGCCTGGTGGGCAGCTGGTAACAGTCATCATCGAGGTAGTGTAAACAGTCGAGGTGGATTGAGTGACGTAGGTAGTAGGGACTGGGACTGGGGCTCCAGGAGTGCTCTGAGTTGGCTCAACACCAGAAGTGGAACCTGGGGCACCTTCAGTTGGAACTGGAGTACCTTCGGTTGGCACTGGAGTACCTTCGGTTGGCACTGGGACACCGCCGGTCTGCGTGAGGGTAACTGGGCAGATGGTGGTGGAAATTGGAACAATAGAGGTGACGATAACAGTAGAGTCAGATGGGCAGCTTGGAGCACCTGGGGCGCAGCTGGTGACGGTCATCTCAGAAGTGCTGTAGACAGTGGAGGTAGACGAGGTGATGATGGTGGTAGGAGCAGTAGGAGCAGGAGTGCTTTCAGTTGGGTTAACCGTCTCGGATGGGACACCAGTTTGGCCAGGGATACCACCGGACTGGCTTGGGCTTGGGACTGGAGTCTCAGATGGGACGCCGGTCTGGCCGGGGATACCACCAGACTGGCTTGGGCTTGGTACGTCAGTTGGGACTGGGACGGGCTCAGTGTCGGTAACTGGGCAGATGGTGGTAGAGACAGGAATCTCGGTAGTGACAACAACAGTGGAGCTGGCAGGGCAGTTGGTGACTTCAGGACCGCAGCTGGTAATGGTAATTTCAGAAGTGCTGTAGACGGTCGAGGTGGTCAGAGAAGGAACACCGCCAGTTGGGGCTGGGCCGGTTGGGGCTGGGCCAGTTGGGTAAGGAGGAGATGGGATAGACTCAGTTGGGTTGACAGTCTGGGTCTCCTGTGGTGGTGCTGGAATAGAGATGGTTGGTGGGATTGTTGGTGGGCCGCAGTTGAACTCGATCTTGTGGATACCGATCTTGCAGACCTTGACCTTGTTGTAGGTTGGGAGGAAGAAACGGATGGCAGTAGCACCACCACACTGGGTGTTGTGGATGACAGTGCCCTCAGGGCCACAGGTCTTGACTTCCTTGCAAATGGAGCCATCAGGCATATCATAAGCGAAGGTAACATCGACTTCGACTTCAGCAGTGACCTCGAAAGTCTTGACAGAGAATCCAGCTTTGCCTTCAAGGCCAATCTTGGGGATGTTTTCATCGATATCACATCCAAGCTCAGCAACGATGCATTTCTCTTGGAACTTAGATGTCCAGCCCTTCTTCAAGAAAGAATCAGAGCAAGTAAAGCCACGGAAGTTGAAGCCCTCATAGAGATCGATGGCTCCAGTGAGAAGACCGGACCAGGTGAAGCCAATCTCCTGGGCTGGAGTACATTCGTTGTCGCAGTTGTCTGGGATAGGGAAGCAAGTTCCAGGTCCCCACCACTGTGGAGATTGTTAGTTCATAGAAATCATGGATACTATCAATCACCGGGGGATGAACTTACGCCGCCAATTCCGCCGCCAATACCTCCGCCAATGCCTCCTCCAATTCCGCCGCCGATGCCTCCTCCAATTCCACCACCGATTCCACCACCGATGCCGCCGCCGATGCCGCCATGGCCACCACCGATGATACCACCGCCGATGCCACCGTGACCACCACCGATAATGCCACCGCCGATGCCACCGCCAATGATGCCACCGCCGATACCACCACCGATGATTCCGCCGCCAATGCCACCGCCAATGCCACCACCGATGCCGCCGCCGACACCGCCGTGACCACCGCCGCCGATGCCACCTCCAATACCTCCGTGACCACCGCCAATGACACCGCCGCCAATGCCGCCGCCAACGTGGCCGCCGACACCGCCGCCGATTCCACCACCGATGCCACCATGGCCTTCTCCTTTGCCGCCGCCGCCAATGATGATGCCGCCGCTGCCACCTCCGCCGACGTGACCACCGATGCCACCGCCAATGCCGCCGTGGCCTTCTCCTTTGCCGCCGCCGCCAATGACGATGCCACCGCTGCCACCTCCGCCGACGTGACCACCGACATTTCCGCCGATGCCACCGCCAACACCTCCGTGACCACCACCACCGATGTGGCCATCTCCTTTGCCGCCTCCGCCGATAATGATGCCGCCGCTGCCGCCTCCGCCGACATGGCCACCACCGCTTCCTCCGCCAATGACACCGCCTCCGATGCCACCGCCAACGCTTCCGCCAATGCTGCCACCGACGCTTCCGCCAACGCTACCACCAGCACCAGGGATGTAGGTGGCGCTGGCCGTCTGGGCCAACAGGAGCGCGAAGGCTCCAGCGGTAGTCTTCATGGTGATATGAAGATAATAGGTATGTAGTGAATGTAAAAGTCGAATATAAACGATTGAGTCCCGAAGGAAGATGTTAAACGAGGGATGGCACTAACGTAACTCGAGCCAGCGATATTAAGATTAGAGTAATATAAGTGAAGGTGATTATTATATCCCTATAGGAATATAATTATAAGGAGCCTCAAAGGAGGGAAGCAAATAAAGAGTGTGTTAATGGGGGAGGGAGGAAGGGGGGGAAAGAAGGAGACAAGAAAGGGATGATGGAGAGAGAATAAGAGAAGAAAGAAACGGGGCTGAGAGGGACATTTAATATGTCCCCAGTTCAGCTATACAAAGAGTAAGCATTGTATTATTCCCGCCCTTTCGTTTCGAGTTGAAAGAGCGCCGCCTGCCCATAGGGTGCCAGCGACTACGAGGGTTGCCACAGCTAAGGAAAAGGGAGGCAGTTCCACACTTGGTGCTTCTGCAAGTTGATAGTTTGTTTCGCGCTGGCCGGCCCAGTTACGGAGCATGAGATAGCCGGTCATTGGAGACCAGAGTTCGCGCCAGAGTGGACAGACGACAGGGGAAGCAAGAGCTTGCATCAGTCTGGGTCCCAAGTAAGCTGGCAGGCCTATCCCATAACGGAATGAAGCGCCGGGGTGGTTTGGGCCAGTCCTAAGCAGGTTAAAGGAAAAGCAAAGAGAGCACATCCTCCAGGCAGAGGACTTAACCCTATCTGATAACCGCCGGAGGTTATGGATCTAGAATCAAGGGGCTGCTGGTCTGGTGGGTGGTTGTGTGCATTAGCACCCACCGCATAAGTGCAGGGGCTTTCTGGGCTAGGGGCATGTTTCCATCAAGAGAGCTCCCCAAACCCCTCGCTAAATTTAGTATCTCTGCATTCGCTGGGCGATTCGCCGAGGTTAGATGCCGTTTCTAGAGGACGCCATTGGTTATGTCGGGAGAGCAGCCCAGACATGAAACTCTGTGGTGTGCATAGAGCGAGGGGTGGTTTGAAACGACCAGCTTCGACATCGTCGTCTGAGAGCTTCCTGCGAATCCCGTTGCTCGCCAGCACAGGTGACAGGATATGGAGTACAGTTGCATTGGGCGTCAGAGTAAGACAACCTAAGTTCCAGCGCCAGCACAAGTTCGTATATCCTGCAGCTCTCTGTTGTGTGTGTTGTTGGTTGTTTTTTTGTGAAGATGAAGTCGAAGGGCGGAGGTTGAGGTTGCCCAATCGGGGGTGCTTATATAAGCGGTACTTTAAAGTACTTAGTGTATCTTACATTCAAAGTGAAGAAAGAAGTACCTCCAAGTACCGCTCCAACCGCCCATCCGATTGCCAACCAAACCAAATGCTGCACATCAACCATCCACAACGGCGAATAACGTCGCGTATCGTGCCACAGCTCGATGATCCGGCGGCTAGAAGACGCCCAGTGCTCATCGGAGGCGAATAAACTGAATCAGTCGATATGCTACCCCAAAATAAAACTTCTATTTTGAGTAGAAACTGGCTCTCCTCCTCCCCCGATTTGGTTCCCAACCGGACCCCCTTCGAGTGCTGTAACAAGTGTATACATGAGTTGCCATCACGCTAATGCAACTGCAAAAGAGCATCCACGGAATTCCACGGATGACTGATGCTCCATTCTGCATGGGTTGTCTCTAGTAGTTTGGTGTTAGCGCCGGACGTTCCTCCACCTGCGAAGCTTGATTCGAGCAGGTCTCATTTTGAAACTCCTAGGAGAAAAAGTCACCCATTCTCTGTTTGTTGACCTATCGCCACATCGAGAGTATACACGGAGTAGTGAGCTCACATTATGCAACAGCTGCCGGCATAAGTCTTGTCCAAACGATGCAACCGGCCCCCAATGCGGTAACCGCGAAGGCAAGAGTGCAAGTGAAGAATATGTCCAATAGGATCATGACGCAATGTGGCTTGGAAAAAAAGGAAAAACCAAAAGAATCATCTGGGGGATCGTTGCCGCTGGCCCTTTGTCCTTCATGCTCGCCACACCTAACGATCGGTCGTTGGATCTCGTATCGACCAAAAACCATCCTCAATTCCCACTACGCCATGAAAAAGACCACAGCAAAAGGCCGCCAAGGGGATACTAAAGCTCTCCGCAGGTGCAAACTCGGCGTTTGAGCCACAGTATGGAAAACCTTCCAAGGGAGACCCCTAGGAAAACTCTACTCCAGGCTCAAGCGCCCTATTAGTCCCTGAAACCCCTCCTGATGCTCGTCTCTCCTTTCGTCCTATACATCCCTGACTCGGGGGGAAGATCAATGGGCCCTAGCAACAGCATTCTGATACAGTTAGCCGACCATATTCGCGAGAGGTCCAAAAGATAAGACGATAGGTTCTTCTCTACCACCTGCCGGAGATACACCAGGGTCATGAAGTACCAAGCTAGGCCTGTTCCTATCCCTCGGTCGGAATTTCTCCGCTTCTTCGAAAGCATGTTCCTGGATGACATGTTTCGGCTACGGCTACACAGCCTCCCTCCTACGGAGCACAGTGATCACGACATGCACTCCGTACGCTAACTAGTTTACGTGAGTAGCGTCATCAAAAGAGGAGCTTATCCATTGCTATCTGCTGATGCAAATAAAAATGACTATTGAATTGTTGGATTCCACAGGCCCGGAAAACGTCGAGGCCATTGGTGTGGGCTGTCAATATGAACATGTGGACGCTATAGCCAGAAAAATCCCAGTAACGGGAGAAAAGTTGTTTATGTCTCCTTATGGTTGCCGGTCCGTTCATGCGGAGAAAGGCCTTGTCCTGGCAGCGAGAGCTCGCTCGAGAGGAGACTTTATCCGCAACGTTTACTTGGCAGGGGCATGCCATGCCTGTCGATACCTATCAGCATGTTCTTGAGGCTACAGCTGATAATTTCAATTGCAGGATGCTGAACTCAACTTCTTTACGTAACCTGAGGCGCCCGGTAGATCTACAGGTCAAGGAGGGCGCATCATGCTCTTCACTGTGGACACCGCTCTATCAACTATCATATTGCACATTTTTACTATGTGCTGGGTTTGATGGGCCCGGTCTCCTCCGACCTTCCTCGGCAGGTGTGAGCGAACCCACTACCCATATATATGGAGTTCTTTATACACAATCGCTGCCCATAAGAGGATCAATTATCAATATTCATATACTTATTACATTGTCTTACCCCTATGTATAAATAGAAGACCCGTCACCCCCTTTCCGTCAACCGAAGGAACAAGCTAACCCGCGACTTCCGACTACGTGGAAAAGACGTCTTCCGTCCTCCGTCCTCCGTACACAGAGCACTCGCAAGAGCTCGCTCTCTTCCAAAAGTTTACTGCTCTCTTACCCCGTACTTCGTACGCAAAAATCGCACATGTGATCGACGGCCAAGGTCAACTCCCGGCCACGGGATTGAGCCTAGTGTCTGAAGGGTCCAGGGATGCCGAATGTTGCACCCGCTTCTTCCAATCGGCCTTTTAACACGCAGTTACAGCGGAGTCGCTTTTCCGTGCAAGCAAAAAAATTCTTCAATAGTTCCTCCGAATATTAAGACAGGAAAAATAAACGAAATATAAAGGAGCTGCAAGGTGAAAATCCCAGCAGACAGGAGTGTTAGCCTTTGATGATCTTTTTCACCCGGCTTTCGGCATTTTGAAGCACAAGGCAAGATCTTCAAGAGCAGTCGTGAAAGCGAAGTAACTAGCCTCTATATCAAGTAAACTGGATGCTTGAGCGTAACAACATTGATGAATCTATCCTTTAAAAGACTCAGTCCTAGGACACAACCAAACTACTGCCTCAGAGACCACCATAATATGAAAAATGTATTGAGTCTATCCAGGCAAACTCGAGGTCATAGGGGTCCATTATCTTCGCCAACCACTTGGGCCAGTCATTTTGCCAATTTGATGCATGCGCAGCTACCGTGTACTCTCAGTAGCTTGGATGCCATCCTGCTGCTTCCCAGTCAATTAATGTGACCTGATACATTCTCTTTGTGTCCGAACTCGCAACTTCACGTTCGTTCTCCTTGACAATGATATTCTTGCATTTGAGGTCTGCATGTATAAGGAAGGTGGTTGCGAGTGCTCGTCGCCTAAATTCTGCTCTGTATTTCGATTTGCGAGATGCGTAGTTCAGCACCATTCCTTCGTTCAGGCCCTTCTCAGTTTCGAAAGGGTCATTTACCGCTGGATTTGGCTCCATGGTCTCGAACATAAGATTCTCGAACGGCCGACGGCCCAGAGAACCGTAGTATCCCGGGGAAGGGAGTGAACGTAATTCCACAAAATATTCCTTGAGGGTTGTTGCTATATCCTCCTTCTGAGGATCTGTGAGTGTGGCCCAGCATGACTCCAAGGTCTGGCCTTCGATATATTCCATGACCATATAGTTCATTTCAAGTTCGACATCGTTCATGTCATATAAAGCATAAACTTTTGGAACTGGGATATTGGTTGATTTATGGACATACATCGTATTTTGGCCTTCGAAGAAAAAGAACTGGCGGGACCGAATTTAACAGCATAATTATCATCGACTTTGATGATTTTCGTGTCACCACGTCTTGAGAGGACCAGCGCTTCCTCGATTTGGGACCTAGTTGGCAGATGGCCAGGGAGGTCCGGAGCAAAATATGGAATATCAATGAGTGCGCCCGTGGTGCAATGTTTATGAGGATATTTACCCCGCAAAACAATATCTATTTTAACATCCCTCAAACTTCCTTTGTATAGATGGTCAAGGATATCACAAATTCATTAACGTGGTATAAAAGGTGAAAGACTTTCGGTATTAATGGAGAAAAGGGATACAGAAGGGCACATGGTGCTGGCCAGAGAGACGTAACAATCCATCGATATTTTTCTTATTTGATTGTGGCGTCAAAAAATATATCAACCAACTATTTATTTACTTCTTGTAATGAACAACACAACCTCACAGCATCCCACCGTTACTTGAATGTGCCAACTCTTTGTGAAATACCTATTTATATATCCATTTTCCTTTATTGTATGTACCTAGGTCCTTCAATACCTGGCTTGTCTACTGGAGGGGTTTCACAGACCTAAGCGCCGATATCTACTTTAGCGCCTACTTACATATATACGAGCCACCAATATTATACCCTTCATATAACTGGTAGCTATATATATTTCTATGCATGATCTCCCAGGCAGGAGTGTATATTGCTTTACTACTGGTTCACCTATCCATCACTTGACAGGCTTGAATGGAGGACATGACACTATGCCCACCCATGTCAAGTTTACCGTGTAGCCTACGGCTCGGACAGCGGAGGACGAGATCACCATGCCCTTTTTATCGAAATTCATTGAATCACTGGTGGAGGCCAAGAAAGTCACATATACGAATCTCTTTCGACTGGCTTCCAGCTTGAGATTCGAGAGAAACCGGATAACCCAGATCTTTCAGTCTCCTTTAAGGGTAAAGAGCTGATTGGTGCCGTGGGTATCTTGGATTATCAGTTATTAATCGGTGGCGATTAGGTGTTGACGGTTTCAGTTCTTTAGATCTTTTAAAGAGTGCTATGCCATCTACTTCAGTTAGATGAATTGGTATTAAGGAATTTGACCGGTGTGTGAAGTAGTCGATGGTCTCTTTAGTTGTTAGGGATTAAGTATGTATGAAGACTTGATTTATCTATGTTAGCCCCCATAGAAGTGTAACTTGCGGCACTCTTCCGTCCCTTCGGAGTTTTGAACTATCTGCATACACACACCTAAATCAAGATCCAGATCGAGGTCCCGAAATCTTCCCGCCAACTCAAATACGATATAGACTTACGCCTGATCGCCTCCTGGTCTGAACTACCCTACCGCGAGTACATTGTAGGCCCACCCGAGGGGCGAGATGTTCGAAAAGCCGAAGTGCTAAAAGGGCCAGCCCGTCTGTACTTGCCGCAGCTATACGTAGTGCGCAAGATATCCTCAAGGTGGTAATTGAAGGTAGCGTTGCGGCCAACTAGCCAACTTCTTGAAACCCACGATGATCCAGAGTGTCAGACAAGCAGTTCGTGCCTAAGGTAAAGGGTAAAGGTAGCGTAGAGCTATCTATGGAACTATCGAGCCTGTGCAAATGGTTATCGTGGTAGAAAAACTAGTACGGGGTCGGTGTGGCATGGGTGTGTATCATCACCTCGTCCATTCATCCATGGAATTGGAACTTTACGTATATAGATAGTCAGAGAACAGGAAACACAGCATAGCCACGGGGTAAAGGTAATTTTTCTTCGTTTTCGTTTCTTTTCCCTTCCCTTCCTTTCTACTCCGCTGCTCAGGTAATTATTTTAACTACGGGCCTAACTACGCAGCATGGGCCCGGTCTCCGTTCGGCCAAAAGGACGGCTTTCTTATGCGGCGTCAGAGACGACGGGGAAATGGAGACGAGTAGTCAACTACGGCCAAGAAGCCGGCATGATAGGTCGGGTAGTGAAATATTTAGCGAGGAGGGACGAAACACGCAAAACTTTCTTTGCCCCTGTGTTTGGACCGCGGGTGGGTGGAAGCACAGCAGAAGAGCAAACGCCGCAGGACAAGCATAGTAAGACATGGTATGGAGAGATGGAGGAAGCCATGCCGATGTCCGCGTGCTTCTTGACCTAGGCATTCGGGCTAGCAGTACGGAGTATTCTATACTCCGTAGATAGGGAGACAAAGCGAAGGCAGATACAATCGTCGCCCGTTCAGGAGGAGCAAAAGGACGAGTGACAAGGTAAGTCATAAAGATAGGGTCATATATGGTATATTAAAGAAAGAAACAAAAAACTAAGCAAAGGTCCTATTTCAAACAGGAAAATCGAAAAAGAAATCGAAGATCGAAAACCGAAGTAGCGACATACAACGAGTGAGATTCGTACACTTTTAAAATCAAAAATTAGACGTATTGCTTTTGGGGACCTTGACTTTTCCATCTTCCCGCATACGCATAACTCGACTCACTCATCGGCGACACACAAGACGCACGACACACACATTCACTCACTCACATTCACATAACCTCAGCCTCCGGGGGTAACAGGTAGGACGCTTTTCCATGGATAACGACAGACATAATCGTTGCATTTATACCGGGGTATGTGCTTTTGGTTCATTAGGGCATTCATTGCACGAGCAAAACACAGGATACAGACAGGAACGCGAAAAGGGAGAACGGGGAGGGTGGTAGGCGGTTCATGACGTCATTATCATAGGTCATTATATGATATAAGGCGACATGACAGAAATGGACTGGAGGTGTAAGGGAAGAGAGAGAAAGAGAGGATATAAGATATTGCAATTGTTCAATCAAGATCAAACATCAAATCAGGTCAAGGGGTAGTTAGGTAGGTAGGTAGGTAAGTGTGATGGTGTATTTAAGTAATATGGCGACGTGGAGAGTGAGGTGGTTGGTTGTTTATGGCTGTCTTCATCGGCTTCTGTAGATCGACTTTATTTTTTCATTTTCATTTTCACTTTTTAATATGCAATAGTATTTCTCCGGCTGCGATGTGAGTCGACCAGCTTTCGCCGGACGGCCTCGCTGCCTAGATACGTACTTGCTTGTCTCTTCCTCGTTGGAGTGCGAGGATTAGAGCGCTTGAAGGCACTTGCAGGCTGAGAGGGTGAGTTAGCAGGCAAAAACTCCCTGTGATGTGGGAGTCTGATGAGGGCCTGGTATCTGTTATGGTTACGGCGGAAGGCAGTGACGATGCCGCGATCGAGGTGGTTAAGAAGACGCTCGGCACTGCTTGCTTGCGTGGGCGTTTGGTCATCCTCCGTGGCACCGGATGTGCGTCGAGGCGTTGGTGTTAGACATCCAATGGTTGAAGGGGCGGTTGGAGAAGTAGGATCGTCCAAGTCGTCTAGTTCACCTTCATCAGCAGATGAGCCATCGCCGAAGTCAATGAAGTCGTCGACGTTTAGCATGGCTTCGCTGTCGTCTTCTTCTTCATCGTAGCTAGCGTCCATGGAGTAGCCATTGGTAGGGTAGAATGCCTCAGGCGGACCCATGACTTGGCCTACTGAGTCGTTGCCCAGTGCACTCATCATCAGGTTGGCATTGGAGCTTAGCATTGGGCTCATCTCAGTGTTACGGGGAGATACCAATGCGTCAGTATCGCTGTCGTCGATAGTGTGGAGCGTATTGGTACGTGGAGAATTGTTGGCTGTGTTGGCCAAGCTGCCAGCAGCGGACTCGAGCCAGTCATGGCGGGAAGATGCATAAGGGGGGATGAGAATCAGTTGTCTGCCATTGGGAGCAACGACAGCAACAGGTTTATGCGGGTCAGCAATGAAGGTTCCTCTAAGAGGGCCTCTTTGAGGAGCGCTGGAGTCCGCCCTGGTCTCCTCTGCATCTGCAGAGAGTGAAGCACTCGACTCCCTGCGGAGGATAGACCTTGGATGAGTGATGGTGGCTAGCGGAAGGTAATCTTCCTCATCAGTGGTTTCGCCATCATCAGCTGCAGAGAGGAAAACCAATAGTTAGTTACGGGAGGGAAAAAAAGAAAAAAGAAAAGATTCGAACTGCTTCTCTATCAAAAGAAGCAACGAGAGACCTACATTCGTAACCACTTGAACTTCCCATCGAGTTATCGGATTCTTCCACATGGTAGATGTTATCAGGCAAGTCACAGAAGTCACTGTTAATGAAAAGATCATTGGGACTTCGTGTTCGCCTGTGTAGTCCTGAATCCGTCTCGATCATGCGTCGTAGATCAGGATCAAGTCTATCCTGATGTAGGAAATCTGGAAGCAATTCATCATCATCACTAGATTTCTCATCAGAGTCGGACGAGTCATCCGACTCAAAGTGAACTCGTCGTTGGACAGGGGTCTCAGCCGCCTCGCTGGTCAAACCTGCATCAACGATGATATCACTGTGTCCTCCGGACTGCATGAGAAGATGCTCGTCATCAAAGAAGGACCCAGCAGAGTAGAATGGGCGATGCTCAAGGTCATCTAGCCCAGTCCACTCATCACCGCCACCACTGGCGGCCGCTGCGAACTTGATAGAAACAGACCGTTCATTTTCAGACTCGAGAATGACCTCTTCTTCAAGCTGTTCTAGCATCAGCTCTTCATCTTCGCCTCCACTAACTTCATCGACTCCCTGATAATCATCAGAATCGTCAGAACCGTCCGAGTCACCAGGGCTAACGGAACTGACGGAGCTGACAGAGCGAACATCATCAGCGACTCCACGCTGGCCGCGCACCATCTTCAACTTCTTTCGACCCTGCAGCAGTGAAATTCCACCAGTACGCCCCGTCTTATGGCCAAGTCGTCTCTTGCCACCATAAGACGGGGCAAATGCTGCCGGGGTCGAGTCCTCGTCGTCATCTTCACTCGAGTCCCCGTTGTCGTCATCATCGTCTTCCTCATCACCGGTATTCATATCTTCACTGGACGAGTTATCACTCGATATGGAGGGTGGAGCCCTGCGTTTGTTATTTTTCTTCAGCTTGAGTTTGAGCTGCGGGGACCGTGACTTTCCTCCAATTGTCGAACGGCGTTGCTTTGAACGCGACAGCGACGACGGCTGCCGTGTGGTCTTGATCCCGGAACGACCCATTGTTGTTTATCTATTTCCGGTCTTGTATATCGTTCAAAAGTGGCGGGTTGAGAAGAGTTTTCTTTTTTATAGCGTTCAGAGATTTAGAGTTTGCAGGTTGGAGTAGGTATATCGCGGCAATTATCTTGATATAGCAGTCGACATGGATAGAGCGGACAGAGGAAGTGAGTATAGTGATAAGAAGCACCACTTCGGCAGTGGGAGGTTGGTAGTTGGCGGAGATTGGCGGGATAGAGGGGTGTAGGATAGAAAAAAAACGGTCGAAAAGCGTGCGTTGCGGATGTCTGGATAGATTGCGAAAGGGGGGCAATTTCGACGCACGAAGCGGGGTCGTCGAAAGAGTATTCAAATATCGTCGAGTCGATTAGGGATCTTTTTTTCTTTCTTTTCCTTTGTTAACTCGGTGGACTATCTCGGGCTGGGGGGTCCCTTAGAGGGTACGTTGCCCCCCCAGCGAGGAGAATTTAGAGCCCAGCGACAGCCATTTGGCAAGAAGAGAAAAAGGAATCGACGATATTTGGTATGGTGGTGCTTTATCCGGGTTATAGCTGTCTGGGAAAGTGCCTGACTTGGTGATGGTTGTCGTGGACAGGAGGGAGAAGAGAAGAAGAAGAAGAAGAGGAGGAGGAGGAAGAAGGAAAAAAGAAGCACGACCCACGCAAGGACCACCCATGTCCGTGCTGGGGAGGGATCGGCAGAGGCAGACCGGAGTCGGAAGAACCTTATACCGGGTTTTCTGCCGCCGGTAAGTCTTGGCATGACTGTCCCCTTTTGGACGTCCGCGATTGGTCAGGACGCTCACCGTCTTTTCCCCCCCACATGACTTCCTGCCCGCTTGCTCGGACACGCTTAGATACTCTACTACTACTTCTTACTATAGTCAACACTGATACTACGGAGTACTACAAGAGAGTGACAGAGAGAAGGAGAGAGTGTGTGTGAGAGAGTGATGTTGGCGCGTATGACAGGGGCTGCTGGGTCCGTCCTGTCTGGGGAAACTGGCGCGAGACTTGTTACTCGTTCCGCCTGGTACAGTTACGATGCCAGCCAGGTTAGGATGCATTACGGCAGCAGATATCACATTCCGTGCAGCCCTCCTTGCCCCATATTCACGAGTGGACGAGTTAACGAGTTACGTTGGGAAGAGTATCCCTGGCGCTCTCTCCGCCTGCATCTTCCATGCATGACGCCAGCCAGTTACGAAATATACATCCACCACAAGTCCCACAACATATCTTGCTACCCTTTCCACTTTCCGCTTTCTACTCTCTCGAACCGCCCACAATGCTGGTCTGAAGCGGGATTGCAATCTCATCTGCTCCATGCATACGATACGTAGAAAGTAACATGCACCAGCAATGACGATTGAATGACGATATGATGTGCATGGTGTGACGGTGTCTTTTTGCGGGACTGCACAGACCCAGCGGGTTATAAATAACACCCTTTCTAGTCATGGAAGCCTGTCCATGCCACTAACAGAAAAACAGTCGCTAGCTTCCTGCCACTTCACGCGCTACTGGAAGACTGAAAGGTGGAAAAGAGATATTCATTCTGGAAAGTAAGAACAGATCGCTAGCATATAGTTGATTCCGAGCGGAGCCCCAAACGAGAAAAACCGCACAACACCCGATATTCGTCCGAGAATACATGTCTGTGTAGTCGTCTGCACGTACAGGCTTGCTGCAGTTAGCCGAGAGTACATGCACAGCAGAGCGTAGGGGTTTCGCCGTGTATATGTATCTGGGCTGCGTCGCTGGGGGATCAACCTTCATCTCTCTCCTGACGTGTACAACGGATGTTAAAATCAGTGTTCAATGTTCGTTATTCCCCCCTTCCGCCCTAATAGCTCACCCCTTTTTTCTTCTTTCCGCCTTCATCCTCATCGCGCTCCCTAGCTTGCACGGTTCAATTGGTCCCCGGGCGGCTATACCTTCATCTTCTCCCCTTCCTTCGTTTGACGTGTTACCGTGTCGGCTGCAGGCGCATCTGAGGTGGCAGTTGTCGGGCCTTCGATCTGCGTCGGAGCCTGCAACCCGTCGTCCGTCTGCCTCGTTAGTTGGGCATCAGTTTCGGCATTCGCTGCTGTTCCTGCAGCTGCAGTTGTTGTTGTTGCTGCTGCTGTTACTGCAGCTGGTGATGTCTCGTCCGTGACATCGATGACCCGATCGTCTTCACCTTCCCCTTCTCCGGCCGCGGCGGCTTCTTTCGCAAGACGCTCCTCGCGACCACGCTTGTGGCAATACCACAGAACCATGAGTAGAACTATTCATCGCACAATTCACGGTTAGATTCCGTAGATCGAAGTAAAGTGAGTAGCTCGCGGGTTTATACGTACTAAATAGCCCCAGGGACCAAATAACATTCATCCCAATGAGGGCAGGGAACCTCGCACGCAAGAATGCGATAATAGACCGTAACAATCCCGCAAGCGCTGCTGGCTTCCCTGCCAGATCCTTCAGACTAGGCACCTCAATGCCTAGCTTTTTCGCCGTGCTCGTTGCCTTGTCTGCATGCTGCAGGTTAATGCCACTCTTGCTAGCTCTAGCTGATGCAGCTGCAAGCATCTCCGGTGCAAACTTCTCCGTCATCTTGTTAGGCAGCTTCTCGACCAATTTCTGCAAGAAGCTAGGGAGTTTGCCGTAACTCTTTTGTAGTTCTTGGTCACCGTTCGTGAGCAGAGACTCAAGATCGCGGTATGCTGTCGGCACGCCGTTGACTAGATCTTTGAACACCTGTTTAAACTGCTCCAGGAGATCTTGTGTGTCACTGCTTATCGAGAACACTCGGTTGTTGACAGCTGCTAGATTCAGCTTCTCGAGAACGTGGGATATGTCTTGCTCTTCGTCCTTTTTCTCCTTTTCTTCGGCTTTGTTGGTTGGGTCGCTGCCAGTCGTACTGTCGTTGGCTTTGCCCTTCCCTTTATCCTCCTTCTCGGTCTCTCCCATCCACTTTCTATCTTTAAAAATGTGCCACAAGCTCTTCCGCGACTTATGTCCCTTCTCGGGGTTCTTTTGATCAGTAGAATGGGAGGCAGAGGCAGAGGCAGAGGCAGAGGCGGAGGAAGGAGTGTCAAGATTCTCCTCCGACCCCTTTCCCTCAGCAAGTCGCCTCAGATCATCGTCCAATGGTTCATCGACAATTTCCCTGTCCTGACTGCTCTCCATTTCTCCAAGCTGTTTACTGCTATCGTCTCCCCCGGAGAGGGAAGGAGAGGTTGCAACATGGTGTAGAAACGCCTCATCCTCGTCTGTTAGGACGGGGCCATGGGTTTCTGTTGCTGGCGGTGATGCAGCCTTTGGCACCGCTTTCCTTCTGATGGATTTCATATATTGCATCGCCATGGTGTGCCGCTATTTAAAACGATTCGCAGATAGGGGATAAAAATATGGATAGGTATGGGTATCTAGTGGTTGAAGCGTAAATTGAACCAAAGCACCAAGAGCCAGGGGGCCAATTGTTGTTCGAAATGGCCCTGTTATAGCTATAATCCAGCTCCAGCCGCAGTAAATCGCTTAATTGCTCAAAAATATATCGTGATAATCATATATAAGCTCAAAAAATGGGCTGTTTGCCTTATACTCCAGCTTCACCGGGGTGTTTGAGGTGAATGTTGATGTTGGCTCTGATGACGAAGACAGGGACAACCTGCGGGGGGTTGTGCCAAGCCAAACACACGCATGAAGGCGGACTAGCCTCTTTTGGTGCGCCAAGTATCAAACAACACTCCTCAGTCAAATCTATTATCTCGCCACTTCGTATCTTGATACTGTATAGCTTTCCTCAGGTTTCTGCTGCTAATTTATCCTATCTGTTCTGATTCCTCAGGCTGTATCAGATGGTCTGACGGAGCATAACAACCCCTTCTAAAAACCTCTATGAGGAATGCATCTGGTCACCACGCTCTTTTTCCGATACTCAGACTAACTCTACTCTATACCTCTGAGGGTGTGCTCGGGATGGTGGAACAAGCCATCAGTATGCAAAATGAATCAATGCTGATCCCGGACTTGAATAAATGATTTCTATTCCTGCTAGCAACGATCATTTCTTTGTAATTGAATTTAATCGAGATACCCAGACGTGGATTCTGCAGCAATATTAGTCACGAAATACAGATAAGATAAAGCAAGCGCCATCACTTAATCGGTACTCCTTTGGGTAGCCAATATCCATGTTGATGGCGTTCGAACGAGCCTTGATATTAGAACTCTACCACCTGAAGATCCGGAATGTTATATCGGCAGGCGGCAAACCAATGACTGTTCTTCAACCAACAGCTCTTCCTATTTCGAACTATGTCTATGCAGCTACAAGGCCTAATCATTATATCCTTACCGCCTCAGAAGGAGGGGCATGCCCAGGGATATTAACGCCACCTATTAATGTGGCGAGGGCACAGATACAGATGGTACTGTGGCAACTTTGATTCATAATCGTCCTATCCGCGATAAGGAATTCCGTTTGGCAAGGGCCATTGGCCAATAATATACTTGATTTCACACACGAAGCCATGAACAGTGACGATCCCTCAATAGTAGATGACCTGCTTGGTGATTGGTTCATAGATCAAGCAGGTGTTCTCGTTAGCAGCCGTAGTGTAAGTTTAAAGATATCAACCATGTAACCAGGAAGAGGCTAGTAGTTCAAGACTTATAAATCTAGTATAAATACACGATGGTACGCCCAACCAACGCTGTTTTCCGTAGAGTTGGTTATACAACATAGAAACGCATTTCCATCGGGCCCACTAAATAAGCTACAGGCACGAAAGCTAATTATGACGAACGCCAAGGCCAAATTTTTGTGCCTGCCAAGACCGAGGTTCGAACCATCCATCAGGCATGAATTGGGTACAAACATGAAGGATGAAGACACTACAGGTCATTATCATGCCTCTCGTAGTTTCTGAGTAGAGGAGGTATGAATTTAACAATAAATTAAAAATCGAACCAGGGGCAGGTGTATGATTCGAGTTAATTTGTTCCTCATCAACCAGGACGGTTTATATATATACACCGAGCCCTTAACCGCAAATTATCCCGTAACCAATTTGAATTTGCCTTGTCCTTCGGTAACCTTGAAGTCCCATTTTGCTGTATCTTGACCCTCCCTGACTGAGAACTTAACCATAAACTTCTCGCCTGGCGGTGACATCGAGGCTGCTATCGCGCTCCCGTTTATCGCTGGGGGCCGCCAGCTTCCACTAGTAGGCGTGATATCATACCTCGCCATAAACATGGCAACAGTTGATAGAATTTCTCCAGTAGCAAAGTGTCGACCGGGGCACATATTAGGAGACGACCCCCAAGACAGGTAACCCGTGGGCCGCAGGCGACTACCTTTCTCATTGCTGCCATTGATAAACCGCAGTGGGTTAAACTCCGCGGCATCCGAGCCCCAGGTCGATTCCTCGCGGTTAATTAACAGCGTGGGCATATGTACCATGGTGCCCTTTTTGAGTAGATACTGGTTATTTATCTCGATGTCGTCAAGCACAATGCGGGTGGAGGCGCTGTTAGATCTTAGACGGATAACCTCCTGGAAAGTAGCAATGAGGAGAGTGCATTTGTTGCGTATATCTGCAAGGTCAACGATATTAACGGTATTACCATCAGCGTCGACAGACACATGTACTGCATTCTCCCATACTTCTTGCCTAAGCTTGGCGAGCAGTTCCGGGCGAGAGAAAATCTCGAAAAGGGTCCAAAATGTAGCCGGGACAGTATTTGAAAGGACACCGACACAAAGAGATGATTCAAGTCGCGCAATGTTTTCAGTAGTAGCGCCGGCATCATGTTGGGTCTTCCATCGCGCAAATGCTAGCTCTGAAGCTTCCCACTGGCCGCCGGCTTCGTAGAACTTGATAAACTCCTGCACAATCTTTTCACGCGCTTTGTATGGTTTCCGTGCAATGATTTGCGGCAGTGTGTTAAATAATAACATGGTCAAGTTCGAATCATATTCCCTACACACAAAACAAAAGGTGAGCATGGGCTTAAGGTAGGATTGCAGTGGACAAAGTGTCCTGGGCTTGCGAATGTTTACCAAAATGCTTCTTGGAGGTCTTTGGATCTCATTGGATTCTTTGCACCCCAAACTGACTCGGAGCTAGCAACTGTAATCGCGTCTCGACACCACTGATGGAGGTCAATTGGACCGCCGCCCGAGGCTGATAGTTCATCTATAGATCTTTGAAGATGTTTTATCATGGTGGCATTCATCTTGTCTAGGCCACTACCGAGCAGAGATGGTTTCATGGCATGTACGACTGCGACGTTAACGCCGCCGCCGCCACTCTCAGTCTCTTGGAGAAGCTTCAAGCCATCTCCCTTCTTAATCCCTGCCATGCGCTCTGCTGCACCACTTAAAAACGGATCAAAGGAGATCGTTTTGGATGCGCGTTGGATCATCGGGACTAGACTCGCAGAGCTAACCACATAGATCTTGGTATTGAGCATATTCATGCTAAAAGCTGGTCGAACCACGCCCCTATTTTGTCCTAGTCAGCCATTGAACGTATTCTCATCTTTAAGGGTACACCTTTGCTGGACAGAAGTGGTTACCTGATCTTTCCATAATATTGAAGTCCATGTCGGAGTATTCCGACAACATGACCAATCAATGGGATAGTTGGTGAGAGCGGTTGTGGCTCACGAGCATCGTACTTGGGACTAATATAACGGGAAAGAAAATGACAGGCAGTAGCAATGGCGGCTATTACAAGCCAAATCTGTGCACCCATTGTACCGTGTAGCGACTTTGGGTATATTCACAATACTAGTAAAGAGAAATTGAAATATGAAAAGATAAAATCGCTACGGGCCTTCATCTTTCGACCACGTCATGTACCATGTACGTACACATTTTGATAAAAGGGGCCTAAACGAGAACGAAGCCGAGAAGCTATTCTATCCATATTACTAAGCACGCATGTCTATTGGTGTATTTTATCCGAAGCAAATTCTCCAGATTCCCAACTTCTTTTCACAGTTAGCTCGCCGTCGGGTTTCATCAGAGCTAATACCCTGTTATCCATAATAATACAGGGTGAGCCTATCATCGGTTGGCCCATCATCTCGAAGCCAAGATTGAAGCCGGAGTTATATATTTGCTCGGAGTTCGGATGATATGGCCCCTGAGGTGGCGTGGTATCGGACTCGGGTCGTCCTAACCATGTTATGACGTGAAGAACGACTGTTCCATATATCCACTGGCCTCGGGGAGTGTTGACTACCGATTGCGAACTATGGATGATATCCAGCCTCATCTTGGTCGGACGTTCCGGTTTTTTCGTTAAGTCTTCCACTCTCGGGTTACTGGTAATTCACCCAGAACTAGGCCCTACCTCTCATGATCACCTGGAGGGCTACTCCGTACGGCTTGCTTCTAAACGCCGTTATCCTGAATATCATTTGTTGTCAGCATTTAGGAATGTTTATTAAATATAAATTTTTATAGAGTTTTCGGGTTGTACAAGGACGGAGCTTGGTCCAATAACTATATAGCCATAAGCTATCAGTAGAACAGATTATACACGACTGCTGAAGGCGCGGGCTATGATGTAGGGTCACACTATACGCCTAGGCACCCAGGCGGTAACCAAACATAAGTATTCGCCAAGAGGACTGCTGACTGTCATACAAAGCGCCATCGGGATGCCGTTGGAGGCAACATATCTCCCCCTGGAGGAATAGGCGGACGTCGATGCTGTAGCCCCCGGCCGTTCCATGTAGTAGACGGGATATCTATCGAATGACTCAACTTCTGCGTAACCAACCACGTATGACCTGTAGCGAGAGTCGAGTCACTGGAAGCCTCGTCCTGGTTGTCTATAAAATGTACACGAAGAGTGTATCTCGAATAAGCTCCCGGACCATTAACCAAGAATGAGGCAAAGCCTCAGGCACATCTTGCGTATTATCCTAACTCACATCACCAGTAAGATGCGTAAGACGACCTAAGATGCGTTATGCGTATGCGTAAGCTGCTGCGTATATGTAGATGATATGTGAAGTCTGCAGCCTTGCCGCCTCGTCTGGGGTATCACATGACCCCTCAGCGCATATCAACTTCTTCCACACACTTCGGACTTTGTCTTCCTTTCCTCTCACCACGCTTCGCAGGACCAGTCAAGAAACACGCATCGAGACAGCACCCGTGTGTCATCTCATGCGCAAAGGCCTATTCAAGGATTCCATTCTTTGCTGAAGTCCTCATAATCTCCTGTACAGGGATTTGGATACGGCAGAGAACGTGGTTCTTGGAAACAGCTTTCCAAGGCTCCCATGCGACGACGTGCGTGATATTGCAAAGCGTCAAACTTCCCTTTCTGTTTCATTAAACCATACTACGCTCATTATATATATATGTTCTTCGGCCGCTCGTTTTTGAACGCTCTCTTCTTTTTGCGGGTGTCCTTGTTTAACCTTGGATAACTCCGATTCCTCGGTTGGTCCTACTGACAATCATGTTTAAACGTTCTTTTTCATCGAAAGACCGGGCGGGCAAGTCAGTTAGACCGGCGAAGAAGACATATCGCGAGAATTTGAGAGCCAAATTGCAGGAGAGTTTGGATAGTCCGCCGATTGGGAGGTTGGTACCCCTACTATATTGCACCTCAAATGTCTGCGCATTCCTTTAATGATATCTGATGTCTAGCACCCTCACGAGTCCTATCATCACCCTGGTGGTAGGCAGTGACAATCGCCTCTTTGCCGCCCATGAAGACGTCCTTTCTATTTCGCCTTTCTTTTCTGCTGCCGTAAGAGAGCAATCTCTTGATGGCAATGCGAAACAGATTGCCCTGCCTGAAGAGTGGGTGCTCCGCGTCTACCACTCCAAGATGTATAGACATCTAATATCTTGTTAATAGAGAACCCGAGATACTATCCTGCGTCCTCGAATTCCTGTATAAGGGTGACTACTACCCACGCTTGATGCACAACAAGCGTCGCAACTCCTGGCAACTCGAGGATGCGCAGGATCTTTCTAAAACCGGTGGCCGCGGGTCCAGCGAAGCCACAATGTTTCATCCTGGTGTCAACGACTACCTCCTCCGGGATACCGTCATCTACTGTGCCGCTGAGAAGTACGGCTTGGATGAGCTGAAGCGCCTTGCTCTTCGCAAGCAGGGCCTTCAAGCTGGAATCCCTGTCGATGTAATCCTTCGATCGGCCCGGTATACATACGACCACACACCAGACTCTGAGTCGCGACTCCGCGCTCACTTTCTAGCTCTGATAATCCGAAGTCGCAAGACTTTCAAGCGGAGTGGAACCATGCAGATGGAGATGGAGAGCGGCGGCAAATTGTTTTTCGATCTTTTCGTGGCAATGTGCAACCATATTGACGATGTCGTCGAGATCAGGTACGCCTTCCAACTTTCCTGACTGTCATGGCTAATTTGCGTCCTTCCGTCTCGTATTATTCAGGGGTGATTCCTTTTAAGGCGTTCAACTTTTACTATCTATACACCCCCCTAACTCATTTACTTACAAACAAACAGCAATAGCCGATCTCCAAAAGTCATCTGATATGACAATGGTTGCATAAAAACCTCGAACCTATCGTATCGACCTGCTCGGTCGGCTAAGAAAAAAAAAAAAAAAAGAACCAAATCCTCCCTAAACCAAATTGTGCAATATGATAACAACGGAGAACGAAGTACCGTGCCGAGAAAATTTTTACCTGGTTTTTATTTATCTGATTCTTTTCTCCTTGGATTGACTGATTGATTTAAAACAGTGAAAATAACTCCAAACAATACTTCGATTCTCTCGAGATTGGCCGCCAGCATTTTACTTTGGCTTAGGAAGAGAGAGCCGACCTTCCCTCCGGTTTAAACGGACAGTGTCTGTACCGTTGTGTCGGGAGGCTCTCTCTCTGTTTAAATATTTTTTTTTATGTTTCTTTACCTAAATTGCAGCGCACCGCATCCAAACTAATACATGAGAAAGTGACAAGTCTGCGACGTCTATCGCAATGGAATCTCCTATGTTTGGTCTTTTCCCCCTGTGTCTTATGTATCTATCCCCTCTACTGTGATGATTACTCTGTCGTGGTTCACCTGCTTTAGCTGGAAATTGAGATATTCGGCCATCTCACCTGTTCTCTTCTCTCTCGTAGTTGTGTTTCAGTCGTAGATATGCCAGCAACAAGCAAAAAAAGAAAGTGCCAAGACATAGCTTCACCCCAGCTACTGAACAGGTATGCCGCAACATCGAGCCATCACCAGCAAACGCAGTCCAACTCCTCCACCACCAAACCATGACCTACCCTTATTAATTCCAATCAACCGATTCCTACTTGTATAACACATTACCAATCCCCCTACGACGAGAAAAGCGCTACATCCGCCACCATGTTCGCCGAACTAGCTCCCTACCTCTCCAATCCACGCCAAACCCTCACACAGCTCCTAAATTTCGCCCTCGTCCTCTCCACTGCGTTTATGGGATGGAAGGCCCTATCAGTGTACACCAATTCTTCCTCGCCCATAGTCGTGGTGCTATCAGGGAGCATGGAGCCGGCCTTCCAGCGCGGAGACTTGCTGTTTCTATGGAACAATAGCCCGCGCGTCGAAGTTGGGGAAGTAGTGGTGTACAACGTGCAAGGGAAGGATATTCCGATTGTTCATCGGGTTATTAAGGCGTTTGGGGTCGGAGACGGTGGGAATAAGAGCCAGAGGAGGTTAGACAAGGAGGGAGATCAGCTTAGCGGGTGAGTACAAATATGCATACGCCATGCCATACGTTTACGGTATATCTACGATATATTGGAAATGGGTATTGCGTGAGAAGTATATTTGGAGAGTATATTGAGTGGATAGATGGATGGGCGATGAATATATGGATGATTTATTAACGCATGTTATACCTATAGACCGGGCCTCTCCTCCCCCGTCTCGCACCAGATACTCACAAAAGGCGACAACAACATCGCAGATGACACTGAACTTTACGCGCAGGGCCAAGAATACCTTGACCGCAAGTTGGATATAGTAGGAAGTGTACGAGGATACATTCCGGCAGTTGGATATGTGACGATCATGCTGGCGGAGAACCCATGGATGAAGACGGCGTTGCTGGGTATTATGGGTGTGATGGTCATGTTGCAACGGGAGTAATCAAACAAAAAAAAAGCATACTTCATGAAATGAAACTGAAAAAATACTTAGAATTATTTTGCATTTGCGCTTCCTTGTTCAATACGGCTATGGCTATACCCTATGATGCATGCAGGGGGCGTTTTGTGTGCACCGCATTGCACATCATGACAGGGTGCAGCTGCGTGGCTCATTATCTTGATATATTTCTTTCCAGGTTCTATTTGGACCCAATCGGACCATGGTGTTTACCATGTTATTGGATATATGCATACCTCTCGCTTGGCCCTCGCATCCACAATACCCAAGGTCAACTCCATGGGCGCGTTGGGAATTGGTATAGGTCAGGTCCAGCCGAAACCATATTTAAAACAACTATCACTCTCGATCAGGCTCGTACTTCTAACAGGTGGGGGGAAGAGCGGTCTAACAGAAATCAAGAGGGCGGAACAAATGTGTTCAGGAGATCTCTATACCTTTGCAATCAGTACGAATATCGTTTATGTCACCTTATCTACATATCGATGAGCTCGGGTGGGATAAACGAATTGGACGATAGGGTTTATATACAGGTTAGTAGGCCGATGATGGCTCCAATCCAAAGTACTCGGTCCTATCATACAGCCTTTGTAGATATTTGAAGTCGGGCCAGATCATCAGTTCAAGGGGCAATATAGGAACCTGTTGCCATTTTCATTTTCACCCCTCAGCTGAGTAAATCCGTTGACTCGACTGACATTCCTCAAAGAATTATGCATTTTTTGACCTCTATTTGCTCTCCAGGCTTCTCTGACAAGCCCGAGACTCTCTCACGAGCTTGTCTTGGTATTGCTTATAAACCGCGCATTAGGTTGTAATGTCTTTCGCATACTATCATTTTTTGCTCAAGGCTCCTCGAATATACAAGTCGTCGGACGCGAGCCCTAGCTCTATAATAGATGTGAACTTCCCTTTCCAACAATCGTTCATGATCTGGTAAATTGGATCCACGAGATCTTCATTTCTACCCAGAGCTCCGTGCCTTGCACCATGTACCAAAAGATAGACCCTAAGGCAAATTGTTCAGTATACTCTGGGTCTCCTTCTGCGCCTCTTGGACGAACATACGGATAGTCGCCAATTTCTAAACCGTCCCTATATTTGAATTCATAGTCAAAATCGACAAGCCTAAGCTAATCATCTTCGGCGAACATGATATTTTAGGATTAATGTCGTACTGCGCGTAGCCAAGCGCAAAAGCTTTCATATGAAAAGTTGAGGCCGCTTAAAGTCACTGCCATTATCATCCAAGGGGGTGATCAGGAAGATTTACGAGGCCACATAAATTATGTACCTCTATGTAAAGCTGGCAACAACCCCATCTACTCCGTACTGGGTATATTTTCAAGTTTCTAGGCCATACTATCCCAGCATGCTGGATAGTACAAAGCCGCCTGTTGCTTCCATCAAAGTTATATTAAAGCATAATTTAAGATATGCTGAACAGGCTCTGGTGACGCCAACACAACTAGAACATTAACATTGGAGGTAACTGTGCTGCCTAATTCTTCAAATTAGATTGCTACGCCTTGCTAGGCGCCCACGTTATAGGACTGGCCATCTTGTCTGGCGGTGGCAAGGCAGGCGCATTCACAATCCCTGCCTTCATGAGCGCGTCAGATCAGACTCGAAGGGCGCATCGGAGGTTGGTATCTATCAAGTCTAGATCCAGCTTGAAACCATCATGAGACGAGAGATAATGCGATGCGCATTTCCACGTCAAGTGATGTGATGTGATGAGACTGATGTGCGATCGAACAACGTGAATGCACACGAATGAGATCCATATACACATCCACACATTCATCCATGATACTCAGGACGGGTAACCAAGCCGGGTAACTGAGCCGGATAAACTCGTCACCGCTCATTCCCATCACACGCGCATCAAAGGGTCCTTGAGCTATTAGCCAACAGAATGCGATCGTGATAGGAGTCTAGGTGCTCACAGCCAGCCAGTCAGCCAGCCAGGAGAGCTCAGGTCAGATATTCACATTGTTGTTGGCCAAGAGACATCCATGTCCATGCTGAAAATCCGCACAAGCTCAGCCCTAATCATAATCCCACGGCAAATGCAAATAAATACGCCTCAAGGCCGAAATGAGACAGTCATGCGTCGCAAATCGAAGCCGTTAGAGGAAAGCTGGCCGGTCACCGAGGGAGTTGCCGCGTGGCCGGGTGGCCGATAGGTTGATCACTGATCGGTATATGATCACCTTGATCAGCGCGAACAGGATATCATGCATGTCTATAGCCATCTGCGTGTCTATGGAGGGGTGAATGGAGGGGCACGTTGTGTAAACACAAGGCCAGACCGGAGTTCTCTTCCTTTGATCTCATCCTACCAGAGTGGATCCCTTGTTTGCTTTCATATAGGCGGTTAAGTATAGCCGTTGCTATGTAACGGGTGGCGATGACCGCAGCCCATGAGCTCGAACTAAAACCGTAAAATGCAGGTCCTTCCCGTCGCCGGAAAAGTGGCTAAGACGGCATGTTCTGGTTCCTGCATCCCTACCTCGAGCAAGGGAAAAAAAAGGAAGGGAAAAAAATTTCCCAAGCCAAGATCGTGGCTAGGTATGTTGGGTATCAACGTCGACAGGGATCGCGGCTCGCCGGCCAGACCAGACTTTCACCTTGTGAGCACTGAGCTGCGCACTGCGAAGTTGGACATGGGCCGCATGGTGAAAACATGCAAGCACGAACGGGCCTGAGTGGGCACGGCAAGTAAAACCTCGATCCATGTCTCTTCCTTGCCATGACATGTCTTTGGGTCCGGCCTGGCCACCAGCTGGGTCGTGCTGAATATCCGACGTTTGAGTTTGCGCGATAACTTTTTCCTGTGATGGGATCGTGGAATCATGGATAGATTGTATGGATATATCCATCCGCCCTTTCAATTTCTCAGCTTAGTTTCAGCTGTGCGCCAGTGTTGATCCTGCGGCCACGGATATCTAGTCTCACAATGCGCTTCCCGGCCCGCTTATTCGACGGTACCCATTATCCGGCGCATCGAGACTCGGAGTATGAAGTATATGAAGTAGTAACGCCCTATACAATACACGTGCATTGCTTGCCGTCTTCCGAGAAACGAACATCGCCATGACAAACGCTTCCAGCGTGCATGAATGCATGTATGGGAGTATGTACGGGAAGTTCCGGTGAGTCAAGCCATCCGTGCGCAGACGCTGGCTATGATGATGCCGATGCTGGTTCACCAGCCTAGACGCCCGGCGCCAGCTGATGGCAGGGAAGATTTGATGCTGGTGGCACATGGGTGCAACTGCAGGTCAAACTGCAAATAAAATCTCTTTTTTATCGCGGCGGCCCGATGCCTGTTCTAGCATGCGATTGGCCAGGCGAAACGACCCGCTGGCGCGTCTAGAATACCACGGTGGGCATTGTGATGCACACAAAAATAAAGGGAAAATTTTTCACTGGAGGGGCCGTGGGAAAGTCTCTGGTTTCCCGGAACTATTTTTACATGGCCTGATGCGATGGTCTGACTGTGCGACATCGTACTGTGTACGGAGTAGGCGAGACAGTGACTAGAGTAGCGACTTAGAAATCCGCAGCTGCGCCTCGTATATCAATAATCGTATACCAGTCATCGTATATCAAGAGAGAGAGGAGAAATAGAGGGAAGTTTCTAGGATGAGGAAGTGACGTCAGAAAGAAATATTAGTCAGAAAAGGTGACTAAGCCGGTCAGGCACGGACCCACAGTAGATCGGACCCACTTTACAGAATAGAGTTTTATACAAGGGAAGTTTGTACGCGGTGGACGAAGTAGAGAAGAGACAAGGGCGCAGAGACTGTGGCCATGCCCATGGCATCGTGGGCCCAAGGGCGAGCAGAGCAAGACGTGGATGAGCTATAAAAAGGAGCTCGACGCCCTCAGCCATCAACATCATCATCATCAACAACAACAACAACAACAACATCCAAGCATCCAAGCATCCAAGCATCCAAGCATCCAAGCATCCAAGCATCCAAGCATCCAAGCATCCAAGCATCCAAGCATCCAAGCATCCAAGCATCCAAAACATCAAACAAACAAGCAATCTATCAATCTATCAATCACTCGAGCCAAGTCTCAAACAAAGATCTACTCTACTACATCTACATCTACATCACATCCACATCCCCCACCAATAACCAACACAATGGCCTCCAACGCTACCGACTACGCCATCACCTACGCCTGCTTCGACCTCCCACACCTCAAGCGCGAGTCTATGGCTACTTTCTCCGCTGCCTCTTCCCGCTTCCACACTCCACGTACCTCCATCGACAACGGAAAGCGCACCATGCCTTCCACTCCAGCCATGTCGCGCTCCAACTCCAAGACCCGCGTCAGCAGCCCCACCCCCAAGTCTCCCAGCTCCAAGTCCTCCAGCTCCAAGAACAAGAAGGCAGCCCACGCTGAAGCAACCTACCTCGCTCTCCGATAAACGTCTACTCAAACAAACGTTTATCAGGACATAAAAGTGCTTCAAGGGATTTTGGGTTATCAGCAAGCGATTCGACTGGATATGGATATGGAAAAACGGAAAAAACACTGGAGTTAAAAGGAGTTTCTCTAACGATACGAATGATACCGATACCTCATCTACTTATCTAATGGAACGGAAGCGGTGGAATAGAAAATAAATGGGATTTATATATCTCTTAATTCATGGATAATTTGTTCTGAGCTGGTGCTTGTAAAGGGCGATTTCCTACTAGTAACTAATATATACAAATACAATCAATCATTGGATTACACTTGAAACTTCCTTCATATTCCCTTATAGATTGGCTAGCACAAGACTTTAAGAATGTTAGCAATTTAGCCATATACAGGCAAGTATCCAATAGAGCTCATGTATATTAGTTCGACTAGGTATTCTAGATGTGCCCTCGAAGTTGGTGCTAAGATACCAATCGGTAAAGTTATACTTCAAAGCACTTGATAATCCTTTCATACGGTGCTATTGCTATTTACATAATCATAAGGAAGAACGATCCCTTCTATATGCTATATTATATTCTCTGTAATCTATGCCACGTGAGCTTGTTTTCCTGTTGATCACTTTGCTCACCGCGACCGCTACCATAGCCTGTTAGGAAAGCAGAGTAAGCGCATTCACACCGTTCTGCTTTGAGGGAGAAGCATCATTTATACCGGCTGGTATCTCGCTCCCAAAGAGAACATCCAAGTCGTTTCGCCTTGTCATCAAAGCGACGGCCCGGCCCGCTCCGAACTTAACTAACGTTATATAGCTACGGGTTCCTTGGCGTTTGTATCATCCGAACTTTTGTCTATCGCGAGTTCCCTTATATTCCTGTACACGCCTGTGTAAAAGATTTATCGTTTGACGCTAGCAACTAGAAGAAGGAGTAGTCCGACAGGTGTTCTTTCACCCATTATGCAAAATGCAGAGCGGCTTAATTCTTGTCGATGCCTCCTGAAATCGTGGCCGTCTGGCACTCGCTCTGTGAGGAGAGCTCCTGTTTAAGCGAATCCAGATCAAGGATCGATGCCTTCTTCACATGGTGTATCGATGTGGTCGGTGAGAAAGAAGGGAGTGGTAGAGGCCATTTCCGGCCTGCAGGCAGCAGGCCTGACGGTCAAGGAGGTTTCAGGAAGTTGCTCGGCACAGTCTTGGTCGAGAACGGGATTCTCACACACGCTCGACGCAATGACTGTTTGTGGTGGGTTAATCACTTATTAAACCAAGGGTCATCTAGAACTTGTCTCACTGACACTCTTTCAGACGGCGCAAACAGCAATAACTTTCTAATGATCTGCCCTAGTCTCACTATGTCCTCTCTTGTGAGATCGGGACGCCCCCGGCCTTCAAAGTACACTTCTTCCAGCCATTCCTGCAAGTTGTGCCCGGTATTTTCTGTGGTTTTGTCCTTCCCTGCGTTCATTGTATTCCATATCCCTTGCCATCTTTCAGGTAGGTCATCACTTGCCATCTCTCGCATTTGGCCGACAAGAATTGTGGGCGTTATCAAGATGGTGTCGAACGGTGGCTGGCCAGTGAAAAGTTCAAAGAGCTGTCATATCTATCAGTTTGCCATTGTATAGCATTTAGCCTCGGATAATTTCACCCACCATGCATCTCATGCTCCACAAGTCAACTCGATAATCAATGCGATCTTGAAATATAACTTCAGGTGCCCGAACAGATAGCGGTGTGTGTAGTGTTTGAGGAACTGCAGAGGGTATGAATGATTCCCCAAAGTCGATTATTTTGATCGACTGAGTCGAGTTCCAGGAATGAGTCTGATATGGAGTAGGTCTAACGATATATTCGGGTATGCCAGGCTCCAGGTCCTTCCCATCGCTTCTTTGGAGATAGCCAATTTCTGGTTTCCCTAGCATCTCAGTAAACCTCTCTTCGGTTAAATTGTCCGTGCAAGGCATGGTGAAGGCCAAATTGCGGGTATGCAGGTCTATACTCTGTGAGAATTGTTCAAAAAAGTCCTCAAGAGAGTGACCTACCTCCATGTCCAATGTTCTGTTGGTGCAAGCTATCAAGCCCGATAAGACTCTGCTTCGCAACGGTTTTGGCGAGTTTCCCAGGGAGTCTCCCGATAGGAAAGTGTGCATCAATTATGTCCGGAATATTCGGCCCCAGAAGCTCATAAACTAGGCATTTATGAGATCCATTTGGGCCCTTTAGATCAAAGTAATCAAGCATGCGCACTGTATGTTTTAGACAAACGTGATGAGATGCCAACTCCTTCATCGTTTGGAGCTCCCGTGTCTCCCCATGATCCTTTTCTGCGACAGTAATTTTGACAGCAACATAGACCTCTTCCCTACAAACAGACAACTTCTCGGTTAGCTAGAACTACCATGGAGTCGTACAATTTTGTACAACCTTTGATCTCTTGCCGCCCAAACCGTCGAATAACCTCCCCATCCTAGTTTATGTAGCACTTTATACCTTCCAGCTTTCAGGTATTCCCCCAAGACGACCGGGTGGTAGCCGCCTTGACTATATCGATGAAGTGGTTCCGCGTCAACGGGAGAAATATAAAGGGGCTGTTCCATCCGACCCTTGTCTGGATAAGTAGACATGGACTTGGAGACAATCCAAAGCCGTGAGATGCGTCTCGGGGGGACAGTACGCCTCCATAGCATCCGGGCAATTGCCATTAGGTTGTGTAGACCAAAGTTGTCGATCAGATATCATCATGAGTCCAGATTGTTGAAGCATTTCATTCTCATCAAGTGACGTCAGCATGCCGAAGATGAGTTCTCTGCATGGTGCCGGGAGTTTAGAAAGTAATATATTAATAGAAGAACTATCAGTAAAATAGAATTATTATTAGCCGCCATACAAATTAGTGTGGTAAGCTATTAGTGTACCCCGTATTAAGTACAGCCTCCAGGACCCTGTCGAGGATATATCTCTGCATATTCGCATTCACTTACAGCTAACTGGGCATGATCCTAAGGCTTGTATCCTCATTCACTCGCTAGGTTAGATCCTGAGTTAAGCCTTCTTTCTTCCCTGCCAAAACATCCTTGTCCCGTCGCTCTTACTACCCCGCGAGTCCTTGCATACTGTTGCCTGATCCAACACATCAGAGTCATATAAGAACGAGGCCGCTTCCCGCTGGACTCTCTCTCTGCCATTGCATCGCATCTCAAGCGGCTTTGAAGTGACCCTTTTCAACTCTGCAACTGATAGGGCTGGCACCATGGCGAGCCAGAAGCGCATCTCCAAGGTACGTCATTGCATATACGAAGCGGATATACCTACCTACCATATATATACTAATAGATGTCTGTTATATGGAATAGGAACTGAATGAGCTCCTTGACTCACCCCCAACTGGCGTCACGGTCGCCTTAGCAGACGACTCGAACCTGTACAAATGGAACGTCCAGATGCAGGGCCCCGAGGGCTCACCATACGAAGTACATGCCACAGCTATAATCTCACAAACCAGACCATCCACTGACACATCTTTCAGGGCGGAACATTCCAAATAAACCTCTCCCTACCAACAGACTACCCTTTCAAACCACCAACCGTCTCCTTCGCTACGAAAATCTACCATCCAAACGTCTCCAACGATGACAAGGGAACCATGTGTCTGGGCATGTTGAAGTCTGATGAATGGAAGCCGTCGTCGAAGTTATATGCCGTGCTGGAGTTTGCTAGACAGCTACTTGCGGAGCCGATGCCGGATGATGCGGTAGAAGGGAGGATTGCCGAGCAATATAGTAATGATCGGAAACAGTACGAGAAGATCGCGAGGGAGTGGACAAGAAAGTGGGCTAGTGGGACTGTAGAGGAGGGAAAGTAGATGAGACAAATCACAGGAGTGAAAGAATAGATCAAGGTCGATCGGTGTTTCATGGTATGGTGACTATGACGTATATTGATCATCATCCTTGGTGGCATTGTTTTAATAGGGTAGGCATACGTTGACTGGATAAATGCATTATATATATGTAGAAGCTGTCTATATACATGACTTGCTTTGAGTCTAGTTTTAGAACATGTAAAAAAGAACTCTCCTCAATGAGTATGGGAATGGTATGACATCCAACCATGTCACCACAAATAGTCGGACATCCATTCTTTATCCTAAACATAGAAAATCCAAATGCATCTTGTAAAGACAAGAAAGAAACGCTAGTGTCAAGCCAAAACCAACAAATCAACTCCAATCAATGAGCTGATAGGCGCCAAATATAAAATAACATAAATTCGCGCTGTGGTCGGCGGCGGCGGCTGAAACCCAGGTCAAAAATAAAGAATAGATCAAGTACTCCGTTTTGTTGACAGGAGCTATGCAATCGAGTAGTGACAGTATGGCAATCAATCCTTGCGTATAGTCGTGGGCAAAATCCCCTTCTCTCCACCCTGTGTTGAATTCAACGAGTTAAACGGCCACTGGTTCTTTCCAAATGACCTAGCAAACGACTCAAGCCAGCTCGTCGCATAACCGAAATACGGCTCAACGAACCTGTTCCATAGACTGCAAACAAATAGCAGAATGGCGAAGAAGATCGGTAATAGGAATGCAATAACTGCATCGCCTGGCTGAGGGACTACCTGGCCGTCGGCTCCATTGGCGAGCTTACCGGGCACCGTGACTCCAAGTAGAGCGTTAGGGCCAAAAACAATCCAGGCAAGGACAGTACGCATCAGCATTCCGTGTAGGAGGTAGATGGCGAAACTCAGGCCGCCAATCCAGTGTAACCATTTGTGTGAGAGGACCTGGCGCATTTGAGGCGAGTACATCACGCCGAAACAGAGGAGTTGGGCGCCGAGGTTGGGCCAGGCGCGGCCCATGGCTGCATTCTTGGGGAAGATGCGGTGTCCTAGCTGCTCTAGTTGGCGTGACCAGCGGGCTTGGTCGGCAAATTGGTTAGGGAACGAACAGAGATAGAGGCCGAGGGTGACCGCGAAGAAGGGGAGGATGGAGGCTATTCTGGATTTTTTGGGCGGTGGAAGGTATGATAGTTCGGCTAGGATCATGCCTGCGAATATATTTGGTCGGACAATAGCTAAAAGTATCCGGTTAGTATAAAATGTGATATATCCCACATGTGAGATGGTAAAACGTACTATCACCTGCTATCCAACCCCAGGCGTAAAGAATAGTCAAGGCAGTAAGTCTGAAGGCCGGAGTCGCATTCGCCGTTGCGAGAAGAACCATGTAGATGAAAAACGAGCCCTTGAATAGATGCGCTAGCGCCCACTGCGGTTGGTCATATTTATTCTCTCCCACAATCCACACCGCAACCATCTCCCAGCTGACACTCTTGATCGCTTGAAACACAGATGTACTCGGCGTAGCAGCCGTGGTCATTATCCAATATGCATCGGACCTCCGCGCTAGGCCATAGAGACCGATTTCACAGCAGATGAATGATATGAACGTTGCCGCGGTAGCGGGGAGCATGAGACGGCCGGTTCTTCGAAACGCTCCGATCGAGAGTGTCGAGACTGCTTCCTGCACGCAGCCAGACCGTATTAACTGGATTGCTTTGAGGGAGTTGACGAAGCCGAGGAGGACGAGGAAGACGGAGACGGCTGCATTGCCTTGACCGATGAGGCGGAGAAAGGGATTCTGGAATAGCCTGCTTGGGCCGTCGGTAGATATGGATGGTGGGATAACGCTTCGAGCAAAACATAGAGTGATATGGCTGGCAACGACGAAGAGAGATGCGATTCCTCGAAGGCCCTGTGGTCGGTGTATGGTCAGCAAATTTTGGACAGTGGAAATCGTATATCCGAAATCTGAGGGACGGTGTCAACGGCATTCAAAACGTACATCAGCCCACCGTGTCTCGATGAATGGCTTCACCGAAGGTCCTGCCTTGGAGGCCATATTGCTGCGAACCCAGTGGTCTATTATCTATGATTTAGAGGAGGGAGGAGGGAGGAGGGAGGAGGAGGAGGAGGAAGAAGGTAGAGACAGGAAAGAGGGGGAGATGCTTGTTCCCCCCTTGGACTTCACAAAGGGGCATAGAACCGTTGAGGGAGTGACTGTCGACCCTGAAGGAAGAAAGACCTGCAAAAAGGAGTGGTTGCGGTCTGTATATTTGGAGGCAAAAGGGGTGGTGGTGGTGAGGCTGAGTAGAAACCAGTCAGGTCAATCGAGAAAGAGGCCCAACCCTACGAAACAGGGTTGGTCCTAAAAAGAGCAAAAAGATAGGAGGATCCGAAAGGCTGCAACTGGGCCCCCAAATGCTGATTCCGATCGCCCTATCCAATGTCCATCTGTGACGTTTGGCCGCTCGCATGTGAGCAGCGAGAGTTATGCTCCGTATATATATGCAGTTACTTGAATGCACTAAGTAGATGGTACTCTGGCCCAGGCCATCACACGGCCGATGAGCAGGTACCATTCTACCATCGTCCGCAGGTTCATGAAACAGCCATTTAAACAATCAGTGTGGAGAATAGCGGACCCAAGGGGGTACAAAAATTCGCCTTCCACAAGCGCAGATGCATACGTAGATTGTGAAACTCTCGACCAGTGTCAGACCGCGGCATTACGAACGTCAGGGCAAATCGTAGTACACGCATACGTACTGTTGGAACTGGGGTGGTGAAAATCTTGCCTCAGTTGCTCGGATCAGCCCGTCGAGCCGTCCCTAGGTAATTGGATGTGTCTCTCCGCCGGGCAGGCAGACCTGCTGCTTCTCGCCGTGACGGTTTGACCAGGCCATGTTTGCCAATAGTAATTTACTATTGCGCCGGCAGAGTGCTCCGTACGAAATCCGTAAAGAAAAAACGACTTTCTGGCCTCCTGACCTGTGGATAAAGGCTCGACAAACGAGGCCGTGGCAAGGGAAGCGTTGATATAGGGTTCGCAAGTGGAACCAGGGTCAGAACTAGGGAGAGCTCTAGGATGTTGATAGGATGGTGAAGGATAGACGGTCCGCTAGGCGTGTCTCTCGGCCATACCACGCTCGTGGCGCCTGTAACTTTGCTGCACTATTTAATTGCTGCATCTCTCCTCGCTAACGAGTCGAGGAGGTCGTTCTTGTTGGTTCTTACTTCTTTGTTGCCGTGGATGCTGTTGATGCTGTTGATGCTGGTGTCAACCATGCAGGGTCTGCAGAACCGGGGATGAACCCAGACTCCAAGGCTCCTGAAGAATATAAGCACTCATATAACCTCCCTACTCGTGCATCGTGGATTCGTGCTGTCAGCAGTTGATACTCCGTCGACGATGACTGCAGGTAAGACCGAAGATCTATCTGTCAAACACTGACGACCCTGAAACATATTCCGTCAGCGTCAACGCGATATTCCGTCTGCTTCACGCGAATATCGGAAAAGCGCAGCCAGATGAAACGTATCCGGAGCACTGCCGTGTGCTACAGCGTAATATTATCAGAAATCATCCTGGGTAATCGCAAGTAGCGCCTTTGTGCAGTGACGCGTCTGTTTGAGGATCCCCGAACAGAGGGATTGAGAGCTGAACGAGATACGGAGTAGACTCCTGCATAACCCAGCGTCTCAGGCTCGAGGATCTATTTCCGGAGTATGACGGCGTTGGATAAAGAACGAGCAGTCGGGATGCTGCAACTGAGCCACCTTTTGATGTAGATATATGTATGCAGGACGCCAGCCGCAGCTTCATTGACAGACCAGGCACCTCGTAGACCAGCTCGCGACCTCTATATTTAATTATCCTGCTGCTCGTGTGCCTCGACGATGCTGACGGCGACGATGTCGGATACGAGGCGCTTTCGGGCCTTTTTCTCCTTTGCAAGCGCCAATTGGGACAAGGCTCAATCGCCACAGAAAGACATCGACTTCGACTTCGACTTCGAACTTCGACGCTGCCTCCGTGGACTGCGGCCTCTCGTTGTCAACGGGGTTCTCTTCTCTTCTGCTCTGTTGTTCTCTGTTCTGTTCTGCTGTTCTGCTGTTCTTGTGGGCTGGCTTCCGAGACTCAAGGCGATATCTGGCTGATATTCAACTCATCCTCATCGACTATCCAACTGCTTCCTGCAACCGTCAGCCATAGATGGCGACCTCGACACTCGTTTTCGTGCACATACTGACCGACGCTCGTTTCCTCGACTCTCGTTCCCGTCTCGCCGTTGGGTTAAGTGATTGAGTGACAGCCGGACGAACCAATGTACCAATTGAGCCGCTATCTCTGGTGTGGCCATGATCACACAACGCGGAGGCGACAGTGCAGACTCCAGGAGGCCGTCTGCAGACATCCGTACGACTAATCCGCCGCTCTCTCCGGCGCCGTCGTCGCTCTCGCTGTCTACAGGCACTGCGTCGCCGTCGCCGCGGTATGGCAACCAGCCGTCTCCGTCCCCTCGCTCGCGCACCGCAAGACCAGACAATTTCCTACCAAAACATCTAAATACATCCTTTGCTTCATCCCTGACCGAATCTCCTACCCAGGCACACCCTGATGCCCAAGACGATGCGCTCCCCCTGCCGTCTCGAAGCGGTACCGTGGATGTCTCGCCGGCGGCCTCAGGACGACGCTATTCACCACAACAAACACTAAAACCGTCCTCATCCATGCCAAATGTACGACAAAAGAGATATTCTCCGTTTCAGGTGGATAAGGCATCGCCTCGCTCGTCGCCGTTGGGACTCTCGCCCAGTCGGACAAACCATCACTACTACACACCGGAGCTGCACTTCGACGTGCCGCCTCCTTCACGAACCAGCCTGCAGTCGTCCATGACAGTGACGTCTAGCATAGATCCTGCAAGCGGAACAGAGAGAAGCAGCGTTGCCACAAAGACTAGTTCTACAACCGAGCTGTCACCAAAAATTTCAGAGGAGGACGAAGAAGACGAAGAAGACCAGGACGAGTCAGGCTGCTACACCGGCGGCGGAATGAGCGTGGACGATGCGATTGACATGTATCTAGACGGGTTCGCCGACGATCCTCCCCCGACCGCGAAGAGGAAATCAAAGATACAGCCGGCGCGAACTGACACAGTGCCTGCCAGTGATATACCCGCCGGCGCACCACCGGAAACGGCCGAAGCAGGTCCTCCTCCAACGCCAGTCAAGCTCCCCGAGCCTCCGCGCAGTGACTCTCCTCCGAGTACACCGCAGCGGACACTCCCTTCGTCTATACCCGCTCCGCCCATGATCACAGAAGTAACAACAAACGGGGAGCCGCCGGCGCTATTGACACCTACCAAAACGCGAGACCAATATGGCTTCCGCAAGGCGACTACGCACGTGACAATTGAGCAGTACGACTCCTGGTATGAATCGTACTCGGGCTATCAGAAACTACGGAGTGAAAAGTGGTATGCGCTGCTGAAGTCGAGTGGCATCGAGGAATCTGTCCCTACCACGTTTCCCATACGGTCCGCAAAGCTGAAAAAGTACATCAGGAAGGGCATACCGCCAGAGTGCCGTGGAGCGGCGTGGTTCTGGTATGCCGGTGGATATGATCATATACGTCGGAATCCGGGCCTCTATAAGCGTCTGGTGGAAACTGCGCTTCGCAGCCCGATGAACGACGACAAGGAACACATTGAGCGGGATCTCCATCGAACGTTCCCAGATAACGTCCACTTCAAGCCCGATTCGCTCGAGGCGGACTCTTCCAGTGGCAGCAGCAATCTCAAATACAGCTCCGCCTCCCCCGACACTCCTATCATTCAGTCTCTTCGCCGTGTATTATATGCATTTTCCCTACATAATTCTAATATCGGATATACCCAGTCCCTCAACTTCATCGCGGGATTCCTAATCCTCTTCTTACCCGAAGAAAAGGCCTTCTGGCTCCTCCACATCATCACATCATCCTTCTTCCCAGGCACGCACGAGATCAGCCTCGAAGGCGCCAACGCCGACCTCTGGATCCTCATGGTAGCTCTCAAGGAATCTCTACCCTCCGTGTACACAAAAGTCGTCAGCACCACGCCTACAAACGCCAAAACAAAACCCCCTACCATAAACACCGCCACCCGCCTTCCCGACATCACGCTTGGCCTCACAAACTGGCTAATGTCAATGTTCATCAGCACCTTGCCCTTCGAAACCACCCTACGCGTCTGGGACGTGTTATTCTACGAAGGCTCCCGCACCTTCTTCCGCGTGGCATTATCTATCTTCCGCATGAGCCAGAAACAGATCGTTTCCCTGGGTGATCCCATGGAGATCTTCCAGGTAGTGCAGACGGCACCTAAGCGGATGATCGACCCCAACGAACTGATGATGGATTGTTTCGCGCGGCGCTTTAAACTCTCGCAGGCCCGCGTCGAGACGTTGCGCGAGGCAAGGAGAATCGCTATCCGAGAGGGCAAGGATCGAATATCTTATTTGGCAGGACCAAGGAAATTCAAAACCGATCCTGACGGGCGGCCGAGTACGGGGGCCAATACCCCTTCGCCTAGTACGTGGAGGAGCTTCAAAAGCTTCAAGCAATAACTGAACTATACCGTTCTCACCATCTTTCCGATTCCTCTTGTCCTTCGTCTTCTCTTCATCTCGTACTTTTGGATAAAAAAACATACCCTCTTTTTTTGCATATGCATATCTTTTCTTGATGATCATCATGTTATTGGCGTTCTCGCATCCATTGGCCTAGACGTTCGTTCTCCTTTTATATCCTCCTACCTTGTCCTCTTACCTTATCCCGCCTACTTACCCTACCTTACCCGCCTACCTTACCTACATGCATCCATAGATTGCATCAAGCCCACAGCTATAGACCTATAAGCATTTTTAGTATCTTAGCTACAAATAGAAAGAAATACTAACAAATAATGACTACCGCGCTCCATACACTAGAATCAACACTGTATAAGTTGGGGGGAAAGAAGATTGAATTCGATTGCTCAAGTTGTATTATATAACCTCTTCCGTTAATCGTATCACTTAAAAACATAACACGTTATTCTATGCTCATCGAGAATCTATATATAACTGCTGAAATCAAACCTTCTTGCTACTTAGACACTGTGTGATATGAACAAGCATCCATGCAAGGCTCTTCACACATGTAGTAAGACACCACATGATAATAGAGAAAAACCAGAACAACATCCGTAGCGCAGCTCGAGTTGGTTTAGGTAGCTTCTCTCCCGCGCGCGGACTACCATCTGCATAGCGTCCGTAACGCTCAACATCAATCTCTTCAATCACTAGGGCAGGCTTCCTCTTATTCTGTTGCTTTGCCGTGATGGTGGGTTCTTCTTCCTGTTCTCTGGAAGCTGTGTTATTGGCTCTGCCGATGTTTGCTTCCAGGTCGATTTCTTCGACTTCGGGTTCCCTCTTCCACGGCCACGCCCATGCTGGTGCGAGAGATGATCTCGATTCTGTCCTTTTTCCTTTTCCTTTTTTCTGACTGATTTGGGACATCAATTCTGCCTCCTGCTCGAATTCCTCTCGTTCGGCTTGGGTGGTGAATATCTGCTTGCCGGTTGGCGTGTAATAACGGCGTTCTTCTCCTGGTACAGGAGACTTGTTGCTATTATCATTGCTGCTGTTATTATTGTTTGCAATGATCGACGCTGGGTTCGGGGTGGGTGGCCGATAGGGGTCAGGGAACTCCTCAGGCTTGGGCGCATAGACGTCTATACTTTCGAGAATTTGCTTGGTAGTTTCATTTGAAACAGTAACTGTAAGGACGGCAGCGACAAGGGTATCGATACTGTGTAGGGATGGAACGATTGCAAGGATGTTGTTAGCAAAGACGGTAAGTGTCATATGTTCTAAATCCACGGTTATCAATGGCGTATCGGCGTTTCTTGACGACGATGGCTCGTTATTGGGGGCAGATAGTAAAACGGTAGGAGCATATGATCGCCCTCCATAGGGAGGCAGCGAGCTGGATACCGATGCGTTAAGCAAACACGCCGGTAGACTTGACTGAGCTGATTTAAGGCTGCCGCCAGAGGTAGATGGAGAAGAATTCATCATTGCCTGGTAATGTAGCTTATATCGGGTTTGGGCATCCCGCCACTCGAAAAGGCATGTCTCCTTGGCTTTAATTCGGTTTACTGCATCATCTTCGGCTTCCATGGCATGCGCGGGAGACAGTTGATTTTGCCTGGCTAGTTCTAGTGACTGCTCTCTCGCTAAAATCTCTGCTATCTTTGGAAAAATTGAAATTGTAGCACTAGTACGGTTTTCAATGTGGTCGAGACTGAGTGTTACAATCGGTGATTTGGTGTTTGGTTTTGTTGGATGTGTTTTGTGAAGCTCAAGATCACTTATTGTGTCGTTTTTCAAGGTATAGAAGGGCACAGGACCAGTGCCGATGTCATACGTAAACGAATCAATTCTAATGGGGTTAGTTGGAGGGATTGCACAAGACATTGGAACTAGTGACTTACCTTCGAATACTCATATGGAATACATTAGTATCAAACCCGGAACTCTCACCACATGTGGCACCCCATAGCTTTTCAAGAGATTCCACAGAAGCAATAACGGCTCCGTCATTCGAGGAATACGATGAGCCGCCACTTGCAGAATTTTCTGGAGGGGAGAGAGCGCCATAATCTACTCGTGATGGTGGCTGATCCGAGCTACTCCGAGGCGATCCTGCATTTGGATAATATTTTTGCTGATTGGGAGGTAATTCGGGATTATATTGGGGGAATATTGATCTCATTGGGGGTGGAGGTGGAAGTGGACTGCTTTGTAAGGGCGAACTATCTATTTCACGCGGTTCACTCTCGGACGTTGAAGGGGATGACCATGTTCCAGAGTCGCCCGGTGAGCTCGTAGAGTTGACTGTCTTTGCTCTCTTGCGTGACGAGGCCGCTGTAGACTTCGATCTGCTCGGAGTGGACGTTGACGACCTTGGAGGGGGAAAGACGGCAAACTTGTGCTGTGAAGTTCCATTCAGCCGCGAGTTTGGCGACTGGCTTTCCGTTGACCTTGACATAGTTGATCTCGACATGGTTGATGGCGATGGAGATACCCTTCTATGAGGTTGTGGGAAGACAAAAATCTTATCTTCTCGAGAAGAGTTGTCATTGGAAAAACTTGGAATATGGGTCGCTTGAGGCGGTATAATACTATTCGTATCCTCGATGATTTGAAGGATCACAGCTTCTGTCTGACCGCTAACCTTTGCGTCTTCGAGGACCGGCGACATTCGCGGTGATTTGGCCCTCCGGGGGCGGTGAACACGCGTAGCAGCATTGCTACTGTTACCCTGTCTGCTCGAGGGCTGCATTGTCGGGAACAATTGGAATGTCCCCTGGGGAGGAGAGGACATTGATGCGTTGTAAATAAAAGACGGTCAGACCAACGTCAATGAACTAGGAATGTTGGCCGGATATGGGATGATGCGGAGTACATTCAGGAATTTTCGGTGAGCAGAATAAACAGGTAATGAAGGGAGAGAAAAAGAGAGAAGCCGAGAAACAAAGCAGCCGCTCTCTTTCAGAGAGAAAGAAAAGCAGGCCCCCGCATTGTGAAAACGGCGGATCACATAGTGTCTATCGTACAGAGCACAAAACGACCACAGCCTCCACGGTAAACGAGATAGGGCCAACCACCAACCAGAGACCCTGGCGAGGGCGGTGCAACAGCTTACCGCTGGGATTTAGCACCACACCACCGTACGGAGTAAGAAAAAAAAAATCTCTTCCCTTTTCACGCCACACATTGCGGTGCCTGAATGGACCTCTGCATCTTAGCGAGGAGGGCTGCAAGGATGGCTTTGGATCGCCTGGATCACCGTGCATAAAACCATTCCAGATCAAGGCCGGGGTTTTCCAAGACTGGCTCGTTCCGATTTGCTCTGCGCGGAGACGGGATGGGTAGCCGCCGTACCTATTGGAAGGTCGTGGTGCAGAAGATGTGACCAGTCCACCGATTGGCGAGGGCCCCCTGCATACCCATCACGAACCAGGCGCTTGGAGAGGACAGGCGATCGGCGCGACCAATGCGGTGATGGAGGATGCTAGAAGGACTAGTATGGCCGTCGATGGACGAGAGAAGTCCGAACGAGTCGTCTCATTGGAGATATATTTAGCCTGTCGAGTCCTGGGCGACCTGGCAGATGAGACATGCGGTTGGACTTCTGCTTTTTTCTTTTTGATATTGAGGCTTGAAATAATTTTCTCCACAAACGGCAAAGAGTCAGGGGTGCTGGTCACGTGTCACAGGCCCGGCGGTTGCAGGCGAAACATTCTTCAATGCTGGTTTCTTCAGGGCATGGCCAGGGAAACAGCAGGACAGGACCCCAGAATTCTTCATGCGGTGCGGAGGCGTGTCACGCTGGGGATAGGGTGGTACGGAGTTGCATATATTCTAGTTCTATGGTACACGTGTAGGGGGGAGGGAACACTATGCGGCGTCACGGTTGACCAGGCCTTCTATCATCGATATGGCGCCGTCCATGTTGCCCTTATTATATAGAAACAGGCCCTGGAGAGCGGCTGCGCTGGTCGCCGTCGCGCGGTCATGCTTCCGGCCGTCTTCGTCCTCGATCACACCCAGCTCCGTCAGCCGGCCGAGGAACAGCTTCTTGTAGGCACTAGACTCCTCGAGCTCGCCGTAGAATCGATCCCAGAGCTGAGACACCTGGTATCTGGTGGCTTCGCCAAGTCGAACGGTCATATCCACTCGGCCGGGCCGCACTAGGGCTTCATCGAGTTTGTCGACGTGGTTGGTGGTGAGGAAGATTATGCGTTCCTCCGCGCTCGCAACGCCATCTAGCGCATTGAGGAGGCCGGAGAAGGTAACATTGGCACCACGGTACCCATCTTCGTCAGACTGTACGCGCCGCGAGCTAAAGGCGGCATCCACATCTTCCAATAGTACCAGGGTGCGAGCTGGGATGATGGTGAGCAGGTGATTCAACCGATCGTCGGTAAGCCCTCTCTCGCTAAGATTTAGAACGGCGATGTCATAATCCAGCTCGCCGGCCAGGGCTTGGATGAAGGAGCTCTTGCCGGTCCCCGGGGGCCCATGGAGAAGGTATCCACGCCGGTAGGGGATGCCGCGATCATGGTACCACGCTCCACTTGAGAAAAAGTCCTTTACGTCGGCCACGATTCGCTCCTTGACCCCGGAGTCCAGGACCACAGAGTCCAATGGCCGCTTTCGCCGGGGCTGCCCAAACTGCCGCCACTCTGCTCCCCAGGAATTGTAAATGACCGTTTTCCCTTCATGCGTCTTCGCCGCGTATTCATGCGCCTCCTTGAACAGATCTTCAAAAAGATGTCTTTGCGAATATAGCGTGGTGAGCGTCACGGTCTCCCACGGCCGTCCGGTTTGAAGATCGCGCGATTTGGCTTCTCGGACGCGGTTCACGAAGATGAATGCATTCTTATATCTGAGTATGTGCTTTCCGGGTCCCGGTATAAGAGCGAAATGCGTGTGGATTGCCCCATTCGCATGCTCGATCTTCTCGGTCTGGATAGACAGGTGGCGCATGCCCGGTGTAAGCCTGTTCAGAAGAGAGTTCATAAAAGTTGTCTGCGCATGTCCGCGGGCGGGTTGGTTCGTAAGTTGCGACCGTTGATACAGTGTCATCCAATTTAAAAACCACGGGTAAGAGTCATCCTTAATACTAATCTCAACGTCAACCAGCATCCGTCTGCGCACGAGTATAGCTCCATGTCGAAATCCGCGCTGTGCAAGGGTGAGTCCTGCTCCCAAGCCCGCTAAACCGAATCCCTATTCAATTGGACAAGAAAAGGAGTCAGTTTATTCAGCACTTCCAATCCCCGACGCCCATGGCACTTACAGCAGTGAAGAACGGGTTTTCCGAGAGCTGCGCAAACAGCCCTTTGTCAGGCTGGATAGCATTTTCCGAGAGCAGCTTCAGCTTGGCTGCTGCCACCGAAGCTGTTGGGTCAGCAGCCGCTCCGTTTGGTTCCATTGACCTGGAGGCACTTGTCGCAGCATCTTTGCTCAACATATGTATTAGAACAGCTCCGACTTATCTCATGTCGGGGTTGAGGTTTCACGCTGATCGTTTCGAAGTTGAAGCTGCAACTTTTTTGATATCTTGCTGCTTTAATCGCGATGATGTAATATATTACTAATACGTTAATACGGGTTAACTTAATTCCGATATCTATTATATAATCATCGTTAAAGCCGAATATTTTCTACTTCATCCATCATGAATTATCTCGAGGTGATGTTTTGGCGTTGATAGCTGTTAGTCTCTTGATCTCTGGCTTTGGGATATCAAGATCTTAGGCGGACCCAATGTGTGGACCCAATGTGTGGACCAAAAATATAAGAAGGGACAAAGCTCAAAATGAGGAAAGCATTTGACTTGAATATGTACACATTACCGTAGTTAATTCAGGTTATCAACGTGAATATAACATATGGATAATAATGATACCCTCAAAGCAAGCACAACAAGCTGTATCTAGAAGAGAAGAGATAACATAACTTGATATAAACATGTATATTATGAGTCAACACGGTGGCCATGATTCCACGATCATGCTATTGCCATTTTCGCTATATAAAGGGTATATGGAACGGTCAACAATAGTCGCTACCCTTGGGCCCAGGATGCCTCTTTCTTAGCGAGATAGCTAAATATATACGCCCTGGGCATCCTTCCTCGAAGTTCACAGACGCGGGTCCCTGGTGAGCGTGTTGCCGAGCGCCCTGTTTGGATTAGTTCTGTTGTGATCTCTATGTCCAGGTGGGATGTTCTGTCAACAAAGATTTCACCATCAAGAGAACACCTCTGCTCATATATATACTCACAACCCATATACACGTTCTTTTATATATATAACCACTCTTCATGGAAGCTGTGCCCCTTCGTTCTTCAGGTTATTGTAAGAAACACGTCTTTGAAGAGAGTTGATGTTGTTACTAACTTCTTTGGTTCCAGCATGGAGAAGAATAGGGCCTTTTTGCATATGATGCATCAAAAATCGGTATATATCTCCTTGGGAGCCTGTGTCCTCCCTTTGGTGAGGGCCCAGCCGAAGGAGGACGGTAACATGTTCGGGGGAGGGTGGTCAGTTCAGATCACCCTCCCTCTAGCTGTTCTTCAGCTAAATATTACCGCCTGGGGAGGGTGGTTTAGGCAGGCCACCCTCCTCTAGCTGTTCTTCAGCTAAATATTAGCCCCTGGGGAGGGTGGTTTTGGCAGGCCACCCTCCCTCTAGCTATTCTTCGGCTAAATATTAGCCTCTGGGGAGGGTGGTTTTGGCAGACCACCCTCCTCTAGCTGTTCTTCAGCTAAATATTAGCCTCTGGGGAGGGTGGTTTAAGGAGGCCACCCTCCTCTAGCTGTTCTTCGGCTAAATATTAGCCTCTGGGGAGGGTGGTTTTGGCAGACCACCCTCCCTCTAGCTGTTCTTCAGCTATATATTAGCCTCTGGGGAGGGTGGTTTTGACAGACCACCCTCCCTGCGCTCCCCAACTCAAGGGAGAAGCAAAGGGCCGGGAGGACGGTAACACCTTCGATGGTCGGGGGAGAATGATATGAATTGGTCATTCTCCCTCTAGGTCCTCCCGGCTCTCCTGGTTTAAAATGAGCACGCTCAACAAAACGGACCCATGAGAGAAACACTCGATGATACCAAGACGTGCAAAGGGTATATCCAGAGAAATGTATGTATACTGCTGCCTCTAATATCATATTCAGAACTGACATGGCATGGTAATAGGCTTGCGACCACCACGGACGTCCATAACGCAACACGGACGGCGACAGCGAAGTTCCCACGAAACCACGACAAGGAGGTGACAACTTGATGGACTCCAGACCGAACGACCAGGAAACCAAGCCCATCCAAATGCTCCGAGTGATATTCAACTGGCGACTGTTATGTTTTGTTTCTGTATTTTGTCAATTGTAGATGCGCGCTAGGTTGTTTTTGGCCTAGGGCGGGATCCCTCCCACATGAAGCTTGGGTGGAAAAAGCGAGGATGAAGTTGATATCAAAGAACACTGAGCTCTAGATACTGTGCTGTAGGGGCTGCCGTTGTCTTGTCGTTTAGTTATTTACAGTCCAGACTACATTTCTTCCTAGACCTTGTCCTCGCTTATCTGTTTCCTCCCTCAATCAACTTTGAAGTAGGTGCCTTGCTTCACCGTCGCCAAAATGCAGGCTCCTGTGGTGGTAATGAGTACGTACACTCCGCGCGCTGATTAACGGCCATCTCTCTTTTGATCCCTCGCTAATACCGGGCCCAAGATACCCAGAGTGAGGGGAGACAAGTCGGCCGGAAGGCACAGATGTCGAATATCACAGCTGCTAAAACGTGAGGACGCCCGCAACCCCTCTATCTTACAATTACGGTGACTAAAAAAAGGGGGGAACTTCTAGTGTTGCTGATATTATCCGGTCATGCCTGGGCCCGAAAGCTATGCTTAAGATGCTTCTTGATCCTATGGGTGGAATTGTTTTAACCAACGATGGACACGCAATTCTTCGAGAAATCGAGGTTGCTCACCCCGCCGCGAAGAGCATGATCGAGCTGAGCCGGACACAAGATGAGGAAGTCGGTGATGGAACCACGACTGTTATCGTACTAGGTATTACTACAAATATATCCGTCCCATGGTCTTCCAGTTGCTAACCATCGTCTTTCCTTAGCCGGAGAAATTTTGGCGCACGCCCTTCCCCAGCTCGAACGCAACATTCACCCCGTCATCATAATCTCTGCTTTCAAGCGAGCCCTTGCCGATGCCCTCGCCATAATTGAGGAAATATCCCTGCCAGTCGAGGTAGACGACGACAAGGCCATGTTTAGCCTCATACAGTCCTCGATCGGTACCAAGTTTGTGTCCCGTTGGTCGGAGCTTATGTGTGGTCTCGCTCTCAAGGCTGTCCGAACCGTATCTCTCGACAACGGTAGTGGCAGGAAAGAAGTCGACATTAAACGATATGCGCGTGTTGAGAAGATTCCTGGCGGCCAGATCGAGGACAGCGAGGTTATAGATGGCGTCATCATTAACAAGGATATTACCCACCCCAAGATGCGAAGAAGGATAGAAAACCCAAGAATTATACTTCTCGACTGCCCGCTCGAGTATAAGAAAGGAGAATCGCAGACCAACATTGAGATCAGCAAGGAAGATGATTGGAATAAGATTCTACAGATCGAAGAGGAACAGGTCAAGCGCATGTGTGATGCCATCCTCGCCCTCAAGCCTGACTTGGTCATCACCGAGAAGGGTGTCTCTGGTATGATCCTTTCCTTCTAAATGGCTAAATGATTACTTGTCGAGATGCTAACTTGAATTAGATCTTGCCCAACATTTCCTAGTTAAGCATAACGTTACGGCCCTCCGACGTGTCCGCAAGATGGACAACAACCGTATTGCCCGCGCAACTGGTGCTACCATCGTAAACCGTGTCGACGACCTACAGGAGTCCGACATTGGAACCCAATGCGGTCTCTTCGAGATTGAAAAGATCGGCGATGAGTACTTCACATTCTTGAGAAAGTGCAAGAACCCCAAGGCCTGCAGTATTATTCTTAGGGGACCATCCAAGGACGTTCTTAACGAGGTAGAACGAAACCTGCAAGACGCCATGTCCGTGGCTAGGAACGTTATTTACCATCCTCGCTTGTCACCCGGCGGAGGCGCCACTGAGATGGCGGTGTCGGTCAGACTTGCAAAGCTAGCCAAATCGATCGAAGGCATTCAGCAATGGCCATACAAGGCTGTCGCCGATGCAATGGAGATCATCCCACGAACCCTGGTCCAGAATGCTGGTGCCAACCCAATCCAGGTCCTCACAGCTCTGAGAGCCAAGCACGTTGAAGGCCACACTACTTGGGGTATAGATGGTGACACCGGAAAGCTCGTCGACATGAAGGAATACGGTGTCTGGGAGCCTGAGGCTGTAAAGCTGCAGAGCGTCAAGACCGCCATTGAGGTAAAGTCAAGTCCTTGCCCCCTTTTTTATACCTCTTGCATAAGTAGCTAACTGTTTCTCTTTAGTCTGCATGCCTACTCCTGCGCGTCGATGACATCTGCAGCGCTAAGTCCCTTAACCAAGCTGCCAACATGGGAGGAGGCGGTGAAGAGTAAGGAGTCTGGTTATTTTCACGATTGGGACATGTCAATCTGGCACATAAAACGCCATGAAATACATAATGAAAGAAAATAGGCAAAAAGCGATAGAAAATTTAATTGGCCGTATGCATGACCGATTGCACGACAGTGTCAAAAATTGAAATGAATTAGCTGGGTATCATATATCTGCTTCGTACATTCTCCTTTCTCGTAGTATTATTACACGTCGATTGGTGGTTTATTTCCGCTCTCATTTAATCAATCAATCCTCATCGTGGATTATGACACCAGGAACCTCGCCGTTGTCATATCCATCCACCTTAGCTTCCTGGCCAGTAACCCCATCCGCCGAAGTACCCTTTGCAGCTCCATTAGCAGCCATCTCCTGATCAGCCACCACCTCCCCTCCATCCTCCACGCCGGTCTTCCCTTTCTTCCCCTTCGTCTTCTTCCTCTTCTCTCTCTTCTTTCTATTTTTCTCTGTCTTCTCCTCGTCCTTCCGTCTAGCCTCTTCCCTCGCCTTATTAAACTCCAACTCGTCTTTCTCCTTCTTCAACTCCTCGTCCATAAGTTTGATCCTCTCATATTCTCGTCTCCTACTAGCTTTATAGACGTGGAACTCCCCCGATCCCGCTCCAGCAGACGATCCTTGAACATTTGCGATAATCTCCGGGGGCGGCGCAAGGGTTCTTGCTTTCGATGGCTCCGGTATCCGGATCTCCTTTGAGGGATCCTTAAAGAGGGTTTTTATTTCATTTGCTTGCTCTGAGAGGGGGGTGAGAGCTCGGCGTTTGGTGGGACGTTTGCTCCGGGGGTCCTGGCTAGTAGGAATAGACTCTGGGATTGGCTCAGACATTGGTTTTATGCCCAAAATGAAGCTGAGGAGTTGCGGTTTTGATATATGTTATGCACCAGCAGACCGACCGTATGTCTGCCTGGGAGAGACTTGTAAATGCGCGCACAGCTTTTGACTTGTCTCTGGAAAGCCTTTTCGCAGTATTTGCTTGTAGAAGTAGGGTCGGAGGATGTTTCTGTCCGGAGGTTTGTATACAAGTCGCCTGGCTTTTGTCCGTCCTGAAGTTGCAGCTGCTTGAATCGCGTTCTGTAAATTCTTCGATGATGGACAAGGTCACGTGATATCTATATCGATGAAGACAAATACAAACGAAAGACAACAGCTAACACAAATAAAGAATAGACATCCAGAGCTCATTCCAGTGCAAACTGTGCCTAGTTCCCGGGCCAGGTTTAGGCTTGCCCAGTGATTTTATTTTGGCATCCCCTCCCTACCAACGTCCTGTTATCATGAACGACCTGCCTAAGAAATGCACTCCAGAGGAGGTGATCTCGGCCGTCGAGGCGTACCGCAAATTCGCCGCCGAACATGCTCGCGAATCCTTGGAGTTGCTTATCCGTAAGGGCGAAGAGCAGGAACTAGGACCAGGCTGGGAGGGTGAAGACGAAGCCAAGATCACCGCGGCAAGGCTCTCTTCGTGCGAGCAATATCTACACGCTGAGGATGGGCTACCTGGTTTCAATTCGCCGCGCGAGCTGCTATCCCGTTACGAGGAGGTCGTTGATCGGTATGCTCTGGACGGTGTCGTACGGTGGCATCGAAAAGGCGCCCGCCGGAATGCCAGCATGAGCACTGAGGAGTACATGAAGATCCTCGACCAGGCCATTCGAGATAGCATCTCTATACCCACCTCTATACCCTTTGAAGCATCGATCCCTGAAGAATACAAGACCCTAATGCAACATGTCGATTCGTTACATGGCGTGGGCTTGCCCATCCAACGACGTCCGCCGCCCTTCTGGGTAGGCTACATCGAAGGCGAGGATACGATTAAGAGCCGTGTGCTGGCCAAAGAACGTATCAACGGTCTTCAAAGCGCCTGGCTCCATGGCTATGAGATAGCTACAGGATGGGAGGCTGGGAAGACTGATGACGGTTACATCTTTGTGGTACTTTGCCAGAGCGAGGAAATGGGGAAACCATGGCATTGGAGGTATGCCAGGGTCGAGTGGTCTACGCCAGATGGTGAGGTGTGGGATGATATCCCTAGTTTCCTGGAATACCATGCGCAACGTCTCCCTTCTAATGCGAAAGACCCGTTTATTCCTTTAGATGATGAGCCGTGAAATACGGCGGATGTCTATCTAGCTAGCCGTCGTGTTATGCAAAGGGGAACTCTTGCAATCTAGGATAATATAACGAAAGGCAATGATTTTTATTGAATGAGTGAACATAGGCACCTATCTACACAACCGAGTATTAGCCACGAATGTGCTACAGAAGAGTCGCGAATCCATTCATTGGAGGTTTTCTGTATTTAATAACGCTATTAGATAGAAGCGAATATTTAAATAAGGATAATTAATCACTTATTACCAAATATTTAGATATACGGATCAGCGAAGTAAATTCCCCATATACGGCTGAGAGCTAGTAACTAGGCGCCGTACCAACAGTAAGAGAAATAATTAATAACCTTACAACAAAACCACATGCAATCCAACATTGATACCCGGCGTTCTATGGTCTATTAATGACCAAGTTATTAATATTAGGCGAGCATGTAATATTCGCAAGGGTTTGCTGATATCCTGCCCTAAGCTCCAACCACGAAAGCAACATCCATCAAAGGGCGCGCAACCTGCCAGCCAGCTCAACACGACACATCGCGATTCATATCTGGTTTTCATGCTATAAGGATAGATAAACATGCCAACCTATCGTATTGGTGAGTAGATACCGATTATTCCTACCGTGTTGTAGCTGCTGTGTCCAGGACGCGCCCTCGACGCGACTGCACATTGTACTAACATCGTATAATCACCAGAGCTGGCCAGCACTGGCAGAGCCGGTTGCAAGAACAAGGAATGTCAAGAGAAGAAGGAAAAGATCCTTAAAGGAGAGCTGAGACTAGGTACTTTTGTTGATACCGAGCAATTTCAGAGCTGGGCGTGGAAACATTGGTATGTATGGTTGATTCCTTTGCCCTCAGCACCACTCATATCTAACCCGTTATACATAGGGGATGTGTGACTCCAAGGCAAATTGCAAGCATCCATGATATCGTCGATGAAAATGGGGACCGTGACATGACTCTTTTGGATGGTTACGATGAAATCCCAGCCGAGAGCCAGAAGAAGGTCGCCGATGCCGTGGAGCAAGGCCATGTCGACGATGAAGACTGGAAAGGGGTCAGTTGTTGCATTTCCCCTGGCTACTTCCTTTTTATTAACAAACTATAGGATGTCGAGGTGAATAGACCTGGGAAGATTGGGTTTCGAGTGAGGGTATCCAAGAAGAAGGTAGACATAATTACGTTTCTCTACTGTTATGAATCATTATACTCATAGCTTGATAGGCTCAGAAAGATGAACCTGCCGATGATGAAGAGGAAGAAAAGAAAGATGACAAGACAAAGAAGACACCCAAGCGGAAACGAGCCAAAAAGGAGGCCGACGACGAGGAGGAGGAAGGTGATGAGCCAGTTGTTAAAAAGGCCAAATCTACTCCCAAAGCCACCACTAAAAAGACCAAGGCGGCAAAGGCTGCCCCCAAGGCTGAGGAGCCCGAGCCTGAGGTAGAGAAAGAACACGACCAAGAGCCAGCTGAAGAGGAGAAGGGTAAGAGTGAGAAGAAGGAGAAGAGCGAGAAGAAAGAAAGCGAAGAGGGCGAGAAGGAGAAGAAAGAAAACGAAGAGGGTGGGAAGAAGGAAAAGAAGGAGAAGGAAAAGAAAGAGAAGGAGAAGGAGAAGAAGAAGCCAGCCGCGAAAGCATCGAAGAAGACAGCAGACAAGGATACACCAGCTCGTCGAACCAGCGGGAGAGTTACTCGCTCTAGAACAGCTGCCAGCTAAGGCTCCTTGCTCCAGAATCTTTTACCATTGCTGTGATCAATATGTGTTTCCTTCTCAAAAGTGTTTTAATTACTATATATCATAGTTTAATCAGCTACCGTTATTAACCAGAGGCCGATAGCTTTACAACTTGCACTTCTATGGGCTGCGTCACAGATAGCCAAATTATATCTATAATTCCAACATAATATCTGTCCATCACATCATGATATTCAAGTATAAAAAGTAACGAGAGTGGCGGCTAAAAGACAAGAGCCGCGCGTTGTCCCAGCAACCGCCGATGTTTAGGGGGGCAAATGTCAATTAACAATTTTATTGACCAACCGCCATCTTCCGCGATCAGGGCAGACTCTGATCAATCACAACCACAAAGCAAGTTTAACGGCCTTAAATTTTGTCTATAAAAATATATATCGACGCGGCTTCACCTGAACATATTCGGCCATGGAACGACCAAAGTCCGCGAATGGACACGCATCGCTATTCCAGGTCTACCTGCGACTGCGACCACCGATCAGATATGACGCCAAACAAGAAAGCTTTCTGTCCGTTGAGCTTCCCAGCGGTGACGATGAATCCGAAGCCCAAAGCTGGCCAACCCATATTACCGTTCAACCGCCGAGCGATGTGAGAAAGCGGGCGGTTGAGAAATTCGCGTTTACAAAGGTGTTCGAGGAAGCGTCAACACAGCTGGACGTTTTTCAGGGGTCTGGCATGCCATCTTTGATCAATGCTGTTCTTTTGGAGAATAGAGATAGCCTGGTTGCAACTCTAGGCGTTACAGGAAGCGGGAAGGTATGCTACAACCGTCCTTGCGTGGTGGTTCTACTGTTGACGATATGAATTAGAGCCATACGATTCTAGGATCCAAGACGCAACGGGGTATAACGCAAATGTCGCTTGATATTATCTTTAGATCCCTCGATGCAACAATACAATTCCCAGACGACGATGCGGACGCTCCCCTCCTCGATGCTCTCGCGGCATCAGACCCTTCAGAGGCCCAGATATATTCCGCAGAGCACTTTCTCGAAATGTTGTATAATGATTCGAGCACAGATCGTGGCCGAATATCAAGAGCGCAGACTCCAATGTCCTCTTCCAGGGCGCAAACACCCATGGTAGGGAATCCATCTTATTCCAGCATTTCAGTACTATCACAGAAAAATATGCATCCATCGAATATATACCATTTAGCACTTGATGACTCTTCAGTAATGGAGGCTCTTCAAGACGCACAAGAATCCCCTTTTATCACACGGCTATCGGGCTACAGAGGCCCTAGTCGCAATCATGGCTCCTACTAGGGCCTCCACGGGCCATCAAATCTTCCCTCACAATTGCCCTTCTGGAACCGGTCTAAGATTGTGAAGAATGTTACTAAATCACGCCTTAAGGACTCATTCATAGGATCGACAACCTCACGGCGCGCACACGTCCCTCGACCGAGCATGTTGCCCCAAGAACCGGACACGAGCGACATCATAATTCCTGTTCCTGAAACCGACGCGCACGTAGTCTTGGTATCTATGTACGAGGTATACAATGATAGGATTTTCGATCTTCTCTCTCCGGCAGGCCAGTCAACCGGAGCGAGAGCCGCGAATAACCAGAAAGACCGCCGACGACCCCTACTTTTTAAATCAACAGAAGGGTCAACAGACCGCAAAGTAGTTGCTGGTCTACGTAAGATCGTATGCTCTACATATGAAGAAGCCCTCATGGTCCTAGAAACGGGGCTGGTCGAACGAAGAGTTACAGGCACGGGAAGCAACAGTGTTAGTTCACGAAGCCATGGATTCTTCTGTGTCGAAGTGAAGAAAAGAGTCAGGGATAGGAGGCACGGTCATGAGACTTGGACTGGAAATACTTTTACAATTGTTGACCTTGCAGGTATATTCTCCCTGTTCCAGAAAAACTATACATTGGTATTTACGCCCATACTTACCATCATTCCTTAGGATCCGAGCGAGCAAGAAACGCCAAAACCGCAGGGGCAACTCTTGCGGAGGCGGGCAAAATTAATGAGAGCTTGATGTACCTCGGGCAGTGTCTGCAAATGCAGTCTGACCTTCAAGATGGAAATAAGGTAGGCCTCCTTGGTTTATGTAAGAGTGAGTATACGGAATTTATCTAATAAACACACGATGAATAGGCACTCGTACCATTCAGACAATGCAAACTCACAGAGCTTCTATTTTCCAACTCATTCCCGTCGCCAAACAATGCATCGTCAAATTCACAACTCAGAAATACCCAGAGAGCTGTCATGCTGGTAATGGCTGATCCTCTCGGCGACTTCAATGCGACCTCTCAAATGCTACGATATTCTGCTCTAGCTAGAGAGGTTACTGTTCCAAGAATCCCATCTGTAACAAGTACAATCTTGTCAGCGACTACGAGTGCCAGCGGATCGAGAAATGCTACCGTTAGTAAGTCTCAGGCAGCTCTTGCGGAACAGCTGGAAGCTGCGGCCTTGGAAATTGCGCAGATAAGTGACGAATACGAGGCATTGGCCGTGAGATTCTCCGAAGAAGAGGTCGAGAGAATCGAGGGAGAATTAAAATTGAAAGCCGCTGAAGAGAGATGTTTGGTTATCGAGCAAGAGGTCCGAGAGGAATGTTGGGCCGAGATGGAAGAGCGTATGGAAGAAGAAAGAAGACGTTGGCGAGCAGCATGGGATGAACAGGTAAATAAATCCAAGATACCCCAATCATTGGCCAACACAGTCTAACAATTATATCATAGTCTTCTCGAAACGAGGACCATCTTGATATGAAACTTGACCTTCTTTCCCGTGGAATCAAGAGTAAGCATACATTCCCACCCTTTAAATTGTTTAATGACCTAGCAAAATTTCATAAACTGACATCTCCCAAGTACATGAAGATGTTGAACCCAACTCCTCGGGTAGAATCAACGAGCTCGAAGCTGAGAATGACTCGCTACGGCACAAGATCGAGCAACTTGAGAGAGAATTGCTTTCTAGATCTCCAACAAAAAAGGCCAAATCTAAGAAGAACACGATACCCGGCCGGTTTGATTCAATGGATTACAGCTTCATCCCCACCCACGAAAGCGATGTTGAAAATTCACAGCCAGACATGAGGAAGCTTAACCTGGGATCTAGCCCACTTGCACAGGTTGGGAAGCCAAAGAAGCTAACTGCTCGGCAATGGGATTTGGCTCCCGAAGGTACATTTGATTAACGAATCTGGTTTGTTATGGGATTTTATGACTTATGATATTGGATTTGTTTCTATGTATATCCCCGTTATAGCTTTACTTTTTTAATATGGGTTTTGGTAATATTGACAAGAAGGAGTTATCTCTACATGTTAATGATTATGATTGCATTGTATATAAATACAGAATGTATCAAATCCCTTGCTTCAACGTGAAAGAACAGAGTAAATCCATGCGATGGATACGCCAGAAAGGAGCGGGTATATCAGAAGCTAGAGGTAACGTAATAGGACAAGCATCTTTCCCGCTCAAAAAACAGTAAGGAGAAATGGTGATATTAGTATATAATACAGTTGAGATGAATGGGCTTCATTCAATCTTGCTGCTGCTGCTCTTCCGTATCCTTATCTGACATCCGTGAATCCGCTGCCTCGGCCCTCGTGTCCTGCACAGAAGGGGCGGGAATCGATTCATTATCACCGCCATCTGCGCTGATGTTGGTTGAAAATTCAGATGCTGCTTTGGGTGACAACATACGGGACTTGAGGTGATTTGGGAACAATGGACTCGAAGGCTTCATAGCATCCCCCGAGGCCGTTTCTGTTTCAGGATCGCTAAGCCCACTCTCATCTTCCGTAGTATCGTGCACGCTATGATCTGGCACCGATACTTCCTTGTCATCTCCATTATTCTCCTCTTTCTCTTCGTCGTTGTTCTCTTCTTTTTCGTCATCGTTATTATCTTCCTTTTCTTCATCGTTGTTATCTTCTTTATCCTCCTCATCGTTGTTATCTTCTTTATCCTCCTCATCGTTGTCTTCTTTGGCCTTATCCTCCTTGTCATCTCGAGCCGCATCGGTTGCATCCTCGTTGTTTGCTGGCTGATCAGCGGTTTGCTGTTCCGTTTGCGCCTGTTTGGCTTCATCCTCTGCAGATTTTACCGGTTTAGGAGCAGGGCGCGGTGCTTTGTACGCAATCGCGTCGGCTTTTTTCTGCACCTCTTTCCGAGTTACCCCCTTCGCTCGAGGTCTGGGACCGGGTGTTTGAGCTGGGGTTGAGACAGGCGGCGTTTCTGTTCCATCGGCCGATTCGCCGGCCATAAGCAAATGGTCCACCTTCATTCGCTCTCGATTTTCCTCGCCAGCCACTTGCTCAACAAATTCTGGCAGTGTCTTCTGGTATAGCTGGGCGTATATATCCGCGACAAGGTCATCAAACATGCCGGATTTTATAATCGGCCCGTTCAATTTCTTCAATTCTACGGCATCGCGGAGCAACTCGATTGTTGACGCTTCTTCCTTGGCTGGGTTTTGACACCAAGAATCTAGACGGCCAGAGTAGAGGGTAAAGTCGTCATAGCTAACACCCTTGAAAACAGCATCTTCTTTTCCTTCTGGGATGTTACCCGCACGGCGGAGCAGCTAGATGGTGGTCAGCAAATGCAATAATTAGGTTGGCCAGAGACAATAGGGGCATATCCATACTCTTATATATGTGGCACAAGTGTCCTCCCAGAGTTTAGGAAATTTCAGATAATCATTGACCTTTCGCCTCACACGGCGGACTAGCATGTCCAAGTTTGCGCGATCGTCAAGTTGTTCTAGTAGCTGTACAAAGAAGTAAACATATCGTGTGGTATAGACAAAATGCCTCCCAGCTCTCTCGTTTTCCGGTCGCCAAACCTGTACCGTCATAGTCTTGGTAAATATATGCTGAGTGAGGTCATTTTTTGCCGCCATTGCAGCATCGTTGTCCTTTGAATCGTCGTATATTATATGCGCAGCCTAATATAGAATTAGTACTTCCATCCAAATAATAAGTATTAAACGGTTAAACGAACTCTCGCAACAATACGATGGTGCCAGTTAGACTTATCAGCATTCTGCAGTTGCTTTAGCACGGCCAAAATGAATGGTTTCCAAGAGTCCATATCCGTTGCCAGTGATAACCCTCGAGCCCATGGAGTGGCAAGTAGCTTTTCACTGGCATCCTTTGGCTAATTTGTCTCTTAGTAAATTGTACTAACCAGTGCTGAGGAGTGTACTAGCAGCAAGCTTACCTCTAGGTCACCTCGTTCAACAAGCTTGTGGGTTATGGAAACAAGTTTAAAATGTGGCTCCAATATTGGTTCTGATGTTCGGCCGTCCTTCTTTTTTGGTAGAACATCAATGGCATCCGTTAATGAATCCAGGATATCGGTAGGTTCGATTGGCTTATATCGCTCCTTCAGCGGATCATTACTGCAGTACATTTTCCACAGACATTTACTAAACATGTAATGATTCCTAAAATAATAATAATAATCAGCATCTCCCAAGGAATAGATAGGCCGATTTCTAAAAGTGATGACTTACCTCCAATTCATTGGCCGGTCTTTCATTGCTTTGTGGAACAGGTAACTAGCAAAGTACCAGGCGGAAAATGGTTTCATAGCACTAAATGGCTTTCCTTCATACATCCTCTGGCTTTCTCCGCTGCTAAAGTGCCTCATGAATGCGGATACGTCAAATGCACCCATAGACAACGGGTCCCTGGTGGAGGCATATATTCGAAGACCAAACTCTGTATATAGGTCAGATATTTGTTTCTTTTCATCAGGCTTCAAATCGGCTGTTTGAACAGCAATCGCAATGGCCATAGAATACGCATGAATAGCCCTGCGTTCCACAGTTGCAAGTTCTTCGCGGTCATTGTTGAGTTTTTCAGCGGACCAAGCAATGTCTTCTTCAAGTCGCAAATCGTATACTTGGGCAAGTCTATACCATGATTCCCATCGATCTTTTCCGTGTTCTAAATCATGGCGGAATAGTGTGGCAGCGAGATCTAAATCATCGGTCGGGGTAGGGCCGACCTTCTTTTGAGCTCTGAATTTGGCGAGCGCTGCGGAGCCAAGGAAGGTGAACCAGCCTTTGTCGGCAAGGTCAGAGCTCTTTGAATAAACGGGAATCATAGACAACCCACTAACTCCTTGCACCGAGCGGAAAAGCTCCAGAGGATTTACGGGAGCTTTCAAAAACTTTGATAAAATTCTCTTGTTGAGAGGCGTTGAAAGTTCTGACTTGCCCATCAGCCCAATCTGTCTTTGCAGAGCGTCAACCGTTGGCTTCAGATCAGATTTCAAGTAATCTTTGATATCTATTCGCTTCGTTTGAGAAATAGTGAAATCAACCAGCTTTAGAGCTATTTCCAGATCTAGAGTCTCATATGGGCAGCCATGATCAAAGGAGACATCCAGATGAGGCGAGAATTTGAATTTGTATAGGTCGTACAGAACTTGAGCAAGGTCGTTCTCATAAACGTCTTCAGTCTCTAGGGTTAAGAGTTCATCTCTCATGAGTTTGACGAACGCGTTTTTCGGGTATTTGCAATATGAGCGGAGTCCAAGCGCATTGTGAACAGAACGTAAGAAGTGTATGCGATCATCTAAGGGGGTATCAAATAACTCCTTATTCTGTTCGATACCTTCCCTTAAAAGAGTATACTGCACGATCCAGGTCTTAACAAACAGGCTGCGTAGCTTATCTTTGAACTGCTCTAAGGACTTCGCGGTCGATGCAGGACGAATGTCGGCGGGTGTGACCTGACCAACACGAACCCCATCTTCATAAAGCGCAAAAGATTGAAGGATCCTAGACAAACGAGCTAAAGAGGACATGGACACCTGGAGGTGGCCCCAATCAAAGCATTCAAACGATGTGCCGGGTTTGGCAACGACTCTCCGCATTACACTTGTCAGTATGTCATCCGCCAGTTTTAACCACTTTAGTAAGCTAGACCGACGTTCATCAGCTGGAATTTCCATGCGCGCTGGGCGGTTCAACTCCTGGACAACCGTTTCTAGACTTCGGAGGTGGCAAGAGACCACCTTTGTGGGGTAATCAATTGAATCGTAAGCATCACGAAGTCGGCGCCACAGGAACAGTTTGAGAGTAGCATCTCCCTGGTCTAGGAAAGCGATTAAATTTCGAGTAGCCATTGCTGGTTCAGCCGTCTCAGATACGTCACCATTTTCATCTGTATATTGCACTGAGGACGGGTCTAAAACAGGCTCAATGGTTTCAATCAGGTGTACAGGATCATCCGTCCCAGAGCCGAATATGTCTGTGAAAAACCCCATCGCCCTAAGACGAGACACCTCCTGATCAATAGCAGCGGCGGATATTTCTGGCATTGTGCTATTATTCACCAAAGAAATGACTGGGCTCCCTAGGGACACTAAAGCACGTCGGATATCGTTGAGACATAGTAGCACGTAGTCTCCATTTTGGTCGTCTATCATATTTTCATGGAAAGTGGTGGCCCATAAGTGCCGTAGCACAATGGCAGTTTGTCGATTGTCCACAGCACAGAGATCGAGGTAGTAACTGATGTAGCCGCGTGTCATTGACCTCCATCGGCTCAGTCTGTCTTGCTGGAGTATCATGGCATCCTGGTTCTTCTCATTTCTGCGGACGATCGAGTCGTATATGTCCAAATGTAACTCATAAATGCTTTGTGCCATCTCCACAGCAGTAAGGTCATCAGGTGTGAATGAGTATGGCGTTTCGTGGGCATGTGATAGGATTCTTTTTTCTAAGCTTAGAGCAAATTCTTTCAGCCTGCTATGGACAAATTCGTCTAATCGAAAAAGTATCTGGGTAAGTGTGTCCCGTGTACTTTGGGGCAAGCAATGAGCTGCGTAAATTGAGTCCGTCACGCTAGATATGTCATGTCCATCAAGAGATTGAAGGTCTGGCTTTAGGTACTTTTCAAGCCATTTGAAGGCTACTTCTTGCATCGACAGGTTACTAGCATTAGTACTCTGTGCAAACTGTTCCAGGCCTTCGTCATCAACTAAGTCCCTCTCCTGTTCAGTCTTTGCGCCAACCTGTTTAGAGTGTTCGATAAAGACACTAAGGCCGGATTTCTTCACGCCTTTCAACCCATCCTGGGTATCTGCAAATATATCACTGTGAAGCGCTACTTTTCCAAGGTCATCATTCCAATTCTCAATGACATATCTCAAGTCATGGAAGGCCAAAGATTCAGGAGAAGGTTCGGTGCTAGCTTGTGGCAGGTTCGAGTCGTTGGGTGCGAGAATCTGTTTTATTTGATCGATACTCCCAAGTTCCTCTACGCCAAACTTAGACAATAAGCTGTTAGCGGTGCTAAACATCCACTCATCAGCTTGGGCGTAAATCTCGAGACGATCTTCGAAATATCTTGTCTGGTCGAAGATTACTTCTTCTGGCTGTGTGTGCATATCGGCAATAGACTCTCGCGCGCGTATGCGTTTGCTTTTTGTTCTCCCTCCGTCGGCTGGCTCTTCAACGGCGATTGACGTTGATGATCGCTTTCTCGTCTGGGGCCCAGACCTCCCTTCTGCCTCATCCGCTGGTTCATTCGGCTTTTCAGTGTCTTCTTTGTCCTTTTCGACAGCCTCCTCGTCATCTTTTTCTTTATGGCTATCGTCGGTCACGGTTTCATCAGTCTTTCCATCAGCTTTTTCAGCCGGCTTCTCTTCGGTTTTTTCATCAGCCACTGGCGTAGATTCCTTAGCGGCCACACTGTCTTCAGCGGGAATTGAAATAGCTTTTGAATCAGGCTTCGTTTCTGTATCACATGAATCCCCCGTAGTGGTATTCTTATTCTTGGACGCCCTTCGACCTTGGATTATAGGAAGGGTTGCTTCAGGAGAGGCCATCCTGACATCAGGGTCTGGCAGGCAGATTTCCATCGTTCCCTGTACCCCGCTCTGATTTGAGCCCTCTTCGCTCAGTAGCTCAAGAATCTTTTCGCCCAACGCAGCCCAAGTGTTAACTGCTGGAGCTATTGGGTGACGTTTGATTGCAGGGAGGGCGAGTCCACAGGAAATAAAACCACCATCCAGCTGCCTTAATGCGGAAGGAAGGTATGGGAATGGATCTATTTGTCGCTGAAGAAAATTAAGCAGTGCTCGTCTCGGCTGCTTCCGTGGAAGCTGTGCAAGCGACACCTGGTCGTAGAGGGCAGTAAAGAATTTTCGTAAATCGCCGACAGCACCGGCTTGCTCAATGCCCAGCTGCTCGAATCCATCATCTATACCATCCCCATTTCCTTCAAAAACGCTCTCTAAGCAGAATCTCGAAATCCGATGGCTTCTCAGGGCATCGCCAACCCTTCCACATTTCCTCCAGAGCTCAAGGTCAGAGTCATCACGCTCAAGTGCATCCGCAAAGTGCCTAATGGCCAAGGCTGTAGAGGGCGCTGTATCGGCCAGATCTCCGCCTTGCTCCCAGGCATATCTAACAGTGTCAAGCAAGAATTGGCCGTAATTTTTATATGACAGGTATAGGGTTTGCGGTAAAGCGCTGGCTGCAGTTTCGGTCTCGTCCACGGCAGCAACCGACACAGCAGACGGTTCATCGATTTCTTCTATATAGTCATTTTCTGACTGTGCGGCTCCCACTGCAGACTGGGGGAATTTGAATATCTCCGACTTGAAGAGCGCGTCATATGCTTCTCCCGCTTCTTTATAATGCTTGGGCCCCTGCGAATGGAGCTTGAGCGCGGTCTGATATAGCTTGAGGGCCTCCTCTATTTGGATCTCGCGCGTATCATCGACTTCTTCCTCTGGAGTCTCGTCTGCCTCTATATTTAGGGCTGCAAAGGTGGACATGGTCAACCTCCCAGTGAGGTTCCACTGATATCAAACTCACAATCCTCCACGACCTGCGCCCAGATAATATATAGAAAGAGATAGAAAATAAACAGAAGCAGAGTAATGGAAGTATCAAGCAAGGAGAGGCAGTGTTATTATCAAAGAGAACATGTTCTCCTGGTTGGAGTTGTTGGATGCGAGTTTGCAAAGGGTGAAGCTTGGTTGTCGCGAACTTCCCAATCAGGCATGGCGTGAGATGCGTGAATGCGTAAGAAAGTAAAGCACTGCCTGGCCCAAGTAAATACATTCCACCACACTCTCCATCTTACTATTCAGGGCTCGATATGGCTTTTAATTCAGTTTGATGTCCTCAGGGAAGCATTCAATCCTACTATTCGAGTGTCTGTCCGCCTGCACTATCTGCTCCTTGTCTTCGTGTTCGGCCTAGGGCTGAGCTGGCGATATGGTGTCCCCAGCTGTTCCAGAGTAAGTGGCATTGCTTCGGCCAACAATTCATGTTTCGCTTTTTGTCGAGCTATCGTTCTTTATTGCTCTTGATGGGAGTTGCTGCTAGAAACATTTCTGCGATCGTATATTAACATTAATTCCATGGAACAGGCTTATCGAGGAAGACGATACGATCTATTCATCCATAGATGCCCGCACCGAATCCCTACAGAATCTGAGAGAACTCGGCCCTCCAGACCTCGTTCACCTGGTGAAGCAATCGAAATCCGCTGCCAATAGCCAGGTCAGATGCGCCAACTCCTTGTTAGCTGTGGTTGCCCACTACTAAGCTTGTTGACTAACCTGGCTGGCTCCTATCTTTAGACCGGAGTCTATCACCATGTAACCGGAATAGATGCGTCCTCGTCTGCCAGTTTAGCAGCATATGTGAACACTCTTACCTACTCGCCAATTGACAAGCAGCACAAGGTGGTTGCCGGGATATACTGGTACGAATCTACCACCCCTCGAATGCCGATATACACGCTAACGTCCCCGAAAGCTGCTACAATGCCTTTTCCCACGTAGATATGAGAGTCGAAGTGAAGATTCCAGGTAGTTTAGAGAGCTACTGCATTGATGAGCGCGGAGATAAACGTGTCGCAACGGAAGCACTATGGCTAGAGACATTTGTATGTGGTGTGCTCAGGTCATACTCATACGCCGACGATGGGAGCGGGGATGCCATCAAGAAGATTGTAGGCGTGAGAAGGTTCAATCCGATCACAAACACGGAGATGGAACATAAATTCCTGGATGCTTCAGAAAAGCTCTTTTTCAATGGTTCGGAATCCGCGCATTTCAGCCGTTTCGTCATATGAATGCTAACGAATGCCCCCTTTTTTCCCACTAGGTCGACAACTCAGCTCTGACCCCGAAACCCAGGTCCCAAATACCGTCACTAATCATCTTACCTCTGGTCTTTTGAAATATATCAATACAACCGGCCGTTACGTATCTGGAATCAATCTTTTTGAGAAACTTCGAGCGCGAGAGGTGGAAGTTTCGTCGCTTCTTGCGCGCGTTCTGATATCTGCAGATGAAGAAGTGCAGGCAGTACGATTACTCCACGATGCTCTCAAGGACATCCCAATGGATTACGCCCTCTTAGACTGCCAGGCGGCATTCTGCCAGAGTAAAGGCGAGCACGAAATGGCGCTTGAATGCGCAAAACGGAGCGTTACCGCGGCCCCAAGCGAATTCAGCTCCTGGGTCCGCCTGGCGGAAGTATACGTGAGCCTAGAGAAATGGAACTTGGCTCTACTAACCCTGAACTCCTGTCCTATGTTCAACTACCAGGATCGAGACTCACCTCGAATGCCGCAACCAACACGTATCATTTTACCCGTTCTTCCCGAAAGCATGCTTGATGAAATTGACGAAGGTCAACCCAAAGAAGGCGGGCCCCATGACATGGTACATCCTACTCTAAGAAAGCTACACGCCGGCAACTATCAAGGCACGTTCCTCAAAGCGTACAGTCTGTTGACTAAGATCGCCTCGAACATCGGATGGGACCAACTCCTGAAAATCCGAAGCGAGGTGTTCGTCATGGAGGAGGAGTATAGGGTTGAGCGACAGACGGCAGGACGACCAGGAAGCACGACTCAGAATGCCAGTACGGTAGCGTTACATGACGGTGCAAGCGAAGTGACCGGCACGACCGAGGACACGAATGAGTCCGAGAATGAGAACGAGAAAGATGCGGAATCATCTGGGCAAAACGGGGATGAGAGCAAAGCCAACAAGCCGTCAGAGAACCACGGAATTGAGAAGCCTAACCAAACTGTTGCTTCAGAGGTTGTCAAGTCCGGCAATGACGATGTAAGTTCCCAGGCTGCACGATCTTACCGGGGGAGTCAAATTGACAATGATATCAATCAGCAGGATAACTCTAACCCCCACTCTCAATTCCATAACAAACGTCTATGTGAACGCTGGCTCGACAATCTATTCATGGTTCTCTACGAAGACCTACGCGTCTACACCATCTGGCGTTCCGAGATGGCCCAGTCTCGCCAACAGTCGCTTGAATATAAGAAATCTGCAACAGAGTGGGAGATCCTCGGCGAACTTGCCGAACGACTCCATCACTTGCCAGAAGCAATTGAGGCATATCGACACTGCTTATCCGTTCGATTCTCTCCCAAAGCGTTGAGGGGTATCCTAAAGCTATATGAGCGACAAAATGATACGAGAGGGATGCTTAACGCGCTGATCAGGCTGATTGCATGGCAGTATAGATGGTACTCCGAGGTATGTCCGAATATCAAGACTGACTCCACCCATGACAGCCAAGTATGCACAAGGATAAAGAATTGCTAACTTCTACAGTTCTCGCCGGACCTCTTATATATAATCCGCAAGCTGATTGAGGAAGAAGGCGCCGTCAAAGTCCGCAGCATCGTACAAGCAACCAACCTCCCCCAGCCCATCCTGGATCTCACCCATCAATACTGCCAGCTCTGTGCGACGTTTAGAAGCAGCGGGAGCGACGGCTAGATTGATGTTCCTATATACGCAAACCCCAACAAGTGCATGAGCGAGTCTGGACGAAAGAAAAATCATACCTGTCTGCATTAATTAATTTGTACGCCATGTCCTCAAGCCCAACTAGGTACGGAGTAAGATCATGATATTCAAACCACCCGTATTTTATCCCTCTACTCTCCTTCGATCCGGTCACCGTTAACACTGTCTTGACCGTTCAACCCGCTGAACCCTCCATTCCTAATGACTTTCTACCCGTAACCTATCGGTTTTTCATTGGTCATCCTTACATCGTAGCGTAGCAAAGGCAAAGCCAAAAAATAAATAATGCAGCGGTAAGAGTGGGGCGATATAAATCCGTACTCGAATTAAATTTTGTAAATAAATAGAATCGGGAATTAATTTTGATGTTCGTTTTTTTTTGCGTTTTCTTGATCTTCTTCTTGCATCTCCCCTTGACGACGGTTGAACTCCACGAGTATCTGGATGAGGATATCAGCGTTCATCACGATAACGGGGAGTGTTATCGGTGAGTACGACTGTATACTACGAGTTCAAGAAGTTGGTCTCTTGAATATATCAAAATATGATACCCAGCACGCGAGTGTCGCGTGCCTCGAAAAGAGAGCATCGACGTCCTTCAACGTCCTTAAAGAAGATGACGATGACATCTTTTGCAAGATTCCTTATATTCCCCATTTCTATTTTCAGTACACTTCATGATACCCAGGTACAATTTTCCATATTCTCGTACAATTCACCTGCTCATCTTCCTTCCTAGTCAGCCTCAGCTGGTGCTGCTTTAGTTCCTTTGGCCGAAGCAACCTTTGCAGCTACCTCATCATCTTCTTCTCCCTCACCATCCTTGTCTTCATCATCTCCTTCTTCTTCCTCTTCCTCTTCTTCCTCCTCTTCTTCTTCTTCCTCCTCCTCCTCATCCTCTACGGCTTTCTTCTTCGCAGGAGCCCGTGTGATCTTACGTCGTTTAATCGAAGCTATTCGATGCAGAGACAACGTTAGAATATATCCGAACTTCATCACCATATGGATACGGGGAAAGATATGGAAATCCAAAAAGTGATAAACCCTCTCCATGCTGGACAAGCGGATGAAACAAGAGTCTGAGAAGGGAATCGAGACGATTCAACATACGTTCTGGTTCTTCAGCAGCGGCTTCTTCATCGTCGTTCTCTTCCGAATCATCTTCTCCTTCAAAATCAGATTCATCTTCGAACCTAAGTAAGAGTACCACGTCAGCATCGATACTACGTCCATATTGCAAGACAGTGACCGTGTCCATCGCCATCCGGTTAGCCTAGGGCCGGAATTCACGGAGACGCTTACTCTTCCTCTTCTTCCTCGTCACTCTGATCGCTAGGGAGAGCCTGAAGCTCCTCCTCCTCTCCGGCTTCTTGTCTTCTCTTACGTGTCGTCATTATGGGCGTCAATTGGGTGTCTGCGGATGGTTATGTTCCGGTGAGGCTAGCTATCACGTCAACGATCTATATAAGCCGTCTGGGGGTGCGAGGGGGAGGGATGGAGGTGAACGTCGGGCTCAATGGGGCCGTACCTGGGTACTGCGCGTGCGAGTGAGGGCGAGGACGAGAAGCAGGCAGATACGAGGGAGAAGGAGAGGGAAAAGGAGGACGGCGGAGGGGGGAAGGTCAAGAAAGCTCGCCGTGAAGGAGGGAAGCGTCGTCGCCGTTACGTGACGTGACAGCCCACCGCCGTATCACGGCATACGCTTGCAGGCATAAACAGGGAAAACGGCTGGCGGCATCCGTGGCTTGCGGCAAATGTGATGCGTAATAATACCCCGTGGACCTCCGCTTTTGTATCTGGAAGTAGTTTACTCCACAACTCTGCTGGTAAGATACAAGAAGATACTTTGTTATGTAACAGTACTGTTGTGTATGTTATTCCTGTACTGCTGATACATACATACTTCCATCACATAAAAACGTCAAACAAAGCGATCCATGGGCATCATTCTCGCGATATCAAGGTGATTGGAGTGCTTCATACACTGTATCTCACTCAGTAGATGACCCAGGGACATCTGACGCGTAAGTTGCCTCATCTAATATGCCAGAGCGAGACTGACGGCCTCTGGAGACCGCGAGTCACGGCGGTCATATTCGACCAAAGAAGGGCTGGAAAATGCAGCAATGGCATTAGTATTCTCGCCTTAACATGATAGTATATATTATCCGCTGAGTTTTGGGGCAAGGTTGAAAATAGAGTGACGATACAGACGCCAGGACAGAAATTTGTACAAACACAACAGATTCTACAGACAATGCTGTAACTCTTAGATATGCAAGAGTGTAGCAGGACAGAGGATAGCTTCTAGCTAGAAAGCTATAGTCTCTCGAGACGGTGATAGGCTATACGTCTCAGCTTGGTCTGTCGAGGTAGGCTATGAAACACGTTGGACGCGTCCAAGACAGCTTCCGCGGTCTTCGTATAGATCACCAGTAACCGCGAAGGTCGCCCACCTGAAGCAATATATTTGAATCCGTGGATACGTATTCATGGCGATGATGAACACGTAGTATTATATTCTTCTAGCCGCCTAGCCTTTAAGAGAGATAACAATAAGCCCACCGTCCGCTTGTATCAGGAATTTATTAACCATATAGATATTGGTACAGCATATAGACCTTACACGTTTCATTTATGCGTAGAACAGCAATTAGAGGAACAAGATTAATTCTCGAAAGATGACAACGAGATGTTTCCTTGATCATATTGTGGATATGACGACTAATAACTACTTGAACGATGCACTGGAAACACGGAGGGCATCGTTGATTGAGGTTGACAGATATCTTTTGTACCACTGTGCGTCGTGTGTGGTATATTCATGAAAATAATTGGAGGGACATATGTATGTGGTCAAAGTAAATAATTGTAACTTTAGACAGTTTCATAGAATAGATAGCCTCAATGCAGGAACGAAGACCAATATGCATGAGGGAAATCCCTAAATGTAATAGCTATTTACTTCACAACCCATTCAACGAGAGAGAATATATAACAATACCCTGCAAGAGCTAAATATATACAATAAATACTTTTCAGTTGAGTTTGCTTCATATTTATTTACATGATATTTTCTTGTGCCAGTTGCTAAGCAATCAACTCTTGCCTGCAAGACATCAGAGAACATATACCAATTATAGGACGTTATAACTCCAATCAAATTTCGGCCCTCCCCTCCAACTCTAGCTTTTACTCCTTCCATTTAAAATCCAATATATGACCTTTCGGAATGGCTGCCTGACCTAAGTCATGGACAAGGGGTTTCCATATCCTTAAAACCAAAATCTTCCATATTGTGTATAGCCCAGTATATATTCTATGGAACCTGGAAGGCACCCTCCTTGTGTTTTAGAAATGTTGGCCATGGCTAGGAGCATAGCGTCTCGCTCACCATGTCTGAGGTGCCTCGACAGGGGTTCTTCTAGGTCTTAGCCTTTCATGAAGCGGTCGGCCGTAAAGTTTCCTCTTAGCTTTATATCTGCTCCCGCTGCCGGGAGCTCAATAAGGCTTGCGCCGAGGACTTCTCTAATAAGGTTCATAGATTAGAGACGATGGCCTTGTCAGTCCATCTCCGGGGTTGAAGCTTCCAGTAATTGACCCGGGGAACAGGATACTTTGCTAATATTAGAATCAAGGTTGAATCCTTGACTCCCGGGGTAATTGCTGGATCAGCCACCTTTTGACCGCCCATGAAGACTCAACGAGCATAGGCATACTACCCTCGCCGACGGGAGCCGTGAATAAAAGGGATCAACGATTCGCTTATCCAAATGACATCCACATCCTATTCACCATTCAGTGCCTTTCTCGCCCGAATCTCCTTCATGCGCTGCTCAAACTGCTCCTTGCGCCAACTGCAGATGTCTCTGAAATCACACATCTGGCACTTCCAGGCTTCGGAAACCTGTACGCCTCTTGCAGATCTCTGGCCCTGCCACCAGTCCATCTCATCGGATAGATAGGGATAGAGAGACTGAGGGTCGAAGATGAAAGATCGGCTGCCCTTGTGGATGTATTCGGGAGTTTGTGTTGATGATTGGTCGGCGGTATCTTTGTCCTCGGCCGTGGACATGGACTTGGACTTGGACTTGGACTGGGAAGGGGACGGGGACCGGGGTTTGGGCTGGGAGGGATCAGGGGACATGTATGATACTGTTAAGATCGGGGAAAGAAGGGAATTTGGTACTGTGGCTGTTTGGACCGGCTGATGGCCCTGGGTAGGCGTTTGAGTGGGTTCAGGTGAATGGAGGAATGTAAGTCGTATGTTCTCCTTGAGTAAGTCCCAGAGGTGAGAAAGTGAGTTATGGTTAAGTATTACCGTCAACGAGTCGAGTCTCTCTGATCGCGTACTGCTATCCGTGCTTGGAGGAGGAGCAGAGTCTGATTGCGACTCCTGTGTCCACGAGCAGGCTTCGGGATCAAAGTAGTCGTCATTTATAGTACCTACCTGCGCCAGGAAGGAGTCTGATAATGGCTTATCCGCCTTCAGGGAGAACCTTTCCGCGATGTCTTCCATCGTGAGATCGTCTGACTCTATGAGGCGGGAGAGGCAATGGTAATAGAGCTGTAGTTGCATCAGGGCAGGCCTGAACGTCGCGCTGTCAACGGATGGTAGACCACGGCCTCTGATATCTCGCGTCTTCACGTCCGTCAGATATATACGCTGACCACCATACTCGTCCAGCCCATTCGTAGACTCGACGCCTGCCTCCCCCTTTGTCCTCATCGACGCCTCAAGCTCTGCATCCGGACATCCATAGGATACCAAATCAATGACGCCCGTGACGATCTGACCGTCAACTTTCCCCCAAACTTCCATCTCCCTCGTCAGCCCTGTATCCCTCAACGTTCGCAGACCATATATCACGTTCCATATCCGAAGGGCCCATGCATCTTCCTTCGTAATCACCTCAACAGGTACAGAGGTATGTACCTCGTTCTCTAGCTTTCTATGAACAACCGTACCACGCTTCATGGCTGGTGTTCTTCGTTTCCGACCATGTATCGTCAATGTATACCAATACTGTAGCTCGCACCATGTTGGCGCAATAAGGTCGGAGACAGATAGGCCCTTCTTGGGCGGACGACGGAATCGTTCGAGCGGAGAGCGCGTATCTTCAACATATTCTTCGGTTTGGGCCTCGCCTTCTTTTTGAACGGTTTGGGTCTCTGTTTCTTCGCTCTCTTGTGGTCTTAGGATGGGTCGTTTTCGCTGACTCGAACTGGGACTCTGGCTCTGGGAACGCGTATCGACGTCCTCTCCGGCGTGTCCTTGATCTTGACTTGGAAGTTGGCCTTCGTTTTGTAAAGTCGCTTTTATCCCGAGACTTTTCCGCAGTAGGGAGCGTCTTCGATGTTCTTGCCATCCACCACGGTTTGACAGCCCGGGACTCAGAGATCGCGTACCCTTCACATCTCCTACAGCGTGGCCTTGGTCTTCCTTTGGGGGGATCTCCTTTCCTTCGCGATTCTCCTGGTCCTTTGATCTGGAGCGTCTCCGATGTCCCCGCCAACCACCCTTGCCGTTCATAGCTAAACGCTTATCGTCAGTCTCGTCAGCATCAAATAGACTTGATAGACAGAAGGATAAAGGTGAAGAGTAAAAGAAGGGTAAGTGAGAGCGAAGAGAACCCACCACTCCCGTATGTATAGTCCTCCGCGACATGCTCTGGATAACGCGACCCTCCCACCCGCGCAAGACGCAGGTACTCATGGTCTTCTATATCAGGTATCGGCGAGCGATACCTTGGACTGTCTACCGCTGTCGTCACGGCTTCATATATCCTCTCCGTTGTCGTTGTTGTCGTTGTAATAGTTGTGGCCGTAGTTTCGCCATTCTTATCAGCGATAGAGGCGATAAGGTCGCTGAGCTGCTCTGCTTCGTCAGGCGTGAAGTCGGATCCGTAGCTGGTGCCATCGCTATCACTGTCCCAGCCATCGAGGAGCTCGGCATGCTCTTGGACGGCGGAGGGAGAAGACATCCAGACTCGACGCTGTTGCGTGGTGCAAAACTATTCGGTGGGATAGATAATTATAAGTTGTTGATGCGAGTTAAATATCCGCCCAACAACGTAACGATAATATGTGCATGTATCTATTCTACTCTATAGAAGTAACCAATCTATCCCAAACACCGAACCAGTCTATATGCATCAATCTATACCATCCCAGCCTTGACAGGCATATCCTTCGCCTCTCTCACCTTCAAAGCCTGACTCTCCATCTTCATCTCCCTAGCAGCCATCTGGTTCAACCAGCTAAGATAAGTCTGCCAGCCGAGAGCGATCGTCCCAGCAAAAATAGCCCGAAACTGCGGATCGATGTATAGAAACATAAAGGCCGAGATGGCAGGCCATATCTTTGCGCTGTTCACTATGCTGACGGGCAACGTCTTCTTTAACCGTTCTATCGTCTCGTCCATCGATGCGCCGGAGAGGAGAGACTGGGCTGAGAAGAAGTAGACGTTGAAGATCGGGGCGTAGATGAGTTGGGAGAGGGCTACTTTTGTGAAGATCGATAGGGCCTTGGAGGTATAGTTGAAGTGGTTGTGGACGAACATGAACCTGTCCTGTTAGCATATACATGTAGAGGTATAGATAGAGGTAGAGAAGGACGTACCATGTGTAGGAAGGGATGGCGACGAAGCCACCGATGGAGACATGTCTGACGGTGCGTACGGGATCGTATCTATCCCATACGCTCTTCCGCTCGCCGTCTTCCTCGTCGTGGTCGTCTGTGATCCAGGGGACGAGCAGCTGGGCACTAAAGTCGCTGAGCAGGAAGATGACGACCGTACTCCAGAACTGCGTCCAGTAGGGCCTCTTCTTCTGCTTCTCGCCGTACCAGAGTATGGCCCGGCCGAGCGAGGAGGCCTGTACCCGCGCGAAGAGGCGAGCTGACACTGGTGATGTACTCGATGTAGTTGGTGTAGGTGAGGACGGCGGTATAGTTGTAGACGTGGGGATGGGTATGGACGACGATACGGCTGGATCTGTCGCTTTCGTGTCTGTCGTCGATATATCTGCCTTCTCGAGGATGGCTGACCTGGTGAAGCGCCTGGCCTGCGACCAGGCTATCTGCGACCGAGGCAGCAGCCGTCGAGCCACCAGCCTGTTCATCTCGACTATCTCTCTCTCTTCTTCTCGACCGGCCTCCGCCACCAGGCGAAGACAATGGATGTAGGATGTGAGTTGTCGATGGTTGATGATGCAGGGAGAAAAATTGCGTATCCCGAGACAGGCCGGCTGACTACAGTCACACCACCAAATTACGACTACAAGAAGACGATAGAAGAAGAGATAGACGTGAAGCACTCGATTAGATCTAAGTACCGCGCCCTCAGCCGGGCCATCACCACTGATCAGGAAGGCATCAGGTCGCCGACTGGATATTATACACACGTAGCATGAAGAAAGAAGAAGAAAAAGAAGAACGCCTCTGACCAATCCCAGTTCCGCCGATTGTCCACAACAAGAATCAATTTAAAAACATGAAGAAACCCCAGACCGTGTCGTAAGTTAGCGAGAGAGAGAACTAAGAACGCTCACCACGCAGGCGGCGGGCGAGGTGGATGTCCTTCTGCTGGATGGTGACACGGCGAGCGTGGATGGCGCAGAGGTTGGTGTCTTCGAAGAGGGAGACGAGGTAGGCCTCGACGGACTCCTGGAGGGCGCCGATGGCGGAAGACTGGAAGCGCAGGTCGGTCTTGAAGTCCTGGGAGATTTCACGGACGAGACGCTGGAAGGGGAGCTTGCGGATGAGGAGCTCGGTCGACTTCTGGTAGCGACGGATCTCACGAAGAGCGACGGTACCTATTCCTGTTAGAAGAGTAGCGATGACGAGTGAGTAGATGTGCATACCTGGCTTGTAGCGACGGGACTTCTTGACACCACCGGTGGTTGGGGCGGCTTTGCGGGCGGCCTTGGAAGCGATGTGCTTGCGAGGAACCTTGCCTCCAGTGGATTTACCTGCGATGCGTCAGTGAGGTGATACTAAGATGAGTAAAGATGGAGACGTACGGGCAGTCTGCTTGGTTCTGGCCATTGTGGAAGAGTAAGACGATGCTTGACTTGTTGGTGATGTTGTTGTTGATGAAACTGATGATGCTGATGCTGGTTGTTGGTTGTAGTTGGTGCTGGTTGTAGTTGGTGTGGGCGGGGAGGAGTATTTGTAGGCGAGGTCGTGATTTGGCTTAGGTGATCCTGGCTAGTGATCTAGTGATCTAGGGAGGACAGCGAGTAAATCACTGATCTCGGCCACCACACCACCAAAAGACGAGATCAGAGCGAGGTGAAGGTTGATCTGGCACGGTATCACTAGACAGACACTGTTGATGCAGTTACTTACTCTCTTGATGCTGGTGGTGCGCGGGATCACTCGCTCGTTGTGCTGATGCTGGTGATGCCGGTGGACGGGCGACTGATCCTGGACGCTGATTGGCCGAGACCCAGATCACCCGTCGCGTCTCTCTCTCTATATATCTATCTCTAGCATCATCTACAGCATCTACACAACAACAACAACAGCCTCATACAGCCTTCTATACTTACACCACCACTACACTTAACACCTTCACCACCACCACTTCTCTTCTACCAACATGACTGGACGTAAGTACTCGTATACCTGTCTATGAACATACGGATGCTAACAAGAACAGGCGGCAAAGGAGGCAAGGGACTCGGCAAGGGCGGTGCCAAACGCCATCGCAAGATCCTCCGCGACAACATCCACGGCATCACCAAGCCTGCCATCCGCCGTCTCGCTCGTCGTGGCGGTGTCAAGCGTATCTCGGCCATGATCTACGGCGAGACCCGCAACGTCCTCAAGTCCTTCCTCGAGGGCGTCATCCGCGATGCTGTCACATACACCGAGCACGCTAAGCGAAAGACCGTCACCTCCCTCGACGTCGTCTACGCCCTCAAGCGTCAAGGCCGTACGTCTCTTCTACTCTACTTTATATCTACTCTGCTAACATTTGATAGGCACCCTTTACGGTTTCGGAGGTTGATTATGCATTCTATGACTGGACGTTGTGGTGTTTTTCTTTCATGGGTATCGGGTTCATGGGTTTCTTTATGGGAGGGGAGTCTGTACACTAGCTGCTTACCACGGTCGATATTCGATGGAGTGGCTGAATATGATTATACCATTCTTCTACTTTACTTCACTTTTCGGTCTATTCATAGCTACCGTAATTGCTTTTGCCTGGCCTCGCTCGCTACTGGCTCCCCTGGATGTGCCATGGTACGTGTACGCCCTCGTCCAGCCCGGCCATACAGACGCGCCCACGACGATGCGCATCTACTGCGGTGATCCCAGTTGCTGAACCAGGATGGCTGAAGATCGAATCTCGTTTTCGGGACTAGGGGACTCGCTTTAGTTTTTCTTCTTTACCCACTCTAGCGGAATGTCGGGTCAAGCGCTTCTTACTAGGATATCTCTCCTCCTCTTCTCCTCTTCGTCTTTCATTTCATCTATTATCTTGTCTCGTCTCTTTTCTTGGACTCGCTTCTCCCTGTCTCTCGTTCCTGGACTCTCGTTAATCAATCCAATTCCCACGCTCGTTTCACGGTGTTTCAGAGCCCGTTTCACGCCTCTTGGTGGTGGAGAATCTTGGTTACTTCTCTGGCCACCCAACCTCTCTTTTTCACTTTATAACAGTTGACCTTCACTTCTCTCGTCCTTCCTGGCCGATAGAGTACTATATACTCGCCAGTGTATACGATGCAGTCCCGCTCAGCGTCGAGAGGAAGCCAGTATATTCGCGGCACTAGGCCAAAGGATCAGAGCCAGTACAAGCATACCCAGGCCCAGTCCCAGGACATCAGCAGCACCAGCGGCAGCTACTTCGATATCAATTCGCCGGCATATCACAACCAGGCCAGGATCCAGGGCAGAAGCCAGAGCCTGAGCCAGGTACAGGAGAGGACGTCGAGATACTACAAGCCCGACGATGCTGCAAGATACAACTACGACAAGCCGTACCAGGCATATCAGAAGAAGACCATAGAGTCTCCCTACCGGGCATACTCGCCGCATGTCTACGAGTTGAGCGCGGATGAAGGCGTCTGTCTCCCTGCGCTGGATACTTTTCAGCCACTTCAATCGCTCGTCAACTTCAGTCCGGCCAGTCCTGCTGCCTCGTCCAGCAATGCCAGTCTTGACCGTCAAGCAGCCGTCTCTCGTCCGGTACCGACGGCCGTGGCTCAGCGGTCAGCTACAGTCTCCTATCCTCGACCGATGTCTGTGGCCGTGAGGAGTGATTCATACTACTCCAATGCCAGCCCGGTTGCCTCGACCACCAGCCTCGACAGACCGGCCACTTCGGCCGTCGCCTATCGTCCGGTGTCTACCGCCGTTCCTCGACCGATGTCTGCTGCCGTGGCTCAGCGGTCGATGTCGAGTGCTGCTCCTCGGCCTATTTCGACGGCAGTCAGGAGTAACTCGTACTATTCCAACGCCAGTTCTGCTCCTAGTCCGGTTGCCAGTTCAGTTGCCCTTCCAGCTGCCATTCAAGTTGCCAGTTCAGCTGCTCCTAGTCCTGTTGCCAGTTCAACTGCGAGTCCGGTTGCTCCAAGTCTAGTTGCATCTAGCAGCACCACCAGCCTTGACCGTTCGATGCCTACTGCACTCGCTCAGCGGTCCATGTCTACGGCCGTCCTCCCTCGACCGGCTCCGGCGGCCGTCGCTCAGCGCTCAATTTCTACAGTTACTCGACCGGCCTCTGCCGTCAGAAGCAGTTCATACCACGCCAACACCAAAGCCAACCCGGGCATAGTAGCAACACGAAACACCATCGTCTTCGATGCAGGTCTGCTCAGCGGGTACGGGCAGCAGCAGCAACAGCAGCAAACGCCTACACCCCCGGCGGCAGCGGCAACATCATCGTCAGAATACGTCGCCAAACAGCCTCGTTTCTATGCTTCGTTGCGAGCGTCAATGCTAGTCCCAGACTCGGTACAAGTTACCACTGTTGAAGAAGAGACCACGGCCATCCGTCAGCGGCAATCAGTATACGGACAACAGGCACGACCACGATCGAACCGACGCTCTCAATGGCCCAGAGCCAGCTCGCGTTTTTTCACCGGCAGCCCCATCGCAGATATCGCCGATAGCGACGAAGCAAGCACAACAGATAACGTCGATAGCCGCGCCTCTCTCTCCTGTCCATCCCTGCTACCCGCCAGCCAACTGAGTTCTGTATCATCTACATCCCCCTCAACCCCCAAGTCGAGTGGAGACGACTATAAATCGCAGTATAGAAAGACTAAATCCTTCCCCCTCGAGAAGACCATGACCATGTCTTCGTCCAGAACGACGACAGCGACGTCAGACTTTAACGCGCGAGACGATACGGATGACCGTGCATCCAAGGCACGGAAGTTGATTAAGCGAAACCCTTCGGCGCCAGCACCGCCGTCGTTTCCTACTCCGCGGTCCATGTCTGTGGCGCCGCCGATGCCGACTTCTGCTCCGCCGTCTCCTCCTTCTCTCCCTCGCGCGATGTCTATACATATACCGCCCCGCTCGGGCTCGGCGGGAGCAGCCACGGAGAAGGTTAAGAAGAAGCGTCTCGCGTCCTTGTGGACTGGCATGGGTGGCTTGTTCCGTCTTCGAGTTTCAAGTTGATTCTCTTTCGCTTCTTGCTTTACATTCTCCTGGCTTACATTCTCCTGGCTTACATTTTCCTGGCTTACATTTTTCTGGCTTACATTCTACTGGCCGTTTTGTTCCCTCGTGTTGGCTTACTTCACCCCTACCCCTTGGGTACCAGGGTACGTTTCCGGGCGACATCGGTATACAATGCACGTATATACCTGCCCATGGCCAAACCATGCGACGTTGGCATTCTTACACCGTTTCCATTCCATTCCATTCTTCAAATCCGGGCGATTTCACCTAATTACTCCCCCTTTGCATTTTCGGCCCGTCTTACTCTGCTTGACGCGTTTTTCCGTGCCCTTTGCGTTTTCGCATCCTCTCGTTTTCACGCGCTTTTCCTACAGGACTAGAAAAGGCGACGTTACCTGTTGTTGATCGGTTGACATTGACAGATGGTGGTTTATTCTGTCTATATGATGATAATGTGATGTGTGTATGGAAGTGGCTATCAGCTTCCTTCGGGAATATATATTTGGTTTCATCTTACATGGTATGCGTTGTTGATTTTTGATTTTTTGAATATTTTTTCGAGGTTGTTTCATAGGTTCATCATAGCTGTAGGAATAAGGAAGGCATATTTTATCTCAATATCAATCCCTTATAGATGATATCCTCATTATTACGTATTCTTTGTGTATTTTAATGCTCAAGCCGTTGTTATATGCTCGGGTCGTCGTAAACGCGTCGAGTTTCACGTTGTGCCGGCAGTTTGGACAATTCACATTTCCGTACTTCAGCCCCCTACGTCTGGTTTTGGGATTTTTCCCTCTTTTTATTGTTTAGCTAGATAGAGCGCATCGTGATTATATATTCTACCATTAATTTCTATGGGTTTGGACATTGGTTGACGTTCGGGTGGTTGTGGTGGATTAAAACTACATATAAATCAGTTTTATATCAAAATATTAAAATAATATAAATAAATAATAAATATGCATTTATATCAACCACCACAACATACATGTCAACGCCGAGGAACTCACTAACTTATTATTAACCTAACTATATAATATACCCTATGCGATATTTTACAATACACGTAGTTTTCTTATTCCAGCAGCTCTGCGGGATATATTTACAACTATATCGCGGGTTGTTGATATTGTCTCAAACAGGCAAATCGCGCAACACCACATCGACTATTTAGATGGTGATAGGATATACTGGAATAATTAAATAGTCCAGAGCTATTCATATGATATTTCCCTTGTTTCATCTACTCGATGTTCTGTCTACTCGATGTTCCGTCTTCGTGGTTGATTATAATATTGGCGAGAATGTACGGGGTATTGAACGGAACTTCATCCATCACGACAAACATTCAATATACACAAAATAAATCAAGCAGTACGATACGTATGCCAAAAGAATGAGAACCCTCCAAGGCTAGAAAAGCGTTGTTGAATATCTCTATACGCGACGTCTCAAAACCCGAATCCTGACACAAGCACGATAAGCAGACCACAACAACGTTGAACACGTCGAACACGTTAAAGCACGTTAAACACGTTGGAAGTCGTTCCCGCTGTCGCTGTGTGAACTACGATATCAAAGCAAATCTAATAATATACTTCTAGATACGCTTCCGACGTTATTAGCCATGTCTGATATGCCGGTGAATGATTGCCAACGACTTCAACGGGTAACGTCGATAATCGCCTCTTCCCTGGCTGGAGCATGGAGGACAAGACAAGATGACAATGTTCGAGCAGCTGGAGGAACTGCCATTCCTTCATCGCGTAGTAAGCGACATCGTGGATTCAGCTGACCTCGTGCTGTCTTGGATACGCCTACAGCTCTCGTCGCTGATGCGATATCCGAACATCCTGGGATGGTCAGATGGACATTATCTACGATTCAGCTGTTTAACAACGCCGACGTGGGTGCGAGCGAGGATACGAGAGCGCGTGTAGCTTCCAGATCCATCTCGCTTCAACAACACGACCTGGTCAGGCATCAACTCGCCAAAGACCAGATTCTCGGCAGGGCTGAACACGACAGACCCCCATCCCATCTTCGAGGAGATCGGAGGGAAATCCCGAAAAGACAAAGCCCGAGTTGGGTGGGGTGGTCGATACCAACGCAATGATTGTTACAAAGTACAGACAAAGTCGCAAAATCGCCATTGGACGCACCCCGGTAGATTATCAGCGCCTTATTAGGCACATAATCCAGAGACGGGAAGCCTAATGACGAAATGTCCGGTTTAGAGAAAATGCGTTCTCTGGTCGTTAGATCGGTGGGTTCAATCTCATATCCGATTTCTGCCTTGATACCCCAGCAAGGTGAGCCGCCTGGATTGCTCACATTTGGCCCATCGAATATGAAACACAGCAGTTAGATATAGCGAACAATTGGCTGAGCGGCTGGGAATTAAACCCTACTATTATATGCAGTTCAAGCCCAGGGCGGGACGATGGGAGAGACCCACCGCATACTGTACGATCAGTTCAACCTGGCCTGGTTCTCCCTATTGTTTTGTGCCAGTATACGGATTCTTTTATGTACTCCGTGTACTTAGAGGGTATATGTAGTGTATACCTTCCCGATCAAGGCAGGGGGGGCCACAAACCCCTTCACCTATAACCGCCGGTGTTATACTGCAGATATAAGTACGTACTCCGTGCGTTAGGAATTACGATCTGAACTTGCACTTATCCCGCGCGCCCCAGGCCGTGAAGACCAATGTTTGTTTTTTTAATCTCATAGCAGAGCCAATCTGCGGCCTGAACAAGCATGAAACGGAATAGGGGACCCATTATATTTTATGCGGTTCAACCTTAATGCTTCTTATCTGAGGTCGCGACTTTGCAACAGTGCAGACACGGGACGATAGAATTCTACCACCCACAACTTGAGCCAGGCAAGCTTTGTGGATATGGCGTTTTATCTTGAGTCGGCCTGATCTGTTCCTTGCTGCTACACTTTGCTTATGTGGGAGAACACTTTGCTTGTGGGAGAAAGCAGGACCCTATCACCTCGCACTTATTCGTCGGCTTTAAACGAACCACTCGCGAAAATCTTTTTATATCATTAATGATCTATAAAAAAACCCCCTTCCCTGTCCCTGTCGGCTGCCTATTCGAGTTTGGTGCATAAAGGGCAAAGCTTGAAGTGAAAAGTCCGGACTCCGGAATTCGGAGATGGCCAGGCATTTCTCACAAATTTTCTACCCTTCTCTTTGGCGGGTGCTCGGTCCCTGGTCTTGGAAGAAGAAAAAGCAAGGAAAAAGCGCCAAAAGAGAAAAAAAAAAAAAAAAAAAGAAACTTGGAAGAAAGTTCTTCTAGAAGCTCGGCTAGAAGACACTTTAAACATTATAGCGGGCCCTCGAACTTATCAGGATTCCCTGTTTTTCAGTTAGTTATGGCCCTAATTTAGTGCCTTGGATCCATCCCCTTTCCGTCACACCCAGGCCAGAGCAACGACGACATGTATCATTTTGCGGATCGAAGAATAGGAGAGGGGGAAGGAGGGGGGGAGGGAAAGTTTGCATTTTATGATGGCTATACGAGACGTGAAAGAGATCAGACGGTGGATTCTTGGTACTTCTCGCATGTTCTGCCGTGATTTGTGATTTCATGAATTGCGTCTTGCGTGATGTGCATTGCGTTGCGTTGCGTTGGGTGTGGCTGGTGCAGTGCTGGCTGTTGGGCGTTAAAAGGGGGCTAACGTTAGGTTAGGCAGGGCCTCGGCAGAAAAACACGACGCGCCGAGGAGAATTGAACGATAACAACCCCAACAACGGACTTACACTACATATATAGTATCGTCACGCGATGTATGTTTAAGGCTGTGAAGCACGGAGACGGCGGACGGAGGAACTATCTCGTCTCGTGCGTGGTTCTGGTTTTTCGCCCGGTGAGACAGGCGCCCGGTATTTCGAAAAAAGCCGAAGCCGCGAGACACAACGGGAAGCCTATCGGACTTGCTAGCGGTATGAGGCTGGACGGAGGATGAACTGCTAAAATAATGAAGGCCTGCTAAAATAATGAAGGAGTATCCACCGGCAGAAATTGGGCATCGGATTGGACTGGCGATGAATATTGGCAGGAAAATTGAGAAGGGGGGACACTGAAAAATGAAATAAAATAAGTAATTAAATAAAATAAAATAATATGAATAAGAAAAAAAAGGAATAATTGCATGTTCACCCATGTTAGTTCTATTTTATTGATTGGACTCTCCCGACATCGCGGTTTGGTTCGTTTTAGGTCCCCGAGGCGGGTTCTACATAGCGTTATACTTCCTTACCTCTTCACTGTCCGATGTCGTTGATAGAACGACTGGACGATAGTTCTCTGTATTCGCCTTGCTGTCACACATGATCGATCAAGTGATTACGTAGGAGGGTATAGAATGGAGGCGGCAAGCCGTCCTCCCCCGTCTGGGAAAATATCAATGCCACTTATGAGTGAGTTGAGCCAGGTTACTCGATGGGAGGCAAGCAGCCTGTTTCGTCTCATGCAGTCTCCTGCAGGAGGATATCATATCATATCATAGCACGGCACATCATATCGATAATAGGGCAGAGACTTTTTCTTCTCCAGGTTCCACTTCTGTCCCAGACGGGGAAACGGCGGAGGAGGCGAGGAACGGGTGGGTATTAGCACACCATCAACGACAGGATCGTTCTTGGGGACGAAGGCAGAAGAGTTGTGGCTTGAGGTTGAAGTGAGTGGCGTCGTAAAGCTGTAGATGTCTGGCGAGACGGTGATAAGGCCAGGAGAGAGGAAGAGGCGGCAACGGCTAATGTTTCCTATCCGGTGATCTGGTTGCGTAACGGCCCTGCAGGCCGACAATAGAAGGGTATAATAATCAGGACATATTGCAATAGACGAGCCTAGTATGCACATGCCAAAGCCTTGTATGCGTGGGGTATGTATATCATGTCCGTTCAGCTGTGGGAGTAGATGCAAGTCACCTCACATGGGCCTCACATGGGGGCCCTCTCCCTAAGGAGGAGGCGAAATTGAGAAAAAGTGTATACATATGGACTGCGTAGGCGGTTGGATGGACCCTGGATCCCGGCGCCCTGGGACTGGTAGAGGGAGGCGAAACGTATCAACATAAACCCAAATGTGTCAGATCAACAAGCATACTGTCATGTTAACGCCGGCATGAACAAGCCATGAACAAACCACGAACGAGGGAGAGGAGCTATCCCGCACATGTAACCCACGCCGCACGCCGCACGCCGCACGCCGCTCGCCGCACTCTTCTATATCGATTCCAAATCATCCAGGACCAAGACCAAAGGAGGACAGGTTGGTGGGAGAGGGTGGCGAGAGCGTCGAGATGAGGACGGGGTTATTGTGCATGGGAAGAAAGCGAATCATCGACCTCCGCGGGGTTCTTTCTTTTGGCGGAGAGAGGCCCACCGTCCGTCCGCCGTCTACCATGCTGTCCACTCTGTCCACTCATACTGCCCACTCATACTGCCCACTCATACTGTCCTCTCATACTGCCCTCTCATACTGCCCTCTCATCTGTCCACTTCATGTTGTATGCCTGCTAGGAGGTAGGAACTGCAAGGATCCGAACAAAAGGAACGAGAGCATGCAAAATAGTGCAATGTAGGCCAAGTCTTGCACTGGGCCATCGACTTCCGCCGGCGAGAGAGGAGGGAGAAGAGCGGACGGGAGGGAGATATTTGTAGTCGGCCGCAGACTGGCAAGAAGTGCGGATGCCGTCCCTTTTCGTAGGAATGCCATGTGCCCGTCCAAGCTCAAGCTCGACCTCCATCGGCTCCCGTCTGTCTAAGCCACCAACGTCTTCTGCAATCAGAGATTTCATCCATGTTCTTCTCCCCCTCCATCTCCGTCGTCCTGACGAACGAACTCGAACCTCGAACTTCCGTGGCTGGAGCCCATGCACGCCAAGGACCGGCAGAATGTTAACCTTTTGGGCTTAAAATTAAAAATAGACAGAAAAAAAACCATAAAAAGAAAAGAAGATAAAAAAAGAAAAAAAGGACACGCACAGACGAGACCAGACATGGATGTTCGACGCTGATCGCAAGAACAGGGGAAGAAATTTTCTCGCGGTGGGGGAACGGATAAACATAGGCTGCATGCGCCAATGAGAGGTACAGGGTGACGCTGGAGGATGCGATGCCATGTGCTGGGTGAAGAGTTTTCGCTTCATCGATCGTATCTCCGTGCGCCTGGCCCTATATCGATACCCGTTGATGTCAAGGCCTGAACATGCCTGAGCATGCCTGAGCATGCCTGTCTCAGCACTCCCCGTCGTCCGTCTCCTGCAAGCCACGACTGACACGACTGACACGACTCTGACACGACTCCGCGACTCACCGACTCTCCGACTCTCACCGACCCTCACCGACTCATCTCACCATTCACAGACTCCCGCAGACACGTTACTAGCCACGGTGGCTCAGCACAGCCTCGTCGTGGAAGCCAGGGATCGTATTCGGCGCCCTCAACCGATCGACAACGCCCGCTCGTCATCGCGGCTCACGCTATCCATCGCCCACCACACACCCAACCAAGCTAGCCGCCAGATCAGACAGATCGGAAACATCCTCTTTAGCTGTGGCTGTGCGGTCGTCTGCGCCGTCTGATTGGCGAGTCTGGTTTTTTCTTTCCTTGCTTTTCCCACGGCTGGCCTATCGCTGTGATGGACTTTATTGCTCGATTGGGAAAAGGAGTCGTGTCGCTTGATAGTCGAACTGTATCTTCTGCCGAGTGGTGATGATTCTCCTGTGATGCGATGTAGGTACCCGCCTTTCGCATCACCACGAGTTCCTCCGACTAGACACGGCAGGCCCGATATCCTCACGGAAGTGCTGGGGACTGGATGTCACTGCAACGTCCGTCTACCACGGCTCTAGATGTCCAGTGGTACCTAAAGTCACCTTTGACATCCCTTCCGCACCGCCACATCTACGTAAGTATACGACTACGGAGTACAGTCTACGGAGTACAGTGAGGCTACAGTGACTATCTACAATGAAGCGTAGTGACTACAGTGAGGCATGAAGTGCATTGTACTAGCCGTCAAGGCTACTGCAAACCCCTAAACCCACATACTGCATGCCTCAAACCCCTAAATTGAGTGTCGTCTGGGATGGACGAATGACGGCTTGCAGGATGGAAGATGGTGCAAGAGATCTACCATCAGAACAACCACATGTTTTTTTGATGTTTAAGTTCGGGAAGATGGAAGGAGATTGAGATCTGAGATTGAGTTCTTGATCTATCGATTTACGGTTCTTGGGGGTTTTTGTTTTTCTTTTTTTCGCTGTTCCCTGTTCGTTTAATCAATTAAGAGTGAGAGGTGCATAGTAAGCAGGAGATGACGAGTGCCGGGTAACGTGGGGAGTAGACAGAGGCAGAGTGACATCCCACGGAGGACCTGGCCATCGGAGCCTGTCCGTAAACGACCTGCTCCCAACACCCCGGAAACTACCCTCCGTCGTACTCTGCTAGGCCTTACGTACCACTACGACGGGACGATTACTAACCATCTGACTCGCCGTGTACGAATACGGATAGGATAATAGGATGTGTATGGATATGATGATAATGGTATGATGTGTATGGATATGATGATAATGGTATGATGTGTATGGATATGACGATAATGGTATGATGATAGATGTATGGATGTATGGATGTATGGACGCATCGGTCTACTATAGGCGCAGAAGTCTTCGCCGAACTCCGGATTCCGGCCGATTGCCGACCTTTTTTGCTAGCGCCGAGAAAAGGCCGTGGGTCCCCGGTCCCAGGTCAGATGACCACACGCGAGTCAGGCCATGATCCAGGGCGCCATGATGCCATGATATCATGATCTCCCAGGAAGACAGATGCATAATAAAGATGTTATGTTGCGAAGCGGACCGATGACGGGGATTACTATACTGCTAGTGGCATAAGGCTATAGGTAACGGCTTGCTGGGGTGTCTACGGTACACTGTCGGTAGCGATCCTGTGGCTGGAGGCCGCAACGTGGACTCTGGCTCGACAAACTATGCGCTGCTATTGATGACGATCCGCGATCTACTCACTAGCCACATCTACATCTACGGACAGAGGACGACGGGACGGGAGAAAAAAGGACGAAGGGACGGAAGGACTCGAAGGGGAAGGGGGAAAAAGAAAGGGTGCAGGGAGGAAAAAGAAAGGAAACAAGACCCGATTCGAATCATATCGTAACCCGAAGAAGCAAGAAGCGTAAACAAATGACGATGAATTACTGCATTCAGGTCGCATTCATGCATGCAGCTTCCATCACCTTGCTTTTTCCACTTCTTAGTTTGTCGATGTCATTGTGGCGGAGTCAGATCGGTGTAACCGAACAGGGTAAGATGCAGAGGAGCCACACGGTCTTTACTCTCTACTCTCTACGGAGTACTCTCTATGACGTATCTAGAAACTGCTATCTCTGTATCTGTATACTGCTATGTACTTGTGTATGCTCTGTATCTCTGTATCTGTAGTAGTATCCTATGTATATATGTACGTGTATATGTATATGCTTGTGGGGGGAGGCCTGATATGGCTAGCGTGCTGACTAAAGGCGGTGAGACCTGTTTGCAAATAAAAAAAAAAAGCCACGTCAAGTTGTGCCCGATACGGCCTAGCGCAGCCCTTTTTTCCCCTTCTTGTTTTTAGACTTTGGGCCTATTTTTCCAAACGAAGGGATACCTTGAATAGACGCCGGGATATATATACACCTTAAAACGAGGGCCTATTCTCGACTCTCCTCGACCTTGCATCTACATCTACATTTAAACACCGCGAGAACCACGGTTGCACTAATAAGAAAAAAAGGCACACACAAGCCACACCTCGCACACCCAAGGACCCAAAACTCTATCCTCTCTCGAAACCTTGAGCCCGCAAGACACAAGGAAAAAGCAACGTCCGAAAGGGAAAACCATCCTATCTCTCATCCTTACACCGGGTTCTCGCATCAGCCAGCACGGATATAATAAGAACCTCGATCCCCCTTTTTCACTCTGAACCCAGTGGTACAGCAAGCATCCCAGAGTTTCAGCCCTAAAGAGTTTCCTCCACTCATAGAGTTTACTGGCTTCTCTCGCCACAACTCGCCCTTCCCACTGACGACCCACGAGGTATTTGAGGATGCTGTCCTCCATCCCTTCTCTGTCGACATCATATATCCGCCACAGCACCAACAGCCAGTACACCGAGCAGGCCCTACAAGACCAGCTCGACCAGCTCGACCACCTCGAACACCTCGAGTCGCAGCTCCTCTTGCCTTCCTGCCACCACCACAACCACCAGCAACACACCCACAACCAGCACAACTACCAGTCATATAGTGATATCAGCGACAGTCCATCGTTGACCTTCCCTGTCTACCACAGCTGCTCCACGCCACCGCCGCCAGACTCGTCCTCTGTCGTCGCCTCGCCCACAGGCACCTACGCCTACGACTCGTCCTCGCCCGTCTTCTCCGTCCAGGGGTCGCCGGAAACCGACTTCGTGTCTTCCTTCTACCACGGCGCAGGTAGCTTTTCTATGCCCGACGAGAGTTTCCCGATTCGGGAAGAAGACATATCGCATACTCCACCGCCGCCTGCTATAAAGGTGTTTCAGTCCTCGCCTCACAGCAACAACAATATCAACAACAACAACCATCACCAACACAACAGCCAGATGCTGCTGCAGTCCGGCCTGCCTTATGAAGCGGACCTCCAGACCCTGCTGAGTCCGGGAAAGTTCAACCAGCCACAACAACACAACAGCAGCAGCAGCAACAGCAGCAGCAACCACTCCCGTCTCTCGGCGTCGTCGCGGGCAGCTCACCACTCCGCTGCTGCGTCAGGCGCAAAGTCGTCTCAGTCGCAAACGTCACCGCATAGACGCACTCCATCTACTTCCTCCAGCGTGTCTCTCCCGTCTGCATACCACGGATACACGGGCTACGACCGCGGCTCATCTAAACCCTTGCCCACGCCTGAACAGACCCCAGTTCAGCCCTCCTTCCTGGCCCAGCCATCATTCCCTACCTACGACCCGTCCTCTTCGTACCGAAATGCAGCAGACCACCCGGACGTGGAGATGGCTATGAGACGCGCCGTTTTCGAGCAGCAGAGACAGCAACAGCGCCAGCAGCAACATCAGCAGCAGGGCGCTGACGAAGAGCCAGCTACTTTCCCTTCATACTCCCTGGCACCCTCGGTATCGACCTTGAGCCATAATTCACCGGCCACGCCGCAGACTAGCTTCCCGGAAGAGTCCGAGGACGGCTCTAAACTTACACATGGTATGACTCGAGTTTCTGAGGTTGACGTGCACGGCTGGCTAGACGAATACTTACTCTTCGATGATACAGACAACCTCGCGCAACCTTCCTCGCACATGGCTGGCTCCCTCACCGACCCCTTCCAAGAGGAGATGTACAACCCTGCCCTTCAGCATCTAAGAAACGCTTCCTCACAGAGGAATAAGCCACAGCAACAGCAACAGCAACAACAGCAGCAGCAGCAGCAACAAGCTTATGCTGGCTACCGACCTCGCAACGTCATGGCCGATAGACTACAGGCCGCGCAACAGGGACACATGACTGCGCGAGCTCACTCTCCTCGTGATGCCTCCCCCTGGGCTCAGCCTACTACCGTCTTCCAGAACGCACTACACCAGCCTAGTCACTTGAACTCGGCACTACGGGGTATGGAGATGCTCGGACACACTGGCCCAGAGGAGCAGCCCAAGACCATCTCGCCCAAGGACGCGATGCTAGAGTTCCATGACTCACCTGCAGACAACGGCAGCATACCGCTGTTCCCCTCGCAGGCTGAAGCTTCCGAGTTCGAAGCTGCCGTGGCCACTACCTTGGCAAACACAGACTTCTCTCACGATGCCTTTGCCCCCTTTTCCTCCTCCGCCTCCCAAACCACACCACAGCCCTACTTCCTCGGCCAATTCCCAACCACGACCGCCCAGCAGCAGCAGCAGACCAGCGCCGACTTCGCCGCTGCCCTGGCCGGACTGGATGCTAACTCCGTCGATCGCAAGATCGAGGACCATGACACGGATATGCCCACGGGCCGACCAGAGGACACTGCCTCTGACGCCGGAACCTACAGCTGTACCTACCACGGCTGCACCCGCCGCTTCGACACGCCGGCTCGTCTGCAGAAGCACAAACGGGAAGCCCACCGCCAAACCACACCTGGCTCCCACATGCTTGCCCGCGACAGCTCGTCGATGGGCGCCCGGGGACTCAGCGCGCGCAACTCCCAGGCTGGCCCACACAGATGCGAACGCACCAACCCGTCCACGGGCAAGCCCTGCAACTCCATTTTCTCGCGCCCTTACGACCTAACGCGCCACGAGGACACAATACATAACGCACGCAAACAAAAGGTCCGCTGCCACCTCTGCACTGAGGAGAAGACCTTCTCGCGCAACGATGCCCTCACCAGGCACATGCGCGTCGTCCACCCCAACGTGACGTGGCCGGGCAAGCAGAAGCGACGAGGCCGGGATGACTAAAAACCCTTGTCTCCATATCCTTATTCCCCCATTTAACGATGATGATTACTATCTGTGATGGTCGCATATTGCTCGGGGTTTGGGCCTGGAGCTCGAAGCTTCCACTGTTGGCGCCGAAAAAAGCTGTCCATCATGACGTCATGCGCCAAGCCGCGACCAAGAAAACCACGCGAGTTTCGAGTTTTGGCAGAATCACAAACCGGACCGAAGTGGGGCGCGGTCGATCGATCGGCTTGGCATTTACGTCATTATGCATTACACGTGATACGCTATTATTAGACTTCTGCATGCAAAGCGCGATCCATGGACTCCTTGCATACCCCCCGGCGAAAACGATGGAGAGAGCATGAGCGCACGAAAGCAAGGGATGAAAAGATAAAAAAAAACACAATTGAAGAAAAAAATATTCAGCGATGAAGATGAGCAAGCAAGCGTTCTGTTCTGTCCGGGTCTGGCCTGTTCTATTGATTTTATGATGTGCTTCTGATTAACGATTCGATTACTTTTTTTGGTTTGGTTGGCTGGTCTCTCCCCATGTTTCTTTTCTAAATAAGCCACTTATATACTTACTTCACTTACTTAATTACTTTTCCAACCTCCAACTTTCTCCTTTTCCCTTCCCGTTTCTCCTGCCTTTTTTTTCCAATTTTTTTCTTTTTTTCTTTTCCATTTCTTGCATCGTCATAGTCATGCATGCATGAACACGAACATGGATTGGCGGAGTTTGTTCGGCACCGACAAAACATCAAAACATTATACATGATATGCATTGGCAAATTGCCCGGACGGCTGGATGGATGGACTGGACTGGTTTCGGATTCCCTTTTTATGCCTTTTTTTCTCTCATTACCCCCCACTCCCTTTCACGCTCTATTTCAAGTTTGGTGGTTGGTTGATAGATCGTTTGGCTGGGCTGGATAGCGCTTATACAATGTATGAATATGAATAAGAAATGAAATGATAAGCAATATATGCATACAATAAACGTTAACTATGCGGATTTTGTCTTGAGTTTAATTGAGCCTGGGTTGGACAAAGCAGGGAACACATTATCCTGATTCATAGGATCGACTTGGATTGGCTTTGATTGACTTTCGATGTAGTATTTATCCACCACTACCATTTCACAGACTATTTAGCAAAAGTAAATAATAATGGTACCCTGTGGACGGTGAAGAGCGGGTGGAGGAATAATAAAATATAAAAAACAAAAAAAGAAAGCGCTGCGTCGACCGGGAGTCGAACCCGGATCTCAACTTATCAGTCGGTGCGATGGAAGAGTCGTGTGCTACCGCTACACCATCAACGCTTGTTGCTTGTAGTAGCCAGCCTTTAGTGGTTTATACACGCCCAATGTATACACTACATCCACATCTGTATCTCAGTATGGATAACTCCTGACTTCATCTTCAAGGCCCAAATCCAACCCATTCGCGACCTGTTCCTCGTGTTTCCTATCTAGATACTCCAGCAACACCTCCCCGTACTTCTCTCGCCCCTTATACCTCGCAACATCGTCCCCCCAGCTCCGAATCGCCGCCGCCAATCGACCAGGCACATACGCCTCCTTGACAATCTCAGTGATGGGCTCGAAATACGTCCGGATAGTAAACACCACCGCGCCCGTCCGCGGCAGCCGACGCAACGACTGCCTCTCCGACCGAAAATAATGACTCTCAACAACCTTGTTCCTCTCCGCCGTGTTCCAGCTAACCGTCTCCCCGTCCTCGCTCCCAATACTGCCAGACCAAGCTAGCTCGTCATCTACCTGAATGAAATAGTTATTCCGCAACACGGGGTCGGCCGGCTTCAATCGACGGAAGAAGTTCATCATACCTCGCTCGAGATGCGATTTATACCCGGGCACAGAACCGGAAGTGTGGATTTGAGAGAGCGGCATTTGGAATTTATCCTTTAATCGCCAGAAGCCTGCTAGTAGTATCGAGCCTGCTAGAAGGTAGTATTGGCCATCAGCTCGTTCGTACATCAGCGCTATGTCATCCTGTATCAGGCGGCTGCATGTTATTATCGGATTCTCGGCCCACGGGCGTGAGATGATGTTGAACGATTCGTGGGTGAGCAGGTTATCTATGCCGACGGACGTTTTGCGGAAGAGTGATGGATATCGTTGAGGGAGGTAAGTGCATCTTTTCGATCCAATGTCGTCTTTGTGTTAGTGGATGTCGGTGGTCGGTTGTTCGTGATGTGAAGATCAGACGTACAGTTCCTCTAATAGCTCGATGACCCCGTCCATTGACTCGGGTGTCGTGAGACAGCATTTATCTGCTCGCTCCTCAATGCGTCGCGCTTTGTCGGCGTGGAAGCCGAGATACTGATTATCTAGTTCTATTCCATAACCTTGTGAGTTCCGTGTACTCCATGTGTGCTATATACGTGCATGGGATAATCAAGTCCTTACCGATCCATTCGTCCCATTTCATTGCCCGCAGCCCCATGGTGATGTGGTACTTGCTGCGCAATATTAGTCTTCTGAGCTCTCGTATATGGAATACGCCAGGAAATAACGTGGATGAACATGGCTTACGGGCCATATCTGAAGGGCCGATACGGCTTTGGTTTAAATGAATGGACATCCCAATCGGGATATGGAGCTGGATCAAGGCGTTTGAAGTCGGATGGAATCCATTCTAAACGCCCACATATCTTTGTTAGCTATTGAATGTTTCAAGGACACTTAAGCTGTCGTACCTCCGGGCTTCCTATCTAGCCGCTTCCCTTGTCGAAGGGAGGTGGCCTCAGCCACTGGACTGGCCCTTCCCGTCAATACTGCATATAAGCGTGGTATGGCCTTCCGGATCATAGGTATTGTGCAGACCAGGGCTACAATAACTAGGAAGACAGGAGTGACACTCTTTAACTGAAGGGTTGATAAATATTTCATTTTGATGAGACAACTATTCTCAAAGATGTAGACGCCCATGCATGTAGACTGGTGTTTTATATAGATTGGATCATAGATTGTCGTTTATATATGGACTGAGGGGAGGCAGATGCGTAATCATTTATACCTGCATACATACAGATCTCTCCATCCTAGTAGCCAGACCTCATAACCCAGCAAAAACGTCGCAGCTGATGCCGTTGCTGTGAGACTCCTCGTTGTCTTCCCCAATTCGGCGCGCTTGTGTCTCGTAGAATCACTCGCTGGAAGTTTTCACCCGTTTGGGAAGGGTTGCTTGGCGCTGGCATTCAGGAGTGTGGCATACAAATGCATCCTTGGCTAGGATATGTACCATATACTTATAGCTCCGATCACGGAGGTACGAGCATGAGGTGGTTGCATCGTTTCTAGTTGCATCGTTTCTGTATAGCCCGTTCATGTAGCTCTTCGTTTCAATAGACAGTATTCACCCCACTGACGTCGATATTTCTTGGGAATAAATGGGAGGTTTGGAATCCAGATCATTCGCCCCAAGATGCCTGTACGGCGACTATCCAGGAAGGGTTTGCATGAGAGTTTCTCCCACGTTGCGGTGTCAAGAACATAGTGTGGTTCAAGTTTGGTTTCATCGTCTCCTGGGAAATAGGAGTCAACGAGATAGGTACATTGAGAAATGTCCGTCTAGAAAAGCCGTTAGCATTCACCCCATACAATTTAGTCGTTTTAAGACGTACGTATTTTCCTGGGTCTTCTTGATTTCGGTCATTCATGCCCTTTGGGATCGTCCACGTTCCGGGAAAGTATCCAAGTTCAGTACCTGACTCTGCAAATTCTCCTGGGAGTAGCCCTCGGAACTCGCTTTTGATGAACTTTGCTCGGAAGTTGTTATTCGGTAGGAAGAACGATGATGGAAATCGATACCATTCCTTTCCGTAACACACAAAACCTTCGAGATGTACACTGTTGGGTTGTTGAAGTGGATCTAGAATCTGAAGGGGTGCGTTATACGCCGTAACAACACCAGCAATCCTAAAAAGGCCAATGTTTACCGCCAGTAAGACGGGAACAACCGCGAAGATAAGCTTAACTTTGGTGGGTATGCTGCCGACCAGTGTTTTCGGATCAGACGTCCCGATGTATGCTAGGATAATATGGAAGGCGATGGCGGCATTTAGGGCAAGGAATGGGTATGCTGGATACATGAACCTCTCCTCCTTGTGAGGTTGCAGAGTAAAGACCGTGAACCACATGTAAAACGGCAGGACCAGGGTAATTGTTCTGAACAGCGTTTGTGCGGAAGACTTGTGAGGGCAGAATAGGGCCTGGAGGACAAGAAGGGGACCACTAGCCAGAGCGAGTGCGACCCAGATGTTGAAATTAAGCAGCAGATTCTTGAAATAGAACGTCCAAGGCTCGGTTCCGAAGATATTGGGCCCCTTATCAGCACCCCCAAAGACGTTGTAAGCCACAATATTCCATGGAACGAGGGTTAGTTTACGGTAAAACAAACTGTCCACCAAAACGACAGCCGACTGTGGGTAAAATGTTAACATATGTGTACGACATTTTCGTAGGGACGGGGGATAATACCAGGATCAGCAAACATTTCATAACTCCTTCAAAGACCCGTTTGAACATCGATACCACATCCCCGAGAGACCAAGCTACGGCAGCCTCTTCCAGTAAAAATGGTATAACCAAAGCACCCGCAAATGGCCAGCCAACCATGGCGCCAACACCAAACCAAATAATGCCTTCAACTGTCTTCCACCCACCTTGCAAGTTGAGAAAGGCCGCTAGGCCGAGCATGGACATGTACATAGAAAAGCTGGATGGAAGCACCGCAGCAGAGGCATGGAACATGCCGGGGCTGAATACCATAATCACAAGAAAGAATAATCCAATTTTTGGGTTCAGCGAGCGGGATATCGCGGCGAAGAGCCGGGTTTCGCATACTGTGCAGAAGAAGCCAAGTGCCAACCGCACCATATAAAATTGTGCTGACTTTGTCCGCACGAAGAACCCGAGTGTCTTAGCGATGCCTGCATGAATGGTGATGTATAGCCAACTTCTAATCGAATACTCTGGAGAATATTCCCATGTTTGTAGCCCGTGACCGTGGGTCATGTAGTGTGTCGGCTCCCAGTAGTTGTAGACCTCATCGCAGTCCTGAATGGGCGCTAGTGATGCGGCCAAAGTGTTCGAGAGAAGACAGAGATAGAATACGCTGTTAATTGGAACGTAGAAAGGTGGCGGAGGTGATCTAGGCACAATGATTAACTTGAATAACTGTAGGCAATTGGAGCTCGGAGTACTCACTTTGGCTGGGACGATGATGCTGGACCCTTTCCGGGTGAGCCGGGAGGTGACATGACGCCGGCCTGGCTGTTGATGCGGTCGACTTCTTTTCGTGTCCAGCTTGATGCACTCGCTATACACGCAAACACCACGAATCACGAAAGTCGATCTGATAAGGAGCTCAAAATATCACGTGATACACCGATCCTCCGGGATAATAATAATAATCCGGTATATGCGGCTCAGCGAAGCTTAATCTAGGTAGATTGGGTAGCTGCCTGTTGTTTACCTCTCCATCCTCAAGGGAACTTGTTCAAACAGACGAAGACCAGTCACTCGAGATATTATTATGATGCGTCGTTGGCATGGACCGGGCTGTCAGCAGCCAGATGTTACAGTTGTTGGCGGTACATTACGATGCAGCTCTTGTTCACTTCAATCATCGAGGGAGGACATAGGAGCCGGAATGACTCCTTCTATACCATCAATTCCTCAGCTAGAATCCCGATCTCACATGAACCTCACCTGGCCTTCTGCCGTCAGTTATAGCCGTGCTGATATCTGTCTTCATGACACGGGTGTTTCCTCTTTACCGGAAGTCAAAGATACCCTCACGCTAGGGAAGCACGAAGGTCTTGATAGCTTCCCCGAGACTACGGCTGAAAACGAGATCAGGCTTCTGCGTTTGCTGCCTGATCAGGATGATGGTCCGATCCATGGAGATCTACAGGTCTCATCTTTGAAAAGCGCCTCACCTCCATCTTACCAGGCCCTGTCGTATACTTCGTCTGATGAGCCTGGTGATACGCCAACGAGGAACTGCCCTGTATATATTGGCCCGTACTGGGATATCATTTATGTGACAAAGAACTGCGAAGATGGGCTTCGAGCTATTCGATATCAGGGTACGGAGCTACCTGTTTGGGTTGACTCGGTTTGCATAAACCAGCAAGATGCCGCCGACAAGACGCAACAGGTCGGCTTAATGAACGATATTTATGCAAAGGCATTCCAGGTGACAGTATTTGTCGGAAACCCTTCTCCAGATAGCGACAGGGCCCTTAAACTCCTAAACCTATTTGCGAATGGATCGCTGGTGTCCAGCCGGGTGGCGGCCACTGAGGAGAAATCGCAAACCGCTCTTAAATCTCTTTTCCAGCGTCGTTGTTTTTCAAGGCTATGGGTTAGTCATGAAACTGTTGCTGCTAGCCGCCTTGAAATACTCTGTGGTCAGCGCTCGGGGACTTGCCCATGTTGGTCTTCTCTGCCCAACGTCTTACGCAACTGTGTTCCGCCCTGGCTGTTTAAGTTGTGGAAAGAAGATATACGTACGGATATTTCCGGCATACTGCACCATGCTATCACACATGAATGCTCAGACCCTCGTGATAAGATATTTGCGGGTCTTGGTCTTCTAAACGAGTCGGAGATTAGCCCAGACTATAATCTTCCTGTCGAGGTTATATATACAGGAATCACTGCATACCTCTTAAAGAATCGTCTTGACTTTCGGCCGCTAAATTTGCTCGGAACCGGCAGCCGGCGTCCTAACTTACCGTCTTGGGTTCCTGACTGGTCTCAGCCCCTAGACCCGTCCGTTCGTGTTGATTTGGAGTTCAATACAAAGATAGACAACGGGACAGAGCACCCCTTTTGTGTGTATTTTCCTTTCTCGTTTGATACCTGGTCACTGCCGCGGTCTTGGTCTGGACATGCGATAGATATTGACGCAAATGGGTCGCTGGTTATCCCTGCACTCAAGATATGCGATATTTCTCCCACGGATAAAGTGCTTGTGGGTCCCGATCATCAACTTGTTATAGCGTTAGATCGGAGTCACCATGGCACCATATTGGTTTCTCAAATGGACAAGGAATACCAAATAGGGACCGATTCGATATTCCACCTACATGGATTTGACCGCCCAGTTATCCTCAGATCTCATACTGGGACGAACACATATTCGTTCGTGTCAATTTGCGGTATATCCCTATCACGGCCTGCAAACGGGGAGAAATGGTACATTCCCTGTGATATAGATGAAAGTAACGTCGCCGAGATACATGCAAGGCTTTCTGAAGAGGAATGCACAAACATTCTGGCTTTCCACGCTAGACTGTTGGAATTATGTGGAGCCGAGCGAGCAGGCACTTCTGGGGACATGGGCGTTGACCAAACTAGCTTTGCGAGGCTCGCATTTCTTGATTTCAGCATTCTCGCATCGGCAAATTTCAGAGCAATGGAGTCAAGGTTAAGAGATAATTGGCGTGCAATGCATGAAAAGCTCCGGTGGATGTTCCGCGACCAAGCTGCCGTCTGGAAATTCATTCAGGATATGGATCAGGGAAACCAAGAGGAAATTTCAGGCAAAGACACAATGGCAATTAGGCAACAAAGAAGAGTGAAGATCAACTATACGATGGAGTTCCCGGCTGAATACTCTTGGGACATTCGGCGATTTTGCTGGTCCTTTTTACGACCTGCAACCGCGGCCCCGAAAGCATCGGATGACTCTTGGAACCCAGTATACAAGGCATTAAAGTATCATATTGCCGATATTCAATCATGGGCAAAAGCAACCGAAGAATTAATGAATGCCATTGACTTTTCACGGATGGTGTTGGGTAGCAGATGGGACGTTTTCCCCGGAATAGGTCTCCCAGGAAAGTGGCGTTCGAGATGGGAAAATTTTTCCAAGGCAAGAGGAGCAGGCGGTTACTTGCCAGCAAGCGAGGCGTCTAACCCGGAGTGTTACTGGGACTGGTCAGAATTTGAGCACTGCCTGGAACAAAGGGAAAGGCTATTGGATCAAACCCCCCCTCCGTCGTTGACCGCGACTGAGAACTATAGGGTGAAATCGCATATGCTATTCAAGATATTGGGTATGCAGTTAGATCCCATATCAACTGTCAAAATTGTCTAGAAATAGCGTTATTCCCTCTAGTTTTAGCTCACGACCGTGGTTTCATGACTATTTGATAGCGTTGATAGCGTTGATCTTAGGAAGCGATGATGTGATGGATTTAGTGAGCAATATCTAGGCATATATGTGATAGAAGATACCTAAGATCTGGAGAGGGCTATCGAATTAGCGAATAGACAGAATGTTTATGAATCGGTCGTGTTCATCAAGAAATCGTGCCTAAAACTTGTTTAATGTATAGAAAACGCGAAATTTTGGCGCGTCTGGAGAGTTAACACGTGATCGTAATCGAGGTGAGTAAGCTAAACCGTTTTCGGACTAGCGGGTCAAGTTTTATCTTATCGCGAGAAACTCAAAAAAATATTCCAACCTGCAGAGTTGTTTGAGCTTCAAGAGGTTGCATATAAATACTCGACCATGGCGAACGTTGTCTCTGTTTGATAGCTTTATTTCTGCAGCATTGAAGTGTCATTTCAGTGATTGGGCTCGAAGCACCTCATTTATCACTTCTCGTCTTGAGACTTGCCTAGCATGGCGGACACCGTGATGGGAGATGACTTTCAACATACTCCCGCGAAGCAACCGTGCCCTGAAGGTAACGCCGCCGTGGTGAATGATAAAATTGCTACAGTAGCTGCAGATACTGGAGTTGATGATGGCAGTGATTTTTACAATACGCCTCTGAATGCAGGAACCCCTCGTCAATCGGATAAACCTGTTTCTTTGACAGACGAAATAATGACGACGGAAGCATCCGAGAAACCGCCTACAATGATCCCCGGTCTTAGCCTGTGCAATGGCGGAGAGAATATTGATAATGGCATACCTTCACAGCAGAGCGCATCCGAAACCGCTAACGATAAAATGAACACTTCTTCTGAGCAAGCTGGCGTAACCGATACCGTTATGTCTGGAGATGGAAATAAAGACTCGGATGGAGCAGAGCCTAGTGCTTCTGGTGCTGCGAATGCCAGAGAGGGTACGGATACAGAATCCGATATTGCTAAGCGTGCCGAGGATGATATTGCTGCACTTGCGGCTGAATTAGTTGATGGAATACCACCTTCCACTGACGGACTGATCTCTGCTGGAAACCAACCCGATGGCGACGATAATCCTGAGTGGGAGGTCGATTCTTCACCCTACGAATCCTCCTCGGACTCCTCTACCGATTCGGACTCCAGTGACTCGAGCGATGAGGACGATGACTACGAACTATTGGATCCTGAAGAACAGGCTCGACTATTGATGGCCACTGAAGGTGGGTCGGATGATGAAGGCGGTAGTAATGGAAGGGCAGGGGCAGCTGAAGTCAGGACAGCGAATGAAAAACCCGACGAGGTTGTGCCAATGCCAGACATTACCATTACTCCAGAAATGAAGATTGAGTTGCTAGGAAACGTCGAGAGTATTGTCGAGAACGTGGTTTTGGTGAGAGCAAACATCTCTGGGGAGTACCAGGTCTTAGAAAGTGGATCAGTTTTATGCTCTGTGAACCTGAATGTTATTGGTGTTGTGTCTGAAACACTTGGTCGCGTCCAGCAGCCTCTATACACAGTCCGATTTCCTAACGCGGAAGCGGTCAAAGAGGCCGGCCTAGAGAAAGAAACGCCTGTGTTTTACGTTGTGGACCACTCGACTTTCGTATTCACGCAGCCACTCAAGGGTCTCAAGGGAAGCGATGCATCCAACTTACATGATGAAGAGATAGGAGACGATGAGATGGAATTTTCTGATGACGAGGCGGAGGCGGAATACAAACGACAACTTAAACAAAAACGTCAATCAAAGCGCGATGGCAAATCTGAACGTGGAGGAAGCAACAGAGGCAGAGGCCCAGCCTTACCACCTTCAAATCTAAGGCATTCCGAGCTCAATTACGATGATAATAATGTAGGGGACGATGGGTATACACGGCTTGCTCGACCTCAAAATCTGCATGAGCTCATGGGAAATGAGGCTCCCATGGAAATGCCACACTCACCAGAACAATACGGCGAAAGATCCTTCCGGGGCGGCAGAGGTCGGGGCCGTGGAAGGGGTAATGACAGAGGTGGTCGTGGAGGGAGAGGTGGTAGGGGAGGTTACGATAGGGGAAGCAGGAATTCCCCCCAGGGCCAGAGTAATCGACAGTTTCCACGAGATCGAGACCAGCAAACTCGACCGCAACATTCTGAATACTCGCAGAAACAGCCTCCTTATTCACAAAACTCGTATCAACAGTCATCCAATCCATCTTTTCCACATCACCCCCAGCAGCAAGCACCAAACCAAATGCCTGGTAACTTGGGGCACAGCAGCGGAGCTTATCAAGCTTCTTTTCCATCAGGAACATTCCAGTCACAGGGACTCCCACCGTTTCCTTTCCAGTTCTCATCTCCTTCCAACTCGACTCAGCCCATGTTCCAATACCCGCCGCCTGGTTCTCATATCAACCCTGCTTTCTTTTTAGCCATGCAACAGCAGCAGCAGCAGCAACAACATCAATTTACTCCCCCACAAACACAACCAGCCCCAGCACAAAACCAAGGCCTTCCAAATGCATCTGCTGATTCCTTTGCGGCTGTTCAAGCTCAAATAGACCTTCTAAAACGGCTGACCAGCGGAGCTAATGGTGCTAATGGAAACCCTGGTAACTAGGTATGAAATTGGTACACCTTCTGAGCTGTGTTCTCTTTCTTTCGAACCTACGCGATGACTCCCATAGCCCCGTCTATATCCGTTGTCCTTGATTTTTATCCGCCTGCGAATATTTTATGACCTGCCAGCACGACTGTATATTATTAGTTTAACCTGTCATGTTTGTTTACGCTACTTGGGTCTTATATGCCTCGCCTTGGTGGTGTTACTTGTTTGGAGTTTTGCGTGATGAATAGATACTATAGGTTCAGGCGTCCTCGGTATATCAAAAATTATGATTTAGTAAACAGGGATTATGTTAAAATGCAAACGGAAAAATTTAGATATGAAAATAGCCACGGAATCTATGGTTTATTCTGCTGAAAGTTTGAATCCTAAAATTATTCAAAATCGGAACTTAACAAAAAGGCCCAAAGGGAGTGAAGGTGGGAGCTCCCGGCTTGGTGTCCTAGGCGGTCGGCTGAGCCTAGAGTTTAGAGAATTCTTTGTCTGAGTTTAACTGTTCATAACGGCAGCCTGGAAAGAAGTTTTAGTAAGTATATTGAGCAGTTAAATTTCAAGAATGACTGAGAGGATTTCCTACCCGTGCGTCTTCATAAATTGGCGTCAGGCCAGTCCAATGCTCAAACTGAAAGTAAATATTGTTAGGTGGCTATTAAATTTTTAGGAGTGTAAATTAGGGTAAACATACTTGATAGACACCCTGAGCAACTAGGACTTCCAGCCCCTTAACAATTTTCCAGCCCGCAGGCGATGCTAGTTTCGCGATAGCCGTGACGTCCGGCTTATAAGCCATATCTAGCAAAACGCACTCCTCGGCGCTATCTGTACTCTTCTTCATGATCGAGTTGATCAATCCTTGCAAAGAAGTTTCGATTTCTTGATCTCCTGGTATAGTGCTGATGGCCACCTTGGGGGAATCCTGTACGGATTTCATATCTTCAACAACATGGATGTTATACTCAGCTGGGAAGCTGGAGGCTAACTTTGACAGATTCGATGGAGTTCGCCCGACAAGATAAATGGGAGAGTATCCCATGCTATGGAGGGAATAGATAGCTGCTCGTGCGGTGCCGCCACTTCCGATGACCAGCGCAGACACTTCATCCTTAGAGAAGGCTGCTCCAGCGTCTTTCAAGCAGCGTGCCATGCCTTGCCAGTCGGTGTTGTATCCAACTAGCAGGGGGGACTTCCTATTGTCACCTTCATCGGAAGGAGTAACAGGCACAATTGTGTTAACAGCACCGATGATTTTCGCTTCGGGGGAAATCTCGTCGAGTAAGGCCATTATATGTTCCTTCAGGGGAATAGTCACTGAGGCGCCTCCAAATTCGTCCGAGCGGATGAATATTTCAACATCTTCCACCTTGTCAGTTTCCAATAGGCCGTATTCGTGTGGAAAGCCAGACTGCGCGAAAAGAGCGTTGTGCAAAGCTGGAGATCGTGAAGCAGAGATAGGCTTGCCGAAAAGGGCAAATTTCTTAGAATCAATCTCACCCATGAGGGTGAGGGCTTGTCGAATATCCTTCGCCGAGATTTGTCCGGGAGCGGCTTTGAAAGGCAGGTCTGGATGTGAGACGGGAGTCATAAAGCCATTCAATATCCGGCTAAGACGACCCTTATTTCCCATGTTAATAGCAATAATTGGGATTGGATAGGCTTTCTCCGCCCAGGATTTAAACTCCTTGAGAGCCATGTTGTCCTCGAGGGTTTTGGCAACACCAATAAGCTTTATAACATCACCGTGCTGTAGCGCCTTGTTGTAGTATTGAATCCATGAGCCGTTGGACCATGAGAGATGGCCATTGACATCATGATGGGAGGCAATAATCTTGGAGAAGCCCTTCATCTCGGTTACTGCTCGCAGTAAATCCTCAGGGAACGAGATCTCGAGGTCAACAAATTCGGATCCCATGCGAATTGCAAGCTTGTAGAGTTCCAATGCACTATCAAAGGCGTCATCTGGAAACTGTCCACCCTGTGATTTGGTACGAATAGTGAAGATAAGTGGCAGAGAAACATGACAGCGTAGGAAAGACATCTGTTCGGCGACATAATTAATTGAGGGAACCCCTGAAGTAGACGATGGGTCCTTGAGCAAATCAACCCTTAATTCAACAGCATCAGATCCGAAAGTAGCTGTTCTGAGAATATCGGCGCAAGGTTGGAGATCTTGAAGTGTTAACGATACGAAGAATGAATGATCCTTCTTCTTCAGTCGTGTAAGGTGATCAGTATTCCCCATAACAACGTTCAAGAATCTTGTAAAGCCTTGTAGTGCTGCGTCTAGCTCGCTCCTATCGGAGTGATGGCTATAGTATTGAAGGTTGCTGCATTCTTGGTACCATGGCTCTCGGCGTAGCCATACGCCCATCATATCCTCAACATACGCTGGTCGTGTCTTATCCACCTCAAGGAACTCGATCACCTTTTTGATGTTGCGCATGACAAGGAAGACATTTCCCTTGGTCTGATGGTAATTGATAAGAAGATCGCGGGCTTCCTTTGTCTCTACAATCCCACCACCACAAGCAAATATGTATCCAACGGGCTTCTCAGCGATCATGCGTTTGAGCAGGGCTAGTTCAGCATCTCGGAAACCTTCCCATCCTTTTTTCTTAATGATATCTGGAATTGGCATGCCTTCAACAGTTTCTAGCTCGGTGTCGAGATCAATAAATGGCCGGTTGAGAGCCTTCGAAACACAATATCCACTGGTTGTTTTCCCTGCTCCGCGCATACCGATGATGAAAATAGATGCGGCAGATTTTGCTGACTTGCGGTTATCAACGACATTGCCTTTGGCTAGCTCTTTGCCATCAAGCTTCACTTTGAATGTCTGGGCCAGGACATCCCACCATGCCGGCCAAGTTTTCCCGACACATTCCTTCTCTAGAATCAACGTTGGTTGAGTCGCTGCGGCTGCGGCGAGTACGCTAAAGCTCATAGCCACACGATGGTCATCATAGCAATGGACCCCGTTGATTGGGATCTTTAGATCTGAGCGGTCGATGCCATCAATTTCAATTCCGTCGTCATGTTCTCGACAAGTAACTCCGAATTTAGCTAACTCATCCTTCATAGCCTTGATTCGATTGCACTCCTTCACTCGCTGGTTTGCGATGCCGTAGATACGCGTGGTGTTGCTGGCCTTCTCTGTGGCAACAGCCGCAAGGACGGAGGCCGTCAGGAAAGCGTCAGTCATTGGTTCCATGTCAACGTTGGGCAAGGGTTTCAGGGCACCATTGGCCGGACCGGTAACGGTGGTAGAAGAATCTGTCTGTTTAACATCACAACCCATGGGGCGCAATACGTCAACTGCAAACCGAGCATCACCTTGAAGTGATTTCGATCCGATATTGGGAATAGTACAAGTAGTTCCGGACATGGCGGCGATTGCTAGGGGGTATGTTGCGGAGCTGGCATCACTTTCAATAACATATTCTGGTGGGTTTTTATACCGGCCTTGTTGAATGTGGTAGGTGTACTCCTCAGTTGCGGACTTCTCCACCTGGATTCCAAAGGATTTCATCATGGCGGCAGTCATAACAATATAGGACTCGGAAATCGGCTTTCCGCCAACAAGTTTGAGAGTAACCTTTTCTTTTGCGTATGGCGCGCACATTAGCAAGGAGGAGACATACTGCGATGATACTTTAGCAGCAAGTTTGATCTCCCCGCCTTTAAGTCCACCGCATGCGGAGATCTTGAGGGGGAGACTTCCTTGTTGCTCAACGTATTCCACGGGTACTCCGTTAGTTTTAAGAGCATCCACCAAATCGCCAATTGGTCGTTGCTTCATTCTAGCATTGCCAGTCAAGACGTTGTGAGTAACATCCCCCCTTTTGTTGGAAAGGGTCGCAACAGTAGTTAAGAACCTTGAAGCAGTTCCCGCATTGCCTAAGTATAGCTCATGTGGACTGGCTTCTAGCTTACCACCTTTGCCATTAACGACAAGTACTTCACCCTCTTCCTCCCAGGCGAAGGTGGCGGCTCCCAATGCCTCTAAAGCGTTGAGCATAACTTCCGTATCATCAGAATGTAAAAGGTTCCTGATGCGGCACGTTCCAGAGCCAAGTGCGGCGAGAACAAGGGCTCGATTCGATATACTCTTCGATCCTGGCGGAGTGCAGGTAACCTTGAGTGATTTTGGAACGCCAGGGAAGACTTCAATGCTAGGCGCGAGTACAACCTTGAGTTCTTCATTTGAAACGGAGCTTGCCTTTTGTTCATGTGTGCGACCGATGGCAGAGAGAAGGACAACTTTCTTCATCGGCCCATCGTTTTTCTTATCCACAGCCATAAATGCGATAAGCTTGTCCACAGGACATTTCTTTCCAGCGCTCAGCCGCCTAATTCGTGCATCCTTGAGGGACGTAGGCAGTCCATATCTAGTCAGGCATTTGGCAAGACGGGCCACAGCGGCACCTTTAAGTATTCCAAGATAGCGTGCAAGCTCCACTTCCTTGATCATTCCAATGGCAACGCATTCACCATGGAGAATTTGTGGGGCGAGTATGGCTTCGATGGCATGGCCGATAGAATGACCAAAGTTAAGAAGATTTCGTAGCCCGCCTTCCCTCTCATCCTTGGATACTACGTCTGCCTTGAATTCGGCGGAGGCTAGGATGGTTTTCTTGAGAATTTCCTGGATGCCACTGAATCGTGAGCGCTCAGGGGTGTTTTCTGTTTTCAGGGCTGCGGCTATAGCGTCTGCATTCTCTTCCAACTCTGCAAATGTTGCTTCGCTCGAAATCGCAGCCGTCTAAGATATTATAACTGAGTCACCAATTCGGAGCAGCAAGAGAGAGAGGAGAAACGCCGTGGATAAACCAACCTTGATAACTTCTGCCATTCCATTGGTAAACTCTCGCTGTGGTAGCGTGTTCAGAAATTCCATATCCAAGTAGATTTTCTGAGGCTGCCAAATGGCGCCTACCAGATTCTTTCCATTCGGCGTATCAATTGCAGTTTTACCTCCAATTGAGGAGTCGACCATAGCCAACAGCGTCGTAGGCACCTGTACAAACCGGATACCGCGCATGTACGTGGCAGCAACGAATCCAGCCAAATCTCCGATAACCCCACCACCAAGAGCGATCAGTACTGTATCTCGACCGCATGGCGGTTGACAGCTCAGCATCCAATCCTCAATCTCTGCTTTAGTCTGACGGCCCTTTGAGGATTCCCCTGGCGGGATCTTATATGTGAGGAGTCGAGGCTTGGGTGACTTCTCGGCCGCGGCATCTTCAAACGCTCTCTGAAAGTCCGGTACGTAGAGAGGAGCGATATTCGTATCAGAAATAAGGATGTAAGTCGAAGACGAAAGGGTTTCAAGGAGGTCTTTGGCTACATGGCGCCGCCATATTCCAAAGTCCGCGATTATGCTGTCGCGACCCAGGATCTGAATCGTTGTCGGCTTCATCGTGAAGCTGAAGTGGGGAGCTATTGACAGGGGAGGGGCAACGCTCTCTTCAACGGCCTTGACAGTAGAATTATAGCGAGATGAGTCAATGTAGCGACTTAATTCATCATGAGATAGGAGACGGTCGAGTTAGCAAAGGTCGTCAGGACACGCCCTCTATGTCCAATAAAGATCGATGGAGAAATACCGAAAAATGAGATCTTTGTTCACTAAGAATAAGCTCCCTGAGCTATGAGTAATAGCCCGATGATCGGAGACTAGGCGGCGGCAGCGGCGTGAACAGCGGCGACAGCCCAAATATTGACGCGCGAAGCACAAAACAAGAGCATGTATAAGATTGACTAAGAATAACAAACGAATTGAGTCTCTTGAAGCTATACAAAAAGCCCCAAAAAGGCGATTTTTATTTTTTGGGAGAAGTTGGTTTCTGCCGCCCTTCACCGCCCATGCACAACTTCTAATAATAGACAAGAAAAAGAAGAAAAGATGAAGAAGACAAGACGAAGAAGAAGAGAAAAGAAGAAGAGAAGACGGATGCGAGCGTCTCAGCATTCTATTCGTACATTATACGTAGACTAAGCGAGTGAGGCCTGCTTAATACCTGCCGTACCCGTCGCCGCGACCGCGACCACGCCCAGATCCCCTCGAGTTATAGCCACCCCTGCCATCATGGGATCCTCCACGCCCGTATCCGCCGCCGCCCTGGTAGCCATGCTGTCTGTCCTGGTACGAATTGCGAGGACCGTTGTTGTACCCTGGCGCGTTGTGCTGCTGGCCCCAGTTCTGCGGTGGCTGCTGGTGATGGCCTCCGTATCCACCGCCATATCCGCCCCGTTGAGAGTGGCCTTGATGGCCTCCCTGAGATCGATATCGGTCAGGACCAGGCTGTGGCGGGCCATTATACGCCCCATGGGTGCCTGGCGGTGGTGGGTTCCATCCAGGCGCTGCTCCTCCTCCCATATGCGGTGGTGGAACATACCCCGGAGGCAGGTGAGCTGCAAATGGATTGGGACGGTCGTTGCTGGCATACGATATCTGGCCTCCTCTTCCACCTCCTCTCCCTCTGCCGCCGCGGTTGGATTGGAAAGGCGCGCCGCCGAAGGATCTTCCAGAGTGTCGTGCTTTGTTCCTGGTAATTTCCAAGTCTGAATTATCGAGGACCGGATCGTTAAACTTGACGCCCCGTAGCAGCATCGATTTATGGGCGTGCATTGACTTGGGCATCTCATAGTAAACACTGTGTTACGGGTAGCGTTAGCATGGCAATCTCTTACACATTGAAGAATATATTAACGGAGTATGACTAACCTTATAGACCGATCTTCGTCGAGCGTGGGAATTTCAGCGCCAGTTACCGATAGAGACAGAGAGCTGTGAGGTAGATATGATTCATCCTTCTCGACCTTCCCACCTAAACCTTCGCTGATACGCATATTCAGCTTGAGTTTGGTCGTGCCTTGTTTCTTGGAATAGAAATTGGCTGTCAGTGATTCATAAAGCGGGTGTCTCTCAGACAGGAGTAGAGCATCCTTCCCCATGGCGTTACGGGCTTGCTCTTCTTCCGATAGGAAGGGATATCGCTTGCCCATGGCTCCCAGCAACCGTGCCTCATCGATAAATGGTAGCAGAGCAACTCCCTGCCATGCAAACTTCTTCCCATTTAGGTCCACGGGGAAATCCTCTGGATAGAAGTCGATAATCTCGCTGTTCTCATCTGACATCAGGTCTCGGAATACCTCAGGAATGGCATGGTTCGAAGCTGCTGGCAAGACACCCATCAACTGTTCGAATGGCTTGAAGGGTGATCCCTTGGTAAATTGTACATCCATTTCGCCGAGATCAACGAAATCCGCAGCGAAGGGCGCGTAGTGGTAAGGATAATACCATGTCCAGGATGGACAACCTTGGAAATAATACAGAAGAACCCAGCTCAGGCCTTCGACGTATGCCCGCGCTACCTTGTGGCGGAAAGCAATATCCTTGGGATCTACCTTGAATTTCTGTTCATAGTATCGGTCTGCATAACCGTCTTCCCAAAGCCGTACGGTGTCTGGAGGCATTTCATCCTCCTTTGGCTTTTCTGGGGCCGCGCTTGTTGCATCTGTTTCAGTCTCTGCATTCGAGTTCTCAAACACATCTGATTTCCGCTTTCCGAGAGCAGAGCCGGATGCACCTGAAGGCGCCGGTTCAGCAGCTTCCTCCTCTTCCGCATTTTCCTCTGCAGCTCCGCCGGACAAAAGCTGGGCTTTAAGAGCAGCGGCAGCACTTTTGTTTGCCATGTTCGCCTTATAGACAGCACCACGATTAACCACCATGGAATGTGTCAACTCTCTATCTGCCCTGGTTAGCCCACCTTTGCCTGGCACGACAAGAGGTATGTCCGGTGCAGGCTCGGCGCCGTGGGAGCCTCTTCGCCTCTTGCGTGCGTGATCATTGTTGTTGCTGTTGCGCTGGCGGTCTTCAGCCTGGCGTCTTTTGGCATTGGCATTCCTTCGCTCTTCAGTCTGTCGCCGACGGCGAAATATAGCATCCTCTTGCTTTGCTAGGCCCTGTAAAATCAATTGGGCCCTTCCCAAGTCGACACGGCCATCTTTTGTCAGGTAGCCGCCCATTTGGGGGATGTTATCGCGCCAAATTGCAATAAGGGTGTCTATGCCATTTTCTCGAATTTCCAAAGATGGGAGATGGGGTAAGAAATCGTTACCAACGAAAAAGCACATGAAGACCCAGTCATCCAAAGCTCTCTCAAGGTCGAATGGAAATGGTTGTTGAGGGACCTGCATTTCTACAGCCAGATATTCACGAAGTACCGAAACATGAAGCCAAATAAACGGTTTCAGGGGGCTTCCCTTTTGTTTCTCGTCAAATTCCCCTCGTTTCTCCTTTGCTTTCCCCGTACAAGCTTCCGCCATATGACCAGCTTGCCCACACAATTTGCACGTTCTAGCCTTGGATTCCTGGAAGAAGACATCCTCTCGCAAAACACGGAAGTGTGGCTCATGAGTGCCTAATCCCAACATGATCAAATCGGCATCCTAATTGACACGACACTGTTAGCAGTGGAATAAACCATAAACCGAAGATATAGTTTTGGAGATCACAAACCAATCCATATATTACGTGTCGCGTATTCGGGTCGTACTCTGGGCAAGAACGCTGTGAACGAATGAACTCCATAATTTTATGCTCTCCTTCACCTGGAACAGTCGCATCGGAGATAATAACTTTCATCTAAAGGAAAACAATATTAATAAGAACCGAACGGATAATTTGACTATATCGCATGTGGCCTACCTTCTCCCAACCTGGATCCGTGCTAAGTTTATACGCAACCCAATAGCGCAATGCCATGGCAAGTATGTCCATAAATGGTGTACCAGGCGTGATAACATTGGTATCCCAAGTTTTTGTGATCACTTCCTCCGAAATTACCATGTCCCCTTTACCCCGGTTTTGCTTCTTAAGCAACTTGGCAAACTCTTCCTTCTTCTCGTCTTCTGCTTTCGCATCCTGTGCAGATCTGAATCGACGGGAGCGTTGCTGGTTCATTTTCGCACGGGGAGCGACGCCATCTAGAGAGCCAACCGTAATTAGTATTTTGATATATAACACAATTAATAATTGACTGGAAAGAGAATGAAAGGTTGCAACTCCCCTTGGCGACTATGAACACATCATGCATATAATGTAGCCGTCCGAGGGGAGACCTCCTAAATTCCCCACAGCTGTAAGCCCGACATACCGACAGCGATCATCAACAGCTTCCTTGGCCTGACCATATTAACCACTCTGTCTGTGTATTTGAAGATCTCCAGCATCATCTCGCCCTCGTTCGCTGGTGGAGGTTTGCCCTCCGGATGCGTGCATGGATGGACAATACCATTCATGTCCAGGTAGAGATTATCCATTTCTTCGCCATTTGGATTTGGCTTGGTCGTATCTACCGGAATTTCCTGGCCGTCTATCTCCCCGGGCTGTTCTTCAACGACGGCGGAAACGATCTTGGGATACTTGGAGGAGAGCCATCGGAAGAGGGCTGGGACACCCATCGCGACTAGGTGCCGAGACGGCGATAAAAGTCCAGTCTTTCGCCTTGCACTGCCTTGCGCTGGCTGTCTGCACCGCGGAACTAGGATGACGAGCGCGTCGACTGAGCCTGTCCTCTTCGCTCTGCTATTGCTCTTCGCATCGAACTTCGGCTTCAACTTTGAAGCTGGAAATAAGATCGATATTTTTCCGAAACCTAATCTAAGTCACGTGATATCTTTAATTAGCTGGAGCAACAAACTACGACTGAACATGTTTACCACCGACATCGAGTTCGTGAAGTGAAAAGGGGGGGACAGACCTGGATATATTCAGTGCGCGTAACTTATTCGGATTTATACTTGAACTATATGAAAATGTGCGACATCATTGACCCGCGGTGATGGTGCTGTTTCGGTCACATAGCACACGATGTTTCGTATTCTCGAATCCCAAGCTCCCGCCCGGCAGACAGCGACAGACACAATAAATACGCTGAGCAGTCGGCTACAGAGCTCGACGCTGCTGGAAGACCGCCGGGCAGCGATACTTGGCCTTCGGAGCTTCGCCAAGGGATATCCTGCGTCTGTTGCATCGGAGGCATTGAGGCCACTGATCGCATCCCTCCGTAACGATGTCGAAGACGTGGACACCATCAAGCTGGTTCTAGAGACCTTGCTGATGCTATTTTCTCCAGAGGAGAATAGTGTGAGTCGTGAATTTGGTGTAACTGCACAAATTACCGAAAAGCTGATGTTTCCATGAATAGCCAGAAGCATCGGATGAGCTAGCACTATGGCTTGCTGATGAATTCACTCAAGTGCGTGCCTCATTTTTATACTGGGCAGAAGATAGGTGTTAACGAAGTTACGAACAGAGGCAGGACAATATTACAATACTACTCGACCTCCTAGACACCAAGGAATTCTATTCCAGACTCTACTCCCTCCAATTAATTTCTCAAATTTCCACCGCCCGGCCAGAGAGGACTCAAGAATGCATTTTGACAGCGCCTTTGGGCATATCAAGAGTTGTTGCGGTCTTGAGCGACTCAAGGGAGCCAGCACGTAATGGTACGGACGAATTCAATGCCTTCAAATTTGGTGGTGGCTACTAAATTTTGACTCATGTTGTAGAAGCACTTCTCCTCCTTATCGCACTTACCATCTCGTCTGCTGAATTACAAAAGGTGGTCGCTTTTGAAAATGCCTTTGACCGAATATTTTCGTTAATTGAAGCGGAGGGGTCACTCAAACACGGATCCAGGACGGTTGAGGATTGTCTTGCCCTTCTGGGAAACCTTTTGCAGATAAATCCTTCGAACCAGTCGTTTTTCCGAGAGACTGGTTGTGTGAGGAAGCTCGTGATGCTTCTAGATGATGCGATGAAAGACCCCAAGCCCGACGAAGAATTCCCACCCTGGATGCTGGAGCAGCGAAATAAAAATATATGGGGAATTCTTGCTATTATCCAGCTGTTCCTTGTAAAACGTGGAATCAGCACTCCAGTAAATCAAACCACTTTCTGGCAAAGTGGAACCATGGAACAATTACTGAGAGCCGCGTTTAAAGAGGACTTTGACGTTGCTCTCAAAGCCAAGGTCGGCACTCTCTCACCGTTTAGATGCTCCTAATATACATGCTAATTTCCAATTGAAGGCTCTCCTAGCAGCGTCAGATTTGATCTGTGCAAACGCTACGCTTCAAGAAAAGTTTTCAGATCTGGATGTTGTGATAACAACTACTCCCGCCGATCAACAACTCGTCAATGGGAACAAGCCAGCCCAGACTGTGGAGCGGCTTAACGTGTTGGAAGCATTGCTCCGGCTGACCCTGCAGCAAGGCCCAATCCACCTTCTGGACGCACGCCTTGCATCGTGCGATTGTGTCCAGGCCTTTTTCACGAACCACCCCGGAATTAAGCTTCACTTCCTAAACAGAGCAATCAGCGGACACATTGGTGGCGGCGACGAAATTCCAAACATTCTATCAATCCTTATCCGGCCGTCGGATTTCCATGTTTCGAATGATCCTTACCAGACATGGCTGGCCTCTGTCTTGTTATTCCACCTGATATATGAAGACCCTGAAGCCAAGGCTGCCGCGATGAAAGTTACCGAAGGTGATGCCGAGAATGGAGAAGAGGTAATAACTTGTGTGCAGGCAATAGCTGGTAATTTGATCACAGGCATCCAAAGAAATGACGATGAGAGGATATCGATTGGATACTTAATGTTACTTTGTGGTTGGCTATATGAAGACCCAGATGTTGTTAACGACTTCTTAGGCGAAGGAAGCAGTGTTCAAAGCCTAATCCAAGAGGCGAAGCAAGAAGTTTCCCCAGACTCACTGCTTCCAGGGCTATGCGCTATTCTACTTGGAATAATTTACGAATTCTCGTCAAAGGACTCTCCGATCCCACGATCGACTCTCCACCAACTGTTAATCAGTAGGTTGGGAAGAGAACTATATATCGACAAAATCACAAAACTCCGAGAACACCCACTGGTTCGCGATTTTGAGGTTCTACCCCAAACCACCCAGGGGCAACAAGACTCTGGGCTTCCTGAAATATTCTTTAAAAAGACATTCGTCGATTTCTTAAAGGACAACTTCAGTCGGCTAATCAGAGCCATTGACCGCGATCCAGGCATGGAGGTTCCTGTGATGGCTAATGGTGTCCAGAAGGGGATATCACGCGAGCTAGTGGACAGTCTTAGAGCTCAAGCTGAAGATCGGGCGCAGACAATTCAAAATCTGGAATTAGAGATGTTGGATCTACAACGCAAACTGGACCAAGAGCATTTGGATCATAAACGAACCAAAGATTCCAGCGATCGCGAGCTGCACAGGCTCAATCAAGTTAATGAAACACTGCAAAAAACACATGCAGCCGAAATATCTAGATTAGAAGAGCAGAGCAGGTCGACAACGAACGAGCTACTCAAGAAACATAACGACCAGGTGCACGCCCTCGATACGCAATTAAAACAGTCCTCTATGGAGCACGAAAGACGAACCACCAAGCTCAGAGAGATACACGAGGGAGAGGCCACGGATTTGAAGCAAACAGTGCAGAAGCTGGAGGCGAGCCTTGAAAAAGCCAACAAGGACCACATCCAAGATCTTCAAACTGCGCATGAGGAGTATTCGGCCAAACTCTCGGCTCTAGAATCAAAGAACCGACGAGCCGATGAAAAGGCACAGGAGGCACAGGAACACAACAAGACGCTGGAGAATGAGCTGAAGGAAGCGCGAAAAACGGCCGAGAAGCTACGAAAGGATAGCGAAGAGAGTGAAGCTGCTCGCCAATCAGCACAGAGCGAACTTGAGGATCTGTTAATAGTGTTTAGCGACCTGGAAGCAAAGAGAAGAGCAGATAAAGTAAGCCGCCATCAGCCTCCTAACACCCCCCCCCCCCCCCCCCCCCCCCCCCGGATATCGCTAACTTTGACTGTAGAAGCGTCTGAAGGCTCTGGGCGAAGAAGTATCGGACATCGATGAGAGCGACGACGACGATGACGAAGATGAGGATGAAGATGAAGAGGAGTCGGAGGTAGAATGATTGGCAGCTTGAATTCGTTTTTTAAATCTACGTACTCGCAGACTAGAGCAGGCTTGATATTGAGTCATGAGACACGAAATATTACTATTATTATGAACTGTACACCCCTGCATGCTTATAATCTCTGGATAGAAGGACCTTTGATTCATCCATCGTCCTACGGAGAACAAAATTCCGCGAGAAGCCTGTAGAAAGACGCTGCCCCTTTTATACGGACAGGCAAGGAGTCACATCGCGCTGACTCACCACCACAAAAATTTATGTGTTAAATAGCTGCCATTTCCCCCACATCCTACATACAACAGCAGTCAAGAACACACGTTTCGCTCCACGCCATGTCGATCGACTTTCCAAAGGAAGAGGAGGCCGTCCTCAAACGATGGAAGGAGATTCGGGCCTTTGAACGACAGGTAGAACTGTCTCAGGGCAAAAAAGAGTATACCTTCTACGATGGCCCGCCATTTGCGACCGGATTACCCCACTACGGGCATCTTCTTGCTTCCACGATCAAAGACATTATTCCTCGATACTGGTCGATGAAGGGATATCATGTCGAGCGCAGATTTGGCTGGGATACGCACGGCGTGCCGATCGAGTATGAAATCGACAAGATGCTGGGGATGTCGGGGTCAGAAGCCGTGCAGAAGATCGGTCTCGCCGCATACAACGCTGAATGCAAGGCCATTGTCATGAGATTCTCCTCTGAGTGGAGGCAGACTATCGACAGGTTGGGTCGTTGGATCGACTTCGATAACGATTACAAGGTAGAGTAGCTTTCTCGGTGCCGGGTGTGACCAAAAGTGACGGGAGGATTACAATGCTGACGAGGATTGCGCATAGACTATGGACACTACCTTTATGGAATCTATCTGGTGGATATTGAAACAATTGTTTGAGAAAGGTGCCGTATACCGTGGGTACAAAGTCATGCCTTACTCGACGGCACTGAACACACCATTAAGTAACTTCGAGGCTCAACAAAATTACAAGGACGTCCAAGATCCAGCTGTTGTCGTCTCCTTTCCTCTCCTCGACGACCCTCAGACATGTCTGCTAGCCTGGACGACCACACCTTGGACCCTTCCATCTCATACGGCCCTTGCGGTGCACCCAGATTTCGAATATATCAAGATTCGGGATGAGGCGTCAGGGAAGAACTATTATATTTTAGAAGCGTTGCTGGGGACTCTATACAAAAACCCCAAGAAGGCAAAATTCCAGATATTAGAGCGCGTCAAGGGGTCTGATATGGAAGGGTGGAGATATGAGCCTCTCTTCGATTACTTTTATGATAAGTTCAAGGATGATGGGTTCCGTGTACTGACCGCAACATACGTCACTGCTGATAGTGGTGTTGGAATCGTCCACCAGGCTCCCGCCTTTGGTGAGGAGGATTACAATGTCGCCATGAAAGCGGGTGTTATCAACGAGCACAGACTGCCTCCCAACCCCGTTGATGAAAGGGGTAACTTCACTAAGGAGGTTACGCATTTTGCAGGAATGAATGTTAAGGAGGCCGACAAGGCCATTATCAAGCATCTCAAGGGCACGGGCCGTATTGTTGTGGATAGCCAGATTACCCATAGTTATCCTTTCTGCTGGAGATCTGATACCCCTTTGATCTATAGGGCCGTGCCTTCATGGTTTGTTAAAGTCACACCTATCATCCCTGACTTGTTGGAATCTATCGAAAAATCATACTGGGTTCCATCTTTTGTCAAGGACAAGCGATTCGCGAGCTGGATAGCAAATGCCAGAGACTGGAATATTTCTCGAAACCGCTATTGGGGCACGCCGATCCCGCTGTGGGCCAGTGAGGATTATGAAGAAATCGTCGCGGTGGGCAGTGTCGAGGAGTTGAAAGAATTGAGTGGATACACCGGCGAATTAACAGACCTTCATCGCGACAAAATTGACCACATCACCATCCCTAGCAAGAAAGGAAAGGGCGTACTGCGCCGTGTCGATGAGGTGTTTGACTGCTGGTTTGAGTCCGGAAGCATGCCGTATGCATCTCAGCATTATCCATTCAAAAACAAAGAGCGTTTTGAAGAAAAGTTCCCCGGTGACTTTATTGCGGAAGGTCTTGACCAGACCCGTGGATGGTTCTACACTCTCGCGGTTCTTGGAGTACATCTTTTTGGAAAACTCCCATTCAAAAACTGTGTTGTCAACGGTATCGTTCTTGCGGAGGATGGAAAGAAGATGTCAAAACGTCTGAAAAACTATCCAGACCCGACCCTCGTTATGGACCGTTATGGCTCGGATCCACTTCGTTTGTATCTCATCAACTCTCCAGTTGTCCGTGGAGAGCCATTGAGGTTTAAGGAATCAGGTGTCAAGGAGATCGTTTCCAAGGTTCTCCTCCCCCTGTGGAACAGTTATAAGTTCTTTGAGGGCCAGGTCGCCTTGTTGAAGAAAGTTGAAAACATCGACTATGTCTTTGATCCCACTGCCGAAGCGAAGAACACAAACGTCATGGACCGCTGGATATTGGCCAGCTGTCAGAGTTTGCTTAAGTTCGTGAATGAAGAGATGGCTGGTTACCGGCTCTACACCGTTGTTCCAAGGTTGCTGGAACTCATCGATAACACAACCAACTGGTATATCCGATTCAATCGAAGGCGTCTAAAGGGCGAGCTAGGATTGGACGATACCCAGCATGCCCTCAACACCCTTTTCGAAGTTCTATATACCTTGGTTCGTGGACTCGCCCCCTTCACGCCTTTCATCACCGACACTATTTACACCCGCCTCCTACCTCATATCCCAGAGGAGCTTCGAGGAGAAGACAGCCGATCAGTTCACTTCCTCCCATTCCCAGAAGTGCGAGATGAGCTCTTCAATGAGACCATCGAGAGACAAGTCGGAAGGATGCAGAAAGTCATAGAACTTGGCAGAGTCTCTCGTGAGCGCCGAACCATTGGTCTGAAGTGCCCACTGAAATCCCTTGTCGTTATACACAAGAATCAGGAGTACTTGGATGACGTACGTTCATTGGAGTCATACATTGTTGAGGAGCTTAACATCCGCGACCTAATCCTCTCATCGGACGAAGCAAAGTATAACGTTCAATATAGCGTTGATGCTGATTGGCCCGTTCTCGGCAAGAAATTGAAGAAGGATGTGCAAAAAGTGAAGAAAGCGCTACCATCTCTCTCCAGCAATGACGTGAAGAATTATGTTGATACTGGCAAGATATTGGTCGATGGAATTGAGCTGATCGCGGGTGACCTCGTGGTTAAGCGAGGACTGAAACAGGATGAAGCCTCTTCCCAGCTAGAAACCAACACCGACGATGATGTGCTTACCATTTTGGATGCAACCTTGTACCCCGAGCTTGCGGATGAAGGCATTGCAAGAGAGATTGTCAACAGAGTCCAACGACTTAGAAAGAAGGCTGGCTTGCTCGTGACTGACGATGTTGGGATGGAATATCGTGTTCTGTCTGATCCAGATGCGATTGGAATAGAGGGGATTTTCGATAGACAAGCAAAGGCTCTTGAAAAGGCGCTTCGGAGGCCCATGGACCAACACGTCATTACCGAAGTCGAGGGTAAAATTCCAGACGTAGAGCAATCGGTGATCATGGAAGAGGTTCAAGAAGTTCAAAAGGCAACGTTCATGCTCCGATTAGTCAAGCTATAAAAAGATAGTTCATATGATTTATAGTGTTTAGATACAAATTTAGACGAAATTTCTGGTCTACCAGAACTGAATCTCCGTAAGTGCAGACCAGAGACAGTATTAGTTGGCCTATGTTGATGGTATTGTATTTTGCATGGCTTATCGCCGCTTCGCTGCCGCCTTCAATCGTAGTTAGCAGCCTGTATAAAAAAACAGAGGTCGCATGAATAGCTACCAAATAACAGTCTTTCAACCTCATGAACTCCTTAGCACACATGTCCTTGGACACTGCGGTGTAATCGGCCAGGATGCATTTGCCATAAGCCGTGGCCTAGACTGGTGTCAACAAGGATTTCCCCAAGACTGGATTAGATCACTCGGGAGGTCTCACTTCAACGGAGCATTTCGCAGTCGCCCGCGCAAATTTCTCAATTGGCCTCGTCTTTCCAGGCATACTAACTTAACAGGGTGCCCACAGAGGCTTATTAGGGGGTTTGTTTTGGTTGATATCGAAGTAGCTGGATGTCTCAACCCGCGAAAATGCGCCAGAAGAAAACAGATATGACTAAGCCGTATTTACCATTACCACTATTACGGTATTAAACCACAGAATGTAGTGTGCTGACGGTAAACACCGAGTAAATAGTTAACCAACTAGGCTATAGGACCTTTTTTTTTTGATAGACAGTGACCATATGGTGACCATTATGACAGCAGAGAACGAATCTTTACATCTCTACCAAGCTACGGCGCCTCTGTATCCTCCGTCCTAGCAACAACGTCTGCCTCGGCTGAGTATCGTCAGGTCACCTGACCTGTAACTATGTATCTGGAACCTCGGCAAGAATGCATTTTAATGCAATATTGGTGCTCGCATCAACGGATGGACGGCCATTTTCTATTTTGATATAAGGCTTTGTATAGCAGCTCGGATGTCGTCCCGGAGGCCCCTATTGGCAGGTTATCCGGTGATCGGGAAGGCCGAGACCGAACGCAAAACATAAGCTCGTTATTCAGTGCAAAATAGCCAGGCCAATCATGACTGCTTCACTCTAAGCTGACGTCAATGGCAATCCCTCACATAGTTACATCCCGCAGTCTGCTCTGGCCTTTATATAGCTGCCCGCTTCCCTTCTCGAAGACAGATTCTCTAAAGATTCCTCGAGACAAAGTATCTCTTATACTCCCATTCTTCTCTATATATATATTGAAACCATGCCAGAACCAATTCCCGGTCCGGCACCATTGCCAATTGTTGGCAACGCCCATAATCTTGACCTTGTAAATACATATACTACGCTTGGAAACCTCGCGGACACATATGGTACGCCCTTGTACTCTGAATATTTCCCATGAGGTCTAGGCTGATAGGATGCTCTGGGCAAAGGCCCTATCTTCAAGCTTACTCTGGGCGGCCAAGAGAGAATCTTCATCACTACACAGGCTTTGATGAATGAGGTTTGCGATGAAAAGCGTTTCTCGAAGCTAGTTTCAGGCGCTTTAGGTCAAATAAGGAATGGTGTCCAGGATGGCCTGTTTACAGCCCACACAGGGGAGCACAATTGGGAGATTGCACATCGTGTGCTGATGCCAGGTAAGCAATGGTATGGGGTATTTTATCAGATGCGCCTCCGCTAATATAAAGGTATAGCATTTGGCCCGATATCAATTCGGTCTATGTTTGATGAGATGCATGATATAGCATCACAGTTGGTGGTCAAATGGGCCCGATTTGGTCCCAACGAAAAGATTCATGTGACCGATGATTTCACGAGGTTGACTCTCGACTCAATCGCGCTGTACGTATAATATGGAGTTGATATAAGTATATTGTGGTATTCGCTGATTGAATTATAGTTGCGCAATGGGTGCGCGGTTCAACTCTTTTTACCACGAGGAGATGCATCCGTTTGTCAATGCAATGGTCGACTTTCTGGCCGAATCTGGAGCCCGAGCCAGTCGACCAGCCGTCGTACAGTATTTCATGCACTCGGCTCAGCAAAAGTATGATGCCGATATTGCGTTATTGAAAAAGGTGGCTGGAGATCTGGTTGCAGAACGGAGGGCCCACCCCAACGACAAGAAAGACTTACTAAATGCCATGTTAAAAGGGAAAGATGTTAAGACCGGAGAACATATGACGGAGGAGAGTATAATGAACAATATGATTACTTTCTTGATTGCCGGTACGTTTACCTCACTTTCAAGTTATACAATTGCTCATTGATACCCCATAGGTCACGAGACTACAAGTGGTCTCCTGTCGTTTTTGTTCTATTATCTCCTCAAGCACCCGTCGGCGTATCAAACCGCACAGCGCCAGGTTGATGAGGTCGTGGGTCGTGGCCCCATCACTGTAGACCACATGTCTAAATTGCCCTATATCGAGGCATGCATGCGAGAAACGCTCAGACTCACGCCGTCTGCAATCGCTATCCAAGTACAGGCTCGGCCAGACGGCACAGAAGATCCCGTCTACCTAGCTGGCGGGAAGTATGAGGTCAAAAAGGGGCAAGCAATTGTTTGCTTTATTCCACAGATTCAACGTGACCCATTAGTCTATGGTGATGACGCAGATCAATTCAAGCCCGAGAGGATGCTAGACGAGGCTTTTGCAAAGCTTCCCAAAAACTCATGGAAACCATTTGGAAATGGTGTGCGTGGGTGTATCGGCAGGCCATTTGCCTGGCAGGAGGCCATACTCATTGCTGCCATGCTCCTTCAGAATTTCAACTTGCGTTTCGATGATCCAAGCTATCAGCTACGGATAAAGCAAGCCCTCACCATCAAGCCTAATGATTTCTTCATGCGTGCAACTCTGAGACACAATGTCGACCCTGTTCAGCTCGAGAAAATGCTTCACGGAAACATAGCAGTGGAAGGCAAAGCAGCGGAGCAGGACAGAAGGGCAAGTTCTTCGCCAGCTGGCCCCGCTAAGAAACCTATGACAATCCTTTATGGCTCAAACGCTGGGACATGTGAAGCACTGGCGCAGAATCTGGCACGAGATGCGTCCGGTCGTGGCTACTCGGCTCAGGTCAATCCTTTGGATTCGGGCATTGACAATATACCAAAGGGCCAACCTGTGGTCCTGTTATGCTCCAGCTACGAAGGGCAACCTCCAGATAATGCCGCCCATTTTGTAGAATGGATTCAGAGCCTTGGCAGCAATGCATTGACTGGTGTGAAGTATGCAGTCTATGGCTGCGGAAACCGTACGTATCCCAAAATTCTATGATATCCAGATGTAGACTTTATTTGCTGACGTTCCTAGATGATTGGACCTCCACGTTTCATAGGATTCCTAAACTCCTAGACGCTGAGTTTGAGAGGTCAGGTGCGACAAGAGTTGCGGGAACCGGACTTGGGGATGTTGCTGACGGGGACATCTTCAACCACTTTGATAAATGGCAAGATGAGCAACTTTGGGCCTCTATCGGGGGTAAAGCGGTCCCTTCAGAAGAGGATAGTATCGAAATTGAAATCGATACGGAAGCCCGCAAGTCGACGCTCCGTCAAGATGTTAAGGAAGCAACCATCATCAGCAACCGGGTTTTGACGGCAGCAGGCCTACCAGAAAAGAGGCACATTGTCCTGAAACTCCCTACCGGGATGTCTTACCAGACTGGAGATTATCTTGCTGTGCTCCCTATCAATGATCAGAGAAATATTCGACGAGCCCTGAACCGTTACAACCTGCCTTGGGACGCCCTGCTCACTATCAGGGTTGGAGCCAACACAACGCTGCCAACGGGCCACCCGGTTTCAGCAATGGATGTGTTGAGTGCATATGTAGAATTGGGCCAGCCGGCAACACGAAAGGTACGTAAAAAAAAAGATGGATGAATGTTCTGTTCAACAAACTCACAATTTCTGGTAGAACGTTGCACGTATTGCTGCTAGTATCCCGGACGAGCGGACCCGCGAGCAAGTCCTTTCTCTTGCTAAGGAGAACTTTGATAATGAAATTTTGAAAAAGCGCCGTTCTCCATTGGACCTGCTCGAAGAATATCCTTCTGCTGAGCTGCCCTTGGGTGACTTCCTTGCGATGCTGCCACCTATGCGCATTCGCCAGTATTCGATATCTTCGTCCCCTCTGGCAGACCCGACAGTAGCGTCTATTACGTGGTCGGTCCTTGATGCGCCGTCTAGGATCGCTGATTCGAAACGATTCCTTGGTGTGGCGTCGAATTTCCTATCCAAGGTTGAAGAAGGTGATAGGATTCATGTTGCGGTGAAGACAAGCCATGGAAACTTCCACCCTCCCAGGGATATCGAGAACACGCCTCTCATGATGTTCTGTGCTGGAACGGGTCTCGCTCCCTTCCGAGGCTTCATACAAGAACGGGCAATCCAAGCACAAGCGGGTCGAATGGTTGCTCCGGCATACCTTTTTATCGGCTGCAGGGAACCTGAAAAGGATGAACTCTTCAAGGACGAGCTCCAGCAGTGGGAGAAGGACGGAGTGGTGAAGGTCTTCTACGCGTTTTCCAAGGCAAGTGAACAGAGCAAGGGCTGCCGACATGTGCAGGACAGACTCTGGGAGGAGAGGGAGGAAATGAGAAAGGTCTTTGACCAGGGCGCGAAGCTATACGTCTGCGGAACCAGTATGGTCGGAGAAGGTGTCGCCGCAACCATAAAGAAGATCTTCCAGGACTATTGCGACTCCGTTGGCAGGCCGAAAACAGATGAGGATGTTGAGAGATGGTTTCAGGAGATCAAGAGCGATCGCTACTCCTCTGATGTCTTCGCTTAGGCACATATCAAGCCCTGGTTAGGCGAAGCTTGCCTTGTATAGATACATATCTATAGCTAAATACAAAGGAAAAGAAGATGTGTATATATCATATCGCAAAGGGGGAAGAATTTATATCGAAGTTGGACAGAGCAAATGCTTACATAATCCGGCTAAATCGTTTCCACCGCGAAACTTGAAAGCTAAAAAACACGCGCAACTTCCAAGCCGCATCCCATACAAAACACACGTCAACGAGATAATATGAGGTTTCTGTTGACGTGCACATGCGCGATCAATTTTGGATAGATTCCCCCTCGCCCTGATAAGACTATGCAGTCCGGGCCCTATTGTTTGTTCTGTCAGCCTCGAAATGACTTCACTGCGCAACTCGCGAAAACGGCGTAGATCGCGGAATAATCTTCGATGCCTTCAAATCCCAAAGACCGGGCTGTCGCATCATTGGAGCAGCTAGTCCTATCAGACCAAGGTTTGTTCTTCCTTTCATTGACTAAATTTTTTTTGATACTGGAGATCCCGAACTGACGGAAAATACCCTGAAGATGTTGAGCTTCTTCATGAAATCGTAACGCGCGCCGAACGGCACCCAGATGCCGACATTACTCCCTTTCGGGCTATCTTTTCGACGTACGATGCCGTGCTGGCTGAACATGGCATCTCGACGGAAAGTGACCAGACGTATCTCCCTTTTCTCTTCCAACTCGGGGCTGAACGAAATGGCACCTTGGCTGCGCGATTCGAGTCGCTCCTAGCATCACTGGGCATTCGACTGGAGTATGGCGAAGATACGGAAGCGAATGATGCGTTGGAAACCGACATTGCGCCGCATATTAGAGAGGACAGCGTCCACATCTCACATCAGAGGCCGAATGGAGTTCAGCCACCGAAAACCGAGGAACGGCGACGCGCCTCATTTGATTCATTATACGATGCAACGCAGGACCTTGCGCAAAGATTTACCAATAGGCCTAGCTCCAGGTCTTCCATGTCTAGACTCGAAAATGGCACCATCGGGTCTTTGGACTTTGACGCGGAAATTAAACAGCTCTACCCTTACAAATCGGGCCACCATTTACACGACCAGCCACCCCAACGTCAGGGATTGAGGGGTGCTAGGGACCGTGAAACCAACAGCCCAAATTCTCAAACTTCAGATGAAGATACAAATTCGATCTCTCCCCGCCGTGACTCAAGGTACTCTGATACCCAAGAATTCGGTGGCGATTACAGATCTCAGCCAAACCATTCATTAGAGCCCCAATATAGCGAAAGAGCACTCTCTGATGCTTCAGATGATATCCCAGACCCCCCTCGAGTGCCTCCCGAGCTATTTTATCAACCTTCAAACGCCCAACGTCTTAGGGATGCTTCGGTTTTTGATATGCACAGACAGAACAATGCTCTTCGACTGGTGCTGGCAAACTGGTCCGAAACAGCAAAACGAAAGCGAGAGATAGTGCAGGCCATGGAAGAAAGGGCTATCTACTACGATAGTAGAGCCCTCGTCGTCCAGGTGTTGGATATGTGGAAAGCTGCGCTGCAAGACAAACGTCAGGCTGCCGAGACTGAAAGATTAGCCGCACAGACTGAAAGGTTTTTCAATAACCTAGAGGAACGGGCTGCGCGTGCACGAGATCTATACCTGTTAACAAAGGCCTTTACCCACTGGTCACAGGTAGCATCTGACGAGGTTCATAGAACCGAAGCTGCCCGAAGACATCTTCTCTGTATTAAGTATTTCAGTGCATGGCGCGAAATTACTGCGGTGAACGAGCTCAAGGCCCAACGATTTATGCTGAAGCGGCCGTTCAAGCTTTACGTTGCTCGTTACAATCGAATCGCCCCCCTCAAAGCTCAAGCAGATGACTTTCGTCAACAGAGCCTGAAGAAAAATGCTTATTCGCATTGGTTCTGGTCCTTTTGTGATAGATTAGCGCCGCGATGGCACAAGGAACGCTTGAAGCAGCGCTCATTCATCTCTTGGCTACGCGCACTCCGAACCCAGAGGGAACGGGACCTTGGAATTGACTCTAACCGCACCCTTAACTCTTTAAAATCAACTCTTCAAGCACTGATCCAAAAACATCGTGCAGTTTCGTCGGCCGAGTGCCGTGCAGATGATCAGTGGAAGTCGCGTCTAGCATCAGACTGCCTGATAGAATGGTCAGTCAAGCAAAAATATCAGAGGCCTTTCGCTGAGGTGACTAGCATGGTCGACACTAGGCTTGTCCGTACATGTCTGAATGACTGGTCTCGACGGACACGCATGGATAGAAGCGCGCGGGACGCGGATCGACTTCGTGTTATGCGTAACTGCTGGACAACTTGGAACGACCACCTTCGCTGCCAGGCTTTGTCCTCACGAACTGAAGAACGGCTTGTTTTACAAGCATTATATAAATGGATTTTGATGGGAAGGCTACGACTAATGGACCGAATACATCAACAACGGCTCAAGGCCAGCTATCTGAAGAAGGTGATGGAAAATTCACGGGGACTATATAATCAGCTACTCGTCAAGGAGGCAGCATTCCGCACCGAGCGAAAACGAAAACTAGTGGGAGCTGCGTTTAGCTATTGGAAGCAACGACTTGATATTCAAAAGCAACGCGAGCTGGTAAGCCGTGCTTTCTACGCGCCTCCAGTCCAACAAGAGGTACTCCAGATCTGGAAAACACGCAATGAACATTTGACAACTCTGGATACCTGGGCGAAGAAATCTGAATACTTCTTTCTAACGACGAAAACGCTGAAGCAATGGCGAAGTGCAACAGCAGAATCGTCTAAGCGACGAAGGTTGGAGGCATACTCAACGATAAGGCGCAAAGTGAAAATGAATTTAGCCTCGGAAGTTCTCTCTGCCTGGCGATCGCGTTGTGCTACTGTTCGTTCTATACACCAACAATCGACTGAGATATATGGAAGAAAGCTGATTGCAGCTGGCACTGATATGTTCCATCTTTGGTTGGAAAAGTCCACACAACGGTCTCAAAACATTGCTGATGCGCAGTTGTATTATAACCGACAGTTGGTGTATAACCACCTAACTCACTGGGCCGGGATGCAGCGGTCCTACAAAATGCTCAATGAGAAAGCGACCAGGTTTTTGGAAATTCACATTTCTGGAGTCGCCCTTGCCCAAACTCGGAAACTCAGCCTTCGAATATTTGAAGTTAAAACTCGCCTGGAAACCGCGGACGCTTTGCATGAGCGGAATACTCGAAAACACTACAGGAATATGATTCACCATTGGCGCGAGAAGGCTAGGATTTCAAAAGAAGCCAACTTTGATTCATTCCCGATCGTTACACCATCGAAGGGTGGCCTGAATATCCAACAATTCAACGAGCCAGATGAATGGCAAACGCTGGACCAAGTTCGGGAAGAACCACCGATACGGCAGCCGGATTTCACATCGCATACCCCCATATCGACACCAGGGTATTTGAACAGCCCTTCAAAGCGTGCTGCTCGAGCTAAAGCATTAGTTCAAATGTCTACGACGCCAGCGACACCATTACCGACCTCATTTCCTAGTAAATTGTGGGCTGCAAGCGAGCCTAGGTTACAACCTATATATTCGAGCAGGAGGAGTGCATTTAAGCGTGGTGCAATGAGTACCAATGTCCGCTTTGCTATTGATGAGGAGCCAGAATCTCCTACGGAAGGCAGATCAACAGCGAAGGAAATTACATGATGAATAACGAAATAAACCTGTAACCTGTAACTTGTAACTAAAGAAGCAAAAAATATTAGTAATAAATAACTTAATAATACCTTCCAAAACAGAGACGCCAATATAGTCGATTTTATATCCCATCCTAACCCAACCAGCTTGCTTTCCATATCCAGGGGCCCTCCTATGTACCGTTTAAATGTCCATTTATATCCTAAGTCCCAATTCAGGCCACACCCGACCAGCCACATCCATTAAACACCTGGCGTGCACAAAAAAAATATAATAAAATAAAATAAGGGGTGAAAAGGATTTTATCGGCGCCAGTGAGGGAGTGAGATTTTTCCCAAGTATCCCGCGGTAGGCTGGTCCGAAAAAAGGTGAGGATCAAAAATGGCAATTAGAGCCTGCTAAGTTGCTTTTGCGTGGGTGTACCCCTTCCATCGACTTATTCCAAAGGGCATTCGATAGCGTGCACCATATACTTTGAATTGAATAATGTTCGTTACGGTGTATAATCAGTCTCATGTGCCATTCGGTGTGAAACGGCGATTAAGATCGACTTAGAAAAGAGGAATTGAAATTGCGATCGAGATCGAGAGAGGAAGAAAGGCGGGTATTGCGTGAATAGTAAATTATTTGGTCGTGTTATCATATGATTTCGTATCATGCTCGTTGCTTCTGTTTCTCCCTTCATGCAACTTTCAACCTTTTCTGCTTAGTGTCGAATGAGGTGCTTGATGTGTCGTGTTCAGCATGCCTCTTATTGGTGGAAGATAGCTGGCTTGCGCTGGTCCTATCACCCTTGGATCTCGCAGGGTACCCATAGTTCTCATTTGGGGCGGCAGAGCCTGGAGTAGTTTCCGACGATCCCTTGCGTTGGGTCTGGAGATTTGAACGCACTGTAGCCAGAGTAGCGTTTGGTTTAAGAGTTTCGGCTGAGCGGGCGACTCGAGGCCTGGGAGGTAAAAAGACAGATGAAGCTGCAGGAGCACGACGCACGGTCGGGCTGGGCCCCGTTGTATTCGTACGTGGTCTTGCGGTAGGTGCTGGTGGGGATGTTGACGTGGTATTGTTGGTGCGAACCACAGGTCGAACAGGGTGCCTAATGGGGGCAACAGGTTTGTGGTCCTCGATGAGCGACTTGGGAGCTTTGACGACACGAGACGCCATGGCGCTGAGCTTATGAGTTGGGGTGGATAGCTTAGTATTGCGCTTGACGGCCGGCGGTAACGCAGATTTCCTCCCTCCAGAGGAAGCACCAGAGCCAGGCCGAGAGGATAACCTGGGCGGAACGAATTTCCATCTTGATTTGTCCTCCCACGGTTTGCTGTGGCTGCTATCACCTGTTTTCGTATTTAATGCAAAAACGGGGGTGATGCCGCCCATAATGCGGTCGTGGTGAGCATATCTCTGAACAGACGTGGGTCTCTCCTGAGGCAGGCGCATCTTCTTTGCGTCAACGATCTTGGGAGTGTGCTTCGACTTCTCCTTGTCGAGGCCTTGCAGAGCACGTCTCATGCGCTCTGCATCTTCGTCAACCTTCTTAGCTGCTTGCTCGCGTAGCGAGATGTAAAAATTGTACCAGCTCTCGGGAGTTTTAGATAGATCAATATCTTCCCAGAAGTAGATATCACGTTTGATGAACTCAATCCAGAGCTCAGCATCATGATCAAGTAGATGTGGAGATCTTTGTTCAAGCTCATGCTGATCGAGCAAACCAACAAGGTGGACAGGTCAGCAAAATGAGGTCTATCAATTTGAGATTATTCACTTTCAAAAGCTCACTTACCAGCTGCTGAGGATTCTCGATCTTCTGTAGGATTGGCCGGATAACATCGTACCGAGCCAGCCCAACGTCAGTAATTTCTAGATAATTTAATTAGTTAAAAAGCTCTAGAGACGGCTTTGCAGAGGTATCTCATGCTTACCTCTCACCACCTTGACACACATGCGGCGGGCCATCAGCAGGAGAGACGGCGCCCCCATATTTTGGGCTGATGGAAAAACCATATGTCCAAGAAGTTCTATCCGGTTACATAGATTGATAAAAAAAGGAAATAGCCAAGAAAGTAGGGGCCAAAAGTTGCGATGGCGACGACTCGGACGGGGCCGGTTTAGTAGAAAAGTGACGGTCGAGGCTAGGGGAGATAGAGATCGAGGAAGGGGACAGGAGGCAAAGAGCATGCGAGGGGAATTCGCTTAACTAGTGCATTGGGAAGCATAGAAAATTAGATATTAAGTCTGCATGCTATTTACTCAAGTAAGGGGGGACGTGAATAGGATGATGCCGATGATGCTGATGATGCGCCATCATCGACGCTGTCTTTATGGCTTCGTCCAAGTATCAAAATAGCCTATCACGTGATATAAGTATGGTCTTCGGATAAATAAAAGTCCGCATACCGAGAGCCACTTTCCCTGACTTTGACATGATACTGACCCTAACACTGACATCGCATGGAAATGGACAGGAAGTTTGAACGTGCAAGTCGGTATTAGAGAGGTCGTGCAGTTCTACGAGTGAGACTGACTCGTGGTAAGCATACATCATAGTGATATCCGAGCTTACCGGGATGATATGGCGGAATAACTGTTTCACGCAGTTCCGTACTCCCTTTTCCTATGTTAGTCGTGCTAGCAGCTTCAGATTGAATACCATGGCCAACAGAAGAAAGGTCTTTCGGTTCTCTACCGCATATCCGGCCCCCACAGAATTTATAATAGGCTAGGCCTTAAACACGGTCTCCTATAGTCTATCTCACCGTGGACTATCACCGTGAGGACAACAGACATGTCGTTTTCTCTTTACTCTTTATGGACCATTCGGTCATAAGGTACCGAGAACAAGCTGACAATGGCACCGGTGGCGAGAGTTCTCGTACAAAGCTCAGATATCCTTAAGGAATATGTATTTGGAGAAGAAGTATAAAGATACCATCCTTCAGGTGATGGGATGAGAAGATTAGGCTAAGAAAGGGAAGACGCACGGCCAGCACGGAAGAACGCACAACGACTGATATTATCGACTTAAGGTCAAGCAAGGCGCCATCCAAGGTAAGTATCTGAATTCAGAGTAAAGCAAGCAGCACACTACCTAATAAACCACACACAAGACTGTACACTCCACTGCACACTACCTCCACACGCTGCTAACACCGAGGTAGTTACGTTGAATGAACAGCTGGCTCCCATTTGTTAGGGTCTGGAGGTCCGCTGAGCTTGCCGTTATCGCATCTGGCGGTGCAGGGGACGCCGATCGGGCATTGGGGTTGGCATCCGCCGTCGCAGGTGTAGAAGGTAGCCTTGCCGGCGATACAGACGACGTATTTGTTGTTCCAGGGTTCACACCAGTCGAAGTCGGGGTGTCTTCCGCAATGATTATATCTCTTGGTGAGAGTCTCTGCCCCTGGCAGGGCCGGGGCAGCGACAGCATATCCGCAGAGGGCGGCCGCGACGGAGAGGACAGTGAAAAGCTTCATTTTGAAGTTGGGGGCGCCGAGATGCGTTGTTTGATTCACGCAAGTAGGTGGAAAGAGTGTAGTACGCGGAGAAGTGCGTAGAGAAGGTTGTAACGAGTGGAAGTTCTGCCGGTGAAGAAATGGAAGTTTGACTTGTAAATGAGTGGCTGGTTGATGATGAGTTGAAGGGGATTTGGACGGGTTTATATAGTTGTTCTGTTGGTCTCTTCCAGCTCTACGCTGGGCCGTTCCAACTGCATCCATATGCATGCGTGCTAAGCAATACATGGCTGCATCCTTGCTTTCTTCGCTATTGAAGACTTCGACTGATAAACGAAATAAGGGCCTTGCAGATCTCCAACAGCCTCGAGAGTTTCAGCTCTCCCCGATTGGCACTTAGATAACGGGTTCATTGAGCCCTTTTGTCGTGTTGTTATAGATCACCAGGGGCGTAGCTTCTCCAGGACAGGTTGCATGGATGGAGCAGGGATTTGTTTAAAATTCACCAGCTCAAAAGTCCGTCCGTTTGTCATGAAAAACTCCGTACCCCTTTTATGACCTTGCCAACAGCTTCGAGAACCCGAGTCTTAGTTCGGCTTCGACTTGTAGCTACCCATGGCAGGCCCCCGGTACACGGTCTAACGACTCAACCTCGCTGCGAGGGCCTCGTCGATCGCGAGACGCCGTATATGCACTCCTGCGGTCTTGATAAAGGAGACAAAGGCACGATATATACCCGATATGCAAGATATATGCCCTCGGCAATAAACAAGTATATAGTACCTCCTTTATAATGTGTTAGCCATAGAATAAAAAGTAGATGTTACTTACCCCGTATTAGTTATGGCAGATCCCTCCTGCCCCTCGTACGAGCATAAACAACAGGATCTTTGCCCTGCGCATCTACACGCCAGCGACAGGACGAGGATGCATGAGAAGGCCATGAAAAGACTCTAGCTGACAGTCAAGATGGCCTCTGCAGCAGACGATGACCTTCACAAGTTGAACCAGGATGGGCGAGACGCCGATGCCCGGCTCGCGACGCAGAAAGAGCATGAGATGGGCATCATCGCAGCCATAAAGCTATACCCGAAGGCCACGGCATGGTCGCTGCTCTTCTGCATGGGCGTCATTATGAACGGGTTCGATGCCCAGGTGATTGGGAATATGTTCCCTGTGTCGAGATTCCAGCGCGACTTTGGATACCGGTTTGAAGGGAAGTGGAATATATCTGCGGCCTGGCAGTCTGGCCTGAGGTATGCGCCATGTTATATATCTTTAACCGTCATAGAGTGCTAACGAGATAGAATAGCATGGGGAGTCCGATAGGGCAGGTCGTCGGCGCGCTGCTGGTCAGCTATCCCATGGAGTGGTTTGGAAGAAAGCCGACCTTCTTAGTACGTGTATCCTTTACACCCTGGGTGATGAATATATACTCATCTCTCCTTACGTTTCTCCCAGGCTTGCGTGGTGATGACGGCGGGCTTCATCTTCATACAGTTCTTCGCGCGGTCCCTCCAAGTCCTGATAGTCGGCCAGCTACTCGGCGGCCTGGTCCTGGGGACATATACCGTTATAGCCCCTACGTATGCCTCCGAAGTCTGTCCTGTGGCCCTAAGGGGCATTCTAACATCCTATGTCAACCTGTGCTTCGTTATCGGCCAGTTTATTGCCAACGGTATTTCTGCGGCCACGCATAATTTGGACTCACACTGGGCGTATAGCCTCCCCTTTGCGCTACAGTGGGTTTGGCCGGCTATCATCTTGTCTACTGTCACATTCGCACCGGAGAGTCCCTGGTGGCTAGTGAGGAAAGGGAGGATGAAGGATGCGGAAAAGTCGCTGCGTCGGCTCGCTTCGTCGAAAGTCGATGTTAAACCCGCCCTGGTATGTGAATATAACCGTTCATGGGAGGGCATATCTAATTATTCTTCCATCAAGGCTATGATTATCGAAACGGACCGACTCGAGAAACATATGGAAGCCGGTGCTACGCTGCTAGATTGCCTCAAAAAAGTGAACATCCGGCGTACTGAGATTGCGGTTGGCGTCTATGCGATCCAGGTCCTGAGTGGGATCTATCTAGTCGGCTACTCGAATTACTTCTTCACCCGTACTTGTTCCTCCATAACCTTCTGTCTTGGAAAGTTGATAGGGCACTAACGCCTACATAGTTGCGGGACTGAGCACTGACGATGCTTTCAAAATGGGCGTCAGTAACCCCTTTCACCCACCTTACTCGCAGCCATCTCTCTACATACGCATCTCACTTACAAGGACTATCTAGCTCGGTTTCCTCGGCGTCGGCTTCCTAGGAACTGTCCTCTCGTGGTTCGAGCTCGCCTACTTTGGCCGTCGAACCATTTACCGCAACGGCCTAGCAATGCTTGCGATCCTCCAGTTCATCATCGGCATCCTCGACTGTGTACCAAACTACGAAAAGCGTCCCAGCGTAATCTGGGCCCAGGCATCGATGATGGTAGTGTGGAACTTTGCCTACAGTCTCTCCGTCGGACCGATTTGTTTCGTCATCCTGTGTGAATGTTCAGCGACAAAGGTGAGGTCCAAGACCATTGCTCTGGCGACGGCCGTGCAAGCCACGCTTGGTATCGTTATGACAGTTGCCATTCCGTATATGATTAATCCAGACGCAGGGAACTGGCGGGGAAAACTTGGTTTCTTCTTCGGGGTACGTGTATACTCTATGATAAAACCTATGTATCCATGCTAAACCTGTCGTTCCAGGGCCTTGCCACGATATGTTTTATCTGGACGTTCTTCAGGGTACCAGAAACGAAAGGTAGGACGTATGAGGAGCTTGATATCATGTTTGAGAGGAACGTGCCTACTCGCGGGTTTAAAAACTACAAATTTGACTAGCCTTGCGATTCATGAATATAATGATGTTGGTATAATATATACTATGCTATGAATGCTCTATGATAATAATAATAACAAAAGGCTGAAAGAACATAAGAAACGTAAGCTCAAAAGAGCAGCGAGAGACATTAATACCTGCCCCACCCCTACCCCAAATATTAAGTAGGCATAAGCGTTATATGGGTGCGTGGGTTGGGGGTAAGGGTGGGCAGGTGTGACACAATAATAACCAGAGGAAATTAATCCTCAAGAGGATCAAATGATCCCCTTACTTTCCGGGTCCGTTCATCTTAGCACCCGCAGCCTTCTGGATGTACTCCTGCTGGAGCTGCTGCTGCTTCTCCGGTGGTGGCATCTGAGCCATCCAGGTTGGTGGCGCAATGCCGGTTTGGTCGTGGATGGTAGAAAAGAGTGGTGGAAGACATTGCATGAGATTGCGGACGGATGCAGTGGGATCAGCTGCACCAGATCCGCCTTCGGCGCTTCCTGTATTCCAGACGGAGATCTTGGGCTGGAGACCGTGGATAGCTTGACCGTTTGCTTTGGCGAGTTTCTCGTAAGTGTTGTTTTGAATCATCATATATTGGAGGAGTCCCTGGGGTCCTCCGAGGACGTCGGCCATGGCGCCGTATCCCTTTGCCATTTCAGCCATGGCTTCGGCTTCTTTCTGTTTGGCGTAGAAGGCGGCTTCTGCCTCCTTGGTCTGGCGGTAGACTGGAGAAGGGCTGTTAGTATTTTATGCATTACTTGATAGGAGTGGTAAGGGGTATAAGCTTACATGTAGCATCAGCCTCCATCTTGCTACGGTACAAGCTGGCATCAGCTTCCTTCGTGCGGCTGAAGTAAGTTGCTTCAGCCGTCTGCTCGGCAGCTTCTCTGGCGGCCTTGCTCTTGGTAACGTCGATAGCTCGAAGTCTCTCGAGCTCAGTCTGGGCACGCATGGTCTCAACATGCTTCTGCAATTCGGAATCCTTGGCTTCCGCCTGGCGTTTGGCTTGGATTCTAGCCAGCTCGATGCCCATGTTAAGCTCGGTCTGACGGTTGGTGAGCTGGGCATCGGCCTGGGCTTTGTCGCTTCGGCGCTTGGTCTCGAGAACGGCCGTTTCGGCATCGATTCTCGAGATCTCTTGTTTGGTCGTTCCTCGCTTCTCGGCTTCTCCGATCTCACCCTTCATGCGGGCTTCGGCGACTTCGACCTTGGACTGGTTGAGGGCTCCCTCATGAGCCTTGCGGCTGAGGTACGTGAAGTATTCGCTTCCAGGGGCATCCTGGAGCTCCTTCACGTTGGCGTTGTAGCTGTTGCCAGTCCGTTAGCTATGGATTCTAGCTCTTTGACTGCGTGGTATAAAACTTACATTCTGAGGCCGAACTGGCTCAGTTCCTTCTGAACGTTGTCGATGACATGTTGCTTGAAGAGCTGGCGCTCCTTGAAGATCTCCTCCATCGTCATGCCAGAGACAATGACACGGGTTTCACCTTCGATGATACCCTTGACAATGTCCTGCACATAATTTCCGGAGGCATGATTGGCGTTGCTCTTCGAACGCTCGTTCTTCCCAGAAAGAAGGAGGGCGTATTTCTTCAGCGATGCAAGGTTGTTGTCTGGACCGATGGTGAAGACTGCAGGGAGGGCAAACTGCAGCTTCTCGACGGTCATGGCCTGCAGGCTGAGAGAAAAGTCGAATGGCGAGATGGAAATGCGAGTACACTGGGGTATCCGTCAGTTCAGGTGCTCTCTGGCCTTCTTCTGAGGGCTATCAAACTCACCTTCTGCCATGGCATGAGAAATGCGGTTTTCTTGATGAGGACATCTTCGATGCCAGCACCAGTGATGACCAGGTACTCGTTTGGCTCGGAGACGTTGTACCTATAGCTGTTAGACCCATTTATACGATTCAGATCGGCTGTCAGACTTACCACATTGTGTACGAGGTGGGTGGTTATTTAGTAGGGTGTTGTAGATGTGTGCTGTATTGCCAACAAGATGTGTGAGTGTTGAGTGTTTTATATGCGCTTTGAGTGCTTGAATATTGAGAACAGATGGATGAGTCTGCAGAGTATGAAGAGGGTGAAGAGAAGAGGAAATTTCCCGGGGCATTGTCCAGTTTATATAGGTCTGGTTGGGCGCAATCTGTGGTCGAGTATATCATCATCATGTAGTATCTGTAGTTGCTGGGCAATGCCACCCCTGGTTCACGATCTTGCTCTTCATCTAGCCCCCAAGACGGTTACAACGGCTTCCACGAGACCATCTCAATGGTCCATCTAGATTCTCCGCGCAGCCAGCGGAACTAGTGAGGCCACCGCAGTCTTCAAACACGAGCGGACGGGCGCAAGAGGGAGCGGAGCGCCTTGGGTGGCAGGGAACTCCCCCATACTCCCGTATACAAAGCGCATTATTTTGACTGTAAATGCGCCATTTAAGCAAACAAACGAACTTGTGCATCCTCCGATGCGGCTCCATCAAGTTGATCTCCGCTAAGTGGGCAAGTTGTTTCGCTAGTTGATACGAGCTGGGGTGCCTTATTGGTGGAGCGACTGGGAAGTTCAGGCATATTATAGGGGAAGCGCAGGGCTTAGAGCGCCGGGCACCTTTTCTCCTCCTCGGGGCAGTGCAACGTCATGGGGATGGTGAGATTTAGCGACCTCTGGGTTGTTTTATACTCGTCCCCTAGTTGACTTTCGAGGTTGGTAGGCTGGGATCTCGTAGAATGGTTCCGGGACACACCGGGTTATCTCACTCACTGCTTCCACGGAGCACTTGGTCTCTTCTACAGAGTGCTTGGCTCTCGGTAATATCTAGCTATAAGTATGGTCTATTACAAAGTGGATGATGCACAAGGTTGACTGAATACACTGCCCCCGGACATTTATGTCTCTTCAGTTCCCCTTCAAAGTACGAAGTAGTTTCTTCCAGGGCCATAGCAATCATCACGATGAACGAAGCGGTGCCCTCATACGAAGAGTCGGAGGCCTCCTTCGCGCACTCTGACAAGAAAGAGGTGAACTTCATCCCGCCGCCGCCGTCGTTGCTCCCCCAGCAGCTCGCCGAAACGCGGACACAGCGCATCCAGTCCATCCTCACGACTTACATCGACCCCCTCCTCTACTCTCAGGGTGCGGCCGGCCTGTACAAGACCACCTTCATCCTTGTTCCCTCGACCGTGGCCAGTCTACAGGACTCGCCGAGCAATGCATACACCACCCCCCAGGAGCCGCAAATCATAGGCTTCCCGTCCGACGAGGTGGTCAAGCTGGTCCGTCTACGCGGCCAGGATAACGCGATGGAGTTCTGGCGCCAACCTGCCGTCGTAGCTGAGCTGGATTCGGCCATGCGATCTCGTCTCGCGGCGTCCGGACACAGGATCTACGAGCCCAGCGCGCATCCAGAGCCCAGACCCGATCCCCCACCACAGCAGCAGCAGCCAGCACCGGCGAAGGGCAAGGGAAAACTGAGAAAGTCCTTCTGGGGACGCATGGCGGGTGGCTCGGATGATCCGATCAATGACCAGAAACTTGGCTGGCGCGCTGAGGAGCCGGAGACAGATGGGCAGCTGAGCAAGATCCCAACGGGTCTGGTGAAGGTCTCTGTAGCCTGGAACGAAGTTGCTCTGCGCATCGCGAATGCCATGGGACTGTATGAGACGCAGCGTGGTCCAGCTCTCTGTCTAACCGTGGAAGTAGGCACATAGTAACATCGCCTGTGGCGACCAGAACGCTGTTTCTCTTCGTACCCTAGTTGAACGAGTCGTACCATATTTCCCGTACCATAACCGGTCTCCCTTCCTTTCTATTCTCTTCTCTTCTTTTCTCTTCTCTTCTTTCCATCGTCTTTGCCATCGTCTTTTCCATCGTTTCGTGGTGTCTTTTTGTTTCTTTTGTTTCGGCTTTTTTATGACGGAGGTTAGACACGTGACCAACTCTTATCGATAAACAAACTGCATCCCACTTGGCTTCCTCTCTTCTTCAACGACGAGCATCTCACAAACAGCGTTGTGTTCGATCATTACTTCCTATCTGATACCGTCGAATACGCTCTCTACACCCTTATCCAGCAGTATATCGCGTTAATAACTAAGATGGCGCCCTCAACACCCCTCTCCATTGCAACTGGTGCGGTTCAGAGACTGGTCAAGGAGGAAGCTTCATACCAGCGTGAAAAGGAAGACCAGGAACGGCGGATCGAGAAGCTTTCAAAGGATACTACGGACGATGAGAACCGCGAGTACATGATTAACCAGGAGGTTGGTTCTTCATCGTCGTTTTATTGCTTCTCGAGGTATAACTGCTAACCACCCCGCAGCGCAAAGCACTACAAGAGACCGAGAAGCTTCTACCTCGACTGAAAGAAAAGATCACAGAGGCCGTTTCCAAGTTGGAACGTTTAATTGTGAGTTGGTATCCTATCTCTCTACCTCGTAACATAACTAACCAACATCATCGTCGATAAACAGGAGGAAGAAGGTCAAAAGGGAATGGACAGCGACGTTGCTCAGATAACTGCCGCAAAGGAGGCGATCTCTAAATCGAAGACTGCCATCAGAGAGATTTCATAGGCCGTGGCATCATGGTAGCTTGTGATGTACTTTGAGAGCCTCTTAAAAGGGGGATATGACAAAGGATGAGCGTAAAATATCTGTTGAAATTGTACGTGTATATTTCTCATAATTCTCGTGCCATGCATGAAATTAGCTTGGGTGCTGTCTAGATTCCTCTGCTCAATTCGTGACTGTTGCGGCGACTCTAGATCATGCGTTTAGAACAACATCCCCTGGCCAGGATGGTACTGTTTCTGCGCGCATGTGAACGACCAGGTACCCTGGCGGCGCGTACTGCAGTCCAATCTCGGAGTGCCTTGTAGTTCTATGGCGCAGCGCAAATTTGGTAGTAGTCCGGTGGTGACACGTAGCTGGGGTCTAGGCGACGATTGATTGCACCGCCCCTTAAGCCGTTTTGTCCAACTAGGTCGTATCCATCTTCTCCGTCCGGCGGTTATCAGGTATCTCCTCCCCTTCTTCAAAGTCATCACCCATGGCCGGTAACCCTGCTCGGTCTCGAGACACCCCTTCATCCCCGGAAACCTCCCCTTCATCAACCATGCTCTCATCCCCATCCTCTTGAGATGTCTGTTTCTCCTCCGGCGTGGCGGAAGCCATGGCAGTTTGTCTTAGTGGAGTGCCGCCGCGAGTCGTAGGACGGGATTTCTCAGCCAGTAGCTTTGCGATCGCTGGATTTGTTTCTTCTCCACTAGGCTGTTGCGAGGGAGTCATGCTGCTATCAGGGTCCGGCCGGGGTGTGCTAACGGTACTTCTCTTCCCTTTAGAGCTGGCATCCCCTTCATCGCCATCGTCATCTTCTTCCATTCCTTCTCGTCTCTCAACTTCCTCCTTTTCATCCCTGATCAGTCGTCTGAGATGCATTCCTTCGTCGACGATTCTTCCAAACTGTTCTCTCCTCTCCGCCCATGTTTGCGCATATTCTGAGCTCTCCTTCTCCAACTTTGCTATCTCGGCGTGCAATTTCTCCAAATTCGCCTGCTGGTCGTCGCGCGGCCGAAGTAGTCGGTTAGAGGTAATCTTGTCCGCTAGCTCGTCGTACGTTTTTCGTAGGGAAAGGGTGTTCTGTGCCTCTTCCAGCTGCGATCTCAGCTCGGTAGTGTTCTCTCTAACCTCTTGGGCAGTCGCTAGAATCTCCAGCTTTTCGGCGGCATATCGTTCGCGTTCTTTCTCGTTGCTTGCGAGAAGAAGTTGAATGCGAACAAAACTACTTTCAAAAGCGGCAAAGTCTAGAGTGATGTCTTCGCGAAGGTGTCTCCATTCCTCGAGCATCCTCTGCTTCTCGGCTTCGTGTTCCTGGATCGCATCGGCATTTTCTGGGGTAGCTTCGGGGGGTGGCGTGGCGAGGAATGTACTGGGGGACGCTATCAGGGAATTCGGAGCGAGGAGACGCTTCGTGATGCGCTTGAATGGCTTCTCTTCGACGTTTAGAAGCCGGGATTTGTGAAGTCCATCTGGTATGGGTGGTCAGCCGTCCGCTTTGACTTTTTTTGCCTGGTAAACCTGATTTGACAGGCTTCTGGCTCACCTTCTTCCGTTTGGTCTAAGAGCGAGTAGCTCTCCATTGCAGGGATATGGACGTAAGCGAGTCTCTTCCAGGCTTAACGGCGTGACAGAGGGGAGGGTTGTATCCTACGTTATATCTTCCGTTGATGCAGCTTTGAGAAGCCAAAAAGACGAGGAAGCTTTTGGGCCCGCCCGAATAGGCCTAGCGTCTCCAGAGTACTTTAAAACGACTTCGGCTCTTGGAGCGACGACAACATCAAACATCGACCAGGTATGAGATACCAGAGAGCGGCAGGGAGCCTCTATTGGCCGGTGGAAGAAGACTGGTTGGATACAACCATAAAATGCACCTTCATGGTTTGCATAGGGTTACTTCCATTTGCGGGGGATAACTTACGTTGGCAACTGGTGGCGTCGTGAAGGCTAACTAAATGGCTAGCAGGATATATTAGCAGCATACTTGTGCGATCCTGGAATATACTCTGGGATACCTTGCTTTAATCAACGGTTTAAGACCCCTTCAGACGGAGAGAAATGTCCTTCCAGGGCTGGCTGGTCTATCAAACCGGGCATCAAGACACTCACGAAGCGCCACTTGGTCGCAACGCCTTTCCCACTGCCACCCACAGAGCGCAGAGAAACGCGGATTTACAACTGCTGCTTGAACCTCGAGGGTTTAAGATAAGCCTGCTATGACCCTGGGTGAGCGAAAGCTTGTCTAGGCTTATATAAGGATGGAGTGTACAAGCACTTCGTATACAACAATGTCTGCATGCGCGTTTCACAGCACTAGCCAGACATAGGTAGAAGAGGGGAAGCCTGGCAGCATACTAATTTAGAACCGTCACGGAAACTAGCCGCCGTTGAGACGACGAAAAGGTATGATGATATTAAAGGGCGAGCCGGATTGGACATCTTACCGTGGTTGAGAGTCTAGAAAACATCCATGGATGCATACATGCCTGATTAGGGAATATGTCATGAGTAACGTCACCCTGCCTCTCTCCCGTCCCTCCTTATGTCACAGTGATCATATTTCCGCGGTCTCCCGCCCCCCCGCGCGATCAATAAATGGGAATTCCAATACCTGGTCGAGAAGCCTTCCCCGACTTTCCTCCCTTACCTCCCTTTCACTTGCAGACGGACAACATACGCTACTCGCAGATTTGAGTCTGCCTATCATCGAAGGACCCTGAGAAACCGCCGAAGGACGTGCTGAGATGGCTGAACCCAAGGAAATCCAGCCTGAACCGACTATGTCTCATGATCAAGAGACGACGTCGATCGGCGAGGATGAGAACGCGCCGACAGACATGGAACTCATGACTCTGAGAAAGGTGGCAGGCAAGCTGCCATGGTCTGCCTTCCTCGTCGCGATTATCGAGCTGTGCGAGAGATTCGCTTACTATGGTTTGAGTGGACCATTCCAGGTATGGCTACACAATATCATGTATAGAGTGGAATATTAACCGTTGTGTCTAGAATTATATGCAGCACAAGTACAAGGATCCAAGTGGAGTCCCTGGGGCCATAGGTGAGCTACTCCGATCCTTTGGACGTTGATCGGCGTTATATTTATATACTCTATAGGACTCGGCCAGGCGAGGGCAACTGGGCTGAGCAACTTCTTCCAGGTATGGATCACTCATACTGTGTCCTTGTTCTTGACTCTAATTGTCATCAATCTAGTTTTGGTGCTATGTAACTCCCATCCTTGGTGCTATTATTGCAGACCAATATCTTGGGAAATACAACACCATCATCATCTTTGCTTTGATCTATATCTCCGGGCTAGTCATCCTCTTCTGCACTTCGCTCCCCGTTGCTATCGAGAGCGGCGCATCCCTGGGTGGTTTGATCGCAGCTATGATCATTATCGGCTTGGGTACCGGTGGGATCAAGTCAAACATCTCTCCACTTATTGCCGAGCAAGTCACTGCGAAGAAACCCCAGCTCAAGACCCTAAAGTCTGGGGAGAGGGTTATTGTAGACCCGGCGCTAACGGTCGAACGTGTTTGTAAGTTACAACCCCGAATTGTCCTAGCTCTTCGCGGACTAAGCTTATTGAAAACCCAGACATGATCTTTTACATGTGCATCAATATTGGATCTCTCTCGGCCATCGCAACTACTGAGCTCGAACTGCACGTTGGGTTCTGGGCTGCCTACCTACTGCCCTTGTGTATGTTCCTTGCTGGGTTTGTAATAATCGTTGCCGGCAAGAAACTTTACGTTGTTCGGCCACCAAAGGGCTCTGTTATTCCTCGAGCCTTCAAGGTTATGTTCATTGGCTTGAAGAACAAGGGGAACTTGGACGCCGCCAAAAGCTCTTACCAACAGACCCATGGTGGGCATATATTCCCTTGGGATGATCAGTTCGTGGAGGAGATCAAGCGAGCTCTGGTAGCTTGTCGAGTATTCGTGTAAGTTATAATAACCTGTATTCTGGGATATCATTTGTCTAATTTTTTCCGCTACAGATACTTCCCTATCTATTGGGTCTGCTATCAACAGATGCTGAACAATTTCATATCCCAAGCAGCAACCATGGAGCTCCACGGGATTCCCAATGACATCATGCAGAATATTGATCCGCTAACTATCATTATTTTCATCCCAATCTGTGATAGAATTGTCTATCCCTTCCTGCGTAAAGCGGGTAAGTAACGATATCTCCATGTCTTCCTCTCCATCAAATATCCGCTAACGTAGATATAGGTATTAAATTTAAACCCATCACGCGTATCACGACTGGATTCTTCTTCGCCTCTCTTGCAATGGCGTATGCTGCGATTGTGCAACATCTCATCTATAACAGCCCACCGTGTTATAATAACCCCCTAGGTTGCGATGCCAGCATGGGCGGGAAATTGCCCAACAAAGTCCATGTTGCTGTGCAAACTCCAGCGTATCTTCTGATTGGTCTCTCGGAAATTTTCGCAAGTATCACAGGCTTGGAATATGCATACACGAAAGCGCCACCGTCAATGAAATCGTTCGTCATGGCCATGTTCTTGCTTACCAGTGCCTTTGGCGCTGCGCTGGGTATTGCCTTGTCCCCCACTGCAAAGGACCCCAAGCTTTTGGTAAGCATATGAGCCCTCATCAATCGACAAGCAATTTTTTAAAAAGGAATGCTAACCTATTGCTAGTGGATGTATACTGGCCTGGCTGTTGCGTCCGCGATTGCTGGAGCTGTATTCTGGTTCCTCTTTAGCCGCTATAACGCCAAGGAAGAGGAGATGAATGCCCTGGAGGAAAAGCAGTTGGCCGAGGATAAACCCGTGGCCGCAAATAACATTTCCATGACTTAAGGGTGGGTAGTTGGCCGCAAATGATATTCTGGCAGCACCAGGCTAAAGGCAAGGCGCGCAGCTTTGAACGTCGTCAGTTCCAGCTAAGATACAAGCGAGCGACGTACAGAGTGTAGGATCGCTTTTAATTTCTTTCGTTATCCACGGGAGCAAGCCTTTCAGCCCCAAGCTTCCGGTTCTAAGGCCAATTTCAAATGGGGATGTATATTCAAACAAGTATATTAATTCAACTACTTAATGTTTTTCAATATTGTGGCCTATATACACCTCAGGACTCTACCCAGCCAGGAACACGGGCTTGAAAATCGAGCAGACACCAGCTCCATTTACGACAGTCTCTTCGGCATGAATATACTCCGGACAATTGAAGGTAGACAGTCGCTTGTAAACAAAGCTAACGAAACATTCGGGACCAGGCCAAACCCAATATTCCTCCGATACCGGCTCAGCAACTTGTGGCGGACATGCATGTACAAATACATCACCAACTCCAGTTTGCTTCGAGACGGTCACCACGAAGCTCAAACCAACTTCTCGTATATGCATAGTCTCATAGCCAATCGGTAATACCGTACTAATTCAGGAGCAGGAATTGATGACTCCCTCGGAAGATCCAGGGATCACATCCCATTTGTGACGGTGAGAAGCCGAGCCGAGGTGTTTTTTTTTCTCGTTGGCGACCCCTGACTGACTCAAGCAACGGACAATAAAGGAGGTTCTCGGTTGTGGGGGCGGAAGGCAGCACGCCATGGTGGAGGCTTGCCGGATATCATGCAGGTCAAGAAAGTATCTTGATCCTTTTCTGCTCTGTGCGATTTACCCCGTACGCCGTTATGAAGCCACGTTTTGGACATGCCGTGGGATGCGGGAAGCTGGAGACACGAGGAAGTATATGGATGGACCAAGTCAAGACAACTGTGTATCACGGCGGCCTTGGTATACATACCGTTCACCCTTGGCAGACGCCTCCAGACGAGTGGCAAGCGGCCATGGAGCTAGGCGTGGAGGGGTAGAAATCGGCGAATTTATTACTACAGCATGGTGGGGACAGGCGTCTAGATGGTATATAATTGATAGTACGATACTCCGTATATGATAGTACTATGTAGAACTTGTAACGAAGGTGGCAGGCGGTCTAAACAGCTAATGGAAATAATCAAGGATGGGGGTAAACTCCAACATTTGTCTCTTTTTGTTATGCTATCATCGATTCGCCATGCAAAGTCAAAAGGTATATTCGCTCACACGAGGTAGGTAGTAGACAGGAACAGGAACTGGGGTATGGACTAGGAGGAAAAGTAACTACACAAAGGAAAAACGTTAAGAGGATTAGTTAGAAAACGGTCGAAGGAAAAGGGGGGTGGACGAGAAATGGTCAACGTTGTCGCGTGAAGGAGACTGAAATGAATGCAAAAAGGGCAGAGATGAGGAAGAAAACAAGGAAAGAAAGAACAAAGGAAAGGGATTCAGTACTAGAGCTTGGAGCCTTGATCTTCGCCACGGGGCGATATATCTCCATTCGAATGTCCGTTGATGCGGCCGATGGACGACAGAAGAATGCCAACTTCGCGTTCTAACGAGTTTACCTCGGAATGTGGGTTGTACATCTTGGATTTGATCCATGCATCCAGGTCGGAGTCGGAGAATGATCGGATCGCCGTCTCACGATCCACCTTGGCATCCTGTGCGGCCCGAATCACACCCCTGGCGACGACGACGCTGACTTCGCGGATTCTCGTGATTTCAGGATACAGCAGACCTCGGTCGAGCTCCTCGGTTGTGAGGGATGTTGAAAGGGCGTCTGCAGCGGCGTAGATCATGCTATCGGTGACCTCCACAGCCTTGGAGAGGATAGTTCCTAGCCCGATACCGGGGAAGACATACATGTTGTTTCCTTGACCGGGATAATGGGTAGCGGTCTCTCCAGCGCTGTTCTTGAAGGAAAATGAGGGGAATGGAGAGCCTGATGCAAACAAAGCACGTCCGTCGGTGTGAGTAACGGCAGCCTTGAAGTCACATTCTGAGTTTGCGGAGGGATTTGATAGAGGGAAGATGATGGGTTGTTTGTTAGTGTCTGCCATCTTTTTGAGGATCTCAGGTGTAAAGACACCTCCGAGGGTGGAGAGTCCCATTAGCATGGTTGGCTTAACATGATCTACAACCTCTTCCAAGGTCTTCCACTGTTGGCCGTTGTTGTCGTGACGGGCAAAGTAGACCTTGTGGGCGGCCAGCCTGTCACCTCGGTCGGCAGTGACGAGACCCTTGGTGTCAACGAGGTAAAAGCAAGCTTTGGCTTCATCCTCGGTCATACCCTCCTTGACGAAGAAATCGACGATCTGTTTAGCAACACCAACACCGGCACTTCCGGCACCGAGGAATACAGCACGGTGGTCCTTTGGAGGCACACCAGATCGCTTAACGGCGTTTATCACACCAGCCAAAATGACGGCACCGGTTCCTTGGATATCATCGTTGAAACAAGTGTAATTGTGGCGATACTTTTGGAGTGCGGGGAAGGGGTTCTTGAAATCCTCGAATTGTATAACAATGCTGTTTCACCGTTAGCCATTCGATTGTCTCAATTAAAACGTTTAACTCATTCACTTACCCAGGCCATCTCTCAGTCAGTGCAGCCATGAGCTCATCCATAAATTCAAGCTCCTGCTCCTGAGTGACCTTGCCACGACGACTGCCCATATATAGGGGGTCCTCTCTCAAAGTCTTATTGCTAGTTCCCAAGTCGAGGGTGAGTGGGAGGGTAGCTTCGGGCCTGATGCCAGCACAGGCGGTATAGAGAGCAAGTTTGCCAATCGGGATACCCATTCCGTTTATCCCAAGGTCACCCAATCCCAATATTCTCGAGCCGTCGGTGATAACGGTGATGTCGACGTTTGGCTGTGGCCAGTTCTGAATGACTGCGGCGATATTTCCCCTGTCTTCGTAGCTGAGATACATTCCTAGCCAGAAACCCATTAGCATGTACACCCTAAAACAGGAGGGGAATCTCCAGCTTACCCTCGGGCTGTTGATATATCTCGGACCATCTTTGACAAGCTTCACCAACAACGGGGGTGTAGATCAAAGGCGTAAGCTCCTAAAACAGCTGTTAGTCCCACTGCTGGCTACTATTCCTAGCTATCGCCACTTATTGCGTACCTGTAGGTGGTCCATGACCAAGCGGTAGAACAAGTGCACGCTGTTCTTGCGGATAGTGCTGAGGTAGAGGAATTTTTCGATAGGAGTGGATTTGAGAGCTAGCTGGGCGAGACCTGGACGAGAATGAGCTTCCGTATCAATATACCGGCGGACAGGAGCAACTCGGCACTTACATCTTGTCTTCTGCACCTCGTAGCTCTCCGCGCGAGGAGGCGTGAGACCGTATGTGCGAAGGTACTTGCGAATGTAGCCTGGGTTGGCAGTGTCAAAGTAGCCGTCACTATATAAAAAAAAAAAGCAGGGCGGTGAGGTCAGTTTACTGCTGGCTGGCCAAAAAGGGAAATCCACGACGTCGAGATACAACTTACACTGGAGAACCAGTTCCGCCAGCTGGCGATGACGCAGGCGATGAGGAATGCATTGCGTTATATTGAGGACAGTACAAGCTGGGGCTGCTCATGCTGGGTTTGAAGTGCAGTGGTAATGTGGAAGAGAGGAGAGAGTTCGGGAGCAAGGTGAGTTTCCAGGAATTAGCAGCAGCAATTCTGTTGTATGACGAGAAAGATGAACGAGGAAGCATTTCCCTCTGAGAACGAGGAAAGACCGTCAATGATATAGTAACCAATCTTCCCAGGGGTCCACGTCTTGCAACGTCGCTTTGCTTTGAAACAAGGATGGGAGCCGGATTCTGGGGAAGGGAACGGCGAGCAAGGTCAAGGAGGGAGAGTTACCTAGCTGCTTGATGACCCGTCACGACAAGGAAACTCTGCGTGAAGCTTGCGATGCCTTGCGGAGGTAACTCCTTCGGATCGGGCGATGTCGGGAGGGTCTGACTGCGACGCCGCCGGCGCGCTCGAACTGGACTGGACGAGCTGCGTTTCACGAAAGCCAAGGGGAGCAACTATTCCCGAGAATTTGCTGCTCCAGATGCGACAGGGCGGACGGACATGCTTGCTGGCTAATTCGTTACTGGCGCTGAACGCGCATGAGGGCGCTCAACTGTCTGACACACCGTTACGTTCCTGCATCTACCACAAGTGACTACAATTGGAATACCTATACAAGCTAGAGGTCTTGCGCACGATCACCATGTTGGACCTAGGAGATGACATTATTGTTCAACCATCGTTGCCGGATCGTGCAATGACGAACTTGTGTCTTGGCCGACAATTGCTTCTTTTCATATCCCCTTCCCTCCCTCGGTGGACTGCGGTGCTTTGATCGTCATGCTCAGCTCCGGACGGCCCCGAGCCTAAGGGTTGGGTTGCTGTTACAATGAATCAATTTTGAAATTAAATTACAACTTTTAGTCTCCTTTTTTTGGGCAGTCGATATTGCGAACCTGAGGAGCTTCCCTTGTCAGGGATCCAGAAAGATACTAACGCTTCCGATCCGCTGTACGGACAGGGTATCTACAGACAGGGTACGGATATGCTTCGTCTGTCGATGCTCCACCACATCCGAACAGGGGCTACCCCTGCTGACCACGGTTTGAGGACGACGTTTGGTTTTGGGGAGCCCAACAAAATTTTGAGGGCCCAGAACCCGAACTACGGGCAAACAATCCAATCATGCAATCAAGATGTGATTTCACAAGCCACACCAGCAACCGTTGGGTACAATTACATGTCGCTAGTCATCCAATGGGGCATCAGAGGATTACATATTGACAGATCTAGAAGGCAGGTCTGACGCTGGAAGCATCGAATGCTGGTTAAATGGCGAAATGTGATGCGCCTACTCAGGCTTCTTCCACGAGATATAGAATATGCCTCGTTCGGCGCACCACCTGTACGAGGAGAAGTTCGTCCTCTCGCTAGGTTTATGGGCAAGGGCGATCGTGATGTTCCATATCCGATATTACTAATAATGGCGCAATAATTTTGTCGCAGACTCATTCGTGGCGCTGTAGGGATTATCGAGCGGCTGAAGCAAGGCAGAGGCAGATACTCACGGCATCATCGTTCGTATCCGTCATGTTTAAGAATAATAACGCGAAAATATAGAAGCCACCGAACCCTTCCCATTCGATAAATCACAATCCATCCCACGCCCTCACCGGACATCAGCATCAATCAGCACTACCCCCAACGAGTTCTTTAAATGGCAGCATCTCGTCTCCGTACGGTGCTTTTCAGCCGGGGACTTTCTCGGGCTATCTTTGGAACACACCGAAATGAATCACCGTCCCGATAGGATACGAAAAACGATGGCCACAGTCGGCTTCTCGCCTCGTCCCATCGCAAACCACCCCCTTGAGGATTCTGATACAGTTGGGTCTAACAACCCATGAACCCATGCTGCTGCAGGCACCGTTTCGCCCTTCCATGGCCTTCCAGAACGCCATCTAGCGCGAAAATTATATAATCAGCATACCGAACTGCTGTGTATCATTTCCAACCACAGCCACTAGGACGATAGCACGGCCGTTCGTATTGCTCGGCACTAACATGGAAGTGGCTAATGCCGACCGACCTTGATAATACGCTAGTCACGGATGAAGTTACCGCAGCAAGACGAGCTGATTGATGCGTTTGATGCTACGTTCCAGGTTCGCATTAATAGATGCTACAAATTTAGGATTTACGGAGTACGGAGTAGGATTTCGCATTCCATTCGCGACCACACTCCTTTCATGCAGCAAATGTATTACCCTCCCCTCCATCCAATCCCTCCGTTCCTCCCTTCCGGCCCGCACGACAACTTACCACATTCGTTTTCTAGCCTAGGCTGCAAGCGAACTGAGGGATCGACTCCTTAGTTCCCGTAAGGGTGAAGAATGAGAGACATATTCCCTCTGCGTAACATAGATCAGTACGAATAGCAAATCCGCATTCCTTTGCGACTAGTTTTTCAGCTTCCGGCCGGAGGAATGTGGGTGTCGGGCCTTCCGTCACAGCATATACTCGGACTCGGTTCTATAATGGATAAACCCTCGAGGGTTAACACAACCGGCTCTAAGCTATCTAAAGAGGCGGATCACGAACTTCTAGTAACTGATCTTCTGCCACCAATGTGCAAAGCTGATTGTTGGGGTTAACCCCACCCTTGAAGATATGGAAACTAAATACTCTTCAATTTGGTATGTACTCATTCAGCTGCCTTTCTCTGTCTAAATTGATACTATTTTCAAAACCCATGTGCTGTATGTGAACTGCTTCCCAAACACCAATGTATCACCCCTTATACGGTCATGAAATAATATCTCATGGCGGAATCATATTCCATCAAAACCTCCGCCTCCATGTCCTCGACCTTCACTACTCTTTGCTGAGCCACAAACAACTCATATGCATCTAACATAATCGACGGCGCCACGGCCGCACAGATATAGCCAGATCCGTGCCCATCGCCATCGCCCTTGGCGGTAGATGTGGTCTGATCAAAAGCACCTTCGGGAGCAAGCAACATAAGAAAATGAATCGGGTCGCTTGGCGATTTAGGAGTAACACGCACAAACATCCCAGGCTGGAGGCGTTCTTTGAATGGGGTTGTAGGTTTCTTGGGCTCCGAGAGGTCACTGTTTGTGGCGTTTTTTGGCGTAGACGAACGGGAATCAACGTGGAGCTGCCATATCTTATCAAAGAATGCTCTGGCCTGCTCGGGCCGTACTCCCTCAGTCGTCAGGCACCGGGATACAAATTCGCCTTTGGGCAGTTTGCATATCTGGATCCCTGACTCTGTAGGCGCGACATGCGAGGGATCTACAGGAGGCGATCCAGACTGTATTTCGCCATCATTAGCATTTCCCCCCTCCGCTTTTGTTTGAATGTAGAGGGGATAGTGAACTAACGTTACTCTCAATCCACTCCCGTAATTGCTTGTTTGTCCAGGTGCGTGGGGCGGCCGGATCGAACGCAGCAGCCTTTGATTTGGGTACCTGTACCCTGAGCAGCTCTGCATATCGAAGGGAGCTCTTCCCCTGATTTGCATCGGCAGCGCTGGGGCTAACGCATGCAACCACGGCAGTCTTGCAGGAACGATGGCTATTCACATCAAACACGTGTTTCAGTACCTTGGTGAGCGTGTTGTTGCGGTACGGGATATGGACATGTTTCGAGCTAGTACCGCCTGAAGCCGTATTCTCGTTAATATTCCATGTAGCCCGCCCTCGAATGCAGTCCTTCAGAGTCAACAGGGAAGAATTAATCTCTCTTGTTTCTTTCATGCGCTCTTGAGAATGGTCTCTGGAATCAGCCGCTGCTTCACTCCCTGCCAAATCGATGAGGAATAGGAGGCCATCAGGGCTATCGGGATCGTCCTTGTTTTCAATTCTAATCCGGCAGATCGCGTGAGACCGTGAAGAGCTGTCGTTCTTTAAAGTTGGGGCGCTCAGCCGGAACGACATGCTTGTCTTGATCAGGTCGAGGAACTGCTCGATCGTCGAAGGAGTTCGCTCGACTATGCCCACCAATTGGGTCTCCCCAAAGGCATCTTCCAGGACGCTAACCCGGTGTTTGTCGTTAAGGAGGTCTGGCTATAATTAGGGATGAGCTACTTGACTCTCAGGAAGGCTAAGCGTACCAAATGCCGCTTTCCCTGCCAGCTCAAACACGGACATATGAATGCTGCGTCGCCCGGGAATATTTCCACCCAACAAGTCTGATGCGATGAATGTTTCCATTTCATTCACGGTGAACGTCTTTCCAGATCCTGTTTGACCATAGGCGAAGAAAGTTCCAACACCACCGCCCCATGCCCATGGCACCAAGGGAGCGACAAAATCGTCATACATCGACTTTGTCGTGCTCTCCGGCCCGTATGCTCGATCGACGAGGAAGCTAGACGACTATAACGTATATTGGTATTGGAACGCAGACCTGAATGCCATATAATGTGCACTACTTTGGGGTATATCGTCATTATTCATGCACATACATTCAATGCCGGCCGTCCGTTAACCTTGAGCCGCAGCTCATGTACGTCGACTTCTGCGCTTCCATCGTCGCGAGCGAATATGCCGGGAACATGGCCAGCAGCTTGCTCATGGGGTAATATTGGCCGTATCCTCGCTCCGATGGTCGTGTCTGAGGAATTCTCGCTCTCATTGCCATTGTTATTCTTCCCTGTCGTTGGTTTGAATGCTCCGACTTTCTCAAGGAAGAAGGCCTTGTGCTCTGTAAGAGGGGTTGTTAGTGACATATTTCTTCTCACGTAAGTATATCGATATCGAATCCTGATGTATGTATTTTGACCAAGATATACCTTTTCTTCTCTTGACTGGTAGTACTTCGTACGATGTTACATCATGCCAGGCAGCAATGTCAGTGTTTTGAAGTCTTGGACAAGCTCGGCTCTGGCCTTGGCGTCCGCTGTAGCTTCCAGAGCTTCCAAGGTTGCATGTTACGTAGTTTGTGTGCTCAGCAGGATGGAAAGTTGGAAGAAATCAAGGATATGGCAGGTGGTGAAGTGTAACTCTGTATATATATCCCCAGTATTGTGACCACAGCCAGGCTTCATTCTTGCTCCCCGACTCAAGTACGTAGTTACTTGATGCTCTGTGCAGCAAGACTAGCTATATAGTTAGCCCTTCACCACGATTCTTAGAGCTCTAGTTCAAGGTAGCTCCAAGTTGGACAAGTCACGATGTGGTCCTGCTGCAAGTCTCGCAAAGATGCTTCTGGCGAAACGGAGCCCCTTCTCCCAATCTCAGAGGCCGAGTCCGAGTTGCAGCGGAAGGTGAAAGAGAAATTCCGTCAATATGAGATGTTCCGGGCGATATCTGCTGGCTACATGCCATCCACGGAGCAAGCGGCAGCTCTTCTGTGGCTCGTCCTCGTCTCTGACTTGCTCAATCCGGATAATCCTACGCTGAGCCCAAGCAGTGGGAAGATAGCAAAGGACTGTCGAGCTTGGATTCGAATATTCATTGGGTTGCTACGGGACAAGAATGGGGAAGACCAGTTGCAGGAATTGATCAACCAATTCATGAATTCGAATGCTTCTATAAACACCGCTCAGATTGCGTCGTCTGCATCGGCATCAAAAGCACGAGCGGACACAGTGGCCGGTATTTGCACTCTTGTTCCCCCTCGATGCATGATGGGCACATTTTGTGTTATTGGTAGATCTAGGCTAACTGGCTGACTTATATCATAGCATATGAAAGCATTCGTACTGTCGGGAGCCTTCTTATGACCAATTCGGATTTTCGTCGTTTGGTTGGAGACTTAAGCACTGTCGGCCGCAGTATCTTCTCAGATACCGCCGCGTCGCTTTCGGACGCCGTAAATAAGGTCTCCGAAGAAGCTGAGCCTTCCGAGGCACAGAAAGAAAGCGTTAAAGCAACAAATGGTCACGGAGGGGAAGCTCCAACTGCTGATGAGCTCCTCCAGAATGGCGAGCAGGTAATGGAAGTTGCAAAGGAAGGGTTGGAAGATACCGGGCGTGCTGCTAAAAAGAGCGCCGAAGAAAACGTATCCACAGAAGTACAGGATTCGCTTCTTCATACGATGAGAAAAACCGTCGAAGACCTGCGTCAAAGGGCCGACTATGACAAATCTGTATCCACCATATCGAGTCTTGTCCAACGCTATGCGAAGATATATATTCAGACCATAGGCTCCACAGTTGAAAGTGCCCCGGAAGCTTTAGAGGTTGACCCGGAGCTGCATAACGCCATGAAGAATCTATGGGACTTTGCGAGCGCCTTCGGAAGCCAAGAGGAGTGGCAGGTTCTCCAGGGTAAATTCCAACAGCTTATGCAGAATTCCGAAAAGAGCACACAAATTAATGATACTCTCGAGCACCTCGGGGAATCAGTGTACAAACTCTTCACTGACCCGGCCTTTTGGGATACGGGTGAGGATACGGTTCAAGAGTTGAAAACGAAGGTGAAGGAGGCTGGAGACGACTTACCGCAACAGGAGGTCAAAGACTTCATTTATCAACTGAAGAAAACACTTATATCGGTATCTCAAGATGCGGGAGTTGCCAAACTCATCACTGCCTCGAAGAACATCTGGCTGGACATCTGCCAAGCCTATCGGAATGAAGGTGTTCGCCTCATGGCAGACGCCCTCAACGTCTTCTTCCCTCTTCTAATCCGAGCAATTCAACATATCCCGATACCAAGGCTGGAGGTTTCAACCCCAGAGATAGATCTCCTCCTTGAAAACGTCGTGATCGAACCGGGCCACACGGTTCATAGCTCGTCGTTCCTCCCATATCAGATACTAGTCACCATGATAAATAATATGGAGCTTCGCAAGACTCACTCCAAAGAAGCAGTATCGGGGATGAAAAACACGGTAAACGTCACCTTGAACGGCCTTAGCTTTGCGGCAAATAATTTCGGCTATTGGGTCAAAGTACACCGGTCTCCATTCCTGTCCATATTTGATGAAGGCATCGCCAGCTTCTGTCTCGACCACCGTGGAATTGATATCTCTTGTGAATTCGAGGTTGGCCGAGAGCGGTTGGAGCAAATACTCGCCCTCCGCGCCGTTCGCGTCCACATCCATAAACTTGACTATTCAATTCAGAAGAGTCGCTGGTCATGCATTTTGTGGGCTCTCAAGCCGTTCTTAAAACACATGATCCGACGCAGCCTTGAGAAAACGATAGCGGAGAAGATAGTTGGTTTTGCTCGTGCAGCAAATCGGGAGCTTCTCTTTGTGAGGGAACGTCTACGGGCTACCCGCATAGCTGATCCTGACGACTTCTTGACTTTTGTGCGCGCGGTCTTGACCAGGTTGAGCGGAAAGTCAGACCCAGATATATATACTAGATTCGGCTTTGATGCTCAAAGGGGGGGTATCTTTGATGGGATATATGCACCGGGCAGCTTGGCCAAATCGTGGCACGATGAAGAGCAAAGAGCAGATAACCTCATCGAGAGGGGCAGCCAGATCAGTGTTGATAACAGGTCGACTTGGAGGAATAATATATTCGATGTCCCTGCCACAGCCAGGGCAACAGAGCATTGATTTCGTCATATAGTCATATTTCGCCATATTCTGTCAATTATATTCACTTTATTCCAGTTCAGTTCACATCCCGGGGGCAGATAACGCGGCTTGGTGAGATTAATGAAATATCAAAAGGCACAACTTCTGGCTCTTCGACCCTCTCAATTCTTCAATTCTGATCTCCAACTCCGTTCTTTCACGCGTAAAACACGGAGTCGCGATATTACGTAATATTGTTATCGGCAAAATATTTTTCCATCGGAGCTGCTCCCAAACTCTAAAGTAATCGATATGAAGTTGATAATCTGGCATCTAGGAACTCGGCCATCCAGCTCCATCGCTCTCCCCCAAGGCCTGGCACTCGCTAACCAGCTGACGAGACTGTGGGACTAGGGCAGCTTGTCCGGTAACTGAGCAGATATCACCGCTATTACGATTTATTAACACGCAGCGTGTTACATTTCATCTCCACGCCCAAATCCACATTGTACCTTGAGTCCTGATCACAAAGTCCGTTGCCTGCAAAGCGCTTGAAGCGCATTCAGCTCCATTACTTCGCTGTCCTGTCTATATTTGCCTCCTTCAGTTCCCGGGGGGTGAACCCCAATCATTCACCATGCTCGCCTTTCCGCTGCTAGTGCTATCCGCACTCTTCGTCCTGCTGCCGCTGGCGCTATGCGCTGAGGACTACTATAAGATATTAGATATTGATCGATCGGCATCGGAGCGAGATATAAAGAAAGCCTACCGAACTATGAGCAAAAAATTCCATCCTGATAAAAATCCGTAAGTGAAATGCACCCGGCGCAAGCAGACGAGCCGTCCATCCTAGCTTATATTAGCTTCAAATGGTCATAGTACTAACAATGGCATTGATGCTATGCAGTGGAAATGATTCTGCGCACAAGAAATTCGTTGATATCGCCGAGGCATATGACGTCCTTTCGACGGCTTCCACGAGGAAAATCTACGATCAATACGGTCACGAAGGCCTGCAACAACACAAGCAAGGTGGTGGTGGCAGACATGACCCATTCGACCTTTTCTCTCGCTTCTTCGGCGGAGGAGGACATTTCGGACATCAGGGGGGCCATAGACGCGGGCCAGATATGGAACTTCGCCTGGACCTACCCCTACGAGACTTCTACAACGGTAGAGAGATAGACTTCAAGATTCAAAAGCAGCAAATATGCGACTCTTGTGAGGGCACTGGCTCAGTTGACGGCAAAGTCGATGTATGCAATCAATGTCAAGGCCATGGCGCAGTGATACGGAAGCACATGATAGCTCCTGGCATATACCAGCAGGTTCAAATGGCCTGTGATAAGTGCGGAGGGAAAGGGAAATCAATTCGCAACCCTTGTAAGATATGCAATGGTGGCCGAGTCGTGAAGGCAGAAGTTCCGATATCAGGCACAGTCGAGAAAGGCATGGGCAAGGGAACTAAATTGGTGTTCGAGAACGAAGCAGACGAAAATCCCGATTGGGTTGCAGGAAATTTGGTTGTAACATTGAGGGAAAAGGAGCCTAGCCTTGGTGAAAATGACGAGGAGCGAACTGATGGAACATTTTTCCGCCGTAAAGGCAATGATCTCTTCTGGAGGGAAGTTCTTAGTGTTCGAGAAGCCTGGATGGGAGACTGGACCCGCAATCTTACACATTTGGACGGACACATCGTTCAACTAAGTCGCAAACGAGGCGAGGTCGTTCAACCTTTTACCGTGGAGAAAATACCAGAGCAAGGGATGCCAATATACCATGATGGTCATATACATGAACAGTCTCCTCACGACGAATACGGTTCTCTCTTTGTCGAGTATGTTGTTGTCCTACCTGACCAAATGGAGAGTGGTATGGAAAAGGACTTCTTCGCCCTATTCGAAAAGTGGCGGAAGAAGAACGGAGTTAACCTCCAAGAAGATTCTGGCAGACCTATTCCCCCAGAAGCAGAGAAGCATGACGAACTATAATTTATATACCACTGTTACTACTCCTGATGTCCTGATACTTTCAACTCTCGTTTACAATCCTCCTCCTCCTCTTCTTCTTATTGTATTTATTTGAACACTTTTTCCCCCTCCCCTTCTAACCCTTAGGATTACAGGAGTTTTTAGAGTTTAGAAGACGAATGAAATAGGATAGATAAGGTATTTCGCATTATCGAGCTGTACTCTTTGATACCTGCCCGCATAGTGAATCAGCTACCCCTTGGAGCTGGTATATGCAGCAGTACAGCCAGTTCAAAGAATGCTCCTACCAAGTCACTAAAGAGATGTAAAAATATTCTGCGATTCGCTACCTGCTCACTTTCGAATTATTAAAAGACATCATTTCCTTCCCCTACAGTGCTAACGCAATATCAACTTGCACTTTCCAGAACTTCGTTAAGAGTTCCTTTGTTCAATATCTCCCAACTCTTTTGCTACCACATCATGGAAACAGCAAGATACCTACTATTGCTTCTATTACTGTTAACACCTCTTATCATGGGCAAAGATAACTCTAAGTCGCGAAATCACTGTGATTCTCAGCAGAAGGCCGAGGATGTTGATTTTGTTGATGATCCAGGGGCCACATTCAGGGGTAAGTTTGTTCCTAGACTCCTATCAGCCTTTTCTCAACTATATCTTATCTTACACTCACCTATCACTAAGCCTATAGCCTGGTTTCCAGACAACCATAAGCTAACAGAAATATCAGGGGAAACGCTTAGAGATTTATTTTCTCATGATATCCCCTGCCATGTCGCAATAGATGGGCAGCCAGTCTTCCTCAGGCAACCTGGCCAGAAAAACTTAGCAAAAAGATCATCCCGCCACGCAACGCAAAGTCCTATCAAAAATATCATAAGCATGCAAACCATCATCCTAGCCTTGCACGTCCTTGGGGCTGCTGAAAACCCTGAACAAATTTCAAAGCTCTGTGACACAGTGAACTTCAAAAGGATAACTGAGAATGGGCTAGATGGTGCCCTGCTGGAAAAGGTGGTTTGCAAAAGAAACGACTTGGGCTTCTATCTCCCAGCAAATCCGAGTGCTGTTAAGGAGCTATTATCCACATGGTATACAGGGTTATGGCTGCAAATAGTATATGTTGCATTTGCAGGGCATTATCCTGACCTTTGCAAGGTTTTTGAAACTAAGAAGATGTCCATAATCCATATGAACGGGACCCTTTTGGAGCACATTCTGTGTTCCGTATAGCTAAAGGCTGAGACGTCTCAACCTGGGAGTAGATCGAGGGGATATAAATTGATGGGTGGTTCTCATCATAGAAGATGGGTTATTTTGTCACGTTTTTCTTACTGATTCTACCCAACTTTAGCCGATGCTATTTTTTTTTTTTGGCTGTAGTCCACTGCTGATTTTCTCCCTGCACAATATTCATGGGGTTAAATTTGACAAGTTGACACAATCTTTTAAGGGGAAGCCGCTATTTCAAGGTATCGCATGCCATTTATTATTTATTATTTATACCTAGATAAATATTGCTCATAATATTCCTGGGCCCCATGTTATCACTCATCATACGCAGAGAAAGTTTCTGTTTCAACATGGTCAAATTCAGTCTGATACTTTAAATCTGCAAAGCGGCATTTGTGTCATCCTCGATACCCCTCGGAGGGTCAGGAATGGGATAACATCCATGGCCTGGGTCATCGTCTTTGAGCACGGTGAAGTTGTTAACACTAGATGCTGTGGCAGTTATGCACGTTGCATCTTACCCCAGGGAAGCATTTGATTGCGGTTAACATCTATACGGCAACTACTCCTGTAGCACAGCTGCCTTACAACTTCTCATTCTCATACGACGGCATACAGCCATGCGATAGATTGAATACTGGGGCGCAACTTTTGACCCGCTTCATTGAAAGTTAACTCCCATCTGATAACTCAATTCGGCTGACACATGGAGTTCTATTGGCTGATTGGTTTATTTAGCCCCACTAGTTAACTGATTGTTATCTGATTTTAATCTTATCAATCAGGAGATGGCATCACAGTGGATGGACCCGAATAAACGAATTCATTCTTATACTATGTGGCATATGTTAATTAGGACTGCTCTAAATACCACTGCCATATAAATTGCGCCTCTTTTTCCTTTTATTACCCAATATTAAACATCCGCATGGCCTAGTGGGCTTCGGGGTTTGTGAGCTAGCTTGCCAAGGGCAGTAATGCTTCCATTTTCTTCCACTGATGTTGGTATGGAGAATCCTAGCCTGATGGCCGTGTGATTCGGTTAAATAGATGGGATTTGAGGTACGAAATAAGCTATTCCTCGGAGACTTGATGTATCCGGCCCCTTTGTGCCTGTTTACAGCAAATTTAGACAAGAAACTAAATTTATACTGAACCGGAAGAGTTATCTGGTATCTGGTTTAGCCTTGAGTTCGCATCACTAGTTTAACTTTTAAGGGCGTTGCTAATACCTTCCTTGATACAAATAAAACGGGGTATAAAAGAGACGTCAAATTTCAGATACACAAATTTGTAGATAACGGATAATTCGTAATTCTACAACAGTGCAGTACATGTAAGTAAGAGGAGCCGACTCCCCAGCATCCAGCAGAGGTGTGGCTAGCCCCACTAGTAGATTGTGCCGGAGGGCAGCTGGAGACGTTGCTGATGGGGTAATAGTCTGAAACCAAACGTTAGACTAGGCGTTTCGCGGCTAAACGAACTGGTTACTCACGTTTTCAGGAGAAATTGGGGCTCCGGATGGGGCACCAGTAGACTCACTTGTGTGATCGATGCAGTTGAAGTCACTACAGACGACATAGTTCTAGTAGCTTGACCTCCCGATGACTGAGCAATATTTGTTTCTGAAGAAGAGCTGGCGTATACAGGTTTTGGAGTAGCACCTAGCCCACAGGCTTCAGCTGCTTTGGTAACACCCGATCGATAATGTTTCCAAATATCAAACTCTAAGCACAGTCTAGACATTCGTTGAGCGAGTGCTTAAATCTATATTCTGTGCAAAACCCGTTCATTTTAGAGAGGGGTATCACGGTGGCCTGGTTATTAGGGATTATTAGAACTGACGTAGAACATCAAGGTGGAGGGTATTTCACATGCAGCAATCCTCATGGCATGAGTATTTAGAAGTGCCATGTTCCTAGCATGCCTTAAGAAGTTAAGAGACACATAGTCTAGGAATTCAAACGCTCGTGCATCAAATGGCAAGGCAGGTCAAACGGCGAGTGTACACATGTTGATCGGAACGGAAGGGAGGTTAACTTGATATGGAATATATATATATATGAACCAGCACAAAGTTGTGGGCCGTGTAAAGAAAGTGAAAGGTAAGGAAGACATAGCATAGCTAGGAGCAACAGCTGGGTATTTATTTGCTCTCTGGCGTCCATGGCATATATTCGAGCCGGAAGGTAAAATACCATTAACAGCTCTCGTTCTATGCAAAGACATGGCCCTTAGTACAGGTTGTATTGCTGCATTACTGGACGTATATGCGCCCATGTCTGCTCAGTAATAGTAACGGGAGTGGAGGAGTGGGCACACATCCGAAGCTAGATAATACTAAGACATCGGATAGCTAGTAGCCGATGGAAGGGTACTTCCGGAATCTAATCATTCGGATAACTTTTATCGTATGACATGGCTTGATCGAAAAGGTGATCCATGCCCACAGGTGAGATAGCTTCAGCTCTCCAAGCCGTTCCCACTTTGCGGCTAACTTACGCCTGAAGCTTAGGCAGTGAATACGCAGGAACGATTACAGCGAACACTTGACACACTGGATTGTTGAGTAAAATATGCATGCCTGCATTTTCGAATATGTCGATATTAAATAATAAATACATTTGCAAAGAGAATATTAAAGCGATATACCAAAAGAAATGCCATGTCCATGCCAGAAGGAGCGAGAATATAAGATGGAGAAAAGAAAGCCAACGGCTTCGATGCAGAGCAGCGCCTTCCGCTAAGCGCTCTCAATAAACGCCCGCCAAAGCGTTCGCGCTGGAATAGAAAATGACCTCCAAAAATAGATCAGCCAAACCGCCCAGAGTAGAACCGGACTCTTGAACTTCCATGCATAGCGAGGGGTGATTTAGGGAAAGAAAAGCGAGTAAGCGACAGGTCTAGGCGGTGAATGATTGCCGGACAGTCCACTCAAGCGTAGTTTTAGAGTCCACAGTGCAACACTCTGCTTCTTCGTCTGGCTTTTAATCGGTGTTCGGTATCCATCAGTCTGTTCTGCACCCATAACCGGGATTCCTGATCCGTCTTGATATCGCTGCAGTTGAGTAGGTCGATTAAAGCGAGCTTGACCTGGAGGTCTACGTCGTTTGACTTGTCGCCATTTTCATCCGAGAAGGTAGGAGTTGGGTCGAGGATGTCGGCGAAGCAACGAGACGAAGGAGGAGTTGACTGGTATCGGATTGGGGATGGGTGACGCTGTGTTCTGGCTGGTGACGAGCAAGGAGAGGAGGTAGGAGACTGGGAAGGAAGCTGTGGTGACGATGTTTGAGAATGGCGGCATAGGGAGGCTCGTGGACTCGAATGGCGAGCTGCAAGCGCTATTGCGTAGCTCCGAGGTGTAGCTGGAGACTCGAGTATCGATTCATTGATAGAGAGAGAGGTGTTGATTGATATCGGAGCAATTGACTCCATCTTGATACGTATTTTTGACGTAATTTGATGTAATTTGGGTCGCTGTGGTCTTTTAAGGGGTGGTAGTCGTCGTTAGGAGAGCGAGAATGCAGGTGAGAGAGAGCATCAATGTTCCAGCTTGACGGCTTGATGGGTTGTTACGCTGTGCATGGGCGGAGGTGAGGGAGGTTAAGGGGTATTTATCCCGTCTCAGAAACCCCCCCCCCAAATCAGGATCTCCTCTCTCCCTGGCCCGGCCGCCATCTCGCTGCTAGCGACAGTTGCTGCGCAACCTTGAGTCTGGCCGCTGTGGAACCATGATGCAATGGGCTTTAATTAAATATGGAGATGGGAACCCCTAGCAATAACCAATCATGCCTGGAAGTTTCGCCGTTTAACTGAAGGATCTCTCTGACATAATCCTAACCCCTACTGGACCCCCCAGCGGGCAAGGCTATTGGGGCCAGCCTGGTGGGAGTTCCCGAAAACTACGGAGCACGGAGATGCACATAAAGAGAGCCGTGAGCATGGAGAGATCGTGATCTGGGAGGGAAAAAGGTCGACGGGAGAAATTCCGCGAAAAATCTGATTCTGAGGTCACTATGGGGACGACCAGGAAGGTTATCGCTGTACTTGGCCCAGGCCGTGCGGAGCTTGTTGATCGGCCTCTGCCGGCGGTGCGAGACAGGTTTATGTTGGTCAAACCGGTCGCGATTGCGTTGAATCCGACAGACTGGAAACACGTTGACGTTGGTGTCGTTGGTGCAGTCGTTGGATGCGATTATGCCGGCATCGTTGAAGCTATAGGAAAGGGAGTTAGGAAGAAGTTCAAGAAGGGCGATAGGGTCTACGGCGTCGTCCACGGATGCAACAGGCAAGAGTTAGACGACGGGGCGTTTGCCGACTACATCCTTGCCAAAGGAGATGTCCAGTCCCGTATTCCAGACAATCTATCCTTTGAAGAAGCCGCCACGCTTGGTGTAGGCATCATCACGGTCTGTCAAGGGCTCTATCTCGGTCTCGGACTAGACCTTCCCACCTCTCCTAGCTTCAAAAGGACGCCGGTGCTGATATACGGCGGAAGCACTGCGACTGGTTCCCTGGGCATCCAATTTGCAAAACTGTATGTTCGATAAGAGAGCGAGAGCAAAAATGCTACTTCAAACTTGGCCGCTCGACCATGTTCCAATCCTGGGGGAAAGCCAATTGCCTGGAAAAGACAATATTTCCCCAAGCCTTAAATCGGGACCGCTCACTGACTTTTTCGAGGCAACAGGTCAGGTTTTGCCCCAATCGCAGTCTGTTCTCCACGGAACTTTGAATTCGTCAAAAACCTAGGCGCCGTGGCAGCGTTCGACTACCACGACTTGGACTGTGGCTCAAAGATCCGTGAATTTACCGGCAATAAATTAAAACTGGCTTGGGACACCATCTCGCTCCCTGTCAGCGCCCGCATATGTGCTCACGCCCTTTCCAGCGGACCCGGAGGTAGATACTTCGCTCTCCTCCCAGAACCCTGTCCGCGAGATGACGTCGAATCCAGCTACACCATGGCCTACTACATGTTTGGCGAGAAAGTTCAGATGTCAGAGAACGGGCCGGTGATACCTCCCGACCACTCCGGCTTTCGATATGCAAAAGAGTTCGTGTCCATGGCAAACCAGCTGCTGGCGGACGGAAAGATCAAGGTACACCCACAGCAAGTGTGCGGCCGTGGGCTTGCGGGAGCAGTCGAGGGACTCCAGATGATGCGCGAGGGCAAAGTGACAAGGAGCAAGCTGGTGTATCGGGTGGCGGAGACTCCCGGCCTAGAACATGAAGAAAATGAAGATATGAGGTGAGGAGGGGAGGGGTTGCTGCTATTTCTGTCTTTAGAATTTTTGATATGACGAAACGACTCGTGTATGCTGCAGTGCTGTACATCTGCCAAGTTGCTTGCCCTTGGGCTAGGCCTTATATCTGGTTCAGGTTCTTAACGAATGAGGTCGGAGAAGCAGCTTTTGATATCGAACCCTGGAGTTCGGGATGTTGATTGGACGGCGGCTTATGTCATTGATAGAATGGAGAGAAAAATGAGGCCCCGTGATATTTAGCTGCTGACTAACCATATTATTTCTTGATCAGGTAATTTACAGTTTACTATATGATGACTCAGCGTGTTACAGGATAAAACGACAATAATATGTTATGACCAATTATGCTGTAGAATACAATACACTAGTAATATATCGTAATAACATACATCCGAAGGCTAATTATTAAGCAGAAAATTATAAGTGCAAACTGTGCAAATTTAACAAAATTGACAAACATATACACGTGACTTTATCTTCGCGCCTGCGATATCAAAATCAATTTGTTCAAGCTAAAGGCAATCGGCCGCCAAATTGACAGTCAAACAATCAAACCAGCCCTCTGACAAAAGATGGTTCGAAAACTAAAGCATCACGAGCAAAAGTAAGCAATTACGCCTCTTCCCTCCCCATCTGCTCCGCGCCCTAGCTAACCGTCCTCCAGGCTCCTCAAGAAGGTTGACCTATACACCTACAAATCCGATGCCAACCACCGTGAATCCACCATCCGTCGTCGCTACCACCTCCAAGACCCCCTAGACTACAAAAAATACAATGCCCTCTGCGGCTCCCTGCGCCAGCTAGCCCATAAATTAGCTGCGCTAGACCCAGATTCGGATCCCGTTCGCAAACAGCTCGAGTCGCAGATGCTAGAAAAATTATGGTCGATGGGCATATTAAAGCAGAATCGCGAACAGGGGGCCGGGTTGAGTAAGGTTGAGAGGGAAGTTACTGTTAGTACCTTTGCGAGGAGGCGGTTGGGTGTAGTCATGGCTCGGAATGGGATGGTGGAGAGTGTTCCTTCGGTAGGCTGAACCTCGTTCTTCGCTTTCTATTATATCCATGTTGAATTACTGGCTAATGGCGGCTTTGTTGGAATCAGGCTGTCAAATTCATCGAGCAGGGTCATGTTCGTGTGGGCACTGAAGTGGTCACGGACGCTGCCTTTTTGGTGACGAGAAACATGGAAGACTTCGTCACATGGGTCGACTCGAGTAAGATCAAGCGGAATATCCTACGGTACCAGGAGAAGCTGGACGATTTCGATTTACTATGATCTCCATCGCCTACACGTCGTGTTCGAGTTTGATATCCTTGCATCTGGATTATTTATACCCACGGCCTCTTAGAATTGGCCATTCGATGATATTTGTGGTGGTGTTATTTTTAAGATGGACTATAAAAGCATTGCGCGGTGTGGTCTGATTTTGACCTACCTTGGGGCTTGGAGCTAGGAGTTTTGAGATTATTCATGATTGTCGTTTATCATTAATGCCGTAGTATACGGAGTATAGACCTAAGAAGGAACATCCGTATGAAGTGTCCAATAATCATGGTTATTATATCTATGCACGATGTACTCATTGCTATGCACAACATATGAAAATGGGCCGCCCTCGGCCCTTGTTCGCCCTGGGGTCTCTGGTAGATGACTAAATGCTTTTGGCCGTAAACATGTGGCATCATATGCCTGTGTGGGAACATGAACCGAACGGAGAGGCGGGAATTAAAACAAGTGTATCCGGAATATCAATGCAAGGATGTGTCAGAATGGAAGGGGATGTGCATATGACGCGTCTTCATGGGGGTGTTTATGCATGTAAATCGTAGTTCTGCGCTTCGTCCTCAGCGGCGCGGTGGGGAGGGGAGGGGATAAATTAAAAAGCAAAATGAAAATATGCAGCTGTAATGTATGTGGTATCATTAGAATCAGAATGCACGGGATATCAGAGGGTCAACGACTGAAATAGAAAATGCAACATGCAACGTAGGTGGCCGTAAAGCATAACCAGAACCAGCATCAGCTTCTGCGCTGTGTGATAAAATAATTAAACAAAAGACGAATTCCGTCGATGGTTCAGCGTCCGCCACGGCTTAAGGGCAGTCTTCTCGTGGCCTGCAGTCTCGTGCTCCGACTTACGCCTGGTAAGCACCGAAACAAGACCGTTTCGCAACACGGCCACTCCCCTATTCTGGCGTTGGCGTTCATCAACATCATTGCCGTCCTCTTCTGGAATCTCCATTCGAAACCTCCTGACGCTGCCATCATCATTTGCCCGGCCGGTCTTGCATTCTTCAAAGAACGGAGCTCGTGCGTCTTTGCTCTGGCACCATTGGGGGGCAAACTTTCTCCATGCTCCGCGGATTCCACGGCTGGCACGGTCGATCTTTTCATATTCCCGTCGTCGGGTTGAAGGAGATGTCCAGTCTATTACTGTCTTGGGGAGAGGAGGGGGTGGTGGTAGTGGTGCGTCGGTGGATGAAGAGCCTTCGTCTGTTCGGTCATGGATAGGGGTCCAGGTGAACTGGTTGATGGGTGGTGACGGTATGCCGTCAGACTGGAAGGGTGAAGTAGGGGTGTTTTCTGGTTTGAGTAGCGGAGATGTAGAAGCCGAATGTTGGGAGGTGGGTAGTATGCGATGTCGTAAGTCGTTTATGTTCGTTGTGTTCATTGTGTTTGAGGCAGAGATGTGTGGCTGGGAGTGACGAGTCGATAAGGGTCTACGTTCCCCGTCCTTCTGGTTGGCCGGTTCTTTATATTGGCCAGCTTGGCTGAACAGGAGACAGCTCTCGCGGTGAAGAGCCAGGAGATCTCGATCGTTGCGTCCGGGAGTGCCAACATCGGACCGTGAAGGGGTGAGTTTGGCGTATGTCCCTGATTTACCGCGTAGATGCTGTATGCTACGCTTGGGTCTGGTTGACGATGGAGATCGAGATGCCGTGGCCCCTCTCAACGTTCGACGGCGTTCTATCGAAAAGGAAGATGTTCTGGAACCAGCATCGCTCCTCTGAGGGGTCGACTTGGAGTTGGTCGATGTAGATGTCGATGTAGATGTAGATGTCGAAGGCTGAGTCTGTGTCTGCTTGATCAAGCTCTGCACCTCCGGCACGTCGTCGTCGTCGGCACTAGACATGGAGAAGGTCGATATCGGGCTACCCGTTGCAGAGTACGTCCTGGGCAGGGCGAGATCTGTCTGGTCGTTGATATCGGTCATTTGAAAGGCAGGAAAGTAGGAATCATCTCCAGCTCTGGCGCCAAACCGGGGCTCGTCGTCGTCGTCGTCGAACAGGAAGGTCGTTATATAGTTCTGCCTTGACGAGCCGTTGCTGTTGCTGTTGCCATCTGCCTTGGAGGGTATGTACAAGAAGGGCGAGGAGCCAGCAGCAGCATCATCGGAGTAGTGAATGGGCTTGACGTTGCCATCACTCGCGTCTGTACATGTGAGAGTGGCCATGATGCTCTGATCTGCTTAGTCGGCGCAGGCACAACAGGCACTGATATAGCTACAGCAGAAGTGTCAGCAGACTTGCAGCCATGTCATATGCAGTCAATCAACTTACAGCCTTGTTAGACTCTTAAGACTAGTTTGTCTATGATCAATTCAGGGGAAGTGACATGTGAAGAAGACGAACAGTTCAGATGTTTCTATGCATGTACTGAAGACTTGAGCAGACTGCTTGGCTGATGCACCGCCCAGCAGCGCAGAGAGCAGTATTTAAGTGCTGTACTTGAAGAGCCGAAACGTATCCAAAACAGAGGGATAGCCAGGCGCCTACTGTGACAGAGAGCTCACCAGTCACATCCCTCCGCAGTTCGCGCGCGCATAGATCCCTCGTCTTCCCTTCCGTCGACAGGGAGAGGGCCTCAACCGTTTATAAAAAGAACGAAACCCATCTGGAGCGGGGCAGATCGATCGATGAAGAAATTCCCATATATCGGCCGCTTCTGGGTGCGAAGGGCGTGATTGGGCGCATGCATCGCCATCATCCCGTCGTTCTCTCACCGTATGTCTAGTGCGAGCATGGGCCGGGAGAAGCAAGTTCAGGGCTCGAGAACCGCAAGGGAAGAGGAACATCCCCTAAGAATGTTCGGGCGTTACGCTGCAGAGTCCGCCTGACCCTGCGCGAGGACAAGCCACCGGCCTCTGCGCTGGCGAATCGTGACTCTGCGTGGCGGCGCGTCGAGCTCTGGCTTGCTGTTCATTGGGCGTGCTATCCATGCTCCCTGTCCTGCACTTGTCCTGCACTTGTCCTGCACTTGTCCTGCACTTGGCCGGGATGTGTAAGGTTGGTCGGAAGGTTGATCGGCCAGGGACGCGCCGACTCAAAATCCAGCATGCGAAGTTGCGGTCGGATGTCGACTATCTTGGAGTGCGCACCGCAGGAAGTGTATGAAGTAGAGGGTATGGAGTATCTGGCTGATGTACGGAGTAGCGTATCAAAGTCGAAAAGGGGCGGATGATATACGGACAGACCTCACCGCTTAACTTCATACATAACCTAGTACGCCACCCTATCTTCAATAGTTATAGACGGTGATGGGAGTAAGGCTCAACAGCACGAGTCTCGGTCTGAAGGAGGATAAGGTCTACACCGAACAGATGTGATATCACTACGGAGTATCACTACGGAGTATGGATACCTAAGATGGACCACATGAACTTTTACAAGCCAGGTTCGTCACAGCAGAAGCTTTATAAATGCCGGGTTTGACTGAAGAGTTGCCGGATGGTAAACTTCCGACAAGGTCGTGGATCCGAGTTCGGCGTGCCTGCATCGATCTTGACGGCGTTGCCTTTGAGCAATCTATACGGCCTTTTGTGAGGCTTTAGAGGATGGACATTAGTCCGCTCTGCTCACTCTCAGCTGCACTAACTACCAGGCGAATGAAATACTGCAAAAACCTAGGAAAGAAATCCGCGGTAGCATGTCTACGGTCAAGGAATCGAATGACAAAGTACAGATGGACGACATCATTCGCGTCAGCACCTATCATCGCCGCGACTTCGACCTCGCGGTCATCAGGTTGAATCCGCGCTTACACGAAACGGTTCGACGCTCCATGGTTCACACATTCAATCGCGTAGCTACCACTACACTTGGACGAATGCAGGTTCTACCTGTTGAAATCCTCCATGAAATTTTACTCCTCTTGGATATGAGGTCTTTGTTCGTATTCCGTCAAGTTAACCTCCGGGCCCGACATCTCGCCTTCACCGTTCCTGGATATCAACCCCTTTTAACTCATGCTCTCGAAGCCATTTGCGTTATTCTGCGCACAAAAATCTCGGCGTGGTACACGCTAAAAGATATCTTTAATGTGCTTTGCACCCGAGACTGCCTCCACTGTGATTCCTTTGGCGGGTTTGTTTTTCTTCCGTCGCTCGAGAGGTGCTGCTTTCGCTGTCTTACCTCCTCTCCTCAGTTTCGAGTCCTACCGGCTGTAAATGTTGGAAAGCTACTCAGCATATCACGGGCACATCTACGCCGGTCGGTGCCGTTGTTGCATACGATACCAGGAATATACTCAATGGCCGAAACGTCCCGTCAAAGTAGGATGTATATTGTGGCAGAGAAGCAAGTTGCAGAGGCATTCAAATTTCCCAGCACCTCAGTTTCAGCAGCAGTCACGACTTCAGACCAAGCCCACACCATTTTACGGTATATGGCCGGTACTACAATACCATATGTCGATATAGCAAGCGGCGAGGTTCAGCACGGCATCTGCTGTGCAGGTTGCCAGATCGTGCTCGAGGGAGACATGGTCTCAAACTCCCAAGAAGCCTTCGCGATGCGGGACCGGGTGTATTCGAATACCGGGTTCCTCGACCATTTCAGATTATGTCCTGAGGCTCAAAGGCTGTGGAAACATAGCAAAGAAGGCAAGGTGGCCGTACGCCTACCAATATCTGTTATTCGTGGGGGTTATTTCAACCAAAGAGATGTTGTCATGTCGTTTAGCAAGCGAAAGCGTTCCGATTTATCATAGTGGCTATGACGGCGTAGAACTAATCTATATGGTATCTAACTGGCTTCTATACGGAGTCCAGGCTGGGGAGAAAGAAAAGGAAGAAAAGATATCATGACCCAAGGCAAGTTCCCGTATAACTATTTACTAACTAGTTAAATAACTAGCCCTGATCATTAAGCCCGCGAACCACGGCAATTGGTTTGCCGCATGGAACACTCAAGTTGATTGTAATCCAGCCACTTCACTGCGAGAAATGTTGAGCGCCTCCCTGTCGAAGTGCTTAATTGACACGTAGTAGTAGCCATGGGAACGGCTTGATAGAGAGCTCCATCTACCACATGGTCATCAATAGTTAATGGAAACCGCCTCGACTTTAAAGCAACTAGTAAGCGGGTCGGTGAGATCGGTTGGAGATCGCTAGCCCAGCCTTCTATCCACCAGTTATCACCCCGTCCTATGTATAGAATACGGAGTAGCGGTGACATGGAGTAGCAGATAAATAGTCACTCTCACTGATATGCCTTATGCAGTCTCCCTTGCTCAAACACGAACTGTAGCGGGACACGGATCTTAGTATAAAAAGGAACCTTAATTAATTCTACGTGCCGGCCGAAGCTATATCGAATCCCCTCGGGAGCGGGTAACTAGAACCACGCTGGCGTCGTATTTCCTTTTTCCCCTTTCTTTTTCCTTCGCTTAGCTACAAGGTACACATGGTTTATTACATTCCTAAGAAAGACGTAAAAAGCATACATTTGAAACTACTAGCTACACTGAATATGTAAACTCCGCATTTTCTTTGTCGGTCAGATCGAGCCATCTACGTCATCGACTATTAGCTCGAGCTGCACTTGGTATAGTTGGAAGTGTCACGAGGGGTCAAGGGAGGTACTTACTCCTGGTTTTCGACCTTGGTGTAGCCTGGTTCGGCTCTGAGCTGGGCTTTCTTTGCGTTTTGCCGATTATACCACCACCAGATGAAATACATGTCCACGAGACAGGCTGTGAAGCATGCAATGATGGTTGCTTTGGCTGGCGTGTATTCTGGGGCATGTTCGGGACGGAACGTTTGTGGTCCTGATCCTGTCAGCATACACACCCTTATAATGCATAGAAATATACTTGAACGCACCTATGATGTTTCCCACGCAATACCCAATAAGATAAAGTGCTGCAACTGTGGTCTTCTTCGTATACCCGGCCACATTGGAAGAGATCAGGCCGAGAATACAGACGAACGGCGTGGGGCAGGCGAGCGTCAGGTAGTAGCCGATGAGACGGCCTACGGGGAGCGTCTCTGGCAGCGCGATCATGAGAGCAGTGCCGAGTATGGCAATTAGTAGGCCCCCGGAAGAGACGAAGATACGCTGCTGGTAGTAATCGCCTAGGAACCCGTTGAGGAGAAGAGCAACCACTTCGACGGCGCCAGCGGGTGTGCCGTATAGCAAACTCTGTTCGGGCGTATAACCGAATCCGACGATCTAGAGGATGAAGTTAGCACTGCATCAATGCGTGGGAACCCGAGTTTGCATACCAGTTGGCTGAAGAAGTTGCTAATACCACCTATTCATCATCGTTAGCATGAATATATAGCCTTTGTACAATGTCAAGGCCTACCATTTGGAATATCCGCCGCCACCGCATAAAACACAAACGCCCAAGTCATCGGATCCATCAGTGCCTCTTTAAGCTGGTATACCTTGAAATGCTTATTTCCGATTCCCTGCTGGTTAATTCTCACTCGCTCTACGGCTAGAACTCGATCTTCCTTCTTCAACCAACGTGCATTCAGCTGGCTGTCGGGGATGAGCCAGTAGAACCACACCCCTAACGCAACGGTTAGAAGGCCCGTGACGAGGAAGATGGTTTTCCAAGGTGCGATGGCAGTGCCGAGGGTGCGAGAGCCCACGGCGATGCCGTATGCTAGTAGACCACCAAAGATCTGGGCCCAGCCGTTGAAGGAGAACCAGATGTTGATGCGGGTGGCTTGTTCGTGTTTGGTGTACCACTTGATAAGATCTTAGACGGGTATAAATATCATGGATGTTTATATAGAGATGTTTACCTGAGATGTGATGAGTGCAAAGCCTGGAGTGACTGCAGCCTCGAATACACCGAGCAAGAACCGCACTGCAACGGCTCCCTGGAAGTTGTGAACGACTGAGAAGAGGGTAAGTATCAATCCCCATGAGACGATGCAGAAGGCCGAATATTTGGCCAGCGGTAGTCGTTGCAGCAGGACAGACGTGGGATATTCCCATGCCAGGTATCCTAGGCTCAGTTAGCTCATTCATTCTTCAATCTGGTTGATTGAGAAGGACGTACCGAAGTAGAACATGCTACCTAGCCATTGGTAGTTGTCGCGTACGAGATTAATGTCCTTCTTCAATCCCATAACGCTGGCATATGAGAGTGTCGTCTCTGTCAAAAACATTAGCATGCAGCTCGACCTCGACCCTCGCTCGACAGAATGAACACGTACTATCCAGATAATTCAGCCCGTACACTACACACATCAAGGGCATAAGATGCCAGTCGATAATCTTCAGCAATCGCTTATTATCCTCTGGCGTCAACTCGATCGGCCCACCGCCGGCGAACGCCTTCATCGCCTCGTCCGCATCCTCAGGAACGCTGACTCCTTTCTTGTCCAGGCTCTTCTCCGGATCTGCATCTTCCATGCGTTCTTCTCTGCTGGTGTTGCTGATTCTTTCATCCTGCTCGATGGGGGTCGTCTTTTCGTCGATTTCCGCCATTATGGGCAGTGTTCGTAACGACAAACGTCGAACGACCAACTGGGCGATAGGCGCTTTATCTATCCCCAGCAGATTAAATGTCAAATGGCCAATGGATCTTCGCCGGTAACACTAAACGGGACTTATTCCGTGGCCCTCAGCGTCCGACTCGGCCGTCTGATCGAGAGAACAGCGTGTATATCGTATCTTTAGCTAACGATATCCGGCCAACTCGCTAGTCGTCGTGTTCAACTGATCCCAAGACGCCGCGAGAGGGGAAGAAATAGACAAAGACACGGAAGATGCAGAAGAGAAGGGCGACATGCGGAGAAGCAGGGGATGCCTGTCCCATCTCTCTCCGTCAACTGCAGCCATGCTGGGATCTGTCTGTCGTCACTCCATCTTCATCCTCACCCATGTAAACAGGCCGCCTCCTTGTTCGTGACTCCATACTGATGATATCCTCGACAAGGATGGTAGGATGGCAGGATGGCGGGGAAACAAGCACTATCGGTAAAGCTTTGGAGCTGTCTCTGGCTTCTCACTGGCATGAAGCGTATACGGGGTCGCATATCAAGCCTGCGCCCTTTCCACCCCCGGATTCGCCAAGTTGGAGACTAGCATTTAGCGTGAGATGAAACATGATACCGTAACCCAGGCGATGTTCATGGCCGTCGAGGTCGAAAGGAGAGATGAAGAATGAGTTATTAATTATTACTGGGCAGACACTAGTTGTCTCCCTTTCCCTAACAGCTGTATAACTACCTATCTAGCCGAGTTTCATAACATTCGTGACCGTCTCCCAGTTGGTCTGGTTCTGCCTGTATAATAATGTCTTGTGTTGTTCGATGCAATGCGATGTTATAAGGAACGAATAAGGAGACGGATGCACGCTGAAACCAAAAAAATGTAAGAATAAAGTCCCCAGATAAAAAGAATAAAGCCTCACAGAAAGAATCAAAACAGTAAACGCCACGCCGGAGAAAAAAACGCCGCTGAAGTACTTCTCATCAGGTGTATGGAGGGGGGTGTGTCGTGAAGGAGAGGGTCCATCGCCTCTAGTGATCTATCTTGTCATTGTCGTGCCGTCTTCGAGGTATTTGAAGCTGTATCTATGTACGTATATCGGTGTATGTATATGTGGATGTTGGTGAATATGTACGGGGAAAGCGTCCGGTAAAGAGTGGTGGGATGCGGTATGTTGGAGGGGTGGATATATGCGTTGAAAATATATGCAGAACGTTCATGTCATGGTATGATCTCGTCGGGAGTCGTGGCAGCGTCAGCGTCAGGCGTCAAGCGTAATGGATGGTTGGCTTAGATAGCCGCCCAGACAGCCACGGCGCACAAAGCGAGAGCCAGGTGGCGACTCACGGAGTGAACCACACCGGCGCTTCCAGGTGCTTGCATGACCGGGTCGGTTGGCGAAGCGCCTCCATTGCCGCTGCTGCTTCCACTGCCACTGCCGCTGCCAGTTTTCGTGGGCGTCCCAGTTGGAGCAGGAGACGTCATGAAAGTGGTGCTGCCAGAACCAGGCGAGGTAGTCATACCATGTCCATTACCAGACGATCCCGAAGGCGAGGGTGACGAGACAGATCGAGAAGACCGAGAGGTGTTGTCGGAGTGATGAGAAGTTTCCTATACATATTAGCACTTCCTTCTGATGGAAGAAATAGGGGTTTATATAAGGAGAGTCTCACTCACAGCGGACGAAGAAGTCGGCGTAACGACTCCTCCAGTTCCAGTTTCGGTTACAACCCAACTGCTCGGGAGCCCTATGAGCGAAGTCATTGTTGGGGAAGGTCCTGTCTGGGATTGAGAGGGAGATCCGGGAGTTGGACGAGGATTGGAGACCGTGGTAGGAGGGGCTTGGGGGTTCCCGATGCCACCTCCTGGGGCGGTGGGAGCAGGTTCAGGGGCATTGGTGCTTGGACTATTACTGAGCGTGGATGACTCTACCTTGGGGCCCTCGCCGGGCTTGCCTTGGCCGTTGACCTTGCCGCCAACTGCCTCGATGGATTGCCAGGAGCCACTCATGTTAGTGTAGCGGTATTCCTTGCCGGTGGAGTAGTCCGTCACCTTGATAGACTTGACGACCATGGTGAAGGGGGCCTGGGAGTAGTCGGTCAATCCGCCAGCCCATTCTATATCTCGTTAGTACGTCTTTACACTCTATGAAAGGAATAAGGAAAAGGGCTTACGGATGGTTCCTGGGGCATTGGAAGGGTCACCGCCGACCCAGCTGCCGACGAGGACTCGCATGGGAGTCTGGGGGTACTGGTTTTTGGAGGTCTCGGGGGTCAGGTCACGGATTGGGCGGCCATCGATAGACCAGGTGATCTTGCTGGCAGTCCAGTCGACGGCGTAGGTGTGGAACTGTCCGTTGTTGTTGGGAGCAGAGTCGAACTTAGCACGGTCGTAGGTCTCCGTCTTGCCCTTGCCGAAGTAGTTGCTCTGCACCTGGGCGTTGTCTCCGCCGAGGAACTCCCAGTCGATCTCGTCCAGGTCGTCAGAGAGCATGACGGCGCTGCTGACGACACCCTTGCCGGGAGCAGCCTTCATCACCCACTCGACGTGACCGAACATGATGTAAAAGTCGGAGGTGAGGGTGGGAGCATCACCGCGTTTGGAGATGGTCAAGCTGACGCCGTCTTTGCCGTATGTTGGGTTGCCGCCGGTGGCATGGAAGCGAGGAGACTCCTTGGTGAAGTCAAAGTCCGCAGTTCCAGAGAGAGCAGGGTCGGCAGGACAGCCTATATCCGTTAGTATTCTCTTCGTCTTCTTCTTCATCTCTCCGTCCTGTTCGTATACATACTCTGCTTGGTAGGGTTGCACTTTGTAGATGTCTGCGCAGAGACGACGGTGAGAGCGCCCAGCAGGGCAGCGAGGGTGAGCTTCATGGTGTACAGCTGCGTAGGTAACGAGTGTCTCTTGTGCTGTCAAAGTTGTTGAGTTGTCGAGTTGTAGATGTGTAGAAGTGTAGACGTTGTAGACGAGAGAGAGGGTGAGGCTATATAAGTACGTACATAACCTCCCCGCCAGCCACCAAAAAGCACTAACGCGACCAACCACCGAGCGCCGGCGACAAAAAGCAAAACTCCAACCACCGCAAATTCCGCCAATCGCGCTGACCAGCCGCATCCCAGCCTCCACCGCGCGAACTGAGACATGCTGGGCTCCTGGAGTAACGGATGGGGTTTTGCCCATCGTCTACCGTCACCGTGGAGACTGGTCCCGGTCGTTGTGGTCCGATCATCGAGCTGACGCAGCCTCTACGCCGTACACTGCTATCACATCGGCTTGCTCCCTTCGTCCATCCGAAACGATTACTGACTGCTTGCATAGATGAGAGGAGGAGACAGCCGCTAGTTCAGCTTTCGTTATCTATCGCTTACGAGCAAGGAGGCACCTATCGCAGCCACGCCATAGCGACCCACGCGATCCATCAGCCCAGCAGCCAGCAATCAGTGGGACGCCAATGTCGTGCAAGCACAGATGGAGAATGGGAGAAAGGGATGGCGGAGTATCCGTGGATAGTTGCACTGCAGCTTCGTACAGGGAACAAGGACAGTATCTCGATGCTTTCGTCCGATGTTACATCCCATCCCATGACGAGAGAGCCTCGGACCTCGCCTGCTTAATCCTCCGCCAGCTCGCATACTTCTACTTTACCGGAGCACGGAGTGCTTGATATGCTTGTCACCCTGTCACCATCCGTGCCACGGGTAAGACAGCCAACAAGCGACCAGGCGGGCTCTAGACTCCAGCCAGGGAAGAAGACAACGCTCTCCTGAGGCCGCCCACCCGCGTCCGTACTATTCATGCAAGGTACGACTAGATGGCGCCTTGCGTTGAAGGCAGTGGGCAGTGGCATTATTTAATACATGCATAATGCATAGTGCAGCCTCTAGCCAGAGCTCTAGTCCCAGGGAGGTATCCAGTCCTGGCTTACTACTGCTTTCCTTGCTTCCTTAGGTTAAGCCGCTTCCGATAGCTTTTTTATTTATAGATGCCCCCTGAAGACGGATACTTCCAACGATCCAAGACAGTCTCAGGATAGTCGCCGCCTCACGATGTGATAGCATCTGGTCGGGAGACCAGCTTGCGGTATGCCCAAAGTCCCGCGCTGCGCCCCAACTGCCGTCAACTAGCCGGACCATATACACGCTATCACCTGCTGATGGTCTGAGTTTTTCAGGGCAGACCTGAGTTCACACTGGCCATCTGGCTGGAATATGCTACATGCCACCCGTGCCACCGAAAAACGGTGCTACAAACAAACCCTGGAAATCGGAGCTCATAAGTAAAGCCGCGTCGCACAGTCTATGTCATATGGCCCAGAGCCGCAGCTGGACGGGAGCCGTACCAAGGGAGTTCGTGGCCCTGAAACTGCTCAGCATTCCTGGTTTGCTGGTTCAATAAAAAAACTTGAGTTTATCTAATAAAATATGCAGGGGTAGCGATTACTTACCAGCGAATGACGAACGGGATCCAGTCGGTCTCGGCATGTTTACAGTTAAAGATGCATCAACCGGTGCAAAGGACCAACCGAACGACGAGTTTAACGGTGGAGTTGAGAAGATGTGCAGAGAATATATTATTTCGAGCAAAGGTGGCAAAGGTTGGGTATGGCCTGATTTCCAGCATCCAGTGCATGCTGTTCAACGTTGGATGATCTATTCAAGTACTCTGTAAAGCCATGCATGGAGATCTTACCTCCATATCATGAAGCCAGGCCAACTAGATTCGAATGGCGATCTCAAAGTCTGGATTAGTGGTGACACTAACCGTTGGAGTAGGGTAGCAAGCATGACTCCATCAATAGCTTCGGTCTTCGTGAATGGCCAGAACTGCCTTTATACAATTTATGCAGCTTATATTAGCTGGTTTAACAACATCCACACAGAAGGGATCTCTGCATCTCGAAAGACGTCGTACGGAAGCAGGGATGTAATCCATGCACCTGGGTTAGATATCCAGGCTGTCTTTGTCAGGGTATGCCAGCATCAATGGCTAAAATAAACCATTCTTGCTGTAAAATGCTACCATGGTTCTAATTGCAGTGTTTAATACGTCCTTTGATATGGTAGTTGCATATTGTCCATGTATATGGTTGATACAGACTAGCCATGCAGAGTTGCCAACTTCATGGGTAATCCATTGACGGACCTTCAATTCTAGCTAGATGATACTGCTTATAAGGAAGGGAGACCTGAATAAGCGTTGGTTGCTTTAATTCCAGGCCTTGTTGTCTATTGTTTGCTTCAGGGCGAGGAGGAAGTCAATGCATTTGAGCTAGGTAGCCGTCTGAATTATCCCTCAGGGTATTTGGTACGTATACTTTAACTGTCCATCAAATGGTTCGATACACTTATAGATAGCTTCCATAAAAAAATATTGTTAGCCTTTGAACATAGTGCTTGATGTGTGTCTTAATGGACATATTACCTCTATTTGGGCTCTGTATGCTCCTCTGTCTTCAGCTCGTGCTGGTCGCCTAGATACGCGGCAAAAAGATATTCCCTTACAGCAGCTGGTACCCTAATTAATATCTCGGAGACGTCCTGAGCCCGGGTCTCCTTTACTGTCCCTTGTCTCGATTGATAAAATGCGAAGTAGCCAAAGTACAAACCGCGCATTGTACTTTTGATCAATCACACATTATCAGGGTTTACATCGGCCCAGACAATGCCACAAGAGTGAAATTGTTAAAATATCTTCTATCTGGGCCATATTTTAGATGGAACATTCATATCAACAAGATTGTAAGTGAAAACAGAGTGTGTATAACAATCTAACACAAACATGGGTTATTCTTGTTGAAGATGCAGCCTGTCATCTCATCGCACAAGGGCTCGACTAGATCTTGCGAAGACTGAAAAGGGAACAGTGCCGTTGCTCGACATTGTCTAGGATGTATTCTTAGGGTATGCGAGTTCTCATGCGCACTCGGTTCTCGACCAACGAATGACCAGAAGGCACCACAGGGGTATGAATGGTGAGATGATTATATTTCTAGTCCGTGATAATGATAGGAGGGGAAGGAAAGCGAACATCAGTGGTGACGGGGATCAGGCACCCCTTCAGCTTCGCCTCCATGTTCCCTGCGCTCTGGTTAGTTCTATATCCTTGCCCATAAGCCGTGACTAGTATATGTAGCATGGAACACACAGACTAGACGACGCTCGACAAGGGACGAACCTTCTCACAGCGACGCCCTTGTTAGATCGAGTGCTAAATCATATTTCTTGAACTGTACAAAGTTAAGACTGCTGGCGATGGTATCATGTTTCTAGTTCAACGCATCTCTTAACTGGTGGTTTACCTGAAGGAGGCCTCCCCGCGAGAGTCAACGGTTATGCTCCAGGGAAGTTGATGTAGCGGAATTTTCCGTAAATAAAGACCACGTAGCATAAGGAAATTTCCAACAAGTAAGAAAGGAGAACTAAGAAACCCGTGATCCCTTATTGGTCAAGGTCAGCAACGCACGAATCAGTAAACAAGGGCCAATGAGGAGGAGTAGAAAGTCTGAGCTGGTTGGTAGAATATAGATATTACATTCCGGCACGGCCCGAAGAAGTGACCAGTAGCTGTTGATAGTGACCTCTTGCGCCCGTAACGGCATTTCTTTATGCGCGACCATAGTCCGGCCAATATAGGTTATAGTTTGGGAGAGGTAGGGGCCAAAATGGACGTGGTCTGGGGAGCAAATGGGATTGGACTGTTAAGAACGAGGATGTTTGAGAGATAAACACAATCATATAGTTACATCGCCTTTTCAGTCCATTGCATAGACGATGTGTCAATAGGAGACCTCCTATGGCCTTCAAACCTCGACAGGTTGGCTGCAGCAAGTCCAGCATGCCTATACATTCATTAGTAGCTGTGAGAATGACAGAAGGTGTCTAATCTATAGATCTCATCAACCCACCCCGTCTTGTTTGGGATACTATAGCAAAAAAGGTATATTAGTTGTCCTATCAAACAATGCTGTTTGGGGCAGAGATGAACGGGAGGCCGGTTACTCACCGGCTTAATCTTTGGGCAGGTCAAACCTGCATCCCAACATGCAACCCAGCATGACTGGTACGCTACTTCCTCCGTGGCTGGATGCGGCATGGCATCGGCGAGAGGGAGGAGAGCAATCATTATAGCAAACAAACTTGGGCGGTTGAACTTCATTGCGGCGTACTGGGGTAGGCGTATTGGGATATTTATTAAATGGTTGATGCGTGGTATTGGAAGGATATTGGAAGGGTATAGGGAGGAAGGACAGGCTCTTTTATATGGATATTCCAGCATCGCAATACCCATGCCATCTTTGCATCCTTCAAGACCTGATCGTATAATAACCGAATGCCTAGATGTTTATTCGACCGAGGGACTCTCACTTCACCTATCGAGGTGTGCATAGTGAGGCATTAAGACTAGACATGGCCTGGGTCAGGATCTGATATCTCTTGATGCTCGTAAAGACATCTCTCCATAAGAACATGCATAGTAAAGAGGGGCAATTGTCAATTTCCGAGTGGCCTTCTCAAGGCCTGCATGAACACCTGAGCCACGATGATGCATATACAAGTAGAATATCATCTTCTTGTAGTATGATCGAGGTATCTTCGTGTATCTTCTCCTTTCGTCTTGCCCAGCATCGTGATCATGTGATATCACGTGCTAATTACTTATCTCTGCCGCTTTGGGACACCCCGCGACATAGAAAGCTCCCTCGACAGCATCGCGCAGTTCGCAGCCATGGGGTCAGAATTAACGCCGCAGCAGAAGGTCGAGTTGATCAAGCAGAATCTCCAGGAGGTTCTCAAGCCAGAGATCATCGATGACATAATTATCAAGCAGAATCGGCCGCTGAAAATCTACTTGGGTACGCCTCGAGAACCCCACTCGGAGTCATAAAATTGAAGCACACGATGTATATGGGAGAAGTTTCAACCACAAGGGAAGACGCCCTGCTAAGTGTATAAACTGTTAGGAACTGCGACGACCGGCCGGCCACACTGTGGCTACTTTGTCCCGATCGTAAAGATCGCCCATTTCCTCCGCGCAGGATGTCACGTCAAGATTCTCCTTGCCGACATCCACGGCTTCCTCGACAACCTCAAAGCCCCCATTGAGCTCGTCAACTTCCGCGCCGAATACTACCGCTATGTAATAACAGCCATGCTCAAGGCCATACACGTGCCCCTCGAGAAGCTCGAGTTCGTGCTCGGATCGTCCTACCAGCTCTCGGCGAAATACACAATGGATATATTCCGGCTAAGTAGCATGGTAACTGAACACGATGCCAAAAAGGCCGGTGCCGAGGTTGTCAAACAAGTCGACAATGCGCCGCTGTCTGGCCTCATCTACCCGCTCATGCAGGCCCTGGACGAAGAACACTTGGACGTTGATGCGCAGTTCGGCGGTGTCGACCAGAGGAAGATCTTCACCCTGGCGCAGGAAACGCTACCTCGCATCGGATACAAGGAGCGAGCGCACTTGATGAACCCCATGGTCCCCGGTTTGGCGGGTGGAAAGATGTCTGCTTCAGACCCGGACTCTAAGATCGATATACTAGACACTGCTGATGCGGTTAAGAAGAAGATCCGCAAGGCTTATGCGATGCCCAAGGAGACCGAGGGAAATGGGATGATCAGCTTCGTAGAATATGTTTTGCTCCCTGTTAGTGCGTTGGAGAATGCAGACGGCAAGGGTGCTTTTGCGGTTGACAGAAGTGAGGAGGAAGGCGGCCCGGTGGTGTACGATTCCATCGACGCGGTGAAAGCAGATTATCAAGCTGATAAGGTGAGTATGCTCCCAGTCCGCTCGATCATCAGTCTTAGCTAACCCGTAAATATAGCTGACACCTCAAATCTTGAAACACGCCATAACAACGGCGCTGAATAATATCCTTGCCCCCATCCAGGCCGCCTACGCTGCGGACACTGAGTGGCAGGAGCTTGCAAAGAAGGCCTACCCGCCCCCTCCTGCGCCTGAGAAGAAGCAGAAGAAACCAAAGGACAAGGGGAACAGATACCCTGGTGGCGGGAAACCCGTTGCCGCACAGCCGGACGGATCGGTTCAGGGAGAGGGCAGTGCCAAGGCTTCAGTTGGAGAGAATGTCGATGAGGCCATGCAGAAGCTGGATGTTAAGGAATAATAATGACAAGATAAAATGGGAACATTTCGATGATCCCACATTGCACCTACCACTGAAGCATTAATACCGCGTAGATCGATAGAACCTGCCTGGTTGTATATTTCCAACCAGTGTATTGACCAGACGCCGAGATATTGGGAGACGGTGGAGCTGCGTGGGCCATATCCTGGGGAGCAATTGGCACAACTATCGAGCTCGATGATTCCATCGAAAAGTGTGCCGGAATAAGACAAGTCGAGACAATCGCAGTGCTACCGGCCCGTATATCCCATCCGGCCGTGGTGACCAAGAGTCTTTGATTCCGAATCGGACGCTTAGTGTTTCGTATATATAGATGATGTGCCTGGCAATTGGTCTTGTATCTCCTACCTAAGACTGAGCAGTACGTAGACCATCAACGTCGTGGACTCAATAACTCTGCATCTAATCACGGAGATCATGGTATATAGAGTATATAGAGTATATAGAGTACGGAGTAGAGACGAACTGATATATTCTGTAGGAGGCGCAAAGGTGGCTCGAGGCTGCTTTGACATCGGGGTCTGGCGAAACACGGCAGCGATCTCAAACTGCAGATGTCATGGCCTGTTTCAGACCCATCTCCACAGATCAGCGATAGCTACTCGCATCTCTGTAGCTATAGCTATATAGGTAGCTATATAGGTAGTGTATAAGTGTGTGTATAGCTGTGGTAGCTGTGAGGTGTACGGTCACATGAGCAGAGCCCCATCGAGCTCGAGAACGTCGGATCCAACGACATCGAACGACTTGACATCGACATCTCAACGTCTCCATCTCATCTCGACATCTCACGACATCGATCCCACCTCGCTGCGACACTCCAGACGACACGGCGGCGCAGACAGACAGCCTGGGTTGCAGTGGCACTCCTGCTTCACCTCCTCGGTTGATGCGATCTTGCTATGCAGCCGAATAACGCCTCCTCCGTACTGGTGTGACGGGTACAAGCGATCGACCTCTAGTTCCATCGACGAACTGTATTACCTCCTGCGCCCACCTGCCAGAGATCAAGCCAGCCCGGCCTAGCCTGCGTTGCATCGCCTTTGCCTTGCTGCTTGCCCTCTTTGTTGTCTCGTCGGTTGTCTCCTCGCGCATTCGGCCGACCTCCCTCAGCTCTCTTCTCTCAGCTCTCAGCTCTCTTCTCTTTGCGCGCATCCTCCCTCTCAGCCAGCCGACTAGAGAGCACCCTCAATCGTGCTTAGGCCTTCGATCTCCCTGCTACAGACCGCCGAAAATACGGTTGAGCTCTCCCCTCATCGAATGCAATACCTCGACGCGCGCGAATGGTTGGGTGGCCACGAATGCTCACGCCGTTAACAACGTCCCTCCGTCGATGAGATCTGGCGGCTCGCGCTTTGACGACAACGCGGATAACCGTATAACCACGCGAGCTCTCGTCTCCAGCCAGCAGAACGACTCGAGGCCGTCCTATTTCGATTTAGATTCGCATTGAGGGGTAGACGACATACACATACACGGTTTTATTATATATTGCCTGGGGGCTAGGTTGGATATAAGGGTGTCACCGATGGTGGTTACTGCTGGCCGTGCCTAATCGCCCGTATGTCGATGCAACAGGACCCGAATAGATATCCGGATGCCCGCCATGGCTCGGAGACGTCAAGCACCGGTAGCAGGCGCTCCCAGGACACGGTAAAACAGGATGACAGTAGCTCTCAGGCCCGACCCATCAGGAGATACGGGGGAGATGGAAGCGAGTAAGCCTCTCATCTTCGTCCCAAGTGTAGCTTTCCCGTTGTACGCTTTGAAATTCTGACTTTGAAACGTATTATTATTATTTTTTTGATAGTTCATTCGATGCGGGCGCTACTATAGCTTCCGCATTCCCTACAAACTCACCGAACATCTCACCAAAGGAGCGACGCACATCCTACGGATTTGGAAATCCGAGAAAGGTGCTTAATATGATATCACATCGCGATGGCCTAGTCCCCCCCGGAAAAAGCACCATTCCTAAGTTGGCCCCTGTCAGTCATGGTCCTAGCGCAACATCATCACCCAAGTTCCCGTCCGATGGAAACCAACAGCGAACGTTCTTCCACGACTCCCCCGAACTAGAATCGTCGCCTTCGTTCGAGCCATTCACCGCCCACGGCCTCTCAAACTCTCTTCGTCCGGACGAGGACGATGACGATGGAGATAACCTGCGACGACCGTCCATAGCCAGCGCGACAACGATAGGGAGTCAAGGGTCACGGTCCAGCGGGGGACGATTCCACAAGCGCCTGCAGGGGATATTCGGTGACGAATTTGAGCAGCAAGACCCGTCCTTCCCTTCCCATCCGAGATCGTCTAGCCGGCTCTCCAGTTCACGACCGCGAACTGGCTCTGCGGGCAGAGCACGGCAGGGCTCGACAAACTCCTTAACCCTCGATCGAGGTACTTCCCCTGATCCCGCTCGCCCGCGCACACCCATACCATCTTCGAGCGAAGTTACTCCATGGGAGTACCAGAATTTTACCGATATTCCTAACCTGGGTGAGGCTCCCGTACGGCAAGCACCTACCGACACGATCGAGCCCCAGACAGGGACTCTCGCGCCCAAGATACGCCCAACACATCGACTTCACCATCTCACCGGCCATCGCCATACCCAGGGCAAAGAAGACACCCCAATCACTGCCAATATAAGCTCACCAATTCCGTCGCGACCTGCCTCTGGTCGTGATGAGATTCCGGCCCTCATGCGACCGTCTAGAGAGCATAGCCTGCAGGCCCCAACTCCAATGAGTTCCTCTACTACACTCGGCGGCCGCTCCGCCAGTCCTACTCCTAGCACACGAAGCATAAATGCTAGAGACGCGCGCGACCAGCCATCCCCGGGCCCCTCCGCTCCGAAAAGATCCTTCTTCGACCGAATCCGACGGCACAAGGCACCGATTAACTCCCTCAAGAACCTGCCGTTGTCTTCCAAGTCTGTTCAGGAAACCGGGAAGGCGCCTAGCTATTTTAGTGCCGAACCAGGCTCCAGTAGCCGTGTTAGAAAGGGTAGTTCCGAGTCAACATCGCGGCAATGGGAAAATAATGACTCTGACCGGAGGAAAGAGAGCTCCAGTAAGGGACTGGCAGCAATAGGGCCTAGCAGGCTTAGGCATGGTCGTCGTCATTTTATGGACGGGAAGGACCGCCGCAACAAGGACGAGAATGACCACGTATTTCTCGACACGAACTTGGGTGATATGTCTGGTATAGTGACGCATCATGACGCAATCTCGCCAACCGACACCAGCATTGGTATCTTTGCAGGGCCGAAGTCATTCTCCGCCAATGGAGAGGCTCTGACTCCACTCGAAACCGTTGGAACTGATGATTGGCACCCCCCTGACAGCTGGCAAGTTAAACGGCCAGCAGACGAAGGGGGTTCACGGCTATCCAGTGTGGCAGACGCAGGTCCTGAGATGGATGTGGATGTAGATGGCCATCCATTCTGCATACGAGTTTTCCGTATCGATTCGACCTTTGCCACCCTTTCTGCCAGTCTTAATACCACCGTCACCCAGCTTCTTGAGATGCTGGGCCGGAAATCATTCTTACAAGAAGACCTGAACAACTATGAAATAGTGATGCGAAAGAATGACCTTAGTCGAACGCTTGAGCCCGGCGAGAGGCCTATTATGATGCAAAAGCGTCTTCTCCAACAAGTTGGCTATCACATGTCCGATCGCATCACTGAGATAGGGCGAGAGGATAACAGTTATATATGCCGGTTCACGTTTCTTCCTACTAAACTTGGCGTTTACTCGAATCTCGATCCCGAGTTAGGCTTCACAGATAACCAGAAATACAGCCATGTAGACCTTGAGGGGAGAAGCGTGGCGACAATACCCCTCAAACTATATAAGAAGGCGTCCGAAATTATATCCTTGAACCTTTCGAAGAACTTGGCGCTTGATGTCCCCAAAGATTTCATTCAGAGCTGTATCAACCTGCGAGAGATTAGATTCACGAGCAATGAGGCGTGGCATCTACCTCCAAGTCTTAGTCTGGCTACCCGGTTGACCTACCTTGACATATCCAATAACCGGCTGGAGAAGCTCGAGCATGCCAATCTGCACATGCTAAAGGGCCTAGTCAGCCTGAAGATGGCGAACAATAAGCTCTCTTCCCTACCTGCTGACTTTTGGGATTTCCCTTCACTGAGGAGTCTGAATCTTTCGTCGAATAACTTCCGCGTCCTCCCTGATTTCTTGGGGAACTTAAATAGCTTGGTTGACCTGGATATCAGCTTTAATCAAATCGAGGACCTGCCGACGATTGGGCAATTTACTTCCTTGGAACGACTATGGGTCACGAATAATAGCTTGAGTGGACCGCTTGTCGAGACTTTCAAGGGGCTTACAAAGCTCAAGGAAGTTGATGCTCGATTTAACAACATCACTGCCATCGATAATATGTCCTCTCTCCCCAGGCTAGAAACTTTGCTTGTTGGACATAACGCTGTGTCGGCCTTTTCCGGTTCCTTCGCCAGGCTTAGGACTTTGGTACTTGATCACTGTCCCGTCACAGAGTTTGATATCACCTCGCCGTTACCAACACTACATTCTCTCAACATCGCGTCTGCTAAATTGGTCGAATTTAGGGACTCATTGTTTACAAACGTCCCTAATTTGACTAAACTTATCCTTAATACAAACCACTTCGTCACACTCTCACCTAATATCGGCTCGCTGAAGAAGCTAGAACACCTCAACCTAGCGAAAAACCCGCTCTCCATTTTACCCGCGTCAATCGGTTGTCTGACCGAATTGAAAAACCTGAATCTACGAGAATGTAACCTTAACAGACTACCTGCTGAAATATGGTATTGTCTCAAATTGGAGAGTCTAAACGTCTCGTCCAATGTTCTGGAAATGTTCCCTAAGCCAGCTACCTCACCACCGCTTCCGCCGTCTGAAGTCAACAATGGCTTGACTCCGATGGGAACACCATTGCTTCGTGCTGATAGCCACGAGGAAGTTACCGGGAGAATGGAAGACTATGAATTCCGTCGGCCAAGCCATGCATCGAGTAGCCGTCTACAAGTCGGCACACCTCCTGATCCGGCTAGGAAAGGCTCGATACCATCAATGCACTCGCCAAGTGGAAGGAAGTCATCCAACGCATCCCGTGCAACAGCCGAATCAAGGAAAGATTCAACGTTCTCCCAAAGAATAGCTAGCACTTTTGCTAACTCACTGAGGCAACTTTACCTTGCTGATAATCTTCTCGAAGACGACATTTTCCATCAAATTGCACTCCTTACGGAGCTGAGAGTGCTGAATATGTCATATAACGGCTTAACGGACTTACCCTCGGGGTTTATCAGGCGACTACAATATCTTACCGAGCTGTATCTGTCTGGAAACGAACTTAGTTCGTTACCCTCCGACGACCTTGAAGAGTCCAGCAATTTGAAGGTGCTTCATCTTAACGGCAACAAGTTCCAGGTGCTTCCAGCGGAGCTCTGCAAAATAAACAAACTCGCAGTGCTTGATGTAGGAAGTAACTCGCTGAAATATAATATTTCCAACTGGCCGTATGATTGGAACTGGAACTGGAACCATAACCTGAGATATCTCAATTTCTCTGGAAACAAGCGATTTGGAATCAACCCGTCCAGTACCTATACTCCAAGTATTGACGGCACACCATCGACGGATTTGACAGACTTTAGCTCACTGAGTTACATACGTGTACTTGGGTTGATGGACGTTACGCTTACTATTCCTACTATTCCCGAAGAGACTGAAGACCGACGTGTACGAACATCCGCTTCATTATCTGGCTACATTGCATATGGACTGGCAGATAGTCTTGGCAGAAATGAACATTTGTCCATGATCGATATGGTGGTTCCCCGTTTCAGGGGTAGTGATATGGAAACAATCATTGGGCTCTTTGATGGTCAGCCATCCATGGGTGGGGGTTCCAAGATAGCAAAGTTCCTGCATGAAAATTTTACATCAACTTTCATGGAGGAGTTGGGAAAGCTGCGCAAACAAAACGGCGAAACTCCAGAAGACGCCTTGCGAAGAACATTCTTAGCTCTCAACAAGGATATGGCTACTGCGGCATATAAGCCCGTGGACGACAAGGAATCGCGCCACTGGGACCGTAATCCCACGGCAGCTAAGCTTCTTAATCGAGAAGATGCCTTTTCTGGAGGAATCGCCACTGTCCTCTACCTACAAAACATGGAGTTATTTGTTGCTAATGTGGGTGATGCTCAAGCCTTGCTAGTTCAGGGAAACGGGCAGTTCAAGTATCTCACCAAAAACCACGACCCTGCCGAAACATCAGAGAGAGAGCGCATTAGAGAGGCCGGCGGTTATGTTTCTCGCAACGGCAAGCTGAACGACCAGCTGTCAGTGTCACGGGCCTTCGGACATTTCCATTTGGTACCCGCTGTTATTGCTGCCCCTAGCACAGTGAAGATTACACTCACGTCTCAGGATGAAATGATTATTCTTGCATCTGGACAGCTGTGGGACTATGTGACGCCCAACGTGGTCGTTGATGTAGCCAGATCCGAACGTGGCGATTTGATGATTGCCTCACAAAAGATTCGTGACCTAGCTATCTCGTATGGCGCCACGAGCAAACTGATGGTGATGATTGCTGGGGTTAACGATCTCAAACGACGAGAACGTAGCAAGTTCAGAAGCACCAGCTTATCACGGCCGTCGCCGCTTAACGATGAGCACATGTTCCCCCTCACCAAGCGCGCGAGGAGAGGCCGCGATATTCCAAGTGATTCTACACTGGCGCGCCTCGGCCATGTGGAGGCTCCGACGGGTGAACTTGCCATAGTCTTTACTGATATTAAGCAATCTACCTCTCTCTGGGAAACATACCCGCTCGCTATGAGGTCTGCCATTCAGATTCATAATGAACTGTTCCGCAGACAACTGCGACTAATCGGTGGATTTGAAGTTAAGACCGAAGGTGATGCGTTCATGGTATCTTTCTCCACTGCCACGGCAGCATTATTATGGTGTTTCACCTGTCAAATGCAGCTTCTAGAAGCCCACTGGCCGACAGAGGTACTTCAAACGCCGTCCTGTCGTGAAACCTATGATGACGATGGAAACCTCATTTACAGGGGACTGTCTGTCAGGATGGGTATGCATTGGGGAAGACCCCTGTGTGAAAAAGACCCTGTGACTGGGAGAATGGACTATTTCGGCCCCATGGTGAACCGTGCATCTCGAATATCAGCAGTAGCAGATGGCGGCCAGATCTTTGTTTCAGCTGACTTTGTTACCGAAATGGAGAGAACTCTAGAAGCCTTTGCAGACTATGAGCGCACCAATTCAGAATCCTCCGAGGATACGTTTGGTGATGACGCTTTGGGCCAGGCCACACGTCGAGAACTTTACCAACTTAGCACACAGGGCTTCGAAGTCAAGGACCTCGGTGAACGCAAATTAAAGGGTCTTGAGAATCCTGAATCCGTATATCTCCTCTACCCACATGCTCTGTCTGGGCGTCTTTCCGTTCAACCCGACATGATGGGCTTCGGCGAGTCGACTTCTCCAGGAACGCTGGGTAAAAACTCAACCCTGAATATCGACGCGGATATGTTCTGGCAATTGCTCAAGGTTGCTCTCCGCCTGGAGGCGTTCTGCAGCGCTCTTGAAAATCCAGCTGGAACGATGTTGATAGAACCAGACTTGCAACTTATCAATGCCATCAAGGCCCGAAGTGATGAAATCGACGACACAGCGGTCATGAACCTGCTTGAGCATCAGGTAGCACGTATAGAGGTGAGTTATCTGTCGCACCATCATGTTATATTCTTCTTGGCCTTGAACATAGAACTAACCTCAAACCTTGCTAGACTTGTACCAACACCCTTACAGTCAGAGCCATGATGCAGCCGTTCAAGCCAAATGATACAATTCTCGACCATGCCGTGCCGATGTCGGACATCCTCCAACAACTACAATCCCAACTTGCTGAATTTAGAGCACTTAAGACTCAAATCAGCCTTAACGGCGGCCCTACCACACCGCCACCAAGTGGGTATTCTCTCGAAATGCCAGAGTCAACCATATCATCCGCTCAGTCATCCACGCTTAACCTAACGAGCCCTTCCTCCCTTGCAGGACGGAAGTGAGCTCCGAATCGAATATTGTGCTTTATTTTTACCCCCAGCGGGGTGTGGTATATTCATTTATCATTTATATATTCGCATTTCCACAAAAAAATCTTGTACATTGTTTTTCTGATTTTATTTTGGTTTATGTATGCTCAGCAGTTGACATTTACGAGGACTGTCGCTTCTTTATGCCTGGAGTTTATGGAGATATGGTGATTAAGGAGAGGGAGGATTATGGGTTGTCATACTCGCTAGGCCATCCTCCTGATGTGCCTTTCTTTGGTGTCTTATTTCTTTCCCGGCTGCTCTCTTTATACAGTGGTCCAGCGGGCAAGGCGTTGTTGAATAAGATAGGGATCGAATACCAGGCAGTGCATTTTCGTTTTCGCTTCGTTTCATGCTTCTCTAACCATCATCTGTCGTCTATATCCTTGCATCCATCTATATCCTTGCATCTTCGGCGTCTTCGATATCTATGATTAGGTAATTCAAGGGATAGATCATGTGACGATTATATAATCAGATGAGTGGCGGCAGTTTGTCCACGTGACTTGCCTCTGTTTTCCTGCTTTTCCGCTCGCCGCCGCATAGAAAGACGACATCCCGAAGCTACAAGCAAAGGCTGCCCATAGATTCATACCATACAGCCAAATATCTACTGCCATTTTGTTTAATCGTGCATAGGAGCGTACTGATAGCTTGAGTCTTCGGTAGCAGATGCCTTTAGCTTACCCCTCTGCCTAGCGGTTGCCCTGGAGACCAAACAAAGTTGACAAATAATACAAAACTTCCGTCACCAAAAAAAAACGCTACACTTGCAGTTCGACTTTACGCTTAGAGGGAGAGATATCACTTCGCTATCCTGGACGGACCCTTCCATATTCTATCTTTTTTATATTCCTCCGTTACGTCAACCATGGCATCCGGCTCGGACACAAACGATGACCTTTACTATCTCCAACCCGATTTCGACTTGAATTCACTGACAGTGCCACGGCTTCGGTCCATCCTTGTTAACCACGATGTTCCATACCCCGCCTCTGCGAAGAAATCACAGCTTGTTGCCATCTTGGAAAGCGATGTTCTTCCAAAAGCTAAGAAGCTACTGCGCGAGCGGGACCGTGTGCGAAGGACAAGCAGGGGGATAACGAACATGCCAAATCACAATGATGTCGGTGGAAATGTCGAGGAGGAGATTGAGACAATCGATAGGCGCCAGAGAAGTAGGTCTAGAGCGACTAGATCAAGCACCAGGGCATCTACTGCAGAGACAGAATACAGAGCCACTTCACCACTTTCTGTGGCAAAAAGGAGAACCAGGGGCTCCAGCAAACACCCACGCTCATCAGATACTGACATGCCAGAAAATTACGATAATACCCCTCTAGCGACGCCCATACGGCCAAGCGGCAAGAAATCGAGGAAAAGCGAGGCCTACCATACCCCTCATACACCCCATTACGACGATGTAGTGACCCCGACGGCCATCAAGAGCGATTACACCACGGAGACTGTTTTTACGGATGACAATCCTTTCCAGGGAGGCAGCTCTCCCTTAGATACCCCCCAAGCTCGGGCTGTAAGCTCGGAACAACGTAGAAAGAGTGGGATGCGACGTTCGTCCGAGACAGAAGAGAGAAGGAAACGCAGATCTGACTTGCGGATGCCGATAAAGGTGAAGCAAGAGGACGATATACAGGTCCCTACACGATCTACATTTGACGTGCCAATTTCTAAGCTAAAGATGATGCCTAAGTTCGAGGAATCGAGTGATTTTGGTGCCGGAGAAGAATTTACACCCGATGAGCAACTGGCTCTAGACCAGGAGGAGGCATATAATGGAAGGCGAACATCTATACTAAGGGGCCAACGGCAAACGCAAGGTGGAACCGGCACATTCTTATCGTGGTTTGTTATTTTAACCCTGCTGAGCGGCTTTGGTCTTTGGTGGAGAAAAGAGAAGCTCGATATAGGCTATTGCGGCGTCGGCAAGGCACATTGGTCGTTAGAGGATACCAATGTCCCCAGTTGGGCCAATGTTATCGAGCCACAGTGTGAAATATGCCCCCAGCATGCTTTCTGCTACCCCAATTTTGAAGCTGGGTGTGAGCAAGGCTTTGTGCTCAAACCTCACCCGCTATCTCTAGGTGGGATAATCCCTTTGCCTCCTACGTGTGAAGCAGATGGCGAAAAGGCGCGCCGCATCAAGGTGGTCGCGGATAAAGCTGTTGAAGAATTACGAACCCAGCGCGCAAAGTTCGAGTGCGGTGAAACTACCAAAGAAACGAATGAGGTAGTTTCTACGCCAGAGGTTACAGCTACTGAGCTCCAAGCGAAAGTAGGCAATCTGAGAAGGAAAGGAATGTCTGACGAGGAATTTGAAGACCTTTGGAAAGGGGCATTGGGCGAGATTACTGGCCGTGAGGAAATCGTTGTCAGCACAGGGTAAGTGATAACACTTTAACATTTCTACTTTCATGCTATGCAAATTACCCTATCTTGGATTTCAAACTCTGGATTGTCAAATGAAGGGCGGCTTATCGCACATTACCTTCAATTATATAATGTCCGATTATTGACATGATGTGTTTCGAAACTAACAGAACCGCGCACGAAACCACAGTCCATCCTCCGACTCAGACTTCAGACTTACATCAACGTCACTCGCAAAGCTCTCCTTCAGTTGCTCCATCCGCCGACACCTCAGACTCTCTATCCTCGCGTATCGACTCCCTATTCTCGTTTTAGTTCTACTCCTCTTATTCGCCACCTATATCCGATCGCGTATTTTAGCTGGGCGATCTGATGCTGCCCGCGTTCCATCCTTAGTCGGTATGACGCTTGATCGACTTGCTACTCAGGCCGCACTTCATGCACGCGGCGAAGCATTAGAGCCCTGGATATCTGTTGGGCAACTCCGTGATGATGTATTGCGCGATGAGCTGCGAGGGAGTCGTCGTGAGAAGCTGTGGAAGCGTGTTCGAGCAATTGTTGAAGGCAATGCTAACGTTAGAGCTTCTGTCCGCGAAGGCCGCGGCGGTGATGTCTCTAGGGTATGGGAATGGATTGGTGGAGTGAGCGGTGTTGTGAACGAGTGGGATTCCGCTAATCGTCGAGAAAGCTCGAAAGTTAAATTCTCACTTTCACCTTCTTCTGAAGGTGTGGCGGTACATTCCCCTGAGCCTGGCTCGAGAAGAGAGAGCAAGAAATGGGATGAAGGAAGGGCAATCTATTAGCCTTCACTCTGACTGTTGCGCTTCTACCCTATACCTCATATTTTTGTATTATATGTATATAATTCATTTCTGTTAACCTTTATCCTTCGATCTCACTGAGCACAACATTAATTGCACCCCTTTTTTCTTTCTGTTATAAGATATGGTATGGATCCGAACTATCGCTACGCACCCTTCTAAAAGACATTTTCTATCTCTAAACGACTTCTTGCATGAAACCCTACTTCAGACAATATATGCGTAGAAGTAAATAGTACCGCGTATGTTCCCGTTGTCCTTCCATAATACTTCTTGTACTACACGCTTTCTACCTACTTATTTAGCTAGCCATGCATATATCTGATGCAGTACTCATCGGGTGGATCGGACACCCGGCTCTAGGAGTATCTAGAAAGGTATATAATCTGATATGGGATAGCTATTTAGAAGTTAATATCCAGAGAATTCCATCTTCGTCAACTGTCTCGTCTCATTTTTTATATATCCCGACAAAATATTTTGTTCGAGTAACTTCCCTTGACAGAATGCATTTCTCAATCCTGCTCGTCGCTAGCCTTGCCTCCCTTCCCACCATCTTTGCCTACGCAGGTCGAGAAGCCGTTACTGCCTCCCAAGAGTGCAGATATCCAAACGGAAGCTGTTGGGAAAGTGGCTGCAACGGAGATCAAAGTCTGACATGCAAATCCGTGAGTAAGAGGATACCTCAATTTGAACTATAGAGAACTAATGATACAATCTTGTAAAGGGCATGTTTATTGGATGCCCATGCGGATACGGATGTAGCCGGGGCTTCTTGCAAAAATGCGACAAACATGGCTGTGATGGCAGGGATGGCCGCTGCACCAACAACTACCGCGGCTGCACCTGTGTGTAGGACGGGAAGGCTTGAAAATACAAGGGAGACGTTGGACTCAGTTTCAAGGTTTATGCCATTAATCGCTATGTAACTACAGAGTGTCTCAAACTGGATGATTTCATCGGATATCTGCGCTAGATCACCCAAAGTGCATGGATCAGTGTTGGACGTTTACTTGTTAGAACGCGGGGAGCTGCATTTAAGGTATTATTACAACATAGGCTTCTTTTCTCCATTTCCTCCATGGTAGATCGAAGTTATAAGAGCCTACCAAGACCACTACTACAGCCCGATTGAATTTATATCTCTTTACCACTTAAGCAGCAAATTGTGGAGCATGAGCTTATTCTCTATAAGGTTGATAAGGTTAAGCCAGCTATGCTTGGCATCAGCCGCACTGGTGGGGCCAGAATAAGCCCAAGAGCCCTACCTCACCACATTTGAGTCCCCTCTATTACCAGCAACACCTATTCGTTGGCTAGTAGCACACAACATCTTACGGCTACGGCCAGGCGCTAGCTAGAGTGACACGCAGGCACGGCTAACACTAGTAGCAACATGATGTCTCAGGCCAAAGTTAGGAACCAGGCAGCCCCAGCAACCTTATATGCTCATTTTTGGCATTTCGTTTGCTTCACTAACAATACTTAACAAATACAACATGGTAAAAATAATCCAAAGCTAAGTGGAACCTCAAAAGGACGGGTAATTCGGCGTTGGCCATCCCTAGCCTAACCCAGTAAAGGTAACTCTTTGGACCTTTTACGAGTAGTCCTAATCATCGATCCACTCTAGATCGTCATTCGTGTCTCTGGGATCCGTATTTGGAAGCCTATACCTGTATTTAACCAAGTTTCCGAAATACCACAAGTCGCCAGGAATGTCCACGCCAGATATCCGACCTACAAAGGTGATGACGTTAAACGCACGTCGTGCATCTTCTGCAATCTCTCCGCCCCCAAACATGATAAGGGTCCTAAGCCGTGATCTCCAAAATATCCACCTAGCCAGACTGAACCCTGTTTTCTCTGCCCCGACACCTTCTGCAAGCTTTCCAACAGATGTCCACTGTTTGTGTTTGCATGATTCAGCTTTAAATGACAACTGACGTTCTGACAGCATTGAGAGCTTCCTGCCACATTGCTCAAGCAAGGCAACACATGGAGGTAGGAATTCAGTAATCGGCAGATTATCATACGTTTCCTGGGTGATTTCCGTCTGCTTCACCTTACTAGGTCCTTGACTCTTCTTCTTGTTTTCCTTGTAGTTTTGTTCTGTTCCCGTTTCTTCCGATGGAATGATAGTGTCTGTCTTACCCGGCCGGGATACCTCTAGCGTCTCGCGAAGTAGCCAGAGAGCAAGCTGGCCAAACCGGTAGTCGTCTGCACCCACAGAAACCAGGCGGCCAATGAACGAGGAAAAATTGCACCTTTTCTCCATTGGTAGAGCCATCAGGTTGAAAAATCTCGGGCGCAGGAAGCTGTCTAGATATGGTAAATCTGACCACACGGTCATTCCATCGGTGATAACTATGGAGGGAGGCTCCTTGTTGGGGTCTTCCTTGGTCTTAACAGTGGATTCGTCTAGGAGTTCAGCAACCCCGTTTGCAGAGATTTCATTATTGGAGCTGCTGAGATTACTTCCTTCCAATTTGACCCCGGCTTCTTCATCATCGTCGACTGACATCGCGTCTTCGGATTCTTCGTCCGCTTCGCTTACTGCGTCCGTGGATTCACGTGTCTTAGATGCAGACCTCGATTCTGCTTTTGCTCCTAAGCCCTTCTTCTCGCAGTGCTGCATCTTTTCGCATTCCTCGGCATGTGGCTGACCAAAATGGCTGGGTCTGCGGATTGGGCTGCCGTCTCTCGTACACATGAGCATATATACCAGCGAGTCCTGGTATTGGCTGTTAGCATCAGTGTTTTTCGCGAGCGTATATACCATGTCCCACACTGCTTCAATATCGGACCGTAGTTGACTAAGGTCTGCTTTTTTGTAGAAGCTATAGCGAAAGGTGACCTCGCCGATGGCGTTCACTATATTCTGCACCTTGTTCCTCTCAAGTTCTAACCTGATGCCAGTGATCATCCTTAGAGATTCGGTTAGATGGAAGTAATGCTCCAGGGCATGGTGACCCTCACGATCGCAGAGGACGTCCTCCATGGTTTCTGACAAGGGTGGATAAGATAATATAACTATCATAGACTTGATATAATGCAATAAGCTGCCGACTCTCAAGTGAGACCGTACGGACGATATATATATACCCACAAGCTTGTGTTAATATCAAGGGAAGGAGAGATCCATGGATGGTGGAAGGGGCCGTCAATAGCGCCTTCGTAAGCTTTATTAGAGTACCTCTCTTAGGGTATAGAAGGATATCGTACTTCATACACATATAACATGCTCCAGTGGGTAAATGGGTCGTCATTTTATGTGCTCCATGGGAAGATATAGCATGTGGCTGTTTAGCAACCACGTCTAGGATAAGACGTTTAGTAAATAACCCTCTCAGGTACCACTTATTTTTAAAAGCAGTTGCAGTGCTCGACATTTGTATAGTTGAGCTAGGTGGATGTTTATGATTATAAGTAAGGTTTATTCGAGAAATACACTAACTAGTTAGTTATTTAGCTTCCCAATGATTGACGTGGTAGTTGGGCGAATAACACAGAGAGTGATCCAAATGCTAGCACAGTACTACATGTGAATAGAAGATAAATAGAACTGATATTCATAAAATCGATTTCAATTTTTTTTAACACTATATTAAATATCTAAATCAAAAGTACTATGTTTATATATATGCAGCCAGTATCTCTGTGCATGTTAATGGTCGTATTTGTTATGGAAGAAGACAGCGCCAGTAAATGGCTACTTACTTTGCAAGGGCTTGTGGCCACGGGCCAAGATTTCCGATAGAATAAAACAAATAATTTCATGGTAGTTCCTATCCGTGCTATTACACAGGCTCACCCGTAAAAACGTAAGCCGCGGATAAAAATAGGAATATCAATGCTAGCGCATGGGACTTCCTCCGAACATAGGATGCTTTCCAATACCCCCTGAATAGCTGCTGCTTGTTGGGGTGAGGGCAGTAGATCGCCGGAACATCTGTCGCGGCGTCGATGGTACACTATCCCCAAAACCACCATTTGCGCCTAGTGCGCTACTGCCTGGTGCTAGGTCTGGCGTATTTCGTCCACTAGGAGGCGACGATAATGTGGCCGCAGAGATGGGCCCTGACAGTTTGGGGTTGTAAACTGCCAGTCCAGTGTTTGAAGATTGGTAACTGGGAGTGGAGGTTGATTGCGGAGGTTGGTGGCGGGGTGGAGGACGAAAACCGTGCTTAACGCCTTCGCGGAAGATCTCTTCTAACATTTGGTTGACGATACCTGCGTCTTCGTATTCCTGGAATTTCTTCCATAGTCGTAGTGCCATGCGTGCATCTTCAATAGAATCATGACCTTCTGCGGCGGATGTTGCGGCAAGAGTTGAGGTTGGGTTTGAGTTTGGGAGGTCGGGGTTAGCCGCTGTGGCCTTTGGAGAAGGACTGGTTGTCTCTTCCTGGATGTATTCTTTGAAAACGGCCCAGGCAAGGTATCGGAGGCTCAATCGGCGGTTTTTAGAAGGGTGGAAGAATAGATATTGAGTGTCGATGGTTTGTGATTTCGGCACTTGAATGTTGATTTTGCGGAAATCGGACGCAAGTCCATGGCCGACGAAGACACAGCCCAGGTTCAAGAGTAGCCAAAGCTTTTTATATGCTACCTTAAGAGGAACGAGGTTGTGTGGACTGGCTCGTGGGTCTAGGTCTCCTGGTTTGATACCCGAATATTGCGTCACATAGTCGACAATAGGGTCCTTGATGGTAATATAATCGTCAATGAAAGGGAGGCCCTCAAGGTTACCATTGCCCCGAATAACTGAAACACGGGCGAGACCGCTCTTGCTGGGGCGAATCATTTCATGCGTTCCGTCGGCCTTGACCTCAATTTCTGCCTTTTCCAAGTCCACAAATTCTGTGTCAAGGGCAATGGCAGTTCCTGGAGTAGGTTTTTCGTCTGGTTTTAGAACCTGGCACGAATCAATTGGACGGCAGTTGCTATTTAAGAATATACTGTTAGACCATACTGAATTAAACCCTAGGGGTGGAGTGGAGCTTACTTCATGGACCACTCGTAGAAGAGCAGGGTGGTGTCCAACGCATTTTTCCAGGAGCTATCTACCCCGTGCCTTGCGGTCGATATTTGATAAGATAGCACGCAAGGTTGCTTCCAAGGTTGCTTAAATGATAACACCTCATTCTTGTCAACTTCGGTAACAAGAAAGTCATTAAACAGATGCCACTGGCTCTCCTCTGTTGGAGTCGTCGCGGAGATGGCCACATTGATAAATGACACCAAGTGGGGCTTTTTCTGGTCTACAATATCGATCTCTGCGACGAGACCCACCAGTTGATATATAAGTAGATTGGGTATCTTTTCTCGTTTCTGGGCCTGGAGTTCTGCACCTTCAAAGCAACGCATCTGCTTACCATCGGCAATAACTCCGATCTCCTCAGGCAGCCAGCCGGGAATGGACCAGAATTTCCTGCAAACTGGATTATTGATTGCTGCATTGATCATTAGAACCATTGGCATTCTCTCAACGGTCTTCTGGATTGCAACCTGTTGGTAACGTCTGCATGTGCTGCACCAGCCGCGATTTTGGGCTTCGCGTTCAATACTAGCACGAAGAATGTTGGAGAATCGACACGCCGGGTTGCGAGCGGCTTGCTTTAGGTCGATTGCTGGATATATCAATTCGCTCACAAAGGTGTTCCCCGCTCGGACGATTTCATTGCGGCAATACATACACCGAATCGACTCCATTGCCGAGGTGGCAAGGACATGATCAAGTTGGTCCGAGTTGGGGTAAAGAAGTCGATAATCATGCGAAATTTGGTTTAAAAAAAACCGATTGACGGACTGGATGGTGGAGGCAAGAGATTTGTTGCTCAGGTTCTCTTCTAGGAGGCCGAGATTCACGGCTTCTCTGAACCCGCTAAAAGTTTTGAGTAGATTCGTTGCCTGACAGCTTTGACCGTTTGCCTTGTCTAGCATATCGAAGAGGAATCCCATTTCGCAGAGTAAACAGTTTTCGTAAATGCAGTTTGTTGCTGCATGGTGAAGGGCTAGGTTTTTGGCTAGCGGGATAAATTTGAACAATTGAAGAAGTGCATTGGTGAACGAGTTGGCGATATGTGTCTCGAGACCAGAGAAATTCGTTTTGTTATAGTACCTGCAATATATATGTCAGCATACCCTACGTTAAAGAGGGCGAGAGAAAGCTCAAATCTTACCTGAAATCAAAGTCGTCCACGCCAAACTTGCTATACTTGATTTCAACGTTACTATACTTTAGCAGCGGGTCATTATCCGCGTCGCCATTTATTTTCAACCCCTGTAGGGCGTTCAACGAATCCTGGTCACCGATCGATTTAGCCTTGGTATGTGCTCTGGCCTTCTCGCTAAGAAACTTCGGTGCTGCCAATGCGGTCTCTACAGAAGTCTGACAGCGGGTATTCTCGACTTGATACCGGTGCGTCTTGCGTGGGTTAGGGGCATATTGGCCCATGTCACTAGGGTGTAGATAGGGTATTATGGAAGGGTCAACTTGTTTAGGGATGCTGCCGACTTCAAAAACAAGGTGACTAGGCCAAGCGGAAAGAAGCCGGTCGTGATAATATGGCATTCCAACGACGCTCAGGGGTGTATCCGCTGACCAGTCAAGTATTGGCGGGCGAGGAGTCACTGCAGGAAACTCAGTCTCTTTGCTCATTTCATTGAAATGTATCTTAGCCGGTGAGCCCCAGAGATGGAGCGAACATTCTGCATCGTTGACTGCCAGGGCTTCTCCAGATGGCGAGATTTCCATTCCTAGCATGAATGTGACATTCGCTTGGCGAAGACTGATTGAATTAGGGTTCATGAGGTCAACAACCTGAAGCTGGCCGGATTGTGACGCGATAAAACTGGTAGTCTGGAGTCTCGGGTGCATCCTAACATATGCTGCTCCTGCATGGAATGGGACAGGAGATAAGGGAGTTAGGGATTTCAAATCATAGACGTTTGCAAGAGGATCGACGATGGGAGTTCCGATATGGCGCACAGAAAAGCCACAGGTAACGAGGAAATCGTTTCGTGCATCCATATCGTTAATCACAGCTCCGTGGGCCTTCCAGCTTTTCAACAGACTGTAATCCGTCAGACTTAGAACGTGGACTGACCCGGCGTCCGTGGCGGCGCAAAGATGCCGTGACTTCTTCATGATAGTATAGTTGGCTTCCGCAGGTATCTTTTCTACCACCGTGCCCTTGTCCAGATCAATTATGAGCATCTGAGGCTGACACCCTGCGACGATGATGCGGGATAAATGCGTGGTAAAGCTCATACATCGCAGGTCCACCATTTCCGGAACAGAGAGGTGCCATTGTGTCAGACCGCGTCGTGATGCCAGATGGATACTTTTCGAAGATAGAGATATCACGCCTTTGTCATGGAATAGGAGCTGCCGTACCGGCCCTTCGGAGGTTGGATGGGCTTTGACAGAGGTATATCGTTGTAATTCAGGTCCGTGGAAGGATGTCACGCGGCCCTGCACAGCATATTAGCACCGTCGATATCACAGGCAGCAGTAGTAGCACCACCGCCACCACTAGGAGAAGGAAATGGTAACTCACAAACTCGTTCCCCGCCCACAAAAGCTCCTGCGTATCATCAAACCCGATCGCAGTCGCAACAGTAGGGAGCAAATGCGGTCCCGGAGGCGGCACCACGATGCGAGACACTTCATCCCAGTCTGCCTCCATGATTCAAGATCGTGCCCGCCTTCCTCCGGCGTTCAATTCAACAGTGTTACGCGCCCGATGCCGATGGTGATGCCGATGCCAATCTATCGATGGAGGGGCCGGCAGCGAGATTAGGGAGGGAAGCTTAATTCGGAGCTCCTTTCACTACCCATACGGGACCAAAACGATCCTGATCATCCTCTCCTATCGCATTATGAATATCACAAGTGCGTCTGACGAGTCGAGTCGAGTCGAGTCGAGTCGGTGGTGTCAACTGCGGGATCAGTAGAATGGTTAGCGTGGCGACAATTGAAGCCGGTGGAAGCGGTAAATGCGCGCCAACCATGGAGACGAGCAATTGGAAACCACTGAAAACAAGACAGGGCACGGGGGAGTTTGTATATCGTACATCAGCGCATTTCCCGCGTGCCCGCTGGAGAACAGAGCCTTGCTGAGCGGAGCAGAGCTGTGTTCGCAGGGATGGAATGGGATGCTTGAACTTCGAGATGCGCAATCAGACACGATATCACGTGAGTGGGTGTTTTGGACATGGAAAATCAGCTTGTTACATCTACAATTAAGAAGAAAAGAAGAAAAAGAAAACAGTGTAATACATTGGGATAAATATAACTTCTACATCTTGAACTGAACCCGCACATGCCACGCGCATGGTATCCTTTTGTTTAACCCTCCACAGCCCACAGGTGGTCACTTTTCCCTCCCCCCATTCTCTTCCCGACCTCTCGGGCTGTCCGTCTCTCCCTTTTTTTGCTGCTCAACTATATATAGAAAGTATACAGACATGAATAGATAGATGGATGGATGAGATGAGATATCTGCGTACGCATGCTATGGACGCATATCACCTTACCTAGCCTCGGCCCAAAGAACCATGACAAGAGGCCTCAAAAGCAATAAACAAGAATAGTAAGAATAGGGCGCGGACATGAACATGAGTATGAACATGAACATGAACATGTTTATGCTCTTCTGGAACCACCGCCGGCCGAACCAGCCTTGACGGCTTCGAGGATCATCTCCTTGGCAACTTCCAAGTTATCCTTGGAGCCCTTAATTTCAATCGCCTCGCTGCTCGACTGGCCCTTTGGAACGTTGATTCTGCATCCGGTACGCGCGCGGATAGCATTGATCTGGCTTCCGCCCGTTCCTACGACGAAACGGTACGTCTTGGGGTCAGGGAGGATCAAGTAGCCTGTGCAACTTGGTTGAGAGGCGGACTGGATAGCGGCGTTAAGTAGGGACTTTGCCTTGGTGACTGCCTCAGGGGAGCCGGAGAGAACCCATGGAATAGTGGTGGGTTCGGTTGTAGAGTCTGAAGGGGCGGTGGTGTTGGGCTCGACGATCTTCCAGGAGAAAGTGTCGATGGGGGTGTCGGCGGAGTCGGTGATGAGAGGGAGGGAGCCTGAGTCGTTGCGGGACTCAGAGGCCGCGGGACTAGGACGTGTAGGTATTTTGTGACCTGCGTGGTCGACGGTGACCTGGTGGTTGTTGCGGAGTTGGCGGAAGAATGCACCGTTGTCGGAGATGATATGGTGCAGGTGTCGGGGCACCTCGACAGTCTCACCCTGCTGATCCTTGAGCATGGATTGGATGTGTGTCTTTGCCTCTTCGACAGATGCAGAGGGCCCCTTGATCTTGACGTCGGTACGGGTCGATCCTTGCTTCGGTACGTCTAGGATGACGTTGAATTGTGCCTCGAGCTGGCGGCGGGTATCGCCTCCACGGCCGATGAGGAGACGGTGTTGCGCCTGAGGGACATCGAGCGAGGCGGTGACCTGGTCTTCCTTCTGGCGAACGAACTCCTCAATTGCGTTGATGAGGTTCGTTACCACCACTTCCTTACCTTCAAGTTTGATGGTTGTTTCTTCGCTTTCCGCACGGGGGAACTTGACGATGCGGGATGCAGTGCTGTCATCTGGACCACCGCATTCGACGATCAGTTTGCGGATATTGGCACCTACCAGCCGTTAGCAAACATGTACGGAGTATACATAAGCATATCAAAAAAGAAAAAAAAAAAGAAGTACATACCACCACCTCCAATGAGAGCCTTGTGATGCTTCTTATCCACCTCAACGGTACGAGTGATAGTCTCATCAAACTCCCTAGCTCTGGCCAACAACAGCTTCTTCGCATCTTCGACCTGTTTCTTCGTCCCCTTAACTCGAATCTCAACCCTCGCGTCGCCCTCACCAGCCTCGGGACCAGGGATATCAATCTGTGCACCGGTCTCGGCACGGAATTTATCCATCTCACGACCCCGTTGGCCAATGAGGGATGGTATCTGATCCCGCGCTACGGACACGACGGCAGAGTGAGAATGGTCTACGAGCCATTGGTAGAGAGACAGGATCTCGTCGCGAGTGCTATCGGCTCCCTTCTTGGGTCCGCGGACAATAACCTCATCAGCGGCCTGGGCGGGACGAGAGCGTGCGTTGCCGTTGCCGTTGCCGTTACCGTTGGTAGGACCGGCAGCTTCACTCCCATCGGCGACGGATACGTCGTCTGAAACGGCATTGTTGTTGGCGCGAGGGAACTGGACGCGAACGTTATATCGCTCCTGCAGACGGTTGACTTGGCTGCCCTTCTGGCCGATCAAGTCACGGTGATACTGTGGTGCGATCTTAAGAACATACGTAGCTTCGTCTTCTAACTTCTTAGCCAAGGCGATGATACGTGCCTTTGCAGCTTCGCCCTTGGCCGGTGGTCCCTTGATGTCGACCTTGCCGTTTTCAACTTTAATGTCTACATCGAACTCTTCACGGAGCTTGTTGATGTTTTCACCACGTTTGCCAATCAGGAAGTTGGCGTATTTTTGCGGGAAGTCAAAGGTGGTTACGTGGTTGCGTTCGCGGTCGTCACGCTCTTGGTCGGCTACAAACGTGGCGAGTTTAGATATGAGGTCGGACACATCAGCGCTGCGGCCGCGGAAAGAGGCGTTGCCGTCGTTGAGCGCGAGACTGACGGGGATATGGGTTTCGCCCCGACTTGTCTGGTCCTGGGTGACGAAGCGGCGTAGTTTGTCGTGGTATTTCACTGGGATGGGGACCGATTCGGCGGTGACGTCGCTTGGGTCACCTAGGACGCTCCTCAAATACTCCGTGGCCTCACGCAGGGCTTTCTGGAATACGGCAGCCTCCTCGCTTGACGGACGTCGGCGAAGGCACGGACTTTGGGCGTTCACTTCCTCTGGACCTTCGTAGGCGAGAACCACCTCCACTGGCCTATCGGATGCACCGACGCATTCAGGAACGACCAGGTGGACGCCATACTCTTCCTTGAGCTTGGGGACCCCACGCGATCGCAGGTATCCATGCAGGTATGGGTCGATGGGCACGGTAGCAAGCTTGGATGGAGGCAGGGCCTGGATCAGGTTCATGATATCCGAGCGGGCGAGAATTGTGTTTTTACCGTTCCGCGAATACACTTCCCATGTTATCGGGGCGTTGGTATTGGCGGTGGACAGCGGCAGGACGATATGTGAATCATGCATCTTTTCTAGATGTTCAATCACACGTCGTTCCTGGAGGTAAGCAGTCAGGGCGCGGGCATGCACGTCCGAGCCACATGGTGCGTTGGGGTGCTGGCGGGATACGTCGATGTTGGCCATCTGCATGCTCGTAGCGAGGTCCATGGCGCGGTTAATGCCAGCGTCGATGTGCTCTGCCGGTCCCGTAACGGTCAGGAACTCGGTATCGTCCGAGGGTGGGGGGAGGACGATGGCACACCCTGTCGAAGCAAGGAAGTCGTGCAGAGAATCCCCCTTGTCGCCGAGAATGAACTGGTGCTGGCCGCGATTGATGGCGAGATGGCGCAGGGTAATCTGGCGCTGTAGCTCCTGTGCTCTTCGCTCTATCTGGGAGCGAGCCTCCTGTGCCGCTACCCTCTCGCCGACGATGAGGATGTGCTGGTCGGGATCGGGGGTGTATGCAATTGCCCCCGTTGCGGTGGTGGGCTCCTGCGGTGGGGGACGGTGGCCCCAGGTGTAGTATCGAGGTATCCTGATCTGGGTCTTGGTACGGTCCTCGAGCTTGCTTATGGATTCGTTGTGTGGTCCCGCGATGAAGGGGAAGAGTTCCGGCGCCACCGTCTTGACTCGGAGATTGATGTTCGACGTACGCTCCTTGACGCGGGCCTCGACCTCTCTACGGGCCATTTCTGCCGCTAGAGCATCACCTTCGATCTCGATCTCGATTGTGTTGTCTTCGTCGTCCTCGCCGTTGAGCGGTTCTGAGTCGTCAGGTTTGGGAACGGAGATGCGGGCACCCGTGCGGTCGAAGATGCCTTGGATCACCGCACCTTGACGGCCGATGATATGTGGTCTCGCAGATGCGGGGACGGGCACCTTGATGGATTTCTACAACAAAAATTAACATTTTTTTTCCCACTGGGCCCAAGAATGAGAGGGATGTGTACCTTGCTTCCGACCTGCTGTGCAACCTCCTTCAGGGCCTGGCGGACGGCATCGACGTTCCCTACGCCTTCGAAGATGTATACTCCTCCCGCACCCTCACGGACCTCCAGTCTGACTTTTGACTTTCTGCTGATGTCCCGCAGGATATCAGAGATGGGCCGCTTCATCTCCGCACGCGGGATCATCTGTGAGGAGTCGAAGCGGAACTGGTCGACATGCTTGCCCGGTATGACGAGCGTGCGTGGTGCCGTGCTGGCCGTGCTGTCTGGACGCCGGCCGTTGGCCGCGGGTGCGATTGGTGGTGCAGCTGCAGTGTTGGGAGCAGCACTGCCGGCTGTGGCCTTGGGTTTGCTGCTTCCCCATGCCATTGGGACGGCAGACGGACGGGAGGCCTTTGGTCCACCTCCGAGAGCAGGGAAAGATTCCTCAGACTGCACATCGAGAGCAGGTTTCTTCACCGGTTTTGGTTCAGCAGCCGTAGTAGTGGTAGAAGTAGCAGGAGCAGCAGCGGCGGGAGCTGGAGCCTTGGCGGTCATGGAAGGCGGAGGATGCTGGATGTCCTCTTCATCGACGACATCCTCGACCGTCGGCCCATGAGCGGCGTCCTGGGCGTGTTTGGCCATGAGTTCCTCGGCGCGAGACTTGGGAGCACCCCCATTGACGATCATGCCGGTATTCTGGGACATCGTGGCAGCCAATTAAACCGGTTCGAGCTTACTACCGCATCAGATAGAGTCTATACAAGGGGGGAATACACTTACAGGTAAAGGTACAGCCGACGTCAATTGAGTATCAATATGGAGACGGGGGAGATATTAAATGTTGGTCGTGTGCAGGAGACGACGACGTGAAAGACGGGCGAGTGAAGAGGTAGGAGAGCAGCGTAAGGGGAAGATCACTCCATCCTCCTGGAGGGCACGACTCGCTAACCGGCAGTAAGTGGGAGTGAGGGAGGGGATAAAAGCTGAAGCTGAAGCTGGACGATCCTTTTGGTAGGAGAAAGTCGAAGTCGAAGTTGAAGCTGAGGCAACGTTGCAGGTTGGCGCTTAGTCATCACCTCTACCCAGATATAGATAGAGTAACCATAGAGTAGATATAGTAGATATAAAAGTAAAGTAGATGTATGAGATAAAAATATAGATAGATATAGATAGATAGATATAGGTAGATGGATGTATGAGATTAAAGTAGAGTAGATGAAGGAGAGTACGAGATTAAATGAGCAGAGTATACGGAGTAAAGGTAAGATATGGAGAAAAGAGATTAACGGAACACTGACATCTCTCCTAACATCTCCCTTAATATCTCACCTACTCACCTAACATCTCTCACCTACAGTGATATATCCTGTATAAGTGAAGATATCATTGTCACTTATGAGAAGAAGGTGTAACCTGTCACTGCCAGTACCAGGATGTCACTTACCGTACATGACCATAGTACGTCCTGCTAAAAGTGGCTGCCGTGGCGGCGGAATAACGGGTCCTGACAAGACGATACACGCCCCCCGTCCCCTCTTCGTTTTTCTGCCCTCTCCTCCTGCAATTTGGGCTGGCCTTCCTACCTGACCTCTACCTCTCTCTCTCTACATCCTCTCTCTCTACATCTACCACTCACCAACTGTCGTCTGTCGCTACAACAGACACCGACAGACAGACAGACAGACAGACGGACAGACGGACAGATAGTCACGATAGAAGAGATACTGCTCACGACAACGACGATGGAGTCCGATCCATCACCAAAGCCACATCGGCCATCCTCGAAACTACACAAGCAGCCGCCCAACATCCTCGCGTCGTCCAGCCCTCTCACCTCCCTCAGCAACATCACCTCGCCGTGGTCCGTCAAGAAGAAGCAGTCGGCCACCTCCCTGCAGCGCCATCCGTCCGCTCCAGTCTACCCGCGCTCATACACCGGCGCTGCTGGCTCTCCCGGCTCGGGCAGAGACCACTCTAGGACAAGGTCCAGCAACTTCGCCTCCTCTTCCACCTCTGTCGACCAGCTCGGCATCAGCGTCGGTGCTGGTACCGGCGTGGCCACCGCGAATGGGAGCCGGGCGTCCAGCACCGTCAACGGCGTCGACTTTGGGCGCTTGCAGACCAGCCACAGCCAGAGCCAGACCAGGCTCTCGTACGGGCAGCAGAGCTCCATCGGAGAGGAAGCGGACGACTCACTGCACGCTGCAACCTCGGACACGGAGGGCGGGACCGCTGCGGCAGGCACGAGAGCGGCAGAGCTGCTCTCTCGGCCAGCGCTGCCCCATAGCTACAAGTCGAGCCCGGAGGTGTCGCCCAACCTCAAGCACTCGGCCAGCTTCAGCTCCAAGCCGTCCTTCACCACCACCACCGTCACCTCGAACAACGCCGCCCTCACTTCCAACGCCAAACGGCATTCAGACGAAGGGTCGAGCTCCAATGCAAATTCAAGCTCCAACGCGAGCCAGAGCGGCAGCAGACTGTCGTTGAGCAGGAAGAAGACCGGGTTCTCTAACTTTGTCAACAGCATGCTAGGTTCGCCTAGGAATATCAAGATTTCTGCGCCAGAGAATCCCGTGCATGTCACCCACGTCGGATATGACAACCAGACAGGGCAGTTCACCGTATGTTACCTCATCATTTATACCTAATAACTATACTAACGCTTTGTAGGGCCTTCCAAAGGACTGGCAACGCATGCTCCAGGAGTCTGGCATTTCAAAGAAGGAGCAGGAGCAGCATCCACAGACAATGGTGGATATCATGAAGTTTTATGAAAAGAACACCGCCGGACGTGACGATGATGGTGTATGGCACAAGTTCGACAATGCCAGACACCTAGATCACGACCAGATAACTCCAATTAACAACAACGCTTCAGCTCCGGCAATCTCGCCCCGTTTCCCTCAGAATCACGAAGGAAGCTTTGAGAACCCCCGCGCGCCACCTCCAATTCCACGATCGACGCCGCTCGCCAGTCCTCCGCCGCCTGCACCTCCCTCAACTTCCCCGGGCTCAGGATGGGTGCCCAACCGAGCTGCTCCAAAGGCTCCCACGAACCTGGTCGCGGCCAGACCACCGCCGCCGCCACCAATCACCCCGACCAGTGCTGGTGGTGGCCTGCCCTTTGGCGTACAGAGTATACCCGAGTCAGGCCCGCTACCGACCACGAGAAGTCGTTCAAACTCCAACGCGAATGGCGGTGTTAGTCCTGGCGGTGGATTGTCTCGCAAGCCATCGACGGCAGTAACCTCGCCAGCTGTATATCAGCAGATGCAGGAACAGGCCATCACCGCTGCTCAGCAGGCAATCACCAACAAGCAGATTGAACGCACCAGGAGTATGAGACAGCAGCAGCAGCAGCAGCAGCAGCAACAGGCTCAGCAACAGGCTCAGCAACAAGCTCAACAACAGACACAGCAACAGATGACTCCCGAATCGTCAAATACAAACGACCACTCCCCCGACGCACACATCTACAATCCTCAATCATCGCAGAAATTCCCAGTCCAACATGCTCCAGGCCCCCGCGTTGTCCCCGCCCCCGTCCCAGCACAGGTTTCAGCCCCTGCTCCTGGTCAAAACCAGCTTCCCCCTGGCGCTGCCCGCCCCCGCGTCCGCCCACGTCAACCCCCAACCCCCACGATCGACATCCGTGCCCGTCTCAACACCATCTGCACCAACGGCGATCCTACCCGCAAGTATCGCAATCTGCACAAAATCGGCCAGGGCGCGTCCGGCGGCGTGTTCACTGCGTATGAAATCGGCTCAAACCACTGCGTTGCTATCAAGCAGATGAACCTTGAGTTGCAGCCCAAGAAGGACCTGATCATCAACGAGATTCTGGTCATGAAGGAGAGCCGACACAAGAACATCGTCAACTATATGGACAGTTTCTTGCATGGCGGAGATTTGTGGGTTGTCATGGAGTATATGGAGGGTGGCAGCTTGACGGATGTGGTTACCTTTAATATCATGACAGAAGGCCAGATTGCAGCTGTCTGTAGAGAGGTATGTTCACTACTTTATCCCCTTCTCTTTTCTTTCTTCGATATACTAACATTGTTTAGGTCTTGCATGGCTTGCAGCATCTACACTCCAAGGGAGTCATCCACAGAGATATTAAGTCAGACAACATCCTCCTCTCTCTAGAAGGAAACATCAAGCTCAGTCAGTCAATTCTATATACCTCCTACTTTCAATGTATATATTAACCTCCCCCTAGCCGACTTTGGCTTCTGTGCCCAAATTAACGATGCACACCATAAACGCAATACCATGGTCGGAACGCCATACTGGATGGCACCAGAGGTAGTCACTCGCAAAGACTATGGCCGCAAGGTCGACATCTGGTCTCTAGGAATCATGGCCATCGAGATGATAGAAGGCGAACCCCCGTATCTTACCGAGTCGCCACTACGAGCTCTTTATCTGATTGCCACCAATGGCACCCCCACGATTAAGGATGAGCAGAATCTTTCACCTGTATTCAGGGAGTTTCTGGCTCTAGCGCTGAGAGTTGATGCTGAGAAGAGAGCTTCAGCACATGATCTGTTGAAGGTATGTATTCATGTGGCTTTTTTCAATGTTTCCAGTTTGCTAACGATGATGTAGCATCCATTCATGGGCTTCTGTGAGCCATTGACCAGCCTGGCTCCACTTGTTAGAGCTGCCAGAGTCAACAGAGCCCAGGAGAAGGCGCAAAAAGGGGGCGCTTAAGGGCAATACTACCAATTTATGATATAGTCTAACACACTATGGTATCAGCCTCCCTACTTCGTGCATCTCTATTATCTTATATGTTGCACCTATCCCTCCCCGAGCAGGCACTCACGCTTTCACATCTTCTCCTTGCTCCTCTTATCCTCTTACTCCTTTTACTATCTACGTTATTTTGTTTTACCCTATCGATTCGCCTGCTATTGACGTCCTGCCTTTCTCCGCCAAGCTCTTCTTCGGCCATGACTTCAACTTCTTTCTCCTGATATCCCATATACCATATACTATATTCCATATACTGCTCTTGCTGTTCCTCTTCCTCTCAACTCCACTCTCGTCACGATACCCACTTCAGACTTTTCTCACGTTACGTCTATGCCTTTTTCACTTCACTTCACTTCTTCTGATGTGCCATATCCTGTCACATTTCTTTACTTCAACTTCTTCTTCCACTTTACTTCTGCTTATGACTTCCTCTTTTCCGCCTCGTTGTCGTTCTTCAGGTTATTCGGACTCAGATATAGAATGGTTTTTTCCTATGTACTTTTCCTTTTTACGTCGTTTGGGAATCGGTGGGTATGCGGGATGGATGGGATTCGATATGATAGGGCCGGGAGGGGGTGGAAGTGGGTGAGCGATGAGAGATGCATGCGGAAGAGCAAAATGATTCACTATGTGCTGCATCCATGAATACACTGAGAAATGAAGAACAGATGAGAATGACAGATGGCCTGGCCTGGCCTGGCATGAAGCCATACAGAGGTAGAAAAGGGAAGTTTTCTCTATTTTTTTTCAATGCGAACTGCAAAATATAACTTATATGTGACATGAATATGAGATGTGTTTGTCCTTTATTTTCTTTCTATGTCTTTTTTCTTTTTCTTTCTCTTCTTTCCATGCGGCTTATGTCTTCGTCACTTCATCTCTTTACCCCAGCTGGCTGCATTTACCAGTACCAATACTTTAAAACCTGGGTTTCAATTTCAATACTCTTAAAATATAGCGATGCTCTTTTTTATTTATCTTTTCTTTTTCCTCGGTTTCTTTCCATTTGTATTACTCTCGTCTCGTCTTAAACAATTTACATTTACATTGTGCTATTATTTATTTATGCGACTGGCTGGATGGAATCGAACGGTTCTTTGCATTTTGTACTATTTTGAGTGTCGTGATATTACCTATAAACGGCCATGGCTGGAAAGGTTTGCTTTGGTATGATATTATACTGACCTAGCTGTGTTTCTTCTTCATCAAAATGACTCAGGTTACTGTAGAATATAAGACCCTTCATAGAGATATCTCTTCCGTGGCGCATTACGCACTTTGATAGGCGCAGGAAAGCCACTCCCTTACATAAGCCGGCGTCACTGGGAGCTCGGTGGAGTTTAAAGCTCGCCGACTTTGGCTGAGCCATTCAGGCTGCCGTAATCAACCATCACATCACAAGGGGACCGCAAGACAGCAAAACCACCGCCGATTCCACCTCCTCGACAGGCTACATATACAGGCGGCATACACCGGCTCTGACATAGATATACACGCCCTCTCAACCCCTTCTATTGCGCAATACGCCCGTCAAGAGACCTGCGAGCCTGTGCCTGTGCGGGGTTAGGACCGACAAGACACCCACCACTTAACGCCGCGACTCTGCTTGCGAAGGACAAAGGGATAGGAAACATCCCTTCATCATGTTTCGTGTGCAGCAGAATGCGTTCGATGATGCTGTCGGTATGTATTCCGCGCGCGACTTTGTCTGTCTGTCATGTTTACGGCATAGCTAACCTCTGCTGCCTGTTCTATAGCCAAGGCGACCGATGAGAACCTGACTTCGGAGAATTGGGAATATATCCTTGTACGGTGCCCGGAGTTGATATGGATTCGTGGGAGGGTTTCTTGTTTTGAGAGTTGGGAATATGGCTGACGGGTGATGGGGATAGGATGTCTGCGACAAGGTTTCCTCGGACAGCTCTGGGTAAGAGATGAGTTTACGGGCTAGTATGAGGGATGTTAGCTGACGAGATGGGATGTAGAGCTAAAGATGCCGTTGCTGCTTTGATACGAAGGCTTGCGCACCGAAATGCCAACGTCCAACTCTATACACTGGAGGTATGTCTGTTTCTATATATGGTTGGGCTGGAGTACGTCAACCTTGTACTAAGTCTGGGATCTCTAGCTTGCGAATGCCCTGTCACAAAACTGCGGGCAGAAGGTATACCAGGAGCTGGCCTCTAAAAGCTTCACAGACGCACTTTTACGACTTGCAAATGACAGAGTGGGTTCTTTCCCGTATTCTCGGCGGTGGTCATTTAGCTAACGGATCATCATAGAATACCCATCAACAAGTCAAGGCAAAGATATTAGAACATATCGAGCAATGGACTGAAATGTTTTCTAGTAATCCCGATTTAGGGATCATGGAACAAGCTTATATGAAGCTCAAATCTCAGAGTAGGAATACCGAATTCAACGGATACCCTCAGGCTACTTTCCGAGCTAACTGATAGCAGACCCAAACCTCCAACCTCCTTCGAAACCGACCAAGCGGGAAATAACGGACTTGGATAGACAGAAGGAAGAGGAAGAGCTACAGATGGCACTTGCACTATCGGTCAAGGACAAGCCGGCTACCCAACAACAGCCTCAGAACAGTGAATCTTCCCAGCAAACAGCCACTCCCGGACCATCCACAGCAGCTGCATCTCAGCCCACACCCATTGCGTCCGGTACCACGGCTGCGACCGTATCCCGTGTTCGAGCACTATACGATTTCCAGCCTTCAGAAGCCGGCGAACTTCAATTCCGCAAGGGTGATGTGATCGCCGTTCTAGAATCTGTCTACAAGGACTGGTGGAAAGGTTCTCTTCGAGGACAGACTGGAATTTTCCCTCTAAACTACGTCGAAAAACTCTCGGATCCCACGCAAGAAGAACTTCAAAGGGAAGCACAGATGGAGGCAGAGGTGTTTGCCGAGATAAAGAACGTAGAGAAGCTGCTGGCTCTTCTCAGCACGAGTAATTCAGAGCTTAATGTACAGGAGAATGAGGAAATCACGACACTGTACCATTCTACCCTTGCCATTCGACCTAAGCTAATAGAGCTGATTGGCAAATACTCGAAGAAAAAGGGTATGTTTCCCCGGGAGCCTAACAGTGAAGTTATTTCGGAAACTTTTCATTGGTGACTAATTCGTATAGATGACTTTACGCAATTGAATGAAAAGTTCATCAAAGCACGTCGGGATTATGAGGCTCTGCTCGAAACGTCAATGGCGCATCCTGGTCAGCCACAGTTTGGGCGACCCCCACCCCAGACTGCTTGTGGGTTCCCGCCTCCTGGCGGACAGCAATACCCTCCTGGTCCACACCAGCAGGAGCCACAGCGCTTCTTTACCCCTCGACCGCCACATGGTATGGAGAGCTAAATGTCTATCATAATATTATAACCAAAGTTGTGCTAACTAACTTTATAGGCGCCCAAAACGCACCGCCGTCTAACGACCCTGCCGCATACTATGGTGCAGAACAATCGGGACCGCCATACCCTGCAGCGGCTTCACCAGACAATAGAAAACACACACCAGTTCCTGGCCAACAGGGCGCCCCAGATAGCTACAGCAACCCCGCAACGCAGTACACAATACAGACCAAATTTGATCAACCCCAGGAACTAAGTACATCGGTATACGATTCCCCTCAAGCAGCCGTCAACCCTAACGCACGACACTCCTACCATCCACCAATGCACGAATCTCAACCGTCCATAACCAACCCGCAACACTTCCCCCACCAACAGCAGCCCACAGGCTACCCCCCTCAAGGCACTGCTCCAGACTTCAACCCTCAGACGGCCCCGCCAGTGTCCAACCAACCTTACCCTCCCCAGCCGGTAGACCAACAAGATCCATCACAGCAACAACCACAGCATGCCCCGCCACCAACGCACCAGCCTCCTTCAATCCCACAGTCGACGTCTCCACAACCTCCATATCCGAGCTACCAGGCCCCAGCCCCGTCTGCACCTGGAGCTGGTTCTTACCAAGCCTACCAGCCTCAGCAGCCCGGCGGCCCATCGAACCCTAACGCAAACCCTGCTAGGTACTATCGGTAATGTCTGATTATGCTGTATTTGGCTGCTATCGGTTTCCTTTATCCCCTCGCTCGTTGGTATACCTGGGTAAATCGGGGAATAGTCGTTTGGCTGGTTCTTCAAGATAAGAACGGACTATATTTGCGAGTCAAAAGCGTATATTTCCCGGTTTGACGTGCCGTCTAACATTTTAATTATATCATGCCCTCCGCCACTTCTCTATTATGATTTCTGCATCTCATGTCTTAGGTTAAACGTGTTCGTACACATGTATATCTTTGCTCTGTTGTCGTTAGTTAAAGTCTGGTATACCCGCCAATTTACGAAACTACGTCCTTCATGCTATATCTATGTCTGGTACTCAATCTACGGAGTAGAGGGTGTCGTCCTTGTAAGTGTCGATGACCGTCAACTCCTTTGTATCTGCTTGTTTCTGATTCAGGGGGGCATGGCGTTTTTGCCCGTTAAGGTAAGGCGGTTTATGCCCAGGATAAAACATGTACTTAGTAAGCAAATATACCGGAAAAACCTCAAAAGGGAAGCATATTATTGGTCAAGTTCTATAATCTCCTGATTACCTAAGTAAATCTCAGCCAAGGAGAGCGCCTGGTCTAAATATATAACGTCCATCCGCAGACATCCTCGAACATGCAACAACAGCACTGCGATTATAATTATGGCGGAAGGCTACGTTCCCGTCGACGAAGATGACGGTGACGGCGATAGTACACGCTCATTGCACGTAGCTCAGGACGAAGATACCATCGAGCAAGGTCATGAAGATACCCCCGTTGGCGCATCCGCGCTGATCGGTTCAGGGATTTCGCTCCACCCCGACTACCACCACCGCGGGCCATATTTGAATCGTGGAGATGGTAATGTTCCTTATTCCGGTGAGAGTGATAGTCTTCTAGAACACCACTCACCACTACCGGTAAGGCCAATCATCAAACCCAGTAGAGCCGTTGTTGAGAGGTGTCAGGCATGCGTTGCGTTGCCTGGCTAGTTCTTAACTTCGTACTGATCTCCTCTGACCCTTTATACTAGCAACAACATGGTTGGGCATCTCTATGGTTCGTGAAACAAGTCAAATCATCCCGAATTATTCAGTGTAACCTTGTCGAGTTTCTTATGTGTGGCCGTTTGTATTCAGGCTAGCCTATCAATCGATCGGCGCTATATACGGAGATATCGGTACCAGTCCGTTATATGTCTTTTCTGCAACGTTTTCAACCCAACCGGTATTGATCGATTTGATCGGGGTTTTATCGCTCATCATCTGGGCTCTATTGCTGATTGCAACGGCCAAATATGTTGGGATAGTGCTCTGCGCAAACGATAACGGCGAGGGAGGATCGTTTGCATTACTTTCCATAATTCGGAGACATGTAAGTTCCTTTCTTGGGGAGAGGTTGTGTTCGTGATCATTATATCTAATAGCCCTAACTAGGTGCATCTTGATTGGCGTGATTCAAGAGCGAAACTTGATTCTGAGTGGAAGGATTTAAAATTAGAGTCCGAAGGGAGCTTTAATGCATATGTGAAGAAATGGTTGACCAATAGCCCTATTGCCAAACGCGCGATTACAGTTCTCGCTGTTCTTGGTGTCTGCATGGTCATGTCCGGTATCTATTTAAGCTGCTCAATCACTCTTCGAACACGGCCCAAGATCTGATGCGTTCTATAGATAGCGTCTTAACTCCAGCACAGTCAATCCTTGGTGCTGTTCAAGGTAATTGCTTGATGTGACACTACTTGTATAAGTTGCCAATTCTGATCTCTTGCTAGGTATCAAAATTGCAGCACCAGATACATCCGCGCATACGATTGTGGGCATCACATGTGCCCTGATAATCATCCTATTTGCACTCCAGCCTATAGGAACATCGAAACTTAGCAACTACTTTGCTCCAGTTGTCATGATCTGGCTATTGTGCAACATGTCCTTTGGTCTATTTGTTCGTATTCTCCTTCATTTCCCCTTTCAGCCTTTTCCTTCAGGGGCTAACGAGCGAAGAACCTCGTCTTGTACGATCACACTGTTCTGAAGGCCTTTTCTCCGACATATGCCATTTCGTTTCTACTTCGAAACGGGCTTTCGGGCTGGAGATCTCTAGGAGGCGTTTTGTTAGCATTCACTGGTATGGCATCTTAACTCCAAGCTGATAATATCCCATCTAACCCGTACTAATACTTTATACAGGTGTTGAGGCCTTGTTTGCCGATCTCGGTGCGTTTTCAGCAAAGTACGTTCTCTCCGATCCTTATATTTAATCAAAGGGTCATAGAAGTGTTAACAGATATTAACTCACAGGGCTATTCGAGTATCGTGGCTCTGCTTCGCCCTACCATGCTTGCTTATTATATATAGTGGCCAAGCTGCCTACATCAGTGAACATCTAGATGCCTTTGAGAATCCGCTATTCAAGTCGGTTCCGCTAGGCCTATATTGGCCTACCCTAGTATTATCCATGGTGACATCAATTATTGCGTCGCAGGCAATGCTCACTGGCAGCTTTCAGTTAATATCACAGGCTGTTAGGCTAGGATATCTTCCAAAGCTTACACGAGTGCATACATCAAAACGAATAAGTAGTCAGATATACATACCACTTGCGAACTGGCTAATGATGGCCTGCGCGCTTGCTGTTACCATCGTTTATCAGAATGTAAGGGCTCACCATCTTTAGCCAAACCTGATACATATCTCAACTGACCGCGCTTAGACAACAAGACTCGGCAATGCCTACGGGGTCTGTGTGGTTGGAGTTAGCTTCATCACAACCTGGCTGGTCACGCTTGTCGCCGTTGTCGTTTGGAACGTCCATTTCCTTATTGTGATTCCAATATCGCTCTTCATTGGATTGGCTGATATCCTATTTCTTTCCGCCGCCCTGGCCAAGGTTCCATCAGGAGGATGGTTTACGCTTGTTTTAGCTACCGTGTTGACGACTACCCTCCTGGTATGGAGTTATGGAGAAGGGTCCAAGTGGGCCGCTCGGAAAGACGAGAGAATATCCCAGACAATCATATATCCTAACCAGGATGGTCTACTGATGTTACGCGATGAAAGCGTAGATCAGCATGTTAAAACGATTAAGGGTTAGCCAAAACCCAATATTCCCAGAAGCAAATCCTGTCACTGGAGAAACTAGTTAACTCTTCATAGGAATTGGGGTGTTTCTTATTGACCATGATGCTGGCTCCCCTTCGGTGTTCAAACATTTTGTTCACAAATTCGAGTCGATACATGAGATATCCATCCTCCTTCACGTTAAACGGATCCCTAGATATACGGTTAGTATCTGGAATGCATGTTATACGAATTACATCTAATCATACGTCGGTTTTAGGTGGCCGACGATCGGCGATTTACGTTAAGAGAAACAGGAATCCGGGGGCTATTCCATGTTACTCTACAATACGGCTACGGGGATGTTGTCTCCTGGAGCTCCTTTGAAAGGGATATACTTGCTGAGTTGGGATCTATCGCCCCTCCCGCCGCCGACGACCAAGACGTCGTGTCTCCAACGACGGATTTCTCCCCTGACACCGAGGAATCCTCAATGGTCCCACTTACCAAAAACTCTTCCGCCACGAAATCCATTACATACATAGTTGGAAAGGACAAACTGTACCTCCTTCCAACCTCTAATCTGATCCGACGTATATTTTTATGGGCGTTTATACATTTAAAGAACCGGGAGAAGACAAAACTAGACCACTTGAATGTTCCGGTCGATAGGTTGCTGGAAATTAAGTTCTCAAAGGGCATTTAGACGGCTCTCGGCGCATGGGGCGTACATTATCTGTTATATATATTTGTATAATATTGTCCAATTTTAATGGACCATCTGGTCATATCTCTACCGTCCCATCTGACTTGGCTACTAGGAAATAAAGATTAACATTCAAGCAGAACACATTGAGTTTGAGAAGGAATATGCTGCTCCGGGGCTTAAAAGTTCACAGTTAGAACAAACATCAACACTTCTATCCAGGCTGACGTCATAGGCTGATCTGCCTATTCCACCACTCCACAACATATTTACATGTTCCAGTCTACAACATATATTTACCCCCTATAACACAGAATGTCCCCTCTCAGCAGCGCAAGTAGAGCGGCAACACAAGAATGTGTTGTCACTTCAAAACTACTGATTGGGCTTCCCGAGGGAACACCCCAAATTACATATACCAATATGAAAACGCTGAAAGGCGTTATAGATGCTCGGTGCCGGAAGTGTGCTAAAGACGACTCCCAGAGCCCGTTCCTAGTAGTAACGTCTATACCTTCAATCTTTTTAAAGCATCTTGACTTTGATAGAGGTCGACGATTTACCGCAAATCTACAAGAAAATTTGGCTGTTTTCGAAGTTATGATTTATCCGGCTCACGAAGTTGTGAGCACTGGGCTGGGAACGGAGATATCCATGGACATCTCGAGAATGGGCCTCGATGATGAGATTTTTGCGAGTGGCTCGCCCTCGTTTATTGATGGCAATGGAATCTACGCCCAAGTGCCTGACGCCTCTTTTATGCTGGACGATGACCTAAAATGGAAAAATGGCAGAATCTGGCCCATTCTCACTATCGAAACAGGCCTTTTCGAAAGCGAAAGCAAGTTGGCCATCGACGCTCAGAGATGGCTTGAAGTGGACGGATCTCGAACGAAGGTCGTCATCACGGCCAAACTCGACCGGCAGGCGCCACGAGTAACCTTTCAGCGCTGGGAACACCATCTCCCACCATTCCGTCCCTTCACGCGCCATTTCCATCCAACTGGATCGGTTATGGAGGAGGTTGTTGCGACACACGAGGGGGGGATAACAAGGGTTAATGGAAGCATCACCATACCCTTTGAGAAGGTTCTTAACAGGGCTAGACGTGGGCCCAACGAACGGAACGTGGTGGTGGGTCAGAATGAGCTTGCAAGGTTATGTGAACGAGGATGGAAAGCTCAAGGGTTCATGTAACTAAATACCTGGAGTTCATGTCAAGAAAGCGATTTGGAGAGTAGACAGCATCCTGGATGGGGAGGAATCGAATAGAGGGTATCCGGGCAACTCCTGGGGTTATCCACAACTTATAACATGGAAACTGCAGGCGGGATGAAAGGAAAAATGGCCGAGCAGGGAGAGGAGACGGATGGCTGCAGGACGGAGCAAGAGGCGTGAGGAATGAAGAATAATAAAGGAAGAGAGATAGAAAATGTGTATCCATGGACGCTGATGGTAGAATTGGAAGTGTAGGAGATCACATGTCAAACGGCCCGATAGTGACTAAGCAAGATCTTATCTGCTTACTAAGACATCCTCGGTCCTCGGGATAATTTTCTTCCTTTGATTAAATCAGCGGCCTGTGATTGGTCCACGAGGATCAGTCCACCTCGGCAGAAGACGAAGAGAAGACAACGAGAAGACGACGATGAGGACGAAGAGAAAACGAAGATGAAGCAGCGAGAGAAGGACTCGATGCTGTATGCCGGTTCCTTAGAAGTATACATAGCTAGCAAAGTACTGAGTAGAGTAGAGTAAGTAGTAGTATGGCCTCCTGAATGGTAAGGTCTTGGCACTCATCCTTTACAATAAAATACTTTATTTAATCTGGCCCGAACATTTTGTTATCTCTCTCTCCCAACACCGCATCGAAACCGCTGCAGACCCGAGCGATACCCTCACCGCACCAAACGATCTATAATCCCCATCGTCGATACCATGGCTGCCGACAAGGAATTCACCCTCAAGGAGGTTGCTGCCCACAGCACCAAGAAGGATCTCTACGTGGTCATCCACGAGAAGGTCTACGACTGCTCCTCCTTCATCGACGAGCACCCGTACGTTTCCCCCATATCTCCTTGCTCGTGCCAGTTATACTGCTGGGAATTGGGACGCCTGGTCGTCTGCGTGTTGAACGCTGTGGCATCTGAGCTCTGGATCGCGGGATATGTGTTTCAAACTAGGCAGCTAACAGCTCATCTTCTTTTAGTGGCGGTGAGGAAGTCCTGCTCGATGTCGCCGGTCAAGACTCTACAGAAGCCTTTGAGGACGTCGGACACAGTGATGAAGCCCGTGAGATCCTCGAGGGTATCCTAGTCGGCACCCTCAAGCGCATGGTATGTGTTTTCCCTCTCTGCATGGAAGTCATACTCAGCTTTTGTTACTCACACTCCTATGCAGCCTGGCGACCCAGCCCCAGCCGCCGCTCCTACGACCACCACAACCGCATCCGGCTCCAGCGACTCTACTGGCCTCGGAGTCGGTCTCTACGCAATCGTTCTAATCGGCGCTGCTCTCGCCTACGGTGCATACCAGTACATGGCAACCCAGCAAGCACAGCAGCAGGCATAGATGGATAACATACTCCAAAAAACCCCATTCTTTCTGCCGTTAGGAATCAATATTATATTTAAAGACCGCTTATGATTAAAACCTTGCCGGATCTATGACCCCTTGTTCTCTTGGCCCTAATCGCTTCAACACTTTTTTCTTTCTTTTGAGGCCTGAATTTTGTCGAGAGCCCACCTTAGAATTCGTTTAGTTTATGGGATTGCTGTTCTTCCTTTCCTCTTCTTCCCTTCCCCTTCTCTTCCACTTTTGTCATTTCTTTGCTTCGTTTCGTTTTACATTTTTGCAGAGAACTTCCTCCTCCTAGGAGCCGACTTGTGATACGGGCCTTGAACATTTACTAGCGGACCATCTTTTTAGAGTCAGAGTAGTCCAGACATATCTCTCAGTCAACTTCTCCTTAAAATTGTCATATCTCTACTCGTGACGTTCATCCTGATATCCTCCATATACCCGACACTGCACCGATAGAATAGCGATGGATAGGCTTGGAAGCGAATAGAGCGAGGGGAACGGAGTATTTACTGCCTGCAATCCTTCGTGTCCTACTCCTCCCGAGAGGCCGACGGATCGCATTTCGAGTTCAGCCTCTCCGCTGCCCGTATCCCTGCGTCCTGGCAGCTAATACAGCCCTTGGTATCAGTAGTAGAAGATCCCATTGAACGTACATATCTAGTTATAGACATATCTAGTTATAGACATATCAAGTTATAGACACAAAGAAATGACATTCCTAGGCAGCCATTTGTACGATGTCGTACCCCACGACTATATTTGTTGCTTGACCCCACCAAACTCTCTCTATGCAGATACAAACAACCCACCAACTGCTCTACCCAGCATCCCCCTTGACCCTATATCTATATACGCAGAATGTCTCGCCATCGGGTGAAAAATATCAGTTACGACGATGACGACTTCGACGATGAAGTCGATGCTGACGAGAATGAGCTCTCCCCCGAAGACCGCGAGCAGATGAAACTCCGAACCGTCGAGGTGCAACAGCTATTACGGTCTCTGATACCACCTATCGAAGCTAAGGAAGATGATATCTGGGAGGCTCTTTGGCATTATTACTACGATGTAGACAAGTCTGTCGACTACTTGAAGAGTATGGCTCCGTTTATATGCCCATTCAAGGTGGATGCTGATATCTAAGCTATTTAGAGAAATACCAACCGCAGGAAAAGAAGGAAGCGAAGACAAAGACACCCACTGCTGCTGCAAAAAAGAAGAATACAGCTGGTGAGTTTCTTTTTCTTTCTTCCCTATCCATCGACTTTCGCACCTTGCACGCGGACGCTGGGAGGTATGCGCTTGGCCTCTTTCTTGGACATACCCGCTGATTTGAACGCGGTGCCGATATCCTATTTACGGTGCGTCAACCATTTAACTTGCGCTCCTCCTTGGTGTGGTCTTGAGAATCACATACGAGGCGGACACCTATCTTACATTATACATGAGTCAAAGGCACGGGGAACTAAATAACTAGTTTACTAACTGTTTGTCTTAAATGTAGGATCGCCAGTGTCAAGCTTCCCATTACCTTGTTCGGCACACTTCTGCGCGCACGACTTCTTTAAAGACTCGCCGTGGTTAAATATTCCGCCGCACCGGAAGGCGGATATCCTCATTGAACCGCTGTTTCCTGGACTTGGGCTGCTTGGGGGTTCGTCCTCGGAGAAACCGGGGAAGATGTCGAAACTGGCTGCTCTGGCTGCTGCGCGCAAGAGAAAAGAGAGTGAGAAACAAAAGCCTCAGGGTGACAAGGGAGTGAGTGGATCGTCTCTGGGTACTCCGGAAGAAAATGCCCAGGAGCAAGGGAGTAAGGCTCTCTCATTGCGGGATCGGCTGGCAGGAGTTGGGAGAAGCAGGACGTCTCCTACTTCCAGGCCGATTGGAACCACGATGGGAGGGAGCGGGACGCCAGGTAATGAATCATTACAGACGGCCGATTCTGTGAGAGCAGCTTCAAATGTGCCGGAGAAGGCACAGATACAACACGAAAAGCCTGCACTACCTGAAGTTACTGAACTACTGGCCGCAGACCCGTCTGAGTTTGCGGCAACTATAATTGGGGAAAAGCGAACGCCAAAGGCCACCATACCGTCCAGCGTCCCACCCGACGAATATAACCTGTTCAACTTTGTCGTTCAGGATCTTACTGAAGTTTATAATTTTGCAGAACCCAGCCCCGATGATATCGTTATAGGAGCCCAGAATGCCGCCAAAGGTGTGTTCTCCTTCCCGTGTCTAACTATAGGTATATATCTCTAACAGAGTGCAGAAAAAAAGGCGAAACGGAACGCAAATCAACAGGTAACCGGAAAGGCCCAGGGTGACCTAGCTGGTAGTGTACAACAGCTCTCAGTCGAAACGGTGAAAGTGAAGAGCAAAAATTTGAATGTATTAGAGGAACATCGCAAAGCAAAGAGGAAGAAGGCTGCAAATTTTGTTGTTATTGGTTTGTGGATTCCAAGTAACTAACTAGCTGCCATTCGCGATATGAAAGACTAACTGGTTTACAGGCCATGTTGACGCAGGCAAGAGCACGCTGATGGGAAGGCTGTTATATGACCTTAAAGCTGTTGACCAGCGGACACTAGATAAATACCAGCGTGAAGCTGATAAAATCGGTAAAGGATCATTCGCATTTGCATGGGTTCTAGACCAGGGCGCGGAGGAACGAGCCCGCGGAGTGACGATTGACATTGCATCGAATAACTTTGAAACGAAAGATACGAATTTTACGATATTAGACGCACCTGGACATCGAGATTTCGTGCCTAACATGATTGCTGGCGCCAGCCAGGCTGACTTTGCAGTCCTGGTGGTTGATGCTAGTACGGGGAAATTTGAATCCGGGTTAAAGGGGCAGACGAAGGAACATGCCCTGCTAGTTCGAAGCATGGGTGTACAGAAGATGGTTATTGCGGTAAACAAGATGGACTTGGTGGAATGGAGCAAGGATCGGTTTGATGAGATTGAACAGCAGATATCGTCATTCCTGACAACTGCGGGCTTCCAGGCGAAGAATATATCGTTTGTGCCCTGTTCGGGCCTTCAGGGGGAGAATATTGCGCGGAGATGCGAGGATAAAAAAGCTGGCTGGTATACGGGGAAAACGCTGATTGAGGAACTGGAGACTTCAGAGCCGTTCTCATACGCACTTGATAAGCCACTACGGATGACGATAGGAGACATCTTCAGAGGAGGCATCCAGAACCCGCTCTCGATATCTGGGAGGATCGATGCTGGCCATCTCCAGATGGGAGACCAGCTACTCGTCATGCCAAGTGGGGAGAAGACAGTTGTCAAAAGCCTGGAAGTTGATAGCGAGCCTGTAGACTGGGCTGTGGCGGGGCAGAATGTCGTCCTCCACCTGGCTGACATTGACCCGAAACACCTTAGGATCGGTGACATCGTCTGCAGCCCGATCTCGCCGGCGCAAAACATCACCTCTTTCACAGCCAAGGTCCTCGCCTTTAACCACCTGACGCCGATGCATATCGATGTGCACCGAGGGCGCCTGCATGTTCCTGGCCGTATCACGCAGCTGGTGGCTACGCTGGATAAGGGGTCAGGGAAGGCAACGAAGCGGAGACCCAAGATTGTGGCTCCGGGCAATGTGGCGAGGGTGCTGGTAGAACTCGATCAGTCTATCCCGTTGGAGGCTCCTGCGCGAGTAGTGTTGAGGGCTTCTGGGGACACCGTTGCCGCCGGGCTGCTCGAGTGACCATCCCGATAGATGACACCTTTCATAGCATTATCCATAGCATCAACATCGTCCATCATCCAGCATCAGCATCAGCATCAGCATCCAACATATATATCCTATCTCGAACTGCGCAGCCAATCAGAAGCCGTCAAGTCGTCTAATCGGCCCATTGCTGAGTCATTCATCTTAGTCAGCTATCTCAACCAATGATAATGCGCAGAATAACCTACGCCCCCAGCGATGGCCCGCGCTAAACCGCAACAGGACTAGCGGCGCGTGACTGCTGGAAGAGGCCAACTTGTTCCTTTGCTTCTTGCGGTTCGTTCATAAAGCACAATCCACGGCTTCATCTTCCTCCTTCTCCTCCGTCCACTTCACCAGGAGCCTCGACACTGGCTTTCTTCGGCTGACACTTCTTCTTTTCTTTGCCTGTTCTCTATACCCGCCTGAATTGCTCGAAGCTCAGCTCAGCTCAGGAGTTGACAGAGCTTCCCGGCCCGGTTCATCAGGAGCAAGCTCTTCTGCCACTTTTCACCACCCGGCACCATTCAGTCCTCTACAATTACATCCAAGATGTCCAGACAATCGAGGCGGGGTTCATCCTCGCCCTTTGCGTGGACCACCATCCTCTACCTCCTCTTCGTCTTTGTCGCGCCGTTGGCGTTGCTGGGAACCGCACATGCCGAGGACCAGGCGCCTCTGGAGACTGAGAACCTCAAGAATGGTATGTCTTTTATGACTTGGAATTATGCGGGAAGAACAAGGTCACTAACTGGTATATAGTCATTGGTATCGATTTGGGAACCACATACTCGTATGGCTCTCTTTGATTCTGTTCACTTATACTTCCTGGTGGGCTTCCCTGCTGATTACTTTTATAGCTGTGTTGGTGTTATGAGAAATGGAAAGGTCGAGATTCTCGTCAACGACCAAGGAAACCGAATTACCCCCTCTTATGTCGCTTTTACCGATGAAGAACGATTGGTCGGAGACGCCGCAAAGAACCAGTACGCTGCTAACCCTCAGCGAACCATCTTCGATGTCAAGTAAGTTTTTGCCATAGCTATCAGGTTACTCCATGGAAAAGTGTATGCTGACCGCGTATCAGGCGTCTCATTGGTCGCAAGTACGCCGACAAGGACATCCAGAAGGATATCAAGCATTTCCCCTTCAAGGTCTCCAACGTCAACGGAAAGCCATCGGTCAACGTTGAGGTGAACGGGCAAGCCCGAAAGTTCACCCCCGAGGAGGTCTCCGCCATGGTTTTGGGTAAGATGAAGGACATCGCCGAGAAGTACCTCGGAGAACCTGTTACCCACGCCGTCGTGACCGTCCCCGCCTACTTCAACGACAACCAGAGACAGGCCACCAAGGACGCTGGTATCATCGCCGGTCTCAACGTCATTCGTGTTGTCAACGAGCCTACCGCCGCAGCTATTGCCTACGGTCTTGACATGAAGGGTGATGAGCGCCAGATTATCGTCTACGATCTCGGTGGTGGTACTTTCGATGTCTCTCTCCTGTCCATCGACAAGGGTGCTTTCGAGGTCCTGGCTACTGCTGGTGACACTCACTTGGGTGGTGAAGATTTCGACCAGCGTGTCATCAACCACTTCGTCAAACTCTACAACAAGAAGAACGACGTTGACATCACCAAGAACCTGAAGACCATGGGTAAACTAAAGCGTGAGGTTGAGAAGGCCAAGCGTACTCTCTCTTCCCAGAAGTCTACCCGTATCGAAATCGAATCTTTCCACGATGGCAAGGACTTCTCTGAGACCCTTACCCGTGCTAAGTTCGAAGAATTGAACATGGATCTCTTCAAGAAGACCCTCCGTCCAGTTGAGCAGGTCCTTAAGGATGCCAAGGTCAAGAAGTCCGAAGTTGATGACATCGTCCTCGTTGGTGGTTCCACCCGTATCCCCAAGGTCCAAGAGCTCCTTGAGGAATACTTCGGTGGCAAGAAGGCCAGCAAGCAGATCAACCCCGATGAAGCTGTTGCTTTCGGTGCCGCCGTTCAGGCTGGTGTCCTCTCCGGACAGAAGGGTACTGAGGAACTCGTTCTCATGGACGTCAACCCATTGACCCTTGGTATTGAAACTACCGGTGGAGTCATGACCAAGCTCATTCCTCGTAACACTGTCATCCCAACCCGCAAGTCTCAGATCTTCTCCACCGCCGCTGATAACCAGCCCGTTGTCCTCATCCAAGTTTGTAAGTTTTCCTCAGTTGAATCAACCAATATCAAGAGACGGATGCTAATATAGCTACTACTAGATGAGGGAGAGCGTTCCATGACCAAGGACAACAACTTGTTGGGTAAATTCGAGTTGACCGGAATCCCACCAGCCCCTCGTGGTGTCCCACAAATTGAGGTCTCTTTCGAGCTTGACCCCAACGGTATCCTTAAGGTTACTGCTGGAGACAAGGGAACTGGCAAGGCCGAGTCCATCACCATCACCAACGACAAGGGTCGTCTTTCCCAAGAGGAGATCGACCGCATGGTTGCCGAGGCTGCTGAGTTCGCCGAAGAGGACAAGGCTATGAAGGGCAAGATCGAGGCCCGTAACGCTCTCGAGAACTACGCTTTCACCCTTAAGAACCAGGTCACTGACAAGGAAGGTCTCGGTGGAAAGATTGATGAGGATGACAAGGAAACTGTAAGCACCCGCCTTCCTATACTCCCAACTTCCAACTTCTCAAGCCATACTAACCTACTACTCAACAGCTTATGGAAGCCATCAAGGAAGTCACCGAATGGCTCGACGAGAACTCCGCTACCGCCACTGCCGAAGATTTCGAGGAGCAGAGAGAGAAGCTCTCCAACGTCGCCTACCCAATCACCAGCAAATTGTACGGTGAAGCCGGTGGTGATGCCCCCGCTGACGAAGATGATGATGACACCCCATCTCACGAGGAACTTTAAACGAGCCCCATTGAAATACCCAATATTAAACAAAAAAGAAAGAACACAATGAAGACTTGATGAGGGTGTGACATAGCATCCAGCTATATCACTAATGACGCTGCCTGGCACCATATCTACCACTGGAATTTCCCAGCCCGGCCTTTCAGCAACACTCATAACCCATACACATAGATCCATACATACCTTGAATGAAAGAAATGGAAATCACCAGCCGACTTCGTCTACTTTGATGCTTTTTGTGCTCTCTTTTTACCTTTTCATGCCTACAATTATGTATTATCAAGATGAGTTCAAGAAAAAGGAAGATGTGGTAGTTAATATACAGGAGTTCTTTATTTTCTCAAGCTTGCCCCTCAGTCTGCTTCCGATCCATGTGCTATTTTCGCAACGCCGTAATTTGCACTGCTTATTGATAGATGCATCTCCTGGGCTGTCTCTTAAGGGTGGTTTAATATAGGTATTCGTAATTCATGATAGGGGCCAAAAACATGTGTATAGCTAATTCTTAACTCAATTCATCATTCTGGGGGTATATAGTTAACTGGGATAACATAGCTATTGTCAAGTGTATTCAAAAAAGGGTTGATGGTACAGTGCCAAAGTAACCTATTCTTCCAAGTTACGTGGTAAAAGTTGGGTGCTCCATGGCGAGCTAGTTATAATTTATAATTCGTAAAACATTGTTTCCATATCTTAGCAATCAATCCCCAGTCTCCAACCCTCCAGTCCTCCCGGTGCATGCTTAGGTATATAATCCCGCTCTAAATCATAGAAAAAAAAACCAAAATGCAAAAGAGACAAAAGTGAGAGCCTTAATTAGCTGGAGTCCGCTCGTAGAAAACTAAGTATGCCTGCTCATTATGCAAATTATCAGGGGACGACCGTGAAGAGCTTGGTTGGAAATCCGTTACTCGTTGGTCATCGAATTTACGCCAACATTTGCGAGGCTCATCTCTAACCAAAGAGATATAATGTCCTTCGTTCATTGTTGAGCCTAAATGTCGTACGACGGCGTAAGCGTTATAGATATATGGTGAGGAAGTGGCGAGTTCGGAAGGTGATAGGGAGGATTGTGGTTTGGTGGAGGCGTGTGGTTTTGGGTCGCCGTTGGTGGCATTTGGTAGAGGAGAGACTGGACGGGACGATTGGGAAGGTTGAGGTTGTTGAATCATGAAGGGGGTCATGTCGAGACCGCGAAGCGGGAACGAGACCGGTGTATGGATCTTACGTGCCTGCTGGCGTCTAGAGGCAGAAAATCTCTTGAAGTGAAACACCAAAAATGGAGGAGCCCGAGTGAGGATGATTTGTTTCGCGGCTTCTCGTTCACGTTTACAGTATGGGCATTTCCATACTTCATCGCCACTGAGCATTTCTTCCTGGCAGTAGCTGTTAAGGCATTGGTAGATGTCACCTGTCCCTGTGGTGGGGATTTCGACACTAATGCTATAAAATGCTTCGTAAGTCGTTGATGTCTTGCGGCATGTGGTGCAACGGAGTCGACTGGCGTGTTGCCCAGCAAAAAGGGACGATACGTATGATAGCTCACGGTGACAGTATCGGCCCCATTCGATATTTGACACTTTGTGAATTGGCATTTGTTCTCGGCGCATTTCTTCTGCGAACGTTAGTGGCCGTAACGGCGTTCTCTGCCAGTTTAGATTCAAATCTTCATGTAAGCAATCGACCAACACGTCAAAGAATTCCTTTGCGTCTTGTTGTTGGCTTCCAGCCCACTCGGTATTCAAACGGCCAACGAACTTCCGGAAGGATGTAGGCCGGATGACTTCGACGTCGTTCTTCCATAAAGAGCGAATTAAATTAGCGAATAAACCAGGTAGGACACCCTGAGATCCTTTCCAGTTCTTCTGAACCTGTGAATGGAATCGGTTATCAACGAAGAACTTGGTGAGTTGAACCGTAGCACTTAGGCTCTGTATTATTGAATTCATGTAACATGTTGAGCCCAAGTTGATAAGGCCAGTCCGCGGAAGCCTCAGCCGGTCAATAGGTGACGAGTACAATGCCTGCTTATTTGCAGATGATTGTCGAGCGAGCGGCGGTTGGGTCTGGCCGCGATCAGTGACACCACTATAACTAGGCCTGGGAATAGCAGGCGGTGGCCTAGATGGCGCCGCAACAGCTGCAGCATCATACAATGGGAACTGTACCGCACGTCCAGCGCTCACCATAGACTCTTGAATATCGTTGGGTTCAGGGAATCTCCTGAGGAAGTCCTCATAAGTATGTACGAACGACGCGGCCGGCTCTGGGGTAGAGCCATCAATAGTGTCTGGTTCTTCAGTCAGGTCTCCCTCTTCAGTGACGTAGCTTGTGTCTATTTCCTCGTTCCTAGCCTTTTCAAGCCAAGCCCGTTCCTCTTCAGGATTGAGAGGCTTATAATCACGCAGTCGTCTCTTTTTAACCTCCCAACTTGAATTGGCGCTCACTGTCGGGTTCCTCCTCAGAGGCTGCGCTGAATTTGGTGGTGGTTTCCGAGCACGAACAGAACTTAGTATCGCACTTGTTTGCGAAGTTGCCAGGGACTGCGGGCCGACCAAATTGATCCAGGCATCCAATCCACCAGCTAAAAGGGCTGGCGGGCGGCCATCCTTCAACGGCTTATAGAGATTGAACTCGTATAAAGTATCGTAAAGGGCTCGCAAATGAGGAACCGCGCTTCCTGCGGGCGACCCTATTAGGTAGGTTGGCTCGGTCGTGCTTTGATCATAATAAACAACCAGGTCAAATTCGTTCCGCCTGGAGAATAGAGATTGTTCGGTATCAGGTGAGATTATAAGGCGATCCTCAAGTTCCTCTGCGGATATGTTTTCTTTCAGTGCCACGGGTTCAATGCATATAATGGACTTGGCGTAGATATGACCAGCGTCATATTGGTCCCGTGAGCGAACATCAATAAGGAGAACGTCATATTTTCGAAGATAATCCACTAATTTGCTAGCAGTGATAGTCGACCCAACATAAATCTCTGAAGCTCTATTTCCGGAGTCAGTCTCGGTGCGAGTCCCGTTGGGGGTCTGCGAGCGATAAGGATTATCCGCACTGATGTTGATGCTGCTATTCGAATTGGTAGCTCCTGTGTGCGTCTGTTTGTACACTGTATTACGTATACTGTCGACAGATGTCCTCGGTGGGTTCGGCGTGGGAGCCGAAGGAACGCTCCATATAGGGCTGTAAGCAGGACTTGGATATCTGGGGAGTGATGCATCCACTGCTGGCATGGGGACCTTTGGAGGGATAGTTGGAGCAATGCCAGATAACGGATTCATCTCTCTAGGGCCAAGAGGTTTCGGAGGTGTCATGTGCAGTTGATTTGGATTGACCTGTGACTGTGGGTGTGGTCGATAGGCAGCAGGGTTTCCATTGAGAGTATTTGAGTAGGTAGAGCCGTTTGACCCCTCGCTTGCTATGATGCTAGCTTGCACAATATTTTGCCGCTGGTTCCTCAGATTCGCAAATCTCTGCGCAAGCGGATCCTGTGCAGCTGCTTCACCCGCAGGCCTACTGCCTACTAGGCCGCGCGAGATTTGATGGTCGGTTCTGGGGGTTAACGACTGTCTTTGAAAGCTGGTCGGGCTTGGCATGCGAAGGGGTGCCGCAGGTGCAGTTGAGGTTGAACGAGAATGTCCTGCAGCGCTGTTACTCGCCATTATTTTTCGCTTTATGTCTTCCATGGTTTTATGTTGGGAATCAACAAGCTTGAAGCCGTTAGCTATGTAGTCTTACAATGAAATGGCAATAGCATAGGGCAATGCACACCGTGATTAACCTAGAGAACTGGTCTGCCCACCTTGGGTGGTTCTGCTTCATATATGTAAAATCGGCATGGCGAGGGATCATGTTGACCGTGATATCTGAGGCGCGGAGATAGTTAACGAGGGCAGAATCGTATTTACCTCTCTGAGCGAGGGTTTTGGCTTTGTTGATGGCATCTTCGGAGATATGTAGGAGTTCGTTCAACTAGACGAGGACGAGCTGTCAGCACAATCTTGAAGTTTCTAACTTGTAAGCTGGAATGGATAGTAAGCATCATACCGAAGGATCTTCACCCAAGTTCAAGCAAGCTGCCATATTCTGCAATTCCTTCATCGAGGGATATGGGGGTTTGCCCGCACCCGGGTTGTGAGCTCCATCTCCGTTCCTCCAAGGCGGTTCCGCCGGTTCCGCCATCTGGTACCCAGATCAGAGCAGCGTAAGCGTCAGATATGCCTAGTTATCTCATGCGCCGGACCCGGAATCCTCCTCTTTTCGCTGTTGGAAATGCCGTGCTGTGGCTGTCGGACCGTCATAAGACACGCCCCTCTATCCGATGGATGGTGGCCGATCGGGCTGACGTGAACGAGAGTCTGATCGTGTCGTCCCCCGTAGACCGCCAAAGGACCTGTATCCTAGACTATCCGCATCTCCAGAGCGCGGATCAAGAGCTTCTCGTCCGTGTCTTTTCGTCAGTCTGCGCATACATACGTAAAGTCCGCGCTTGGGATGTCATAATTCCACCTCACGTGACCATATAACCTCCGCCATCACATGACGTCTTTTGGCTGCGATGCTAAACCAGGCACTCAACGTTTAGTTCCGCGCAGCGAGCGACGAGGCGAATGCGAAAAAGGCCGGCGAAGGGCTGTTTGATCCTTTTATTCTTCTGCCTGAGCTCGGAGCGACGTTTAGCGCGGCGACTGTTGCCTGTATTTTGTGCTCCGGCTGTCCGCACTTATCTACAACCTCAAGCTCCCTCACAGTGTCGTCATCATGGCGAGCTGGTTTACATCTTCGTCGCCGCTGGACGACCAGGTCGAGAAAGCTACATCGTCTAGCTTGTAAGTGCTTTAACCCGGTGACCCTTGCGTGTTGTTGACAGATGCTAACCTTTGCCAGAGAGGATATCGCTTTGAACCTGGAGATTTCCGACCTGATTCGATCGAAAACAGTGCAGCCGAAGGAGGCTATGAAAGTCCTGAAGCGCAGACTAGAGACCAAGAACCCCAACGTCCAGCTCGCAACCCTCAAGGTATTGTCCGGCTACATATTATCATGGTGTCCAACGGGTGATAATAGTTCGTCTTTCTAACCAGAGCTCCTTTGCATAGTTGACCGATACTTGCGTGAAGAATGGCGGCCGGCACTTCCTCGTCGAGATCGCATCGCGAGAGTTCATGGATAACCTCGTATCGTTGCTCAAAACCGAAGGCCCCAATGCTCTGAACCACGAAGTTAAGACCAAAATGCTAGAACTTATACAGAACTGGGCAATGGCCGCTCAGTCCCGGAACGACCTTTCTTACATCACTGAGACGTATCGGAAACTACAAAATGACGGATATCACTTTCCACCAAAAACTGAAATAGCGAGCACGATGCTTGATAGCGATGCTGTAAGTGGTCCTTGTCATGAGGTGCTAGGAATACTTCATTTTTTTTAGTGAAATAGGGAGCTAATTATGTCTGGATAGCCCCCGGAGTGGATCGACTCAGACGTATGTATGCGATGTCGCACGGCTTTTACATTTACCAACCGCAAACACCACTGTCGCAATTGTGGCAACGTGTTTGATTCTCAGTGTTCAAGCAAGACCATCCCCCTACCGCATCTTGGGATAATTCAGCCCGTTCGGGTGGACGATGGTTGCTATGCGAAGCTTACCTCAAAGCCCACCAACGCAGCCGCACGGTCGTTTCATACTTCAGCCAACCCACCTCCAATATCTTCAAATAAACCCCGCATGGAGCCTCGTAGTGCTTATGCGGAGAACGATTTTGATGAAGACTTGAAACGAGCGTTGCAAATGAGTCTTGAAGATGCAAAAGGACAACACTCTACTGGCTACGTTCCACAAACCAAACCATCATACTCTGCTCCAAAGGTGCAAGTTAGCGCCCCCAAAAATGATGAAGAGGAAGATCCGGATCTCAAAGCAGCTATTGAAGCATCGTTGAGGGACATGGAGGAGCAGAAGCGGAAGCATACTGCCGCCCTGAAAAACTCTACGTCTAGCGATAGAGCAGTAACCAGTAAAACTGCTACGATAACGCCGAAAAAGGATTACGAGTTGACGCCGGTAGAAGCTGAGAATATAAACCTGTTGGCTACTCTGGTTGATCGGCTCCAGCACCAACCCCCAGGCACCATCCTCCGAGAACCCCAAATCCAGGAATTATATGAAAGCATCGGCGCTCTACGACCGAAACTTGCCCGGACGTATGGTGAAACTATGAGTAAATATGGTATGCTTTTTTCTTTTTTTTTTTTTTTTTTAATTCTACGATATATTTGTCAGAAGCTAACTGTTATAGATACTCTCCTTGACCTTCATGCTAAACTATCCACTGTCGTACGATATTATGACCGGATGTTAGAAGAGCGATTATCAAATACATATTCACGCCAAACCTTGAATGCGTATGATAGTGTTCGACCTCAGTCAACTTCAAACGTCTATCCTCCGATGCCCCAGCAAAACACAGGCGGCCGTGAAGGGGCAGAAAGCTTCTACCTTGGGACCGGAGCACCTGAACCCCACTCAACAGCATACACTCAATATCCAAATAACCATTCCCAACCACCACCAGAGCATGCCTATGAGTATCAGGGGCCTGGGCCGTCAAGCGCACCTAATTTTGACCGCAGAGCCTCTACCCATAGTAGCCTGCATTCCCAAACCAGGCAATCTGGAGGATACTCCAGGCCACCACCCCAGAATGCCCAGCCCGATTATCCAAGGCTGAATGACACCCATGATCCGAGCAACGTCCCAACACCAAACCAACAGTATCAATACTCTTACCCCCCGCCGATGCAGCAAAACCACCAACCCCAGCCGACAGTTTCTCATACTCCCCATGATCCTTCATACCCTTCCCACCCAGGAGCAGAGGCTGTATCACCATCCCATGCTGCAGCCCAGCCTTACCCACCTCCGCAGTTCCCACCAACACAGCCCCCATCCCAACCTGGACACCCCTACCAATCTTTCCAGGGCCCGGTAAGCCCTCCATCCCACCCTGCCACGACGGAGTTTGACCACAGCCAGCACTATTATCAGCAGCCACCACCCGCAACCACTCAACAACCTATCTACCCAGCTCCATCCCCAATGAACGGCCAACACCCCAGCCATAACACCATGTCTCCCGCCCTCCAGCCACCACTCCAGCAGCAGCAAACACACCCAAAGCCGGTTGTCGAGGAAAGCCTGATCGAACTTTGACCTGGGAACGACTACCTGCTCTGACTATATATCTTATGTTTTATCTAATATGCATCCCGAGTATCTTCCAAGCATATCTTTTCCTCATATCTAGAAGACTGTAACTTGTAACTGTTTTGATGACTATTTTCCGGCTTTCTCGGCAGGGCTTTTGTACTCTAAGGTATTCAATAGAGACCAGATATTGTAATGCAGCATATCATCCTTTCCCTTCCTCCCTTTCTTTTCTCTTACTCCTTTTCTTCTCCTCCTGCCCATATAATTACATAAGCACGTCCTTGAATTAAACTATTGACACGTGACCCTCTTACCGCCTTTTAAATGCCAAGACGTCATTTTGCCTAGATGTCTTACATAAGCACTGGCCCAAAATGGACACACCCGAAGAAAGCGCAACGGCGATTCTGATATCACGAAGAACAACTTCCAGCCCGCAACTTCAATCGTTCAGCTTTCACGACGCCGACAGACACACCCGATCACCGATAGCAAGGGTTGCTGTGCCCCGGTGACTCGCTCGTTTCACACGGATTCATGGCATTTGAACACTCGCCAGCTCGCCAATCATCCAGCTGGCATTGCTGCCCAACGACAGGTCGCTTCGTGTACAGATCACTTTCTGTCCAATTGGTCATTTGCGCTTCAACCTGCCGCTGAGATTTGATCCAATTGCAGTTCTGCCCCCTGCGTACTTCATATTCAGTCAACTTTATTCTCTACCGGACACGATCGACCTGTGCACCCCCCTCCCTGACGGCTTTCCTAGATACTGTCCTATCCCGAGAGCTCTCCCCCTCCAGTGTGGATCAGTGCGGCGCATTCCCCGGCCAGCAAACAGCCGTCAAAAATGCCGTCGGGTCGCAGCAGCGCGCCGCAAGTTAAGCGCTCAGTCTCCTCGCCTCAAACGCCGTCCCCTCATAACGAGCACATACCTACGTCTCCCAACCTGCTCGCCCAGCCGCATAAATCGGCGGCTGCTCATAAAGCTCATAGGCCACACGTGGTGGGAGCGCAACGCGCGCATGGCCGTAACATGTCGCAGATGAACCTGAACAAACTGCAGAGGCTGGCTGTTGCACATAACGTCACAGGCGACCTCCACGGAGGACAAGAAGCGCCAGCAACGGGCCGGCGACAGCATATGCGGAAGAAATCCGCGCCGTCGTCCCCTGCAACGAGTCCGAAGACAGGCCACCACGTTCGGTGGAATGGCTCTGCGGTTGCCTTGGGCGGCGTCTCCTCTAACCCTTCTATGAGAAAGAATCTCTCCACGCCAGTCCTGAAACGAGAAGGCTCAGCCGGCAATATTGTTAAAAAGGGGCATCTCTTGGGTGAACTCACCAAGATTGAAAAGCCCGAAGAAAAGAAGACTGTCGGCTTTGAACTTGCCGGCTCAGACGAGGAGGAAGATGATGAATGGGAAGACCATAGCTCACCATCGACAGCCAGCACGAGGCGGAATTCGCTAGTATCCGGAGGAAAGGTCGGCAACGGCGACGGAGCCCAACAGAGCACATTGACATTCACCAAGTCTCCACTAGTTCAGCAAAACAATGCAGCAGATATGAAGCCAGAACCAAAAGAAGAGACGACGCCATCAGCAGAGGCGCGCACTGGTCCTACTACATCTAACGACGCGCCGGTTCAACCAGCCGAACAGCAGAATGATGTAACCCAACGACTTCTCTATCGCCAGCACTCAGGAATGGTACCTCCTGCAATATCCTCTATTTCAGCCACCGCGACCCAGGCGCCGCCAGAACGAAGCTCCAGAGTATCGTCTTTCGCCAATTTATCGAGCCTAGGCGGGATAAACCAACCTGACTCGCGTGCCACCGATAGAGAGGAGCCCCAAAGATTCAGCCCTAATACTACCTCTTCGTCGACCGAGGCAGGAGTCTCCCGTTTCCTGATTAACCACGCGAATGGGAGTCAACCTGGCGGCCGGTCCGAGTCGGACTTCTCTACCCCTTCCTCCTTTCTCCCTCACTATCAACCGCGCACTCCCCCTTCTCCGGAAGCAGCAATCTCCAAAGCGCTCAAATCACCAACATCTCGTCGTCGCCCGGCAGAACCGCATTCCCGTACCCAACAAAAACTTTGGCTCCAAAGAACAGCGACACTCTCAACCTCGCCATCCGAGTCCTCGATCGGGCCTATGGCGCCTGCTATAGCTGCTCCAGTAAATGACCCAAATACCGCCCATCCACGACTTGTCAACGATCCCCATCGTGCTCCCGCTACTTCAGGTGGGTTCGCAGGCGGACCTTCGACGGAGGGCGAGTCTAAGAGGACAAAGAAGGTGTATGAGCGGTTCACAGCGGAATTTTCGGTCATGCATCGTTTCCGAACTCCAGTCGTGGATAGTCTGAATCGGATCTACGATATGACCAAACCACCACAGGGGCAGGATGGAGCATCACAACCAAGCACCTCTACCCCGGGCCTATTGAACGCTGGTGAAAACCATAACGAGTCTTCGCAAACACGTAATGGCAGCCATACGCCGAATAATCCGTCAAAACAAGGGAAGCATGGCTCAGTCCGATTCCAAAACCAAGGCGACATGGTCAATATAGTGGATGCTGGCCAGCAGGAACAACAGGGTCGACAACAGTCCAATCGTGATGATATTGATAGTAGCGGCTATAACGAGGATTCGGACGATCTTAACGATGATGCACCCCCTCACGAAAGCAATGGCAATATTTCGCATGCTGCAAATAACGGCTATCAGCTTACTGAAGAAGAGCTGCTAGTGCGGCGTATGTGGAATAGCCGCGAGGTCGCTGTCCCAGGCGATTAACAGACGCCTTGACGCCTTCTTTATTATGCATTGTGGTTGGAATAGTCAATTTGTTTCTTATTAATTTCTACTTCTTGAGATTTCAATTAGCCCGTTTGTTGCGTGGCCCTAGCCATTGCCTTTTTCCTTGGAGGGATTATTTGTGTATATAAGTTTTGACTTTGTACTCTCTCTGTAAAGCTGAATTAATTCTCGGCCTCAGCCTCTTTGTATAGCACGACGTCTAATTGCTTGGGGCCCAGGATTTCTAGCCTCCCCCTAGAGATAGCAAAGCTTTCTATAGTGGAGTTAAGTGGATATCGATTGGCCTGTTTATTCATAGCCCAAGCACCAGTTTTATTTTTAAATATTAGTCTAACTAGCTTGTTAATCTTGATAACTTTATACCAACGACTCTCAAACTACCAGTTCTGGATCATTACTGAGATAAAGGTATCGTGGGTTCTATCTATAGATAATCAGGTAGAAAAATTCTATCTCTATAAAACAAGCCTGGAGCTATTATGTATCCTCGCGGCAAGAGTCTAAGTAAGTAGAAGAGGATGCGTACGTCTATCAATAAATACAAATATAGCCACACGTTAAGCCCAAACATCCGACCCATAAAGTATTAAACAATTAAATAATACAGAAAAGTATCCATCAGTAACACGCGAAGGGCATGCATGCGGCTGTGGCCAGAGAGAGACGTTCAGTCCAGCCGAGATTAACTCAAAGCCCTGAAAAGATTGAAGGTTATGAAACGTTTTGTGTGCTAGCAACCCCTCCGCCACCTCGTGCTGGGCCACCTCTATGTCGGCCTCGGCCACGGTCACTGTGTCGCTTCCTATCGTCAGCATGAGAAGGTGGAGCTCGTTTCTGTGGAGGTGGATGATCACTCGGTTTTCCACCGGCTGAGGCATCTGCACCAACCTGTTTAGAAGATGATACACCTGTCAGTCCTTCACCATCTCGCGGAACGTGTTGGCGCGCCTGCTGCCCTCCTCTTCCTCTACCTCTCCCGCCTCCCCTAGTTGAACTAGTTTTCCTACTCTTCACTTTCTCTGCCTCCATCTTCGCTTTGGCTTCCGCAGCTTGCTCCTCCTGCATCACACGCTGAGTCTCTTGGTCCCACCATTCTTGGAACTCTTGTTCAACTTGGATATCGTGCAGATTATGTTTCGCCGTGGCGGCTTCGTGGATTTCATCCTTTTCAGTCTGTTGCTGTAGGAGAATTGTGGCGAGGGAGATTTGCGATGTGCCGGGGCCAGGGCCAGAAGCAGAGGTCGACACTGAGGTTCTTATTATAGGCGTGCTGAGTTGCATTGGCTTGGGTGCAGGCGCACGGGGGGGTGTTTTTGGATACGTCGGCTTCATCTGCGGAGATGCCGAGCCAGAGACAGTACCTGAACCCGCAACTGTTTGGCGGAGGGTTAGAGGCGTCTTTGGCGTGGCGCGCGCTGGTGTTGGCGTAGCTATTTCAACCTCAACTTTGGTCGGCTTAAGCTTCGGCGATTGAGCAATTTGCCATATCGACGAAGTGCTAGTACCAGGTTTGGCTGGTTCTTGCTCAGCAGCCATCTGCTGCTGCTTAAGCTTCTTGCGTTCCTTCTGGGATAACTTTGGCGAGAAGTTCCGTGTTGCTTCTAGTTCCGCGCGGGAAAGGCCCTCGACACGAGCAGGCGGGGTGTGGGGATTATTCGTTTCGGCCATAATATCTCTGAGGCCTGCTCGTGTTTTTGTGGGTGTGATTGAGCACCAGGGGGCTTTGGGCGGTGGAGAATTCGGGGTAGTGCTATTGTTAAAATCGCGGGAGGATGGCTGACGGGGTATTGTCTGTGGTACAGCTGCGCCTCCGGGGGCGCGAAGGCCTGCGTATGACGACTTTGCGGACAGTTGGGGGAAAGTAGCTGGTCCTAGATCCAAACCCAGACCAGGACCGGAGCCAGGAGCCTGGGAATGAGGTTGGGTTCGCGGCGAGCCACGAGAGCTACCCGCTGGAGTTTGTCTAGAGCTATCTCCCCGACGACTTTCGGGGTGAAGGGATGGCTCGTCGTCCATTTGGAAGATAAGGTCACCTACTGATCTCTTTGGAACAAGTGTAGGGCTTGCTTCAACGCCTAGTCTATCCGACGGTGGTGTGACGATGCCTACTTGTTTCCCTCGGCGTGCCAAAGGAGACAGAGAGGCCTTATCCCTTTCAAGACTCCCGGGCCGTAGATGCGTGTCACGCACCTCATCCTCATGTAAGTGCGAGCGAAGCTTCATTGCATCTATACGGCGTCGTTTATCCTGTTCCACGAGCGAGATGACTTCCGGGTATCGTTGGGTGAGGAATGATTCAGCATTACGCCCGCGTGAGATAGGCTGGGAGGTGAGCTGATTCTCCTGGCAGATTTGATCGAGTTCCGATAGCAAGTCCGGGTCAAGGTCGTCGAGCAGTCTATTCTCCAGCATGATCTCAAGATTAAGACAAATAAATTCCAACGCTGCATGCTTGAACTCCGTCACGGAACACGGCATCACGGCATTGAGAAGCTGACACACATTATGTGTCGTTACGAACATGCTCAATCTCTGCTGGCATATCTGCGCCAACCGATCAACCATCAACTCATTCGCGACACTCAGCACGTCAATGACTATGTCCATGAATGCCTCGCCATCAGCAACTCGCACGTCATCGAACAGCTCCTCGTCGACATCAGCGTATACATATCGCATCACAAAGCCCCATACTTTAGGGTCGATGTGTGACAGGTCAACGCGTATGAGCTCAGGGGCTTCTCGTTCCTGGCCGGCAAGCCTATGATGGAGCCATCGACCACCTGCACGGCCCCGAAAGAGGCCATCGAAAAACGCACATCGGTTATATAAGACATGGCTGTGGGCTTTTACCTCTGTGCCACCCTCGAGCTCGAGGAGAACATCAGCAGTGTCGAAGAAGGAGGATGATGACGAAGAATTGGACGTGTCTTGGATAGCGGCGGCCATGTCATGGTGTAAACTTGGTGACGGCTGAATCATTATTCTTGTCGCACGTTCGAGGGCCGGCATTTCTAGAGCAGTTGCTAATTTGATTACGTCTGCGCGTATTTGGCGATATACAGTTGCATTTGTCTGCTTCTTATCATGCCGGTGCCTGATCCAGATGTCATATAGCCTGTCTGTGTATAGATATATGGCTAGGTTGAAGAGGGATAGGAAGGAGAAGTTGGTGAAGAGGAGATGCACTTGGCCTGCCTTGTCATATTCGATGGACATTATGCCGGGGAGAGTGAAGTAGTATTCCTTGCGGAAGGTAGAGAGGGCATTCCGCAATATGGGGCTGCGAGCTGAGAGCGTGAACTCGTGTACGGGAATGCGTGTGTCGCTGGATGTAGTAGAGAGCCATGCTATAGATGGACTAGAGAGTGATTGGGAAGCCCGTTGAGAGTCTAGGAGGGTGTTCAATTCCTTTTCAACATCGATATCGGCATCAACGTCAACATCAGCATCCTCATGCTGATTTGAAGTATGTAGTGCAGACGTGCGGATATCAACCCTTCCTAGCCCCTCACCAGTGACCTCCAGCATCCCCTCGAACGGCATCAGGGGTCGAATATCAGCCCACAGCCGCTGTTCACCAACCACCACGCTCCGCCTAGCCACATCACAGCTACGCTGAATGACAGCATAGGCTCCAAAGGCGTTACTCCGCACCCCCACAGCACGGGAGATACTAGTCACTCTAACGAATTTATATTCTTTCCCACCAGCGACTCCTGCAGATGTAGATTTGATACCTGCCCTGCGTTCCTTCAACCAAGCGGATCCCGCTTGGGTACAGATAATGATGGATCCGTCCTGGCCGACATCGACGTCACGAACGGCCATGTGGCTTTTCTTAACAGCCCAGGCACGAGTGGGTTGGGGTAATGAATTGCGGATCTTCGCTGGGTTGGTAGTCGATGTTGAAGTTGATCTGTTCTCTCGATCTCGGTCTTCGTCTCTTCGGTCAGGGACAGAGACGGTAAAGACCTCTCCTCCACTTGAAAGTGCACATATCGTGTTCCCACCAGCCCGTGCCTTCGTGACGTAGCTCACTCCGCCACCGTAGCGTGCGGCCATGAAGCTGCTCCGAATAAAACTCGACACAGGGCCGGTTAGGGGAAATATAAGCTTCGAATACCCGTAGTGCGTAAACACCCAGACCTCATGATTCTCCAGCAACACGACAGTAGCACGTTCGATGGCAGAAACTGAAGATATGGATACGTTGAATAAAGATGCTCCCACTTTTCGTGGGATAGGCTGAGAAGTAAGAGAGCGTGCGTCCGCGTCCATGAGGCCCAACTGGCCATCGTTGCGGCCGAAGGTGTATAGCGCAGAAGAAGTAAAGACGACAGAGTGGATGGGAGAGGCGGCTGCACCAAGGATGCGGTCACGTTTGAATGGGTTAAAGATCTGGCGCGGGGAGAGCTGGGTGGGTATGTCGTTGGCCGAGTTACCGGCAGTAGGCTTGGGTTTGGGCAATGTATAGCCTAGCTGGCCATGCTTGTTGCTGCCCCAGGAAAACACTTCACCCTGGTCCGAGACGGCGATGGTGTGGTCCAACCCCAGGGCGACGGTGGTGATGCGTTTGCCCGCGATGGCCCCCGTGTCTATGCACACGGGACTAAAGGATGTTCCCTCGTGGCCGGTTCCGAGACGTCCACCGGGCCCGAATCCGCACATGTATAGATTACTGCAGGGATCGGTGGTGAGGATGGCTGTGTGTAGCTTGGACATGACCACATCTTGCACGATCAAGGGGGTAGAGCGGACAAGGAACGGGAGATCACCGGCCGGTTCGTACTCTAGAGCTGCATCCTCGTACTTTTCCTCGTAAAAGCGTTGTATCAAGGCATCCGGTCGTGGCAAGGTGATACGTTCGGGAAACTGGCGGTCGTCACCATCCCCGACGCCCAGAGAGAGGTTCTTGTTGCTTCCAAAGGTAAACAGCTCGTCACCGTCCAGACTGACCCGTGGAGCAATAGACTTGGTTATTCCGTACTGCTCTCCAACCTCGTCTTCACCACTGACCGCACTCTCATCATCTTCATCGTCGTCTTGCCCCTTATCCGTCTCCGTAGCGGCATCATAGATGACAGTTGAACTGAAGACCTCAAACGGACTGTTCCCTTCACGGTCTTTAATCTTAATCAGACCACCGCTACCACTGCTATCTTTATCCATAATGGCCTGTGCAACGGATATATTCCCAGCATACAACGCACGATGCAAGGAGGTCCACCCGCTCTCTGCATCCTGCAGGTATATGTCCAGAAACGGGCCTGGAACGGCCAGCAACGCACACGCAAAGCCATACGCGCTCTTCTTCTCTGACGAGGCGATGAGATGCATCAACGTCCTCCCATGCCTGTCTCTGGCATTGATATCATTCCGTGTCAGCGTCGTATTGGCCAAGCCAGCCTTCTCTGCTGGCGAAAACGAAAACGCACCCGCACCCGCACCCGATGACGACTTTCTGTGTTTCGAAACCGCACTCGGCGAGCCGTAGGAGTGAGAGGTGCCCGTCACGACGGCGGAACTATTCTTATGTGTGTGGGGAGATGCAGCGGCGAACGTGGCGCTGGCCAGCAGACGGGAGAAGGCGTCGACATCGTCCTGGAGAAAGAAGTGAAGCAGTTGCCAGCTCATGTGCCGCAGCGTGAGGGCTGCTCTTGTTGTCTGTGTCTAGTAATCTCTCCTCGATGGCTGTCTCTTGATCGTATAGGTGGCCTTGACGGAGCTGCGGCAGGGTCGGATGACTGGTTCGTAGGTACTCAGACCAATGCAGGTACAGGGTTATGATCGTGCAAACGAGATGAGAGCGAATATAAGAAGACGACGAAGATTAATATGAGATGATATTAGATGAGAAGATGATACTAGATGAGAAGATGAGATAGATGAGATAGAGGAGAAGTGGGATGTTCCTGGAGTCTGGAGGAAGCTCGATCGCAGGCCAAGCTCGCCAGCCAATCAGAGGCCGCAGACCCCGCGGTGCGCAAAACGTGGTTCTAACGCTTATATATAGGGAGATAGGTTGTATTACCATATTGTAGTAATTGATTTGCTTCCATAGGGGGTATTACTAGCACCAACCAAGACTATCGAAGCGTACGATATGTAGCAAACACATAGGCGATGAGCTCCAGGGTACATGTCTACAGCAGGGATATGTATATGTGTAGTGAGCGCATTCAACTCCTCCCCGTTCAATGGCGTCGTATCATGGAGTTCACCCCTTCTGGAAAAATGCCTGTAAGCGCAGCAAACTATCCAACCCAGTTTGCTCTGTCACCGGCCTCTCGACCCCATTGATCCATATAAACCCGTATCTTAACAAGACTCCAACTCTTCTAGAAATGTCGATAAGCTTCTTATCATCTTCTGAGATACTACCGACCTCGTAATGGAAAGTGGTCCAGAATGCTTCTTCGAGAGAGTTACTAGCACCGTAGTAATGCCAACCATCCTTGTCTGAAAACCCAAGAAGTGTCTCTAACCCCCACAAGGATAGCCCGAAAGGTTGGATGCTAGCTTCCGCCCAATCTATAACTCCAGTCAAATCTCCCGTCTCTTCATCCACTAGGAGGTTCATCTCATTCAGATCACCATGGCATAATGCGCAGCGAAAGTCACTGCCAAAAAGGAGATCCAACTCTGTTCGAGCAGTTAAAATTGCTAGAGTAAGATATGGTGGCATTGACTTGGAGAGTTGCTCGAGCTTCCTGTCATAGTTGCTTTGTAGCAGTGTCTCTGGTCGCGGTTGCGCCTTGATCCATGATGCAGCGAAAAACCTGATACTGATGGTAAGCTAAATCACCGTAAGCTTGAGGGCGAAACATACCTTGCAAGCCCTACTACCGTATTCATCTGCTTCTCAATGCCAAAACTGACAGTGATGTAAGAAACACCGGGCAGTCTTTCAATAACGTAGACGAATAAAGAATCATCCGCCATCACCCCGTATGACTTGGTCTTGGCTGCCAATTTACTATGTACACTCTTCGCAAGCGAAGTCATTTTGGGGTCAAGCTGCGACTTGGGAGAGCGAAATTGTACGATCGTGGGCTCGAGGCCTGCAAGCAGTGTATAGCTAAACTGTCCCTGTATCGGTACACGTTTGACTGGCTCGCCGAGAAGATTAATTGCAAAGGCATCGCACTGTTGTGGTGTGGCAGGAGCATGATCCTCGAAGAATTGAGTGACCTCAGCGCTGAGATCATACTGACGTGGGAGCATCGCGTGGGAGTGAGAGATGGGTGAATCTAATACTTGGTCATAGCAATAAAACCCTTATAGAGAAGTATTAGTTAACGCGTTGTTCCGGCCCGATGTCCGGCGCAGTGTGAAACAACGTCGCTTGGAGGAACTTTCGACCTACCACTTGGGAAAAGCAAACGAAGGAGTATCAAGATTCTTCTAATTTCTTATTCTTAAGGGGTACAGAAGGCACATTTTTTTTTTAGTAAATACTAAAAAAGATGTAATTTAGTGTTGATATGATATATGGCGTTGATGTGGCCAGCAGGATTGTTGCGATGGCACAGAAGGTCGAGTTAAACAGGAGCAAATATTTGTTGAGCCAAAAAGCGACGCCGCTTCTTGAGTGGCAAAGTAAGAGTTTGATATGTTGACAATATTCTATCTAGGTTTATAGCGGAGTATAAAGTTGGAGTATAAAAAGACGACGTCGATCCAAACAGAGAAATATCTTTCAATTTGTTATTTCGTCTGCTAAGGCATATGACGTTAGGCCAAAGGTCTGTATGTTCTGACTGTTCCTTCTCGACTGTGCCCTAGCTATCTGCTGAAGATCTGTCAGGAACGCCCATCGCCCAGCCGTCTTCCAGCCTTTCGCCAGCCAGTCATTTGCCAGTTTTGGATAGTATTCTAAGGTCTTGTAGATCGTCGTGTCGTGCGCCCACACTACAAACACGTTTTCGTCAGCGTCAAATCTTGCTATACTCTCAATTGTCTCTTCTGCTTCTTTGAGCTCCTCCGGGAAGCAGAGATCTAGGCCTAGATATGGTAATGTGCAGGAAGCACGTGGATGTATCTTGAGGAGTTCATCAGCTGGACAAGGCCGAGGCCTTACACCAGGGACATCGACTTCATCTGGCAGTGGAAGTACCTCCGACGGTCGGAGTTCGCCTCCAAGGTGGATGCTTTCTGCGGCTAGCAAGATAAAGGTGTCCGGCTCAGTTGATGTTCTGGCGAGAGCATTGATATGGCCGAGAGAGTGCTAAATATATCGATGGTGAAAAGGAGCTTTATTCTGGGTGCATGGTTAGGTTAACTCACCCCTGGCGCATCAAGGAGGTAGAAGTTGCCGTCCCCGAAGTAGTCATGAGCACGCAAGCCGCCAATATCGATATTGAAGCGGTCTACCTCAAGGCCTATAATTTTTCAGCCTACGACGTCCGTCTCGCGAAAATGTGCATCGGCGACCGTCGGCCAGCCAGGCATAAAACGGTCGTTTATACCTGGACCCACAACTAGCTCCGCACTGGGTGGAAAGCTGGCAAGATTGCCCGTGTGGTCCCAGTGTATATGGCTGTTTGATCTAAGTCAGCGGAGTTTTGTTTTGCGTTTGGTGTATACAGGTCCTGGGCTTGCCTCCACACCACGGCATCAACCTTGTCCAAGTCCGTCCCACCGTCACGCAAGATGTAAACCAGCTCCCTCTCGACAGTCACTATCGTGCCTGAGCTCTTGAGCCGTGCAACTGTATCGGGAATGAGGTTCTTTTAGTCCTTTTTGATGCCGAGATCAAAAAGAACATGGCGACCTTTATGAGTGATGAGAAACACGTACGAACAAAAGTCGAATGTATCAAGGCCAGCAAACGGCGGATGAAAGAGGTCGCTACACGGGATTTTGTACGCCCATGACGTGGTATCAATGATCGATACGGATACCGTAGAGCTAGATGGTGGTGTCACTACTCCCATTCTGCCTTTGTTTGAGTAATGTCGTTTTTGGTGAGATAGTTGAGCTACCGTCGCCAGCAGCCGCGCGGAGCAGAGCGTACGGGACAAGATCAATGGCGTGGTTGTCCACGGACAGGGCCTAGACAATGAACGGAAAAATGCGAGACAACAGAGCGTCATGTTGGTCAGTAGTAGAGAAGCGCGAGATGGAAGGGGGGAGCTGGATCCAGGGACCGTCTGCCCACACATCCAATCAAAAAGGCAGGGCGGAACAGTGCGATGGGAAATTTACATAACTAGCCTTGCGACATGATGCCATACCATGCAACCCTTATTTCGCAATGTTTGCTGCAAGCATCTGCACTGATTCAAGTAACTTCGGCGACGAGTCAAGTACATAACTACCTCACCCAGTCAGACACCGGAAGACGTTCTCACTACGCTCACGCTCGAGCAGTGGGAGCGCGAGTTTCCCATGTTAGAACTGTGCTTGCGCGAGTGCATTCGCCTACAGCTGGTCGGCACTGGCTTCACAAAAATGTGTCGGGTCGAGACCTGCCCCTGGGCAAGACAGGCGAGGTCATTCCCGCCCACGCATTTGTCGTCTATCTTATAGATGAGGCTCATATGAACCGTAAAGTATACACCAATACCGAGGACTGGGACCCGGCCCGGTAGTTATCTGCCCGGCCGTGCCGAGGATAAAAAGCAGCCGCTGGGTGGCTCAGGTGGATGTGTCCCTCTGATATTATAAAATACTAGGTAAGGCCCGTCTAGTAGTTATTTAGCAGCTTAGAATGGAATTGTCGGGAAATAGAACAAGACCCTCAGCGAAAAGCGCATCTATGCCTGACATGGCATGATGGTATTTCCGGTGGTGTACGCGGTGTCCTCTCCATCGATAGTACATGTCAGGCCCATCCGTAGGCTTCTGCGACTGTGAGAAATCAACCGCCATCACCTCTCTGAGGCTGTTCTCCTGCTCTGCTATGCAGTGTGCACCTCATACGGCTTGCGCGATGGCGACTCATCTGGGTTGGCATGTTCCAAGAGCCCAATGGCACGAGGGAGATTCAACCTCGAGGACGGGACAGCTCGTAATACCCGGTCAAGGGTCAGGAGAGCTTCTTTTAGCACGACTTTTGAATGGAAGCCTCCATATTCCTAACATCAGACCATCACCCGTCACCCTCTCAAATCTAATTGAGAGGCTGTCCCTAAACCGGCATTATCAGATTATCCGAAGCTGAGCTTTCCCAAGCAACACCTCGACAGACACGCAATCTCACAGTTTCACCACGCATCTTGCCCCTGAACGCTGACAATTTCAGCAATCTGGGATATGGACCGGTTCCTTCTACTTGGACGCCGCCTCTTATCTAGAGCACCGTCTCCTCCTCGAGTAATCAGACATCATGGTTTCACCACTCTTGACCCTACGGTTAAGATGGAAGAAGAGAAGATGCCGGCTTATGAGAAGGGTCTCTTTTACCCCGTCAAACTTGGGGAAATATTTAATGCCAGATACCAAGTATTGGGGAAGCTAGGATTTGGCGCAAATTCTACAGTCTGGTTTTGTCGCGATCTAAAGTACTAGCTGTGGGCACCTTGTGCATTCGAGACTTCTCGCTGAACTGCATCCCAGATTACATCGCTATGTAGCTCTTAAAATCTACATACGCAACTCCACGTCGAAACGGGAGGGAGAGATCTTGAAGTATCTCACTGGCTTCCGGTCCTCTCATCCTGGTAGCAGCAAGTTCCGAAAGATGCTTGATGCATTTGAAACCAGCGGACCGACTGGCGAGCATCCATGCTTGGTACATGAGCCTCTAATAACCAGTCTTTTACACCTTCAAGCGATCTTTGTTGGTCACCGACTTCCAGAAAGTGCGCTTAAACCATTACTACGAGAGCTGCTCACCGCTCTCGATTTTCTACATTCTGAGGCTCATGTTATCCACACCGGTTAGCATATCTAGGGAGTACCTGGCAGAGTGACGTGACGCCGTGGCTGATTGATTTGACACTTAGATATACAAGCGAAAAATATCATGATTGGCACAACAGACCCCATGATATTTGACGAATGGGACAAACTAGAAATCGAAGATCCCACTCCCCGGAAAGCTGTTGATAATTATATGGTTTACAGGTCTCGACTCTTCAAACCAAAACCAGGCTGGAAAGGTTGGGGTTTGCCAATTCTGGCAGACTTTGGGACAGCTCGCATCGCCGAGGGGGAGCAAGAAGGGCTCATACAACCATTCATCTATCGTGCTCCCGAGGTTGTTCTGGGGATGAAGTGGAATGAAAAAGTCGATATTTGGAATGTTGGAGTTCTGGTATGTTGTCTATGTGACTCGTTTGGAATTGCAGCTCGACTTACGTACGCTCTAGATATGGGACCTTCTTGAAAGCCGTCATATGTTTGATGGCGATAATCCTGAGGGAAACCAGTCAAATGCCCATCTACTTGCCGAAATGATCGCTTTACTTGGCCCCCCGCCGGCTGGGTACTTGAAAAGAAGTAAAGAGAGTTGGAGGTACTGGGATGAATCCGGTATGCTCCTTTCATGCAATAATCATTCCGAGTCGATGTTAACTGATTATGTTGAACGGAGATTCGGTGTAATACTGCCTGATCGTACGAAACACGTTAGTCAACTACGCCGTTTCATTAAATATCAGTGTCAGCTCTCCATCATCGAACAAATGCTACGCCCGGCGTTTTAACGCCTGTTTCAGCTGTAGCTGGCATCTCCGCGATGGCAAGATACATGGCCGTATGAGGAACATAAATAGGAGCTCAATATCGTGTATTTAGATGATCAGTGCTTGATAGATTGAAATCTCATAGATTGCTCCAGACCCACCTGACCAATCAAATCAATCAAATATCTCGTATCTCAGAGATTATGACAGGGACGTGGAAGGACATGGTTATTATTCCGAAAAACTCTCTTGAAGAGTCAGAGGAGTACCTTGAAGGAGAGAACAAGAAACTCTTTCTGCGGTTCATGCGGAAGATGCTGACATGGGCGCCAGAAGAAAGACATAGCGCTCGAGAGCTCTTGCTGGATGATTGGCTGAGTCGTTAGCTATTGCTCGACCCCCTCCACAGGGCAGACGAGTGGACATGACACTCATGGCTATCATAGGTGAAAGTCATTCGCCTGTGCCGTCTTATATATAATAATAGACTTGACCCTAGTTACTCCCACGTGACTTGTATAATCTAGGGCCATATATCTCACGGTATAGTTTTTAATTTATCTAGTTGTAACTCTCTCGGTGAGTGCGGACGAAGGCTGGAGGCGAGGCAACGGCGTTGGTTAGACAAAGAGTTCGTATCCAGCCCTGATGTAGGCACCCGCGTTTCTGCCGTGATCAGCATGTGTAAGGGGCTAGCGGAGGCTAACCGATAGGCATCACCATAGAAGAGCAGGAGAACGAAGAAGAGAAGATGTGATGTGATGTGTCTGAAGCAGCTCATGCAGTGTATGACTCCTCGCAGCATGACTCTTGCAGGGATCTCCTGTGACAGCCTGTCTCTTGTCTCTATCTCTGTCTTCTATCCTCCTTCTGTCTTCCTCTCCCTGACTTCTCTGTCTTCTGTCTTCTGCTGTCTGGTGATAGTGTCTTATGGTGTATGGCGTATGGCGTATCTTGTATGGTACAGAACAAGACTGTACAGGGATACCATACAGGCAGAAAAAGGGACACTTCCGCGCCAGTAGGAAGTCACGCCGTTGGCTGGGCGGTGAGAATTTATTATGTCATTGTGTATCTTATGTATGCATGTACGGTATAGTACAATACAACAGTGAGGCTCATACGCACACTCTACATATATACACAGAAGATGATAAGATGGTGGGTGATAAGAGGATAAGATATGATATAGAAAACTAAGATAAGAATAGAAGAGAAAAGAAGGGAGATAGAAGAAGAAGAATGGACATGATATAGGCATGATATAGGCATGATATAGGGCAGATTAGTCAGGTCAAAGTGCAGGTCAGGTGCTCGCCCGATAAGGAAGACTTCAATCTCCTCCATCTTCTCTCCATCTTCTCCTCTTCTTCTCTTCTTCTTCTTGATATCTATCTTATTCTCTTCTCCTCTCCTGTTACTATCTTCATGCCGTATGCAGGAGCCTGGCATGTCCCTGCTGCTGCCTCCTGCATAGCCTGCCTAGCGCATCGCCCGGCTTAGCGGCCCATCCCTGTGGAGAGAGCTCCCCGGCCATATTAAGCTCTCCCATCCATCATCGACCACCACCAGCACACACACACCCACATACCGGCCAACCTGCATCAAACAACGTCCACGCCAGTCCACGTCTGCGGCGCTTCACTTGTCCTCCATATTCTTCGGGTTCCTTGCTCTCGACTGGCTTCTGCCTGGCCCAACACCATTCCTGCCGCCTCTTCCTACCCGGTTCTAGACCCAAGCATGGTCGCAAGAGGCACCACCACATCTGCCTGTCTCTGCATCATCCCCGGTCGACCTTGAAGGCTTTTTTTCTTCTTCCTCGTCCTCGTCTCTCTCTCTCTCCCGTCAGCGTGAAATATTCTGGTGCTCGGCTATGTTATCATGGCCTGTGATCCTTCCCACGCCTTCTTTGCTCCCTCTGCTGGAAAGTAGACCGCTACTACTGTCGTCCCCATAAACACCATCCTCACCACCATACCAAAGGGTATAATGCATCAACGACCACGGCCGGCGTCTCGGCCGGCCTCGGAGGCGTCTAATCCTGCACTCTCGGCGGACGGGAGACCGCTCACCGAGAAACAGGTCCAGGACCAGATCACCAAGCTCAACCAGATCGTGCAGGTATGCTCAGAGAATGAGATAGGGTGGCAGAGACAAAGTACTAACGGGGGTATAGAACTACCACACGAAAGCGGCGCTGATAATACTGCATTCGAGGACGGTTCTACGGCCAATCTACAAGGATGGGATTAAGAGGGTGAACAAATGGGTACGTTTCTTTCTATACGGCCTCGCTATCTCGATGCTAACAACGGCCGCAGTTCAACGTCGAGGTAGACGACACAGACGCCCTGCGAGAAGACCTCACCCAATGGCGAGTCTGCACCGCTACCGACAGGCGGCCCGAACCCCTCGTCATCGAAACGTACATTGATACCTCCCAGCTCACAAACTACCAGGACTTGGTCATCCTCGACGACTGCAACAAACGATGGGACGTGCTTGAAGCTCTGTCCAATATTCCCGGAGGACCGGAGAAGCGGAAGGGTGCGAAGAACGATGTCATCCTGGAAAGATGGTTTATCGAACTAGGCCCATCCGCCTCGGCTCTGCCACGGGATATGACGCACATTCTACCGACCACATACAAGAAATGCATCATTACCTTCCGGTCCCTATTCGCTTACTCTAAGTTCCTGCCGGCGTGGAAGTTCTCCAAGCGTCAGTCAAAGGTCACCACCAGTCCCGTTCTACGGCTACAGCATCGTATACTGCCGGCCAGTAAGTCTCTACATGGAAGTCGATCGGATACCCTGACCATCCCCCTTCATGATGGCGGCGGCGATGTGGTGGAAAACTACTCCTTTGGAGTGACCGAGTCTCCTGCCGGCCCGCTCTCAATCAGAGTGACGTATCGGACAAACTGTGAGTTCCGTGTCGACGATTCGGAAACGCTTCTTAGCTCTCGGTTCATGGGTGCAGACGATGACCTCTTCCGTCCTTCCTTGCCTACAGAGGACGACAACAACCACCATCGGTCCCAGAATGCAGACGTTGGCTCTTTGCCCGCTAGGCATCGGACATCGAATAATCCGGACCTCAGCCAGGCATATGGCAGCATGTCTACCTTTCATCGGGCCGACCCAGGCGTCAAGGGTAGCCCCATTTCTGCCTTGCGTGCGGCTAGAGAGCTGGGCGGTGGTTCGCCTTCTCCGCCAACATTCATGCCATCGCCAAAACTCGGCCATGCTCGACTTGCTTCGCTTTCCGGTGAAGATGCGCAGGCGCCACAGAGAAGACCGTCGGTATCATACCAGCCCTTCAAGGCGCCGTCACTATCTGCTTCGCCGGCTCTAAGTGCAACCCGTAGTCCATCAAGTAGGGAGCCGGTCAATATGAATGTCAACCAAAACCAGCTCAACCACCCTGCACCTTTACCAAGGACAATTCCCAACTCTTCCGCCCGCCCTCGCTCAGCACACATTCTACCTGACCAAGCGGTCTTCTCGTCAATGTCTGCCTCGCCTAAGCAAACTCCTATATCACGGTATAGCAGCTCCTTTAGTCATCGACGTGGACGCCTATCCACTGGTGGCGGAAGCAAGACCGAAGAAGATAACAACTCGAGTGGCAAAGCTAGTATTAGCTCCTCTTCAGCTGCCGCAGCTGGACAGCGGAACTCGACGTCGGGTGTTTTTCCTGTCATCGATGCAGACGAAGATAATATCTCTGACTTCCTAAAGCTGCTGGACCAGAGGAAGGATCTACTCTCGCATGGCCCTGACAGCTCAACGTTCGATTCCTCGAGCAAGCGGACTACGACAGCTGCGCTGTCAAGGTTCCAGAGGATGAAGGATGCCAATACCGCCTTGTCGGACTCAATGACTTCTTCTCTCCTCCTCCATCGATCAGCTACCTCATCATCGTCAAGTAAACAGCTCCCACCGGCCGCAACGAGCAATCCCAACCCCATAGCCACCTCTGTACCAAACGCCATACCCAGCGGCGTGTCGGGCTCTATATCCTCTTCCCCAGGCAAAGCCATCTCCCCACATACACCCCACACTCCCGCCATCCCATCCCGGCTCAGCTCAAACAGTGTAATTGAATATCCCAACCCCAATGAACCCGGACATATCACTACCACTACTACCCGTTCCCGTCGTGCACCACGTCACGGCTCGCCGCTGGGTGAAACTCAGGAACCTGAACCCGAATCTGAAGCTGGACCTGAATCACAAACGACCACCACTGCAAATGCGATCGATATACCGCTACCCGCTTCCCCGCATCATCGTCACCATCGTAGTGCCGCATTTATCCCTAACTTCCGTCGCTCTAGTTCTGCTGCTCAGCATCGTACCAGCACCACAGCGAACTCCAACAACACCGCAACCGGGGATGAAGATGGGCCTGATTTCCTGCCTTTCCCTACCACAACTAGGAGTATCAGTCTAGGCGCACAGGATAGGTCGCCACCATCAATCAGCGAGCTGTTGCAGACCGCCAGCCCGGATCCAGAGAATCAGCCTCCACCATCCTCCTCAGTCAACAGGCGCGGGAACGAGGATATCTGCCCCCAACCAGATCGGGACGGCGATAGTGACAGTGTAAAGGAAAGATCAACCTCCGGCTATCAGCCTCGGTTCGCTCAGCGACACGACCGAGATACACAAGCACATACGTCCTCGCACACGCACGCACGACGGGCTAGCATGAGACGATTCAGCACCACTCGCTCACCGTGGGGAGCTAGTAACACAAATCCTGCATCTAACCCCCATAGCAGTGGCAATATGGACGAAGACGAACCACTTTTATTCACCATGTCCGATTTCGGAGTCGGTGCCAGCCAACGTGCCACCACTGGCGGCAATACCCTAGAGTCGAGAAACAGGCGTCGAGACCGAGATCGAGATCGAGAAGGCGATGGCGGCGGGTCTGGTTCTGGTGGTGGGAATCCCTGCTCATTTCATCCGTGGGATTAAGTGATTTTTTTTCCTTCTTCTCTCTTTCTTGTATTCATCCTGGGAATTATCTGGTGATATACGTTTGGTGTGATGCTACTGATGATATTTGATAATGTTCTGACGAACGCTTCTGTCTTCTTGGCCAGGTTCGAGGTGGTGTTTGTGGTTGGATGCTTGTAGTATCCATGCCATACCCATGCACATGCCCATACACATATACATACCCATGCCAACGCACATGGCACTCACAGCCGTCTCCGTGTTGGTTCTTTTACTCGTCACCCTCTCACTACCATTATATATCATCTTGGTCTCATTCGCCACTGTGGATGGCGGGATGCCTGCGCCTATTTTTCCAGCAGCCCCTTATGATTGACATCCTCCCATCTCCACTCCCATCAACACTGTCTACATATATATCATCTTATTGCTTGCGTTCGCATTCGTCTTGGTTTGGCGAATCTCTTGGTTATTGGTGGTGTGCGGTGTGGTGCAGTGTGCGCGGTACAGTTAATTTGGTTTGGTCTACTCATTTCCTACCCTTGATTCCATTTCTCCCTCTGCCAGTCTTATCATTACTTGCATATCTCCCCCCTATCTCTTTGCATGGAGATATTTACATCTACATTACATCTATATTGCTCATTGAGTAGAGCACAGCAAGTTCCTTATTGTTTCATCTTTCCTATAACTCCTAGTCTTGTCAGTTTGGGTCCCTGGATTTGGATAATGTCCTGTATGTTTGGTTTTTTGTGTCTGATTGCCGTGGTTCATGGGCCTCTGGCGTTAGGATACTACTTGCTTTTTGTCGATTCTTTTGTTTTTGATTATTTCATCATAGACTTTTTCATCATTCGACATTACACGCCTACGTGCTCGGATGCCCCTGTTTGCGAAATCAAGTGCTCCGATGACCTCCTCTCTCTAACCATATTGGATTAATTCGCCTATTACGTCGAGGCATAGGACATAGCTGCAGATAACACCCTCACGGCTGCGACTTGGTCGGACTAGAATCAAATGAACCACAGTGTAATAGAAATCCTATTTAAATGATAAACTATATCGAACACCTGTGTTATGGTAAATATCCGTAACTCAACTGCCGATCTTGCAGCTTCAGCTTTCTGAAGCAATAGACTAATCGACAAGTTGCACCAGGCAATCCTTTTGAGTTTGACATTACGCCACCACATACGCTTATATCAACGATCTAGATATCCAAGCTACTTAGAAATAACCTTGCACGCTACATACGCCCTTATTTATTATATCGTTGACATTTCCATTGTCTTATACCTAAGTAGCTGGCACTGTTTGACCTACAACAAATTTTCAAGGCATTCAACATGACAGAAGGGGGAAAAGCGCGGTTAGTTGACTTGCTTTCTGACGTTGTAACTGTCTGATATACTTGAGTGTCCTTGAAAGGTTGCGAGAGCCGAGGTATGGGAGGTCATACTCACATAACCTCATAAGAATAAAAGCTATAATTAAATATATACCCTCTATAAGAGAAGGTAAGGTACGAAGTGAAGTTACGGGGCCGTTAACTAATATAAAGTAATCAGGTGCTATACTTAAATAAGGACGTAAGGGATGTGGTCGTAATTGCAAAGACGTGAGCATCGGCCGTGGGTCTAAGAGTATCACTACCCTAATATATAAGGACTTTTAAAAAGGTTTAGGTAGGAATTTCTGTATTCAATTTCTTATAAAGAAAAAAAAAGGCCGAAAATGGGAATTAATAGACATGCGTATTCTTTTACTTGTTAGGTGCACCGAAACCTTGCTGCATGCGCGTTGAAGAGTGACTCGATACTCAAGGAAATATTACCATAGCTATGACTCGTAACCCTCCGTGCGCACAATCGTCTTCTTACCTTTCTTTTTCTTTTTGGTTTTGCTTTCCTGGATGCCAAAGTCGTATTTAGAAGTTGAGTCTGCCCCTAACTCAGGAAGTGGGTTTTCTGGACTATGAGGCCGCTCGTCCTCCTCGAAGATAATAACTCTGTCGAGGTCAATATCATCTTCGCCAGGGGGTGATGGGATCCCAAGATCTGGCTCCATTAGTGTGTTATCATGGACTATGACTGAGCTAATTTCGGTAATAGCATCTAACTATATTTATTAGCCATGAATCAAAGGTCATAGTGAATGTATAAGACATACCTGGTTTACTTGGATAGGTGTTTAGGCGGCTCAGGTGCTGATAACCTGTTTCCAGAACTGCAAGTGCCTCCTTTAGACGCATTCTCTCCTCTATGGACCTTGGACTTTCAGCAGCTATCCTTCGGACCGCATCATCGGGTAAGCTGCATGCGGTTTTAGGAGAAAACAGCCCTGGTAACTGGTTCATCAAACAGGCTTCAATCGCAAGCACACTGACGTCGTCAATCATCCTTTTGAGGGCAACCTATTACGAGCACAATGAGTAAGCACTTAAGATTTTCGGTGTAGTGTTTGGAAAAGAACAACGTACCTTGTAGTATGCTTCCATCATATCAATGGCAGCGTTTGAGGCGTAACGATCCATGTTTGCTTCAGTACGCTCGACAAGTCTCGATAGCAAGACTTCAGCATGAAATTGGTGACTATATACGCCGCTATCTAAAGAATAGGGACCTAGAACCTCTTTAAGGAGTTCTTCAAGTTCTTCTTTCCGGCGCTTTGATTGAGCTTTCTGGACATTGTCGGTCAGATAGTGATTATAAGTAATGGGGTGGCCGACCTCATGGTGTTCCAAAATTTCCGCAACCTTTGAGTCTAGTGATCTCTTAATTCCCTGGAGGCCAGGGAGGATGACTTCCTGCAATAGTACTGTTGCTGTGGCCTCGTCGGCTGCATTATTTAACGCTGAACGAATCGTAAAATGGGCAGCCATATAGATTTTCTGGGTGAAGCTATCAACCAGGCCCTTCCACGGCTGGCATTGCTCTTTAAATAGGTCGCCGACGATATGAGGGCTATAACTTCCAGGAAGCTCACAGCCACGATTTCTAGCCATTAAATCTTCAACTTGAGAAACATACTCGTCTCGAGATATTTTCTTGGGTACCCCGTCGAGTAGGTCATGCACTGCTGGGGCTTCATCGACAATCTCCAAAAAATGTCCCCTCGATTGCATGGTGCGCGCAAAGTCGAGGAGCGTATTTTGCACAACTGCTCTTAAACGTTTTCTGTAGCCTTCGTCCGTTTTCGCTGAACCGAAGAACTGGTCATTGTACACTCCAGCCACTGCTGCTTTAATGTGCGTATGAAAGGAATGGCTAATTTGTAAAAGGTAATGACGCTGTTCTTCAATATTAACGCGGGAGGCGCCCAATTTTTCCAGTTTGGCCTGACAGTCCTTTATGCCCAATTCAATATCCCAAAGCACGTTTGGAAGCTGGGTGAGGATCTGGTCTTTCAAGATCTGGCTCAATTTGTATCTCAGCGAATTAACCCCGGTATCAGCTGGATCCAAGCATGTCCAAATTCCCTGTGCAAAAAATTCCGCTTCCGCCTGGTTTCGTTCAGCTGTTGAGGTGTCTCTTTTCAAGAAATCTCTGTTGCGTAAAACGTGCCAGCCAAGTCGGAATTTGACATCGTTGTTTTGAGCGAGATCTATATACGACCTTTCGTTCTCTGAACCGACATCAAGGGTATCGGGTTTCGTAATCAGACCCAAAGTGCGCATTCCTAGAGGATCTAGATCTCTCGTGTGCTTAGTGACGCTCTGTAGCGCAAAGTCACTTTTGGCAGAAACGACTGCTAGGATGATACTCCGAGGGCTTCGCATATAGGAGAGTACAAGCTTTTTGACAAGCTCTGCGTCCTCATCAGACTGGGCGCTATTACCGGCCGCAAAAAGACCCGGTAAGTCGACCATTGTTAGGTGAGGTTGTTGGGAGCCGGAAAGCTCAACGCGCAAGACATCTGAGCTGAATACTCTACTGCTAGAGCAGGAGGAGGACAAGCCCATTGCTTCCTTTGCCTTCTCGACGATTTCACCTAGTCCCTGGTCATCCACCGAGGCAGAGCAGCTAAATGAGCGTAAAGCCTCCTTCTCGTCATCAGAGCGGTCAGGTCCTGGGACTATAGAAATGTGAAGTGCTGATGCAGGGCTCCGACGGAGAATTAGTTCTGTTGCAAATCGTGTGCAGAGGTTATCCTTTGTTGGAAACGACATGCCAGATATTGCTTCAAGAACTGAACTTTTGCCTGAGGATTGGTCACCGCAAACGATAATCTGAGGAAGATCGACATATCGACTGATGCCTTGAGATCGGAGCTTGTCGATCGTGTCAAGCAGCTCACGATGCTCTTTGGATTGTAACGATTCTTCCACAATCATTTTCGTTATTCGACGTGGATCTGTTGAAGTAAATGATGTTGGTTTTGGGAAGATAATAAGGATAACAGAAAGGCGGGGTTCATATATGCAATGCTGCGACGGGAATCGTTCTCCCCAAATCCATTGGCTGTAGTCACCTCTCAATCTGGTGCATTAGTTCGTCATCTCATCGCTCGCTACGCCGTACCTAGCACCAACCATACATAGAAGTTCAAATGTCATCGGCCTTTTTCTTGCCCTCATCTTTCCAAGCTCGCTAACTTCATCGAGCGATGCATTCCACCTTTCTATGTTTCCGGGGGTACCCTTTAGATAGCGCATTCGAAATGGCGAACCATTATTGAGTAAGGTCTGAACCAGTGGTCTGCGTTGTTACCAAGCAAGACGAACAAGTACGTCACCATTTTCACACTGGTACATAACTTATAACAAACAACATGATTTCAAATCTCCAGGTAGCCGGTCACCTCGATAGAAGATGATTGTGTGTATTCCTCAAGTTCTCTGCCGCTTTTTAATTCGACATGCAACCAGCAATAACCTCAGAACCGGGCCCAAAATATACTTCCCAATAAATTGACCAAACTCCGCCAAACAAACGCACTTTTCCCAACAAGAGTGCCTAGATATCTTCGCCAGGCCGGTTGGAAGCAATGCGCCAATTCAGGTCCGAGTAAGCCATTCTGGATTAACGCCTCGCAGGCCTTCCTCTCCTTTGTGCAGTCAATGGTCTTGTAGCTTGGCTTTAGTGCGATATCTGTCGTCTTGCGCCTGACATCATAGGCGACCAATGCCATAGATGGATAAACATTATACCAACACGCAGAAATCAACCCATCGAAAACTTGATCTCGGCCAAGCTTTGGAAACTGCATGTTCTCAAATCTGTGGCTTAATTCCCCCGGATTTTGTTTTGCAAGATTGATATCCTCGTAGGGTTCGTGGCCGTATACCATGAAGTAAAGAAGCGTACCAACTGCGAACTGTTCAGTCCTGGCAGAGCAGAGGCCATAGCTACCCTTTAGCGGCCCATCGGCTAATTTTCTAGCCCATGGCGCAAAAACACCCTCAAGATATTGCCCGATGGTGGTCGTACGGTCAAAATCACATAATTTCAGATTAAGATTGTCGTCGAGTAGGCAGTTACGTGGGTGTAGGTCGTTATGCGCAAATCCCATCTTCTCCATATATTCAAGGGCCGAAGTGACTTGCTGTATCCATCGAGCAATTAGAGTAGGGTCCTCATATTGATCCACGCGTATAAGGCGGCCTAGAAAGCCGTTCGAATCCCTCTCTCTCTGCTGGTGTTCCGCGAAACGAAGTTGTATTCTATTGAAATCGCAGTAGGATAGGAAAAGATAGTCTGGGAGTGCGAGAAAGCATTCAATGATATCCGGACATCGATCTTGCTGCTGATTCAGGCGCGCATAAATATTAATTTCTCGGAGAAAAGGATGCTGTTCCTCTGCTTTGGGGCTTTGATCTCGAACCGCCTTCACCACGATGCCTGGACCGACTTTGTAGACAATAGATTTATTTCCGCAGCCAACGCAATCGTTCCTCTTAAGAGACATGAGACATGAGATGGGCAGCGGATTACTGTAGTAAACGTTGCTTGAGCTGCCACAAAAGCGGAGGTTGGAGACGAATATCAGGCGTAGAATGCGCCTCCTCAATTGCTTATCATGAACAGAGGCCAATGTGAACAGGTATATGCTGTGTATTAACCTATTAGGCGAGTTGCAAAATGCAGTCTGAACAGAGTCGATCTATGGCCCCTAATAAACCTGAGGTAGGACATAGTTGATGCCAGGTTGTTTCATCACGTGACACTTCTACAGTTTTACACCCCCTGGCATATCCACTTATTATGGTCATGTAGAGTTGGCCATTTCCTAGTTATATATAAAGAGAAATAAAGGGAAAAAACCCAGATGGCCTTAGAGATTGTGTCATCGTCGGTGTGGTGGGCTACGTACAAATTTTGTAGAACGGAAAGCTGATGCATATCTATTCGTACACCACGTGACATAAATTCCAGCATCTGATTACATAATTCGACGGTATGTAGCCAGCCGATGCACAAATACACAAACCAGCCTGTTCACTATCTAGATAAGATACCTTTCGGTAGTTCGTACTGCTACATGAGGTCCTTGTATGAAATCAGGGTATTTGCTAATTTTCACTGCAATTATATAAAAGTGTTGTAGGGCCTAAGATACTGCCCAGGTGTTGTAGTGGTGCTTATTAATCAAAATGGGTATGCAAAATAGCCGATATTTATGCCCCCCCTCTAGCATCAAAAAAGGCTTTTCATATAACCACTTCACGTCACTGCAAAAACTTCGCAGTAGATCTTCCGTCACATCCATTCCTATACGGAGTACACGGTTGATTTTGGTCCCATTGGTCAATCTTAGCCCACAATGGCGGCCAGGACTACGCTTTTCATGACACCGGAGGAGACAGAGCGCGTGCAAAGGACTGCTCAGGATCATGTAGGGAAATGTCAAGCGCAAACTGGCCAGTTGCGGGAGCCCGAAGACCCCAAATCTTTGGTCCAACAGGCGGTTGGGAAGTCCGTGATGGACGACTTTGCTGCTGCGGCTTTTGGCCTGGGAACAGCACCAAAGGATAATAGTCAAGAAACTATGCCCGCATATGCTGTTGGCTGCCCATATTCGCCTTGCACGGCTGATTTGGCAGATCTGGAGCCCATGAAACTGTCAGACCTCCGCATGGAGACGCATCATCGTGGGCGAGTGATCTCTCTCCGCCGCATATCCCCAGTGGTCAAATTGAAGACGTCTTGCTGGGCTGTTGTACAGGGAGAGGCCTCGGACGAGGCAGAGCGGTTGGAACTGTTCTTACACAACTCAAGGAACGGCCAGGATATGTTGGATTCAGGCTCGATATTTTTAGTGAAGGAGCCTTACTATACCCTCAACAACCAGGGCGAACCAGCGATCCGTGTCGACCATCCATCTGACATTATTATTTTAGCTTACAGCGATGGGCCGTCATCGTGGCGCAATAAAGACAGCAGCCATTCAAGTAGCGTATCTAAACCAGCTAGCAAGTGCAAGGAAGAAGGAAACGCGGCTCTTGGAAAGAAAGACTACTGGAGAGCCCACGCCTGTTATGCAGAAGGGTTGAAGTCAATCCCGGAGAATGAAAATGGCACCCTGCGTAATGACATCTACCGGAACCGCTCTTACGTCAATCTTCTCCTTCAGCGCTTTGACGAGGCAATAGCTGATGCACTATCATCCCTCACAAATGGGGCGGACCAGGAGCAAAAACTTTTGGACGCAAAGGCTTACTCCCGTGCTGGAAGCGCTGCATACGGCTTAGGTAACTTCGAGGCAGCCAGGAACTTTTTCGAGCAACAGGAGAAACTTGAACCTGATAATAGATTGGCAAATATTAACCTACGGAGAATCAAGATGCGCCTCCAAGAGAAGGAGACAGGGGAATACGATTTGAAGAAGGTGGTTGGAAGTCTACCGAAGACTCAGGGCCGGGCCGACGTTGCCAGTTTCAACGGACATACGGAGATTAGAGAGAGCCCGGGAGCTGGGCGCGGACTTTTTGCGACTCGTGACATAGACACGAACGAGGTCATAATGTATGAGAAGGCTCTCTGCGTTGTCTGGAGTCACGATCCAGAAGCATTCTCGTGTCTAACGGTTGATCTCCGGGATAACGCCGCTATCAGGGTCTTCCCCGCCGGCTTGCACAAGGCCTTGGTACAGAAGCTGATGAATAACCCCTCACAAATCGAGGGCGTCCTAGATCTCTTCGGCGATTACAAGGGCCTTGGAAACAAGCTTCACGAAAGTGATGGCAGGCCGGTACTCGATACCTTTCAAATTCATGATATTATCCAACGGAACGCCTTTGGCCCTGGTCAACAGACCGAAGATGAAGATATAAGCAACGCTAGCACCGGCCTCTGGGTTCGGGCAGCGTATATCAATCACTCCTGTGTCTCAAATGCAAAGAAGGATTACGTCGGCGACCTCATGATCCTCCGCGCTACCCGTAAAATCGCTGCAGGTGAGGAAATCACACATAGCTATGACGAGTCTAGCGATTACGACGCTAGAACTGCAGCACTCAAAAGGACATGGGGTTTCAAATGCCAGTGCAAGCTTTGTGCTGCGGAGGAAGAAGATGGTCCAGACGTACGCAAGCAACGCCAGAAGCTCGAAAAGGAGATAAACACGTTCTTGCAGAAAGAAAACCCATCGCAGGCAAAGAAGGTGGCGGCCATCAGAGCTAAACGCCTCCGCCAGAATCTCCTGGATACTTATAATGAACAGAGATACAAGGATCTCCCTCGTAGAGCTCTTCTTGGAATTGAGCAGTGGCTTCAAGCAGCCCTAATAGTTAGTCACCCTTGACCCCTTGAACTTACCCGAATACTCATCCTTGACTTTAGGCTTAGGTTTAGTTAAACTGCACTTGGTTAAAGGGGTAGTACTTTTACCCGAACGCTTGCTAAATTATAGGGACCTTTAAGGACTTGTCGTAGGACTTACAATATCCGGGGTCACCTTGTACTCTTTTTATCGAAGATAACTCTATAAAAAAATATCCGACACTTATTAAACTGTAAGCTGGAATATAAAAACAGTGCTGCCTTACTAAATCCTTGACAAGATCCGGCATTCCCTGGTTTTATTAGTTAAAAGGTATCCTTGGGCTACCCTTGGCTCTGATATATGCCTTCAAGATCGCTATATTATGATCTCGACTTTATCGGGAATTCTCTTTTATTAAGTCGTTGGTCCTCTTCCCAAAGCCGTATAATTTGTACAAAGACATTTATTTATAAAAATACAATGGTGGAGGCCACTGATCCTCGAGAGGGTTGCTCGTGCTTCCACGAAGGATGACGAGTATATGGATTATCGTATCCCGAAAGGAGCCGTGGTCACAGCCGACCACTGGTCGTTAGGCATGGGTAAAGGGATATTTTCTCAGCCAGGTTAGTTCAGGCCAGATCGATAGCTTAGCAATTCAGATCTGCCACGGAGCAGCTTTGGGTTCAGTCGTAGGGTATGCACGGGGCAGAAGCTGGCACTGAATTCGGTATTTTATCATTGGTGCCCGGATACTTTGTTGCGGAAGATGGAACTCGGATAGAAATTGACTCTGGGAGCATGGCTCAAAAATTTTCAACCAATCCTACCCCCTTCACCCCTTGTTTCCAAGTCTGCGGCCCGCAGCAGAAGACGGCAGTCGAGGAGGCAGGGGAAGATGCAGAGAAAGACCCGGATATCATCTTCTTCAAGCTGAATATCTGACGAACCCCTGACCTGACAGGACATAGATTAGCCGAAAAGCGTAGTTGGACCAGGGTGAGCCGCCACGTTTCCAGATATAAGATCTTTATCTGCACGGCCGATCCAGCATCCCAAACTGCCCGTGCATGGAGGGGAGTGAAGAATAACCAACTGATGCTTGATCGTGCTTCGTTTCTTCGTTTCTTCGTCTGTTCCTGGAAAGTTCCCGGCAAGCGCTTATGTCACGTGGAGTAAGCTGATACCCACGTGATATAAAATTACGTAAGATTTTGATATTCACTTGAACGACGTCTTGAAGACTTGCGACGACGACGGTAACATCTTTATCCTGGGTTAGTTATTGATACCGGCCGTGGTCTTGCTCCCTATTAACAGTACGAGACGTTGCGAGAAGGCCGATACTGAACATGTCATGGGACCACGGACCTTCGGGGTCAACAGGCGACCGACATCCTGACGTCAGGCGAATAACTAGCTGAGCAGCTAACTAGCTAACTAACCAACCGCTGTTCTGAGTTCTGATCCCCCATAGCCTTGTTTCGAGGTCAAGCATTTGACATCAACTTTTGGTGGGCCTATACGACGAACATCAGCTCGGATCGGCTTAAACTACCGTCAACAACCTTTCTTCCGAGCGATAAATGGTTAACTATAACTGATCGCCTTTACCATTAGAAATCGAGCGGGTCTAGAATACCATGCAAGATCCCTGCTATTCGGTATTTCCCATGTTAATTTAGCCATCTTTATGAAGGTAGGGGTTCTGGTGATAGCTCTGATCCAGCAGACTTCCCCTCTCTAACAAAACCTCTTTCTTTCAGCTTTATAATTAACGTTTATAGGCACCCGAACTAGCACTGACAGCTCATAAAAAGGTATTCGCCAATCGCTGTACACTTCAGAATACTTTGCCCGTGAAACATAGAATGCGGCTCGCGAGGTGACACTGAAGTTTGAGAGAGTACAAGGCTGCTCGACATTATGACCCGAAGTCAATAGTTTTCCTACTATATCTCTCTAGCCCATTTGCAGCGCCCCTTGGAGATAGAAACGAGAAGAGGTAAACTTGACAGACCCGCCCATAGATTTGGAGGCACTGTCTGTACGGATGTGACGGGCTTGAATGCAAGCTCAGCCGGAGGATGGCCCCAGTAGCTATGAGTGAACCCTGTCCTGCATAACTAGTAGCGAATTCTCCTCTTCATGTGCCCCCCCAATTCGGTGGACTTGCGTGTCCGAGACCCGAATGGTGTACATTTCCAATCACTTGCAAGGCTGGAATTCTGCTTTACTTCCCGAGCCGGGTTGGTTATCCCCAAAGCGTGTCAGCAGTGGCCGGAGTTAGCAATCTTCAAAGACACCTGAGCCGCCTATACGCCTATCCGCCCATCCTCTCTGATCCTGACAATCTTATCGATCGGTATGTCGGAGCCGTTTAGCCCGCTGTTCAGATTCATGCGTGTCTTCTTTGTTCGGGGATTCTATACCCTGTCAGTTATTTTTAAATTCTAGTCTGTGGCTAGCGTGTCTGCCCCCAGATCGTCCGCGGACGGGCGACCGACTACGAAACAGCGACCAGGGCATTATATTTCGCACGGTGCTTCAAAGATCTAATATAAAAGGGAGTGTGGTTCGCCCTTTGACCATAAGTCTCATAGACCAAGCCCGAGATCCCCAAAGACATCCTTACTTCATCATCGCCCTTGTCCTCTACTTCAATCTGCTGAAAGGTTTACTTGTTACCATACGTAAACATGGGAGAACCAAGTATAACCAACATCGACCGGCGAACTTGCACCCGCGTGGTGCCTATGAAGGTGATATGTGCAGGAATGCCCCGGACTGGCACTCTTTGTACGTTGGCTCTGACAGTTAAATGCTTGCTTTCGGGGGTTGTGCTAATTTGCATGCCATACCAGCCCTTCGAACTGCTCTGAAAATGCTTGGCTTTGAAGATACATACCATATGGTGTCTTGTGCCACAGAAAACAAGAGTGACTGTGACATTTGGCTTGATGCTCTTCTTGCGAAATATGAAGGTATCGGTACATTTGAGAAGAAAGATTGGGATGCTCTACTCGGCCATTGCCAGGTATGCTACCGAAAATGATATAACGATGCAGAAGGATTTCATGCATACCCCCAATTATTTAGACGGTTAAAACTAATTAGCTATAGGCTACAACTGATGCTCCTGGGTGTGCGTTTGTTCCCGAGCTTGTGGCAGCTTATCCAGAGGCCAAGGTGGTGTTGAACAAGAGGGACATGGAGAAATGGTATAAGTATGTTTATACAGCCCTCCCACGCCCAATAATATCCTAACTTTCACATCTAACATGCTATTTTTGTCATCTAGCTCTGTTCTTGATACCGTATACAAGGCCTATATAGCTAGCAAGGCGATGGGTGTTGATGAGCCACGTTTCAAAATGCTGGGCAAGATCTGGGAGCATATGTTCGGAGACGACTTCCACAAAAACGGAAAGGATGTCTGGGTGAAACACTACCAGATGGTTCGTGATTTAGTGCCGGCTGATAATTTGCTCGAATTTGAGGCCAAAGATGGATGGGAACCGCTTTGCAAGTTTTTGGAAGTGCCTGTGCCTGATGTCCCATACCCAAGGGTGAATGACACGAGCAACTTCTGGGAAAGGTATGAGAAGGGAACTGGTGCTAGCCTGGAGAAAGTCAACGAGCTCGTCGCTAAGGCTGGGTACGGGTATTCTTAGATTAGCGATTAGCCCGTAGATACCATTAGATTGAAGGGATTTACTCCGTTTTTTATATTCATCTCACTCCAACATTAACTCTCATGCTAAGGCTCATTGGTGTTAAATATGTACAAGTTACGCGGAGCGTAAGGTATGTACTTACGCTATCAAGCCGCCTGCACAGAGCTCGCCGCCTAGCTTTGCGGTTGAAATGATTGCTTCTCCTACTCCTGCGCCACTGTACCTACCTCCCTGCATCGCTATCGACATCGGGTATCAAGGCTCGGGCCAGGAGCCTTTAGTGTAAATGCAACCCGTTAACCTGCATTCATATCAAACCTTGTTGCTTGGTTTTTATCGCTAGACAACAAGGAGAAGGCCTATCTGAAGTGCGCTTCTGAATAAAGCGCAGCCACATCGGCTAGAGTTTGAAGAACGTTGCCTCCATAGCATTTACCAATCGCAGGATCGGCTGGTGATCTAGAACCAGGCTTCCGCAGGGGTCATTTGTTTTGAAAAATGAGCCTGGTTGACAAAATTTCAGTGCTGTCATCCACTTTTAACAGACTATTCCTCGCGTGGATGGAACGCGGATATGGCCAGCATTACATATTTCTGAATGTATTACCAGAGGCACTCCTGCGATCTTTCTTTCGGTAGCTTCCCCGATCGACGTTGTCTGTTGTCGGTCTGGGCTTAGGCTTCGACTGGGGAGCGAAAGTGACTGATTTCTCCCCCCCTGACCGACCGACTGAAGGCCGTTCCTTAGTCTGATGCTTGCGGATTCTAGACTCAAATGAACGATCGTGAGTTCGCGAAACTTTGGAAGATGAGGTAACCTGCATCTGAGGCTGTTTTGGTTTACTCCGCCTATATGATGACGTAGATATCTGTTTCGATGACGGTTCTCTCACTGCTCGCGGGGCATCATCTTCTGAAGACCCCTCATCTGAACTTGACCCTGGTACTTCGTCGATAGCCTCCTCTTCAACCGCGGTCAAGCCCCTTTCTGGCCTGGAAGTTGCTGCTGGAGCTTTACCTGAATGCACGAGGAGATACTCTCTCGAGTTTTCATCAATGGTGAAGTCTTGATCGTCAAACAATTTGCTGAAACGTGAATCGCCAAGAAGACCGCCAGTGCTGGGTTCAGCCATGCTGGTATCCTTATCCTCTTTGTCAGTAGCCTCATCACCTCCTTGTGCCAACACTTTTTGCGCTTGAAGTCGATCTCTCTTCTCTTCTTTCTCAAGCAATCTTTCAGCAAGTCTCCTGTTAACCTTCGCTGCCACCTTCTTCTTTCCACGAACACGGCTCTCTCTCTCTTTGTCAATCTTCTCCTTAATCTTTTTGTCCCGTTCCTCTTCCCATATAAATGGATTGGCGATTAACCGTGCCTCTTCATACAAGCGCTGCGCAACAAAATAACCGTGCATGTAGGGGCGTAGAAGCGTAGTAGTTCCAATAAGATGGTCAAGGTTGAGAGTGCGCAACTGAGGAACAGTGAGGAACTTATAGTTGTCGTAAACAGAACCTGACTGGCCGGTAGCGAATGCATGAGGATCATTGGGATCATCTGCCATTTCTTCAACAAGGTTATCCAAAAATGCGCACCACTTGGGTGCGGGTCCTAGCTGGGGAATGAAGAAGGAATGTTGCTGTCGTCCTTCATTGGCTGTTAGTATCATGCCACTGTCTTTGCACCAGGCCACACTGTTGATATCAACAGCTGGCTCCACAGATGTCCATGGGGCACCGTCCCGTTCATCCCATATTTTAATAATACGCTTGTCAGCTGACATAATTTTTGGATCGCTTGTCTGTTCGCGTGTGGAAATAGACGAGGTAAGGAAAGTTAATGTATGAATCGGGTATCCGTAGCCTTGGTCTTTTTCAAGCAAAGGGATGGGCGATCGAAGATCATACAGATGAATGAGACCCGTGGATGATCCAGTTGCAAGACTAAGCCCGGACCTGTTGAATTCCAGGGCGGTAATTTCAGATTTACCTTCAGTGTGTTGTGAGTTTGTAGGGGGCGGGAGCACAGCGGCCCTTGCTTTGGCGCGAGGGTCCCAGAGCTCAACGGTTCCAATAGATGTCCCAAAGGCGAGTAAGTTATGGCTGTCTTCGGCCACAGCCCCGGTATTAACACTCCCTGTATTTATACCTCCCTGGAGAGCACCTCCGCCGAGCGAAGTGAAATCATCGCCCCCAACCTCAACTTCATAACCACGCATATATCTCCCCTGTTCTAGGTTCAGGCGAAAAACCTCTCCCATCCCATTTTCGTTGACCCCAACAGCAGGTACGAGAGCTTCTGCCGACTGCTTATCGTACACTAAATCCCTGCCATATCGCGGTAGACGTGTCGTGTAGTGGCGCCCGGAGGGAGTATGAAATTCCAGGGAGCGATCTGATTGTAGATGTAGCGATTTTGAATAATCTGATGACAAGAGCAAAAATGTTGTATTCAAGGATATTGTGTGTCGGGCAAATGAGAGTGACAAATGTGGGAGATAATGTACATGCATTTGCGGCTTGTAGGTACCTAAATTTTTTTATTTTTTTCTGTTAGTTATACCGGCAGTGCGAAAATTCAAGGGTCTGCGCAAAACCCACCTGTGCTCATCACCCATTGACCGTCATCACTGACCCGAATACATTGACTTGCTTCTTCAAACTCGAAATCTTGAAGCAGTTCCACCCTGTTTGAATATTCCGCATCTGCTTTCAAACTCCGTTTTCGTCTCCGGGCAAGCCATTCTGGGAGAGGTCGAGCAGTCGAGGAGCCGGAGATCGTATATACCGGGACAGTTGAGTGATTAGAAAGCTTCATGTTTACGGCCTGCGAGTTCAAGCGCTGCTCGCTCCCGTTCGCATGCTTGACCGTGCTATCAAAAAATCTTTAAAAATATTATTTTTATCACATAAACCTTAAAGCTATGTCACGTGCACACTTATGTCTTACATAATCCCTGCGCCATGCCAAGCCAACCTTAAGTGCATCTCATCAAACGAAAGCGCGACGAGAAGACGAAGAAGGGCAAAGTGATATATATACAGCTCTTCGTCGTCGAGGCTTGTTTTGTCCTACACTCTCTGAGCGCATTGGGTGTTTTTATTTCATTAGATTCGCTTTGGTCTTTACATAAATTCCGTTCCCCGGAAGAGTGATAGGATGCAGTAACTAGTCCCGTTCGCTGATGCCCAAGGAAGGGTCCAGTCAGGCAAATCGACATACAATTGCGGGGACTTGTCCTTAGAGATGATGCATCTTGGTTTTTGCGCATATAGTTCTCCTATCAGCCTTTCCTCAATGGCGAAAAGTCATCTCCGCGAAGAAATCTTATGCAATTATGGAGTTTCCAACAGGGGCGGAAACCAATTTTCGGGTCTTTGTATGTCTGATATCAACCTGCGCTGTATTTCAGTCAGAGCTAATAGTTGAGTAGGATGACTTTTCGATCTTTTACTGGAGGGTGTATTGCATTAACTCCAATGCAGATGGCCTAGTGAACGAGGGGCACCCCGTACCCCAAGTTTTGAAGAAGGTCGAATTATGTGCACTCGCACTACGGGATTTAGGATGCCTTACAAGTCCATCTTCTGATGGAGCTTGTCTTTGGGTATTTTCTATTGATTCTGAGTTTTCACAATTGAAATCCTGTCCTTCATGCCAGGAGGGCAGCAGTCCTGGCGAACTCACAGTTGGTCAAGTACCGATACAAGGTAAGTCACCTCGACCAAGATATCACTGATAAGCCTACTCATCCACATATACAGAATATTTCCGAGGAACAGTCTCTCTTGCCGAACTTTCTCAAAGATTATTGTCCGACCCTTCAGGTAGCATTTTGAGTTCAACGCAAATTGAGGGACGAACAAGCAACAACAGTCTGAACTCATCACAACGCTTAGAGCTAACGCATTCCACTTTATATACGTCGTTTATTAACTCGATAGCATGGTCCATTTCACTTCATTTGGCTAAACATCACCAGGCGATACCCCTTGGAAAACGAACATTTTTCACTGTCACCGATACTGAGATGTGCCTTGGAAAGAAATCACGATCCATAATTTCGACATTAGATATTGAAACATCACAGAGCGGCAAGGTGGTTGTGTCACTTCAGCCCGAGTTCCATGCGGGGCTTAGCCAACTTTCAGTGAATTCAGCGGTAGACAACACGGATGAGCTACGACTACACGATGATATATGGCTTGCTCCCACGGGATTAATAGCTAGATATATCGGTATAGGAGGCAACGAATATGCACTCGAGTCCGGTAACTCGTATATCACCAATAACAGCACGTATGGTGCAAAAAACGGACTGCCTGACGAGGGTCACAATGCATGGAAACTGGCTATTTGCTCCTGGATTGAGAGACTCGGGATACCCATCGAATTATCTGATGGTATGAGATGGATCCAGGTTGAAGTGGCAGCTAGTCCTCAGCATCTGGGCCTCACCAAAGCCACTAGTATCCGAAGAATTTACTGGCCTGCTGAGCTATGTTTCAAAAGAGCACACTTAGCTATGAGCTCTCCGGTTCAAGGATCCGAGGCTTTGTGTCGTGATAGCCTTGGCCCTCTTCATTACGCACATCAATGGCTAAGCGGCTCTGTTCCTAGGGATGAGGTTTTAAGGAGGAATATCATGCCGGACGAGGCTCGTAACACCGAGCTGGATCTTCAAATTGGGCTCTCAGCATCGCCTAGTGGCGTGGACATTTCAAACACAGCAGAGAGCATGGCCAGGGCATTGGCATACCCCGATTTCCAACCAGCCACGGTGTATCCAACCCCTCCAGGAGGGGCTTTAGCCTTTTGGCATCCTCCACCTGAGAACATTGGGGTTGGTGGCGAGTATCCTCTGGACTTGTCTCGGGTGTCAAGACAGGAGTCTGAGCCTAACGCAGCGGACCTGTTGTTAGAGGCAACGTCTCCTGGGTTTGGCGCGGGGGTTGCGATGTATGACACTGCGGGTGATGATGATTTGTTTGAAGAGATGGGTGATAATTTTGACGACAAAGGGATTACTGAAGCAGATTTCAGCTTTTTCGACGAACCTGGTCTCTCCGACTCGAACCTGGATATTGATTCTGGAAATACAATCCATGATATTATTATGGAAGAGCATAGCGCAAAGGAGCCAAAGGCGGATCTAGAAATGAGCGAGCAACTTGGCTCAGTTGAGCCCGTTGAAGTAACCGAACACCATGAGATTGAGACTCCAAAAAACGACGATGCCTTAAAGGGTGGCCCGGATAAAGCATGTGCAGAGACTACAACTAGCCCATCCAGAGAAGTTAAGACGGACTCGGAAAAGATTGCAGAACGTCCCATGAGTCCGCCACTCAGCCCAGCAAGAATAAAACAAATTCTATTCCCAGGCAAACTCGAGGGCGCAGAAAGACTCGCCAGTGGAGGTCCCTCCATTCATAAGGGCCCCACAGAAGAAGAGACTCAATTGATGCAGCATAGGAGTCGTTATGATCCAGTACCTTTCCAACGTGGGCTTGACTTTTCCGACAAGAAATATGGGGTTGACGGCAGGTTCTGGTTCTTTCCTGATACGAAAAATGTTGACGAAGCCACTGCTTCGCATAAAACGAAGATTCCGGTTATTGGTGAACTAGTCCCATCCAGTGGTCAAGTAGGAGGGATATCGTACCCTTATAACGAGAACTGCCGTAATGGTAGCCCGGACAGTGAACGAGGCTCAACTTCTAATTCGTCAAGGAGTTCAATTTACGGAGACAACCATCTTCAGGCTGAATTTAATAAGCGCCACCATCTAGATCCCACTGATAATAAGTTAAGACGACCGGATTTAGATGACCTATTTTCGGTTAACTCTTCCCTCCCAAGCCCAGGATTCAACGTTGGAAAGCGCTATACAATGCACTCTGACCCAGAGGAGGGCGTGTTATTATCAGGGCTTATTCACCCTACCGCCGATTGGTCATTCGCCGGCCACTTTAAAGCGCTCAAATCCTCCTTCTCTTCGGTTCTATGTGGCCGCGATGACATTATTCACGTAGCACAACTGTTGGTTGATCAGGTTACTCAATCCAGTTTGGAGCATAAAACGGAGTTAACCTCCGAGAAGGATGACGAGAGAGACATTTGGCATTCTTTAATCGACGACATTGACACCATGGGCCAATCTCGTAGGTCTGGTCTCAAATGCTACGCATCCATAGGCGAGGGGAGTTCCAATCAGCAAAGGAAGGATACAACCAGCGGCTCTATAATTAACCTTAGGTCTCCTCATATGCATATAAGGCGTGGAAATTGCTCCCTTGAAGTTTTGCCTACTGCAATTCACTTCTGGGAAACATTTGGTCTTGAGCCCCTGAAAGGGAAGAAAGATATTATCTCATATTGTTTACACCCGATCTCTATGCAAGAAGATGCCAATGCGTTTCTAGATAGATTAGGGCTGACATACTCGAGTGCCAACCTTGGTTCATGCTCCCGCCCTGGAAGCACAAAGGGATTGGTTCCCTGGTCCCTTAGCAAGGATAAACTGGACTACCCTTCGATTATGCGAAAACTGCAACATGTGTGCGAAAATTTAGGTATGTAGCGGCCATATCCGCTGAAGAATTTATCAGATCTGACAATTAGAGTAGGAACCGCGCTGTCGAATTTAACCATGAGCAACAAGAGTATTGTTGTTTACATTGTGAATCCTTTTAAGATTGGTGCAGCCACTGTCGATATTTGCGTGGCTTTCTTACGCCTCTTTCATAAGTACATCGAGGAGGCCGACAAGCGTACGCCCCGTCACCTTAATGAACTAGTATTGCAGATAATCCCATCCGACTTCATCGCAGTCGGTGGGTCATTGGTTATACCAACACAAACCGACTATCTCCGTCTAGCATTAGAGGTCTACTCTCGCTGTCCTCCACGTGAACCGGTCTCAGACATGTTTGGATGTGCCCCAGCATTTACCCTAGCAGCGCCGATTCCGAAGATGATCCCATTTAAGTTGACCGCGGATGAGGGCTCCCCCATGGATGCAGGACAACCATATCATCTCGCATATTCTATGAGCTATGACCAGCGCTGGGTTACTGCGGCGTGGACTGATAATTTAGGCCAACGTCAATTAACCCTATCATACTCGCTACGCGACAATAATTCCCGCACTTTTAGATCAATGTCTGAAGTAAGAGAAGATATCTGGCAGACCACGGCAGATATGACAGGTCTATCTCGCGGTCGTTGGCGTGTTATTATTGTAAAGGATGAACCCATGGATGCAGAAGAAGTAGCAGGTATGAAACCTCCCTGCGATTCGTAATGGCTCTTACCGCAGTATAATGGCCTTGCTGACCGCTCTATGTAGCCTGGGCAAGCCTTGCAGCACAGCATAACCAGCACCATCCCAGCCAGATAGAACTAATCCTACTTACTATAAACACGAGACCGAGTCTGCGCTTGAAGATACCTCCTCCCCCGCCACAGCTAAATACGCTCTATCAATCTGGCAACGCCTCAACTCCAGTATCGACTCCGAAACCGAACATATCTTCACCCGACCCATCTACTAATGCGCCCACGCCACCCCAAATTTCTACCTTCACCGCTCATACCCCATCTTCATCCTCAGAGCCAAGCCAACCTCAATCTCTATCCCAGTCCCAGCAAACTCAGATCCCCGTGGACACCAACGCGGAGACAGTCCTAATCGACAAATCCGACGAGGCCTGGGCCCTGGTGCTATCCCACCGTTTAAACAACTCCCAATCATTTACCACCTACAAACCTGCACTCGCAAACGGATACCTTATCCGTCGTTGTGGCACCAGTGACACAGACTGGCTAGCCTCCTTAAGGGCTAATCTAATATATTCTCAAAGTCGAATTCCCCATAACATCCTTCTGAAGGATTTGTTAAGTATATACCGAGACATGGCTTCGTTAGCTAGAACGAGAGGAATGATACATTCCCAGGGAACTCATGCCACCCCATGGCATATTGCCACTGCTGTGAAAGGGCAGGAGTTATTAAGCTGTATTTTATGAACAAGCGACTGTCACTTTTGCGTTCGTTATTCCCCTGTTTCTGTTTATATTAGAGATATCATGTTTTATTACCATTTTTATATTTAGGATTATCTTTTAAAGCCCGCAGCCTCATGACTTGGAAGTTGAATGTATTTTTTTATTGTTATTATGGAGCATGCTTCGCAGGGTAAGCCCTTAACATCGTAATGCATCCCTTAGCTAGTAGAGTCTACGGCCAATGCATATGAGTGTAAGCCAGTACTTTTTTATCAATTGGCCAGTTTGCCGTTATTATACATGATAGCCCATCTTAGTTTCATCGACGGCCAAAAACATGCGTTTAGCCATCGACTACTCGTCCCGATCACCACGTAGAGATGTGAGCCTTGAACCGGGTTCTAAAATACATCAATAACATATACATGGTAATAGACGATAAAATGCAGAACGCCCAAATGCAGAACGCCGATCGTACGTCCTCCATGAACATTGGCCATGCAGCTAGAAAGTTCGCTAGAGTTACCACCGGCTTCTTTTTCAAGGACCCGGTGACTTTGACAAGCTTATCAGTATTGCTTTTGATGGTGTCACGTACCTCGTCCGGATCTTCGACATCCTTCCGCCCCCAACCCTTTGGCAGCAGTCTTCGTATCCACCTGTATAGCGGAGGAAGTTCTAAAAGAACGACCCCCACTATAACCGGGAAGAGGAGGTACCCCGTCCAGTCCTCCCAGGACTTCGAGGTACCTCTCCTCACGGCGAGTTCGAGCATGGGGGGGTCCAACTCTGACGACATCACGAAGGGGGGGATGGAGACTAAAAACAAATGAACGAGCGAGAGACGAGGCATATTAAAATATATAGTATAGCGAATGCAGTATATGACCCGCGAGAGAGAAAAGAGAAAAGAGAAGAAAAAGAATGGGGACTGGCGGGTATATATGCACCAATTTGATGCCTTCCAGATTGAGATATAACATGTTTATTTGTTTACTTGTATAAACAAAGTCCAAAGAGAAGGAGTAGAAAAGGAGAGGAAGTAGGAGAAGTGGCAGAGTTGACATAGGAGTTGCAACTGCGCAAGCGTTCATATAATAGCAAAACTACCTACTCCGTAGAGACTGGTAGTGTAAAGATTCCGAGGTAGCTCCATTAGCTATAGGATAAATGTGAGGTATCCTTGTCCTTAGGGGAGAGAATAGGCCTGAATATCAGGAGTGTTGAGCTAATAGTAAGGAAGTGTAGGTTCCCAGGAGTTCAGTGGATGAGGCAGACACCACACGCGAAGATAATAGTAATAGCAAGCGATGGTAGAATATGAGGATGGTAGAATATAAAATGGTAGAAGATGAAGAGTAGAGGATGAAGAGTAGAAGATAAAAGTGTCAGGGTTTCCTCTTTCGGACATTCCCGACAGACAACATCCACCACGCCAAAATCAACAGTTAATGTTCTAATATTAGAGCTTAAACACGCCGGGTTTGATCTCGCGCCGGTCCTCGACGCAGTTTCATCTGCTTTGTCTTTGACGCCTAGGTTCATTCCTCCCATGAGACAGGGTATTAGCTAACTGTTTATAGGCTTCACCGCGGGCCAGGACGCGATTCTTCACGGTCCTTTCTCCGAGCGACGAGGACAGGCATATCCTGTACTCCGTACCTGGCATCAGAGGCGAGCATGGCAGCATGGCATCCCCGTCGTCGCAGCGAAAACGAGGATGTGACGGCCATGCAGTCGCCGTGCCTTGAGCCGCCCTTGCATCGGCCTGCCTTGGGTTTCTTTGCATCACACTTGGCACCAGCCTATCTGATGTGACGAAGCTGTGACAGGGTGGATGGAGGCTGTGAAGATATCTCGTTTCGAGGCAGTGATTGGCTCACAGGCCTGCGCTGCGCAGGTTCCTGGGCGCTTAACCAGAGTGCTAAAACGGGAGATGGGCCATCCTCTGCATTTATTCGACAGGACCACCAGGCCGTTGGCTTACAGGGAGCCACTCGCTGTGGACATGGACAGGATGCTCTACGCCTCTTTGCATGATAGACAGCGCGGGGCCGCGTTGCGTATTCCTCCTATATAGCGACGATGGTCGCCCCTCTCCCGATTCTCTGGATTTCTCAATCGTTGTCGTCCTTTAAAGTTATATACCCTTGTTCAACAATTCAAGCAAGAGTTCTGTTAGATACTGTCCTTACCTGGGATCTATAACCTGCTCTTGCATTTGAACTGCCAATATTATACCATTGTTGGCGAGGCGGGAAACGCACGAAGCCGCCTAACACAACAATGATGGCTTCTTGCCTCTTCCGCCTCAATCTTTTACCGCTGCTATTATTGTCGCTGTCACAGCGTACCACGGCCATTCCTGCACCATACGCCGAACCGGAAGACTACGAGGGCGTCGTTCCCGGCAGCCTCGGAGACTCAGGCGGCTCAGGGCAATCAACAGGCTCATCTGGGGCGGAGGGCGGATCCATCAAACTGCCACGGGGCGCCCAGATAGCGATAATAATTGTGGTCTTGATTGTCGTTATAATTGGAAGTAAGTCTGCCCCTACTTATCATGAGTAAATGCGTACTACTCGTTTTGTCCAATTCACTAAGCACACCATAATTTTTCTAGTAACCACCGGTGTTTTATTCTACCAAGCAAAGCGAAGACAATGGACCATGAGAGAAACAATGCGATACTCAGTCCGAAAGGTCGCCGAGTCTATAAAGTCCCCTATGACGCCTACGTTTAGGCATCGTACCAATCATCCAATGACTCCTGCAGGAGCCAGAGCCACAGCATCCCGTCAGCCAAAGCCTTCGCTGCAGCCCAAAAATCCAATGTCCCAATATCAGAACCGCTCTACACAGCCAAGTGATAGGCATACGCGTATTGCCGAGGGTGAGAAACGAGCCCGTGTCGAAGATAGTGGGAAGACAAACTTCAATTTCACCACGCTGCTTTCATTAAAGAAGAACAGTGGTTGAATGATGTACGAAGGCTGGCCTTCAGAACTGTTCAATCTAAATTTTATGCCGCAGATGTAAAGCCTCGTTCATGTATTTCATTCACATTTATCTCTGCCTTTATATATTGGAATAATATTCTAGAGTAAAGCTTTAAATACATTAGTTTAATAGCCGCCCGATCATTCAGATAAGCATTTTCCATTTTGTTTAATGTTCATTCGCGCAACACTTACCCCCATCCCCGTTTTTCGTAGCACAATAAGGCAGCCGCTGTTGGCAGAGACAAATATTATCTTCATTATCATTAATAGACCTTATACAAATATCCCGCCTAGAGAAAACTAGCAACCCACGTTGTAGCCCATCATAGGCTACAGACAACGCCCTCCTATACACCATATGAAGTCGCTGATGCAAACTTTGCTAACAAATGAAGAAATGAGAACGGAATTACTGAAACATTAAATGTAACCCAATGCTGTAAAAATGCATAGGTATGCATAACCGGTTGTCACCCCAATAATGATATAGAGCTGCTTGCGCGTGAAATTCTCCGGTACTCCGACACCTTTGGGCTTACCGCATACTTTATGTTGCCATCATCATCAAGTGGGTCATTAATGTAGGGCCCTCTCTGTCGAAGTCTAGCCTCCTCTTCCTCTGCTTCTTCTGCACTAATCAGGTAATAGTGCTCGTCCTTTTCATCCATGGAAATCATCCATCGTTGGGTAAGTTGTTTGCCTTCTGGCCCTGCACCACAGGCTCCGCTCACATGGATGCTAGGCGGGCTATTTAGAGCCAGCGCCAGTGTATTCTGGGGCTCAGTGAAATCGGTTAACTGCACACCCCGGAAGGCTAGGTATAGATATACCAAGCAGATGAGGTTGGTCACCAGGACAAGGCCGAGGACGGCATAAAACACGTTCTGCCATGCTGGTGAGTTCGCTCCTGAGGCATAGTCAGAGGCCCAAACGGAGGCGCGAAAGTGTTCAAAGACAGGTCCGCCCTGGGCTGCTGCTCGAGCGTCCTCATATGTTTTGCGATGATCGAACGATGCATCTTTGGTGCCGAGTAGTAGGAGTGAGCTGGCCATGGCTGCCAGAGCTTCGGCAACAGATGGGAGGTTCGTGTTCAACGATGAGATGTTTGTCTTGCTGTCGGAGTTGGGGATTAGCTGTGCGAGCAGGCGCGCATTGCTCCCATAACCGTCTGACAACCCCGTATTCAAAGCTATAGACCTGGCCCATTCTTCTGCAACGTCTCTCCAATCTTTGTCGATCATGATCCGGGGAGCGTCAGGGGCAATCTCTGCGTAAGTCTTCGAGTGGGCGGCACCACCACATTCGGAATAGAGTACTCCGCCGCTTGAGGCTGCTTCGTATTTCGTTAGGCATTGAGGAGTCAATCCGCCCTTCATCTGACATAGAAAGTGAGGTGGGTATACCTCCGGCGGGGATGTCCCCAGGAGGTAGATCGAATGCGCGCCGTATTTTGCAGTCACATTGATGATAGTGTTGTATTCTACTGGTATTTTAGGGAATATAGGCGGTCTCTGGCCTCGCTCGCCGAATTTCTCGCCAAATTCGAAGATGTCATCGACCACTGTCAAGTTCAGCCAGTCTGGGTAGTTTGGCATATCCGAGGTCTGATTCTGGAGCCAGGTGGAGGGATTGAATTCAAAGTTGGGATGGGGCCATTTGGTATAAACTATGGGAGCCAACTCCTCCTCTGTCATGCCCGCGCAGATTACGTTGACAATCGGCGACGGAACCGCAGCTTCAATAGTAAACCCTCCTTGTCCTCCAAGATCCTCCGGCAGACGGATGCTATTCTTTGGATGTCTGGCAGCTGAGAATATACCGGCGTGGGGCATTGCAGCTGTGACATTGACGACCATTCGGCCCCACTGGATAGAAAGGTCGGTCATGTTGTATGGTTCAATCCAGCTACCTCTGACTGTCGTATTATCATACCACGTACCAGTTGGTGGAGGGCGATATGTCATGTCCGTCAAGCTATGTTCGGAAGTAAGATTCGATGCCCAGTGAGCCAGATATTGCTCGTAATTGTGGAATGATCGTCCAGAAAATGCAATCTGCATGCAAGTTGAGCCTCGATAAAGGGGGTCTACATCCAGCGGAACCGGGCTTTGGCATTTTTCGTATAAGTATGTTGCGTTGGCGAACTTGGTGTTTACTTCGCCGGTAAGCTCCCTTATCTCAGGGATGCCAGCCGTGAGTCTCGGTGAAACCAACGCCTCCGCCGCAGTGGTATAAAACATGGCCACGAAGGTCGTCGTCATGGCAATCATCCCCAGCAGCGTAAGGGCCGAATGCTTGACGTTCTCCCAATGTGTGATCAGGGTCCCCGGCTGCATGACCCAGCTCCGCATCGACATATCGGCAATCGTGATGCCTCCAGCATTCTTACCCAGGGCCTTTCGACTGAGCACTTGTCCCAGAAACGCGACGAATACCGTGACAAAGGACAGTTCGATTGTCTTTGCGAACAGAGCACTTAGAAGCGAGGCTGTTGATGGTGCCAGCGCCCCCTTGCCCCCAATTCTATTTCCATAGTGCGGTTTTAAGCAAGCAATGACAAAGTATAGAGCGGAAAAGGCTGTGGAATAGAATGCAAGAGCTAATATGGCAATGGACAGCCATGCGGTCCGCTTTTGGACAACATGTCGACGACTCGGACAGCTGATACGTTTTGGACGATCTGATAAAACGAACAAGGGGGCTTCATGTTAGCCAGGAGATTCTCACGTTCGTTGAAACCTGTCAAGATACATACCAATACCATACTCCTGGCCGTCTGCCGGCTGGACGATACGGACGGTGTCGTTGTCTGATCCATCGGACTGGAAAGAGGAATTCATAGAGGGCGACGGGCGGTGGTATGCCCCGGAGAAGTCCGGCGGCGTATATCCAGCATCCCCCAGCGAGGACTGGCTCCAGTTCCTCGAATGGTGCGCCGGATTGTATCCCAAGTCGGCCTCCTCTCCCATGCCACCGACTTGTCTACCATCACCCGGCTGGCCAATTCCCAGCCCAAAGCCTCTGTCTGAGCCATCCCGATAAGGCGGAGCAGCGGAGGCACCGGCGGGCTTCGGGGAGCCAAATGCTTCGTACGGATGGAGATACGACTCGTCGGCGGCGGTTAGACGACGATAGGCTCCGGTGTTTCTTGACGACAAAGCGATTGAGTCTCCTCCACGGTAACGGCTATTCGCAGTGGGATGTAAGAATATGTGGTCGAATTCCGAGTCTCGCCTTGGTTCCATTTGCGCAGAGAGAACGAAGCAGTTCTGACAGACGCATCTACACGCCCAGCATAAAGAAACCAAAGGAAAGAGAGGCAGTTCAACCGGTATTTTACAGCAGGGAAGCGCCAGTCGTCAAGCAAACAAAGGAAATGATACTTGGATTAATTCGCAAATATAAGCCGAAACCTGAGACGAGATGATACCAGCCCCCGGACAGGGCTGGATGAACCCTTCAGCCTTAAAGGGTGACCAGGGATCTATCTCCTTTGGCGGCTTCATCATGAATAATAACAAGCGAAATAATAGGCGAGACCACAGCCCCCAGCAGCTCTTCCCGTGTGCTCTCGATGCGTTTTCGCGATGCTGTGCAGGGGATGGCAGCGCAAAACGAGGCAACGGGGATACGTGATTGATCAAACGAATGCAAGTGCTCCATGGCATCTTTAAATACAGGCCAATCATGGAGATGCCAGGACGCCAAATGGAGACGATTTCGCACCTGTTCGCCTCTGGTTGGTTTGTGGTATACAAGCGTCTTCCTTCGCGTTCGCCATCCAGCCTGATCGATCAAAGCGTGAGGGCTCAGCCGTGGCTCCATAGCTCCTTAAACCAGGGGCATTATGCTGAATTTACGGCGGTTATTTATGGCGGTGCAAGAACTCAAGGCATATATAAGACCTTGATGAGGCGTATAGTCCGTATATGCTGATAAAGCTGGTGGAGAAGTGTAATTGCAATATCAAATTATACAGACACTTCGATCATATACTTCGATCATATTTACTCTCACCTAGACAATCAATTTTCCCTTTTAATCCCCTTTATTTGCGTATTGTTTGGATAGAAGGAATTGGATGTGCCAAAAGCGACGTCGGCCCGGAAAATCTTCAACGTCACGTGATATCACTACTTTTTCGAGACCTCCGTCGCGATGATGGACACGAACAGACGAGTTATTGCTGAACAGTAGCAGCAGCAGCAGCAGCAGCGAAACCCTCTGGCCTACGATTAAACATCCGACAGTCTAATCCCACATTTTATCCCCGTTTCTTCCAGCTGGGTACCAGAGCCCAAGCGCATCTGCACTCCCAAGTCACCCCCATCAACCTCCCTTCATCATGGCTAAAAAAGGTACTATTATCCTCTTCGCATCCCCTAAATTTAAAGGAGAATACTAAGGAGTTAAATATAGCTAAATCACGAACCATCGCTGTCCGACTAATTTCCATGGCAATGACCGGATACTTCAAGACATTCACAAGACCGAGGGCAAGCCGGCCACTAAGCATGCTCAAATACGACCCCGTGGTGAAGAAGCAGGTGTTGTTTCTAGAGGCAAGGAGGAGGAAATAGAACCCATGCGATTTTGGTTGACTGGATATCGAGACGGAGAACCGGGTTGGAAACCGGATACGCGCAGGCCACAGAAAGTGTACAAGAAGATGCTACCAAGGGGATATTTGAAAAAGTGTGGTGGCATTGATCCGCTACGGGCATCGAATGTTGCAGTATACTCTCTTCTAGGAGGGAAGATAAAGAAGACGGGCGAGACCGGGCGTTGTAACGATAAACAGATGTGTATATTATTGACATTACTCCTTTATTTCTTCACGTACAAAGGGCAGTGAAGGTGTTGAGGTTACGACCAAGGCGGGCCTTTTCAAACATTACTCCAACTTCTTTCCTTTCCTAATACTACCTTAGGGAACTTGAACACTCGTCTGGATGATAGAGTTTACAGGGAGCGAATGAGACTGGCAAAGTATTGGCCATGTATAGGCCCGATATCATAATTAAAAGTACGTTTCACGTTTCCGTTTAAGTATAGATAAATATTTTCTACTAGCCCATAATTTCTCTTGTAAACATATCAATAGAGATGCAGAAGTTCTCGTGTAAATGATTGTCACCCGGCTACCGTCATTGGAAGACATGTTTTTGGCCAAATCTGTTGTTAAACGTGTCTTCTGTTCGACAATTAGCATCTTCGCGCATAAGATAAGCCGTCATGGCCCCTCGTACCTCTGCGTCTCTTCCTGCTTTGAACACTAGACTGTGTCATAAACGTATCCACGGATTGATTGACGGTCCACGTCGTGTCTTGTTGACTTGTGATCACCGACAGTGATGGGCTTGGGGTTGGCTGGGGGTCGAAAAACCTGGAAGAAACGCGGGACTGGCGCCTCGGGGCTGTGGCAGCAATACTCGAACGTTTCCTTTTTGTATCTCTAGATGGGGTATGGAATTGTGCCGTGCGTTTGACAGATGAAGCAGTCACCGGCTGCGTTTCTTTCAAGATCCCTTTCAGCGTAGCCTCTCCTTTCTCCTTTTTGACTGGTCCGTCATTTGAGTTACTAGGGGTGTTGATGGACTCGGCTGGAGCCTCAGATCCACGATCCTGTTTACCAGCTTTGAGTCTGTTATTTTCCTCTTGGATGGTGACATTCTCGGCCTTGACATCTGCGTTCTCCTTTTGGATAGCCGTGTTCTCAGCCTTAATAACCGCATTCTCTTTTTGGATAGCCGTATTCTCGGCTTTAATGGCACCATTCTCCTTCAGGATAGCTGTATGTTCCAGCTCCAACGCCGCCTTTTCCTTCTTGATGGCCGTAATTTCCTGCTCCAAAGCTGCATTATCTTTTTGGATAGTTGCTTTCTCTGCGTTAATGGTCACATTATCCGCAAGGATAGCTGCATTCTCCTGCTTCAAAGCTGAATTCTCTTTCTGGATACCCACGAGCTGCTCTTGGATATTTTTCTCCTCTGTTGTATGTAGATCCCGATGCTCTCGCAGGGCTAAAACCGCTTTCTCATGGGCAGATGCCACTGCTTCGTGTTCCTTCTCCGCTATATCGAGTTTCTTCTTGTAGGTGTCAAGCTCGAATATTTGTCAGTACCAATGGCTATTATTCAAAGAAGGAAAACGGAGGAAAGAAAGGATAGAGCATACCGTGACCAATAGGCTGGCATTATTTGCGCTGATTTCAGCCTGTAGCACCTGTTAGAATAGAACGAAGGATAAGGTGTCCCTCCATATACTTACCAAGTTAGCTTGCGCCGCCTCTAGCTCCTTCTTCACCTTAACGACATTCCCTTCAGCTGACTGCTTCTCTCGCATGAGCGTATGCTTTTCTTGCTCGAACCTAGCGCGGTCTTGGTCCTTGGACATCAAGCTGGCTCTGGAGAGTTCTTCTCTAATTCTTTTTTCCATCTCCTTAGAGCTCAGCTCAAGCGTTAACCTTTCCGAGTCAGCTCTACAGGCCTGGGCCTTAGCGTCTTCCATGGCTCGGTTCATTTCCTCCAAGGTCCGCTCCATATCTTTCAGCTTAGATTCTTTCGATTGCAAAAGGACGTTGAGGGCATCTTCTTCTGCGGTAAACTGGTGGATGACGCCGGTTAGTTGCGCTTTATATTGGCTTATATTTTTCCCTATCCCCTTTGAGCTCTCGGTAAGATAGTTGAGGCTATCGTGAATTTGGTCCCTCTCGACGTTTAGTGAGACTTGCTCCTTTCGAATCAACCGGCAATTCCTGAGAAGCCTCTCCTGGTGATCAGCAATCCCAGCCATTAGTCCCCGTATCTTCCCAAACTTTGTCTTCCAACGCTCCACTGCCTGGTTCTGGGCGGCTTTCCCCACTTGTTGCTCTCTGTATTTTTCCTCCAATTCGTGAAATTGGAGCTTGAGAAGCTTATTATTCCTATCTGCTTCATGAAGACTTGCCTTCAACTCATCCCTCAGCTTGGATGCAGCGGCCTCGGCCTCTTCCCTTTTCTTCAGCCTGTGCATTAGCAACTTGAACAAGTCAACTTCAGTGGGCTGCAGGGTATCAACAGGGAGGGTATCTTCGGTATTCTTAGGTGCAATGGCAGAAAGGTTATCCTCAGTAGGCTGCGGTGGTTCCAGGACTGATTCTCTGGATATCTCTATCTCTGGGAGAATGGAAGTGGTTCTGGCTCGTTCTGGTGACTTGGTTTTCTCTCTGTCCTCGTGGCTGATATCCTCTTCCACGGCTGTTTCATCTCGGGGCATCACATCTGGCAGTTGCACCGCCTCTTTATCCTCTTGGCTAGACAAACGTCAGTATACAAGCCAGTCGGCATGGAAGGGAGCTCTATACCTAGAAGGCTGGTTTGTCGTCCTCTCCGTGGCTGTTTGAGCACATCTGGCCTGCGGATGGGATGTGAAGGCTCTCCTCGGAAGGGTAGGCCTTGCAAAATGAAATCCAGGATTATGCTCGCCGGAGCTAGGTGGTCTCGCAACAAAGGAAACGCGGCTATCCTTGACTAGAGCTGTCGGCATCTCAATGGTGCACTCTTTGAGTATCTTCTTTGAGGCAGGAGAGAGCCCATCGTCGTGCGTAGTGGCGTCAGCCATGGTGCTTGGGGTTAATGTCTATGAGATGTAGTCGAGAGGGACGAGGTCGATGTTTTCTAGATCCGGGAGTCACGGGGGTGGGGGCAACCACTTCGCTTCTCCTGTCCATCGGCGATAGATGTATAAACAGGCCACGGTGAGATGGTATGGAAGCTCATTTTGACAAAGCCTGGAGAGAATACCGAGTCTGGGTGCGACATGGTAAATCTCCGGGGTATCTAGCTAGTAGAAAATGGGTATAGGATATAGGTCTCCTGAAGAAACAACACTGAGGTTCTCATTAAAACTCCCTTGAAGACCGTTATGTCAGATAAGGCAGCTTGTCCTTGCAACTAATTCAGCTCCTCGGCTTACCGTCGTACTTGATTTCACCATTCTGCAAAACGGCCACGTCTTCTGTTTGCTCGTAAATTGTTACTTTTATAGCTGAAGTTTTGCTGGAAGAGCCACTGTCACGTGAGAACAGCCTCCTTTTTCTCTTCAACTTCTCAACAAACAACCACCTCCAGGGACGATAACCACCACGATCACTACTTCAGTAAGCATCAAGCTCGAAGCCCCACAGGATATTTGCACAGCATGCCAGGATTGCCTATGCTTCCGTCCTCCGGTACGGCTCGCTGCCACCATCATCCGGTGAAACCGCGGGAACGCAGGCATCGTGTCCCATGGGTCTAACACTACACCGGAATATGGTTCTTCATCATTAGCCCTCGATGCAGTGGGTTTGGCTTGCCTGCTCGTGAGATCATAATGGTAAGTTATTGATGCTCGTTCAAGCACAGGGACCGCTTCAAAGAACTTCAGGAACCCCTAAGTTTTATATAGCGACCTGGCAAAGGAAGCCAGCCATTAACTTCAGTTTTGGGAAACCAACTAATGACGTCAACTACTTGACCATACCCGTGGGATGCCTATCATATCCATGGAATGAACATATTATTTTACTCGTCATAGCTCTCGTCGGCTGGCTATAAATTGCAGATATTCCACAATTCTCCAGGATTTGTTTCTTTCTCCAACCGGAAAAATATTTGGCTCCCCACGTCTTCCATTTTATATTACGCGCAAACTACGTTTCAGCAATTATCAGCTTGAATCAAAGCCTCGGAATTATACACAATATTTTTTTTTTTTTTTTTTGAGGAACGAGCCTTGAGTACGTCATCGCCATGCATGAGGGTAACATAAAGGTGGCATCGGTTCTTTGCGGCCTCGTTGGAGCCTTTATTCTAGTAGCCACCTATGTTATAAAAATGGGCTTGATTCATCTGCCACAGAAGGGCGAAGATGCCACCATGGCGTGGTTTAATCTTGTCAAACGCAAGGTCGCGTACCTGCTCTGGCCCTGGTACTATCGACCTGTCGACAAACCTCTGCCCCTAGAGGATCGATCCCCAATATACTCTCTTAATGATGACGCAGTGAACTGCATTGTTTCTACGCTTCCTCCTGTCGATGCTGCTGCATTTACGCTCAGTTGCAAGGCCATCTGGCAGGCTGCTGGAGGCCAAAATATCCTCTACAAGCTATATGATTCGCCTAAGGGTCGGATAAACCTTCTGGAGAGATTAGAGGTTGAATTTCCCAAGCATGTTCTCTGCTATCGTTGCGAGAAATTCCACCGTCGATGCAGACTACCGCCCAAGCTGAGGCCATACGGGTGTGATACAGAAAGTGGAATTCACTTCTTAGGATCCTCTAAATGGCCAAGGAAGCCGCATTTAACATATAGGCAGGCTAAAGAGGTTATGAACCATTATCGATTCGGTCCTACTCATGGGCGGTGTGCGGCCAAGGTTATATATAACCATACTTTCACCTCATCGACGTACGAGATTGACATTGGCTGGAATTTTGATATCAAGCTCATTCGTAACGACTTGGTGCTAAAGCAAGATACATGGATTGTATACAAGATTAATCGGTCCACAAGTACAGCGCTGTGGAAATGCACCAAGCGGAGCAATCATATATTCCCCAAAATCAATGGGTACGGGGACAAATTGCAAGTATTCGACGGATTGCATGTATGCTACCGGTGTCCTTATTCTTCATCGGAGAGAGAACTTAGTGTCTCTTATTTAAAACATATGCCCGGCCACGCCCTAATGCGCAGTACGCTATGGGAAAATCTTGGAGCTTGCCAAAATTTAGATTCGAGTCTATGGAACCATGCAACCTGGTCCTCTCCCTGCACATTCGAGCCTTCTGCCATACTGCCTGATGAATTGAAATACCGACAGCATTTCGAGACCGAACCGTCGCTTCACAAATTGTTGACGTAGTCAGGATGAATTATCGTTTCTTATTGTTATTTCAATACTCGACGTGAACGTTTAATGTCAGTATTCAACTTTCACTTCCAAATAAATCATGTAAAATAAAGAATTATGAGGGTTCCCTATTCCGCAATTCCTTATCAACGCTTCTATAAATGCCACATATTTTATCCCTTGTTCCAAGGGCAAATCCAAGTATCTAAGAAGGTTGATTGGCCGCCTCTGGGATATGAGTTAGAATTATCCAAGACAGGCAGCAATATAGCCAAACGAGTCATTTTGAACCTCCTACTCAACAACCCCTTTCACCACCCGTGAGCAAAAGGACGTCTCCCTCTCAGCCCAAGGTCCTTAACTTTATCACTGGAAACATAAACAAACTGGCCAAAGCCAAAGCAATACTGGGCGATTCGGTCAGGCTCACTAACCAATCCGTGGACGTTCCGGAAATCCAGGGCTTGTTGGAAGAGATCGCGCGGGACAAATGCCAGAAAGCAGCCATCGCGGTCTGAACTGATTGTCTCTAGTAATAGATAGTGTAATGTATGCATGAGGTCTAAATAAACCATGCTGTCTAGGTTGGCGACCCCGTCCTGACAGAGGATAGTGCATTGGAGTTTGATGCATTAGGTGGTTTACCAGGGCCATACATGTGCGTCGAGCTAGCATCACATTGGAGTGATGTTCAAGTGCTTACCTTGTGATTTCTCAATACACCAGAAGACAGTTCTATACTAATCTAGGAAATGACGGGTTATACAACTTGTTGGCGGCATATGAGAACAAGTGTGCTAGGGCTGTTTGTACGTATGCGTTCTCCGCTGGCCCTGGCGCGGAGCCTCTCCTTTTCCAGGGCTGTACAGAAGGGTTGATTGTGCCTAAGGGAGGTGAAGGCGGTTTTGGTTAGTCCCGCGCATTTTGGATGGAGATGAACCTTTTGAAAAGAAGCTGAGATGTGCTGTAACTTTTAGCATTTGATCCAATCTTTGAGTATCAGGGCCGCACATACGCTGAAATGAGCTTTGAAGAGAAGGTAAGCCTACAAAAAGATTCTCAGCTATGTCATTATAGACACGGCCCTTTTTATTCTAACATGAGTAGAACAAGATATCTGAGCGATTCAGGGCATTAGAAAAACTAAAGGCATGGCTCAGAGAGAGCAAGATTTAGTCCTATTATCATTGGCGCAAGGTAGTTAATGGGCCTGATTATAAGTGGGACACTAGAGAAGAAATGGATAAGATGGAAGCGGAGAGTGCGCATAAATTTGGTTTCTTTTTATTTAATAAGAAAAGGATAGTATACACTGTAGCAACCATAGCGAGAATCAGATTCTAGTACATAGTAATACTCGATACATACGCACAAAAAAAAAAAAAAAAAAAAAAAGCCCCCGCGAGAGAGCTCTATTATACATCCTCCGTTCTGTTAACAACCGGATAACTATAAGAGCACGCGGGAAAGGGCATCCCCCACTCTCACATTTGCCATCCCTGTGACTATCTCCTGAAATAGATGAAAATAGAACGGGAGTAAGCCAGTCACAGGTGGGGCTTGTGGCCGTATTTAGTGCCACCTTAGGCTTGTAAACAAATGTACTCTGGGGCGTGAAGTGATAGTGCACTATGGGGCGTGCTGAGGGCACCACGAAGCCGTATATCGGATCCTCTGTAAAGTTCCGTCCTCTTGGTTGGCGGGACAGTGACTGCATTGGGGTGTCCTGAGGGCGAATCCTCCGCTGGATTTCGCCTAGAATCGACTAAGTTGATTGGTCTGTTGATGTGCTTTGCTGGTTCGCTAGCGGGTTATTTTTATTCTCGCCCGCTTGGTTCTTGAGCGTTGCCCTTCATAGTAGATAGGTGGATGGAACTCTGACTCCCGGGGTGGAGGTGGAGTGGTATGTACGGGTAACGAGTTGGTTTCGGTCTTCGCTGGGGTAGAGAGTGCCGCGGCGAGTGAAGGAGAGGTCGTCGTGAGATGACTCCTTAGCCTTGCGCGAGGGGTTAACCACTATAGTACGGCTGGCACGTTCGGGTAGTGAAGTAGATGGAGACACAGGACTTGGTGGTGCATTCTCCGGCCGAGAGTTGCGCGATTCATCGGAAATATTGACAACCACTGGCTGTGGCTTTTGGAGCTTTGCAAGGAGGCCGAGGTCAAGTGCTCGTAGGAGGTCGTCGATGATGGAAAACTGAGGTGGGATCTCGATTTCCTTGGGTGTAAACTCAATGTCTGCAGCGGCATAGGCTCTTCCTTCACGGCTCCGGATGCATAGGATGAAGTTGTGTGCATGGCGAATTCCGCGGTCACAGAGGCTTCCACCCCGTGAGATGGCCTCTATTGGGTTTGCGCAGACTTTGCATCGGGTAGCGTGTCCTGCATACCTGTCCATGACATGGTATTCCTGACTGAGGGGTAGGCGGCTGTGGCTAAGGATTGTTGGCCGACCTTGTGTAGGGGTGAACGAAGGCATTGTGCTGGTGTGTAAACTGATTTTGATGTTGATAGTAGCTGGCTTGATCTGACGACCGGGAGGTGATGTCAAATGAAGAGTGTATCTGATTGCTGGATGATGAGGAAAGTAATATGATATCAGGGAGGGGGATATGGCAGGCTTATTTATGCCCCAGGTCAAGGAGCAAGTAGATATGCACCCACCAGGAAGCTCAGACCCGTTTAGACTTTTGAGCTAAGCCTGCTGTAAGTATCCGCGCTGGGCAACCCTATTTACGAGATCGCAGGTGCAGCTTGCAAGCAACATTTAGGCCAATAGCTGCCCTGCGGAGTGAGGCTTAGCCAATAGTTGGAGCTCCTCATGCTGGTGCCTATTATTACTAACGATAATAGACCGAGTTTGAAAGGCGGATGCCTAAACCCTCACACCCTCACGCACCCCAAAGTGCACCCCGGGATGTGCGCAGCAGCTGGGATATGCAAGGCGGAACATTCCATTGCATGGACACTAGACTAAAAGCAGGCGCCGATGGGTGTTGCTTTTCGACTTGCTGCCATCTAGGCTGCTTACTGCCACGGATAGTTCCTCGAAGGGGGGTCATGTCATCTTTGATCGCCGCCGTGATAAGATCGGTGATGCAATCGAGTCTCTGTCCCTCTCCAAGGCGGATTTTTCCCCGAACTTTGAATATGTTGGACTGTTGTACCTCCAATATCCGTTATCGGTACGGAGTAGTAAACGTCCCTTCTGGCTTCCCCATGTCCAGTGCTCCGTATCGAGATAAAAGAAGTTGACGTCACTATCAAGACTCTACGTGAGATAGTAGATGGCACGATGACACACTGATATTCGGCTAAAGCCAGGGATTTCTCTGTCTTTCCATTTGATGCATGGAAATGTGTGTGCATTGCCCAATAACAGCCGCAGGAGTAGTCTCCTCTATTCATCAGATTGCGTCCCCCTCGTCCAGATGACCACTCATGTTTTTTAGGGTTGGTGACCAGGCAGCGCAAAATCTGCCCTTTGAGTCACTCCGTTGCAGATGCATTTCGCGAACTCGCTTATAGCCACGCCCGAGCATGAGGCTCATGGAGATTCGGATGTTTTCTTTTCGTTTAGCGTTGAAGCCACATCTCGCGATGGATGAGGCTGGTGATAGTTAGCCCAGTTGGTTACCCGAGCCCTCAGTCCCAAAGCCCATATCCACCGGGGAACAGGGAAGCAGACCTGTCAGTCCGAGTCTCAAGCCCCAGGCTCGAGCCACACGCTTGGGGAAAACGAGCAGCGAGGCTGGTGATGGCCCCCTGAGTCTGCTCCCGTCCTGCACCGCCTCTGCTCTCCAGGACTGCTCCAGCTGAGATGAGCCTGAGCTTACCGCGAACGGCATAGTGTCTCGCTCGAGCCTGATCCCTCGCTTGTTGGATGTCAGGGGCAACGCGCTCACGCTCTAACATCTTGTTCGCGCTGGGTTTCGTCCATGGCTGTGTCGAAGTTGTCGTTCCAGGTTCTATTTTGGCCTGAGACAATGATACGGTCACATGACCAGACTGCTATTTCTGGCTGTCTCTAAGCGCCAACTTCGACGTCGCCGGACAACGCTGGCCAGAGAAGACGTCGACGGGCCTCCGTCCTGCGACAGCGCTGCAGAGGGGTTCGTCTGAGCCAGCTGGACGGGTTTGGGGGTCTTCTCTGACGGTGGATTGCCCTCGCGCTTGCGCCTCGTTCTCATGGTCTCCCGTCCAGGAGCCCTTCTCTCGTGTCCAACGGATGGCCATACATCTCCCCCCGGACGAGACTATCGAGATCCGGTCATACAGGCCGTGGAATACCCATACTGCTGCTTCGATAAGGGTACGGATATGGTTTTGGAGGATTCATCTTGGACGCTTCCCTGACAAACTTCGCGTTTGCCCCCTAGTGAAAAAAAAAAAAATCTCTCTAGCTGCATGCCATGGGGAGTGGCCGTCTCGGTGTGCTGGTTTTGCAAGTCTTTGTGAAATGATGCCGACGACACTTTAAGCCTGCTTCGCTCCAGTATGGTTATGCCGTTGCAGCGTATCATCCCGTGGGACGATCTATCAATGTCTAGTTTGCTCCGCTGGTGGGATCCTGCCTTGCATTGCGGCGGCCTCCGTTCATCGCATAGGACTCGAAAGCTCGATCTACCCGTGCATGATAATTGCCACTGGGTGCCTAGACATCCATCTGATAGGTGGATAAAATCCATATTCAACGGAAAATCATGGCCTACGCCGTGTTATATCCGGCCAGGTGTGCTTGTCCTTTCCCTCCCCACCACACCATACCACCGTATCCATGCAGCCAGAATCGCCAGTGTTGAGATTTGCAATGTTAGCGCCGAGGGCCACAGGGTTCCGACGTTCAGGCATGCTCATGTGGTATTTCACTCTAGGCAACAGTGCTCAAATATGCACCTCGGCCACCGGCCCTATACCACTGCTCCTCGGTAATTTAGCCTTGAAAAGATGAACGGGTTGCGTGCAGACGTCCGTCTTTCATGGCAGCAATACCTCCGGGCTCAACCAGCTCTTGGACTTACATTTTGCTTTTTTCCTTTTGCCATCGGGGATGTGCCATTCACCTCCATGCACGATGTGACTGGGGAGGTTTAATCCCTCTCTGCCTAGAATCTTCTTAGAGACCCAATGACATCATCCAGACCATTTTTCACCAGGAAAGGCTATGCACGGCACGCCCGAGAACGATATAGACTCATATATCCTGTCATGGCATTGCAAAGCAATTTCTAAGCTGCTTGATTAACCCCTCTCGTCTTAGCTCCCCTTAATTCATTGACAACCGCAGAGGTGCTAGCGGATATGGCCGCTTATAGCAGAATTAGTGGCTCGTCGACCACATTTCATCCCCCACGCTAAACAATAACTTCATCCCTCAAGTATATTTTTGTCACATTTCGAAAGTGATTATCCAATATATGGACACCTAGATTAGTGCGGCAATACCCCCTTCTGAGTTGTGAATCCGGAATCCAGCTTCCACGCTGCATATTGCTGCGCCTACCCATTTACTAGAGTGTATGAAGCTAAGTAACCATTCAACCGGAATAACCCAATAGGGGCTACCCCGAGATACAGCGGCAGGGTGATATTACACTGACGGACTGCCTATTGAGGGGTTATCACATGGGAGTTTCAATATTCTGACCAATATTTTGTATTTCTGTGATGGGGCCCACTATCTTGATGATATCATCTCATTCCAGAGGGTAATTGGTCATTATCAGCAGTACAGCCTTGGGCTTATGCGGCGAGGTCTCTGCTACTGCGAAGTCCGTCGGGCTAATTCTGCCTTTCAACCCTGGCCCATGGGAGCTGTCAGGGTATGGCCTTAGTATTAAGAATCTCACTCTTCCTAGCCCTGGGCCGGCTAACTGTTCTGATTTTAATTTGTCATTTCGACAAGAATTTCTTTTCACAGCCACCCCCAGGAGGCAAGCAATATCCTCGTCCGGGAACTTTCCCCCGGGGCCAGTTCGGGAAATATACTAGCAATAGTTGTCTCAGAATACATTCACTGACGGCCGTGATTATTATCATTCCCATGTTCTTTCAACGTCCAGCTAATCTATCGTTCATAGCTAACAAGATACTAAGCTGGTTCTTGAGAAGACGGCCTCTATAAAAACGGAATATTGTGAGTTACCGTGGCTTATAAAAGCAGTACTAATTACACGTTTATGTTGCTTGCAGGCACCCACGCGGATAGTGGCATACATTTTGGAAGAATAGAAGTGAGAACAGAACTTTTTGAAGTCTCTTCCATCTATAACAACTAAAGGATAGTCACCTTTGGTAATCGGTTGACTGATACGCCGCTATATAACTACTAGGTACGTATAGTACATTCTTCAGTTATTGAATTAAACATCCAGTTTTATACCGTCAACTCCAGGCTAATATAATCACTCCTTTTAGGCCTCCTTTCTACACGTATAAAACATCGATATAAAGCACAACCTTGGGCAATTCCCACCCCGTTTCTCGAGGGTTATCTCTACCTGTTAAATAATACATTAAACATAAAGACATACACGTATGCTCCTATAAACCAGCCAGATGAAAACTCCAATATCCAAAACCAAAGAAGTCGAGTCGTCCAAATGTCCACAGATATGATCAATAGTTTTCAGGCAAATCGCCAAAATCAGGAATATCTCCACACTTGAACTCCGGTTCATATGCTTTACTCGGCAGAATACCTGCGGCCATCCCTTTTTTCCAACTCCACTGGGCAGCCGACTCGCTGTCCCAAGTCCAATAGAACCATCCCCAGCCCTTTTCGAATGCAAAGATCTGAGCTTCAGCATACAGCTTTAGCCATTTCTTATAGGAGTCTGAATATTGCGCTGGGTCGGCATTCGCTGCGTCGCAGGAGCATTGTTTCCCACTGGGACATGACGGGGTGAGCACTGGGTCACCACCAATGGGGTTTTTGTCCATGTTGCCAGTCCAGCGAGCTCCAACGCCGACGCTGTTGATGTAGAGGGTACAATCTGTATCGGCCTGGGACCACTCGCCACAAATAGTTGGACCCCATCTATGTAAAGTTAGCATGAGAACTGATAAAAAAAAAGTGGGCAGGATGATGGTCTAACTTACCCTGTTCCTTTCGTGTTGCTGTTGCTGATCAAATCGACCCATCCGTCACATACGAATTTCAACTTCTCCTTGTGCTTCAACTTGATTAGATCGGCGTTAAAGATAGTGTACTGGTGGGTGTCTAGCACCATGTCATGCCCCGTGCTTTGCAATATATTTGACCACTTGGATAGCTTTAAGAAACCATCTCCAAAGACAATCTTCTGCTTCATTCCGTTTCCACTCACGATATCAGCAGCCTTAGTTGTCCAGTCGATAACAGGTTCGATCTCCAACTTCAACATCATTGGCTCGTTCGCGAGGCCGTACAGAGCAATCACATTCTTATATCGAGGTTGAGCGAAGAACTTCGACAGCTGATCATGGAGATCAAGTGCTCGTTGGCCCCATTTAGCCCCATCATCGCCGTTAAGCCACTTTATCTCACCCTGACGGCCAGAGTGGTTCCATCCATTCTGGCTGCCTGGGACACCATGGAGGTCAAGGTTGACGCGCAGGCCGAATTTCCTGCAATATTCAATAGCCCGTAGAAGATATCGCCAGCCCATCTTGGCAAAATAGGGGTCACCATCGTAGGTTGTAGCTACCCAGTAGCCATAAGGAATTCGAACATGGTCAAACCCTGCATCCCTTATCTCTTTGAAGGATTGTTCGTTGATGAAGGTCGCGTAGTGCTTTTCTATAGTAGATTTGCCAGCATTGCCCAAGCGTTTGGTAAGGGTATATTCATCCACGACTTCGTCTCGCGCGGAGTATCTCTGGAAGAACGACGGTGTGATAAACGGTTCCATGGAGAGCCAGCCGCCGACATTAACGCCTCGGACGGGCTGTTTGCCGTAGGGGAACCCCTTGCTGAGGGCTGGAACATTCTTGTTTGCTTGCGCTGAGTCGTCCCAGGTTGAATTTAGGCCCATGATAGGTAGGCCGCCGACTGTCTCGTCAGTATAGGTGACGTTGAAATCAGCCGTGTCGTACCATGTAAACGGATCAAGGTGGGTGCCTTTCGCCTCGGGCTGTGATATATATTAGCGCTGTACTTAAAAGAAACCAAGGGGGCAGGGAGAAACATACTGGTATACTATCCGGACTTATCCCGTCGAGCTCACTATGTGACGGGCCAGTGGTTACAGGGCCGTCTGGGTGAGTACCGCCGTCGCCATTCTTCTTCGATACCACGACTGCGACGGCTATGATAATCACGAGCAGAGGAATACATATGCCCAATGCAACAAGGATCTTCTTCTTCTTGCTCCAATTCTTAAACCAGCCACCGCCATCACTGGTATCATCATCGTCGCCGTCGTCATAATCATCATCATCACCTCCGCCGCCTCTTCTTCCTCCACGACGTTTTTCTCCATGAGACCTCCCACCACCTCTGGTCCTTAATTCAGGACTCCTACCTTCCTCCAAGTAAGCACCAGAAACAAGTCTCCTCTTCTCCTTTTCCCTGTCCTTCTCTCTCTTCTTTTTCCTTTTCAAGTCCCCTGAGCTCTCCCACCCTTTCTCCCCATCCCTATCCTTGTTCCCGCGGACACTATCTCCAACAAATCCGCTCTCAAAGATATATCTCTTCTTTTTCTCCTTTTTCTCCTTTTTCTCCTTTTTATGTTGATTTTCTTCCTCCTTGCGGACCTTCTTCTTAGTCTCCTGGTCAGTCTTCCGGTTTAGTTGATCAAGTTGCGCAAGCGCATTAGAACTGAGTAGCACCGTTGCGCTATTCGCCGAGTCGTTGCTGGTGTGTTTCTCTCGCCTCTCACGTCGGCCTGTCGCTCCTGTACCCCGGTGTTCCCGTTCTTGACCACTGTCATGATCTCTCCTCCTCCGACCTCTTAACCGTCCGTCACCGTCTTCATCAGCTGTGCTATCCCTCCTGGGCCGGTGTCTATTATGTCCCTCACGGTCCCGTTCGCGGTCCCGTTTCTTGATAGGTGAGGTGGCGGGCGACTCTTTTGCTTTATGTCCTCCCCTGGGACTAGGGTAGTACGCATTTTTATCCCGGTCTCTTTCTCGGTCCCTTTCTCGATCCCTTTCTCGCCGTTCGACTCGTGCAGGCTTAACGTTTGGCGGCCGCGAGAACGTTGGCCGTGAATCAACGACAATCACCTCACTCTCTGACACGGGTTCGCCGTAGCTATCTTCACCGTCATGGTCCTCATGTGCTTGTGCCCGTCTGTCCCTCGACCGACGATGGTCTCTCCTCCGTCTATTCTTTCTATCATCAAACACATCATCGTCCTCGTTCGGGGTAATGACAGCATCCTCCTCGCCGTGAACACCACGGTACCCGCTTCTTCTTGTCCTACTCTCTCTCACTCTACTTTCCCGTCGCCGCGCATTAGAACGATCGTGGTCATCGTTGTTATCGTGATCGTAGCTATAATCGTAGCTGGGTTCGTCGTCATCGTCGCCTCGGTGTCTGCCGTGGTCGCGGTCTCGAGACCGATGCGGCGGACGGCGCGAGCCGCTCATGAACGGACGAGAAAATCAGACCGGCTTAAATTGACGTTTAGATGGAGTTGGTAGAATAAGTCAGAGAGAGGGCAACGGTTGTAGTTATAGCTGTCGCATAAGTCGTGGCGCGTGGAAACTTCGTGGGAATAAATTAAAGTAAAAAGAGCAGGTAGGTAGGCGATAACCTGTAACATAAACCAACTGCTCGATAAATCTGCTAGGTGTCGTTAACGTAGCTGTTGGCGGTTGCGCTCTGTACTTTGTTGTCTCCTGGCCGGTTGTTTACATGTTAGAATTCAGCATGTTTCGGGGCTTGGCACTCGATCTCGGCGGTTGCTGGTTTTGTTCCTGGATATAAACCACGGGTAGCAGGCGGAACAGGTACCCGAGCCACTGACCAGATATAAAAAGTCTTAAGGGGCGAGTATAGGAGTATAGGCAGGGAGATAGACATCCTATTGTCCAGATAGATACGACTCAACTTGAGGCTTTGGTAGAATAAGTATAGGGATGAGGGTGGAGATATTATCCATAGTATATCAGTCTCGCTATGGCTATCGCTATCGTCAGGTAGGTATGTAGGTAGAGTAAGTAACTAAGTATGTAGACACGTATGTAGGCCGCATAAAACAAACCACAGCCATGTCCATATCCATTTATCAAGGAAAAGAGGAAGCAGCATAGAGCACAAGGTAGGAAAGAAAAGAAAAGAAAAGAAAAACAAGGCCCAGCTCACAAATGCACAAGCACAGCACAAGCATTACGCATAGCATCGCAGATGAAAGGGAATCAAATCAAATAAAATGAACGCAAAGCAAAAAAAGAAAAACAGACTAATGCTCCCAATTGAATCAAGTCAAACAAAAAGAGAAAAGAAAAAGAAAAAGAAAACATCCCACGTAGATGGACAAGTACATGGATAGACAGCCTGGATGGGCAGGTGTATTAGCTCTCGAACCGAGATAGTAGGCATCAATAGAGGAGAAAACGGGAGGTATCAATGATCCAACGCCAGCGGAGCAACGCACTGCGAAGTATGGCAGAGAAGAGAAAAGAAAACGCCAACCAGTAGTCCGTCTATGGGGTAAGTGAAAAAAAAAGTAACAGAGTAGAAGAGGGAGTATTATATGTAGAAAAAAAGGGGGGAGACGAAAGGGGGAGGGGGGAGAAAGTAAGAGAACCATCGCATCGTATCCTCACGCTATTCACTGTATGCTGTGTCTAGTCGTATGCCATCCGTGATCAACCGGAAATAACAACTCGCGCGCCTTCTTTGCCCAGCACTCCACGTTCGGACGGTTTTGGGCTTCTTTCTCTCCCCTTCTTGCGGCTGAGGAATGAAAACATCCCACCTGTGCCGGTACCGGGGCCCCCGGCTGCAGTTCCGCTGTTTTGAAGGCCGTTCCCACCCATACCGCTGCAATTAGCAAGTGCATCTCCAGTGGGAGTCTGATCAGCTAATCCGGACCAACTACCTGTCTCTTCGAGGACCATCTGGACACCGCCTGATTTGCTGCGGTTGCGAGTTGCACCGCGGGCTTGTGGCTGCGATGTCGGGGCTGCGGGCGGTGGGGGAGGAGGGTACTGCGGATGGCCCTGTGTTGTCGAGTTGATGGTGTGGGAGCGGTTGGCATGGCGTTGGGAAGGTAGAGAGGGAGGGGCCGGAGGATTCTGGGTTGGTGGTGAGCGGGAGAGGGCACCGCCGCGGTCGGAGGATGGGGAGCCAGGATTGACGCTGTCATTTTGTAGGTTGCCGTGGGCATGGATATGGTCAGAGGTGTTGGACTTGTAGGACTTTTCTGTTCTGATTGACTTGTCTGTTCGGATTGATCTGTCTGTCCGGGAAGAAGAGTCCGATTGGCCCTGGGAGTCATGGTTACGGCGACGGCGTCTGTGGCTCGGCGAGGTCGTCAGTGTAAGGCAGTCTTCTGGGTTTCCGGAGGCGGCGATGGCAGCGGCTGCTGTGGTTTCGTAATTCATCGTCGTGTAGTCGAAGGGTTCAAACATGGTCTCTATGATACGGTGGAGCTCCTCTTCGCGAATTTCCTTGGCTGTGGCATCGTCCTTGAGTTCTGCTCGGGGTTTCTGACGGCGAGCGCGCGCTTCGAGTGGCGCTTCTTCAAGGAGCAGCTCTTCCAGATCATATGTTGCATCGAAGTTGGTCTTGTCGCTCGACGGGACGAAGACGGGCTCAATCTCCTTATTCTGGAGAGCTTCGAAGTCTATCTCGGCGAAGAACGGGTGGAACTGGAACGATTCGAAGCTCATGGCACCAATACGTTTAGCCGGGTCCTTTTCCAGCAAGGCACTGAGAGCGTGGAGACAGGGGACGGTAACGGCAGGGTTGGTGACGAAGTATTTTGGTTGAGAGCGCATGATGGCTTCGCTCAGGGCGTTGTGGCTACGGCCCTCAAACGGTCGTTTGTTGTATATGCATTCATAGAATGTGACACCGAGCGACCACCAATCGACATTGGATATGTATCCGCCGCCTTGGAAGACTTCTGGGGCAAGATATGCCATTGTGCCTGATCTGCTTGTGAGGGGTTTCGATGGTTTGAAGTCGGACGCGACATTCTACTTGAGAGTTAGGAGCGAGATGGCTACGTTGGGAGGTGAAGTATGCTGTCTTACAAAATCAGCGAGATGAACATGTCCTTCCGAGTCGAGCAATATGTTATCCGGCTTGACATCTCGATGTACGATGCCTTGGCCATGAATGTAGTGTAGGGCGCAGGCAAGTTCAGACATCCAGAACCGGACGGCCTCTTCTGTGAAGCATTTTCTGGATATGTGGAATCGTAGGTCACCGCCATTCATAAGGTCGACGACAAGGTATCTAACAGCTGTCAGTCAGGGGCCCGTAATGGCAAACGAAACGAAGTGTCCATGCTGTGCAGACGTACATGTATTCCATGTCTTGAAAGCTGTATCTCAAATTGCAGAGAAATGGATGATTGAGATGTTCGAGCATGCGCCGTTCGCGGATGATATTCCGCACACTCTCCGACCGGACAACTAGTTGAAGATAATAATGAGTGGTGTATCCAAGAAGGCAGGTAAAGAAGACGCCGTACCCTCATCTTTTCTGATATATTTCAACGCAAAAGTGAGACCGGTATCCTTCCGCTCGACGATGCGGACTTTTCCAAAGGCGCCTTTTCCCACCACGCGCAGTAATCTGAATTGGTTCAAGTTGACTACGCGGCCGGTCAGGAGTCAGCAAGGATGCAAAGCAAGGGACAATGGAATGGACGGTGTTGAGGACGATACCTGGATAATCTGGCGAAGACAGCTTGCCCTGAGAATTACCCATCTCAGCCGCAGCAGGCGCAGTGCGCGTTCGGTTGGATCAAGGAGTCGAACTCGCTCTGCATCGACAGTATGGCAGGTTCGAAGCAGTCAAGAGGAAGATTGTGATGGCGAGAGACGGCTAGGAGTGGTTAGTTTGGTGGCAGCGGTAGTGGGTGGCGGGCGAGTTGATGAATGGGAGACTGCACGATTGAACGAAGCAGCGATTGAGGTGAGAGCGAGAGTGAGTGAGCGAGCGTAAGGCTAGAGGCCGTTGTTAGTGCCAGTCCAGTCTGGTGGAGGTACGTATGTCCGAGAACGAACCTGAAACGAGGACGGGAGTGCGGTGGTGGTTTGGGGTGGACCGGGTCCAGGAGCAGGCGGAAGCAAGCCAACTCGTCGAGCTCCTTGCTCGTCCGTTAGTCTGGTTGTGTGTAGGGATATCTTCAATATCGATGCATGGGTGCCTGTCCGGTCCTTGAGGCTGCTGGATCTGGCGAGGCTACTGCGTGTCTGTCTGTCTGCTGTACTCTAGCTACCTATACTGTAGCCTTCGTGCGTATGCGTGTTGCGTGTGTATCGTGTGTACTCCGTATGTACTTTGTATATGTACTTTGTATATGTGTAGTGTATGTGTGTGTACTTTGTATGTGGTGGCGTGAAGTTGATATCGAGAAGTTCGACTTTCTTCAACTTTCCACGTGGAACTTCCCCTTTCGGACATGCCCTTTTTTTCTGCCATCCCTCAACCTTCTTGCCGATCGTTCCCGGTTCAGGCACCGCCCCGGGTCACATGGTTAGTCACGTTGGTATCACATGATATAGATATATGTGCCAAGACCACCAAGGCATGTTCACCGCCCTGGCCCGTCCTGCCGCTGCCCGCCGCCCTCGTGGCGCCACGTGAGTTGCTGACTAAGTGGCAGTATCTTTACCCCTTTTCATTGGAAGACATACAAGAACTACAGCAGACTACGGGTAGATAGAGACTATGACGACGATGGCGATGGAGATGGAGATGGAATGGGGATGGAATGGGGATGGAATGGAGATGGCTCGTCGCTAAATATCAGATAGTACGAAGAGGGAGATTGCTAGTTGTGGTAGCGATCTCTGGCTCTCTCCCGTCTCGCTCGCTTCCCATCCACCGAACCAGCTGCTGAACCATGGGCTTGCGGCTTCGATCGCCTTCAAACTCAGGACAAGGACGCCTATTCCGGACTAGACCCAGTTTAAGCTTACTTATAGCGCATCCCTGGTCCACGGTTTTTCGCACCCCGGTCGCCGCCGAGTGAGCCATTTCCCCATCGACCTATAGGAGGTTTCCAGAGTCCTTATACTCTTTTTTATATGAACATCTACCAGCGGACTCTTTGTCGTTGACTGCGGTGTACCCAAAGACTCGGCGAAGGGATGCGTATAAATAGCAGTGGCAGGCCAGGCTCGACGAAAAAAGTAACCGGTTGGCAGGCACTAAGAAAATTCAGGTTCGCCACCGCCAACCTTCGTCCTTCTCTGGCGCCTGGTGTCCTGTCTCGGTGTCTGCTGTCGCGGACGACGACACTCTTATCAGAGGAGACATCTTTACCTGCTCGAGTCATGTAGTCAGCGACGATATTAACTTCAATAATCGGAGATCGAGATGAGAGCAAATGTGAGGAGAAGACGGAGGAGATGGAGATGAATGCCCATCGCCTTCTTTCTTTCTATCGCGTCTCCATGCGCTCCTGCGCGACAAACGTGCATCGCAGAACTCGCCATGCCCGCAGCCTTATACTGCTGACTAACGGGCCCCTTTTGATATACGCTCATCGGCGATAACTCAGATATCTCCACGGCGATAGGGGATATATACGAGCCAGCCTCAACCTAATTCGCCCTCGTCCGCCCACCCGTCAGCTTCGCTCCTTTTCTTTGTTCACTTTCTTGCCCTTTCGTGTTTGCTTTTTTGCCTTGACTTGGTGGCCAAGAGACCTGGCCCATTCCCGTTCAGGAATGGTGAAACATGCACAACACCCTGTCGAAGGCGTTGGCTGAGCTGGAGCCTGCAGGGATGTTGGGTCTGGGACTTTATCTCCGTAGGGATACGAACAGGTGGGTTTGCTGGGTTTCTAGCGTGGCTGGCCTGGCTTCAGACGCTTGGGACGACATGTCTGCTCAGAGGGCTAGTTTAGGCGAGCAGAGCCCTGCTTCGGGCAATTCCACTGGCAGCTAGTTATAATATATACACTCAATTATCAGTCAAAACTAGCATGAGAATTGTACTCCGTATGTGTGCAAGTGCTCTGTAGGTCAGAATGAAATCCCCCTTGTGTCGAATACTGCGCTCACCGCCAGATCAGATCTTCACTCACGTAATACTTACCAATAAAATGAGAGGCTCGATCAGGAGAAGAAAGAAAAAGAAAAAGGTCAGGGAGACATGAAACGCTCCCTGCAGCTGTGTAACGTGTTCGAGACGAAAGGAATATGCGCATGCATGCATGGAAAGCTCTTGCTTGTTGTCTGCAGCGCTGGGCCACGTCGCACTACCACCCATCGTGCATAACATGCATGTAAACACCCTGGTCCAGGCAAATTGTTTGGACGGGATGGAATCTTTACACGTGGAGGCGAGGTGCTGATTCCACGTGTGGAAGGATTGTTTCTAGAAGGATGGAAGGAAGAAGCGGAGGGATATAGATATCTTTTTTCTTGGTGTACCCATGTATATCGGACTCGGCCCTAAACAAGGAGCGAAACCGCAGTGCCCATTTTTATCTATGCGCGATTAAAGCTATATGTACATCATTTCGGGCGGATTCCGTGAGGTGTACAGAGAGTTCTTTGATTAGCCATGGTGGACTGGCTAAAGACGTGCATTGATTCATAGTTGGGCGAAATGTTGTGGCACCACACAGCACGGCCTTAGTGAGGAAATATATTAATTCAATCATAGATCACATAAACGTACGTAGAAGTCATCGTCGTCTCGGCGTTAGCCTACCATCGACGGCCATAGATCGGATCCTCCCTTTTTGCACTACCGCTTGACTTGCGTTCCATCACAGGCGGAGTTGCTCGCTTCCCAAAACCTCGACCACCTCCGGCCTGGGACCCCGCTGCTGCCATCGTCGTCTCCTCCTTTGCATCTAGAAGCTTATTGCTCTTTGTCGTAAAGCTTATTTTGCCGTCATCCCACGACCGTGTTTCTGCATCGCGGCCGAAGAGCGCTAGCATATCTTTCATGGTGAGCTTGCCGGCTGCGGATTTACCTTCTATGGTAGATTTAGCCAATTCGCGCTTGCGATCTTGTAGTTCCAGTATGCGTTCTTCAACTGTCCCCTTGATCGTCAACTTGTAGACCTTGACATCCACAGTCTGATTGAGGCGGTGGACACGATCGATGGCTTGTTCTTCCACAAACTAAAGAAAACGTCATATTAGGCCACATAGTACTAAGAATAGATAGATGGAGTATGATATGTACTTACTGGGTTCCAGAACGGCTCGAGGATAACAACCCTGCTTGCGGCCGTTAGATTCAGCCCCAGTGATCCTGCACGTAAACTACACAGGAGCACTCGAGTGCCGCTCGAATTCCGCAGTCGGTTCAAACTCGCCTCTCGAAGGTCGTTTCTCATCCCACCGTCGTATCGAGCGTATCCAATACCCCCATTTTTGAGGAACGGCTCAATCTTGTCAAGCATAGAGGTGAAGACTGAAAAGACGATGAATTTGAATTCTCCGGATTCCCGTTTTAGAATTCTCATTAGGTGTCTGATTTTGGCCGATGTCTGGACATCATGAATTGCGCTAGGTGTCGAGTCAGATAATTCTTCATTATCATCATCTTCCTCTTCTTCTTCTTCATCCTCGTCAGTTGCTATTTCAGTCTCGTCCTCGTCAGTCTCTGAATCCTCAGACCCGATCCAGTCTCCACCGCCTTCTGCATCCTCACCATCAGGCCCGACAGGGGCATCCAGTGTCTCCGAGTCACGCTGTTCTTCAGGGACAATACATTCACCGTCTTCGTCCTCGTCATCACTGTCTATAACAATAGGCCGAACCCGGCGGCTTCTCGCTCGTTGAGATTCTCTCTCCGTCTTCCTATCCACATGGGTGGGAGCCTGTTTCGACTTTCTCTTCTTCTTCTTTTTCTTCTCTAACTTCTCTTTTGTTGTGTCGGATATAATGACTTGAGTTTTTAGGTCTTCTTCGCACTCGGTACAACGGGCTGAACCACCAAGGCCCTCCTCCTTGGTCAACTCAATCTGGCATACATCGCACTTCTTTGTGGCCATGCTGAGCCCGCCTAACATATCAGCTATACTGTCCATGTCGTTCTCCTTGTTCTTAGACTGGCTATCATCACCCAGCAACGCGTCTTGTTCTTTGGCAAGCTCTCCCTTAACTAGGTCTGGATGATTACATGCCTGACGGAGTCTGAGAAGCAAAACCAATGCACCAGCATAGCTCATGGTCTGGCCGCCCATCATGCGCTCCAGACTTCTGTCAGCGCGCTGTTCGAGACGTTGATAGAATGCCCATTCTTGCGAACTGAACTCGGCTTCGATCTTGATAATATCTCGCTTCATGATTTTGAACCTGGGAGATGCGGGTTTTTTCTTCCCGTCATCGTTGACTTCATTCTCGTTGGTATCTTCAGTATCTGGCTTTGCATCTAATTTTAAAACGTCCTTCGTGCGTCGTTTCATGAATGCTTTAAGGTAGACTTGTAACCGACGTAGAGCCAGCCCACCACGGCCGTTATTCATGGGACGAGTGATTTGCTCCCTCCACGCAGCAAGCTCGTCGTACGGCTTGATTTGTAAGAATCTAATCAAGCTCTGTAGTTCGTCCAGGTTATTCTGTAACGGGGTTCCGGTAAGGCACCATCTGTACAGGGACCTCAACGCATATACTGCCTGAGTAGCTTTGGCGTTTCGATTCTTAATAGTGTGGGCTTCGTCGAGTATAATGCGATACCAGTGGACGCCGAAGCAGCCACTGTTCTTCCCGTGCTCAGAGCTGAGCGTGCCGTATGTAGTAATCACGACGTCAAAGGAATCCAAGTCATCGCGGTGCTTCGTGCGTCCGGCGCCGTGGTATATACACACACTTAAACGGTGGGACCGTTCAATTTTGGATTCAATCTCGCCTTCCCACTGCTTTATTAGGGCAAGAGGTGCAACGACCAGCGTACTCTTCGAGACATTTGCGGGGATCTTAGATTTGTCTTTCTTCCCTTTACCTTTATCGAGTCCCTCTTCTTCATCTTTAGAGCTTGTGGGGGGTCGTGGATTAGTAAGTAAAAGTGCAATGGCTTGGACGGTCTTTCCAAGCCCCATATCGTCTGCAAGAATACCGCCCTTCGGTAACACGCCTCGGGTTTTCTTGAGTCCAGTCTCTTTGTCCCTCATCCAGGCAACTCCATCAATCTGGTGGGGTAGTAGTTTAACCTTCAGTCCTTCAACGGTGCCATCGTCTTCATCGTCTTCTTCTTCCTCATCATCATCTTCCTCGTCTACCTTCGGTTTTTCCCCGGCAGCTTTTTCGTCAACTTTTACCCCCATTAGTTTATCGGCCAGCTCATCCACTTGTTTATCGATCTTCTTCTTCCGCGACCGTGTCCGTGGTTTATCATCTTCATCCTCAAAGGCACCCTCTAGCAATGCCTTGATGTTCTCGTTGGCCTTCTCACTATCAACGTAGGAATACGCATCTGCTGAGCCAACAACTTCCTCGCGGAAACTGGTATTGGTACTTCCGAATCCAACATCAGGTGTAGTAAGATCCATAAAGTTTTTCAAAGTACTAGCCGCCTTGCCCATTTTGGGTGCCGAAGGTTTCGAAGTGAACAGCGGTTCAGGTGCGCGCTTCGTCGTTCGATCCGCGTTCATCGGTTTCATGATTTCAACCACACTATCGTCGTCAGATAAAGTTATAGGAGAATGTTTGTTAAACGATGACAGCTTGGTAGCCTGAAAGGGATTGATGGCCCGCTTATCCTTTTCCTTTGATGCATTGTCGTTAAGGGTTGAGCTTGGAGCGGGGCGATGATGCTCTGGACGCGGCCGATTTACTTTCGGAATCACAAAGGGATGTCGCTGATTCATATTCATAGGGCCAAGGGGCGATGGCTTTCCGAATTCTGCAGCTCTTGGAGGCTGCGGCTTCACCTCCCCTCCCATGATAGGGGGAATTTTGGGTGGTTCCCCTTCTTTAACCATTGTTTCTTCCGAAACCCGGCAGATAGGTAGCAACGGGGTATATCAAAATTGTATATCTGTCAAATTCCCTGCGTAGGCTCAAGATGTTAGATAGCTCTCTCTCTCGTTTCAGCCAATACTGTCCTACCGGAAATGTCTAGTGGTTGCTCATATTCCCAAAAAAAAAGAGCTAATTTTTGGACCAGATAGAACAATCAAGTGTCGTAAAACGAAATTGCGGGTCGGAGTGAACACACAGGTAAGAGGTTCCGAGTATCGAAGTGAAATATGGTGATTGTATGTTTGGTCGCGGGGTGAGTTATTGTCGTGATGGTTCAACGCCCAAAATAATGTTTTCTTATCGATAACTGTCCTGGCAACCAGTCTAGTACAGAAACGGTTAGATTTATAATCGGCGCGGATTATTGATAGATCCGATATACTAGCAGAAGTCATCAAAAACACATAGATCAAAGGGAAAGCCCAAAGACGTTTATCTACATTGTAGTAAAAGCAGTACAGCTACTACAGGAGCTTAAAATTTAGATTCATTGCAGTATGCAAAATTAACTAATATAATATATACATTGGGTCAACCCTGAGTTAAGCCTTGTTCGAAGGAACTACTTAGACTATCAATTCGTCAGGATATCTTGTTGCGAACATTCCAAGGGCCTTGATGGTAAAAGTAAATTTGTAATTCGGATATGAGATCATAGTGGTCTTGTTGAAAACACCCTCAATAGCTTCTTGCTTCCACTCGCCATTCGGCTGCTGTCGGTCCATTAACAGTTTAATGCCGCGCCGTAACGGGTTGATATCTGGGTAATTGGCGTTCATCAGTCCAATCAATGCCCACGCTGTCATAACAACCTGGGAACCTGATGGGTGTTCAATATATTCGTGTCTCTCGCAAGCCTGTTGAGGACTGTCAGAAAATTATACGGAAACATGGAATAGATTCAAAGAGGCCATACCCTATAACTTTCGCTCCAACCGCCATCTAGCCTTTGCTTAGAAAGTAGGAATTTACACCCTCGCTTCGCATTAGTACTTGTCGAGTATGTCTCGCCGACTAGAGAAAGGTTTTCTAACGCGAACATGGTAGCATAGGTGAAGCATATACCCCAATTACCGTACCAACCGCCATGAGAATACTGTGCTGTCTTGATCCAAGCAACGGCACGGTCAACAAAGGAATGAATCTCTGCTGCTCGATAGCCTGGCCAATGGCGGTTGAATAATGTGAGTGTCGTTACGACGGCTGTTGTGCATTCTGGATAGTCGTACTCAACCATGATGTTCTCAAAGATCTCTGCGGCATTAAGTACTTCGACCCATTCCGGCCCGCGCCTTCGCTCATATGATGCACATCCACCAGTGTCATTCTGGTATGTTAAAAGTAGATCGATAGCATCAAATATGCGTTGGTCGTCCAGTAACTGTGGGATCCCTGGTGTCTTTTGGAGTAGGATAACGGCCTTTAGGGCTTCAGCCGCACAATCGCTGACTGAGTATCCTTGAAACCGGTTGCTAAAGGCCCAACCGCCTTTTCTAGGGTGTCTATATTCCTGATATTGGCGTGGAACTTCATCCCTTAGCTGCTGGCTATCCAAGAACCTAAGAGCGTCAATTATCATTCCCCGCCATCTATCATCTTCTCCTAGCCCAGATTCGACAATGGCCTGGATAGCGAAAGCGGTATCCCAACATTGAATGCCGTTTGTTCCATTACAGAACATCCCTTCATTATTCACCCATAAGTTCTCTGCGATCACCTTCCGGGCCTGCTGGAACTCGTCCGAGTCGGGTCCCTTGCTGGCGTAGTACATGACCATATTCATCGATCCGTTGGCTGGGGCTAGCCCTAGATAATTTGTATTCTCGCTTTCCATATCGATCATTTCAGCAACCCACTTCTCAGCTCGCTCTGCTAGATATTTCGGTCTCAAGTATGGCTGCCAGATATTCACCATTACCCAATTGGCCGTATTCAGAAGCCAGGATTTGGGATGAAAGTTGTCAATATCAGCAATTGTGTTTCTATGGGAAGACCAGTCGATCTCTTCCCATGGCTGCACGAACATTTCATTTCGTAGCTCTCGGACAAGCTCGGTTTCTTGCATTGTCCATTGCCTTGAATATAACCATGACATTGGCAGGCATATATACCGAATGTGCACCCACCATCGCCACGGGTGGAATGGTAGCCAATCTGGAAGTAACCAGGCCTCGGGGGGACACGGATTCACGATATCCCACTTCACAACTCCCATCAAGGCCAACCAGAACTTAGTCCAGTGAGGCGCGTTAGTAGCCCCTCCTAATCTATGTAAGGTCCCGCGTGCCTTGACCATTACCGGGTGATCTGCTTCAATGCCAATAATGCGCAAGATTGCATAGTTGAATGCGGTTCCGAGTACACTACTCTCTCCCTCGGTATGAAGGCCCCAGCCGCCATCTTCAGGGTTGGCACGAGCAAAGAGGTAGTTCTTGATCTCAACGCGGTGGGACCAAGGGATTGGTGTCTCGGTCACGTACCATGTAATAACTACACCTGCAAGGAGGAACATGGGGCCACCAAACTCGCAACCCCAATTTCCGCCAGACAATTGGAGCTTAGAGAAGAACGAGAGGCCATTGTGGACGGCATCCAGAGGCTTCTCCGGTTTTGGCAATATTGGAAGGCCCTGTATACTTTGTTAGGATGTCATTCATATGAGGAATTCTAAAAACTGGAGTGAGATTTGATGGGAGGAAAAGAATAGATAAATGCAAGTCCATTTTCTATAGTAGTAAGTCTGATGGTACGCCAAGGAGCTGATATAAGGGGGAGATCACGGAGTCAAGGGATTTATACAATTGGTAGGTTCAAATACCATTTATTGGCGTTGCTTTGCGGCCATTCCTTTGGATCCGCGTCCTCGTCTAGGTAATGCCATGTTTGTCTGCCATCCTCTGCCCGCATTCGCCATCGGCTCAAGTCGGTGCGAGCCACAGATAACTCTAGATTATCAGAGTTACAGGAAGTTCCATTGCTCTTAATGGACAGATTAATGGCCCTAGTTTTGTCGATGGTCCTCAACGCTGACGTATGCGCATTTGCTCCAACCATAATTAGGTGACGGACGGCCTTGTTTGTAGCTGCTGCTGCTGCTAGTGAGCCTTGGTATATTGCCGAGATCCTTGGCTGTGGGAATATAAATTATAAAGATACTGGACAGTAAATCGTATAACGCCGTCACTATTACCCCTGGACCTCAGTCGCCCCTCTCTCAACGAATGGCTGCATCGAACGTGTATATACAGTCTACTGTTCTTTGCGGTTATCAAAATTTAGGGGCCTAAAATAGGATGACTCAGCATGAATCCCGGACTAAAAGTTATTCCGTCCCATTCTTCTAGACGGGAAGAAACAACCTCAAAAAGAGACCTCAACGACACGTCTACTCCTGGAAGATAGAATAATTCAACACACGCAGTCAGCATTGTTTCTCTTGATCATAGGGTGAATAATGCAACTCTCTCTATATGAAGGCCGCCTTTCGTCTGCCCGTTTCAAGATTCAGGTTCAAGGCGCGCTGTCGCTTCAAGACTTAGATTTAATATGCATGGGCTTAGGAACTGCTGATGTACGTACATGCATACATTTGAAATTCGACAATGACCAGGATTCTTAGCGGTTGTCAATGGAGATGTCATTCGACGGATTCTATAGTGTCGTCATAAAAGGTCCTTTCATTGCAGAGCCACTTTAATGCTATACATCCTCCGACATAACCAAAAGGAAGGCCTCTGTCTATCACTCAGAGAAGCGTGCTTTGTCACTCATAAGATCAATAATCACTTGACCTTCAATGTCGACAATGGTGTCTGCTTCATATCGAGCTAGAAGCGAATCCTCAGCCTTGTGCATACCCCCTATGGAACGCCCGGTTGCAAAATAACGTCCTATCTGTCAACGGAAGCACTAGCCACAAGGAATAGTCTTCATGAGTATCCATGACTGGCGCCAAATGCTTGCGGGTGTCAGCTGGCCCGGGCTTAGAGCTAGCACCCAAGTTAGATGCGCCACATTGAGTGATCGGAGGATTATGTTGGTGTTCTGGCACGATCCACTGCGGGGGATGCACAAGGTACACCAGCAACCTAGGAGGCATCCCAGTGCCACTGTTCGCCAAGGATAACCAATTACTTCCTTAATGTTGTATATGGGATAGGTCGCCCCCAGAATTACTCGCGGGGATAAGCCGGGGCATGGCCATTGGCTACACTACCATATGGATCTTGGCGGATATAGCAATATGTACGTAAAACCCTTGTTAGCAATGGCAGGGCTACATCGGTCTACTTACACAACGGTTGCATGCAGGGGCTTATTTGCAGGAAGCACTACCTCCTCGGGCATCGCCCATTCCATATCCATCTATATCTTTAAAAGAGTCGATAATAGCTCACTCAGCCTTTATCCAACCCATGAACTCACTGCTCTGGCAGATTAACGCTAAAACGCTTATTAGCCATTTCACTTTTTCTGGAATCCTGCTGTCAAAATGATTTCTCAACTCGCTACTCTCAATTTGACAGCGATTAGGGAGGCCTACTCCTTAATTCAATCCAAGATATCTAAAACTCCAGTCTACCAAGCGGCATCCTTGTCACGTATCGTCAGCAAGTCAATATACCCAAAAGGGAGTTCTGATACCGCGAGCGGCGCTCCAAAGATTAACGTCTTTCTCAAATGCGAAAATTTGCAGAAGGCAGGCTCGTTCAAGTTTCGTGGCGCTTCTCACTTTCTAGCAAAACAAAACGATCGGGCTCTCCGAAAAGGCCTCGTTACTTATAGCACTGGTAATATTAACCCTCCACTCCCAAAATAGGTTGCAATAAACTAATGGGCATATAAGGCAATCACGCCATTGCACTAGCTCAGGCAGCAACCTTTGCATCAGCAGAGAAAGGCTTCCCTATACCCCTAACCATCCTCATGCCAAAAACAGCAAACATCGGCAAAATCAACATGATCGAGCGTCTAGGGGCCATTGTAACCACCCATCAGTCCACAATGGAGGATTGTGCGGTGCGGGCGGAGGAGCTGCGACGGGAAGCTGAGATGACACTAGTTCCACCATCTGGCCATCCGTACATTGTCCTAGGGCAAGGAACTGCCATGCTAGAATTCCAACAGCAGATTGCGGGCCTTGGGGCGAAACCATTGGATGTTATTATCATTCCGAGTGCCGGGGGTGCACTGCTAGCTGGCGTGGCTCTGGTATGCAAAGAGGCTAGCTCTCCTGTTGATGTGTTTGGGGCTGAGCCGTTATATGGCGGAGCTGCTCTCTCCCGATGCCGACAAGAGGGCCACCGCGTTGTCGCCTCAGGCCCGACGACATTCACTATTGCTGACGGTCTCTGCTCCATGGTGGCGAAATGCAACTGGGAAATCCTCCGAAGCAACACATATGTACGAGATGTATTTTCAGCATCTGACGACGAGATCCGGGCAGCCATGCGACTGATCCTTGAAGATGCAAAACAAGTCGTTGAACCCAGTGCAGCCGTGCCACTAGCTGCCCTGATGTCCAATAATCACCTCCGCTCCTACTTCACACGGAGGAAAGATCCGTTAAATGTTGGCATTATCCTGAGCGGGGGGAACATAAGTGTAGAGAGGCTGTTTAAACTGCTCGCATGAAGGGATATTTTTACAATTAGCCCTGATATACCTGGTAATGAACCGAGATGCTAAGCTATACATGCATCTTTTAATTGGATTGTTGGTTGTGATCTAACGTTTTGTCAGGATTGGTGGAAGAAATCTGGGGGCCAAATCAAGGTGTCCTATAGGCGAGCCTCGGAAAGCGACATTCTGCATTTATATCTGCCAGAAAGCACAGGAAAGGTTACTGGGATACGTGAGAATAGACATCATATGCAGGTTCTCGTCTGCAAGGATGTTACTAGTTACATTTTTACGTCACTCTAGACACCTACAGGCGGCGGTTAAGTCTGCCTGGGTCTGTCAAATCCCGCACTTCACACCAGATTTCACTAACAGGGGCCTTCCTCAATGTTGGATCCACGGCGCTTTCTGAACCTTCTAATCCTTACCACGCCCCGTCCCCATAGTGTTCCCTACCCTTAAGATCGGCTCCTGGAGGAATACCTTGTTGTCTACTACCCATTACCCGCATGAAAAGAGCCGGCTTGCATCATTCAACCCCATGCACTTTGAGGCCCGTGGTAGTCCTAGTTATTGCGCCTTGTACTGTAACATTCGAACGCCGATGGCCGTTACCTACAGCATACGGGAAATCCTTCATGACAGGAGCATCGCCCCCTCTTGTTTACGTGAAATAACTAGAGCTGAAGGGAGCTATATAAATAGCCCGAATAAGCAGCTCCCTCTCTAGCAAGATGTGATAACCATAGTGCTAATATATTAGCATATTTTGTGTTATTAATACCCCGATATTCAGTTTTTCTGGCTATAAATCCGCTTGGATGTATCCTCACCTTACGCCCAACGACCATGCAGGAAGTCATTCTACTGATGATACACCCCCCAAGCAGAGCCTTGAATCCATATCATACCTACCGGATAAGCCCCCTGATGGAGGGCTGGCAGCTTGGACCCAGGCGGTTATGGCCCATCTTGTTATGTTCAACACCTGGGGATTCGCCAACTCATTCGGCATTTTTCAGTCATATTATTCAGAGAGCCTCGGCCGGTCTCGAGCAGATATAGCCTGGATCGGGTCAATACAGGTCTTCCTTATATTTTTAGTGGGAGCATTTTCCGGGCGAGCAATTGATGCCGGTTACTGCCGTACTCTGCTTATCTCAGGGCTCTTCCTACAGCTACTTGGGGTCTTCATGACTTCTGTGTCCCAAGGTTATTGGCAAATATTCCTCGCACAAGGAGTATGCCAGGGCCTAGGGAACGGGCTACTGTACTGTCCGACCGTATCTCTGGTCTCGACCTACTTTCACAAAAGAAGGGCCATGGCTATGGCTATTACCTCTGGAGGAGGTGCGACTGGTGGCATCGTATTCCCCCTCGTGGCGCAACAACTCCTCCCTAAGTTAGGCTTTCCGTGGACGATGCCGGTTATGGGATTCATTATGCTCGCCAACGCCATGGTGGTTATAGCCTTCATGCGTGGGAGGCTTCCCCCAAGAAAGAGTGGCCCCATCGTCGAATGGTCAGCGTTCCGAGAACTGCCTTACGTGCTGTTCTGCATTGGTGGCTTCCTCAACTTATGGGCGGTGTACTTTGCCTACTCTTATGTACGTCATCGTCAGAAATTCCAATGACCAACACGCAAACACATCCTAATTTTCACCAGATTAGCACATTTAGTCACGATATCATTGGTGTCTCTGCATCCACCTCACTAACAGTCCTATTGATCACGAATGCCGTTGGTATACCAGGCCGTGCGATCCCAGCCTTCATAGCTGACCGGTATACGGGTCCCCTGAGCATGTACATTCCAATGTCTTTGGCGGCAGGTATTGTCCTTTATGGGTGGGTGGCGGTGCATGACTTTCCTGGCCTCCTAGCCTTTTCCGTTTTGTACGGTTTGTTTGGTGCCGCTTCACAGGGCCTTTTTCCGGCCTCTTGTTCCTCCTTAACAGTGGACCTTAGCAAGATGGGAACCCGCACGGGTATGGTCTTCCCGATTGTTTCGTTAGCAACGCTGACCGGGCCTCCGCTGGCCGGAGCCCTGATAGGATTACGGAACGGTGATTTCCTCTATGCCCAGATCTTTGGCGGAACTGCATTTGTCGCAGGATCGTTGATATTAGTTGGCGCGAGATTCGCACATACACGTTCCGATTGGAGGCGTCAGATATAAGGCTGTTGGCGCCCGACAAGAAAATACGCGAAGAAACAGATTGTACTCGTGAAGCCTCTCTCAATTTTTGTTATAGTCCACGTTTCCGGGCAGCTTCTTTGTACTATACTTGTTATCAAGTGCAGATCGTATATATAGCAATTTCGGTCAATTTAGCATATCTTCAAACATACTCTGTATAATAACTATATAGAGAAGTGATGTAGTGGTCGTTACTATATTAGCGCTAGTTAAATACTGGAATGTTTCAGGTTTTATCCTCGGCCTTCATGTGTATCCTTCACCGGCGCCAATAGACAAAAGTACTGCATCATCAGGACACAGAAGTCCTGCCATAGCTTCAGATCCTGATCCCTAGTCCTTGCTGACTACCATTCAGGGGTCTGTCGCAAGAGTTGTTCTGCCGAATAGCTATATGTGGCATCAGCTTCTGCAAGATCTGCCGGAAAGCTGATACTCTGCTTGAATATCGCAACAGGGCCGAACAATGTCATCTACTGGCACTGTGAAATGGCTATACAGAGAGTTTGGTGTGGATTCTGTATATCAGACTGGCCCTGATACCTGGTTCGTGATTCTTGCGAGAACATGCCGAATGTTTGCATTCGGGGCCACCTCCTTGATCATTGCCTTATTCATGTCATCTCTACACTACTCCGACCTCAAGATTGGTTTATTCATGACCATGACACTGGTTGGAGACGTCGCTCTCTCGCTGCTCGCGGCCCTGGTGGCTGACCGTGTTGGCCGTCGTCGCATCCTCTTCCTTGGAGGTGCCCTCATGGTGCTGTCGGGCATGGTATTCGTCTTCTTCGAGAACTATTGGATTTTACTTCTGGGTGCTGTTGTCGGTGTAATTAGTGCAACAGGTGGTGATTTTGGCCCCTTCCGCTCTGTCGAGGAGTCGACGATATCACATCTCACGACGCCTTCTACACGGACTGATGTCCTCTCCTGGTACGTTACTACGTCAACTCTGGGCTCAGCCGTTGGGGTCGAGGTTGCTGGCCGCATGGTCAACTTCCTGAAGAAGATAATGGGCGTAAGGGGCACTATCACGGATGTGTATCATGCCATGTTTTGGGTTTACGTGGCCATGGGCATCATGACCATGATCTTTGCCTGCCTTATGAGCAGGAGGTGCGAAGCCGTTGAGCCAGTCGAATTGGACGTTGATGGGTCTCGACAAACAGAATCACTGCTTGGTGCGACATCGACAGGCGAGACAAGCAGTAACCAGGATGGGGACAAAGGCAGGCCGTCACACTGTGTCGGTACACCCCCAAAGCACAATCGATGCTCTCCAAGCTCGCCTGAGCCTCAAAATTGGCTGCACAAGCTCTGGAACGACAGCAAATTCACGAAGATCTCATCTGATTCGCGACCTGTGGTAGTTAAGCTATGGATTCTCTTGGCTATCGACTCTTTGGCCGACGGAATGGTCTCGTACGCGCTGACCAACTACTATCTCGCACGTAAATTTGGCCTTGCAGAGTCATATTTGGGAGATATCATGTCAATCAGCTATCTACTCATGGCAATCTCGACCATATTTGCAGGGTCTCTCGCTCGACGCCTAGGGCTCATAAATACCATGGTATTCACGCATCTGCCATCATCCATAGCTGTCTTGTTGTTTCCAATACCGCAGAGCGTTGGGATGAGCATTATATTACTCTTCATACGCACAGGTCTGAACAGCATGGACCAGGGGCCGAGGGCTGCGTTCATTGCAGCAGTAGTGAAGCCGGAGGAGCGCACTGCAGTCATGGGCATCACGGCTACGCTACGGACGTTAGGGTCGACTATTGGACCCAGCCTCACAGGTTTCCTTGCAAACACTGATATGTTTTGGATTGCCTTTATAGTCGCGGGAGCACTACGTATTGGCTACGATCTTGGACTATTCTTCCTCTTTGTAGACTTGAAGATGCATGCTCATGAGCAGATAGACGGTTTGGTACAGGCTGGTGAGACTGCCTCTGGCGGGTCTGAACATGCTGTTAATAGAGGTACAGCGACTGACGAGCTTAGTTAGTTATAGCTTGATTATATATATCTAGGAATGTGTATAAGGAGGTGTTTTGGGGTAGAACATCCAGTCTCCCTATTGAATGCCCAGTATGCTCCTTATCTGACCTGATAATCAGATGACTCGTTGATGGTATCCCCTTTTTCTTGATTCACACCTACATGAATGGAGGGGAATTTTTATCCACAAGTACTGATAAAAAGAGAGCCCAAGTGTAGGATGACATAAGATAGAGAAAAAGAAGCATCTAAATGCCATGTCCATGTTTGAGGCATATATACTCTTTGATCTGTGTCTCCGGCTCCTAACTAACAGAAACAGTAGACCATAATTTTAACTGGGTAGCCCTTTATATTTGCTACCGAAACGAAGTCCGCCCATCAGATCTCTCCAATAATATCCTTTAATATCTCAGGAAGTATCACACTTGCATCACCTTGAAACAACCAATCCTGTGGACCCACTCCTCCTGGCGGAACGTGAGTAGGATCCATATTGACAACTGCTACACGAGCTCCTCTATGTCTTCCCTCTTCGACATATTCCGCAGCAGGGAATACCTGTGCACTCGTGCCAATAACCAAGACCAAATCAATAGGGCCTTCGTCGAGGAACCTCTCGACGCTGTCTAGCGTATCGTCAGGCAGAGACTCTCCAAACCAGACCACGCCAGGTCGTAGCAAGGCGTTTCTGCATTTCTGGCAGTGCGGTAGATCATCTTCCGTGAGTTGGGGAATGGGGATGGAGATATCTGATATATCCAGATCTTGGCCGGCGGCTGCGGCTCTCTCATCCAGGGCTTGGTGGATAGCTCTGGCGGCTTGTTCGCCAGTATGATCCCCCGTAGACGGATTCAATTGGGTGCCTGCTTTGGGAATTGCGAGACAGGGAACAAGAGGGTCCTGGTAGTCGTTATCCCGCGAGTAGGTGCAGTATTCTGATGAACATTTAACAGTGAACAAGGAGCCATGAAGACGATGTAGCTGAGCTTCAGGGTGGTCAGCCCGCTCCGACAAGCCTATTATCGATGTTAGTGATTCTTCCTGGCAGCAAAAAAAACCGTATTCAGACATCAACATACCGTCGACGTTCTGAGTGATGGTCCAGAAGTTGGGGTTCTTCTTTGCCAGCGCTGCGAGCGCATAATGGGCCCTGTTTGGATGCGCCACCAGCGACATGTGACGCCGGTAGCTGTAAAACTGCCATACGAGTCCTGGATCAACGCTGAATGCTTCAGGCGTCGCCAAGTCCGGTGCACGATGAGACCGCCATAGCCCGCCTACCCCGCGGAAAGTAGGGAGGCCCGAGGCGGCGGAGAGGCCGGCACCCAGCAAGGCTAGGATGCGCTTTGATTTCTTGAGATGTTCTCGGAAGCTGAGCAGGTCGGCTTCGGGGATTCCTGACGCCATGGCGACGGGACAGGTGCTAGACGGGGACTGGAGGTTGCTGGCTGACTCGAGATGCGATGGTGAACCCGAGTCGGGGGATTAGCTTCCTCGCTGATGGGAAGACCCGCCTACCCGTAGCTCCACCGCCACGCAGAGCCGCCAAAGCTTGGCTTGGCGATATCAGCTATGTAAGGTATACGAGGATGGCGAAGAGATAATGGATCCTGCAGTGTCATTTGTCTATAAAGATGTGTACATGGCCGGCCCGGGGAGAAGTTGTAGTCACACTCACTGCCGCGACAGTAACGGTTTACCGTTCTCATGTAACCATACACACCCAGCGCGGCGAAAGGTGAGCATGTACGATATTCTCCGAACTTTCGTCGATATCTCTGAACCACCTGCCTACATCGGATCTATAATGTGTTACTTGGACACCTATTTGCCTCAGTCATGGCTGTGCGATATCAACAGGTATCGATGCGCACAATGATATCATCTCGTAAGTGTGCAGAGTAACATGTTAAGTCTCATGATCGTGATAGTAAGATAAGATAATATATCAAGCCTTCGTTCAAGGGGTATGGGAGCCAGGAAGCTTCATGGCGGCCAACGCATGCATCCGGTTCTCCTCTGTCGTCTTCGAAACATAATCCTTAATATATCCAGGCACTTCCTTCACTTTGTTCGTCGAGCTTGGCACCGGCTCACCCAAGCATTGCCAGACCGGAACAATGCCCGACCACACCTTCTCCCTGACCTCCGTGCTCTCAATATCCCTCTTCTCGTCCGACACCTCTCCGTCGCGCACCTTTCCACTGCCCGCTACGATCTTCACCCGCAAGATGGTCGTGCTCTGGAGCTCACCGGCATCCGGAGGAGTTCGTGTATTCTCCCATCGATCCGGCACGACGCCGTCGGTGATTATCTTCATGGCATAATTTTTCTCCTCTTCATCTGTGACCGGCACACCATACCCGTGGAGCACCACGGAGCGGTAATTGTAGCTGTGCGAGAAGGGAGAAAGGGAGAGTACAAGTCCATCCACATGTGTAGCGGAGATGCAGAGTGGTAGGCCCTTATCGCCGGCTGCGCGAGCCATGTTCATCATACGCGCACTCACGTAGCCGTGTATGTAGCAGTCTAGAGGGTCATCGATGCCGTTTGATGGGAACTCAAACGATCCCATCTGTCCGATCATAGGGATGATGGTGGGGAATGGGTCATCGCCGCCTGGAACGAAAGCGACATCCAAGTAGGCAGCAGAGTTGATGATGGAGTGAATTGGCCCAAGGTCGTAGGTCACTGGACGCAACTATTAGCATGCTTGTCTGTTCAATGATGTATCCCCAGGACCTACCTCGTTTGGCGTAGCGGTTTGCTGTGTTGCTGATCCCCTTGGGGTAGACGAGTGTTTTGCCCATGTTGGTATGTCCGAGCGTTTGTCAGATATGAAGGGAGAGTTGCTTGAATATGCTTCGAGGCAAGGGCAGGAGAACAGCACTGGACTATATCCTTATATAGAGATACGTGTGCCGTGAAGGCCGTGTTGTATCGCCGTCGCTTCGTCTCCACCGGCGTAATCGGGGATGATTCATCGGCGCAACACGATACCATACACGATACGACCCCGCCGTGCAGCCATGCCAATCCTATTTGTAATATTAGATTGTGCCGTCCGAAGAACTCTCGATCCCTTCTCTCAGCGCATCCGAACTCTGCTTCCTTCGTCGGCGTTTCAACCGCCTTATCGTCTTCTTATCGTAGTCTTATCGTGTCCCTCCAAAACTTCCGGCCAATCAGAGTTCGTTTAATTCAAGATGCCCCACCATACACGCTAGCTTTTTCAGGCAGTCCCATCCGAAATATCACGTGTCTTGACATGGCTTTGGGCTAGTCACATGACCTAGAAATCTACTCTCGCCCTGAGGAAGGTAACTTGTAAGGGGCATCTTACTCTTACATCGTCTGCACTTCAGCATGCCGGCTGTCCGGTCACTGCTTCAACGCATGTACAATGTCCTATCCAATCACATGGGGAGATAGTTCGATGCCTCTTCTTGGGCTTGGAAGGTTTGGCTGTGTGGTCAAGTTTGGGGAATACCGCGTCCTTAAAAAGCTGAAGACCTTCCCAGATGTTGACGATCCTGATATAGCATACACTAATGAAGCTAACATAATATGCCTCGCTAATGAGGCGAATATTTATAAACGCTTGGGGAGACACAAGGGGATTATTGAATGTTTTGAGTCTTCTAAATATTCGATTGAGCTTGCCTTTGCCAATCAAGGCGACTTGTCCGCATACATACAGGGAAACTCTCAGCCACTAGAAGCAGTTATAATTGAAAGGATTCGGTCACTAGCAGAAACTTTCACCTATATCCACTCCTGCAGAGTCGTTGTTGGCGATATTGGCTTAAAAAACATCCTCGTCCATAACGATTGTCTTAAGCCTGCGGACTTTGGTTCACTTTTGTTACCAATGGATATGGACATGGAGTACTTCCGTGTTCAAGACATCACTCCTAAATTGGAGATTCTCCACCTCGGCTGCGTGTTCTACTCTCTAGCGAAGTGGACTGAATTTAAATACGACTACTTCGATCACAACTGCATGCCAAAACCTGAAGTGCTTCCGAATATTAATGGTATTCTCGGTGAATCCACCATCATGAAATGCTAAACTGGAGGTTATGCTAGCATGAAGTCTTTGAGAAAGGACGTCAATGCACCGCTGTCTCCCTGCACCTAGGAAAGTCAGGTTCTGTGAGCACTTGAGTATATCTCAAGGCGTTGCAAGGCTGGTGGGAAAATACATCTTTTCACGTCAAACCAAATCGGGAGCAATACCGCCAGTATTCTTATTGACCAATGGCTCCCTTGCTTTGATACCCAAAGGTTTGGCAATAGCCTGTCATCGCGTAGCCATTCACCTGAGTCATAGTACATCCGGAATCTCTACCCTTGTCCAAGGGTATAAATATTATACCTGGTGATTGTGTCATGGCGTAAGGCTATTTTGCCATTCCTGTAACTCGCACCCATTTCTCTTGGAGAAGCTTTTTATGGCACAGGATCTGCAGCATACACTGTGCATGTAGGTTCTATCACTATATTTACTACTGCTAGTAACCTATATACAGTGTTAATATCATTTAGATCTGTAGATTATCTGGTCAGCTCCGGCGTCTCCAATCCAAGCATCAAATTTCTATAGATATCAACAAGTCTATGGTCTAACTCTAGGATCTATGAACAGACTTAGTTTTGTTCACCTACCAGCCCAGCGCAGGTAGAGCACTCTCCAGAGCATACTTCCCCTGCAACCCATCTCATCGCCCACCCGGTCTTTCCCCCAGCCTTGACCATCACCCTCTGACTAGGAACATTATCCGTACTGACATCCGCAAACATCCACCCTTTCTCTTTCCCGTCGATGTCGTCCTCCGGCTGCAGGGCGTGGAGGGCATCGCATCCCATACCCCGACGCATGATCTCCTTCAAAAGCAGGGGTGCTAACCCCCGCCCTCGATCCTCCGGTTCCACATGTAGAAGTATGATGCTCCCGTCATACGCAAGGAACGCCCAGCCAATAGGCATTTCTTCGGCGTTATTTACCTTCTCGCCTTCAGGAGAGGGATTGTTCGGCGTTTCCGCTCCTGCGCCTTCATGTCCGTCGCGGTATAGCGCAGCACTGCCTGCGAATGAAGCCTTCGTGCGCTGTATGGCCGTGCGACTTAGTACAAATTGCAATTGGTGATCCTGGATCCCACCTCGGCCATTACGGTCATGGAACCGATATCCAATGGGTGGCTTATTCTCTAGTTCGTAGCTTGACCGATCAAACATGTACTTCATACATGGATAGACACGGTTGATGTGGATGAGATCCTTCTGTCCGGTCGGGTCGTCGTCTCGTGGCCCCAATCCGTTGAATAGTTCGAAAAGGCCATCATGCACTGATCCCATTAAAAGACCAGTTGAAGGAGTAGCCGGGAGTTTCTCTACCCCGTTCGTCTTGATGATGCCGTTCTTCTCTCTCGCTGCCACCGAGGATATGAAGGACGACACGAGCTCAGTGCGAACATATGTTAACAAACTCCGGAGCTGCGCGCGAGTCACCTTAAGCATCTCCTCATCAGCTCTCAGTGTTGTTTTGATCTCATTTCCAGCAGTGGTAGTCAACCCGGTAGCCTCCAGGCTAGAGTACATCCACATCTGGGTCTCGGGATGCCGGAATATATCTACATACGCCGCCATCCATGGGCTCTCAGGCCCAGGCCTCGGGTTGGAGCCATATATCGAAGCCTCTGTATCCGGGGGAAATGTAGCTAGCACACACGCTTCCGCAGACCGGGGAAAAGAGCCGAATGACTGTATGACTCGTAGCAGCGGGCCAGAGTGTGGTAGGTGTCTTTGCAGGAGAGGGACGAGTGTGCGGGATGGATCAGGATGTGTATAGATTTTGACAGCCATGGTTAGTTTCTTGACCGGAACAAGAGCAGAGCCGGAGATGACGAAGACGAAGCAAAAGAAGGTGAAGAGGAAGAAACGAAGATGCAAGCGGGGGGTGCAAGATAACTTCTCGTAATACAATTCCCGAGCAATCCTTCATCCGTGGTTATATCCGAACTCCCAGGATAACTATCCACGCCGTACGGGATGGCAGATATTAATTTGATAACCACCACCTCGCTGTAAATATACATCATTGTACTCTGTACAGAGTCGAAAAAGCCAGTTGCAATATGGCCCAGAGCTAAAATTAACCTGCTGCATCGCCGTTTCTGTGATTGGCCCATTTTCTATCTCGTTTCTCGTTCTGACAGGGCAGCTTTCTGCGGAGAAATACATCGTTTGCCGGAATTTATCAACATTCTCTCAGCAGCGCGGCCAGCAATATCGTAGGCCCATTATGTCGACCGGAGCTCGGTTATGGAAGCAGTGGCCTCGGTCTGTCCTCTCGTTACAATCTAGAGTACCCCGGAGGTGTGCTGTTCCTGCTTCGTTGCGAAAATATAGCTCTGTTTCCGCTGCAGAGCTGCAGTTCGGCCAGCCTTTGCACGAAACACACCCGCATCTTCTGAAGGCCGGAGAACGTCAGTTTGAAATCTATTTGGCCAGGAATGAGGTTTCGCGAAGCTTTGCTAATATTTATATGGCTGTACAGTGACGCCCGGTATCACGGCTCTCGAATATGACCACCGACGATCGAAACTTGCTTCCAAACTCCCCAAAAACGCCGTCGCAATCGTTAGAGCTGCAGAGCTGAAATATAAATCCAAGAATGTGTTTTATAAATACCATCAGGATACTGATTTCTTTTATTTGACTGGTGCGCAATCTGCTCCCTTGGTTATGGGTGTGGGCAGCGTGATGTTGACAAGGTGGTGGCTTTGATAGGATTCAATGAGCCGGGAGCTCTAGCTATTATCGGTGAGCAAATAACAAAGATCTTGAGGCTGATGAAATTGATGCATGGAATACTTATGCAATACTAGCAAACACCGGCCACCCGGGCGAGCATACCTTCCACCTATACGTTCGGGAAAAGGACACACGAGCAGAGCTATGGGAGGGAGCCAGGTCCGGCACGCAGGCAGCCATGGATGTCTTCAACGCAGACGAGGTATACATTGCTGAACCCAGGAGGATGTTGGAGGAATGCTAATCACCTGCTCTCTACGTCAGTCCGGCGACATTAATCGTATCAAAGATTTCTTGCCCGATGTACTGTCTGGCGCATCTGAGATATATACTGATATTGCCGGATTTGGGCCCGGTAGCTCCCCATTCTCACGGCTACTGTCCAGTTTCTCCGACCCGCCCTCCTCCGCTGCCGATGTTAGAGAAGAGGCCATGAATAAGATCAGACCGCTAACGCCCATCATCAACGAATTACGGGTATTCAAGAGTGATGCGGAGATTGCCAATATGAGACATGCGGGACGTGTGACGGGACGAGCATTCACTGAATCGATGCGACACAATTTTACCACCGAGACTGAGCTTAATGTCTTTTTGGAATATCAGTTTCGTCTGCAGGGCGGGGATGGGACGGCGTTTGTCCCCGTCGTTGCAGGTGGACAGAACGCACTGAGTATTCATTATGTTAGAAACGATAATGTTCTACGGTATGGTCTTCACTGGATGTACCTGGGATCTGAATATGCTGACTCTAGATATCAAGGGACGGTGAATTGGTTCTAGTCGATGGCGGCAGTGTTAGTATTATACCGTCAACCCATCTCCACCTTCGCCTGCTTACTTGAAACAAACAGGAATATGCAGGATATATTTCAGACGTCACGAGAGTATGGCCTGTGAACGGCAAGTTCACTCCAGCCCAAAGGGAGCTGTATACTGCCGTTCTTAACGTGCAGCGGTCGTGTATATCACTCTGCCGTGAGTCAGCGGGTCTATCACTAGATAAGATCCATGAAGTTGCGGAGCGAGGCCTTCGAGACCAGCTCGACGCGATTGGCATCAATACTTCTGGCGGCGTATGAATAATGTCTTACCCCCTTGATGATAGGAGCAATGATTCTGACAGGAGTGACAGGCAATGCAAACACTATTCCCTCACCACGTTGGTCACCACATCGGTCTCAGTGTCCATGACTGCGGCAACTATTCCAGGCGAGAGAAGCTGCTGAAGGGGCAGTGTATCACGATTGAGCCGTAAGAAGCCCCTTTACCAAGTCCATGAACACGCTTGTTAGGCACGAGTCAGCTAACATGTACCTCACTGATGAGTAGTGGCGTTTACGTCCCCAATGACGACCGCTGGCCAGAGAAATTCCGCGGCATCGGCATTAGGATAGAAGATAGTATCTGCGTTGGAGACGACAACCCCATCGTCTTCTCCCCAGAAGCAGTCAAAGAAGTAAGCTGTGCCTACCACACTCCCGTCGCAGTCCCTTTACTAACTATCTACCCAAGATTGACGATATCGAAGCCTTGCGATAGGCGGACGCATTATTATATAGCATATCAGCGATATCTTTCTTGATGTGTATTATTAGCATGTACTATATACCAGACCAAACAACTAAATAACTCAACCAAGGCGGTTCCTACAAGCAAATAAATAATTCTACAGCGATAACGAACCTGTCTAACCAAGTAACTGGCGTGTAGAAAAATAAAGAGGAAAAAATAAAATAGACCAGGCGGGATTTGAACCCACGACCTCCGCATCACCAAATGGAGTAATTCATATCACTTTAGTAAAACGATATAAGAACGGCACGCTAACCACTGCGTCACTGGTCTTACTAACTGGCCTGTTCGCCTCGCGGAACTTATAAGCAACACCCCCATATCCTATGTATAGCCCACGCATATATAACCTGGATCCCAGTTTGTTTTACCATCGCGGACGGGATGGGATAATGCTAGTCAGCATCGTCTGACATCTGGGGTAGAAACGCAGGGAGCATCTACGGGTAGCGGGCAGGGAGCCGTTTAAGTACTATTTATGCGTTGGAACGTTCGACGGTGGCGGTTTTAGTTCTACAGCAACACCAAGGCTTTACGCCGTACAGTAGCTAAAGTTACACTTTCTTGCAGGATGAGGTTATCGCCGATGGGAGCCTCTCGTGGATGGGCTTCCTGTATCACCGGCTGTTTCATGGCTCGGCCCTAGCCCGGCTTCGGTGTCAGGGAGTGGTATCTAGAGGTTGTGTGTCTGGTCTGATGTCGACGCTGCGAGCTCCTGCTGGTTTCAATCCATATAATCTCTAGTCCATACCGACGATGGGTGAAAGTGGCTCCCTATTCGACTTTTAGTCTCCATTGATTGACCCCTTGGAGTTAGATAGCTAGGAGATAGCCAGGCTGGATCAGTAACGTGTATACTAGGTATCGACGTCGAGTCAGGAAACCGGTCATGGGGAATATAGCATACACATCAGGTATACTCCATACGCGAGGCGAGCAGTTGTGTAGAATGGACAGCTGGGTCATGGCATTCATCTATCACCAGCTTTGATCGTGACTGATATAGCTCGGGAGGGGTTCTGGTCGGGTGCGAAGGTGTCATGATCGCAGGGGAAAGGGTGATTTAACGGTCGACGAGTCCTGGTCCAATGCAGCACCTTCGTAATACATCATCCATCGCGTAGGGAATCAGATAGCTGCTCGAGTGCAGCGTTGGCGTCGTAGTCTTTGTTGTAGGGTTTAGGGTAAGTCGCGAGCGTACCCAAAATGGCTGTTTGGTTGGTCAGCAAAAAGCGTGACTTTGTTTAGAGCAAAACAAGAACGTCGATAGAACTTCGCCCTCCAACACCACCAGCTCGTCCACAGCCTATCGAGAGGCCAGCAATGACTGCAACCTCCTGACGGGCTCAAGAGAGCTGCATGCTACAATTAATTCCATTGTCCTGTCCTGCCTCGTCCGCTCTTTACTCTCTACCACGCTATTCAGTCGTCCTGAACCGTGTCGAGAGACTGGAGGTATCATCGCGTGCGGCGTGTACTGAGGCTCTTTTGCAGCCTCTACTCTCCATTTCCCTCGCTTGGCCGATAGATATATCGCCTTCCTGACGTATTGTTATTCATGGCAACGTTATTCGTACCATCGCCTCACGCGTTAAATGAAATGACAACCCGCAGAGCCCCCCTGGCCAACGTCCCTAATGCTACCAACTCCCCTCACCATGCCGTTTCCACGACGGCAGCCATGAAGCGTGGACGTCCGCCTGGCCCGCCGTGGGATTGTGCACCTCCTCCATTGAAGAAACAGATGCTGGATGCGGATACTGTGGACACGCGACCCCCTCAGAAGAGCCTCAGCCAGCAGCAGACGGGCGAGTCGAAACTATTCACACGTCGGACGAATACCCAACCTACCGCCTTCGAGAAGAAGCTTGTTGCAGCAAGAGACAAGCCAAAACAGCCAAACACCCTGAAAGTGAGCAGGAACATCAAGTACTGCCCTGAGTCGGTCGAGAGTGTTCGTCAATGGCAGAGACACTACCGCAAAGTGTTTCCCACCTATGTCTTTTACTTTGAGAGTATTCCTGTGGAAACCAGGAAGAAATATGTCAGGCAGATCATGTCTCTCGGTGCCGTAAGTTCGATTTGCCTTTTTGCCCTTAATTCTCACTTATCTCTCACTGCTGTGCTGAAACTGTTGTCAGACCGAGGAAAAATTCTTCTCGAGGATAGTTACCCATGTCGTTACTTCTCGCTCCATTCCGCCAGAGCATGACTCTCCAAAGCCTACAGAGATGACCCAGACATCTACCTCGGCTGGCAATAACCTCACTGAAGGCTCAGTTCAAACCGTGAACCCTTCTCTACTGGAAAAAAGTATAGACACCGCCCAATCACAACTCGTGAAGACGCGATCTAGAACAGGGTTTGGAATGATCGAACCCGAGAACAAGAAGGGACCTGGAGACCTCCTGTACCGGGCTCGTCAGATGAATATGAAAATATGGACCCTGGATAAACTTCAGCGGGTTATCTTTACTATGAACGACAAGGAACTTGCTCATATACTCCAGCCCAGCCGCAACGGTGGTGCAGCCGTAAAAACCAAGGCCGAAGAAGATCTCTCATTAGCCCTACAGCATGAGAAACTCCATGCTCCTGTCGACTCCGACACCCTAACACTAAGCAAGGGTCTGGTCCCGTTCAAAGGTCCTTACCTGTATGTCTGGGATTTTGCAAGGGAAACCCGTCCAATCGTTGTTCGAGAGTATCCGAAAGTCGCTAGAAAGCAAGACGGCGCCTGGCCACAGTTCCGTGGGGCTGAGCTGGGGAAATGCCCGTTTATCGACGTCCCAGCGAACAAGAGGACAGATAAAGAAAAACTGAAAAAACAGCCAACCAAGGCTGACCCTCAAGCCGCTGTGATATCGAAAGCAATGGCGCCTCCTGCCAGAGGGCCAAGCAAGTTAAACCAGCAATCTACTAATCAAGACGACACCGAATCTGCGGTCGAGGAACCCGCAGGCAAGCCGTTCGAACCCGTGGAGACTACCGCGGTAGCCCCCAGACCTCTCTCGAAGGGCTCCATCTCCGCCTCCTCCCTAGCCTTTAAATTTGGAGGTGAACCAGCCGCGTCTGGAGTTCAACCGTCAAATATTACATCCGCCATCCGCTCACAGATGATATCCTCGACAGCAGCCGTGCAGGGCGCGAAAGCTGGCACAAGTAAAGAAGTGCACGAGCTGAAACGGAAAGTGCTAGAGAAGAGCAGCGGTATCGTGTCTACAGCAATCTCCTCGTCATACCGCGCCGATGCAGCAGCCGCCTCGCAGCAGCAGCCTGCCAGAATGCCAATTGCGCGAGCAGCTAAATTAAAAGCACAGTTGAATGAAGATGGGAAGCTGAACCACACAGAGCACAGTAGACGGACTAGCGACGTGGGCCCCAGGAAGAATAGCGGTCTAAGAAAACAGCAGTCCGGCAAGAAGCGGGAATCCAAGCCAGGCTACTGCGAGAACTGTAGGGAGAAATTTGAGGATTTTGAAGACGTAGGTTCCCCCCTTTCCTCCTCACCCCTGGATCTTGGATCTTCACACAAGACCTTGTACTGATGAAAAGCACAGCACGTCGAGACCAGGAAGCATCGGAAATTCGCCATGAACCCCAACAATTTCTATGAGATAGACGCGTTCATCGAGCAGCTCACATCTTACCTCTGATGGCGTCTGCGAGTTACTCTTTTGCAAGAATTCCAAACTATTGTACTTATAGCGACCTCAGCATCATGGCCTTCATCACGCAGACCTTCTGGCTGCGGAGTAAATTAATATACCAAAGATATAAACATCCCTAGCTCTTCTTATCCATGTCTGTACACCGTGTTGTCGACTCCTTCAATCCTTCATTCTCATGCACGGAGCGTAAGGGGCAAGGTAGATATCACGTGTGCATTGTCCCGTGATCATGCCAAGCTCCTATCACAGCCCGCCATCCGCTGACTAAGACCCACATGGAGGATGGACGGATGGAGACGGGCGGCCTTGGCGTGATCCTCGCCCTTTCGACGATGAACGACTCCAGAAAGTGCGCCCATATTCTCTTCTCTACGCTGCATAAACCATCACGTACCATAATATAAAGCGAGTCGACTTTTCCCTCGCAGGGAGATAAAAATAGAGGGAATGGGTCCTCCTGCTGTGTCGCTTCTCTCGTTTATATCCGCACAACAACCATTTTTAGAACCCACCGAAATTGGCTGAGATATCTCATAGATTCTTCTCCTTCCTGTCTGTTCCGTGTAAACAAATATATCATTTATATCCTCCCCCTTTTTATCTCTCTCTCTTAACTGCCTCTCCGCGACACCTAACACTAACATGGCATCTCGACTCTGCACTCCTATTCGCCTCGGTGGCGCAATGGGGTTGTCTGGCAAGGTAGCTCGGCCAATGCATCTTCAACCCTCCCTTGCCCTGTACCAGTGTATATGGCAGCAAGTACGGTCCAGCTCCAATTCACCCATGGCACAGGGCCCGGGTAACACCCGAAAGAAGGTCACCATCAAGTCACTGGAGAACCTATACCGAAAGGGAGAGCCAATCACCATGATGACGGCGCATGACTTCCCAAGTGGATATGTCTCTGAAGCTGCCGGCATGGAGATGATCTTGATTGGAGACAGTCTTGCAATGACCTCCATGGGGATGGCAGATACGAGCGAGATAACGCTGGATGAGATGATTATGCATTGCCGTAGTGTCTCACGGGCAGCGTCGACCGCATTCGTTGTACGTATACCCGTGCCTCTCGAACATGTTGCAAGAGGGGCACCTCTCGTTTCTGAACCAGTGAACTAACCAATTGTTGCTCTGCAGGTGGGTGATATGCCTATGGGCTCATACGAAGTATCTGAAGAACAAGCTGTCCAGACTGCTATCCGACTCGTCAAAGAGGGCCGTGTCCACGCAGTTAAAATTGAAGGTGGCCAAGAATTCGCTCCAACCATCAAACGCATTGTCCAGGCTGGCATCCCTGTCGTTGCACACATCGGGTTAACCCCACAACGACAAAACGCCCTTGGAGGGTTCAGGGTACAGGGCAAGTCAACGGCGGCAGCTATCAAAGTCTATCAAGATGCACTGGCGATCCAGGAGGCGGGTGCATTCATGGTCGTCGTCGAAGCAGTACCAGCCGAGATTGCAGCCATCATCACCAAGAAACTGCGCATAGCGACCCTGGGGATCGGTGCCGGTAATGGATGCTCTGGCCAGGTCCTGGTGCAGGCGGACATGGTAGGCAACTATCCACCGGGGAGATTCCTGCCGAAATTTGTCAAGAAGTACGGCGATGTCTGGTCAGAGACCTTGAAGGCCATCGAACAATATAAAACCGAAGTCAAGAGCCGAGAATACCCTTCGCCAGAATATACATACCCGACAACAAAGGAGGTTGTCGAGGAGTTTGAAAAGGTCGTCAGCAGGAAAGATTAATTCTCGCTTTGCCTCTGAACCCTCGTGTCCATATTTAGCCCTATAATCGTTGCCTTAGAGATTAGTGTCTTGTTATATACTTGTGCGGGCCCAGGCCGTATATACCTCTAGAGGAAGAAGTCTTATGTGAATATACGTGGATAGTAAATAAAAACATTCATACATTTATTAGCCATCCTAGCACTCTAATTCTCGGCGATGAAGCCGGTAAACACGTTGCTCATTTGAGTGTTTCGCTTCGAATGAGTCTCACCCATCACCCAAACGCCGGGGTCATTGAATAAGAAATAATCAACTGGTCGTCTGATTTGAAGCACTATTCCATACATCAGCCGTGTAAATATGGAACAGTAAATCGAGGGTGGCAGAATACATACCCTCCACAACCCTCCAATCCCTTCATCTAAGCCCGGCGCAAAAACGCTATTCACGTAGCAAAAGACAGAATCCGTGTCCTTACAGCCCAGCTTTTTCCTTAAGAAACGGACGATTGTCTCAAACTTCTGAGACGCATTCACTTTGAAAACCTTGCTTTGGAGAATAGGTGCAGATGGCATCGGAAGAAACCGGACAGGTACTACATCGCGCATAGGGGAGGGTATATGTAAGAACAGTCCAATATATAAATGCAGAACAAAGCTCAAAGCCTTGTTTTACCACACAGAAGACAAAACGTACCTTTTCTATTATCTAGTTCTTCCACCTCTGCCAAAGCTTGACGGCTCGTCTTTGGAAGAACCGTTAGTACTGTAGATGCCGCTAATGTCAAGGGCAAAGTTGCAGGATCCCCAGTGTCGGGTATCGGGGCTGCAGACCCTCTCTTAACACTATCACCCATGCTGGAGCTATGCTGGCTGCCCTGTTCGTTAGCTATAGTGAGGCCCTCTGTAGTGATGTGCCTTGAGCTCCGCCGTGGAGACCCTGAAGATGGCGATCCAAACGGTGAATGATGGGACATGGTGGCTCGTTGGTCAACTTGTTTTTGATAAAAGGGGTGTGTTTGTAGCTCGGCGCGTGTCTAAATCGTGATTTAAGTCTATACTTGGGCCATATAAGGGCTACTTTGAGTGTTGATAATAGCGCTCTGTATTTATGAATGTTCGTGTTTTCGATGAGGTTGTTGATAGAAGAATGAAGTACGAGATACCCCGCACGTGATGGAGACACATACAGGCAGCCACCCTTGTACACTTCTTTATCACCCTTTGAAAGGGATATTGACGAAGTATTTTTTGGCAGCTCTATGAAGGAGTAACTACAGAGTGTGGCCTCGTTTAGTTTAATGTACTATCGTCGGTTAAAACTATCACGTATGTAGTCAAGGAAACAATGCAACCACTTAGGCTTAGGTCTCTATCGAAGATGAGACGTTGATTTGAAGTGAGGTAACACATGGATGGCCTTTCAATTATAGAAAGAGAACCCTTTAAAACAAATTATATATGGCGTCTGTACGGAGTAGAATTTGTTAATATTTTAGCTGTAAGTATTCTTAGTTACCGTTCATACATATATGTCAGTGTAATAGTTTAATCCGTATACCAAAGAACACAACCAACGTTCCACCTTGCTCTATATATCAGGCGTTCATGTTTGGTAGACCTGAACTCTTTCTCGTTGTCCCTACGTAGGTCGACATATTGCCCATAATGGTGCAAAGAAGGCCGTGGTAAGATATGTGTCGACTCGTACACGAGCGCGTTGATTAGCTGACCTTGATGCTATTCGTTAGGAACTTGCGCAGGGCCAAGATTCTGACAGTGATCCTGGAGATAAAGGAGCGTTATGTGGCGGATTTGTTGTTTTATTTTTGGACAGCGTTGGTGGAGCGAAGCTGCATGGGGCACCACCCCCCTGTCGAGAATCATAGATCTACCACTGCGGCTAGCTCCGTCGTATTCGTTTTGCATCATGATTGATAAGTGGGGTGCCAATATGATTAACTCGTCATGCCAAACCAGCCCCATGCAGCAATCAACATCCCAGAAGCGGCTCGGAAGAGAGCTTTGCCGGGGGCGCCTTCACGCCAGCACACATATCCATCAACCAGGCCAAGATAGGCTAAAATGACCATGATGGTATCGACTTCGCGGAATTTCCCCTGAGAGTAGAAGGTGAAGAGCACAAGCCCAAGTGCCGTGGTTCGTCCCGACCCAGTGATCATGACAGCTTGGGCTTCCTTTGAGATCGCGATACGTTTCGGTAAGCCGAATTCTTCGATGGCGTATCCAGCGTTCCAAAAGGGTATTAATCCACCGAAGGTGGTGACGGTGGCCACAAAGAGGGGTGGGATGTGCCACGCGGTGAAGTCTTCAAACATTATGATTTGATAAACGGCTTTCTTGGCCGTGAAGATGTGTGCAGTGTGAAGGAAACGACCGATGGTGATTAAGAAGCCGAATTGTGTGGGTGTGACGTTGGGGCGAGGCAGAGAGCTAACTGTCGTACAGAGCAGATATCACCTCAAGCCATGAACCTCTTATAATCAAGTGGAGCCAAGGATCAAATACTCTGTTAGGACTAAGCCTGGGTTAGCGTGGGGAGCAGGCCGCTTTACTCGCGGATATTATATAGAGAGAGCACTCTATATGCAAATCCTGCTTGCATGCTGCTCTGTGGCTGCACTAGCTCAAAATATCTCCCCCAGAGCATTCTAGATGATCTTTTTAGACTCGGAATCGAGCACGGAAGTTGCCTCGTCTAGGGGGGCATACTCCGTACATGGATCGCGCAATAGCTATTCGTTGCTGCTGCATGCTGGAAAGCATGCCTCCCCTCGTTCCTATAACTGTTGAGAAGCTTCGACTTTTGAGCTAGTTCCTCAAAAACCTTGAGTCGAACATAACCAGAAGCAAGATCAATTGGAATAGTTCTTGCACAAACTAGTTCCAGCTTCCAGCCTACTGCAACCAATAGAGCCCAAACCGTCCACACTCAGGCATACGGAGTACTGGGCATTGAATTCCGATCCGGCCAGCCACTAAACAACCAATCAGTGGATCACCCAAAGGTTGGAGCTGCGCCTGGGGCCGTCGCTGAACCCTTGCTCGGGCTCCGGACCGAAGCCAGCAGGGAATACCGGCAAATCACACCGCCGAGACGGATCAGGTTGGGGAACGCAGGAGAAAAACACTAGCTCCGGAATAAAGAACAAAGTGTACACGAACTGTGTGGTTAGTACATCAAAGTGATCAAGAGTCGTGGATACTCAGCGGACTGTACTGATACACGAAGTCGAGATGTTGATAAAAGGTTGAAGTTGGGTGTGTGTCACGTGATAAATAGGTTATTTTGAGGTTTCGGCTTCAACAAGACAACGACGACAGCAAAAGGGGCAGTGCATATATATGTTTTATCCTAACAAACGAACGGAAGGGATCGTGGCGTAGCGAACGGTCAAAGGATGACGATTTGCGCGTTATGTACCCCGAAATATTATATAAGACATGTCACAGCGAGATCTACGCCAAAGGCTACAGAGTCCAGTCAGTTACCCTCCTGTTTCGATTCCGTTGGCCAGAGAAACGCCATGGCCTTCGCCGGGTGATAATGCATAACCTCTAGACGAATCAACGAGACTCTCTTCATCCTTGAGAGTTAGATGCCAGACGTACTTGCATATTCAGCCCCTGTTAAGATTCTATCACAACACTGGCATAAAATCTCCTAGGGCTATTTTTGCCGACCACTTTCATCCATCCCGCCAATAGGTTAGCATGAATAAGAAGAGAACACTTACACCGCCATGCGCCCTGTGCCGCTGATCTGCTATCAACCACTTCTATGAACAGCGAGAGGTTTCCAGACTTTGGTGGTCTGTACTCTCATGAGGCCGACTAAGATATGAGTATCTTCGGACTCGCGAATTAGAAGCCGTGAAGGTTGAGTTGATTTCTCGAAATTAGCATGATCTCTCACGGTCACCTAATGCAGTATACAAAGGTCAAAACTACAGATCGCGTCGGACAACTCACATGGCTGCACAATGTCTGGCTACGCACGCAATCCGTCAAAAAAAGGCAATATATGTTGAATACGAGCCCAAGTCGCATCATGGATGCCACGAGGGAAACTTAAAAATGCCTATTTGTCCCCACATCGGGTGGGACACGCAGATCCAATTCCCTTGAGAGCATGATCAGGAGGAGTAAGCCTCTTACTTACATTGAAGGATGCACCTCGCGGGCCGTCTAGTTCCTATAGGGGCAGCCCGGCATTACAGTATGTACTCGTACTGTCAGGTACGGGGTACATCGTGGGATTTTTAGATTGCCGAGTCAAAGGTGTTTGGTAGCACATGCATTGTCCCAGCCATCAGAAGAACAGACTCGTTGACACCGATCGGAGCGGTCATTAAGTATGAACTGATATGTTCTTGTACTCCGTATAACCATCAGCCAAATTGCCAAGGGCCCGGATCAGCGGTGTGCTCTAACCTTTATTGAAACAGCTGAACCTGTCCATCCCGTACGGAGTCTCCCTTACAGGCTGCCCAAGGGATATTGCGACACCAGAGCGATCTCTTTAGCCGACGATGCAAAGGTGTTCGAGGGTCAGGAGCGAGAGCCTCATAGGAGGTACAGAGTACCTTTAGCTATGAATAGTTAAGGTTGGGACCGTTCACAAGAACCACCACGCCCTGGAACGCCTTCTTGCCGTCAAGACTGTAAGAGGAAGCACCTCCGATGCGGGGTTTAGACCCATCTCGAACCACTATAGAAGCAAATAGTGCGATGCTGAAGCTTGATTTTATGAACAAGCCGAAATATTTGTGTCTGTGCATAGCCATGGACGGAGAGTTATGTCGACCAGCTTTGCTCCATCTGGATAAACTCATCCTCTAGGATGGCTCCTTTTTATATGTTGAATGAAATGCCTTTTAACGCTGACATGGTTTTGCTATATTAACTCCACTTCGCCAACCCATCTTCTTTCAGCCTTGAACCTAGTAGCCTGAGATATATACCTTACAGCCTCGTAGCTTTGTATATATACTAGGTCGATACCATGTCGACTATAGTTACACAGTACGGCTTTACAGCAATCGGAGGTATCCCTACCGCCATGTGAGACCATGGGCCATGTCCTTCTTTAACTCATGCGACCTCCATATTTTTGGGCCGCATGAAGGTGGCATCTGGCAAGGATGCATCGCCCTAGTGCCGGACGCTCCCTGTCCATTGATAATTAATTCAGCTGCATGCATACGGTGACACACCTTAAACACGTCGTCCCACTTTACTTACATCCGCTCCTACAGCCTCGTGGGTTCGCCCATCATGTTTCTTATTAAATGGCATTCCTGCTAGCCACGCCTCGAAAACGAAGAGCAGGGCAATGTTGCTGGTGAACTCGTTTATCGTCCAGGCTTGTTTTTTTTCTCGCAGCCGCCCAAGCTGGTTGAAGCTCTTTCCCTGCAGCATACTATTGCTGCAATGGCGGATCCGTCGAAGATTCCCATCGCCCCCAATCCAAATGGTGACCCATCTAATTTCATCAACCCACCGTCACTGGAATCAACAGTCCTCTCACTGGGCCTGGCTCTCATATGCATAAGTATAGCATGTCTATCATTACGACTCTTCGCCAACTATCGACGCACCAGAAGGCTATGTTTGGATGATTGTATGTGCAGTCTTATATATCGCATTCTGCGCCAGAGTCCACCTCTGTTGATGAACACTACTAACATGACGCTTCATCAGATCTTTGTCTCCTCGGAGAAGTGGCGGGTGTTGGATACTGGGCGGTGATTTATTCTGGTATGTTTGTCGTCGTTCACCCTGTATATCGCATCGCTGGGACGTAAGCTGACAGCGGTCCAGTTGCCCGAGACGGGACCGCGAAACACTCCTGGGACGCGCCTATCAGCGTGATTACTTCATCATTTATAAAGGTGGGCATCTGTTTCAACATATGCATCCGCTACTCCAATCTAACTGCTGTAGAAACACTTTGCACAACAGATGCTTAGCTTGCCAGCTCTGTGGGCAACGAAAGCTGCAGTTTTGGCACTCTACATTCGTATATTCGACAGTACACGATGGATGCGCCGGACGTGTTATGCGTGTATCGTCATAATGTTCCTATTTTATGGAGCCAACGTCGTTCTCGCGATCGTATACTGCCTCCCTAGAAGGGGAGATCCCTGGGACGCCGCCGTGCTCGATAGGTGCGGAGATCCAGGTGCTCTTTCGGTCTCTATCGGCGCATTTTCGGTTTTTTCAAACATCGTCCTGTTCTGTTTGCCGTTCCCTATTATCTTCGAGCGACGCTTAGCCCCGCCAAAGATAATAGGGCTGACGGGTGTGTTCCTGGTCGCACTTTCGTACGTTCAATCTATCACCGCTGAATTCCAGATTCCTCGACTAATATTCTGCAGAACTCTCACAACCAGCATAATGGCACTTCGCTACCGAGTTAAATCCTTTCTTGGGGAGGATCAACTGTGGAATGGATTCACCGTAACCATCACAACGTGAGCTGCCCCAGAGGTGCTGCTGTCGAGGTATTGGAATTCTAACCGTATACTAGGTTCGCGGAAATATTCGGCACTGTCTGTATTAGCTGTGCGCCAGCTTTATCTTCATTGTCGTTGAATTTTGTGCAAAAGCACGAACGATATCCAAGCTGTCGAGCGAGATCGTTATCCTGTCGAACACGGACGAAAACCGACAACTCGTCCGCGGATGGGAACAAATCCGATTCGATGTCAAATCTAAAAATGCATCATGACTGGTCTGACAAGTGCACAATGGGTCAAGGAAGGCCAGGGCCGCTGACGAGGATATATTCCTCCGTCAACCCATCTGGCACATACCTCCCGATGAACAACGCCATCGCCAAATCAACGCGTATTGACCAATCCTCGACAATACTGGATCCGGAAAGGGATACACATCGCGAGAGCTGGGCACAAAAGATATAATGTGCAAATGACAATAATGACCGATTTAGAAGGCGTTTGGAATAGCGAATAATGGGAAAGGGTGTACGGCGTTAAAATGTATGGCAAATGTATATAATAGATGTGTTTGTTTTCATACTACCAATGCACTATTTACTAGTGCAGATTGAGCCTTCATCTTCCTAGTCACCTCTCAGTGTACCCTGCAAAGTTAAACGGAAAAGAGAAAAGCCGAAACTATGATCAGCATATAGTAGTGTATATAAGCGCGTAAATGATGGGAAAGCGAATGTGAATGGTGAAATATTGAATGTACGGAGTAAATAGTTGAAACTTGAAGCTCAAATAGCTTCGAGCTCGAGCTCGCGGTCAAGTGACTGGCTGTGCTGACTAAGACTCAGGCACATGACCTGGTCGCTTATCGATAAGGCCCGTCACCACCTCGTCTCCTTCTTCTCTCCCCTTCCCCCCCTCACGGCCTCCAACCTCTCCACGCTCCTCGACAGCAGCCCAACCCGCCCGCCATATACCTGATAGAACCGTGTTTGTTCTGTCGTCTCGTTTGGAACTATCACCAGATATCAGACTCCGTCCTGTTCCCCCGTTACCTTGCTCCTCCGTACCCAACTTACCCCAACGGGACCCCGCTGGTTCCTTCTCCGTATCTTGGAATTCGCCCAACCCTCTCAGCTACCACCAGCGTCACAGTTGATATTCCGGTCAATTTTCGACATTACACTGCAAACACAAAGCTAATTCTCCCTCACCGGCGGAAAACTAAGAACCCCGTTTGCCACATCCTCTACCGAGACGCCAGCAAAATGAGCAGCCCAAAGCGAAGAATTGAGACAGATGTACGTTTTTGATGAAGCCAATGTTTACTTTTATTACTGGGGAAAGGGATAAGCTGATCAAATGGTATTTTTCTTTCTCGCGGATAATTATAGGTCATGAAGTAAGACAGCCTCTCTTAACTACTAACTAACTCTCTACGCCGCGTGTGCTAACTAAAAATAGGATGTATGATGCCCCGTACAACCAAGCTTCTTATAGTGCTTGGAATTCTCTTCTGGCACTGCATATGGAGCTTGTGATAGGCTTATTGGGACACCAATACTGATACGGTATGCTTTAGGTTGATGAGTGATTATGAAGTTACGTTGGTCAACGATAATAGTATGTCGTCCTGGGCTCCTTTCAGAGATAAAACATCCACTAACTAACCTTTGCTGTCATTTAGTGTTTGTTACCTTTCATTCCCCTCATGACGCGTACCTATTCGAGTGCTCTGGTGGTGACTAATGAGTCAAATAAAGGCAAGAGTTCTACGTACGGTTTAAAGGACCCGAGGAGAGTACGTTTAGTCTTCTGGAAAGAGGTACTCTTATTTAGCTGCTAACGTGAATGATAGCTCCCTTTGCCGGTGGACTCTGGAAAGTACACGTTGAACTACCCGACCAATACCCGTACAAGAGCCCAAGCATCGGCTTCGTGAACCGGATTTACCACCCAAATATTGACGAGCTGTATGGCCTTATTCAATCATAGATATGTTTCCCTATGACTAACATGCTTCTTAGATCGGGATCCGTATGCCTGGACGTCATCAACCAAACATGGTCCCCCATGTACGACATGATAAACATATTCGAGGTGTTTCTTCCACAGTTACTCCGGTACCCCAACCCATCGGACCCTTTAAACGGGGATGCAGCTGCTGTTCTCTTACGAGACCCGAAGAAATACGAGATTAAGGTTCGGGGTAAGTTTAACTTACTCAACGAGAGCTATTCTGGCTCCTGTCAACGCCTACCCACAGATTACTAACTGGGAGTGTATTAGAATACGTCGCCAAATATGCAAGCAAAGATGCCGCCGACGATGCGGGTGAAGACACAGAAGATGATGGCGAGATGAGCTCTGTGGGTAGTTACGAGTCTGGCGGCGAAGAACCAGCCGGTGAAATGGACGATGTTTGACTGCAACTACCTCACCGTATTTCTCCCCATTCTCTCTCGGTCTATCATGTCCACATCCTTTGATTTGGATCTATTTATTAAGTACGACTCGGCGTTCCAGCGGTATCACAACAACCCCCACTGGGGTTTATCGCTTTCCCTTTCCCTTCGTTCCCTTCATTCTCTTCGCGGAGAAGCATTGCGTTAATGGTGCTAGGATTCTTTCTCTTATCTCTTTCTACTTTCTCTACTCCCTTTATAATTTTGAGGGACTACGTTTATCTGGGGTCGAATGAAGATTACTCCACGGCCTTGCTGTGAGTTTACCTCTCTACTCCGTTTTTTGTTCCTTCTTAACCTTGTCAAATATGTTTTCTCTCTTAAATCATTTCCTGCTCATTCTTATTACTCAGTTAGTCCATTAAACACATTAGAATCAAAACCTTTACACTTTGCTGTATCCTTCGCTGTCCTTCTCGCCATGCAACATCCTGGCAGACTTATAGAAGATGCATACACCAAGCTCATTATATACAAACTCACGACACCTCCTTCAAACTTTCGATAGTGATTAGCGGAAACTCCAAGCCCTCTCTATTCTCACCCATCAATACCATCCCTCGTCACATCTACACGCTCCACGATGCAATACTCGATGGCTAGGAAGAGTGCCGTCTCGGAGAGGAATCTGCCAGGAAATTGTCTGGATGTTGCTCGGATACACAGTGAAATGGCCGATGTCACTGACATCAGCCGTATCGGCTGCTATAATGGCCCCGTTGACTCCTCCTCGTACCCAGGCTTCCTCCGTCCCGTTTGGAAGAGTAATATGGGCGAGTCCCGAGATGAATATAACCCATCTAAAGGATGTCACAAACCGTTTAATCGACCATAATCCCTTTCACTTAACTAGGAATAATTAAGGGTCAACTTACTGGGCTGCAGGTGCATTGTGCAACCCGCCATCAAATCTCGGCGGAAGAACACTATATTTTGCATCGCCCATCAATCCACTTATTGGGAGAATTGCCGCGCCCTTAGTGCCCGGTTCATCGGAGATATCAAACCGTCGTTCGAGTTCCCAACATTCCAAAGTTGAGAATCCGTTCTCTGCCGTGAGAGCCGTTATATTCCATGTGCTCGGTACTTTAGCCGCTGGTATCCCCCCAAGCACGAGGAGTGGTAAGGTAATTATCGAGAAGGTGGACAGAAAACTATTCATGATAGTGTCTTGTTATTTGGGTTTAATGCTGCTGCACGATGAACAGATAATGGCAAATAAATTCATTGAAAAGAATAGAGATTGTCTAATATATCCATCCTCCCATTGATTTCCTATCCACGGTTCGAGCGGCTGATATGTTTTTTAGCCTATGTTGTCGGAGTAGGAGTCCTGATCGAAAGGCTATTAAATATGAATCGCCCAAGTCGGGGAGGAATAATCCTACACTTTTATAATTTAGCCACCATCAACTAGTAACTAAATAGTTACTCCGTAGCCAGCTAGCCAAAATTTACGCGGCCGCCGATCCGGAGTCGCGCACCTCGGGCTCACGGACGAAGGCTAAACATGGCAGGGAGTTGTGCGTGTAAAAGGCTATCCGAAGGCTCCCAGTTTGCGCCTCCAGATTGTTCTCGAGAGAGAAAACTCTGCTTGCCGGGATAGCTGTGGCATCCATGAACACTCACGTACTACCCATCTCCATCGAGGCTGTGACTATTCACGGAGTATGGAGAGTACTGGGCATCGCTTGTCTCTGCTCTGTACTTGGAAGTTGAGACGAAAGCATGGCTTAGTCAGCTGTAATTTAAAGTTGCGGCATCTACCCGCGCCTTACCAGATTGGGTTAGGCTTCTCTTGTTGTTCCTTGCCCGATTCGGAAAATTTCCCCGTTCAGACGTCATAGGGCACTGCGCTATTCCAGATACAGAATAGCTCAGACAAGCCCCCTATCTGTCCGTTTTGGGTAAGTATCGAGGAAGCCACGACTCTACATAATTATCAGAGGTAGCACAAGTCTTCTTAAAGAGCTGAATAGCCCAGCTTCAACACTCGTGGCATATCTCTCTCTACTTTCATCGGCGTGTGTACAACCTTGACCCCTGATTAAATAGATCCTTGCATACCATCGTCACTCCACCATCATTGGGATAGGAGGACATTCCATCTTGATATCTATATCTGATGACCTTGCCGTAAAGGTTTTCTATAGGAATAATGGAAAGCTATTGCATCATGAGCAGTCCATCTTTAAGCATTGAACGGAGAGGCTTGCGCATATGTAACTCGGTCTTACTTCTATGCGCCTGATCTTATCTTTACAGAATTTTTAAAGGTTTGCTCATAGAGGTATCAACCCTCGAAATATTCTATTTGGCAAACAAGATCAGCGACTGTTGGCAAGGGAAATTGGATCTATCGCGATACTCGCAAGGCAGACCGGTCAGTACATCCAACGCGACTCTCGAGAGGAAAAGAGACTATGCGCGCAGCATTATAGCTGTCTCTGCAGTGCTTTGAACAGCACCACTTTCTAGAATGAGCCACTTGAAAGCATGAACCACGTGGAATCGTTGAGGTAGATACGGGGCAATTTCAAAAAGGAGGAAAAGCATCCCGTTCGTTGTGTATTGGAGTGGCCGCCATTACTATCTCCTGGTGGCACCCAAAGGTCAAATGCATAGTAGCGGCTGTATGTAGCTCACATCACTGCATACGACGTTGATTGCTTCATGGGGAGAGCAAACAGGGTGCTAGTTACATTAACTATGTTAGCGGTCGTTAAAAGTAATGTAGGTCGAAAAGCTCTCTCCATAGATAGGATCACAAGATATAGCGACAATGCCTGGAGACACCGTCAATTATACTGCGACACTCCATATCACTTGCTGAAGCCTCAGTAAATTGGTAGGCTAAGATAAATACCAATGGAAGACTGGCATGAAATAGTTCTGAATGAGAATGGCCTCCCCCTCTATGCTCTGTGGTTGCTAGTTGCGTACATGTGTGCACAGCCTTGTCGAGATCTATTTGGAAATTCAATGCTCTATCGAATACCCTGCACGGCTTGCCCCCTAATCGTTTTATTTACTACGGGATCTATGTACTGCTGCCAATCAACGTCTACCATTTCGCGAGCTGTCGGTCTTCACGCTGCATATGCCTGCATGGACAAGACATCTATACGAGCAGCCCGAACGTCGTATGTCTATGCGTAATGATTGATGCACCTATTTCAGAAGCAAAGCCCTGAGTCCTCACTCGCAGGCCACAGTTACCGCCAACATTTATCCTAGCATAGGTCCAAAATTAGATATACGAAACTGTGAAACGGGTGAAAACTGCCCAGCCTTGAAGCGCATATCTCTTTCCTGCTAATCCGTATATTTAAATAACCCCTATATCCCAAGACCTGTTCCTTTCAAATATCCCCTGTTTCTTTTGGTTTTTCAAACACTGTGCCTGTCCATAGATCGTTAGAGATACGGACGACCTCCACCTCCCGCTATAAAAAGAAAACAACAAGATTTGAAGTTGGTATATCCAAGATGGGTTGGCCATTCAGTCGCCGCTCCAAATTAAAGAAACAACTCGCTGCCGAGTCCCGTCAGAACGAGGCTGAACGAGAGCTTTATCGGGGGCCTCAGCAAGCCCCGTCCGAACGATACGATCAAAACACTACCAATATCGAAAAGCCCTATACGAACATCATCAACTTTGACAAAGATTGCAAGAATGGAACGGGCGCCATCGCCATTGACTTCGAACGAGATCTGAACATTATTGTCAGGTTCAATGAACACAGGAACGAGCGCCAGCCATCGCACCGCATCTACAGGACCACCGAGCACAACCGCCTCCATGAGATTGGTGTTTTGTGGGAAAGGACAAGCTTACGAGGGGTAGCTTATTATGGCGTGGATATGCAGGTGTTCAATGATAGCTTCAAGGGGTATCTCTGGCCCGATAATGGTAGCAGGACTGTCTGGAAGATTATACGGAGCTAGAAGAGGCTGCGTGAGAGTGACCAATCTATACCAAGCGGTTATGTTGAGATGGTGGCAGCGACGCGGTTGTGGTTGATGGCACAAACATAGGACTATTATAGCTCTGTTAGCACTCGGCAAGGGGCATTTCCTCCTCTCTTTTCTTAGTTGTGCCTTGAACATATTTATTATTATTTTTTTTATCTCGAAACAAAGAACGCTTATCTATCATACATACCTGGGCACTTTTTGAGTGACAGGGAACATCACTCCGCTGACAGGGTTGATTTCAACGCCCAAGAACGAAAAGGGGAGGGACAGTATTCAAGTGCAAGCCTCCTCAGAGCCAGACGTCACTGATATCTAGTGAGAAAGCGAGAGGTGTTTGGATGGGTATCCGAGTTTTGAATGCAAAAAAGTACTAGGGGTAAAGGATATCTTTTAAGAGAGTACAAGCGAATGGAAACAAAGTAATATGAACAAGAAGAAAAGTAAAGCGGGTGGTGGGATAGGGATATCTAGTAGAAAACCGGGTTGGCAATGTGGGGGTTATGGATGGGGTGTCGTACGTTGTCGTTATGAAATTTTATAGGAAATTCCAGAGGGTGTGGTGTAGAGTAGTGATATCGAGGCAGACCGGGGTTATTGTGTCGGAGTAGGTAATGAATGTAGCTTCATTTAACCCTTAGCACTCCAAAGACGTCATCTTCGTCCTTCTTCCCCTGATCAAGGTTCAAAGCAGGTCGGGTTTTCTTCCCTTTCCTCGTGGTCATCACAACCTCACCCCAGTGTTTGGGGACGGCAGCTAAGTTTACGTTATGCGGATAATCGGGGTTTCGGCATGACATGTATCTCATTCCTGCGAATTCGCCCGGAGTAGGTGACGACGACTGACGAGAAGACTGGGATCCGCGCGATTCCCTTGGAGGGGATTGCGTCGAGTTGTATGGGTCTGATTTAAAAGTTGCTTGAGTGATGGTTGCTTCTGAGCTTGGGATGCGGGACGCCTGAGCGCTACTTTGGGCAGAGGGCACGAATGGCTGTGATTGAACGGCCCAGATATTGACGACGGAACTGGATTATGCGATTGTTAGCTGTATCCATCCATCTCTGGTATCATCTCGGGTATCATCTCGGCTCTTCGGTGGCTGTTGACTTACTCAGACGCTCGTTGGCAGATCGCTTCAAGAGCCTCTCTCTCGCGTTTCAACGTCTCGAGTTCCGGCCCTGGAGGCGGTCCTTGGACTGTTCCGTAATTGAACCCGGACTGGTATATGTCCTCGTCCAACAAACGAGAGGACTCGGACTGTGGATAATGCGATAGACAGTCAGTACCATGCGCCAGTTCACAGTTCACCGCCACCAGGAATAGAGCGTACCTCGGTCCTCTCCTGCCCGCGCAGACACGACACGCAGACACCCATGGATAACGTATAATGGCGGAAGACTGGATAAAAAGAGTGGTATAGTCGATCTGCGCCACGGCAGCAGTTCGCGATAGACAGCTAGGTAGGGTGCGAGATCAAGAGCAGCAGAAGCCGGGCAACAGGCCAGACGAGTAGCCCATTGAGTGGCTTAAGAAAACAAGCATCTGGTGGTGGAGGGGCAGCAGGATGGTTTGTCTACAGTATCACTCCATGTCTGTTCGTCTTGTCCTGCCTTTTGTTTTTCTTCTTCTTCCTTGCCCGACGCAAGATGAGCTGGCAAAGGGCCGGCGGTTGCTGACTAACCACTACCACCACACTCAGGATTTCGCAGGTTGGTATGGCCTTGCACAGCTGCGACAACAAAACAATTCAAGGCGGCTACCAGGCCAATGTTTGCCTGTCTGAGTACGGTGAAGCTGTTTGCATAGATTTGATATCCCTGGTGTCAAGGAGAAGAGAGCATATACAGCAGCCATGTTCGCGTTGCCGAGTGCCAAACGGTAGGTCTGTCGCACAGCTTGCAAGGCGTCTTGCATACAATTCAGAGTCACTAATAAACAGTATAGGGTCTGTCGCGAGGACTTGAAATCCCCAGAGTCGTCTCGTGCCTCGTCCCCGGAGAGCGCAGCGGCTACATACGCTGCGACAGCGTTGGAGAGGGTGTTCGCATCGTTCGAAACGTTCAAAACTTCAACTGCTACTGAGCCAACCACTTCGACGGACCAAGATAACCTGGCGGAGGATCACCATGATGATGAAGAGGAAGAACAAGAGTTTGAATTCCGGCTTTTCAGCTCCGTGCCTGCTCAAGAGAAACGACCTGGACAAACCAAAACGAAGCCCGACGATGCTACCGGCACGGGTAGCCTGGGTGGTGTTCAGAAATTGAAGATACGGCTACGGTCTCCTTCGCCAGTAACCGGTCCGCGAGGCGATGGAGGCTTCATAGTTCCCTTTCGAGGCTGGGACTACTATTTTTCCAACCCGGAGCTGGTCATGCGGGCTGTTGGTGATACCACATCGCAAAAGGAAAAACAGAGTAGCGAGCTGGATAGACAATTAGAGATGCTGAAGGAAACGTTTCAAGATGCGGCAATGGACGGAAACACCATTCTTGCCCGTGCAGTTTCAGGGACATGGGTAAGCATCAACGTTCACACTTCTGTATATCAATTGACTGACACGACCTAGCCTGGCTGCCATCTCCCATGGCGAGTAGTGCATCTCCCAGCACCCAGAGTAAAATCGACATCAAACAATACAGCGTCCACGTCAAAGTCTAAAACGCCCTTATCCAAGAGGAAGAAACCAGGGAAGAAGCGGCGAATAGCTTTGCGAAAGAATGTGACGAGTAAACAGGCAGCCGAAGAAGCAGAGAAAGAAAAGAGAAATCGAAAGAACCGAGAAAGGAAGATCAAGCGGAGACAAAAGGAGAGAGATAAGAAGGCTGCGGCGAGGGCGGCGGCAGGCGATGCTGCTTCTACAGCTGATGCCGATGAGTCGTCATGAACTGTATAAACTAGATGCAGGTAATGTATGCTAGCTGTCAATGCGATGCTGATCACCGCCGTCTTAACGGGGCTTATGCAAGGTTACATTGCCATGAACACAGTATATTAATTATATAAACTAAACAAGCAAAGCAAGCCGAACAATCACACCTCGCTGATATATCAACTATACTAAACATGGCAGAAACCAACATATACGTCATATTAACGATTAAAAATAAATAAGGAAAAGAAAAATGGAGACAAGAAAAAAAAAGCACAGGGGTATCCCAAAACAAGTAAAATCCAACCCATTGCTTTGGCCGATTCCGATTTTCAAGGCCTTCATAACCCCCCCCCCTTTCATGACGATTGAAGAGAAGACATATCCCTGGGGCCCCATAGCCCTCTAAGGCATGGCCAAACTAGGCTATATTCGGAAAAAATGCATCAATGTTCACCAAAGGAATGCGATCTTTTACTTCGCGGCAGCTGGAGCTTCGGTGGTAGCTGCAGCGGCTTCAGCAGCAGGGGCGGCGGTCTCAACTGGTTTGGCCACTTCTGGGGCCTCGACCGGCTTGGTCTCTGAGACGGGGGCCGGGGCTGGGACTGGCTCAGCGAGCTTGGTCGCGTCAGTGGTAGCCTCAGTAGCAGGGGTAGGCTCAGCGGGCTTCTGAGCCTCGGGAGCTGGTGCGGTGGTGGTTGAGTCTGGTACGGCTGGTGTCTCTACAGACTTCTTCTCGCCAGTCACTGGTGGCTCAGGGAGGGCCTTGTCCTTGTTTCCTATCTGCGTGTTAGCACGCATAACCAGATAGACGCGCATGTATACATATATGTTTACATATATACTGGCATTGGCGCGTGTAGTTCAAGACTCAAAACATACCATCTTCAGTTGTCGAGGGCTCTTGGGTGCCTTCTGACTCTGGGACAGGCTTAGTTTCAGGGGTTGGCTGAACTGCGGTCGAAGGCTCGGGGGCCTTGGTGACCTCTGGAGCTGGAGTCTCCTGAGCAGCAGTTCCCTCGGTGGGAGCTGGAACTGGAGCTGCGCCGGGAGCAGGTGGCGCTGGGGTCTCCGTCTCCTTGTCCTCGGGCACGGTGGTGGTAGGAGCAGTAGTCTCTGGGGCAGGTTTCCCAGCGTTCTTGTTCTTCAGGCGGACAAGGAAGTTCTTGAAGCCTCGCTTCAGCTGGTCAATCGCATCTGGGGCTGTGGGGAGTTAGCCTTGTACTCTCGCAATCTCCTCAGGCCTCCGTCTGTCCACGCATCGTGCTGGAGATACTTACGAACACCTGGCATCTTGAAACGAGCTGTCGGTTTAAGGGGCTGGAGTAGATAGATCTAGGGGGGCTGGCGAGACGGTGGGAACGCGGTCACAACTAAACGGTAAACCCTCTGTGGCAGAGATGCTGTATGTCGACGTGTGATCAGCGTGTTGGGCGTGTGCAAAGTGTGCTGGAGGCGCGAGTCTCTGGTCTGCGAGTGAAGGGAGGTCGCGAAGCTCCCAGGTTGATCGTATTTCACCACGGACCGGCGGGTGGAGAAGGCGCGGCAAGATGAAACGCCGATGTGCACAGACCATGACCTGCCACGTGATGTCACTTTCTCCCTCTCCTTCTTTTTCTCCCTTCTTATGTCTTCTTCTCTTCTCTTCATGGCAGACAAGGATATCCCTGTGGCGACCATTGGCTAGATTGAGCGACGTTGCTCTGTTTCAGCCTGCAATAGGCTGCTGTCACTCGTGGACTCTGACAGCCCATGCAGAGCACCTGCATCTTTCAGCCAATGGTACAGGCTCTACCATCCAAGTACTCCATAGAGAGCTGTATGATGCGGTACCCCTGCTGCAAGGTCTAGACAGAACATCTAGTTACTAAATATTGTCTCCGTCTTTGTTTGATAATATTGGCAACTGCTTATCTGATTGCTGAGAGCACATCGACGACCGCGCACCACGCCTGTAGTCTCTCTCGAAGCCGGGTATCTTGGTATATCGAGAACATGTCGTTCCCAAACTCACTGGTAGACATTCTCAGACGCCATGCCTCCCTCCATTGCTTCTCGGATGGCTGCCTCCACTTCGCTAAATGAGATGATGATGGCTGGATAGTTGTAATACAGCTACCCAGCTTAAGAAAGAACGGCGTGATCACCTGGGATGACTCTAACAACTAGAAGAAATAAACAGGTCTCCTCACACTCTCCCTGAATAACCACTCTCGCAGGTTTCCCAGTCGAGGTCGTCGTGTATTGCTGTGGTCCTTGAATAACACTGTCTTGGGAATATTTATATATTTTCTACGCAGCTGAATATAGTTTACGACCATTTTCAGACTGAATTTTGGTCGCGTGATATCATCACAAGAGTGACCATCCCTGGCAACGCCTATGTGCCGCATAGCCCGTCAGGAATCGTTTATAACTTCGGTATACCGGCTAAATACTGCTCTCTTTGAGTTATATTACGAGCTCCCTGCCCATACGAAACGGCGTGCGAAATACCCCGATAACCGATGGGCTCATAGAGGGATAACCACGTGATATCTTTTGCCTTAAGTTGCCTGCCAAGACATTTATATGGCCCCAACGCTCACCTTATTTAAAGACCACGAGTTCTCATTGGTTAAATAATCCAAGGCTTAAAAAATTCGGCCTCTGACTGGTCCATAAAAGTGGGCTACGGGAATATCCCGTGCCAAGACTGCGGGTCCCACGGCCGTCAGCAGGTTCCGACCACCGACTGCCCAGTTTCGTCCCATGTTGCTTTCCTCTGCATTATCAAGGCCTCCTCGTTTAGGGCGAACAGTCCTAGAATTGCTCGAAGAAGGACGTCCTTCGCTAATGAACAAGAAGTACAGGCGGCAGCTAAGATGCAATACGCAAGATAAGCCTCACTCCAGCTCCTACGCTCTAACTCCGATGGGCCAAGGAGGCTCCGCGTCGTCAATATAATCTCCCATCAAGCCAACCGAAGGCTACTTTACACATGTTCAGGTCCATAAAATTGCGGAGTATATGAGCCCGCAGGCTTGCTGTCCAGGGACCTATTGGTCTGAAATATTGTGCTTAGAGAGAGGGCTATAGTTTGATTAGTCGCCTGCCTCTACACATACGGACAGAAATAGACATTTGAAACGCATCTGGTGGGATTATTGAGATAATGTCTTCCCTGGAGCGTTTCTTAAGAAGTTTCGAGGACCACAACTCGAATCACTGCAATCGCTAACCTATAATCCTCCTTTTACGTAAGGAGAAAACGGAACGGAGGGTATGAGCGGAGGGAGATTTGGCCGGCCTTTGAAAACTCCCGGCACCTATCGGATCCACGGAGACTCTACTATACAGGCCAAGGTTTGGTTTCATTCTATATCGCGTTCCGATAGTTGATACTGTCATCTGGTCTGATCTGAATAGGTGGAGTATTTTCAACCATAGTGGGGCAACGGGAAGTTATAAAACAAAGCCCTCTCCCACCTCAATCAGTCCCTTCACATCAATCCTTCCATAGTATCGATATACATGTATACAGCCCCCCTTTTTCAAAGACAACTTCAACACTACACTACACTTCCGATTTCATACCAATAGACATCCAACTATGGAGCGCGTCTACCTCATCACCCACCCCCGCTCCGCCTCGAACCTCCTTGTCCAGATTTTGGGCCTGGAAGACCAGCCAAAGGTGAAGGCCCGTCCACACGCTGGCTACTACTTCCTAGATACCCTCTACCTCCTCCTCGACAAGGGTCTTCGATCTAAGCATGTCGACGAATGGACTGATGAAGAGAGAGTCGAGTCCAGAGCCGCTTTTCAAAAGGGGTTCGATGATATGATGAAAGATGTCAACGAATCCAAGGCTGCGGGCAGAATTTCTGTTGTTAAGGAGCACGCGAATCTTCTACTTGACCCAGGCACCCAAACCAAATTTTTGCACAAGACCGATGATATTAAAACGGAACCGATGAGCATCGACGTTCCCCAAGGATCCAAGGCTGTCCGTACTCCAGGAAACCACACCATCTTCTCCGATGAGTTCCTCCTCACCTGGAAACCAGTCTTCCTCATCCGTCACCCAGCTCTCATGTTCCCATCATTCTACCGATGCATGGATGACTTCAGAAAGATGTCAAAGGAAGATATCAATACTGCTGGCTCGCTTGAGGTCAACAAGCCTGACTTGCCAATCTACATGAGTCTCCACAACATCCGTTCCATGTATGACTGGTACAGCGAGCAGCTTAACAAGGCCGAATCATCCTCTGCTACCCAGACCTGGCCCATTGTCGTTGATGCTGACGATGTCATGGCCGACGAGACCGTGGTTACCAAGTTGGCTGACATTATCGGGCTGGACCGTGCTAGCCTCAAGTTCACCTGGAAGCCAGTCAGCGAAGAGGACAAGGCAAAGAAGTACAACCCCATGGAGCAGCGCATGTTGTCCTCTCTCAACGCCTCCAACGGTATCATGAAGGATAAGCTTGCCGCTAACATCGACATCGAAGCCGAAGTTCCCAAGTGGAAGGCCGAGTTCGGTGAAATCGATGGAGCCAAGATGTACAAATGGGTCACCGATGCCATGCCAGACTACGAGTTCTTGAAGGCCCGCCGACTTACCGCATAGACGTGTTGATCACCAGCGGTTATTATTCAATTTTTTTTCTTTTCGCCTAAAAACGCATTTGCTTTATCGCGTCCTTCCTTTGTTGCATTTTTGAAAAACCCCTAGAAAAAGAGCTCTCCATGATTGATCGAATTGGTTAAGAAGTGATGAATTAGACCTAGCTGTTTGAACTTTTAATAGAAATAATAATTACGAACTTGCCTAAGAATACTCGATCTGAGCGTACTATGAACACGTAGACTAGGCAGTACCTGTCATGTTCCTCCCCCAGTTATACCTTGTTCATTCTAATTCTCCGTTCACATTCTGATCCTATTTTCCACTTCCTCAACCTTGTTGGTGGCTGAGCTCCGAGCCTTGGAGTTGTTGTAGACGAGGCAGAATCATATCTCTGCTGTTAGTACCTGGTCCAATTTTATTTCGAGAAATTACGCAGCCTTGGGGTCCAAATATCCAGCTCCCGTATTCCCTACAATAAATCCGTTGGTGATCCAAAGTCCCAGAGTTAAGGGAATCCTGGATGGATGGTATATGCAACGGTAGAACCTGATCGATATATCCATGTACGTAAAGTTCCTTTATTCCAACAGCTGATGCAGGTCATGTAGTTGAAGATCCGCAGGGATCTCGACAAGGGGCCTTTCCAGGGCTCAAATTATAAATACGGGTTAGGGACAGCATGAAAGTTCCCTAGAGCACGAAGCATAGAAACTCTGGGCTCGCCGCCATGTTTGAGATCCTTGACAAGATTGGTCCGTTTAACAACCTATTTATTTTTGCCATCGGCTATGTTATCCTATTAGGATTCGTCCATTTACTTCAGCTCATGAAGCCAGACGCCCCCATGGACTCTCACGACGAAGATCGAAATACAGCGCAGGTGAGGCCTAATGTAAGGCCATGATGTAGAACTTCGCGCCTCTAGCGTAGGCTAATGGAAAGTTTAGGGGTCTATATCTACATAAACATACGTTGATCGAGCTAAAAATGCTATAACCTCACGAACACGTTTACATTTCACCAAGAGCTGCACCATTATCATCGCAAGCGCAGGACAAAGTGAGCATGTGATTTAGGGTTGTTTGAGCAAAGTTGAAGCCCATTGGAGATTGGTGGGAACCTTTTTACTACATCACTATGTACCAACTATAACTATATCCTCTGTTTAGCTCTTTAACTTATAAGGCTGGGGGCATCCGAAGTGAGGAGGAGATATATCTTTTGTTCGCCTACATTACCCTTTACCCACTACCTAAAATCCATATCTTCTCCGCCTATATCAAATCTAGAAGCCTAATAATGGAACCTATACTTGCTTTTAGTAGTTGCGGTGGGTCGATCATAAGGCTATCAAGCATTGTCAGATAAAGGAGATACCCCTGACACAACGGCTCCTAATATGTTGCCGCGTTTAGTCGTGAACTAGCAAAAGACTACGGCCCACCTGGCATCAGTTAGTATACGCTTCATCGGGTAATCCACTACGGTACGGAGTAGGAGGTAAAGTCGACAAGAAGAAGTACTAAGGTGGGGAAGAGTTAGAGTTAGATTAATGAATTAAATTGTAATGAAAGAGTCTATCTAGCATTATTAGACATTCAGTGATTATTAAAGGATTGACATTATCCCGCAGATTTCCATCTTCCATCGCCAAAAGGTAAAACATTTCATAAGGAACGTTCATCAGTTTCATGTCTTGATTCAGTGGAATCCGCAGTCGGCTGGAGTAGCGGCTTGGAAGGTGACGTCGATTCTTCCGAGATGTTCGGCTTGGTTGTTGGTCAAGGCATTCATGCCAGCCTTAGCGATGTTGAAGCCGGTTGCCCTGTCGATCGAAGTAACAAAGATAGACTTGTTGAGTACGGGCCAGGTGACCTTGAAGCACTTTCCGCAGTTTGCGCTGTTGTATCCCTCGACGGCAAAGGATCCGCCAATGTTGGGGAAGTTGGGGAGAGATCCGGCAGTGGTGAAGCCCCTGGTGAGGAGGCCGTGGGTGCCATCAGAACAGGCGACTTGGGCGAGGCTTAGGCCGGCGTCATCGTATTTTGGGTCGTAGCTGAGGGTGACGGTGCCTGTGATGGCAGCAGCAGAGGAAAGGGAGACCATGAGGCCGAGGGTAGCTGGGATAGTGAACTTCATTTTGGCGGGTAGGTTAGATTGATGCTTGTATTGTAAAGCAAGTGTTGTTATTGTCGTTGTTGGTATTTGAAGTATTGAAGTATGTATGTGGTTCTTGTTCTTGAGCTGTGTTGAATGATGAGAAAAAAGCTGGACATATGGTTACCTACGTTGAGTTTATATAGCTTTCCCCAAAGGTCAATTGCTTCTTTGAAGGTTCACACGACCCTTCAAAGTTCACACAGACCTTGAAGGTGAAAGTTGGTCCGCGAGGGATCAGGCTGGAAGCCACAGCCAACGCCGCCATGCCTCGCAACTTTTGAGAGCCATCATGCACAAAGAGTCCAGCCTGTCAGTGCCGGACGCAGTTCGGTGCGGGGCAGCAACGGACAGCGACATGTATCGTTTGAAACCTTTGCAATCAGGAAGCATGTGCGGAGTATACTGCGTGCCTCAGGGATCCTTGTGAGACATCGTTGCATACATGGTATGCTGTCATCAGTGGGAGAAACCGGCGGAAAGCAGCAAGCAGCGCTGGGATGCATGCCTGCCAGCTTACTCGAAGGAAGAGACATCTATCCACCAAACCGCAGTAGGTAGCAGTGCTCTCTATCCGAGGTAGCATTGTACCATCAGCGGGGTGATTCGGATCGTGTTGTGCAACTCTGGGAACATGCAGCAAGCTCCAGGTCCAGTGACACGGTAGCTGCGGGATATCGACATGGAGGAGCTTGAGCTCTCGTGTGATACGTCGGTTCATGGATCGACATCGTCCTCCTGCTCTATATAAAGCAATCATGCTGGCCAATGTCTCACTCCAGACCCATTCTGCGACCGGCTGTCGGCCGTCGTCGTTCCGCTGCGCCTACGCCATGGTGCATATATCAGAGTCAACAGGTTGAAGGAACTCCCAAGCCGATCCTGAAGCTGAAGCCGTGGAGTCGAAGAAATATTGCTCTCTTCCATATTGCAGGATGTTGTTTTCCATGCTGGAGAAAACCTTTAAAAAAAGCTGCAGCGTCGATCCCGCCAGTCACGTGGATGCAGGTCATGTGGTCGCTTGCTCGGACCTTCGGAGGCCGAACTCCGGCTTACATAAGCTTATTCTGATATCAAAATCGACCTCGATCCATGTTGAAGCTACAGAAGATACAGAAGATACAGCACTCCGTGAGTTCCGCCGGATAGATTGCTTGCTGTTGCCCGGCAGTGATATGCGAGAGGATGTGGACACGGCTGCTCACTTAATTCTCGGCGTTCGAGAATGTGTACGGAGTAGAGGTCGGACGAAGCGATCACAGACTCGTACAGTCCCACCGCTCAAAATGCCACGATCTAGCTTTGTTGCACGCAGTTTGCCTGTTTAATAAAGAGTAGATAAGGGTATGCTGACTGAGGGGGGCACATTTCTATGCATAGTTGCACCATTACCCTGTAGCCGAGCTGCCGAGGCCGTCGATATATAGCCCCTATTTCGAATGATTAGAGAATGGCCTTTCAGAAGATACTCCGTAACTCTTGCTGATAGAGCAATGAGAAACTCACCCTGGTGGCTGAGAACGATGGCTGAGAGCGATGGCTGGCTGGTTGACTGTAAATGAAAACTTTTAATGCGCTGCCTGTCTATACGGAACTCCCCCGTAACATGCTGCAACCCCACACGGTTTTACGGGCGAGAGAGTCAGAGAACGCAGAAGACACGACCGCTGCAGGAAGCAGCAGGTATGGACATATAATCCTTCTCCGAGGGACATCTGTGTATGAGGGCTGCGTGAAGCGAAGAACATTCCGCCGTGACAGCTGTGAGTGACTATCAGAATGGCCTCTGGGGTTCTGGATACCACGCATCCTCCGCCGTCAGAAACGTCCCCGTTGCTGGGTGATAGCTCTCGGGCAGAGGATGGTCCTTCAGATGAAGGAGAATCAGGCAACGCAGGCCTGCCGTTGGTGGAGGAGGTGGCCTTTGGCAAGCTTTTGACCATCCTGATGAGCACCTGGCTGGGGGTGTTTTTTGCAGCTCTCGGTATGTATCTTTCTTCTTCTTCTCTGCGAGGGCAAAGGTGGACTCTAGGTTGACGGATATATCTTCTTACCATGTAGATGGCACGATTGTTGCTACGATTTCCGCGCCGATATCATCCTCGTTCAACTCCCTATCGCTCATCTCATGGCTCGCCACGGCGTACCTTATCTCGAGCTCTGCCTGTCAGCCCATCAGCGGCAAGCTGACGGATATATTCTCCCGTCGTACCGGGCTGGTCGTCTCCAACATCCTCTTTGGAGTCGGTAACCTGATTTGCGGCCTTGCCACGAGAGAATGGGTCATGATCGTTGGGCGTACGATTGCCGGTATGGGCGGAGGTGGACTCACGGCCATATCAACGTTCATCACCTCTGACCTGGTCCCGCTACGCAAGAGAGGTATCTGGCAGGGCGTTGGCAACATCTGCTTTGGAGTCGGAAGCGGTCTCGGTGGCATATTTGGCGGCTACGTGAATGATAACTGGGGATGGCGATGGGCATTCCTCATCCAGGTACCCTTTATCGTCGTCTCTGCTATTCTTGTCTGGATCTACGTCGATATACCCGTCAGAGTCACGGATACGTCTCGGTGGAAGAGGATCGATTTCCTTGGTGCCGGAACTCTGGTCTGCGCTCTGGTTCTGTTTCTTCTTGGGCTCAATTCTGGCGGCAACCAAGTGCCTTGGACTCATCCCTTGGTCCTCACCACGATTCCGTTATCGGTGGTGCTTCTGGCGGCATTCATCTATATCGAGGACAAAGTTGCTCCAGAACCGATTATCCCGGTCCGTCTGCTCATGGACCGCACCGTGTTGTCGTGCTGCTTGACCAATTGGTTTATCACCATGGCTGTCTTCGCCCTCTTCATCTATATACCACTCTTCCTACAGGTGCAGGGTTACTCAGCGACCTTAGCCGGGACTCGGCTCGTTTCACAGGCTCTCGGTACTTCCATAGGCTCGCTGGGCTCGGGATACCTGATGCGCATGACCGGGCGTTACCTATACTTCAACTACGGCTCTGTCACCTTTATCGCCATCGGCACAGCGCTGATATGCACTCTCAACCTCGCAACACCAGCCATGCCGCCCTTCCTCTACCTGTTCATCTCGGGCTTAGGATACGGCGGTATGCTCACCGCCACCCTAGTGGCCATCATCGCGGCCGTGGACCATGAACACCAAGCAGTGGTTACGTCTGCGTCTTATGCGTTCCGTAGCACTGGAAGCTCGATCGGTATATCCGTTGCCTCAGCTGTATTCCAGAACCTCCTCAGGTCTGGCCTCTGGTCCCGTCTCGGACACCTGGGTGACGCGGAAAAAATCATCCGCAAGATTACAGAACGCTTTGAGGAGATCAGCCATCTTCCTCCGGGGATAGCAGCAATCGTTCGTGACTGCTACATGGGCGCTCTCCGAGCGGTATTCCTGACCACCTTGGGGCTCGCTGCCTTGGGTGTGTTGGCAAGTTTGGCGATGAAGGAGCATAAGCTACATATGAATCTGGCGCGCAAGGACTGAGCAAGGCATAGAACATGTACTCCGTACTCTGTAGATAGCGCAAATGATCTTGTCTATTCTCTATCTATGTCTATATTCTCAAATTTTGATAGATGTTGGTGGCGGCCGAACCGAATATAATCCACCAAATAAACTTCCCGTAAACCAGCTCCATAAGTATTCACTTCTCGCTTGGTCCGATTTTCCATCAAAAGCAGCTCAAGTTCTCTTTGCGTGCATCATACAACCAGGGCCGTGTTATCAAAAAAAAATCAAAGGCCGAAATTTGGCGCAAAGGTATGTGACGCCAGGCTCAACCAGGTTGCTTTATCTTGCGGTCGATCTCAGCTGTGACGGTGGCTTTCTGTCAGGCCAAGTCCAAAGAGCTTCCCCGACAACAGACTCCTCCATATAAAAGAGGCAAGCTGCTTCTCTGTATTCTGCATAGGTATTAATATTGTTTGCTATATCCTAGGTTATCACCTCACAACGACCATCCTCCGCTCGATCGAAGACGCCGTCGCTCTGTCGCCTCCGCTCTCTTGGAATGCGACTTGGGCGTACATGCATGGCCTTGCAGAGGACTTGAAGAGATGAGAGAGCTCCCCAGCCGCAAGGGCGAAGAATTATATCACCACGTCGTGCTTATCTGCAGCTTTAGGCGATCATTTTGAATTTAAACGGCCAATAATAGCGATTTGGGCTGGAAACCCGGCGCCCATCTTTTGGATACATCGCCAGCTCTACCGATGCCCATGCAAATGGCGGTCGGGATAAAACAACTACTGAGTGGAGAACGCCTGGATCCAAACGCTACGTCAAAATTCGAAATCATGAGTCCTGCGCATATCAATGCCGGACCTCGAGATGCAAATCCGACAACTACCGGCGGCCCCGATAGCGATGAATGCGCAAACAATATACGGCTTGACGAGGGTATAATGGACAGGAGTAACGGTGCACCACGGCTCAGGCAGGCCGGTCCACGGTCCAAGCGGGTTCTCCTGTCAACCAGCACACCGTTTGCGGATACGATCGTTCGCTCACTCTACCGAGACCCCGACGTCGAGCTCCGGTTAATAGTACCGCAAGGGTTGGAGGTTGGGCAAAATGAATTAGAAAACGTCAGATATTATGAAGATGCACCACAACGGGTTACGGACACGACTAGCCAGCCTTTGAGGGGACAGTTCAATATGACGGCTGCTAATCTTGCAGACTGGGCAGATTTGTTGATCATAAGCCCCATGGATGCTGGAACACTTGGGTCAATGGTTTGTGGACTGACTACGAGCCTTACGTTGACTCTGCTGCGAGGCTGGGATGTTTCTAAGTCTGTTATTCTTGTTCCAGGGATGACTGCCCGCCAGTGGGTCGCCCCTATCACTAGGAGGCATCTTGACGATATACAAGTGTTCTGGCCGTGGGTAAAGGTAATTCCTCCCATTCTTTCTAAGTTTGAAGCCCCTGATCGGCTTGTAGAGTTGCCCTGGGACGGGCGAGAATCATTCTACGACGAAATCAGAAAAGGCCTGGGGTGGTCTGTCAAGATAGATGGCGAAGGTATCCCAATTGTCGGACAGTCGAGTTTGCGAGAGACCGAAACCGAAAGGGCGCAGAACGGGTTGGATGGAAGCCCCCAATCCGCCAGCCTTCAATCAGGCCAAAGCTTTTCCTCGCAGACTACAGTTTCGCATCCCACTTCTACCGAACCAGCCCTCCCGTCCGAATTATTATCGATGATCTTTGAAGCCCTTGGTGACTGGGAGACCGCTGCTGCAGTGGGTGTGTACACCCGAATACCAATTCCCGAACAGTGGAAACCCCTAATACCCCGTTCATATACCTCGCAATGTACACTTGAATATGCAATCCTAAAACGGCCGTTCTCCGAAATCGAACAATACCTCTCCTCAGCTTCGCCGTGGAAACCGCTATCAATGCTATCTGCGCATCTTATTCTCAAATTCTCCCGCATAGACATTTTAGATTTCATCATCACATCCAGATCAGATATTTTCTGGTCTACACCGCGACTCCTAAACCTCCCATTCCGCGCTTCAGCTATATATGGCAACACAGCTCTCCTCGATTGGTGGCTTCATTGCACCGAGCTACCGAAGAAAGATTATTTAACAGATGCGATGGACTCTGCTTCACGTGCTGGATTTATCCATGTTCTTGAATGGTGGCGAAAATCTGGCTTACCGCTCCTATATACAGAACGCGCCCTAGAGTCAGCTTCAGCAGAAGGCCACATAGCCGTCCTATCCTGGTGGAGGAATGCCTCTGAATGCTCTCCGGAGCACGCCCTACCACTCAAAATCGGCAAATCTGTCCTCCTTGCGGCCCAGTCTGGGAGGACGAATTCAATAGCCTGGTGGGATCAATCGGGCATACCATACTCGTATACCGAATCTGTGGCTCGCATCGCCAGTACGCATGGTCACGTTCCTGTTTTGGAACTTTGGTATAAATTGAAAGGCTCCAAGATGATCTTTGATAACCAGGTTCTGGTCGGTGCTACGAAGAACGGGCATGTGGATGTTCTTGAATGGTGGCGAAGAAGCGGATTACACGTCGAATTTAAGACGTGTGATATAGAAGAGGCACTGGAAGACGCAATATCTGGCACTGAAGAGCGGGTACGCCGGTGGTGGGAGAGAAATGGTTTAAATTTGGGCGTTGGGACGAGTGAGTGGATGAAGGTTAAGGTCCTTTAAATTGATATATCCTCTTTCTCTTATTATTATTTTTCTAATCTATCAAGCGGAGAGACACTCCCTCCATCACTATTCTATATATGAGCATGTTGCATTAATATAGAGAAAATAAAACAGCTAATTAAATAACATTATTCATTCCTGCTAAAGGATTTCAGTATGGTAACCAAATGCGGACAGTTACATTGCCGCTTTTAGACGCTTTGTTTTCCACGTGGTTTGACAACACGCCGCTTTAAAACAACGCTTAACGCATTTAAACCTCAGCCACAACCTTAACCGAGTTATGCTTAATAGATCAATCAGGCAACCCTGGCTAAAGGATCTCGTTACCGATGTCTATGGCAGGCTATGTGTACCATGGAAGATTCTAGCTATTAAAAGGAGAAGAAATAAGAGCTACTGCAAATACTCGTTTTCAATGGGTCACAAGGGAAGTGGTATTGATGTTAAACACAATCTATTGGTATATGTATACAGTATAGACCAGTATAATGATGGTGGCATGGCCACAAATAAGAAGGGGGTAGCGGGTAGTAACTATTTACAATTGTCACGAAGTTCCAACTCTACTTCTCCCAAATATATACGAAGAAAAAGAACGAATAAAGAAGGTAGGCGCGTAAAGGTTGGCGCGTATCTTGGCCTGTCAATGGGGACGGGGCTCCAGAGCAAGTCCTCTATAGTAGGGCGCACCAATTTATTTGCCGCTGCCATTCTGGATGAGCTTGGAGGTGGTGTCCTGGCCGGGGTTCTTCACGGCATCGATGGACATCTCCTTGATGGTATCGCAGAGACCAGGGCCACCAGCCTTGCCCAATCCAATAAGGTAGGCAGCGAGACCGCAAACGTGAGGGGAGGCCATGGAGGTACCAGAGAGGACCTGGGAGCCGTTGCCGGGTTTGGCGGAAGTAATCTCGTTTCCAGGAGCATAGACATCGACTAGATGGGAAGCGTTAGCTTAGATACTATTTGAATGGAAGCGCCGGGTCGACTTACCGAGAGAGCCCCAGTTGGAGAAATCGGCCTTGGAATCATCCTCAGAAGAGGCAGCAACAGTACAGATAGATGGCTCAGAAGCAGGGGAAGAGGTTTTGGCATCGGCCTGTGAGTGCGTATTAGCTAGGCCCATTTGGGATATGTAAGGATTGATTTTTGACTCACATTCTCGTTACCAGCGGCAACAGCGAGGAAGATACCCGCATCGGCGATAGCCTTAGCAGCTGCGTTGGAGGCCTCAGAGAAAGGTCCACCAAGGGACATGTTCATAACAGCCTTGTTGGCAGCCTTCACAGTACCGTTGCCGCCCTGCTTGGCGTCGTTGGTAGCCCACTCCATACCCTTAATGACACCAGAGTTGGAGCCAGAGCCCTCACAGTCAAGGACCTTAACAGCAACGATCTTAGCCTTCTTAGCAAGACCGTAGGTAGTACCAGCAACAGTGCCAGAAACGTGGGTTCCATGGCCATTGCAGTCCTCATCTCTGTCATCAGCAAAGTTGTTGCCCCAGACAGCACGACCGGCGAATTCTCCGTGCTTGATATCGGTACCAGTATCGATGATGTAAGCAGTGGCACCCTCACCGGCGGTGTCGTCGTAATAGTAGGTGCTTCCGCCGGCCTCTTTAGAGCCAACGCGGGCAAGACCCCAAGAAGGAACATTGTCCTGCTGGGTGAGGGCGGAGATCTTGACAACAGTGTCACGCTCGATGAATTTGACCTACCCAGCCAGCGTCCGTTAGTCAACGTATTTTCGCTGTGGCGGGCTAAATATAGGCTAAATGCATCACTTACATCTTCGTGGTTGGAGATGTCCTTGATCATAGCCTCATCGAAGTGACCAGAGTAGCCCATAAAGCCAGTTCCGAACTTGTAGGTGTGCTTCATGCCACCCATGGGCTCAGCCTTAGCGCCACGGCGCATTGGGCGGCGGCGGTAGGTGCGGTCAACCCAAGCGGTGTGGGTGTCAAAGGCCTCGTGAGACAAGTTATCCTTCATAACAACAATATACTTGTCAGCGATGGTCTCGGCGCCAGGGCCGGCTTCCAGAATCTTGGCAGCATTGACAGTAGAGAACGCCGCCAGGGCGAGGGGGAGGGCCGTAGCAATGAAACCCATGGTTGATAATAAATATGTTGGTAACTGGGGATGGTCAAGAAGAAAAACTGTTGGCTGTTGATGAGGAGGAAAGAATCAGAAGTTCTGGCGGGAGACAGAGGCCTTGATATAGATGTGGGATGGCGGGCAAAAGCGAACCGCACTCCATCCCTAACGCAGTGTCGTCGTAATCCACTCCCCCCTCCCGTCAAAGATCAGGTATTTTTGCGTCATCTGGAGAATGCTCAGCTTGAAACACCCGCTACTATAGTAAAACGCTTCTCAAATGGTATAATTATAGTATCGCAACAGAATAGTTTGAAACCAAGGTATGTCAAAGGTCGATCTTCCATCGAAATGTAACTCTCGCTTACCGCGTAGAGCAAAGATTATCAAGAGAAGGCGGCCGGTGTCCGATGTCGATCGCTCTCAGGGCGTGGTGAGTGGAGATATACTGTATGTTATCGCGCAAGAGGAGAGTCAGACAGGAGTTGACCAATAGCAAAGTTAACTTTGCTCGGGGGTTCTCGAAGCAAACGCAGATCTGATTGCTTAATACGATAAACGGTGTTCAAAGATTGGCCCCCGCACTCCACGAGATATCAAGCAAGGGGCCATCGTGCGGAGAATTTAACTGAAGAATCCCAGACGACCCAGCATAAATCTTGGCGACAAGACATTCAGTAGGGCCAGGATCCCAGCAGCATTCTAGGAACAGGAACCCTAAATATCACAAGCTCAACCTTGGACTTTCGGCATCCTATCAAACTCAGGTTGAGTATATTCCCACTACACTGCCAAAAAGATGTGTAAATCTCATTGTGGCGTGCTGAATGGTGGCCTCAGTCTGCATTAAACTCGCTGCCAGCCAAAATGGAAGTGCAATGCGAAGATGTTGGCGATGGGGACATGTTGATACAGTGGAGAGAACCCACGCATTCTAACACGGCCTAGGGTTTCGAGAAGCTTTGGCGCTGAACCTTGATTGGAAGAGCCCTGGCCGCTGTAACCTTTGCTCGCTCGAATGGAACGGGGAGAATGGCATTTTAGGTCTAGCAAAGATATTAGTGCTCGGAACTTATATGATGATTCAACGGTGCGTATTCTTGCCGCCCCCTCAGACCTGGCTCTTTAGAACAACCCTGTCGCCATTGGGCCTTTTCCCCTTGCCGCCGGCTTCTAGAAGGGCGTGCGTGATTGGATATCTCGCCCACCTTTCAAGTCTCTAAGAGATAGGGCGTGCGGAGAGTCCTATCGTTCGCATCTCACACGACCGGAGATGACCGTGCAAGAAGATGACCAGACAGAGGTCCTACCGCCATGCCAGGATCATAACCAAGCTCCCGCACCACCGTTAAAGTAAATGCCTGCCTCGTGCGTCGTATATCCTAGCTCGGACTATATCCACGTTGCCCGCAGGGTGTTCATGATAGCTGATAGTCGACCTTGGGATGCATCGATCAGCAACGGTGGCAAGTTGAACTCCCTGCATTGCTCAAGGCAGATACGCATGACCATAAACTGGGGCCTCAGAAGGAAGGGATTGAGTGAGGGGATACAAGCATAATGCATCAAGCACATCATCTCAGCATACAGCCATGTACACTGTCGAGACGAGATGTAATTATCTGATATCAACAATCTCAAATGTGTAGAAAATTTTGAGGTCGACAGCCCTGATTACGTCATGATTACAGATCACGTGTTCTCACATCGTTGCAAAACATTTTCTCGCTTTCTTCGTCTCCGTATACAGAATGCAAAATGGGAAGAGATGACGACGCAATGGGTGGTAGTCATGATCACATTTCGTCAAGGACAGAGCTAAAACCATTCAGGCAATCGAGTCCAGAATGAGCTGGATGCAAAATGGAGAGCCAAGCTGCAAGTCGGGAGGTTGGTCTGCTTCGTACATGTCGATATACGAAGGTGACGATGCCAACAACTTCATACAAGCCGCGTCTGCCCTCTGCAGCTTCATTTCTTTTGTGCAGAGCATCCTGCTCAACGTGCGTGCAGCACACATCCACTTTTTACTTGTCAATGAAGGCGAACGAGGACGACTATTTGCAGTATCGCATGGCCCACTGGCTCTACTAATTATGGAGATTCGATGAAGCATTAGCATGTTTCAGGGTATCGAGGAAATACCTATAACTTTCCGAAAGTTTACGAGTTCTTAGGCATTCCAGTGTAAGGGCCACTACCAACGTGCTAGTACACAGCAGGTGTGTCCCTACAGTAAAGGTGAAAAGACTGCACCCACTAGATACACGAAGGATTCGTCAAAGGAGAGAAACCAGAAGAAGAGCTCTGCGAAGGCGACGCGACCGCTAGTCAGAGGACATTGGAGAATACGTCTCATACTGATTTACCATAGATACTGTTCTATGGTGGTAAAGCTCATTTAATCGTACAGTGTGTTAAATTCTTCTGAAGAATATATCAGTCTCAAACCTCACACGCGCAGGACTGGATTTTACAAACCGCTTTGAGGTATACCTAGTTGGTCTAGGGTGACCAACTCCAGTGCAGCAAGCAAGTTTCTCGCATTCCGAAAACTCTCTGTAGCAATATCTGTTATCATAACGCAACAACGTGTATGCGAACAAGAGTTCGAGCCATTTGCCGAAATCACAAGAGCTGAACAGACCGAGTCGGCAGCTGACCCTTCAGATATGTCACAATTTTAGAGTCGTCGATACATATCTTCTTTATGTTTGATGGTTGGGTTGGCAGTTTGCTGGGTATTATCATCGTTATCGCCAGCATAGTTCAATGGCAGCTTTACTGTGATGCCATCCCATCGAATAACGTCTCCGGCTTCACCATAACCAAGGATGGGATCACAGAGAGGAGTTCCATCCAGGTTTAGGAATGGAGAGGACATCGTAGGAAAGAAAAATTGAACATTCAGGGAACTACGCTCCTGAAAATGTAGAGCAAAATGAGCATAGCAATTCGGCGAAGAGAAAGTCAAATGGAAATAAAATATTTACTTAAATAATGCATAGTCAATCACCTAACTATTATTTCTGTTAGATACCCTTGTTGGGTACAACTCGTTCATATATACCTAATGGTTTGAACACTATGTTATATACCCTTGGTGCTTCTACCATATAGCATTATAGAAAACATATTTATTTAAAGATAATCCTTTTTAGATAAGAAGTATTTACTCTCTAAACTACCCCCTAAACCTTCTCTATTTAGGTACTCTTTAGGCCTAAGAGCTAGTAAAACAAAGAGTAGAGAGCCAGAAAGGTGTGAATGTATCAACTTACTAACAATTCAACCTCTCAATGTAACAACGCAGCAGCTAAATATTACATTCTATCAAGGACAACGTAACAATTACTCTGGTATATACCACGGATGAAATGGAGACTCCGTTGACTTGACTGCAGTATCTAACAAGGCAGACCCGGAGGGTTTTATTCTCCGAGCGCCGTGCGTAGGGATGAGATTCAGCCGCTCGGTTCTTGCTACATATCTCCAGCTTGCGGAGGGAGAAGCATCTCAGACGTCGAGTCCAGTTATTGACTTACATTTATCGATATGGCCGCCTCACTTGGTCTCGGCCTGTCTGTTGTCCTAGCGATTCTCCTGGTTTCTTATTTCCCTGAGTATTCGATATCCGGATCGTTTACGTGGACATTCCCTGCCATCTTTACGGTGTACCTCATCGTCCAAGGAGTGTATTCCGTCATTCTATATCCTATATTCTTCACGCCCTACAAAAATATACCTGTCGCACCAGTAAGTCTGGGAATGACCTCTGGACCATGGTGTTATCGCAACATCCAGCCTATTAACAGCTGCAATACCTTGCTGACTCTCGTTTAAAGGGCCGAAGCATTTGGAATGGTCATTTCAAAATACTACAGGCAGCGACACAAGGCTCTCCCAGCGCGAAATGGACTCGAGAAGTCCCCAACAACGGGCTTATCCGCTTTTACTTCATGTTAAACCGGGAGCGGCTGCTAGTTACCTCAACCAAGGCGCTGGCAGATGTGCTGGTTCACAGGGCATATGACTTTGAGAAATCGCGGGCGCTGGTTGCGTCCCTGGAATGGATTACTGGAACTGGTGTCCTCCTTGCTGAAGGAGACGTGCATAGGGTAAGACGAAATATGGTTGCATCTAGGATTGATATGCCATCGCCATGGATAACTAACAGCATTCGATAGGCCCAAAGAAAGAATTTGAACCCAGCATTCTCATTCCGTCATATCAAGCAGCTCTATCCAATCTTCTGGCAAAAATCATTGGAGATGGCTGACAAGATTGAACAAACCATCAGCGGGTTGCAAGAAGATAAAAAGGTCATCTCCTTCGGAGCCTTCACCGGGAACGCAACTCTCGAAATCATCGGCCTAGCCGGCATGGGCTACGATTTAGAATCAGTCCACGAGCTTTGTGAAGAATATCAGAAGATGTTGTCACCCGCCCCTCCCATGACGAAAGTGATTCAAATGATCACATTTATGATCTCACCAGAACTCTTTTTCTATTTACCACTACCATATGTAACGCAGGTTCGCGCAGCATCTCAGAAAATCCGCGATATATCACGTCAACTTATCCAGCGGAAACTACAAGAACTCTCTGATAAGAAGCTAGATGATTCAAGCGGTGATATAATATCCGTAGCCCTTGAGAGTGGCAACTTTACGGAAGACGGTCTAGCCGACCAAATAATGACCTTTCTGGCGGCTGGCCATGAAACGACGTCAACCTCCCTTCAATATGGAACACATATTTTGTGCACGCACCCTGATATCCAAAAACGGCTACGAGACGAGGTTAGGATTATGATGACAGCCCCTAGACTAGTTGCGGGCCCAGACGGTTCACCCTGTGGACTTGCATCCTTTATCGATTCAATGCCTTACCTCAACGCATTCTGTAACGAGCTCTTCCGCTTCTATCCTCCAGTTACGGTCACATCCCGTCAAGCCGCTCGTGACACAACCATAGCTGGCCATCCGATTAAAAAGGGAACGCATATTGTTATTGCACCAAGGGCAACAAATCGTAACCCTGAGTTCTGGGGCCCAGACGCAGATGTATTTAACCCGGATCGCTGGCTAGCGCCTGGCTGTACTAATACTGGTGGAGCAGAAAGTAATTATGCTTTCCTCACTTTCATACATGGGCCACGAAGCTGTATTGGGAGTGGGTTCGCGAAGGGTGAATTGATGTGTTTGATCGCTGCACTGGTATGGAGGTTTGAGATGGAGCTCGAGGACCCCGAGAAGGAAATGGAAATCACTCCTGGTCTTACAAATAAGCCCAAAGATGGAGTTAGGGCAAGGCTCAGGGTTTTGAGGGACGGTAGGTAGAAGTAGTATATGCCCCACGTAAGATATTTCTATGTACATAGGCCAGGGAGTCAAGATATCTACATTTCTTGCGTTATATCAAAGGCAATCCTTGTAGGATGGACCTCTACATCTGGCGTGTGTATCTCAGTAATATATCTAGTTGTAGTACTCATCTCTAAACACCATCATTCTCTCTCTCAACACGCCGTCGGCGTCCTCCTCCGTCCAAGCGCGAATCATACCTCCACCGTTGAAGTCAAACACCACCTTCCCCTTGAGCAGGCCCTCATTTTGACCGTCTTCCGCGTTGCTCGGTACTTCAGCCTCGATGCCAATGATTCCGCCTGATCCCTCACCTGTTTTCCCCCATCGGGGACCCGCAGAACGTTGAAGTTCTCCACCCGGTCCGGCGATGGCAGTGACAGCATCAGCCAGTGATACTTTTGTGCCCAGTTTCACCAACGAGGCAGCCGAGTGAGCAGCGGCCACACGGACGAACGAGTCACCGTTCCCCGTACCAGACATTCCGAGAGCCCGTCGAGACGAAGAGTCAGGCGCATCCCAGGACTCAGCCCAGAATCCAGCACCGAGAGTAGGTGTATCACCAATCCTGCCGGGTAACTTGTTCGTCAGGCCGCCAGTGCTTGTGGCAGCGGCTATATTCCCCCATTGATCTAGACATACGCAACCGACCGTTCCCTGGCTGAGATATTTGTTGATCTCTTGGATAGACTCAGGAGCGCCATCATGGTCGATTGTCGCCCCTTTGCCGAGCCCTCTTATATGTTCATCCCAACGTTTTTGGGTGAAGAACCATTCGTCTGGTTTGAATTCTAGGCCCCATTCTTTCGCGAGAGCTTCTACGTACGGCCCGCAGAGGTGGGAATGCATGCTTCCTCCATGCTTTCCGGCGTCATCCTCGCCATCTCGTAGTAGCACTTCCCTAGCCAACTGCACTGGGTGTCGAACGTTTTTGATCATCATCACGCCGGCACCACGCTTAACTTGCGCCCGTTTCACGTCTGCGGATCCTTGTGATTCTGGCAGCAGTGAACAGACCATAACAGATGCTTCCATCTCATGGGTTCCAGTAGTTGTGAACACACTGCCCCTACCGCAGTTGAATATCTCATCATCTTCCATTAGCGAAACGGCATGAACTGCGGCGTCAAGAGCAGAGCCTGGGGAGCCATCATTGCCATCTCCGCTTTCTCCTTGCTCGCCATTGAGCAAGGCAAGAGTAGAGCGAAGGTATTTCAAGAGCGAGGCACGGTATTTTTCGTACAACTCTGGCGGGATTCGTGAGCGTTCAATATTCCCCGCACCGCCATGCATAATAACCGCCGGCCTGAATCGCGGGCGCGGCGTCGCCTTCTCTGAGGGTACATAAGTGACCGTCATTGTCCTAATATAAAGTCAGATAACGAGAGAGCGGAAGTATTATCCTGACGTATCGAGAGCTTCTCCCCGACCTTCGCCTTTTCGGTTATCCAACTTATGCGGGGAGAAACAAGGGGAGAGGTCACGTGAATATAAGAACTGAATATATCCATAGATCAATCAAAACAATTGTAATTGTGATGGCTTTTTCACTGAAATATGTAAGTAATGTACAGGGCGCAGATAGTATTCTCGCTTTCCAACAATCATTAGCGCCAAAAGGAGAAGAGAAATTGGTGTCTTTCCATGACAGTCTAAGACGCATTTGTAGTGCATCTGGACAATGGAACGTGTTAATAAGGATGTAGCTGGGTGAAATCAAGGCCGATCAAAGTGGGAGCCGCGGGGTGTAGGCGTGAAGGGGTTCCCTATCATAGAAAGACATTGCCAAAGAAATTCGGAGTTTAATAATGACATTATTTGAAAAAAAGACAAGCATTGAAAGGGAAAGCGGGAAAAGGGGAACACAAATGAACATCATCTATTTGTAACCCATGCCCCTGAAAAAATCAGACCTAATAACTCCAGATGAGATGGGAAGCTGTGGGAGGAAATGGACGTGACGCTTGATCCGAGGTGCTAGAAAGTAGGCGTTGATTGGATCTGTTGATGCGAGGGAGGTGTGAAGTATGCGGCCAAATTGGTATATAGAATCGAGTTGATTAGGCAGTCATTTTGTCTGGTGAGCCGCTAGGTGGTGGTGGTGCCTGTAGGGTATATTCGTTAGTTCGGGCCAACAAATGGAAAGGGGCAGAAATATATCTCACGTCTAATCTGGTATTATCGGCCATCATTCTCTGGAATCCAATACCAACACCCTCAATAACGGCCAAGAAACAAGCACACATAATGGCTGAGTTTCGTGCCGCTCTCATTCCACCACGAATGGCGAGCGCACCACCAGTGAAGAACCCGGCAATAACTGCAAATCGTTAGCTAATCCGTTCCAAAGGAACACCGGTCGACTTCCACCCCCCGACCTCTCCTTTCTTATCCGCTTGTTGACGTACTGGCATTATATGGATCCTCCTTCTTCCTTATTCCCTTAACCGTGCAGTCGAATGTCGAAAACAAGCCACCCCAGACACCGAAGTTACCGCCTAGAACGGGTGCGCGAGCCTTGATAGCTGTGATAGCGCCTATTCTTCGTTCGCCGTACGGACTGTTTCGGAACCCTTTCACGCCGTGCCAGACTGCGCCACCGATGGCCTAATAAACAACAAGTCAGCTTAACAGTACCAATGGGGATAGTGCTATAGGGTACGGTAGCAAGAGAGAGGAATAAACGTACACCCATGCTAAAAGCACCACCGAAATCACTGAGAATGACATAGGGACACGGGTCGCGAGTGTGATCCATTATGTCGGAGGAGTGGGTGTGTAAGGTATTATAGTATTATTAAACGGTTGCAATCGTGTAAGTCGAATCAACTTCCTAGCCTAGCAAGAATAACAGGCCAGCCTGGTCCGGTGTATTGTACAGATCCTGGGTTATGAAGAATTTTTTTTTCAATCGATAAACCGAGTAAAGGGCGTTAGGATATTATAACCGCTATACCGATGACGGCTGGCTGTCCGTCTATAAAGGAGCGGAACAGGGAGAAAAGAAGAATGGACGGTGGGTTCTGCTGCGTCGAGATGGTGTTTTTGCACCGTTCTTCGTCTTCGTCTTTCGTCTTTCTTGATGCTTTGAAGATCGAAATATTTTCGTGGTCACGTGCTATCATGTGACGTGCCTCTTGGACTTTGTCGTTTTGCAGCCTCGCAAGAAGAACGAAGTCGAGGACACGGAGGGACACGGAGGCAGAGATACATGCTCGAGGCTACGATGTGCAGTGGGCAGAGTCGATAGATTGACTAGGATATTGCTCTTCTTTATATTCCGTGTCATCTGGGTTTATATGACCATCTTTATCGGCCTCGCAGGCCATGCTAGCTGATCTAGATCTATATCTAGACACAATATATACAACTTCTACCAACACCAGCAATGAATAAACTCCAGCAGAAAAGATCATTTAAAACTCCAAAGGCCAAAAGTGGAATATGGACAGACCCAAAACTCCGAGACACGAAAAGAACAGGGATAGAATATCGAATCTGGTGGCAAATCAAGGGAATATAGCAAACAAGCAACGCATCGAGTGGAAATTGATATCAGCTAAACAGCTTCCTTAGAGGAGAAGGCTTCTTCTTCTTCTTTTCCTTGTCTTTCTTCTCATCCTTCGTCTTTCTATCCTTGCTCTCGCTGGAGCTCCTCGAGGTCTTGGAAGACTTAGAGTGCCTGGACGACCGCGACGTGTGTGAGCGGCGCGAGGCTTGTGAGCCCGTCTCATACACACTCCCACCAACATAGGACGACACGCGGGTGGGTGCAGGAAGTAGCCGACTGCCGCTTCTAATTTCGCTCATGCGGTCATTCTCGCACTCATGGAGCATCACTCGGGACATCGCTGCAGCCGTGGGAGTGATAAACTCTCCATCGACTGACGTTCCAACACTCTCAGCCTCGGACTCTGCAACACCTCTTCTCCAGCCTTCAATCCGGCTCATGCCAGTGTTGATCTCCATAAGTTCGTCGACGACAACAGGGCTCTCCTTCTCGCCCTCTGGCCTGGAGGAGATCTGTTTGATAATCTTGTAACCCCCAAACATCACGACCGTCACTCCAATGCCAACACCTGCGGCAATCATGAAATGTGGACTGGCCAAGAGCGCGAAAACCGCTGGTGCGCTAGCCCGTAGCGCCTTGAGCGCCGTGGGACCAAGATCTGTCACCAACTTGCTCAGTTCGGCTAAGGTGAGGGCGACGGCGGCCATAGCATCCGGGTTTGACTGTAGATGGGAAATTATGGCCGTCACGGAGTGGTGGGCGCAATCGGCTTCGATGAGGAGACCCTTGACCTTCCCGACAAGTCCAGACATATCGCTGGGCTCTGGATCGATACGTTCGAGCGCTGATGGGTGAAACTCGCCATATGCTAGATCCATATCGACTTTTGGGAGGGTGTGGGCGCGGGCTTCGCCGTACGAAGGTCTGGCGGGAGCGTGGGCCATGGCGAGGTTGTGCTCAGTATGGCGCCGGGCCAGCTGGTTGTTCGGGTGGTGGTGGTGTTCATCTGAATACTGGGATTGAAGCTCGAATTCGAATGAGCGACGCTTCTGTGACCTGCTCGTGTGGTGACTGTGGTGACTGTGGTGTCTGCTATGTCTATCATCGTCATGGTGTCGAATAACGGACTTAGCCCGGCCTAGATGTCGCATTGAAGTGGTGGAATGGCCATCCTCGATGGCATATGCTGCTAGGGCTCGGCGGGTATCTCGCTCCGCCTTTTTCGCATCTTCGGCGTTACGGATAACGGTTTTCCGCTCACGATAGGCAGAACGAGCTTCTTTGAAGACGCTGAATAGATGTTTGCTCTGCTCCTGTTAGTCGACGACTGATGGGGGCGAGACAATGGCGGGACTCACGGTGCTAACGACTTTGCCGGACTTGTCTATCACGGAGATCGTCTGGCCTATAGCGGCGGCCATATTGGATGCTGGTCACGGAGAGAGGATGACTATAGTTGATGGACTGAATGGTTTGGCGATGGGCAGCACTGGGTGCTCAGCTTCTATCGTATGTGCTCGGTATATATGGGTATATATATATACATCAGAGGCGCCTCGAAATGCAGTGTCTATATATTTCTGCCAGCTCAGCGATCAACGCAGGATAAACATGCAATATATGAAGCGGGACCCAGAAAACCTCGACTCCCGCCCGACCCACGGCGAGGCCTACCCGCCCACTCTCTGCTGGCCAACTGGCGCCCTAATCTTCCCCGTCCCTGCCTGGCCTCAGTTGGGCTGGGAGAATGAAGCGGTTGGGCTGCGTGATTGGAGAAAAGCCAGGCCCCTGATGGAAAGCGCTGGTGTGGCGGTGGACCGTGGCGCAGTGCCCTTATGCACTAGCCACACCGCGATAACTGAAGAAGCGATGATGTCAAAGGTGCAGAGTTCTTCTCGGGCTGAGTAGAGAGCTTCAGCTGCTGGTCGTCGACTTTCTCTGTGCGTACGGAGTACGGAGTGTGTGTTGAGATGGGGTTTTCAAGACGGCCTGGAGAACGACGGTGTAGGGTTGATACTCCCGGTGGAGAGTGGTGGGCCGGATTGTGAAAATGCTTGTTATAAAAACTCCACCGCTTATTATAATTCGCTTCGTCCTCGGAGACAGACAAGAGAGGCTGGCTATCGGGCGAGTGTCCATACATATGCGCCGCTGAAGAGCCATCTCAGCCATCCCAAGACGTCCCAGAAATCTACGTATGGTTCGTCGAAGAAGATACTGGACTGCAGCACTTTCCTCCATCAGCTGGCAATGGCTATTATCGATGGTGTCTCATAACGAAACGCCAGGGCAGATCTGGATCCCGTTGAAACAGCAGCTTTCCACCCATTTCCTGTCCAAATCTCCCTCGTCGACGATGATACGACGGCCGGATTAAATAAACGATCAGAACTCTCGACAGATAGCTTCCACTTGCCCGCGTTTTAAGATATAGACGGTTCTTCCGTTTGATATCACCTTCTCCGCACACCTCATACATTTATCTTTTTGAGACTTGACTCTCAATCCTCAGAATGTTCATCCTTACTCTAACTGTAGGGCACCGTACGAGGACGTTAACAGCGTCGAACCGGCTCAGATACCTCCAAACGCGAACTCCTGCGCTATCAGTATGCTCGACTCCATACACCACTCGTTTTCACGTTTACAGCCTCGCCGAACGCATACGTACCGTCACCACCGCACCCCCACGTCATAGATGGCCATGTCTCCTAAAGAGCAGCATGGCGTCATCGGGCAGCTTGGTGACATGGTGAGTTGCTCTTCGCAGCGCACGGCCATCCGACAGCTCTTGTATATGCTTGCTGTGGTAAGTTTGACGGCAGGAATCGAGAACGTAGCCCGGCTGTTACCCCATATTCCGTACAGATAACCTTGAGCCTATGATGTGGGTCATCCATATGTCTCCAAGGTTTAAGGTGAAGCTGAGGGACGACAGCTAGAAGAAAGAGCAAGGCTGTCCCTTACTACGAATATGAAGTACAGATGCCTAGTGTGCAGTCACTGAGTTCTAGTTATGCCATTCGTAGCTAAGGCGCACATGGACCACGCTACAGCACATGTACCTAAGCAGCACGCCAATCAATGATTTACACAATATAGACGAAGTTGCCTTGCCTGAACATTGCGTACTACTGTCCTATCAAGCCCAACTATGCCCCTTATTGGTCTATGCATCCAGAACATCCTTACTTTCTGGGTCAACTCCCCTGCACTGGCTGCAGGATAAAAGGGGCAGAAGATATTGGGGCCAGCGATATCGCAACGCCAAGCGGGCTCCTCGTTTCCAGAATGATGAATTGATAGTACTCCGTTCGTAGTCGCAAATTAATGGCGATCGTAAATGATCAGTAGTCATATGCAGGAGGGAGTTTGAAAGCTTCTTGTCACGGAGGATATCAACGGCGTCCTATCCCCCAAGATCCCAGGATATAATAACCATCCGTAGCGTGCGTTCTCTCGCCTCATCTCGGTCCCCCTGAGCTCTGCGGCAACCCGGGCTGCGTGCCCATCCAGCCCTGACGGTGGTACCGGTCTCGTTCGCCAGCCTAGAACGACCGGCGATTCAGCATGGTCACAAACGGCTCCCTTGATCGGCCGTCGGAAAGCCGTTATATAGCTGGAATAAGAATCCAAGCCAAATACCAAGCTCCGGGAATCAAGCCACGCATCACATCGTCGTTTGAGAAACACGGCCTAGCTGCAATCACCAAACCTAATGGCGGTCTCTTCTCACGTTGCCTTATGGCTTTTTGCGGTGAAGCTGCACCGCACCGTGGATGCAGCTGTTGGTCCCTTGAAACCAGCCGGTTCCTGCGATAATTGGTCTGCCGAAAGCCCAGTTTGCATTGTGCATCGTGGATTAAAAGATGGTCGAGTGACCATGTCCTACCTCCCTCCTCGCTATCTTCCTTAGTGTAGAAAAGATTTATGCATGATTAGTCCGGCTATCTTGCCATTGAACCATCTTCTTTCTTCTTCAGATCTCTCTCCGAACATCTGACGTTAAGCTGTTGTCAATTGATTCGATCACCGAGGATTCACCATGTCGCCCTCAATCACTCGAACGACGCTGAGATACGGCATCAACTATAGCCAGTCTGAAGCCTTTGGTACGTGACCTTCTGAAGCCTTTCTTTCGTTCTCTCTCTCTCTCTTCTCTTCTTCCTCCTCTCTCTCTTGACGTTGGTTGAAGTGCAAAGTGTGGATGGCTTGCACCGCCACACGATGTCGACATCACCCAAAGAAAACCAAAGAAAAAACCCTTGTCCGTCTGCTCGAGTTCCAACATCTCAACTCATGTACGGAATAACGACTCGGGACACCATCCTGTCTGTATGATCTAGTCTATCGTGTGCTGAACTTGACCGAGCTTCCGTTGATCTCCAGCTTCTCCCTACGAGGACTCTTACCTTTGGATTTTGGATACACGCATATATCTACAGGGAGCTGACACTATGGACGATCTAGACATAAATGGCATAGATGCAGGGTTCAGGAAGCTCTCAACTACTGAAAATGTTAGGTGGACAGCAGAGGATTCTGATTCATCGCCGACCAGAGACTCCAGGACTGCTTCCGGGGTAGCACATCGGCTACAGGCTAGTCGCTCTGTTCTATCGTTGGCAATCGGTGAAGATTGCGTGTTTGCTGGGCTACAAGGAGGAAATATTGTTGTATGTACTCTAACTGCAGCTTTATGAGTTTTTTCATAGCTAACTTCGATGCAGGCATGGTCACTCGCCACTTATGAATCTATAGCTTCAGTGCCAGCACACCAGGAGAGCGTTCTAGGGCTTCATTTGTCCCAGGATAAAGAGCTTCTCTTCTCCAGTGGTGGAGATTCTACTGTCAACGTATGGCCCCATCCAGTCGCTCGGTGAAAATTTTGTACTGACAAGGTATAGGTCTGGTGTACTAGAACCTTGGAGCAGCTCTACTCCATAGAGTCGCATCATGATCCAGGAGATATTTTCACTACCGTATACTCGTCTGATCTAGGGACTGTATATTGTGGTGGTCAAAATACAAGCATTCAAGTACGATCCTTACCCTGTTGGCTAATCATGCTAAATGCTCATAAGTTTTCCGTAGTGGTGCAACCTTCAACAAGGCGATATACCCCAAACAAGTACAAAGAGCGTCAATAAACCGCACAAGTTTTTTGACTCAATGGGCCCTGGCGCTACGGGGCCAATCTCTAAAGCTTGTCAGGACGGGGATGAACGCCATCACGGGCAAAAGTTGTGCTTTAGGAAAGACCAGCACAAACTGTTCGCCCATAACGGGTACGTGTATTGCATGCGGCTTGTTCGAGGGTTGATCGAAAGTGGCGGCCGCGAAGTTCTATTGACAGGATCTGGTGACGGATTCGTCAAGATATGGGAGCTTGGGCAAGAACCAGGTGTTGCGCCAAGGGAACTGTTCACGCTTCAGAATCGAGATGAATCCGTTCTATCTATTTCCATCGATGGGACATTCCTGTACTGCGGTCTATCGGGGGGAGCAATCAATATCTGGAACTTGGAGTCTAGGCAGATCATTAAAACAATTCGCAGCCATACAGGCGATGTGTGGGCAATTGATATCGTCAAGGGGTTCATTCTCAGCGGTGATTCAGACGGTATTGTCAAGGTAAGTTTTTGATTGTGTCGAAAAAAAAATTGTCCATCCATCAGCTCTAATTTGTCTCTAGAAATTCAACTCCCGGTTTGAGGAGCTAGGGTCTTGGACTGCCCATGATGGGAGGATGCTCACATCTACATCAGGGAATGTCAAGGGTAGATGGATATTTGCCACAGGCGGTAACGATAACACGGTTGCGCTTTGGGATTTAACAGATGAGAAAACAGATTCTCATGAAATACCCGCCATCGGTAACGGTACGCAATATCCTCCCTAGAACTGGCTATCGCTATACTAACTATCACGATAACAAGACGAGATGGTAAATACGCTAGCAAAATTTATCGCCTTCAAGACCATTTCAGGATGTTCTGATTTCGCCAGTGACTGCAACCAGGCAGCGGCCTTTCTCCGTAGGCATTGCAGCTATCTAGGTGCCCAAACGAAGCTTCTCGGTACCGGGCAGAAGAAGAACCCAATAGTATTTGCCAAATTCCCTGCAAATGCACCAATGGCAAAGGGGAAATCCATTCTCTTCTATGGCCATTATGACGTGGTTGGGGCTGGAACAAGCCATCCCAGGTGGAATACCGACCCATTCCACCTTACTTCCCTTAACGGTTACTTATATGGGCGTGGGGTATCAGACAACAAAGGTCCATCTCTTTCCGCACTTTATGCAGCTGCGGAGCTATACCAGCGAAAACAGCTTTCCAATAACGTTGTATTCCTCATTGAGGGTGAAGAAGAGTCGGGTTCCAAGGGATTTGCACAAGCTATCCGTGAAAATAAAAGTCTGATTGGCCCGATTGACTGGATCCTTCTGGCGAACAGCTACTGGCTAGACGATAATATCCCTTGTCTGACATATGGATTGCGAGGAGTGATACATGCGAACATTCTTGTATCCAGCCGCCAACCAGATCTCCACAGTGGTATTGACGGGAGTGCGTTACTCGATGAGCCCCTCAAAGACCTGACATTGTTGATCGGGACCATTGTTGGGCCTAAGGGAGCTATAAATCTTCCGGGATTTTATGACCCTGTACTACCCCTGACACCAGCTGAAAAGGCACGCTATGATGCCATTGCCGAAGCCTTACTGCCCCATCATCCTGAAATCAAGAACTTTGACTCGTTTACGGAATCCCTCATGCACCGTTGGCGCGAACCATCCCTTACCCTCCACTGCATTGACATCCCTAGCTGCAAAAACTCAACCACTACCATATCAAGGAAGGCGAAGGCGGCTCTATCCATCCGCATCGTACCAAACCAAGATGCAGACAAAGTTGCGGAGGACTTCATTAATTATGCACAAGCCCAATTTGCCAAGTTAAATTCCCAGAACACCCTTACTGTCGAAATCACAGGGAAAGCGGACCCATGGCTCGGGGACCCTGATAATGAGTTATTCGAGGCACTTTCTCGTGCCGTGACATCAGCCTGGACAACAACCCAAAGCAACGGTAGTCAGCATCACGGATATCCTGCGCTGGATATATCACAGCCACGGTCTCGGCCTGGGTTATCCCATACCGATTCCTCGGATAGCACTTCCAACATCGAACGCATCATCGCCTCGTCATCCTCGTCCAAGGCTCATATTACTTCAAATAAGCCATATATCCCCACCTCGTCAACATTGGTAGACTTCTCGGCCCCTTCTACCGCCTCAAACTGCACTCAAGAAGTATCTGGCCCTAAAACTCGAAGAGAGCAGCCATGTGCCCAAAGTGAGAAGCATCAACAAACATCAACCCCTGCCAATGTTACAAAATCCCCAACAAAGTCCAACTGTAACAGTCTTATCAAACCGATATACATCCGCGAAGGAGGATCGATTCCTACCATCCGCCTTTTGGAAAAGGAATTGGGTGCTCCAGCCGCACATCTACCTTGCGGGCAAGCAAGCGATAACGCCCATCTCGATAATGAACGGTTAAGGATTCAAAATTTGTATAACAGCCGCGAGATTTTCAAGACCATGTTTTCAGGCCACTAAATGTGATTTATTGAATACACCCCCTGGTTTTCTATTTCTGCGAGTATTTTGGGTACCTTGATGTTAGATTCATAAAATAACAAAGAGGAACAATGAAATAAGATTTGAGTAACTTGAATTTGACAGCAAATCTAAAACTATTTACTTAACGGTGAGGCTTAAGAAAATGCCTTTTAGTTAAGAGCGCTGGACTTACCCTCTAAGCTACGCTCTAAGCCTTCCCCTTAAATCTACTTTTACTCTCTCGGCCTACCCCTAGGCCTACCTAGACTTACCCTCTAGACTTATCCTTTAGGCTTACCCTTTAGGCTTATCCCCTAGACCTACTCTTAGATATCTTTAAAGGATAGCTTAACTATTCTTTTGGGGACCACCTTTAACTAAATAGTTTTCTGATAGCCTACCATACCAGATAACTAAGGGTATGTGACACTCATAAGATTATGGAGCAGGTTTCCTTCTAGCGTTGCCTCCCAATATCCTAGAAGCCCTGCTCAATCTCCTTGCGTGTCCGCACCCCGTCCGCCTCGGCTACTTCCTCTTCCCAGTCGCTTTCACACATTTCGACACTTGCCCTTACAATTAAATCTGCATAAGGGTCTGAGATCAACATTCGAGGGTCCGGACTTTTTTCACCGCAATAGCCAATACGAGATAACCCGCTATCGATCGTTTGCTGATCTAGAACAGTGAATGTGCCTTCGGCAAAACCTGGATAAGGGTGCTTTAGCATCCAGTCACGTATTTCCTCATCCGTCTTGTTCAGAAATGGAGATACAAATTCAGGCATAGGCTTTCGAGAGCCATGGGAAATTGATCTCAAGTCTGTTGTCTGGAGAATACATGGACATACAGGGGTATTGATCCCATCATCACCCCTCAGGATTCCTTCATAGGCTTCATCGATGAAATTATCAAGGATCTAGTAGAGAGTTAGCTGGTGATTACAGCCTGAAAAAGGATCGTCGGATAGATATAGTACCTTCGAAGGAATGTTGACAGTGCAAAACACTGGATATAGAGTTGCTTTTGATAGATATTCGGTCATCTATTTTTCCGTGTACATCACTGATGTACAAATCATTGTCCTCCTGTGTCGGCATTGTGTGTCGGGGCGTGCCTGAGAGATAACAGTCAATTTAATTTGTTTTGCCTCTTCGCGGATCGCTAGCGTGATATTGTTTTGAAGGAGATTGAAGTATTCTCAGTTCTTTTATAAGTAAAAAGAAGCTGGTTCTGAGTTGATATTGCAGATATCAATGCAGGCATCAGCTAAATAAAATAGATGTGACGTCATATTCTGGATAGACTTAGGGGCGAAAGGTCAAAGGCATTACCCAAGCTAAACATGATAGCGAGTTGCCTACTGCCTAGAATCAAACAAAAGAGCACAATCCGCCTGCGCCATTTGCTTCCTCCAATTCTATTACCGCCTGTTCAAAAAATATATAAGTTACCAAATCCTCTTGGCTGCCATCTCGTATCTCTTCACGTTTTCAAGCCCATGGGCGCCGCCTCCGGACCCACTGGCCTTACCGTTCCTACCTCTCTCTTCCCGATCTCGTACTCTCCGCAAGCCTTCAGGGTCGTCTGCATATATCCATCTTCTCCTATCATCGCCAAGCTCAATTGCGCCCCATCCGCCGACACGCCGGCCCCCTTCTATCACATCATTGTTGCTAACACTATTAGGTGGTGGCATGTCGGAAGATGTGGCCGAGGGTACAGCCAAAGCTGACCCTTGAGGTATTGGGGAAATCGAACTTGGGTGCTGTTGCTGTTGCTGACGCCGCTGTTCCCGTTTCTGTTTTGCTGCATACTCTCGTTCGCGATATTTCATATTCTTGTATCTTGTGCGAGAATAGCCGAGAAGTATCATGCCCAAAACAAGCTTCGCAAGGAGCAAGGTGATGTAAAGGAGGAGGACGAGAATTACGGTGAATATAGGCACAAAGGATGCAGGAGAGGGAGTTGCGTAGGATATAAACGTCTGGAAAAGTGAGGAAGCTGTTTGTGCAATCGATGCCAGTGAGGCGTAGGAGAGGAGAGCTGAAGCAGAGGAAGATGATAAGGTAGGTATAGCTGATGATGAACCTGTGACAGGGGCGTAGTGGCTGTGAATCTCGGACAACGATGTCGCATTTGAAGGTGATTGGTAGAAGGGAGAGGAGGATAGCTGCGGCAGCCAGGCAGTCAGAAACATTTGATATGTCTGAACAGAAACACGGAAAAAGAGACAGGCAAGTGGTATAACGGGAAGCCCGAGGCGACGGTTAAGGTTCTGGTCTGAAAACGCGCTGCTGTAGTAATCTTTGGCGAGAATGTCTAAGAATCGGCCGTACATTGCCGGTTTTAAATTATTAAATTTGCTGATGTATGCATGCTTGAGCCAGTCGACAACCATTTCGGAGCCAAGGACAACAAGGAACGGGGCAAGAAGGTGACCAATTGCTGGTAGAATGGAATTAACGCTGCTCAGGGACAGGAATACGGACGAGGGGATGAGAAGGGTGAAGGATTGAGGAAGGATAGAGGTGGAGGGTCGAAAAGCGGTTGTACTATTGGTGCTGGTTGCAGCAGTGCTTTGGGGTGTCAGGACACTTCCGAGCTTGAAGCCGCCTGTTTCCACAAAATTTCGGGAGGCGATTATGATGAGCATAAGCCATAGCTGGAATCGCTCGACGACATCGGCGCAGGTGAGTTGGAAGAGATTCTCTTTCTCAAATTTCTTGAAGACAGTTGACTTGATCTCAACAAATTGGTTGGACAGTAGCAAGGTAATCAGAGCATTGGAGTATGAGTTGACCGCGACGTTCAAGGTCATCACCTGGTAAAAGAGTGCAGTAGCATGGATGACGGTGTACATCAACGCGAAGATGAACATCCAGAACGGGCGTACAACCTTGCTTCGGCCATCTGGCCTGCGTTCCAAGGCTTCTTGAGAAAATAGGCATTCAAGAACATCTTGTCCAATGGCGGAAAGGAGTCGGTCTCCAACCTATAGAAATTTTTAGTTAATGTATGTATCCTTTAATCTAGGAATTTCTCAACCTTACCTCTAGGACGTTATAGATAACATAGAGTTTGATAGCTGCCTGCCCTCTAATCCAGTGGTACATCCTACTTGCGTCAAAATACATGAGTACAGTGCAGGTGAATATCATCAGTAGTCCCTTGAGGATATCCGCTTTGTCGTTAGCTAGTAACGTGGATGGGATAGACTTTGTTCTCCGGTGATGGCGAGTGGAAGATCCGCGGCGCCTGCGGTATGCATCTGACCCTGAAGCCGTATCTATAATAGGGCTGGCATCGTTTGGTGATGGATTTAGTGGTATCAGATTCGGTGATGCATCTTTAAGATTAGTAGGCTTGCTGTTTGTAGTGGGTTCACGCATAGAGTCGCGTCTCCCTCGGCGTTTCCACATCCTCCCAAGGCCATTAACTATATATGAAGCGATGAACCGAATCTCTAGCCCCAGGTTAATCACCCAGGACCGCGAGAGGATAAATACAGCCTTCAAAAACTGCAACGGAAGCAGGGTAAAGGTATGCAGCCATGAGTCGAGGCAAGCAAGTGTTCCAAAACATAACGCCTGTTCTAGCAGTGGAGGAAGGAGGAAGAAGTTCTGTAATCTCTCTAGCATCACCCTAGAGCTCTCGTAGGGGAAATCATGTGCCCCTGAGCGATGGATATAGAGCGACGACGGTCGGTGGGAGGACAGTTCAAGCTGGAGGTAGGTTGGGATAGAGAATGGCGGGATTGGAATAGATGCAGGGACAGGTGATACGCTCCTATTTGCGCCAGATGACCGTCCCGATCTATCGACATCTAGAGTCAACGGCGATGGCAGGCGTCTCGATCGGTTAGTTGAACCATTTGACTGACGGGCTTTCCCGTCAGCGGTTAATTGACTAGGTGCAGACGCCTTCGATCGCTGACGGAACGAAGTAGGTAGCGGCTGAGTTGGATCAATATTGACACGCCGTCCATGAAACTCCAACGGGTCCTGCAGATAGACATGTTTTTTACCAGTGCTGGACCGACGACTTCGAGCCCGGCTTCTGTTCAATTCCCTCAGCGCAGTCCCATTCGAGCCAATAGCCATATCTGCATCGTAAGCATCGTCGTCTTCCTTTAAAGATAGGAGCGAAGCTGTTAATTCTTCTGCTTCAACTGGTGCCGTATCAGACAGCTGTACGTTTGGTTGCGGCCGTGATTGCTGTTCGGTGGAAGCTTTGTGTAGACTCGCGGACTCCGGGGAGGAGGTTAGTTCCTGTAATTTCACTGGGGACAGTCTTTGGATCTTGTCCTTCTGCTCGTCTTTCTCAGTATGCTTTAAGGTTGGCAGTGGCGGCGAGGCATATGGGCGGTCTTTATTCCCGTTTGCGAGCGTAGCATCGGCTGCCGTAGGCCCTGGTATCTGGCTAGCTGTCCTTTCCTTGGCCATAAGGCCTTCGCTCTCCGCATTCTCAAGCGAGTTCGTCCTCAGACTGTCTGGTATAAGGTCTGAGGTATCCGGCAGGGCGACATCGACGACATCACCGGCGTGCACATCTGCCACAGTTTCCTTGTGCTGGTCAACGGCCTTGTCGACCTCCCCATTCCCAACCATAACATCATCGTCCACCAGTTCAATTCTTCCATCTTCCTTCCCATGTATCAGTACTGCAAACACCTGGTCAACGTCTGCGGTAAACCCTTCCCCGTCACGATTGACTATCTCGCCATCGACGTATCCTCTCACAGTCGAAAGCGATGAGGTAGCTATCTCTCTCTGCACAGTTTCATCTTCCACTCCTCCGTTCTCAGCACTCAGCCCATTCATCCGGCATCCATCACTTGTCATAATGCATCGTTCGAGACGCTGTGGCGGTGAATATCGTCGTAACACTATTCCTAGCTCCCCAACCCAAGCTTGAAAGCGACGAGACCCGAGCTGCCGCGTGGATGGCGAAAGGGGCGGAGGGTAGGTGCGGTGGAATATGTGTTGCAAGCCTTGGACTCGCAGGAAAGGTCATCCGTAGCCTGTCTCGTCGTGTATTCCGTGGGCTCTTTGGATGTTTTGATAAAGTCGATGTTTCTTATCGGGATCTACAGCCACCTGCTTACCTATCTCGGAAGAAGTCCCGCCGCTTTAACACATGGACTTGATATCACTCAGACTTAACGTAGACTTAATAGACCTAACATGGACTCGACATAGACTTGACATAGACTCGAGATGAACTCGACAGGGCAGAGCTATTGAATTATGTCTAGGAGAAGTTGTCACGATGGGCTCGCTCTACGTGGTGGGAAACGGGTAAGCGAGAATCAGTCCAATATATTCTATCACGTTCATTAACAAGGTATGCCTCCCGTCCCTTCCGTGCGCCTGTGCTGTGTTATATGTAGCTTAAGAAGGCGAGAGAAACGAACTAGAGCCTCGTGCCAGAATATGTATGTACCATTACAGCTCCCCCATGTCATCATAGGGTATAAAGGGGAGACATTTTTTCAGAAAAAAAGGGTAACAAGGAGTGACGAGAAGGAGAAGAAACGGTATGTAAGAACAAGATGGTCAGTAGGTCGTCAAATATCAAAATTGAAAATGCGGAGAAGAAGAAGAAGCCGCGGAGGAGAAGGAAGTAGGGGTATTCAATGAGTGTGGGTGTGGTATGTAAAGTATGGTCGTTAAATGGAAGAATGAATAGAGGGTATATGCGTGGGAGATTGAAGAGGAGCTGGAGTCACATCATGGGTTAAAGGAAGGATAAGACCCATTCTGTGCACCACCGCCCTGTTGTTGCTGTTGCTGTTGCTGTTGCTGTTGCTGTTGCTGTTGCTGCTGCTGCTGTTGCTGTCCATGGTAGCCATTCTGCTGGCTACCGTTTTGTTGGTTACCGTTTTGGCTATTCGGCTGGGTATTCTGCTGGTTATAGCTGTACTGTTGGCCTGGACCGTGACCATGCGATGGCAAGGGGGCCGTCTCCGACCTCTGAGGCACATCACGTCTCCCCTGCATTGCATACGGGGCCGGCGAGGGACGGGCAAAGTTCCTATGCGGCCCTCCAACCATCCCGCTACCAGTTGCAGGCGGCGCACTCGGCGTGGGCGTTGGGGCAGACGGCATTGACGGTGCCGAAGACACTGATGGTCCATCATCCGGACCGTACCTATCACGTCCTTGATCGCGGTTATATGATGGTGCGGGTGTGGGCATGGGTGGTGGAGGCGCGAATGCCGTGCCCGGGCGAGATATGGAAGGGAGTGTTGGTAGGGTTGCGGAGCGTGGAAGGTCAGGCATCTCGGGCGCGTCCCAGGCGTGCTGGTTATGGTTGGAAGGAGTTTGACGGCCCATCGACCCTGGGCCCGGGGTCAGTGGTCCTGGTGTGCGAGGGCCTGGGCCAGGAGTGAACGGTCCTGGAGTGCGTGGTCCGGGGCCTGGCGTTAGAGGACCTGGTGTACGGCGGCCCTGGTTTTGCTGTCCCTGAGCTTGGAACAAGGAGCCAGTAGCGACTGATAGGGGAGTGCCGTATCGTTCGATGGGCGGGAGCATGGGCGTTCCTGTATGTTCGCGCTGCATCGGGGGGTCGCGTTGATAGTGTTGTTGGGGCTGGTGGTGTTCATACTGCGATGGCGGGTTATATGCGATGCCGCTTGCATTGTTCACCAAGGATGCGGACGCATCGTCTGAATACTGCGTGCGATGGAACGAGTTGGACGCGGGCATGGTGTGGTCGCCATGCTGGTCATGATGATCGTGATCATCGTGCTCGTTGTAGTCGCGGTCATACTGACCGTGGTCATGGTGGTCCTCCCAGTCTACTTCCGGCAGAGGCGGTTGCTGGTGGTGGTGCTGGTAATCCACATGTCGATCCGTATTGGAGGTGTGAGATCTATACGGCGGTAGCGTGGTGACCGTTGTCTGGCGCGAAAGAGGAGGCATATCAGGCAGCTGTGGCTGTTGCTTGAGATCCATAACGGACGGAAGTGTTGGTAAGGTCGGGTTACGCTTGATGGAGGCTACTCCCGTCTCAAGGTCGGTGTTTGTGCGCTTCCGATCCTGCAACACGACGGCATCGGTCAGGGCCTTGTCTACCTTCTTCTTGACGATGCGCTCGAGTCGTCTGTTGATCTTGCGGCGGCAGTAGGCAGACAGTGAACCATCCTCTGATGGGATATGGTGCCATAGAAACAGCAGGTACATGAGCACCGAGAGACAGAAGCTGATGAACTCAAAGGCCCAGATGACGAGGGTGAAGAGCATAGAGAAGAGGATGAGAGCCTGCAGCGTGTCCTTTTCAGCCAGTGCCTCGATATTGATGAAGAACTGGACGACGGCGAGGGTCCCCTTTGGCGCAGCATGTTTACCGACAGGAATGAGATTGAGCTGCGCTACCGAGTATAGGGTAATGCCATTGATTACCTGGCGCGGTCCCTGGGCGAATATCACTCTCAACCATGCTATACCCCGGTTAGAACGTTGTGAAGGGAAACACTCAAAAGTACGATTGGACTCACCCTCGAAATTGAAATATGTAAAAATAGCGACATAGTCCGCTCCCTTCCTGCTCTTGGTCAGCTCTGCAAAAACCAAGAACCGTCTCCAGCCAGAGGCCCGCTTGCTCGTTCTGATACTCTGCACCTTGACGGCGATGGGGTCAAGGTAGCACTGCGCAACGCCGCCAGAGTTGATGACGCGAATGGCGCGCAGCCAGCGGTAGACCAGCAGCACGAGCGAGAGGATGATGCAGCCAGCAAATATCCATTTTGAGATGTGGAGGGGGATCTCAGGTTTGATCTGGCTGGACCAGCGGGAGAATGCGAGCAGGTTGACGGCCGTGAAGGTGTCTAGGGCGTAAACGGCTATAGAGAGCAGCACGTTGATGTACAGTATGATATATGAAATCGGCACCCAGCACGAGTACGTGTTGAAGTCGCTCAGGTTCTATCAAAAGCGTCAGAAGCGAGTTAGGCCAGGAGACTGGAGGATCTTGAGGCTCACGATGTAATCCCACTTCTGCTCTGCCCTGAGCCTGATCTCCTCGTCCCGGCCTCCGCAGCAGCCCATGATGAATCCTGTTATGTACGGCTAGCAGTAAGACTGAAGCGGCAACTTGTCCTTCTCCCTTCGCGTTGGGGTTCCCTTGTCCGATCCAGCGGACAGAGTGGTACTGTTGTGTTGGTTAAAGGAGTGACTGGAGCATCTATCAACAATGCAGCATTCGAGAGACGATAAAGACCTTCCGTAGACGGCGCGCGATCTCGCTTCGACCTCGCTTCGATCTCGACGTCAGAATGCGATACTACCAGCGATGCGCATCTTTCTAGCCTGGAGTTGCATGCGCGCGAACGTGTAGATTTTAGGACTCGCGCATCAAGCGTTAAATGGCGAGACAGAGAACGAATGACAGAGACGAATGACAGAGAATGACAGTAATGAGTGACAGTACAGAGTAGACGACGGAGTAAAGACAGAGTAAAGACAGAGTAGAGGAGGAGAAGAGTATACGAGTATGCGAAGAGGAGAGATTGTGCCAAGGATCTCCCTGCCGGCTCAGGGGCAACGCCGCCCGCCAGTGATATACAACTACGCGCCGTCGACCACACCACTTGCATGCAGATAGCGCATATTGGCATGATATAGATTGATGTCATGCATGCTTCGACGATGCTATAGCCAGGGGCCGGGCGGGTCGTGGGACGATTTCGTGCGGGTGAGATATGCGCTCGCCGGGCCCTGGTCAACGCTGAAACACGATGGAGATGTGGCTGAAACGCCTGTGTCGGTTGGATGGCGGTGCTCAGGACGATATCAGCGCCTGCGTAGGCCTGCAGGTCAATCGTCATCGTCGTCTTGCTCGCGGTAGCCACTGCGGCGCTTCTGGACGGACATCTCTGCATATCAGACTATAAGGGCTCAAGCTTCGATCATATACATATATACATATATATATACGGATATGTTATTGGTCGGGGAGGGATCCGACGGCATGTTGTGTGCATGGGTATCCAATTTATGATAGGCTGTGTGATCATCGCGGTCGTCTCGTCTGCTGCTCTCATTCGATGTTGTTCCATCAATCGCCGTGCTGGAGCTGGGTAGACATCCCCGTCTGTCGATGAATAGTGGGTGTCCGCTATATACATGAAATGGCAGTGTGTCGGCTTCTGTGTTTGATCGCTCAGGGCCTGCAGGGCAACGGTTGGACTTGGCTGTAGCATCTCAGGCATGTCTCCTTGAAGGTGACAAAGATTTATAGAAACGAGAGAATATAATAGGATCCACTGGTTTAAGCGCAATGGATCAAATGACGGTGGTGATGCTATGTGGCTTGCTCTCCTTAGTCCAATCTGATATGTTACTCGTTAGTCCACAATATAAATAGTTACTCGTCCGGATAACACATGGAATTCCTCAAAAAATATTGCATTAGGTATCAATAGCCTAGTATTTACTGAAATGCGGTAGTTTTGTTGTCAAAACGAGTGAAATATGTACGTGGGTTAATATGTAATATGGAAGAGAAGGGTTGGTTGGTCGACCCCAGGCCGCACCGAGCCAGGAGTATCACACTCATATCCGTGGCCTTTTGCTGGCATTTTAAAGTATCTAATGTCCAGCACGGAATGCCTGCCAAGCCTGGGCAATTCTGGTGGCCTGTCCGCGGGTGAACTGGTTCATGCAGACACTAGGAAGAAATGCATTAGCAAGGGATCCATGGAAGTCGATGCTATAATAGACCGGGACTTACTCGTAGCTGTAGTCCATGTAGTTATGGATCGAATCAACACCGCCACCAGGGCATGAATCCTGGCTGCTTGGGCAGCCGCTGGTCTTCTTGGACTGGGCTGGGGTGTCAGCGACCATGTCGGCGTCAGTGCAAGAGCCGTTTTCGCTGAAGACGTGGTAGAGACCTGGTAGCATTTGATGTTAGTATTCAGAGGAGGTATCAAAAGGTTGCAGAGAGAAGAGTAATTACCAAGGAAATGTCCAACTTCGTGGGTTGCGGTCTTGCCCTGGTTGTAGTTGGTGGTGGAACCGCCGGGGACGGTACCGGATCGGACCATACATCCATCCATGGTGATGGTGGTTTGGCTGGGGTTAGCGCGGGGGAAGTAGCAAATCTATGCATGCATGCTGATTAGTCTCCGAGATGTTTCGATATTGGCGGAGAAGCAAACTTACTCCGAGAAGCCCGCTGCTGAGGTTGGGGATGAAGTAGACGTTGAGGGAGGAGTAAGTTCCCTGGTGAAGAGCGCGCTTCATGCCGGCCTCGTCCTGACCGCTGGCCCAGTTGGAGTTGTTGGTCCTGGTGGCCCTTACGAGTCTGAATTGAACACCAGCTGGTCCGTAGTGCTGGTTCATGGCACTGATCTGGGCCTGCAACTGGGAGTCCTGTTGAATTTTTAGTAAAAGTGGCTTTTGGCTAGCAGTTAAGAGTACATGGTATGCTCACTGGGATGTTGCCGGTGGTGCCGCTGGTGAGGACATGGAAGTAGGTGTCAATGGTGATTCCTGCGGTCAAGTCGGAGCTGGCATTGGCTCCAAGGGAAGCAAAGGCCTCGGTGAATTCGCGGTCGTATCCTCGAGGAGGAACAGCACCACAGGATCGCTCAGCAGAGACGACGGAGCCAGCGGCTGCGAGGCCAGAGAGGAAGAGGGAGAAACGCATGGCGAAAGTGTTGGAGAAGAGTTGTCTTGGTGTTTGTTCTTGAGTGATTTCCGAGGTGAGGATATCAGGCTTGGACAGCACGGATTGCCGCTCTTTTTATACTCGATATTGGCCCCCAGGAGATTTGATATCTCGAGGTAACATCGAGAGATACGGGATCATAGGACTGGCATCTTGCATGTGCCCTTGGCCTTGTCTGCGAACCGCCACCGGGGTATAATCTGCACTGTCACATCCCCTAGGGCGCTGGACGAATCCGAACATAGCCGCGGACACGGAGAAGAAAAGGTCGAATGAGTGTCTCTTGGGCGTGCCGGGCACTAACTGCCGGGTGGAGGAAGAGAGGAGAACTGGATATCATCGCCGGGAGCCCTGCTGTTGACCGCCAGCTGGCTCGGCTACCAAGGGCTTGTGGAGCTTGACACCATGCTTAACGCACTCATGAAGACCACAGTTATACGAAATGAATGAAAGTCGAAAAGAGATGTGATAGAGATGGTGTAAGAGAGTCGAGACAAGCAGGACACACTCTTATATAGAGATCAGGGAGATCGCCACGGTAGATCAACAGAACACCACGCGGTTTCCCCCAAGTCGATCATCAAGTCGATCATGGAGCAGACATCGCGGGCAGCCAGCGGGGGGATATTTTTTTTGGGACGGGAAAGACGCCAGGCTCATAGGCTAACGAAAGTTCGTCGCACCCCTGGTTTCACATCAAAGTCCGGGGTACATATTAACACCCCAGAGTCCCAGGCATGCACGCACAGAAAGCTATACGAGAGCAGTTCGTCATATGCTAGCTGCAGGCTATTTGCGGGGCGATAACACACATTCGTTCGGCCTTCTATCTATTCGTGATAGATGGGGACGGCGAACTAACTATCCATAGCGGCCTGCCAATGGAGTCAGCATAATATCGTCTTCGGAGCCAAAACACGACAACGAACCGCCATGTAACATTCCCCTCGATGACGGCCCACGGTCAACATATTCACTAGGAGGGATAGGTGTTTGAGGCGTCGCAGCCAAGCCGGCTGGCTGAAAAAGCCGCCTCCAGGGCTCCCTGTATCCCTGGACCTCGGATGCAAATTACCAATGCTTGCATATATCAATGCCGTGAATGGAGTCTCACCTAGATAAGCTGTCGTTGATACTCCGTATTATTGACGGATTTAATTATGGGCCATCAGTCTCTGGTTAATCTCTGATAATCTCTGGCAATCTCTGGCAATCGTTGATAATCTCTTGAACATCGCGGTCGAATAGTCAGTGAGAGATGTAGTCGTGTGGTGGCATACTCCGTACAGCTCAGGTTAAAGCGACATAGGATGCTTGTCTTTGGTTCAGGAAATTTCCATAACAGCCGCACATGCCGAGATATCATACTCCGTACGATATCATGCTTAAAATCCTTCACAAGATTATAGCCTAATTTTGCTCGGCGCCAGGGGTTTGCAGCTCCGGTTCAACTCCACTCTTTACCTAGGTTGTTGTAGTTATGGAGTGCTTCGTCGCGTTCAATATCCTATTTGGCGAATGCAGTACCAAAATCCCACATACCTTTCAGTTATTCTTTGCAATTATTGACGGTGCTTATTACTTAGAAATTCCACCAGCTATCCAAGCTTATATCCAAAAATTACAGTGCATCACGTCAGCTAAAATATCAAGAATATGAATGACGAGCAGTCAAGGCGATGAGCGGTAGGTTCGTGCCCAGGCATGCAGCTTCTCGCCTTTGCCATTGGGATTGCCCATAGTGACTCTGTTTCCGGGGCTGATCGTGATTCCCCAGGCTGGCCAAAAGATAAACACGGGATGAAATCAGGATATACTAATTTGGAGGGGTCTTGCTGGCACCGCTGGCCGAGTTTCTCGCTCTCTCTATACGTTTGTTCGAGTCCTGAGCAGCATCATGGAACGCGGCCTCATCAGCCGTGGCTATGTCAGAGGCTTCCAGTGTGATTATCGGTTCGGGTGTGACTTCACGCTCAGCCGCAGTAGGAACTTCGGATTGACCCTGTATGTGCCGTTCAATCGCAGCTTCGATAAATTTATCTCGTTGTTCCTTGGCCCAGTCTCGAGCATTTCGATAGGCGATTGTACCCTTCCGAAACGTTTCCGAATCGCTAGTCATTGACCAACCTTTTAGTTGACTCATGATGTATTCAGGACGACCATCACTTTCCCGTGGGGCCGTGGGATACACTGTGTAGAGCTTGAGCTGGCCATCTTGGTAAGTCGAAGATATTGTGTAGGCCTTATTATCGTAGATGGGCATTTGCTTATAAGATTGGAGACTATGCATTCCTCTCGCGCCCAATGCCCCATCGTAACAAGCTTGCCGTGTGGCGACGGCGGGTGATCCATCGGGCCCCTTTGCTTCTAGAAAGAAGTTTGGGGCTATCGGACGGTCGCTCCGCGTTAATGGCACAATACGGTCGCTAGAGTCTCCCTAATCTGGCGGTTGAGTTGCTCCGGGCGGGCACCAAAGACATGATCCGGTTTTGCACTTGCTAATGTGCCGTCTGTCAACGTGGCAAGGTTTGCAAATACATAATCCCCTCCAACGCATTTTGGGTCATCAATATTACCATCAATGATGGGGATAACTGATGTTGCCACTGGCTTCTCTTCGGATGCATTTGTATCTGCTCGTTCGAAGTTCTCAAATTCCCTCTCAGAGAATTTGGAGGGTGAGAGAGATGGCCGTGGTTGGGCTAGCCTCTCGTTTATTTCCTCCCAATTACCCGGCCTTGAAGGCACCTGACCGCCAGGAAACTCATAACCCCTGGGGCAAATCCCGTGGTCAATAAGGTGTTGCTAAAAGTTCCGATGATAGGCTGTAGTGTTTGAGGACTTTGTGGTAGTCTTATTTTTGCTACCTTCTGCAGGAGACCCCGCACGTCGCTTTCGGTCGCGATCAAGTGCCTGATAATGACCCTTCAGCATGGCCTGGAGTCGCCGAGTTGGTGGCCGGCGAGTACGTTTCTGCGGCTCTTGTATGTTTAAAGCGATGGTTCGTCGATCAAACTCGCGTAAGGCGTCCTTTGTCAACCAGATTCTCGATAGGTTATCCCAAAATTCTGGAGGCGGATGGCACGCCTTCACCCTTTTTGATTAGCGATGTGTTTGGTCGAGATGATCCTCGGGTGTCTGTCGTTTGTGAGATTGGCCCAGGGCGCCTGAGCAAGACATATGGAAATTGTAGCTGCCTTGGATGTAAAACGTGAGGTGCGAACTGTCATTCATATAGCCAGGGATTTGGGCGCGTAGCTTCGACCTTGCGCGATGCAGTCTATAGGGTAAGAATTTAGCCCCCTGCATACTGTTCAGGCAGGGAGTTGAACATACGCGCCTGCAAAGCGTCCTGGGTCGAAGCCTTTCCAACGAAAGGCTGAGGTTTATGCGATCTCCAGACCAGCGCCCCTTGGCAGCCAACACCCCCTGCATGGGTGCCCTGCTCATCATCCTATTCTGCCGTATTGACGGGCCATGTCCTTTGCTCAGTGCGTTTCGTGCTCAATTGACACTGTTATCGTAGCAAAGTGTCAGTTCTCAGTCTCCTCCTCGTTAAAACGGAATAATCATGGATCACGTGACTGCTCATTATGAACATGGATGAAGGCATAAAAGGAGAAGACAGAAGAGAAGGATAGAAATGACCCAGTTGCTAGGATATCAATTATCATATACAAAAGGCTCTTGTTCTAAGATTTCGATACTCGGACCGAGATTCATTTAATCTACGGCTACTTACAACATATCCAGCATGATTTAATCCACGGAAAGATCGAGCCAGGATATCAGAAAGAAACAACGATGCATTCCCCTTGAAGTGATTGAGATAGTATCCTTGTAACAATATTCATGGTTATTATTAGACAGCAACGATATAAAGGATCTTCCTTCCTTCAAGAGAACCCGAGTCCAGTGCAGAAAAGAAACAGCCGTCCAGCACTTCGTCATACTGAGCCGCCCCAGCACTTATGTACCCTGGTCCAAGGGCCACAGGAATCGTACTTCATGCCATATGCGGATAGGTCTCGAATGTATCCCTCCCACTTCTCGTCGCGCTGAGGTGCACACTCTGCAATCGCCGTTAACAGGATAAAAGTCGGGTACAGGAAACCCTGTATATAGTCAGATGTCTGCGGAACACCAGCCCTAAGCAGCATCAAGCACGGTTTAATCCCAGCATCCCATACTTCATCGTGTAGCCGAAGGTCTTCGGACTGGCGTCTCAGGTCGTCTGGAGTCTCCGGATGCCGGGAAAACATCATTATATCATAACACCATTGGACGAGCGTGCTGTGTGCAGTTGTTACCTCTGTCCAGTAATCTGGCTTCCTATCACGTTCCTCCGTGTTGGAAAGCGACAGACACAGCCCTTTTGCTTGACCCAGCTCTTCGACCAATGTGCTGAATTCCTTTCCAAACTCCTCATCCGAGATATGCCTGCCACCCAGTTGGTCGGTAATGCCGGTGACGGGCTGAGCGGGGTCTTGGCCCGAATTATATCGATATTTGTACACAATCCAGTCATAGACTCCGTCGCGAGAGAACCCCTTCTCGGTAAAAGCGGTACGGAACAGTTGGCAGAGATGATCGTAGTCGGGTTTGTCGCTCTCGATAGGACGTCTGACGTACTCCATGTACTCTATAAACTCGCGTGGCAGGCCTTCACAAAGAGTCTCTGTAGGAGTCGCTATCATATGCTGAAGGATATCGTCGTATTGGGACTCTATCGGGCTGACCTCCAGCCCACGCCAGGGAGCAACTCTGCGACACATATAGATTAACATGTATCCGAGTGCCGCCAGATCAGCCCCCGCATCACCGTCTCTTATCGCCCTTGCTTCGGCTGCCTCTACAAGCGTTATCTGATTCCCAGCCTTGGCTGCGCCTATGGCAAACGCGCTGGGCCGGACCTGGCGGAGGGTTAGGGAGCGGGAGTGTATAAATCTGAGAAGGCGAAGGAGCTGTTCGGCGAGGAGGAGCACCGTCTTGAGGGAGAACGCTCTACACCACCCCAGGAGTGCCTCCAAAGTAGGGCCAGCCCGCCGGTGCACCATGTACCTGTAGCCGCCTTGACTGCCCTGGCGTTCAACCAGCGGGACACCGACACCCCCGGCGAGAGAGCAGATATTCTCAGTCTCCCGTTCAAGAGACTGCTTTTCTGCGTCACACCTCTCCAACTTGATCATGACCCCGTGGTCTTCGCCAGAGACGGCCGGCCCATCATCGCCTAGCCGGAACTGACGCCTACCAGCGTAGATGCCGTCTCCAAGATGCAATTGGAGTTCATACCGACCGTCGATCGAGACCTAAAGCCAAGTCAGTGGATTCTTGTAACGCTGGCGAGCATAAACATACAAATGGGAGAGCCATCGCGCTCGGGGGATGGCTTGAGGTAGATAATTCACCGAGTAGTAACTACCAAGGAGGAAACTTGCTTGCAACAAAGATGAGTGGGAAAGACAGGATTTTGTGGTGTTTTACGCACCATACGTCAAAGAATTATCCTTAACTCCAAGTGGCTACCGAGGCTCCTCTAGCTTGTGGCTGATCTTTACTGTTTAGCCTTGGGCTGCATCGAATCCTCCGATCCGAGAAAGCCACAAAGACTCGTTTCCGCCAGACAGCCATGAAGCACTTCCCCTTTTGGCATCGGGCGTAAGTTTGGTCCGCTGGATAGCTCTATGCCTACCTGCATCCGGCCGAGGCTCTCGAGCGAGACGGCCCAGTGTTTCGTTCGCATTCAGCCGTAATCAAGGCCTCCGCGCCCTGAGACACGAGAATCTACTTGACGTACGTAAGTTTGCCCCTAAGTTTGCCTACCGTCCAGCCTGCGTTGGCGATATCACGGCTAAGGGCAGGGGAAAAGACCTGCTTGGGACCAACTTGGGGATTCGTCGCCTTCGGCCGGGCGCAGTATCGCCCGGGAGAATAGCAAACAAGAGGGCTGCGAACCACCAGGCTGTACTAGAATATGCAGGGGAAGGGAGAAGGCAGCAAGGCGTCCATCTTTTACCGTTTCTATTCTTATACTGTTTCTATTCTTGTCTTGAGTTTCGGGACGAACCCAAAGTACCAAAGCTAAATAATTATGCGCTGCATAACTTCTGGCCTGAGACTGAACATCGACGTCTTTGATAAGACAGAGCTTCCATGTCTCAGTACCTAGCTGCGTCATGCTTACTTAGGCTGACCTGATGTTGCAACTAGAGTGATGTGCCTTGAATATAAGAGTAAGAGCCAGGCTACTTAACCGTATTGTGACTTTAGAGAGAAATATTCTCCTTACGGCAGATCTCCCAGGCTCCCCAGCCACGGAAATGAAACGGAAATGACACGGAAATGGCACGGAACTATACGTAAATGACACGGAACGACACATAAATGACACGGAACGACACATAAATGAGGGTGGGAAGGACCAGGGTTCTTTTCTCAAAGCTCAGCCTTGTGGTGACAGTACCGTGGGAGTTTACATGGTGCCAGCAAATTCGATGACCTAAACTATTTCTTCTCTGGCTAGGTTATCTCTTCTTTGTTTGAAGACAACGGCGTTTATCTACTTTACTAACGCAAGGCCATGTGAGCTTTAGAGAGGGACTTCTAGGAACAGTAACCCAGTGTAGGAGGTTGATATCTTCGTTTATTTACTAGCTCGGCGTCACGGATCAGAAGAAACCGTACGCACGATCGATGTAGACCTCATCTTGATATTTCAGACATGCCAACACGGAGCTTCTCAAGATTGTGTCTGGCGTTCTGGGTAAGCGGCAAGCGCTCTCGACTCGATCGGTATGCGATGTGGATATAGGTATGATGTTAGAACACGTTTTCCGTGGATTCTTTTCGGCGTATCATCTTCCATGCGAAATAGGACTTGTGCCATGTTCTATGCGCCTGATAAAGGTCAGATCAATCCAAGTATTGGTGTGCAGCTTCGGCATACCAGCTTCTGAATCCTCTTTAAACTCCTTGTGGTGGTTGACTTGTTTAACTCTTTGGTGGAAACCAGCCTCAGATCGACCTAAGTCGTGGCTGTGATAATAAATGGCGGGAAGGGAACAACTACATGACCGAGAGACGCATCAACCCTAACATACCTATACTCGAAGACGGCTCTTCCTGTACTTTGATATTATTCAAGTCTTCATCAAGTTAGTCCTTACTTACTCGACTTACAGGAATGCTTTAGCGTGGTATACGCTTGATGTCCTTTTCGCGGTTATCATGGCATTGTCTACTCGCGCTACATATATCTCGAACGGAAGACCGAGATTCCCTGGCCGTGAGCGCGAGGACCGGCATCTTGGATAGACCGGTATCGTATGATTGAACGGTTGGCCAAGCAAGCATGGGTACGCGTCCGGGGATCCGATGGCCGAACTGTGGATAAACTGGCCAAAACCCTCCAGGGGGGAAAGAATTTCTCCTCTCAACACAGCTGATTGATATATTTATTATTATTATTATTTCATGAGCTCCATTGACCGCCGCCATGGGTGCAAAACACAGAAATTCTCCTCCTCCAACCAGCCGTAAGGAGAACGGATCTACTGCTACGGCCAAGTTCACGGATGGCGCGTCAGATGAGTTCGAGTTTGGGGGTTCGCTCGGGGCTGCCTCGCTGATGGTAGGCTTCCCGCTGCTGATGTGGTATATGTGGATAGGCGCAACATACTACGATGGCGGCCTCCCTCTGCCTGCTGCCGACCAGACCTGGGCTGAGTTTGGCCGCCATCTATCCCATCTGGTGTACGAGGGAGCCTATCCAACCGCCAGAGCATGGGCTATCTACTGGGTATTCTTCATCGCGGAGGCGCTCATGTACTGCTACATGCCTGGTGCCTCCAGCCACGGCCGGCCCCTGAGACACGAAGGAGGCAAGCGGCTTCCCTACTACTGTTCTGCATACTGCAGCTTCTACGCGACGCTCGCCGTTGCGGCCATCCTGCACGTCACCGGCTTGTTCCCCCTATACACGTTGATTGACGAGTTTGGATCAATTATGACTGTCGCTATTCTGTCGGGCTTCCTCAATAGCTTGATTGTCTATATCCAAGCTATCGTACGTGGACGAACACATCGGCTTACAGGTTACCCCATATACGACTTTTTCATGGGTGCCGAACTGAACCCCCGCATCGGAATCCTGGACTTCAAGATGTTCTACGAAGTGAGGATCCCATGGTTCATCCTGTTCCTCATCACTTGCTCCGTGGCTGCCCGCCAGTTCGAAACGTATGGCTACGTCTCGCCGGAGGTGGTCTTCCTAGCCGTGGCGCACTTCTTATATACCAATGCCTGTGCCAAAGCTGAGCAGATGATCATTACGAGCTGGTAAGCACATATAATCAGCAATGTGATACCTGTCGTGGCTAACGCCGATATAGGGACATGTACTTTGAAAAATTGGGTTTCATGCTCACCTTCTGGAATATGGCCGGTGTGCCCTTTACTTATTGCCATTGTGCTCTATACCTAGCGAATCATGACCCGTCCGAGTACCGTTGGAATCCCTTCTCCCTGGCAGTGCTTGCTGTTATTTACCTTTTCATGTATTGGATGTGGGACAGCGCCAACGGCCAGAAGAACGCATTCCGCCACAAGGAGAAGGGTCAGCTCATAAAGCGTAACACTTTTCCCCAAGTGCCTTGGCAGGCGATTGAGAACCCAAAGACTATCAAGACGGATGCAGGTGATCATCTGTTGGTCGATGGCTGGTTTGCGATCATCCGAAAGCCCAACTATGTCCCTGACATGTTCTTCTCGATGACCTGGGGTCTACTCACTGGTTTCAAGTAAGTGCTTTATGTGTATGAGATCTCGAAAGGAGGATATAATAACTGATTTCCCGGCGTTAGGAGCCCCTTCCCCTGGTTTTACTTTGTGTTCTTTATGGTCATGATCATTCACCGTACAAGTAGAGATATTACCAGATGCCGGAGAAAGTACGGTGAAGCTTGGAAGCGCTACGAGGAAGCTGTACCATATATCTTCATCCCAGTAAGTTTGTTGTGATAGATCGAAATAGTGAAGAAGTAAATGCTAACAAGTGTGAAGTATGTCATCTAATCGCGGTGGACACCTTCCCAGATGCATACATTCTAGCAGTTCACCAGAGGAGGTTGACTATTTGGCGCTTCTGTATAATGTATGTACTTCCACAAGTAATAGTATAATCAAGCTAGATTTTGACTGCGAATGCAGACATAGTACTATGAGCTAAAAACGGCAAGAGAATAACGAAGTGAGGGAATACAGAGGGAGAGGTATTAGGAATTAGATCCGTAATGGCAAGTTCTCAAGCCGCAGTCTTCCCAGCCTTAGTCTGACGCGAGAGGGAAGCTATGCCAGTCCGTATGCCAATTATCAGTCCTCTTGGGCCAGATCTCTCGAAATATTTGCTCATAAAATCTCAATTTGGATTCGTCCCATTTGAAATTATTGGTCCGCCCTCTTTGTTCCAGTTGGGGTATCTCTTGGACTAGGATGTCGTCACAGTCATCTCTTCTGGTCTGGTTCCTTATAACCTCCCAACTGCGGCTAATAACTTTGAGGATATACGTTAAGTCCGACACCAAGGTCAAATGTTTAGGTGTAATATTCCAGTCTCCGCTAACACACAGCTTTACCCCCTGCAAAGTAGGCTTTCCATACTCCGACTGGGCTTGTATGATTTCTTGATATACTGCGAGAACGAGACGACCATCAACCGCGGCATTAATCAACCCCCTTCGTGCATGATCTCTGTTCACTCCCCTTGGTACCGCATTATTGTTTCGTATCTGGTCTAAAACATATTCCTCGGATGGTGGGTAGAAAGTGGGATCTGAACAATCGAGGGATATCGTCAGGCGTTTTAGGCCATGCATAGAACCAAGAGCCCTATATATGGCGACTTCTTCCTTACTGCCTTGGGAACGCGGGATAAGCAGCGTGGCTTCCTCTAATTTTGAACAGTATCTGGCGAGCTCGCCAATATTTTCGGCAGTTAGGGCCAGTTGATTTGCCTCATAATGCGACGGAGACGAGAGCCAAAGCCGAGAGAGCGTGTGATGATGTAGGACCGCCTGGAAGGTCTGTCGGCCGTATCGCCCCGATAGTTTAAGAGTATGAAGAGGAGGCAGATTCCGCAGGAGAGCGGCCGCTACTTCGTCCATTTGATCACTCTCATTGTGGTGGCATGTCAAGTGTAAACCAAGAGCTCTGAGGGAGCTGAAGTTGCAGTTGCTTGCCCATCCCAGGGCCTCTACTGAATACCTAAGACTGCATTCAAGGGTGCGTATCGACGAGAATATTACGTATTTTTTCCATCCTTCAAAGCGCGATAGATGGTTGGCCCGGAGGCTTAGGGTATCAAGACGCCCAGGGCTCAGGGGTTGTTGTGGACGGTTTGGAAAGAATCCTTGCCATTGAAGCGCGCCCTCCCTGACAGCCCTTATATACCGTGGAGTCCCTATTTGGTAACTATTAACAAGCCGCACATGCTTCAGGTTTGGAGCCAGTCCCGCCATCATCAACTGGACAGCTTCGGCGTTGCAGTTTCTTTGGCCGTCAGCGGTATACCGTGAACAGGATGCAACGATGCAGTATAGCTGTGGGCACGAGGCAAGAGCATAGTCGTCCGGGTCTATATCATACCGAGTATTTCTGGGTTGAATCAGGCTTCCTAGTTCAAAGCTGTGAAGGTGAAGTTTGCAACGGAAAATAGAGCGTAATGCGTCCAGCATGCAAGACGGAAATACGTGAGAAATGGAGTATATCAGGTCAGTAAGCCCTGGAAAACGCACTATAAGGCGAGCCAGATGCTTATAGTCGTCCTCCAGGTCCTCGAAAGGTGCAAGAAGCTTAGAGAAATAAGGGTTATAACTTTCAGCATGGCATTCGGCTTCATCATCGGTTTCGGTCACCAATTGCTCCTTCTCGTGAGTGTTGACAACTGGCAAGGAACTCCCTACCACGACCCGGCGAACACACCCAAAGCTGGACCTGTTCTGTAGAATATAATTCCAGCTAGCAATATCTTTGCTTAAACCCGTGAAGCAGGGAATTTCAAGATTGTCGCTCAAACTTTTGCGACTAGAAAGACGAATCGTTCGAAACCGTTGTTTGTTGGACGCAAGACAGCACAACTTGCTAACAGCTGAAAAATCATATAAGCTGGGTTTATATTCGGCGGCAAGATAGTCACAGATCCGATGCAGGGTCTCCAGTGGTAGACTCTCTAGCTTAGACATGCTGCTGGAAGACATACGGCCACGGCCTGTAGACGAAATGGATGGCAGCGAGGACAGAGATGGGAGCAGTTTTCATTCTCTATGTATGCTCAGCCAGTCATATAGATGCCCGCGAACAGGGGTAACTATCGGAAAGTTACTTAAATATCTTCCCCTTGACCAATAATAAAGACTCAATTTCATGATGATTTCTGGTGGCCTGTTCGAGTGTAGAGTATACGTATCTATGTAGTTCAATGGCGAGTTCTCAAGCTGCGGTGAATATATTATGCCTCCCCCATGGTGGGTTCTTGACGCAAAAGAATCCTGTCCCTCTTCCTCATTCTATTCTTCTTCCCGTCTTCTATTCCATCCAGGGCAGCCGATCGCTTCTTGGATGTCCTGCTTCTTGGAGAGACAGTTAGAGTACAGCGGTGAAAATCAATTATCAAGGCCCGCCCTAACTCTGCATTCCAAAGGATGTTGTTAGGCTTCAAGTCCAGATGGTTGACACCCATATCGAGTATCTCCTTATGCGACCGATTAATTTCATTGTCTAGCTCTTTGGAACCCTCAATTTTACTGGTATCCTCTCCGCCCCAGCCCATGAGCAGCATGTGCTTAATCGGCCCTGCACCGTGTAGATAGTAAGTCATTCTCAAATTGACGCAGCCCAGGAACACGGTGATTGCAGAGCCCTGGGCCTTGCGGAGAAAGCGATAGACCACTGCTTCGCCTTGCACTTCGTCCCAGCGGCGGGCTGTTGTGCCCTTCCCAACTATAGTGTAACCATACTGGCGACAGGTAATCTTAAACGGCGCCCCGTACGAGCCACTCTGACCGAAGGGGGTGCATTTTTGATCTAGGTCTTCATCCAACTGTTGGTTGATCAAGCGCACTAGATACTCGGCGTTAATGGGATGCTTATCACTACTATCTTTTGATCTGTGACTGTCCACATTCGGGCACCCTTCATCCAGGTTACCTCCGCGATGAAGGCCGAGTAAGCATTTCAGTGTGCAAAATGCCTCTGTGTGTTGGTTATAATTTCCCCGACTTCTGCTGTCTTCTCTCTGGCGCGACTGTCGCCGATTAGGCGGTGACGCTGTGAGCTCGCTTAAGTTCCGCTTCCGTCCGGGGGCTGGTTGCTCGGAATCAGAGTCGAGGTTCGAGTCAGAGTCAGTAGGCCCTGAAGGATGTGTACTTGTGCTTTGGGGTGCACAGCTGGACCGGGATCGAGTGATAGGTTGATCTCTCGCCACGGGAGAGCTTGAAACAGGCGAGGATGGTATATACTCTGAGCCTGGAGGGGTTTGGCGGAGCTCTTCTTTAGGTATCTGTGCTCTTTTATAGTCAAGACTTGTCTCCCAAGTATCTAGTTTCTCTATCCATTTGTTTCGCCAATGCTGATCCTGAGGCTGGGAGCCGCAGCTCATTAGGCAAAGACAGAGTACCCGGGCAATAGAGGTTTTTGGCTGTAAAATATGAGTCTCATCGGGGCCTATTTCCTCGTTAGGCTCGCAGAGGTGGTAGTAGAGTGTTCTTGGGTCATCGCGATTGATACGCAGTAGTATATAGGCTAATCCATTAGTGATATAGGAGAATTCTAGGCCTTCCCTAATCATCACATCGAACTCCTGAACCAAAACAGATGCTGTTATCTGTTCGGCGTTATATGTTAATTTTGCTCCTGGGTCCTTTGGGGCAGCTCGCTGAACTACTTCCTCCCAGAGATTCATAGGACGGAGGCCGGTGCGGAGATAGCTGACTGGTAGCTTGTGCGGCGGCTTATACTCAACAGTGGTGAGTAGTCTAAGGATACCATCCTCTTGTCGATGGATACAGAACTGATCTGGTATAGAGCGCCGTCCGTCTATTGCACATATATCATCGCCGTCGCCTTCATCAATAATATTCGTATGGTTCTCAAAAACGACCCCCTCTCCAATAGTAAAATCAGTCTGAGCGTTCGGCTTCCTGCATAACGCTGTGATGATATCCTGGACATATTGTTCTACTGCCATTCGCTCGTAAAATGCTAGGTCTGCCTCACTGCTTAATGCTCTGCGACAACTCCATGCAACGCCCTTGAGTTCAGCTTCGGGAGGAAACAGTCTCTCGGTTGGTTGGAAATGGTGAAGGACATTGCTGTAAATTTTATCCTGGATATCTTGGCAGTCTACCCAGTGTCGAAGGTAGACTGGACATAATTTCCCAGTTGGCTTGCCAATTGGTCCCTGTGTAGAGAAGAATGGATTCCGAACCCGTAGAGGCCGAGAGACGAGGTCGTGGCATAATCGGATCAATTCGTGGAATGATGTCTGCTGGTTAAGCTCCTCAGCAGCGTGTTGTCGCTCCTCAGCAGCTTTTCGTTGCTCCTCCGCTTGGAGTCGTTCCTCTCTTTCTCGTGTTGCTCGCTCCTCTGCCTGGAGTCGTCGTTCTTCTGCCTGCAGAAAGAGAGCTTTGTAGTCTAACTCGTCTTGAGAAGCCATCGGTCCTCTGTTGGAGAGAACTGTTGCTTGGACTGAAGGGAGTATCAAGCTAACGTACGTAATTGAGATGTACGAGAGATGATATTAATGACGATGTGTCAGATTCTCTGTGTTGGGTACAGTTCCTATATCCAATGGGCCCCATTAGACACAAGGCCTCTTTATCCCTTGCAGTCCAACATGATGCCTGATATCAAGATGTCAAGATGTCAACCCTGAGTATAGGTGAATTCTGACTAAGCATGTCTGCCTGGTCGGAAAATAGTTAGTCCGCAGAACTTAGCGCTGGACGATATAGAGGCTTATATAGAGATTTATAGAGATTTATAGTTGGCAGAGACTGGCTCTACACGACCGTCGACCGGAGCAAACCGCAGTAGTACGTAAATGAACGAGCGGGCTGTTTGGGGAGAGCAGGCCACATCGCTGTCCTGGCATTTTCAGGTTGGAATGAAACCGTCACAGATAGATGAAGTATGATGATAAAGTGAAATCTTGGCCCTAACTAATCATTCTGTATTAAAATTAAGCAACTGGTGTTCTGTCTATTATCTATGTACATATTACGCCTATGCGATTGGCGCATAAAAGCTAAACATTCCCTTGGGATCATACTTCTGCTTCAAGGCCTTCAGCTTGTCCTGGCGCCACTGCTCAGAGCCGTACCACTGCTGTGGCGTCTCGGCACCATAGGCGTAGTTGACGTACGCATGCAACTCCTGGCGGCCACTGGCCTGGAGGAGGATGTTACGGAGCTGGAGACCCAAGTTAGCGGCCTTCTGATCGAGGGCTGAGTCGGCGGGCGTGTAGCTGATGAGCGGGGCGGCGAGATAGTTATCACCACGGAAGGCGAAGGCGGTGGTCTTGGGGTCAATCGCCTTCACGCCCTGGTTGGAGTAGCCCTCGAACATGAAGATGGAGTTGTGGAAATCGGTGGCGATGTTGGCCTGGGCAGCAAAGAGATCGTATGCCTGTCTCATCGCGGGAACGTTGTAGGTTTCGAGGTAGATGGGGAAGCGAGGGTTGGAGAGCCCGGACTTCTGGCATGGAGGAGAGTCGGTAGCGATGCCGGTCCATCCAGCGAGGTCCTTGTAGGTTCCTGCACTGGGTTCGATGCTGATGGCACCAATGTCATGGAATGGCTTCGTGATGGCTGGGTCAACGGCCGATACACCTTCTTGGATGATGTAGAAGATGATGACAGGCTGGAGAAGATGACGTTAGAAGATGGTTTGGGTTAAAAATACGGGGGTAGACGGTGGTGCTAACCTTGTTCGCATCAGCGCCGGGGTTGTTGAGCCAGTACGACCAGTTGATGACGTCGGAGGGCTGGTTGGTGAGGAAGTGGTCGTTGGCGGCTTGGTAAACGGCCTCGACCTTGTCACCGCTATAGGTCAGGGTCTCGATGGCCCAGTTGCTGTACTGGATATCAAAGATCTTGATGGTGACAGAGGTGACGATGCCAAAGTTATGGCCGGCACCCTTCATGGCCCACCAGAGGTCAGAATTGGGGTTGAGCGTCACGAGGCTGCCGTTTGCAAGGACGACATCCATAGACAGGAACTGGTCGGCGATGAGTCCATGGTGTCCCTGAAGCCAGCCGTGGCCGCCTCCAAGCGCAGGCCCAAGATAGCTGACACACTCGCAGGTTCCAGTAACTAGTTGCCAAGTTAGCTCAACCTTCATACATATATACTGCAACCTTCATACACATATACTGTGCCCTTCATATATATATACTGAGAACAGACTTACCAGCTTGCTTGTTGGCAGTCCAGAGGGTGTCGGTGACGAGCTTGGAGTTGGTTCCGCCGCCAATCTTGACCGATTTACCGTCCTGGGAGATTTGGACGCTGCTGAGCTGCTTCATGTAGATCTCGATACCGGTGTCCATCTTGCCCATGGTGGTGAGGGCACCATGGGCGCCATTGTAGGCGAGGAAAGGAACCGACTTCTTGTTTGCGAATTTGACCTTGCAAGAGATAAGTATGCATGCATAAGATAGCCCGTCTCGTATAAAGCGAGGGATAACTTACTGTTTCAACGACGTCAGCCGCGGTGTTTGGCACAACTACAACGTTCACCTGGGGAGCCTGGAGGGCGGACCAGCGAGTCGTGGCATCGTCGAAGCCGCTTGAGCCAGGGAGATAGACGTTGGCCTCCTTGGACAGCTTCGGCACGAGCTTAGTCTGAACGTCGTCTACCCAACCTGCGGTAGCCCTTCGACAGACGCCGGCGGCACCGTCCTCGCTGCGATTGATGTTTCTAGCCGCGGAGCCCGTCGCCCACGCGGCGAGCGCCATGATAATCCCCTTTGCAAGCCCTTGCATATTTGAAAGGACTAACCGGAAGAAAGGGATAAAGGGAGATTATTCGATGCAGGAAATGAGAGGTTAAAGACCAAGGTTGCGAGACGCCATGTGCAACCAAGGGGAAGTCGTAGAAGAAAAAGAAAACACCCCTGGGGTTCTCTCTCGCCGTCCTCCGTACGCCGCTACACCGTATGGCTAGCGCATATCACCGAGAGACCAAACCCGGCATGGCAGCGCGGCAAGGATGGCTGTCTCTCAAATTCTATGCATCAAGTCGACGCCATCCCGGACCCCCTGTGCCCCTGGATGGGCGCCCCTACCCCCTGGAGATTTCGCTGGAGATTCCGATGGAGAAAGATGGAGCAAAACGGAAATGCTGAATATAGCGTAGTATTATGTCCGCGTTATTGGCCACCACCATGCGCCGAGCTTCGCTTGTCTGGCTCCGTCGTGTTTTCCCGCAGTGCATGAGGAGATTCGGCGCTGCTGATAGGACTTTGCTGTAGTCTAGGGAGCGTATGGTACAAGTATGCAGATTCCGTACGGAGTAGAGCTTCGAGAGAGACTCGTATCTGACTTTGTCGAGATGCAACCATGGCTCGGGCGATCAGACGGCAGGGGACCCCGGAACCAGACAAGCCTTCATCCATGATGGAATCTCATAACTCAAGGCGTTTTCCTTCCTGACCGTTCGTCGATTGATCGATCATGCAGAGACAGTGACGGACAGTGACAGAGTGACAGACAGTGGCAGACATACACCTCCTCCATCTGAATTCGAACAAAACATCGCCATGCTGCCCACCGACCCGGCGGCAATTGCTGCTGCCCAGGAAGCTGGTCGCCAGGCCACGATCGAGATATGGACGCTCTTCGGCGTCGGTTTCACTGCGACGATACTCAGGCTGTACGCGCGAGTACACGCCGTAGGATTTAGGAACCTGCGGCCAGACGACTATCTGGTGGTTGTCGCATTGGTCAGTCCGCCTAAGAGTCCCTGGCCTATACAATCCCCGTCGACATATATGCTAATATATATATCCATGCCATGCAGGTGCTGTACGCTGTCCAATCGACGCTCGGCTACAGCGTAGGCAATTTGGCCCATGGCCTCGCGAACAACATCATGTCGGACAAGGAGCGCGCGCTGTTGGAGGTCGGCAGTCCGGAGTACGAGTTCAGGTGTGTGACGATATGTTGTTTGTGGTTTGCGCCTGGTTGACCGTTATTAGGGTGATCGGGTCCAAGATCCAGATCTCGGGCTGGACGGTGTATACGTTCCTCATCTCGATGCTCAAGTTTTCCATGCTCGCATTCTACATTCGACTTACGGTACGTACCATCCACTTTCCATGCATAGACAGGACTGACGAGACGTAGGAGGGCGTTGGCGGGAGCTATCGCTTGCAAATATACGTCGGTTTCGGCCTCGTCGGCGGAACTTGTCTGGCATCGCTTCTCACCATCTTCACGGCATGTCGGCCTTTCTACAAGTACTGGCAGATCAATCCAAACCCAGGCAGTGAGTCTTCCCATTTCTGTCTATTCTAGCTATGGTCTAACGTGCGGTAGATGTCTGTCAGCCGGCGGTCTCGCTGCCCATCGTCTGGGTCTCGTTCGCCGCAAACATTATCACTGACATCTATCTCATACTAATCCCTCTCCCCATGCTCTGGAGGTCTACCCTGAGGACGATCAAGAAGATTGCAGCGAGCATCGTGCTCGGCGCCGGCATCTTTGTGCTCGTCTGCGCATGTCTCAAGAGTATCTTCGTCTTGGTGGTACGTTGTATTCTGTACTCTATATCTTATACCTATATTGTACTAACTGCTGCAGAACCCTGTCAACGGCGCACAGCTCGCAGGCGCCTGGGGTGTGCGCGAGGCCTTCGTCGCAGTGATGGTGACCAACCTGCCCATGATCTTCCCGCTCATCCGAGCAATGCTCTCCCCCTTCTTCGGCAAGCTCTTCTCGACGCAGAGGAAGTCGTCCTACAAGTCGCCCGGGTTTCAGACCATCGGTGGCGGTACGCCCCGCGGCGGTAACTCTTCCCACAACCGGAATACCAGTCGTCGCCAGCCACAGAGCGACCTCACCACCAGCTTCACGCTCAACGGCAGCAACGAGCGAATCGTCGACGACAACAACAACGTCAAGATGCAGGACCTAAAGTCTTTTGCTTCAATAGACCCTGAGCCAAACGACCCGCCCGCGCGCGGCATCATGATCTCAAACTCAGTCGAGGTCATGCATGAGGACAGAGGTAGTACACACGATGAAGAACAGCAGCGAGTGGAGCATGTCCGTGAAGCATGGTAGCTAACCGACACGGCTCTTAGATGAGGCATGACGTTCAAGATGTTTAAAGACAAAGCAGAAAAAGAAAAAAGAATTACACACTTAATTAAACTACGCTCCTAATTTGGTGTCTGGTGTCGGCGTCGGTGGTCAAGCCATTTTTAAAGAACAGAGGACCCTGCTAATTACGACTTCCCGCTCTCCGTTCGACCGTTCCTTGCCCAGCAACCGGACTCTTAAACGCGCGCCGTCGAATTGCTCAACGCCATCCCTATTTACACCTTCGACGAATCCAATATACACACATATCTCCAGGCCGCTCTGCCAGCCAAGCCGCCTTGCCTCTCCTCGACCCCCGCCGCTTCTACCGTTCACCTCCCTTTTTTGTCCTTAGAGTGGTTATACCCATTCCTTTATATTTTCTTTTTTTTTTCCCTCGGCTTTAGTGTGGCCTTGTGTCTTTGCATGTTACCCCTCACCATTATACGGAGTACGAACGGTGGATATCTGAGCCTTGTTTTATATACCATTTCCCTGGCCTTGTCGCGATTTTGCATATACATATATTTGTATTAATGATTGTATAACTAGCACGAATTTTAAAGTACATACCTTAATTAGAACAGTTTAAACACTTCAAATCGATCGAAATTAACAATTCACAAGCTTTGTGCCGGCCGAGGAAGCGAAATTGAAGTTTCCACTCTAGCCCGTCTTAGGAAATACTACCGGGCGGCGGAATCCGGCTTGGCTTGCACTAATATATTTCTAAAAAGAAGTGTGTATCTAGATTATCGATCAAAGGCACGATGTGTGGTACCAAAAAGCAAGCGGTGAACGTGCGGTGGCCAGCAAATTGTCCGCTATGCCCCCTGAGCCGGCGACCAAGAGAAGGAAGAGGAAAACCTCCATGCTCGTGTGATCATCGACGTGCGGAGGGCCAGGTTTCACGCTCGTAGCGATGATCATCCCCAGATCTCCAACTATTAGGTCATCGCCGGACATCATTGTCCTTGCCTCTGTCATGGTTCATCAGCATATGATATTCAACCTCGTCTTGAGCAATTTCACAGCGGATGATGCACAACTAATGTTTCCAAAGCCGACAGCGCCACCTGCACGCAACCAAAGTACCAAGAACCGTATGGAGAGTAGTTAGTACTGACTAGTTTAGTTCCTCTGTGCTGGGATAACACAAGGAAGCTCCCTATTTTAGCGTATGCAAATATCATACTTACTTAGTACCGCGTTAACACATCCTTACCATAGTTAAGCTTGTTAGAGTGGCATTCATCCCAGTAAGCCAAGTCGCCGGTGAACCCCCAAGAGTACTCCGTAGAGGCTTGCACATATCTGCTAAAACGGAAGACACAATGTGAAACGCGATCCTCCATACGAGTTCCAGAGCAGATCAGCAGAGGATGAGCCTCATGATTCTGCCCCGTACGTAGTAAATCTCGATCGCGTAGAGACCGATTGACCGTTACTCCACCGAGTTGCGGAAAAATCAGCCACGTTCAGGCCCCTGGAGCATCTGGGTTCGACGATGAGATAGTCGGTTCTCGGTGTGAGTTCAGGGCCGGGCGAGCCGAAGTAACCTCAGGCACCCTAGAGTGACCACAAATTGCGATTGAGTGGGTTGTGGCTAGCTGGCTGCAGGGTAGACGCTGCATCGAACAAACATCATATTCGGAGATGCTGTCTACTCCGTATCGACTGTTCCGGATTCTAGAGAGGACGATAGCCACTGACGGAGACAACCAGCCCCCGAGTTACGGAGTACTCCATAACCATTCGAGCACGGGTTCGACCTCGTGGGAGAACTGCATCCACAGTAAAATAGGGGTACAGAGCAGATACGTCTATCATCCAATCCGAGCGTCCTCTTCGCACCCATCGTTCATATCACACTTAATTTGCATCGTTGGTGCAGCCGAATCCCGACAGATCAAAGGCCCCACAGATGTCGTGATATCTGATATCAAGGGGATAACCAGATCTTCAGAGATAGTTAGATCTTCAGATCCGACAGTCCTAGCGCCGACGAGCACGGTGAGCGGGATTATGTTCTAGCATGCTCTAGCATGCCTCTCAACAGTCTCGCATGTGAGAAGATCTTCAGCGCTCCGAGTAGTTAGCTCACCACCTAAATTGGCCGTAACTTTTGGCAATTCGCCATCTCGAAGCGAACCGGCGGACCCTTGCTTTCATGTCTCCCAGGAGATATCTCTCAAAGGGTGGACTTCTTTCATGGCTTGACGCCCGCTCGTATAGGCCGTTGACGCCTTCAGTGAAATGCCATTATTTCTTTGCAAACCAGGCGAACTCCGTGCAGACATGTCTATTTATACTTTATCGTGGCTGAAGACTCTGTAGAGTTGCTGGACTGCACGCCGAAATAGGGAGCTATAGGCCCAGCGCCACGATGGCAACACATGCGATTAGCTTCCAGATCGAGCCGCCGAATCCGATTGCTTTTGGACCTGAAGTTTGCACCCTCAAGCCATGAGTTTGTATACGCTGTCGCCTTTATCATCTTGGCGAAGCGCAAAGTTATTATCCTAGCTTTCGCAGTCTTTGATTGGTGCTGATGAGGTTGATTCGGAAGGCGACCTACTAGTTACCGTAGATGCATCATATTCTGCGCCTTTAGCCAGAAGCACGTCGCCGTTGAGCTCTTGGGCTTTGCCTGCCAAATAAGTTTCTGTCGTGCAGGACATCCTTGCTGCCACTTTATCTTCCTCCCAACAGTTGAACTCTGTACCCTCATCTCTCACCCGCTCATTACACCAGTTGAAGGACTTAGCTGCATAGAATAGGTAGCTATTTGCGCGTTAATGCCGTTGCTAAAGCAGGAGAGACGGCAGGGAACCTTCAAGATAAAGTCAGACCTAAGCCACAGAATCTGTCATGTTCAGTTGAGATGTGAAGAAACACTGGAAAATTGCAGAAGGCTGGTCGAGCTTACAGGACGGACGGCGATATCACTGCCCAACCTGGACCGCCACGGTCTTCACGGTAGCGCAGACAGTAATAGGCTGGAGCTATTGGATGTTTGTTGAACTTCTTCCTGGCCAGGTTTCTCATAGTGCGATCCTTGATAGAGTGGCAGGAATGGCGATGGGAAGGATAGTAGCCATCATGTCAGACACCTGGGCTACTCTATTAATCTATACCACCACTCGATGGCCGCCATCGCTCTCTTCCACCACCTATCAGTGTGAGATGTCCTATATCCAAGTTTATAAATGTTACAACGTTGCTTGTCTTGATATTTGTCGGGCGGAGAAAAGCCTTGCTGCTTTACGGAGTAATGTCCGGACTTAAAGCAGCACTTGATTAATATACTAGTATTTACGAGTGCGAGCTATAGCTACGGTCATTCATTGGCTAGAGACTGTAAATATGGTATAAGGTCTATACTGTGATGAGTCATCAATGAATAAGCGGTATTATTCCCAGATAGGTATAGTCACTGGGTAAAACACACGTGACAGAAATATACTGACGTCCTTGTCATGTGATATTTCATTAGTCACAGCCAATCAGCGTCGAGAAAATGCTACCCCAGCCTCCATGTACCGATACTTTTTGGTCCAAGCTGTAATATCAGGTTGCTGCGATGTTGATTGAGAACAGTTCAGTCCGTTGGATTTATTACCGTTACATTAATAAGGGACAATGTGTCCATCTTATTTTCCGTGATATCGCGGTTATCATCCTGGATTTTGGAATATTTTGCCCACCCGCGATGTTCATCTGTAAAGCTTTCTCTCTGAACTGAAATGTCTTATACCCATTTTCGAGATGTTGGTCAAGTGCGAATGGCTTCAGTGATACCGTTCCATATAGTCTATGACTGCGATCGACGGCTCAACCTACACGGCATTGAGGGTATAACTAAAGCCTCAGCCAGGTAGAGACTTGCTGCAAGGAGAACTCCGCTTCAATAGGGGTATTTATTTTCTACGCTGTACATCACTACACACCCCAACCGTCATTTTACTCCCCGGAGTGCAACCAGCGACGGTAGCTGGTGGAAAAATCCCGATTGCCCTTTCCGCTGGAGTTTTCCTTACCTATCTTGTCGTTCCTGTCTAGTCACATATCAAGGCTCTGCGCTTAGCGGGCTCCTCTATACGTGATAGGCACGTCTGCGAATAAATCGGGTGTTTCTATCAGCTAATCGGCGCAATATAGAAGTCCTCCGCGCTATAGCTAGCCATGAAATTTTCCGCCAGAGGGTCGTCGAATCTATTCGGGACGACGCACGCCTGGAACGCAATTAAAGTCAGTCGCGAGCTCAATGGTCTAAACAATAGGGCTTATTATGGGGATTCCCTCTACGGCTGCACCTTTGCGACTGCAACACGGCTAGAGGATATTCAGTGTCGTTCGCTTGGGGTACAGAGAAAACATAGAGGGCCTTTCCAATCGCAAGCGATATGACGTAGACCTACCGGGTCATATCCCGCACAACCCACTCGGCAGTCATGGGGATACTACCAGGGACTACTACGAATATAAAGAGCAGTGCTTATATCTAGGGCTAATATTAGTACTTCTAGGCTTAGACTCAATCAGTTTCCATTGTTACAAAGAATCATAACTACTCTAGCTATATATAGCTTGTTATTCGCTCCCTCGTACAAAACTCCGATGATTCAGAATTTCCTATATAGATTCAACCACCTAATCCCGTTTACCTGGCTGATTATACCCAACGGTATACCTACGGAGGCTTGTGAATGGGTTTCTGGTAGTTACGTGATTTGCAAGTGCAAATGCGCAATACTCTAGGTTGGCATAATAGGGCTGTGCAGGAGCGGCCCCGCGTGTCGATTGGGACTGATCAGGCCCCGCTAGTGAACGGCAACCGCAGTGTCTAGGCGGATGATGAAGTGGTTGAGTTTCTCTACAGCGACGGCGAGAACCCATTCTGGGCTCAGAGTCCGAACAATATCATCGAGTTATAGTTGGGTGGGATGCATCTGAGCCAGAGTACAAGAGGCCGTATGTAAGCTTCAGCGCGCTGATGAAACTAGGGTACGAGAAGGGGGAGGTCTGATAGTGAAGCTCCTTACTGGGCTCTTTTCTGGTAAGCCTATGTCGATACCCACGAGCACGACCACGAGGATGCCTACCCGTGGTGGCTGAGCCGTGCAGTGAGGCCGACCTAATACCAGATAAAGTTAAGGCCATCAGCGTTCTTAATCAGGTTATACCGATCCTTAAGCCAGAAATGAATATCCTGGAGGGAGGCAACCTGAGAGCTCCAACGAAGCCTCATCCTCTCGGCCTTCCTGAACGTGAGGCGGCGTAGAAAAATTGCAACGGCTATTTCGATATTTGACCCTAGGTAAACCACCACCTATAGACCATAAGTAGCCTTATCAGGGGTCTAGCAGGGGTCATAGGTCGTTTATCTATATAGATAGGCCACGCCGTTTGAATATGTAGCTAGGACAAAAATAATTCTGTGACTCTCCGCGTATTGCTAGTATGTTGGAAGTAAAGCTGTAACAGTACCAGTACCCGTAGACTTTGCACTCCTTCGCTTGAGAGAAGATGTTGAAGATGAAGCTGAGGATGAAGCTGAAGTTGGTGAAGATGAAGTCGATGTTCTATCTCGAAGATAAGGAGGCTGATTACATAACCATTAGCGCAGAGATAAGGCGATAAGCTTATCCGTTATCGCAGATAGAGGAAGAGAGAAAGACGAAGCACAAGTGGCGACGAGAAGCGCAAGCTGGCGGAATAAAGGGACAACCAAGTCGTTATATAGTCAACTGCACTGCGCGCATCTAGGGAACAGGTTACAGCATGGCTGACGAGCAAAGTGCCCAGATCGTTTCGCATGGGCGCGGAGGTAGGGGTCTTTCTAAACCCTCGACCCCCTTTTTCGCATCTTCAAGGGCTAACCTTCTACTCTTTACTCGCGACTTGTTGCGCTTTAGGCCAGGGAAATATCGCTGCCGATTCTACAAAGTAGGTCCCTGTGCATGTCACTACGCGCGTGCGTGCGTGGATATGGCGGAGTAGCAGGGTGAAGGGCCAGGCTAATGCGAGATATAGATATATCGACGCAGAGATTGTTCGGGAAGGCGTTGAAGGCGATCAAGGCGACGGAGCATATTCTGCTGGGGTAGGGCATTAGGACTACTCTCGTAGTCATTTTCGTTGAGTGAGTTGAAGGTGGCTGATGTCTTTGTTATAGCGTGGAGGAGTTGGGAATATAGGCTCACCCAATATCCCACCGTCTCGAGGCCAACCCCACGACGCGGATGTCATCCCACCTACCGCGATACGCCCATCATCTAGGGCTGATTATCATGTCGGGGTACGTGTCTTCCCTGATCAGGTCGGCGCCAACAGACTAACCTTTCAATTTTTTTTAGCGAGGCGGTCAAGGGAATGTACGTACTGAAACTTCTAAAGTCGACAAAGGAGAGGTAGAGCAGCGCAAGGAGCCGGAGTCCGGTGATAAGAAGCCTGCCCCGGAAGGGTTTGCGGATAAGTTAAAGCAGATGGTGTTTGGCCGCAGATAGCATATACCACTTTACCACAGGCAACCTGGACCATTCATTAGGCTCCAGGTTTGGTGGCTGGGTTTATTTTTATGTCCTTTGCATTTGGAAAGCAAATGTAATAGCCTGAGCTCAACAGCGGTGTTAGATAATACGCCAATAATCTCAACTGCAGAAGACTCACGCCATGTATTCAAGCCGTATTATATTAATTGGAGATAATTATAGAGGCTATTAAAGGGTGAAATGATAACGTGAAACTTTGTATAATGGAGTACAAAATATCGCGGGAACGCGGGAACGCGACAAATGAAGTCAGGAGTGAGAGATAAGAGGATCGAAGAGCGGAAACTGTCAGCTGTCGAGCAAGGTAAGGTATTGGCTGAGATAAAAGAATAAATATTTCGGCAGACTGTTAGAGCAAGAAATTAATGTGAGCGAAGCAAGTGGTTGTGAAGGGGGAGGGTTTCGGTGTGCGTGTGTGCAGGTTGAAATTAAAATTGACATATGAGACGGCCCGGGTATAAAGTGGACGAACCTAGCTGTTAGAGCCAATAGGAAAAGAAGTTTGAGAGGGTAAAGGGGATGGAGAAGGCGGTTGATAGACGGGGAGAGGACGAGGAGGAAGCGGAAGAGGAGGAGAAGGTAGAGTGGTGATGGAATTAAGAACGCTTCGGATATATAAGTTTCGCGAGCGAGAGGACGAACTAGATAACTTTAGTAGAAAAAAGAGAAGATTTGGGGGTATGAAAACAAATGAGACCAAATAAAACAAGGAAATCAACGCGAGCTATTTGTAGAATTCAATCATCAAATTGTGAATGGACATAAGGTAGAAGTGAGCTGATGGTACCCTCAGTTGCCTCTGGAAGACTCCATGTTCTTGGTCAATTCCGCTACACGAGCCTTGATGCGCGCAGCCCGCATTTCAATAGCTAGATGAAGATGTTAGCACGGCATATATTACTAAATGTTAACGGGCTACTCACTTTCTTGCTGGGTGGTAGGCTCCTTTGCCTGAGGGGAGGCCGGGGCCGCAGCGACAGGGGCTGCTGCAGGTGCATCAGGGACGGCAGCACGTTGTGCAGCATTCTTACGGATCTGTGCCCATCGGTCAAGGGCTGGGACCTCTGGCTCAGCGGCGGCGGGGACTTCCTTTTCGGCTTCAACGGTGAAGGTCTTGGATTCAGTGGGTTGTGTTGACTGGATGGGAGCTGGAGCTGGGGCTGGAACTGGTTCTGGAATGACTTGCTTGGTCTCTACGGCCGGTGGGGTCTCGATGGGAGTGAAAGCTGGCTGGTCGACGATTGGGCTTTGGTGGGAGAAGGAGGAGAATGCACCGGCTGCTGGCTTCCTCTCGATAGGAGAAACTGGAGAGACGGGCTCGATTGGCTTTGGAGCGTCACGATTCTGGCTCACCGGTGGTGGTGGTGATACGCGGTCTTCCTTTGCTGGAGGAGCAGGCTTGCGCTCCTGGTTGAGAGGAGGAGCAGGTTTACGTTCAACGCTGGGCTTGGGGATCTGGCTGGCGAGGGTCTCGTCCTGGTGTCTCTTCATACCGAATCCAGACAGACGACGGGAAGCCGGTGGCTTTGGCGACGAGGCTGGAGACGATCTCGAGGTAGGATGAGCCTGAGCGGTGCGTCCCTCGAGAGCAGCTCGGGCAGCGGCGACGGCAGACGAAGTCTCCTTTTCAACTGGCTCCGGCTTGGATGGCTGTTCGGCCTTGGGGGTACCGAACATACCCTTGAGACCGGCGTTGCCTGGCTTCTTCTTGAGCTTCCTGTCGTCGACCAGGCTTATTTCCGTGGACTCTTCCTCGACAGGGCTTGGAACTGCGACTGGAGATGGGCTCGGAGAGGCCGTAGTGGTGGTGACAGGGGCTGGAGGCGTTGGAGGAGTAGGCTTATCAAAATTGATGCTGTCGACGACTGGGTGCTCGGGAGCAGGCGACTCTGCCTTTGGTGGTGTCTCTGGCCCAGTTCCGGCAGACATTGGCAGCCGTTCTCTGATAGATGGTATATCTCTTCCGTTGCCGTTGGATTTTGGAGGCACGTCTGGCTTGAGATCGGTAGATGACCTCGATCCGAGATCCATGCTGGTAGCAGGCTGGCCGGTTCCAGCACGCGAGTTCTCCAGGTAGGCAGAGCGAACATTGTTCTTGTCGTAGTTGTTCGCCCACTTCATGGCCTGGGACATCTCTGATATCATGCCTGGCTGCAGGGCGTGTACGGAGTTGGTCTTTGACGTCTGGTTTCCCTCAGTCTTTGCGCGTTCACGGTTCGCTTCTTCGAGTTCCTGCTCTCTGCGTTTCCGTTGCAAGGCGGCTGCGGCAGCTTGGATTCTGGCATGTTGGTCGGGTCCTATGCTGGTCTTGCTGGAGGGCACTGTGCTTCCTGCGGTGTCGTACTGTTCTCCGATGAGCCCGATCTTCTTGACGGTCGACTTGCTTCGACCGAGTCGTCCCTTGCGTGTCCTGAAGCCGAAAAAGTTCTTCTTCTCGGCGATGTATGCTCCCACGTCGGGTTCGGGGGCAGCACCCTTGATCTGCTCTTCCAGGATCAGCCATTTGCCGCCTGGTATGATGGTCTCGAGGAGCGCGCATCTTCCAAACACGGCCTTTCTGACGGCTGACTCTTCGCCGGACAGACTGCTTACCCAAACCCACCAGAAGGAATCGTCTAGGTCGAGGGTTGAGATGCTGGCGAGCTCGCCCGGGTCGAGCATGGAGCCGTCGTCGATGCCTCGCTTATGCGACTGCGAGGACTGGCCGCGCACCGCCTGGAGAGGAGGCAGGATCTTGTCTGGCGGGAGCAGCAGGGTCGTCGGCGACTTAGGCCCGTTCTCCTCTGAGAAGCCGGAAGACAGGAAATCGGCCCACGATGGAGTGGTGGGCCGTCCTAGATCTGCGGTGCGGGACTGCGGCGCAGATCTCAATCCAAAGGGCTTGGTGTTGTTTGAGTTCTTGGTCGAATCATCCATGTCTTCCTCGATGGCGGCGCCGAAGCCGATATCCTCGAAGCGAGACCAGGAAGCGTCGGGCAGGCTTGTCGACGCCTTTACGGTCGAGACCTCGGACTGGTTGGTGGTCGATATGCAGCGCAGGACCCGTCTGCACTCCTCCGTGAGGGCTGTCTGGGGGTCATCGTAGCTGGCGAACTGCTGGAGGGCATGGTCGCTGGCGCGGTATTCAAAGTTCTTTGCGCGCCGGAGCAGGGCAAAGGGGGTTGGTGAGACCACGTCCACGACCATGACGACCTTTGTGGTGCCCGACTGGAGAAGCGAGGGTGTTTCAGGGGGATATTCGGTGGCGCGGACGAGGTTCTGGAGGGATAGGGGGAGGGTTGAGATGCCGTTGGTGCCACGCAGGGACTCGGGGGCCTGGGACCGGAGATAGGCAAAGAACAGATGGCTCGTCGCATCGGCGGCGCTACATCTTGTTAGACAGAAATATATATTGTAATAAGGAGGAGACTCACCTAGCCCAGGTCTTGTAGCTGGCCTCGAAGCCCTTGCCGGTGTCCGAGTGCTCAAACGCCCACCAGCCGGCGTATCTGGACAGCTTCCTCCCGCCGAGGCCGTTGGACTTGCCGTGGGCAGCAATGGCGGCCATGAGGTCGAAGAAGGCGAAGATGATCTTTGTGCGGGCGTCCGAGTCGACGCTGAGGGGGATGAAGGTCGAGAAGGCGTCTCTCGCGAATTGTGCATCTATCCAGTTAGCTCTATATATATCAATAAAGATAAGGAGGCTCACCGTTCTCGCCGACCTTGAAGAGCTCGTAGGCCTCCCAGGTGACGACTCCGCCGGGCAGCCTGGCCCAGCACCATTTCATGACGCTGCAAAGGACCTTCTACCGTCAGTTTATGTCTATTATATATAAGGTGGTGGCCTACCATGGGCTCTGAGAGACGGAGCTCCTGGGCGAGCTGCTTGCCCTGCAGCGGCCCCGACCTGTCAGCACGGTCTGCAGGCGGGCTGAAGAAGTTGCGTATAAACGTCCTGGCCGCCGAAGGGTCTGAGGTCGGCCTGAAGGGCAGCAGGAGAAAGGGGATATCGAGGGCTGTCCAGTCAGTATAATATCTTTGCATCAGGGGTCAAGGTGTTTACCCCTATCTTTGAGCTCGACGGTGCAGCCCTGGAGGAGCTCGACGACCTCCTCCGGTCCGACCTCTGTCCTGAGCCAGGCATCTGTCCATGTCGGCTTCTCTGGCTCTGTGGGCAGGCCGTTGAGCCTGCTGGACTTTTTCGAGGGGTCCTTGGAGCGGAAGACGCGCGAGAAGAAGGACATCCTATCGCATGTCCCCGTCAATTGGGTTAAGGAGAGTAAGAAGGTAGAAGGCAGTGGTTTAACGAGCGTCTGACGGTCAGCAGAGGAGAGAAGAAGGAGAAGGAGAAGAAGATAGATGGTGAGAAGCCGGAGAAAAAGCGTTGTGATAAGTGATGGCCCACTGGACTCAGGGGTTGCCCTCGGAGCCACGGCGGGAAAAAGCAACATCGGACCAGTCACATCTCTATATCTCTACATAGACATATATCAACATATATCATCAACATACAGAGTACTATCTATATACATACATATATCTATATCTACATATGTCTATGTCTATATATGCATATATATATGCATATACATATCTATATATAGATGCAGTATAGACACGCTCCCTCCACGCCCTGGGCACTTTAGCGTGTTAGTCAGCATCATACTGCCACGTCCCCCCTTATTGCCACTTTCTGCCCTTTTTCCCCTTCTTTTTGCTTCTATCTTTAGAACTTCCTATTCATAGCACATACACATACATCTATCTATATCTACACCACGCCCACGTCTATACCTACGTCTATACGTACGCGTCTACGGTCTAGGTCTAGTCTACGGTCTAGTCTACGGCTATCACCACATCGGCCACTACGTCCTGGGTCTAGGATGGTGAGAGGCTAAGATGGGCCGCCGCAAGATCGAGATCAAGGCCATCAAGGACGATCGCAACCGCTCCGTCACCTTTCTCAAGCGCAAGGGCGGCCTGTTCAAGAAAGCCCACGAGCTGTCGGTGCTCTGCTCCGTCGACGTCACCGTCATCATCTTCGGCCATAACAAGAAGCTGTACGAGTTCTCCTCCGGCGACATCCAGGAGACCCTCGGCAGATACCAATACGTAGGTCCATCCCCAGACTCTAGACAGACAGCTTGCTGACCCAGACCAGTACGGACAACCGCACGAGCACAAGGGGCCGACCGACTTTCTCGGCAAAGGCGCGCTCGACGACGACGAGGACGATGACTCGCCCGCGCCAGAAGATGGCCATCCGGCCGTCCAGGCTCACCCGTCCTTCCAGCACATCAAGCAGCCGCCCTCCGTCTCCCCGCCCATAGACGCTCCCCACGCGCCGCCAGCTCACCCGCCGCCGCAGGGCCAGGGACCGGGACCGGTGCCCTCGCGGCCCTCGTCGCGCAATCACGTCCAGCGGATGGCCATGCACCACCAGGTCCCGCATCAGCAGCAGCACCACGGCACGCCGCCACCGCAGCCGCAGGCCGCCAACGCGAGCGCGCAGAACGGGTTCACCTATATCCAGAATTTCCAGCAGCAGCAGCAACAACAACAACAACAGCAACAGCCTAGGCAGTATCACTACCCTCATCCACACCCGCACCCGCCTCTCCCTCCACCGCAGCACCAGCCCATGGCCCAGCAGTACATACAGGACAACAGACGGCAGTCAATGCCGCCGACCTTCCAGGAACAGCAGCAGCAGCAACATCAGCATCAGCATCAGCATCCCCAGGTTAAAATCAACAGAAGCCAGTCGCCGCCGCCGCCCAAGCCGCTGCCTACCAAGTCACGCTCCATCTTCACTCCCATTGACGACCGAGGGTCCGTCCTGGCACAGCACTTTGGCTTTGGACCGCCCGTAGAGTCGCCCAAGAAGGACCATCCACAGCATAGACCGCCCCAGCAGCAGCAGCAACATCAACATCAGCAGCAACAACATCAACAACATCAGCAGCAGATACCGCAGCAGCATAGAACGCACTCTGTCTCGTCCATCCCCACGCCCTCCAGGACAAATAGCATCCAGTCAAACATCAAACGGCCCATCCTCAAGGTCCAGATCCCCAGCGAGACGTCGGACGCCGGCAGCATCACGGCCGGCTCCTCGCCAGCCACGGGGACAAATCCGGTAACGGCCACTGCAACCACCAAGCCGACAGAGACGGGCCACTCGACCGTCGTCCTGCCTCCTCCATCACCTTCTGCCTCTGCCTTGCTCAGCGCAGGCGCCCACGGACCGCCCAATCCCTTCGCTCGCCCGCCGCCGCCCCAGACATCAAATAGCAACAGTAACCCCAACAACGGTAATGCCAGTAATAACATCGACACGCCCATCTCTGCCCTGCCCAGCCGCTTTGTATCAGACACCTTGCTTCCCTCGCCGTCCAGCTTCTACCCCGAATGGGGCTTTGGCCGGTCAGGCCCAGACAGTAACATGCTGCCCAGCCCGCTCACTTTTTCGACTCCAGTCCTGCAGAACCCGGGACAGCCGTTCAATAGTGCCTCTGCTGGGAATGGCAGCCTCAATGCCGGCCATGGCAGCAGTAACAGCCACGACAGGGACGAGGAGGTAGATCGCAAGCGAAAGGAGCCCGAAGCCAGTGCCACCGTCGAGCAGGCCGTCGACAAGCGGCTCAAGGTAGAGTAGTCTCAGTCTTTACATCTCTTACATCTCTTACATCTCTCTTCTGTTCTTGTTTATATATGTTAGCTACTAATTTTGCATCTCTCTCTCTCTATCTATCTCTATCTCTATATCTATATCTCTATCTCTATATCTCTATATCTCTCTATCTCTATCTATCTGGCGCATGGCATGGCTGTGGTTGTGTTAGTCGGTAGTCTAGGTCGGCGGTCTCATTATCTAACATAAAATCATCTCCATCGTCTCTTTCTTCTCTTCTCTTCTATATCTAGTAGTTATATCTATATCTATCTATATCTATGAGGTCGTAGTGTAGTATCACGTGACTAGGGCTCGCTTCCATATTAGGCTAGCGCGGATCGAAGCACAAAGCGAACTTCAAACTTCAAGTTTCAACGCGACGAAGAACGAAGAAACGAAGAAAAGCGACAACGACGACTTCGACACCGACACCGACAACTCGACCGGACGACTACGACTAATACATCCTCTTTCTCCCGTTGCGGATACAGTCGTCAAGATGCCCTCAGAACACGGCCACAGATGTGAGTCCCCCGTCGCATACCCTGCTTGTTCATGATGCTAACGATATACAGTATACGTCAAGTAAGCACATTCACTCTCTCTATATGAAGAATACTGCGAAGGAGAAGAGGAGGATATTCAGAAAGATGCAGAAACGCTGCCTGTAGTTGGATGTGAAGATTATGGATGAGAAGTGTGGAGGACCGTGGAATTGCTGAAGATGGCAATGGAGACGGAGATAGAAATGAGACAAGACAGAACGGCGGTGCTGATATGTTATAGGGGTCGACACCTGAGCTACCAGCGTGGAAAGCGCGTCACCAACCCAAACACGAGGTACATCCCACTCGACGACAAGTCCGTGCCAGCAGCTGCTAACAGGTCCCAGTCTTATCAAGCTCGAGGGTGTTGAGGACTCCAAGGCCGCCACGTACGTCTCTCCCTATACTGAAGCTACGAATGATGGGAATAGCATGTCTAATAAACTCGCAGCTTCTACGCCGGAAAGAAAGTCGCCTTTGTCTACAGAGCCAAGCGTGAGGTCAGAGGGTCGAAAATCAGAGTGATCTGGGGCAAGGTCACCCGGCCACACGGTACGTCGGTTCAATTTTCTATAATGAACAAACAGATACTAATGTTACTGTATAGGCAACTCCGGCGTTGTCCGCGCACAGTTCCGAAACAACCTACCACCCAAGTCGTTCGGTGCGTCGGTCAGAGTCATGCTCTACCCATCCTCGATCTAAGCGCCTGAGGGAAGAGTGTAGGGAGGAAGGGGAGCAGGGGAGTAGGGGAGTGTAGTTGGTGGGAGGACCATCTACCAATCGACGGCCTTCGACTCAACCTAAAAAACTTAAGCGTGTGAGCCGACGGCTGCGTGCCTGTCCCGGCAGTCGACATTCTTCTGTACACATGGGAGGACGGGTCTCCCTTTTTAATGGTGGAAAGCGGACAACCCCAAGCAGCCAGTTTTCGTGCTTGCTCGTTCCCTGTTTCCGAGCTGGCGTTGGTAGATTATGCGTGCCGCTGACATTACGATAAATAAATACCACGACTATCATCTTCTTCCTCTACTCGTAGTCTCATGCCATATCGTCGTCGCCACAAAACCAACTAAGAGCTTCATGCCGATGTCTATGAAGTATTTTGGAATATCACACCAAAGATAGAAATGATAGACTTAGGCATCCTCCACTCAATGTACTGCATAAACCTAGCCCTCTCAACCCTCTTTATCGTAGTACACGGCTCAATGCCAGAGTTCAGATCTTGGTGTAGCAGTATGCCTTGGGCAAACATGTCCTGAAAAGAAAGGAAAGACATCTAACCGAAGAATAAGGTTAGATGCAGTAAAACCCTGCATCACGGCCAAGTATAGAACTCAGACCTGCTTGTATACTTAGCCATAGTCCCCACAGCAGCTATTCTCCGAGGATCAGCCAGTCACTATCTTATGAGACAAGATCGAGTTGCCCTGTCCACAACCATGATGTTTAAGAACGGCGTACTTCTACCGGACTTAGAGACTCGAGGCTTCCCTCGACCAGGTGAACCCTGAACTCTTCTGTCCAAACGGCTAGGTCATAGATATCGAAGTTTATCTCCTTGTCAGATAGACGCGAACTGACAGTCTTGTACTCCGTAGTCCTGTGCAAAGTTACAAGAAAAAGAAACCCTCAGATGTCTAGTTCCTTGCGGCCGTTAGCCTGGAGACGACATAACGCGGGGGAACTTACAGGAACAGGATCCCTATACCATGTCTCTCGTTCCTTGTCTTGTCTCTTGTCTCTCGTCTCTTCTCTTGTCTTGTCTCTTCTCTTCTCTCTTGTCTCCTTGCGTCCTAGGTATGGTCTTCCACGTCATATTAGTAAGGTAAGGATAAACGATTGTCCGTATTACATAATGTGGCTTGTAGCCTCGGCCCAACCGGTATAAGCCATGTATAAGCCATGTATAAACCATGTAAACCATCCAGTAAACCACCAAGAAACCACCAAGAAGCGCGAACTCCAGCCAACTAACCAGCATCGGCCAGCGCACTAACTAGTACGGACCAGCCACACCTGTCGCAGCGTCATCGCAGCGTCCGAGACATCGCCCACACCAGCGCATCCTCGCCCGCCAAACTCTGCTGGCCCTGCTTACACAGCGTACATCTGCGGAGCCTGGTACGACGCGCGCCACCTTGCGTCCTGTCCTGTCCTTGTTCGCTCTTTTATCGCTGCTGCTCCTCCTGTCGAACACTGCGGATTGCCGAATATACACTCGTTACATCGACTACCGGCGACATGGCAGAGCAAAAGACCGGGAAGCTTGGGCGGGTGCTGAGCTACGCCAGCAACAGGTCGAAGAAGTCCGCCAGCCAGAACCAGAGTCAAGGCTTTGGACATGCCAGGAAGAAGACAGATTCGTCAGACACGACGACGGAGCGGCCGTCCAGCCGCAAGATGCGCACTCACGCCGACCCCACGCTGGCCATGAGCGAAGCGCAGCCCGGTATGTTCGATGCTCGACCTTGATTCTCACCGGCCACGACCTCTGACAGGTTTCTAGCTACAATCGCACTGCAGGAGTCCAGTCTCGGCCAGCTGCGAGGCGTACAGCACAAGGACCGCTTCGGGAATCTCATCAGTTCGTCTCCTTCATATACTCGATCTCGCATCCTGCACTCGATCTTTCATACACTCGATCGCAGCTAACATGGCCATAGCTGAACCGGACCTGTCAAATCCGACCCGTTATCGGTTCGAGAGGCCGCTAGACACGATAAAGTCCTTTGAGGCTGCAATTGACGGCACATATGGCAGCAGGCGGATGTCCTACGCCCGTCCTGGTAAATAGCTTCGATAGTGCTACCATGAACCACGCTAATTCATATTTCGCAGACGAAAGTACAAATGGCTACAGCCGGCCAACAAGCTTCTTCGGTGGCGGTATGTCACTATATCTCCTTAAATAGATTTAAAAGAGATGTGCTAACATGTTCAGATCGGTCGAATATGCACTACCAGCGAGGCGGATACGATAGCTACCATGGATCCCGCGGCTACCAGTCACGACCAGAGAGCTACATTGATGGCTATGGAGACCAGAGCCAATTCAACTACAGCAACCAACGCCCATACCGCGCCCGTCGCAATTCCCCACGAACAAACTCCGACCCTAATTATACCCAGAACCCCTCAAACCCATACAACTCGCAGCCTCAGTACCAGAACCAGAACGAAAACCCAAACTCCAACTCTCCGTCCGGCTCAGGCAACCGTTCGGTGGACCATTGGATGAACTCGACGGATCCCAGTTCTGTCAACAGCTCCGTGGACAGACTGCAGCAGCAGCTCCACCAGCAGCAGCCCCAGGGACAGCCGAAATATGAAGACCACCCGCCCTCGGGCGAAACATATGGCTTCTCAGGCTTTGGAACTGACCCGCAATTAGACCAGTCGCAGGCTTCGTTTCTAAACCAGCGCCAGACCACGCAGCCGTCAGACCAGCGGCCTCAGGAGCCCCTTCACAAACCACAGCCAGCAGCGCCCGGTGTCCCGCCAAAGGATGCGACCAACCTCGCCCCGTCCGCGGCAGGAAAGGCAGCTGCCACGCCACAAGACGAAAAACGCAAAAGCTGGTTCAAGCGACGGCTCAGCAGGTTTTAGCCGTTGAATTCTCGCTTTTACCATGTACGATAAATAACCCTTCCTTCGCGCTCCGATGGCAGCCTTGTTTTCTACCAACAGGCCGCCCTTGCAGTTACATGTTGGGCTAAAATTTATTGTTGTTTTATGGGACTACTAATGCTGACAAGAAGAACCTATTTAATTTCGTTTGTTTATTATTCTACCTGGTGGACACATGCTTGATGATATTACGATCATTTGTTATTTGATTTCTTTCCCTTTTTCTTTCGGACCAAGACGAGGATTACGCCGTTGCAGAAGCTGGTCACTTACAACACTAATCATGAAGGTTTCGTTTGTTGAATACGTTTTGTTCTTTAATATGTTTGTGTTTATTGGTCTTGATCTGGTATTTTCCAGTACGTATATCTGGCACGGTGCGGTATGAATGGAAGGATGGCGATTTACTTGATACCTCGACTTTTTGTTACAAGTGTTGTATTTGAGCTCGCGAGTTCAAGAGGCTGGCGTTGTGATTATATTCCACGATTTTTTTTTACTGTATATACTATTGAAAAGAGAATCCAACATTCACGACCCGGTCATGTCCTTTCTCAGGCTAAGGTCCACGTAGATAAATCATACAGGCATTAAGGCATCTGCTAACAGTGCTGAATATGGCCACCGATATAGAATCTCGATCAACGGCCTCCTCCCATGTCCAACCATTGCTCGTCTGCACCCTCGCTACTTCTGCTTCTTGAACTCTGCGTCCGCCTTCTTCTCGTTCTCGACGTCCTCACGGATCGCGAAGATGATATAGGTGATGAGGATAATGTTGGCCGCTCCAGCTGCTGCCGCGCCGGCGTATGTGGAATTCCCTATATCCGAACATTTAGCTCTCGTCCCAAGACCGCCGTGGAAGGAATATGGCATATCGCACCTTCAAACACTCGATTGACGGTTCCGAAGTATGTCGCCAGAGGACAGCAGACGATTAGAACCGAGTACAGTATGAACTTCCACAGGACTCCGCTGTCCGGTAGAGATGACCAGTTAGCTATAATCGCATTGAACGCGCCTCCCGATAGACCAAAGCAGCAACGATAACACAACGACAGACGGAGTTTATGGGCTCTCGACGAAGACATACCCGGGGAGAGTCCTGTACTCTGGATTTCCTACTGGCTGGGCTACTCTGGGACTCGCGACCTCGGACTGTGTCTCCTTCGACGCCCCGCGACGGGTAGCCATCTCGATGCTCTGCTGGTTCGGGCGGCGCGGTGGAAGGGAAAGGGGCCTCTGGGTGCTGTACGGCGTGGCGACGTGGGATAAGCCGTAGATATATCTGCTGTGTATGGTGGTCGCGAGGACTCGAGATCTGGGATATCTGGACTTTGGGGAAGGCCTCGACCTAGCCAACTATAATAGCTAGTGTTCTCTAGTTTTATCCGTATATTACGTTATAGAATGGCAGCTTCTCGGGTCTTTTGCAGCCACTCAAAGGGTGTATATAAATAGATGGAAAGTTAGCTGTTTACTTTATTTCTTATATTCTTTATTTACTCCATACTTGCTGATCTATATATCCTCGCAGCTCTAACCCGACATCCTCAGTAATATAGATACTCCGGCCCTTGTCTATATATTCATTTATTGCTGCGGACCAGGGGTAAAAGGGCCAGTCAGGTGATTGAGATACGCGGGTTCCAACTTCAACCTCCAACTTCACTTCAACCCGCAACCTCAACCCGCAACTTCACTTCAATCACTCAGCAGTCGAAGTTCAGCTAGCAGACGAGATGGAGTAGCCGGAGTTGTGCATGCTCTGGTCACGATTCGCGTTTCTCGGTTGGTGGACTTCTGTGTTTGAAGACTCCATATACTAACAGATGTCAGGACTTCGGTTCACTGCTCTATCCAGCCGGCTTGACCCAAACACAGAATAATACAAGCTATCATAGCCATGGAAACTATCCCGCAGGAGCTATTTTTGTCCATCCTCGAGTATATCGAAGTAAATCCAAAACGTTTCATGAAATATGTGACTGTCTCCAGACGTTGGCAGCGTGCCATTGAACGGTTCTACTTCAACAGAATCCGCGTTAACGAATCTGAGCTTTCATCCTTTGCAGAGCTCTTTCGGGAAACAGAGTCACATCGGAAATCCCTTGTTAAGCAGCTCTTTTTAAAGATCCATCTACCAGCGTATGATGGAGATAACTACCATCAGCATAAGGAGGTCAATAACCAAATATTCTCTACCACCATCCTTAAGCTCTTCCAGGTGCTCGAAACGTTCGATGGGGATGAAGACGTCAAGAGAAATCGCAGAAAGGGCGATGGGTTACAGCTAACTATAACCTATATAAAGTCGCCGTGCGATGACTTCGATGGAGATGATGCCATAAAACTCCGAGGAACATATATCCAGCTACTAAACCATCAAAAGCTACCTACCCTATCATGTGTATCCACATTCTTTTCTGGTTGCCACGACTATACTCGCATGCTTGACCCAGCATCCGGAATTCTTATTGCAGGCAAGCTTAAAAATCTAAAACGTTGCACCACTGATTACTACGATCGCCGAGAATGCATCAATAATGAGACCCGGAAGATAATTCGTCCTGGTATGTATAAGGGACTTGTTAGGCTAAAATTATTGTTTATATAGCCAGCTAACTAACCGGATTCAGCGTTTGCAAATGCCCTTTCCTTATATACTCAATCCTTAGGAGCATTCGATCTCAGAATGGAGTTCTCCTGTCCACTTGACGACGCAAGTTCCCCCCCAAATTACGCTTTACCTTCCTCGCGCGTGGATCCAATGAACCTTGCCCTGGGTAAGTTCTTTCAGCGAGCAGGTGTTTCATCTGTGATTTTTAGCGGGTCCCATGTTATTTCACCTGAGTTTTTCTGGCCTTATGACAACATTAAAGACGCCCCAGTACCATTTTGGCCAAACATGAGGGATATATACGTTTGGGTTGCGCCAACTACACCAGATGGAGACTGGTACTTCATGGGTGACCCGAACATTGCGTCTCACCCCGAATTTATAGGGGCCACGCGCGCAGACGACCAGACATTACGAGGAACCGAAGACACCTGCAACTTCTTCCGTATCATTCCAATACCAGAAAGGATGAACCCTCTTCTAATTGCTATGGCACGTGCTGTCCGTTATGCGCCTTCTATCGAGGCGGTTGGCGTGCGTTTTGTAGAAGCGGAGTTATCTCCTAAATACGTGAAGACCAAGGGTTCAAAACGGCAATTTGGCATTTTTTATTGTGCGCCTGGCACTGAACCGCCTTTCGGTAGTGGTCTTTCAGTAATCAGGAGACCTAGCTTAATATGCGATGTACAAGACTGGCGCCTTGATGAGGATATCGAGAAGTATTGGATGGAGGCTTTAGGCCCGGACGGGTCGATAGTTTATGTTAACTGCGTACCCTACTGTCCACCCCCTTAGACTAAGGACCTTCAAGTCTCCTTTATCGCCTGTTACGGAAATATAAATGTGGGGTTTCTACTCGTCCTGAAGTGATACTATATTCTCTGAACCCCCAGTCAAGGGCTCGGAAAGCATGTCTACGATATAGCCCACCTATTATTATTCAACCCTTCGAAAGCAGTGGATACTACCAAGTACTATCAATGTAATCTATTCAATCATTATTTACAAGGTGAGTATCGTTACTAACCAGTGTACAGTGGAAGATATGTGAAAGAGAGGTAATAAATGGGTAACATATGCTAAAAGCAATGCGAAATAATCTCTAAATTCTATGTTTTAGAATGGATTCGTCCATGCTGTGGTCCTCATATCAGTGTATGCTGCTTCTGCATCATTGTGATACCCAATGACCAACTCGTATCTTTCCTGAGCCTTGCAATCTAGCGGTTTTTTGCTCTTTTTGTCCTTCAATTTTTTCAATTCAGCCTCCAAGCGTATCCTTGCCTGTACAAATTTCGGGTAATTAGTTGTAAAAAAACTGTCAAATACGGACATGCGGTAATCAGCATGCTGTTTGATCCATGTTTTCCATTTTAGTGATAAACCCTGAGGTTTGTAGCGGTTCGCATGTGGTGTATTCTGACCCCCAAATGGCAGACTTTCCATCGCATCCTCAAGGGTTTCAAGGATACTCGATATGCGACCCGATTGTTTCTTGAAGATCTCTATTACCCTAGGTTCGTTATGATACCTGTATACAGACATCATATCCTTGAACTTCACAAGTGCTATCACATGCTTGGATTCATGGAGCTCTTTTGTCTTGAGAAAATCATTCTTATGTATGGATTGTGCCTTGGTGAGTGGGTCTAGAAAGGCCGACCCAACGATATTTTTGACCTTGGTTTTCCATACCTTTTGGAATAAAAGTTAGCCGCGGAGCGGATATGTAGGGAGGGGCAAAAAGAAACCTACGTCAGCTTTCAACCTATTGACATCATTAGGAAGCAAGAGAAACTCCTCTGGCCATTGATGCGTGGTAGGGTATTGATCAGCGATCCATTGGGCTGGCGGTTTAGTTACTCCATTAATTGTTGGTTGTGGTCGTGGATATGTACTGTCCCTACCCCAAAAGGCCTTGATGTAAGTGCATAAATCCACCTTTTTTTTCCCGGATTTATCAAATGGGTCAGGGAGTGTTTCTTTAAGCGTTTTCGAAGTATTCGTGAAAAATTGGTCGATAAGTTGGGCTTCAATAACATGCTCGGTCGCGAGCCTCAGGCCGTTACTAAGATCGGGATCCGTATAGACAGTATGCATGTTGTTTGAGCGTTTCCCAAAGTCAAAGTTTCCACAATCGGTGGGGTCTTCCAGAGCGTAAATAATATCATCACTAATCCCTTTGGTCTGAATTTCGTCAAAGGTTAGTAAATATCAGGGCGAGGAGTTAGTAAAGTGCCCGACCACAAGCACCCCTAAGAGGCTGCCTGTAGCCAGGTCCATCAGTGAATGAATTGAGTAGGACGTACCTTCATTAGTTCACCCCCAGACGGGTAATTTTCAGTCCTAACCTCAATTCCACATAATTTAACGTCCTTATAGTCACGCTTCGCCAGCTCTCGCATCCCCAAGCCGAAAAAGCCGGTTCCTCGAATGGCCAAGTTTGCCGAGTCGTCTTTATTAAAAAACTCAGGCTCCCATGCCTGAATCTTAGCACAGCCTCCAGCACACTTTTCATTACCCTTTCCTCCTTTACCTCGTTTGCATTGCTTGCTAGGGCTGCAGCTAGAAGGGGTAGCTGACGGCTGCTGAGTCTTGGTAGAGGACACTTTGGTGCTTTTATGCGTGGAAGTTGACTTCAGGGTACCATTTGTAGTTGACTTAGACGGCTTTGTATATGTCGACTTGCCGTCTTTATTTGTAACCGTTGACTTTGGCGGCTTTGTAGTTGTCGACTTGCTGTCTCTATCTGTAGTCTTCGACTTAGGGCCATGCTGCGTAGTCTTCGACTTGGAGTGATTTGTGGGTATTGACTTGTGTCCATCCTTCGTAGATGTTGGGTGTGCGGTACTTTTTGTAGCTGACTTGGAGGCCTTCGTCGTCGTCTTATTTTCGTGCTTTGTAGACTCCGACTTGGGTTTTTTCTCTGTTGGCTTAGGCTTTGTCTCTGTTGGCTTGGGCTTCGTTTCTGTTGGCTTGGGTTTCTCGTCTTTTGGCCTGGGTTTCTCGTCCTTTGGCTTGGGTTTCTCGTCCTTTGGCTTGGGTTTCTCGTCCTTTGGCTTGGGTTTCTCGTCCTTTGGCTTAGGCTTCTCATCCTTCGGCTTAGGTTTCTCATCCTTCGGCTTGGGTTTCTCGTCCTTCGGCTTCGGGTCGTTCTTTTTCTTGTCAGAGCCGCCCTTTTTCTTCCCAGAGCCGCCCTTGGCTCGACGAATGGCGAAATCTCTAGTCTGGACGCAGCCTTCCGCCCTCATGCAGCCTGCGCTGGTTCCAAGATCGTCCGGAGCGTGGGCCAAGACCTCAAAGACCGTGGGTTCCACCTCCTTATTCCAATCTTTGCCACAAACAGGGGTGATCCAACCCCCAAAGAAGTCAGCTACGCCTAACCCATTCTCAGCGAAGGTTTTGGCGCCCTTGATGAATGTGCCTATTCTCTTAAGTTGGCCAACGGGGGTGGCGGAGAGGGCAACTTCAAGAATAATATCAATTGTTGTTGCAAACACGCCACATAAAATATCATCCAGTTTTTCAAGTCCCTCGAGCGTTTTAAGAACAAGGTCCCCAAGCCAGGCGAGGTTGCATTCACATTCGCCGGGCACGAATTCCTTGCCATCGTCGTCTGTATATAGGAAACCTTGCTTGGCTACGTCCTTTGCAGAGATTCCAACAAGTTTACACTACAGTGTAAATATTAGCAAATCAATTTTCCTAGAAGAGGAGGATGAGGAGAGAAAAATCATAAGGTAGGGAAGTTCATACCGAGAGATCATTTGGTCCATCCTTGCTATTGCCTCCTTTACAGTAATGTTTGCACGGGGCCAAAGATTTTTCTGAGTTCCAAGCGCCAAGATAAGCGTAACACCAGCCCTTCTTTTCCCAGGAAGCTATCGTCTGGTGATCAGGCTGGTGTATGCTTTTACCGGCCTGCGCATGGGCTGCGGGTAGGATGATGCTAAAAAGCAGGATTAAGAATGAGAGTTTCATTTGGGAGGGATCAAGGGCAAGGCAATCCGTAAATCTTGGGCGAAGAAACTGAAGTAGTCAAATTGAAGGAGTATCGCCTTTGGCTGATCTCTGTCTCTGGGTCGAGGAATGGCATGCTGGTGGGAGCCGATGGGCTTTAAGTAGACAATCTCTTGTCAATATCATCGCCATCTTAGATTAAGGGTTGAAGGCAATGCAGTTGGCTTCCATCATAGGCCGGGGTAATCGAATGGAGAGATCGGTGCGCACATATCTCTAAGCATGCCTCAAGCAGCTTATAAAAGTACGATCACCTATGCATCGATCATCTCGAAGGGCCAGCAGATGTAGCCATAACTCTTGCGCGAGTGAAGCTGGGCGCTAATTGGATATCATGGGAGTTGGAAGAGTCGTGGCAGCCGTCGCCGAGACGCAGGAACCAGGCACGGAGTTAGATGTCTAGCTTACGAGAAGCTAGGCAATCCATATATAAGCAGACTGAAACGTTCAGCCTAGGCGGACGGGCGTAAACTCCGTTCACATTGCACTAAAGAGGTGGTTCGTGCCGCCATTGGGAGCGGGTTGGACGTAGATAGATAGTAATCAGTGGTAGAATGCTATCCTAGCCAGGCACTAAAGCGAGGCCGCACAAATATTGGGCCTGGTATACGCAGGAACAAGTGTCTTTGGGATCATCGAGCCCCATGCACAGTTGCCAAATCGCTCCATTTCTCGGCCAGCCATTGTGGCAGCCAGGCGCAGGAGGAAAACCCGCCTGCAACTCGGCAAGATGGTGTTCTGCGGGGTGTACGGAGTGCTGGTTTGATACTGTTGAGGGTGTTGGTGAGGTGAAGTTGAAGTTGGTTGGTAACTAAGCGTGAGCCGCATTGCTACTCCGTACCCCCTGCATGATTATATATCAGCCAAGAACTACTGGCACAGAGTAGCTAGCGTTGGTAACGATGATGAAGCATGCAGTTTAATCTCGGTAAGAAGATAACAATCTCCAGCTAAGCAGCCGGTGACCTCAGCAGCGTTGCAGTCGTTGCACCTCATATTGAATACTCCGACCTTGGCTCCGATTGGTGGCCGCGAATGACATGCTGCAATAGCTGGGATGTCGATGATATTAACAAGGAGATCCTATATGATCACAGTTAAGTGGACAAAGTTCGGTTAAATATATCTAGTCCCCTGGCGGATCGCCCAGCCATTCATCATTCCAGGGTGATATCGGCTCAGGAGTACGGAGTTATAACGCTGCCAGTAACAAGAGAGTGACACATCTGCTCCTTACCGTACAATTCGTGTCTCTTCTGTACACACTCCGTATACTCCGTACTCCCTCGAGATAGATATCTGCATGGAGTTTCAGTATATCGAACAGGAGAAGTCAACATGAAGCTTTTTACACGCAGAAAGAGCATACTGGTCAGGTGACTAGATTAGTAATATGTTTATACCATCTGATTGGTTGGAGATACGGGATGGATCATCTATATTCCGGATAGTCACATGACCGGCCTGGAAGTTTTTGATGTCAACTCAATGTCAGACTTAGACTTGATCAGACTTGATATAAGACTTAGATTCATCAGACTCGATAGTATTCTATTATCCAGGTTCTCTGAGCAGGTATACACCATTAAGGCGGCAGGGGCTGGTGCGTTGGCCAGAGAACGACCTGCGAGCTTGGTCAAAGGCGAAACCCTCGGCATTGCTTGAATTGCTTGTTTAGGGTTGTGATACTGCTCTCCGGATAACTATACACTCCTTAGATAGCCTATGAAGATATCTAACAGGCTGAAAGGGTAACCTCCGGATAAGTCTAAGGCCAAAGAGAGCCTAGAGAGACTTAGGTAGTTTAGAGAGAGTCTAGTACTCTTGCTAAAGGATATATTGAACTACCTAAGTTATGCTACCTTACTAAGTAAAGGTCCAATCTGGCTTTTCTGCGTGCCGACATGTAATATCCCACGCTATTTATAGGAATACCGGGTATCTCGAGTAAAATTCAAGCGGTTAATCCCTTCGGAGCATGGTTTATCATGTCTTGCCACCTTCGATCCTGGCAGTTATAAGCCTCTTTTGTTGACATGCCTTCGCCGGTACAAAGTAAGTTCGCACTGCAGGACTTTACGATATGCTCTGACCATAAAGTTCAGCACTGTCGAGCGTTCAGAAAGTTAAGTCTAGGTATCTCTCGAGATAGCATGTGCTTACGACGACACTCAGTTTAAACCCACGCAAGTCGTTCTAGCGAGATGGCCGGTGAGAAGATATACGTAAGTGCCGGATGTCTGAAATCCCCTGTCTTTGCGAGCCGTGCCTCCATGCAGCCGTTGATATAGAATAGATGTATATATTGATGAACGTCAGCGAGGGGAATTGATACCCAGGATCTGCCGCGAACTGGAGAAGAGGCTTGCCTGCCGTTGGAGCCGCGGAATATAGTTAACTAGGTTAGCAGCCATCTGGCGGATCGACGGTGAACACGAGGTGATAGACGGCGAGTTGACCACCCAGCAAAGAGGACTAAAATAAAAAGGAACATGCAGCCAAGGCTTCTATCTAGACCGTCTGGTGCCTCAGTCAACGTGAGGATGATCCAGGGGTGACGGCTGCTATGGATGTATATGATGCATCCTCCCAGCACAAACTCGGCCTAGATTCAAGATAGAACCGACAACTGAGGGGTTGGCCAGGTAGTCGAACCATCACACGGAGCGGCGGGAGGGCAGAGTAACCATCTACCGTTGCATACATATGGCGTGCAGCATAGGGGGTAGGCGTGATATCGCACAGAACAGGCTCGAGCCAGGGATATGCAGCGGAGGACGACGCCGGCCAGGTTGAGGCGCGACCCAGGCATAGCATCCGCATCCTGCGGCTCGTTCGTCTTTGTCGTACTTCGTCTAGGATGCGGTGTAACTCCCGCTCTGCTGTGGGTAGGATCAGAATCTCGAGATCAAGGGACTATAAACCACCCTAAACCCCCGTCGATCGGGTGACTTTGGGCTACCCCAGACCCGTTTGCGTGCAGCGGGTCGCATCTCCAGGTCAGCCGAAGAGCGAGGCACCAGGGTCAAGGTGGTTGTGACTTGTGAAATTAATCAATATCGAAGCTGTCCGCGGCGCGCTTTTGTCATGCGGATGGGCGTCGAGCTGCCGCCAGAGTGGAAAAAGTAAAGCCGCAAAAGATAGTGCGAAAGAAAAGGTCGCAGGAGAAAGGCCGCAGCGATCTATATAAAGGTGGCTGCAACGGCCGCTGACGGCGGTGCTTGGTTGATATCTGCATCTATACAAGTCGTGGATAGTAGCTTCAGCAAGGATGGCGACCGATCTGCCCGGACACGCGATGTATCCCCATCCCCGGTCGACTCCCCAGGTTTCAGGACGGTCCATCAGCAACCTCATCGCTTCGATGTTTTCCAGTCGACGCCAGGCCAGAATAGCGCTCACCTTGCTCCTGCTGGGCGCCGTCCTGGCGGCGGTCTTCTCAGGGGCCTCCTATTCTTCCGCGACGCCGTCTTCATTCTCGCCGTCGCTGCGAAGCCTGCGCAGGTCGCTGCTCTCCGAACGCACCCTCACGGCCGTTCTACCGTCGTGGGCGCATCTCACGGCCTCCCTGCTGCTCGCTCGCCAGGCGCCCGTCGCCGTGCTGCGTCAGGGCACCGTGGTCGGGAAGATTCGCGACGATGCTGATTTCCCACACCCGCTGGAGGCCTTCTTGGGCATCCCCTACGCCCTCCCGCTGACGGGGGCGAAGAGGTTTGCCAGGCCGGAGCCTGTGAAGCAGTCGTCGGCGACGATAGACGCATCGAAATATGGCAATCGGTACTGTCTACCCTGGATTTCTATGCATGTTTGACTGTCTATATAGATGGGAGTACGTGGCTGACATTGATAGATGCATCGGCGGCTCTCTGGAAGGGCTTGTTCGGGAATGGGGCGAGGACTGCCTCAGTGTGAACGTATTCCGTCCCATGGACACGAAGCCTGGACAGAATCTCCCCGTCGTGGTTTATTTCCATGGAGGCGCCTTTAACCTGGGAGCCGGTACGTCATCTGTCCGTACTCCTTTTACTGCATATCTAACTGGGACAGGGAGATACCACGACACGGCAGCACTGCTGGCCTGGTCGGAGAAGCCCTTCATTGCTATCAACTTCAATTATCGGTAAGAGCTCTACTCCCGGTTGAGAGGCAGGAAGCTAACCACGCCTCTCAGTCTCGGGGCCTTTGGATTCCTGTCATCAGGTATCATGGCCAAGGAAAAGCTGCTAAACGCTGGCTTGTACGACCAGCTCTTGCTCCTGAAATGGGTTCAGGATAATATCAAAGCCTTCGGCGGGGACCCAAATCAGGTTACTATCATGGGACTCTCGGCCGGAGCTCACTCGGTAAGTAGTATTCCTTGCCATGTATAATATGATATCGACACTGACTCCTGGCAGATCGGCCATCATATCATGTATCTCCAGCATGATTCCCGCCCGCTCTTCCACCGAGCGTTGCTAGAGTCTGGTGCAACCACGGCCCGCGCCGTCTACCCGTACAATGCCCCCCTGCCTGAAGTGCAGTTTTCCGAGTTCGTGGTGGCGGCCGGCTGCTCCAATGCTCATGGCGCAGATATCATCTCGTGTCTCCGGAAACAACCCGTCGAGACCGTTGGCCAGGCTTCAATCGACATATTCAACCGCTACAACCCATCTGACCGGTGGGCATTCCAACCCGTCATCGACGGCGACATCATCAAGGAAGCTCCCATACATGCCTGGGCCTCTAAACAGTGGAACAAGGTTCCGATCCTGACCGGCTTCAACACCGACGAGGGCTCTCCGTTCGCGCCGTCAGATCTGGATAGCTCGGCGGCGTTCACTAAATTCTTTAAAGAGTTGATACCTGCCATGTCTAGTGAGGATGTCAACACACTTAACAAACTATACCCGGACCCAAAAACCGTTAAATCTTCGCCTTACATCGATACGCGCCCTATCAAGGTTGGCTCACAGTATAAGCGCGCCACGGCAGCGTATGGGCAGTATGCCTATATATGCCCAATCCAGCAAACAGCATACCTTGCCTCAGTGGCTCAAAAGCCTCCAGTCTTCCTTTATCACTGGGCGGTAAACAAGACTCTCAAAGGAGGTGCCAGCCACGGCGATCAGGCCGAGTATGAGCTGTATAACCCTGGAGTTCGACGCATATCCAAGACACAGGAGCAAATATCAGGCTTTCTGCATGCCTACTTTACCTCCTTCGTCACCACCGGAGACCCCAACGGTATTAAGGGGAGATATGCCAGCAGACCCAAGTGGATTCCATTTAACGTCGGCTCGAAAGATAGTGTCATGATCTTGGGGGAAGGTAACGACGAGCGAGCTGGAGGGCATAATCTCGGTATATCCGCTAAGCTGGGAAATATCAGTTACACCAAGGCGGAGTGTGACTTTTGGTGGAAAAGAAGTATCCTGTCCGAACAATGATCGACTTGCATTAGTTAGCAAGGAAGGAGTGCGTTCTATATTCTGTATAGATGGTGCATATAAATACATGGAAATATCTCCTAGGCGCGGTAATGATAATGATAACCAACTATTTTCAGTGGCTCTTTGACAGCCGAGTGGAATCTTCTACCATGAGTTTAAGATGTCTGGTATCACCCAATGGGGGTTTAAGTAAGATCTGCCAATTATGAGCTACAATTGTATAACATGCGCTTCATCTACATGTCTCTCATTTAGCGCGATTTATCAATATCTCGTACCACCGGATATATCCTTTCCAAGCCTGTACCCACTGATATTCTCCCATTCAACCTTCTGCCGTGTAATCGGCAGCTGTCGACGTAGTCCTTTGAACGCTCCTTCGGATAGCCGGCTAAATGCATCATTCAACTCCTCCTGGTGCTCTCGCTCTGCGGTGACAATGCGTTTGAAAACAGTGTCGGCTGGAGATGCCGATGGTATGGAGATGGAGACTGGTTTTTTGTTGTTTAAGGAGACATTGCCGTCCTCATAGTAGTGCACGTCGACATGAATTGTGCCGGTGATCGTGGTCGGCGAGGGGACTTTTAGATTGTACACCGCACGGTACCTCCCGTTCCTAGATGAAGTGTAAGCAGGTCACCTTCCTTTACTATAGCCTGATTAAGACTTTTATGTATATTGCTCGTACCAGAAGTTGTTGGGAGAGTATTTATTCGCAACCAAAAGGATAGCAATTGACGAGTCGTCCTCGGAAGGGTAGACGCCGTATGAGCTGTTTGGATAATGTTCGCGAGAATGCGAAGAGAGGAGTTTGAGATATGATTTTCTGTATCAACAACGTCAGTGTTGGCTCTTGATAAAGAAGAAAGGTTGCGTAGCTGACATGAGTTCTGAGTTCTGAGATTCTAGAGTGTATGACCGGGGAGCGGAGGCTGTCTATAGAGCTCCAACGTCAGCACCTACGGTCCCGAGTAACGAGATAAGGCAGAACCGGAACGTACTTGTGAAACATGGTCAAACTCGAAGGATGTCTGGCTCTCTACGTCAAAGTATCGACCGTCTTCAAGCTTGTTGTACGCACTGACAATGACCTATTTCAGCGACCGACTGGTTTAGCGTCTTCAACGAAGTATTTTTTCGACAGTCCTTGTATGTATAAGCTCAAACGCACCTCTCGATTGCTTCCGGCCAGCTTCACCGTTGTCAGCTGGGACTCGTTGTATTTTCTGAATGCCGGCTCGAGTGAGGGGATGATGTTAGAGCCGGACGAGGTCAACGCTTTGATATCTAGTTCGATGCTCAATTAGAAAGGTCTGCAGCAGGCCGGCCCGGGTATCCGTCATCTCACCAGTAACAACATCTCTGAGCTGCACAAGATATTAGCTGTATGTCTGCAGTAAAGAGGGATCGGTGATGCCTGCATACCTCGCCTGGCGGGGCTCCCTCTATAAACGACGAAGCGATCTCAACGTGGGAGGCCATGATGGATATAAGCCAGCGTCAACAGTCGTCCCAGCTAGATAAATAGGCCTAGAAGATGCAAAGGGGGGGCCGTCTATGTGCTTAATTGCTGTATAGATGCGATGCGGAGAGTTGGTGGACGGCGGATGTTTACTTGGTGAAACTGCCCGCCAAGGCCAACGCTGAGGTAAGCCCGCTGCGATAAGAGATGGAGGAGATGGGAGAAGATGGAATATCAAGCGCGTTCATTAAGGATATTAAATATATACAGATAAATTCAAACGCCGTAGGTAGACAGGGGATGCTAGCTATGCCTCGCTAAATCGAATAGATGTAAAAAATATGTGGGGTCAGGGGGTAAGTGGTTAATATAGATAGTTAGGAGTAAAAACGAGTATATCGATCAATCGATGCTCATTTTCATAAGCCCGTCACTTGTCTCGGTCATTCCCTGCAGGCCAACGCGTTTCACCGGGCCCGTAGACGTGCTGCTTGAAGCAGTGTCGCTCGAATGGTTCCCCTGGAACAAGATAGCCTTTGATAGATGGCCGACTCGGCTTGCCTCTGTGCCTGCAGAAACATGGCCTTGAACCGGGCTACTCTGTACGCTGGGCCCCGGAGAGACAGCCCGACGTTTAAAAGATGCCAAATCAAAGTCATCTCCGCGCCGCCGCTTGTTGAACTTGGGAAATATTTCAGGCTCGATATCTATATCTCTGCATGGCCGGCTTAGCATTCCGCTTTCCATGCCTGGAGACGCCATCGTTGAGTCGCCTGCCGAGAGCGGTGGTGGAGTCTTGTATCGGCCATCAAAGGTGTTCCAGAAGTCGATGCCGCCGGAATTGCGCGAGACCTGTCGACTGAAGCTGGTAGGTGGCTTCTGGCTTCTTTCGTCCGTGGCAAAACCGGAAGATGAGGAATCGTTGATCTCCAATGCAGTTGGGAGAATAGATGGTGGCTGCGGAGCGACTGATGAATCGTTTTCTCGAACCTGGCGCACAACCTCTGCTTCTTTCTTAGTGTCGCTCTCGACGGGCGCACATTCTTCAAACAATGTAGCCCTTATTCGAGCAAAGTTTTTGGGTTTAGGCTACACCTCAACGGTTAGTTAAGCCAAAAAAAAAATAGATAGGATAAAGGAGTGAGGTCGTACCAAAAGATTTCCCCGCCTGGTCACAGGCCGTCGAATGACGCCCCGACGACCAGACTCGGAATTTGAGCCTCCAGCCAGAGAGCTACTGGACGGGCTGCTCACGCCAGCCTGTTTACCACTCTCTCCATCATCGCTCCCATCTGAGAGATGGAAGTCGGATGGGATATGGCCCAGTTCCTCCAGCCTTGATTTGACCTCTCTCGATGCTGGGATATGCGATAGGAAGCTACCGGCTCCGTCTAATGCCTTTTCTACTGGCGGAGATCGAGACGTAGATACTAGTCTCGGACTGGCACCGCTTGCGCTGGATGAGCTATGTCTCTTCTTGCCGTTCCGGTACCTCGCTCGCTGGAAGTTCATAAGGCTTGCCTTTGCGGCGGAGAAACCGGACATCCAGTCTGCACCTGCTACCGGCATCAAGTTCGGGGAGAAAGGGGCAGAAAGCCCGAGACCAGGTTTCTTTGCTTGAGGGGTCGTTCCCGTCGGGTCCCCGCGATCAAAGCCATGAACAGACCCATCATCGTCGTCGTCTCCAGTACTCGACGAGTCCGAGTCAATCATGTTCACGCTACCCACGGAGCTTGAAACAACCGCCCTATCGACATGGCTGCCGCCCAATGCGAGGATACTGTGATGCATACTGCTGGGAGAGCCGACCATCCCGGTGCTGCCGGTGGTACCACGGCGCTGAGGGATGGCAATCCCCCTCCCGCCGACCACGGGAGAGGAGTCGGGAGACGACTCCGCCAGCGTCGAATGATGCAGGTTGGTACACGCGCGCGAGAAGTCCAGCCCTCGAGACCGGCGTGGTAGGACTGATGCTGGCGAGCCGAATGTGTGGGAGGAGTCTAGCTTCGGGGATAACGGAATACGGGCAGCTGGCGGGCCACTCTTTGGGCTGAACGGCTGCGGCATGGGCAGCGAGAGCCCAAGATGAGGCCGATTGGCCCTCTGCGGCGTTTCCGGCGATGGTTTCTGCGCATCGTCGCTGTTCTTCGTCGGCTCTCTGAAGCCTTGCGGCGTGGATTCGCGTGGGGGAGGCTGGAGCGTATCGGGCGGCCCCTCCATCCCCGATCTCTGCGGCATAACGGTGTATATGAGGTTGTGTATATCTCGTTTATATATCGTCTGTCTCGTTCGCGACGAAGCCAGGTCTCTCTCGGGGGGTAGTAGTTATAGCATGAACGGCGCGTAGTTGGTTCAATGTCGACCGTCGGAAGACGCCGCCTGCATGGCGCAGCAACAGCGGCAAACACGACTCCTAGATATCTCTCAACCCGTTAACAGTCTCTTCTCGTTGTCTCCTCCGTCCTTGATATATATCGTGTTCGTGGTGATTTTACGCGCAAAGTTGAAGTCCAAGTATGACATCAACTCACGTGACCACTCTTATACGTCGTAATATCTTAACCACCCCATTCCCGGACACCTCTATGGATGTCTAATGGACTATATATAGCTATATATATTTAAAGTCATGTCTGAAGTAATAAAAGAATAGTTGAAGAAGAAGATAGAGAAATAGGGGGCAAGTATTGTATACAGGTGAGGTCACGTGAATTGATGTCATTAAAGCTTCAACTTTCGCCCGTTTGGGAAATATCAACGAGCGCAAGATATCTACGGCTTTCTCTTCTCTCTCCCGTCGACGTCGAGCGCGCCCTCGCGCGTCTGTTAGCACGCTGGCGTTGTTGACACGCGAGCAGACTGTCCCTCTTCCAGAGCCAATGCTACCAGCGTCCTCTGCTACAAGGTATATATCCAATTTAACTATTCAGACCATGTCATTGGAACTCTCCGCGATATTCACAACGCTGCTCGTCACCACAGCAGGCAGTGAAGTGAGAGATTGAGGCGATTGCCCTTTACTTCACTCCCTAATCTCTGCTCTCACCCGGGATACTTCTCTTGATTAGACGTTTATGCTGACTATGCTGTCGCGCCAGATGCAAATCAGAGCTCTAAGTGAGCTTACCGAGTATATACCCCCAGGGCGCCCTTCAAGTGGCGCCTCCAGTCGTGAAACCAGTACCTCACTCGATAATAACCTTCTACGCCTCAAGTTACCGCCAGGTTTCTGGCAGAAGTACCAGCAATACACAATGGATCAGAATGAACCTTCGGAGGGGCCTCCAACAAAGCGGCAGAAGTTCACGCCGATACCAGAGCCGGAGCCTATGGAATTGGCAGCTTCAGCTCCAGCGTTTCAGAACCCGCCACAGAGGCCAAGCAGCCTAATACAGGAGCCGGCTCAAGGGCCAGTGCAAGGACAGGTTCAACGGCTCGCACCGAGACCAGCAATCATGGAGCTTGATGGCGATAGTAAAGACGGTATTCTCGAGAGTGACGCCTCGTCAACCTCGGATTCGTCCATGGCATCGGTTGAGAGTGACCTTGCCCTTGGACTAACGGGCGATATCCCATATGCTGCTTCCAATATTCCTCTCGCAGCTACGGCAGATGCCCCTCCACCCACCACAACCACGCCTGGTGCTAGTTTCACTCATGGAGCACCTCCGTCGTCGGATAAAAAGCCTACTAAGGTCAAAACTTCTTCTAGCCCAGTTCCAGGTTCGTTGCACTTTTACCCTCCATTCACGACATCTACTGACACGTCCGCAGACTGTAAGCCAACTGTCCTGGTCACCGTCGTAGGCAGCGGGCCAAACCACTTTCCTGTAATGCAAGTTGTCCCCAACTCGCAACTGGCAGCAAGCCTCCGTGGGACCCCTTGTACACGGCCAATTGTCTGGCGCAATGGGGTGCCACGAGAGCTTCGAAACCAGTGGACTCGAGATGCAGCTATATATTTTTCGAGGGGCAACCTGGCCGCCGAACCTTGCACTTCATGCATGCGCGGAAAAGGGCCATTTGAACAATGTGTTCGTTTCATGAATGCTGCAGGTGCGTCGCCTCTGAGAGGCGCTTGTGCAAGCTGTATCTGGACGGGAAATCCGCGTACATGTTCATTCCGTATGAATATCCCTATATTCACTAAGCTCTCAAACTACCTGAAGAACGAATAAGAAGGCTAATATTATACTTAGATCCCGACCACCATCTCCTCCCCAGCGTGGCCCACTCTACGCCTTCAAAGCTGGTAGACAAGAAGCCGTCTATCGCCCCACGGACACCTCGTACACCAAACACGCCATCCTCATCCGCCAAACCACCACCATTATCTGCAAAAATTTTACCATCTTCTGCCAAAATCCCCCCTCGCCCGGTCCCCTTGAATCAAAACGGGACAACACCCAAGAGTATTCTCCCGGTTTCCCCTGCCCAATCTATTGCGCCATCTCCTACCAACCCATCGACTTCATCGCCTCTTCCACCGCCACAACGTTCCAACCCATTCCCCAACCACTGCTACTTTAACATCCCCGATAAGCTTAATGGAGGTAACTTGACCGAGGTGCGCAGGGCCATCCAGGAGCTGGATGCCGTGCAGGCTAAGCTCAAAGAACGGGCTAATTTTTTAGAGCAGCTGGGCGATAATTGGCAGTGAGGTAGCCACACAACCGGCGGAAGGCTATTCTTTCACGGAATGCGATCTATCTCACGTTTCCCAGGCTATTGCCAAACCTGCGGCGTGCCTACTCCAGTATGTTCACTGCAGTATATTTTTAAGACTGGCGTTGCTGTTTGCCGCCCAGAAATTTATAGGTACAGGCTATTTTCTCTCGCCGTTACATTTACCCCCTTGATCTTACTTATGGAATACCCGCGGCATATTTTCTTGTTTAATAAATTTTAACAATATTAATAATGATACATTTATTACCCCTTTCTTACCCCTGTCTATCAATAAGAGTAACAATAGAAATCTCCATAAAACGCCTCCCATATGAATGCGTGGAATACAGACCGAGACCCAGACTACGTTTCCCTCCCACGGCCGAGAGGTTGCATACGGTATGCCTGCTCGTTGTATACTGGCTGTGGCTGGAACGCTTGCTCTTCATCGCCGCCAACTCGCTGAAACCCATGAATCGCCCCCTGGTCATCTGGATGGTATGGTATATCACAGTCCACCGACCACAAGGACGGGTAATAACAGCGATATACCAGATACGCTGTTCCCAGGCCTATTATTGAGCCGCTGGTCACATCATACACGTCGTGGCGGTAATCTGCTACACGGGAAATGGCAATCATCAGTGCTCCAAGCAGTGGAGACAGCGAGACGAGGAGACGAGCAAGGCCAGAGCGTGGGCGCCAGGCCCGTAGTTGGCCTGCAAGGAAGCTGTGCGTATGATTGTTAACATGACCTATACTGCTAGAGCTGAGAGGCTGGCATGGTACAGGCACACTTACAACGAAAGGTAACCCAGCCCTGAGAACCCAAAACTACTGTGTCCGCTTGGGAAACTGCGCCATCCCTCGTTTAGGATATGCTGATTCGTCCCGGTGCATACCGTATAATCGACCAGTGTATGTTCTGGAGTGCCCTTTTCCGGTTTGCAGCGTGATATCAGGTCCGGACGTGGCCTGCCAACGGCATTCTTGATTATATCAGTTATAAAGATGGTGACCAGTAGCGTAGCAAGGAGGCCTAGAAGAGTGATATGAACGAAATGGCTTCCTGGGCGAAATAGGGCGGACCAGACGCCAATTGCAAGGAGAGGGAAGACGCCGGAGTAGATGATGGACCATACTGATGGAAGACGAGAGTTAGACGACTATGGCATGCTATATGGAGTAGGGTGACGTACCGACTGGCACCCGTTCGACGACGGCAAAGGGATACTGAATGGATGCATTATCCAGGCTAAACATCTGGTGGAATGGATGTACGAAGAGTTGTAGCTATATCTCAATCCATCAGTATATACTCCATATTATATATGCCAAACTCGGGCGACTGAAAAACGTACCATCACCCACGCAACAACGAGGAAAATGAGGATCGTATAATCAGCAGCGTATGAACGGTGCCAGAACCGCACCAGAGCCCCCATACAGCCTGGCTGGTGGGTGAGATCCGAAGTCTTTCGGCCGTCCATATTCTCGACGCTGGAGAAAGGGGGAATAGGAGCTGCAGCTATCGCATTTCACATTTATCCAACAAAGTGAGCGGCAAACAAGCGAGTGAGTGTCTTCTTCCTCCGCCGTCAGTCGTTGATCGTCTTCCGGACCCTCAGTTATCTCCCAGCAAGCCCTCGTCTCGTCCTGTAGCAGAGCTGAAGCTATCAAGTTTCCCCAGGCTGTTTCAATATAAATATACGGGCTTATGTAAGCAATTTCTTCTTCATCGCGAGTTTCACGAAAAGACCAGCAAGAAAAAGGAGACTTGAGACAGCAACGGTAACCCGGGAGAGATCGAGATGGAAGACGGGGCTCAGCGAGGCGTCACCGCGGCGTTTCCTCCGCCGCCGCCGTTTTGGAAACATTTTGGCCAGGGCAACCTGAGCAAGCTGGCGGATGCAAAGCGTGAAGCGCGCCGTGGAGACGATGGCGACGAGAAGGCAGCGAGCAAGGACTGGACGCCGGCCGAGCTGCGAGGGCTGGACGTGGCGCCAGAGCTGAGGTTTCTGATACCGCCTGAGCCGCCTGTGACGGATTATGTGCTGTTTGGCGAAACGCAGCAGGTAGGCTCGCTGGACTTGATATCTTTTATGCTCTTATAGCTAACGAAGACGATAGCTGTCACCCAACCCTCCCTCTCTGGGCGACCAAGGGATAACCCAACTGTATCCTTCCTCCTCACCTACGTCTGGACACGCCTATCACCTTACCAAAATCTCCAAGTCGCTACTGCTTAACTTCCTAGAGCTCACAGGCATCCTCTCCATCGCTCCGGAACACGCGGAGGAGAAGCTAGAGATGATTCGCACCCTATTCATCAACGCATATCATCTGTTGAACCTGTACCGGCCACACCAGGCTCGGGAGTCACTGGGTGGCCTGATCGAGCAGCGCATCGAGCTGGCCAAGGAGGAGGTGAAGCAGATGGAGGAGGTGGAGGGGAGAGTGGCCGGCTGGCTGGAGATGGTGGGCAAGGAGGGAAAGGAGGGAGTATCGGGCGACGATGAGATGCAGGTCGAGCGCGAGGCAGGTAGCGAGAAAAAGGGAGAGAGTATAGCGCTTGGGGAGAAGGACAGAGAGGTTGCGGAGGCTCGGATGATGTGGAGGCTTCTCGATGGGCTCGAGGAAGCCGGATGAGGCTCGTTATGGACACGGTTATACACTTCACTGCGCCGTATTGGTTAGACTCAACAACTACAACTCCCTCGCCTCGGTCGAGATGGCAAGTCGGACTCGCAGAGACTGGACTTGGATATGCTAATTGTATACAGCCTGTTAGCCCATCAACTCGCTCGGTTGATGATGACATGAGAGTCAGCCACGCGGAGGCCGTGGTAGATAGATCTGCATCAGACGCAGGTTATAGACTCACTCGGATACCGAGATCAAGGACGCCGAGACAGACAGATCTAGACATAATGGATATATCGTCAATTTATGAGCGATAACTCTTTGATTATTCTTTGACGGGCCAAGGAAGTGCAGAAGGACATCTGTATTTTTGAATACCGGTACCTCTACAACTTGACATGTACCATTCTTTACAGCTTTCTTAATCTTCTACTGCTTGCACTGATTTGGTTGGGATGTAACTTGATTCAAGCCCGTAATTCGACGTGGATGGGCATATTCTTGGTGTGAAGTAGTATAAACATGATAAAGCGAACAACATCAAGCACCTTTCCGCGTCTTCTCGAGATATTCCCCCAACTGTTCAAGATATTCTCCTCTTCTCGAGATATTCCTTTGGAAAACACCATATCGCTCCTGATTCACTTCTAGCGTTTAAACCGGGCATGGAAGACGTCTACATAACGATGCAGAGACACTCGCAGTCTTCGTCGCCGCAACCGCACCCGAAACACGGCTTAGTGGCACCCTTGATGGGCTTGGAGATGGAGGAGGCCGCAGAAGAGCCTGAGGAGGTCGGCAAGGTCCCGTTGACCAGAGTGGTTTTCGTACAGGCGGCCATGGTCGATGATAGGGGCCTACGGGCGGTTAGCAACATATATCAACCACAACCACCAGAGAAGCAAGTCAAAAGAAAGAAACATACGAGAAAGTCTTGGTACGGAGTCTCAGCGGTCTTGGAATGCTTGTTTGTGCTTGGCTTTGGGCAAGAGGATGCAGATAGGGGGGAGCTGTGGCTGGTTATAAACCGAGCTTCGGCATGCCGCCAGTGACATCCCCTCGACGCCCCTGAACCGCTGGCTGTTTCTGGTGGAGGGCGATGACGAGGCCGACAAGCCACAGCTGAGCTGCCCGCTTCGAGGCCCGACGCGAGTGGCTGCGAGGGAGCATCGAGGAAGTTTGTCTCAGCTGGGCCAGGGTCGACGGTGGACCACATGGAGATGCTCATTACAGGAGTGGTTCACTTAGTTATGTATGGGACGGCGAGCTACTCCTTACTTTGCATGGTGAGTGCATGGAGACGGCATGGATGATGAATGCGCGGCAGGGATACACTCTGCGAGGTTCCAGTTTAATAAACAAAAGGTACTTTTTTTCCTTGCGTAGTTATCTTCTTATCTCATTATCGTTAGAGTTGGTTCCCGTCCCTTGACGAGCCGGTTCCAGTTGGGTATCTTGATCTCCTATCTCCTAGTTCAATCCTGCCCCTGAAATTTCATTATTCTCTATGTAGCTCGTTCCGTCTATCAGCCGAATCACGAGCTAAGCTTCTCAACGAACGCAGCAGCTCCGCCTGGTTGCATCTTGTTCAGCCACGAGACGAGCTCGATCAATTCGGCTCGTCGCTCGTCGTCCAGCTGGTCGCTGTCGCCAGTCAGCACAGACTCGAAGATCGGCAGGAGGCGGGGCGTCAGTTGGCGGACAGTTGCGTCCTCCCATTTATCTGCGACATGTTAGTTAGCTACCTTGCTTACACTTGTGAAGAAAGGGATGACATACAAAGCTGGCAGATCATTCTATACACAGGCTCGTTCTCATCGTAGTCGTTTTCCAGAGGAAGGATTTCAACCAGGGCAGGCAAAACCTCATCCAGGGGAACGTTCTCGCGATGCTTTAGGATCAAGCGTGCAACACATCCAGCAGCGTTATCAGGAAGTCTTGCCTGTTGGATCTGGAGACACCTGGAGATTTTCTCTAGGATGGATGGGTACGCGGCCACGAGCTCAGCGTCAGCCTCGGACTTCTCGACCAGCAGACCAACGGCGTAGCTGGCGTTGCTGCGAGTTTGCATGTCCTCGTCCGTTAGACGGTGAGTGAACAAACGCAAGAAGTTGGTCGTGTAGGGAGTGATAGCGTTGCCGAGCCCGGCAATCACGTCGGCAAGCACACCGATGGAAGTAGATCGCTCGAGCGATTCGCTGCTTCCGGCGAAACGGAGGACGTATTTCTCAAATGTTGGCCAGAGAGCCACAAATTCGGCGCCTAGTGCGATCGCGAGGCCGGAGACAACGTCAAGAGCAGTGTCGATGACGTTCCAGTCGAACTCGGACAACTCTTCCATGAGCTCCCTATCTTCCTCGGTAGCATCGAGCTCTATCTGGCAAGGATGCTGCTTGGTGATGATCGATGTGACCACAGTCGTGACATTCTCAAGATTCTGGCGGTTGGAGATCAGGTAGGGGCCACAGAAGCGCAAGTTGTCGGCGAAGTTGCGGTTGATGTCAGAGACCGCGGAACTGCCATCCTCACTGTCAGTATATGCACAAACAAGTAGATGTAAAATATAAGATAGATGGTATAAGGTTTATCAGATAGATAGATCGTGGTATCAACAATCGCCCTTTGGGCGTCTGCGTGAGCTGGGTAACGAGTGGTGTCATCATATAAAAGGAAGCAACAAAAATGAAAAAAAGTCGACTTACGGATCGTCTTCATCAGTCCATCGCTGAAGAGTAACCTTCATCAGGATCTCGCCCAACTTCTTAATTTCGGTTGGTGGCTCGACTAATGCCATGCCCTTACCAGGCTGCCACTTCTGCATCTGTCCAGTCTCCTCGCAGACCTGCCACAGCGCAGCATACGATCGGTGAAGGGTCGACATGGTACTCTTCCTCACGCCTTCGTACGAATGCTCGGCGAGCGGTAGAATGTGCTGCATTGTCATCTCGAAGAATGGCATGAATGACTTGCCGGTGTGTGTGATCACGTCTCCAAGCACTTCAATGGCGACTTCTTTCTCCAAGGAAACTGGGGTGACAGTGTTGAGGTTCTCCCAGTCGTCGTCGATATCCTCGAAGTCATCATCGTCGTCGTCATCGGTACTAGCAACACGCACTTTGTGTCCGGCAATGGTCACTTCCTGGCCAACGAGGTCTTTGGCGGCATCTCCAAGAGAAACCTCCATGTCCGTCTCGCTTTGCTCCAGACATGCGATCAATGCCTTGACGACGCCTTCAAGGTATGGAGTGAACTCCGATCCGTAGACTTTTGACATCACGCCCCAGAAGAGATAGGTGCTCTCCTTCAAGCGTGAGTGGTCGAGGTGCAATGCCTCTTCGCTAGCCTGCATCAATGGGCCGACGTAGTTCTTGAAATGTTCTGGTCCAGCGCCAGAAGACATCTCGCCCATAGCATCGATGACACTGGCACGTAGCTCGAGCTCTTCCTCACTGTGCTTGAGCGTGGCGAACTCCTGCATGATATGCATCGATTCGTCAAAGTAAGGGAGGAATGCATCACCGGCAGATGAGGCCACCGATCCAAGTGCGCTGGCAGTGTGGCCCTTGATTTTAAAGTCGGGATGCTTGAACAGCTTCTGCAACAAGGGAACGAGCTCGGATTGGTATGGGGCGACGTCCTTGCCTTCCATGCCGTCAACGACGGTGTCAGTTGCGCTAAGCGCAGACTTGATCATGTCGACCGCGGGACCAGATTCCTCTCCATTGTATCCTTGCATAGCGCTAGCCAGGTTCTTCAAGAGCAATGGCATGAGCGTCTCGTGCTGTTTGCTGACATCGTCAGGAAGGTCGTCGGCAAGTCTAGCGACGGTGTCAAGGGCAGCCTGGCGCACGCTGGAGTCGGGGTCCTGGAGCAAACGGAAGAGGACGGGGAAGATCTCCTTCATCTGGGTGCTGATGAAATCGGGTGCTCCGTCGATACACATGCCGAGAGACATGATACCGGCACGACGGTGGCTAGGCTCCGAGCTGTTGAAGTATTGGCCGACGGCGTTGAGGAGAGGAACGACCACTTGGCTGGGAGCGAAGCTCTGGGACATCATGTCGAGGAGCCCAAGAGCGGAACGGGCTGGGGTAATGTCATCGTCGTCAGAGTCAAGGTCACCTAGCTCGGTAGCGACGGCGAGACATGTGCGGGTGAGCTGCTCGCCCAGTTGCATGCCCTGGATACGGACTTTCCTGTAGCTGACAGCCTGCATGAGGAAGCTGATTGCTTGGGTTCGCGTATCGTCGTCAGCCTTGGTGTTACCGGCAATCTGATTCATGAAGATAACCAGGTCCTTCAGGTGAGGGTTGAGGAGCTCTGGGTCACACCCAAGGAGGGTTTGGAAGACCTCGAAGGCCTGCATCGTCCGGGCATCGTCGCTTTGGTCAATGGTGTCCTTGAGGACGTTGACCATGGCAGGGAAAATTTGCTGGAATGCCTGGATTGGCTTTTCGTCTTCGTCCGAGTCAAGATGGACGGCGAGCTTGCTCAGGGCTAGCAGCGTGTTGATGCGAACCTCCGCGCTCTCGGGGTCACGGATCGTCTTTTCGAAAAGCGCGAATAGGTCCATGAATTTCTCCTCGAAACCTTCACCCAGAGTCTCCAGGACGGCGTAAAGGATGTATGTTCCGACGGCACGCTCCTCCTGCTTCGCGCTGGTGGACGCGTTCAGGAGGAACTGCGGCAGGTCAGCCCACTCGCCATCGGTCAAGTCGATCTCTGCAATGGCAGAGATGACTCTCGCACAGGCATGGCGGACGAGTGCAGAGCTTTCACTCAGGGTCGAGCGGAGCAGCTGCTCTCTGACCTGTGGTTTCTGGGCAGCGGGAACCTTTGCCCATAGCTTTATAGCAAGAGATCGAGCCTCGACGGCGGCCAGCTGCTTCAAGTCTGCATCGTGGTGTGATGTAGCAATTTGGATGAGGAAGAGGAGGGCCTCCGGGTTTTTATAGTACACCTTCTGGAGCGTGCTGGTGGCTTCCTTCACGTTTCCTTGGCTTGCTACGGGTGAGACACGTTAGTAATAAGCGAGGCCGGAGAGAGAAAAACAAACGAAGACACACTAACGATTCAGTATAATCTGCAATTGCTGCAGGAAATGTGCTTGGTCCATCTTGATGCTCCCGGCGGCTCACACACTGTGGTGTGCTCGTAGATCGTAGTCGACTCTCAATGCCCGTCAGGTATTCAGTAGAAGCTCATTAAACAGCCGATACCAAGCACCCGCACACAGGTGAGAGCGAGAGCAGAGCGAGAGCAGAGCGAGACGCAGAGAGACGGATTCCTGGAGATATCAAAAAGAGGGTGAAGGAGGAAGAAGAAAAAAAATGAAGTCGAACAAATTTTCTCGGGGTGGGGAGAAAAAGCGGAAATCATGTGGTTTGTCCCCCGCCTTGCGCATAATTTTCTGCCCAGCGCATTTCTGACAACACCAAAGACACCAATAGACAGTGAATGAGATATAGATTGAATGGTGTATATTGGTATATGTAGGATACGATAAAGCTCAAGTATTTCCACTCCGTACTCAATGCCATGTCCAAAAAGAAGAGAACTCCGGGATTGCTGCCCAGTATACGACACACAGGTCTATAACAATACCAATAAATCCAAGGAGTAGTACAAATAGGATATACAGCCAAAAGCAGCAAAAACAAGATATAATAAAAAAAAGCGAGAAGGGAGAAGGACGAGCTAGAGTTCTTCGTCGTCCGAGTCGTAGTAGTCGTCGTCGAGCAGCAACGACCTGTATCCTCGGGCCGCCAGGTCTTCCTCCAGGCCTCCGACGGCGTGGGCATCAGCGTAGCCTAGACAAGGGGAGTTAGCTTAATCACTAGATACGATGCATGGTAGGATGATATTGCTTACCATCGCCTCCGATGAAGCTCAGGGCCACGGGTAAGAAAATAAGCGCGTGGGTTGCCGCGAAGACGACGAGAGCAAGCCAGACGCGGAAGTAGTAGATCTCGAAGATTTTACTTCTGGTGAAGGCGAGAACGCATATTCCGACCAGTTTGGTGATGGTGATGCCGCTGAGGACGCTCCCGCCAACGTTTACCAGTGCCGCCCACGCCCTGGCGGTGCGGTGTCGGAATTTGACCGGTGCCTTCTCCAATAGCGGTGCAGAGGGGAACATGAATGCGCGGGCGATGTGCGCGCAGAACTCGACGCTGATTCCAACACAGATTACGAGGTTCACCAACGAAATGGCATTCAGGGAGACTCCCACTACTGCCATGGCCCCGATGATGTCCACCACAATCATCACGACTGTCAGCGTCACTACTCCGCCGGTGAGAAGCGATCCTAGCAGGGCCGAGGTGACGAGGAAGATCACGCCAACCGCAGAGCCCAGTAAGGCACCCGTGAGCTGGATGATGGACGCATACTGGTCGAAGAAAATGTAGAATTTGGAGTAGGGGAACACGTCAATGCCGTGGTTGCTGGAGATATCATTTGCGATGCGACGCGCGGAAGCGTAGGCGTTGATGAAGTCAGCCTGGCCGCGCAATGGGGTGTGTGCCGTGCGGAAACTGCTGGCGTTGGTCATGATGCGGTTTGAATCAAGGACAAGGGCGTTGCTATACGGAGCTTTGCCGCCGAGCGGGCAGGACTCTGTCGTTGGAGAGTCAATCCATTTCTCTGCGTAGTGGATGAATTCAGCACCCTCGGGCATGCCGTAGAGGGAAATATTCCAGCCGGGCTGGCGATCTTCAAAACATGTTTTGCCGTCTTCCTTGCAGCAATCCTGTTGGGGATTGAGCCAGTAGAAGAAATCATCGATCCAGTTTGCAGTAGATCCTGAAATGTACGAAACGTTGGAACGCTTGGACTCTTGCTCTAGGACGAAGCCCAAGGAGAACTCATCGCAGGTGGTAAACCGGCCGCAGATTTGTTGCTGGTGCTCTCTGGCGGTGATGTTGACATCCCGCGTCACGAAATAGACAGGAGGTCCGACACTGAGGTAGTCATAAAGATCGTTGAAGTATGGTATCAAGTAGGAGTCATTTGGGATCGCAATTCGCTGGTCCAGTCCCAAGCTTACCATTGGAATCAGACCCAGTCCAGCTGTAAATAGCCCCAAGAAGAGGACCACTACGGCAATTTTGACATTCCGGCCAAGGAGTCTGGTGGCATATACCTTGCGGATGAAGCGTTGTAACAGGCTTTCTCCAAAATCAGGTCTTTCGTCGCCAGCAATGCCAGTACTGGCAGCCTTGCGGACTGCAATGCAGGGCACACAGTCCACGCGGAGACTTTCCACACGTTTCTGGTTCAATGCCAGAATAGACACGAACATCGTCACTTGGAGTAAGGCGTTGATAAGCACGGCTCCGGCAGCATACGCTGCGAAGTTCTTTACAGCCGGCATTCCAACAAAGACACCCAAGGCAAACGCGATGGTCTCAGTCGTTGCTGAGAGCAGGATACTTGGGCCAATTCTACCAAGGGCTCTGGCGATGCGCTCGTCAATCTCCTCATCTGGGTGGCTCAAGTTCACTCGTTCGAATTCATGAACGATGAGGAATATATTATCAACACCCACGGCAAGAACGAGGAAAGGTATGACTTCTGCGATTATAAGGGTGACCTTGATGCCAAAGGCGGAGAAAAGGCCGACAGACGCTGACACTGACATTAGGACAATGAGAATTCCAACAATTCCGAGTGTAAATTTTGACTGGACGAGGACGTGGCTAGGGTTATGGAAAAGTGATCGCCAACTGATAGTTGTAGAACCTAGGGCGAGGGACGCATAAATAAACATAATAACGTAGCTGATGACAACGATTCTGGCGTCGGTGTTGGTCGACTTGTTCAATTCCTGCTCTAGAGAGATTTCTGTACTGAATGAGACGCGGAGTCCACGCTCGGAAGCTTCTTCTTGCACGACTTGGAGCACCTGCTTCAACGTCTCTTCCCAGTCCATTGCTCGAGCTTCATTCTCTGATCCTTGTTCGTAATTGTTGACCACCCAGGTGATGATGAGGGAGCGGGCATCCAAGATATTTGCCGTTTCGTTAAACCCTCCCAGGACCATCTGGGGTGCTAGAGGTTGTTGGAAGTCCGGAAGACAATCACGGGAACCCGGCGACTGCGCACAGTGCTGTAGGTGACTCCGCCATGTGTCTGGGTTGACGTTGGTAAAAGAACCCTTGAAGTACCCGGAAAGTGACTGCACAACGCATCCACGGCCAGTTGGGTTGAAGCAAACATCGTCCAGTGTTAATCGTTGGTTCAGTGAAATCATTCGCCGCACACGATTCTCGACATCGAACCACCAGCCCAGCGTGTCATAATCCAACACTGGCTCTGGCTCTCCGGTATTAACATCTTTGACGACGAACACTTGCTCAACGCGGTAAAATGGTTCAAAATTGGCATCATAAAAGTCTTTCTCCTTCGCAGCAGCAGAATTAGGGCTAACCCAGAGCCTGACAGGATCTGTTTCAACCGCAAAACGAAGCCAGCCGAGGCTAAGAAGCAATGCGATGAGAACAGTAGATGAGATGGTCAAGCCAGGGAATCTTGCACATATGCCACCCAGCCGGTTGAAGGCGTTACCTAGCATGTGGTTGAGTGGGTACGGCTGGGGGATCCGAGTATCTTCGATCACATCGGCCTCATCGTCTTCGTCGCTTGGGGCATCGTCCTGTAGGAGCCGAACACGCTCGATATTTCGCGCACGGTGTCGTTTAAAAGCAGACCGCGCGATTGCCAGCACGACAATGAGCATTAGGGAAATGGAATATACTAGTATCGCTGCAAATGTGAGGCAGGGGAGACTGCCGACTTGGCAATGGCGCTCTCCCTTGATTGCGGGAAGCTCTGGACAGACCTCAGGGCAGTCTATGCAAGAGCAACGGTAGGCCTCATCCTTGTCAGCACACGATTTCGTTTCATCAGGTACTGGTTTCATGTTCTGATCGTCTGAATGCCGGGGTTCTGTAAGGAAATTTATCTGAAAGGGGCTACCGAGGAACTTCTTGTCGCCCAGGAACTTCAGGAACTGCGTATAATTTTTTGCTCCGCCGCCAATAAAGTCCATGGCCTTACCGCCTGAAGCGCCATTCTTGACATTTTTGCAGCTGTCGTAGAAACTACTCTGGTACTCCTCTGACCATAGGGTATCCAGTTCGGTGACCAGCAACTTGCCGTTCACCTGAGCCACCTCAGTAACATTGACGAAGAGGGACTGGTCGGGCGAACAGGTGAAGGTGCAGAAGAGGTTGAAGAAGTTTTCTTTGCAAGCAGGGCACGACGATATGATCCCTTCGGCGAGCTTCAGGTTCGACGAGAGCGCATCAATCTAGACAAAACGAGGCCAGGACAGTCAGTAACATACGTCCAGTATAGTATAAATATCAGATACAAGTGGAGAGGCGTGCCATACCTGTTCATCCTTGCAGCAAACCGGGCCATCTTCCCACTTCTTCCCGCACAGGTCGACCAGCCTCTGCCGAACCTTCTGTTCCGGCAGACTAGCTAGTTCATTGTCCGGACACGGCAGCTCACCGCCAAAGAACGACTGTTTCCCGCAGTTGCCTCTGATAGCACAGCGGCCTGCTTCGTGTATTTTCGTTTGGCCGGCAAGAGAGAGACTGCCGAAGCCCAGGGCAGCTAGTCCAGCAACGGCCGAGAGGGTGAACCGCATCGCAATGGCCTAGGTCGGAGAGTAGGACGATTCAAGGACTATCTCGGTGGCCGTGCAAGTCCCCTGACCGTCGTCGAGCTTCTCCTTCAGCTTCTCCTCGAGCAGGACGTCTGCTTTGAATATAAACTGCACTCGCGTGTGGCTGGCTCAGCTACGTCATATCCGGGGGAACGACCCAGCAAGACACCCGGTGAAAAGGCTCGGTGAGAGTGTGTATATATATAAACGGCAACGCGTGCGAGCAGCCAGCCACGTAAACTGCTGCTCTCCGGTAGCTATCTCGATGTCAGCTCGTCTGTCGAACTTGGAAGCGCAAGGGGGAAAACAAGCTGGAAGTTGAAGTCGAAGTTCGAACTTTGGACTTTCTGGGGGGGGGGGATACAATGACTAAGCAGTATCACGTGAAACACCGAAAGGGGCAGCGAGACGGGCAAAAAAGCAGCGAGTTTGTATAGAGAAAAAGAGGCAGACGACGAAGGAAGACGAAGACGAAGAAGAAGAAGTCTTAGACAGACGATAAAGAAAGGCAAGCGTTTGACCCTGTGGCGACCTCAGGCGAGACAGTTGGCCGAAGGACAAGAAAGCAGCCAGTAGCCTCTCCTAGTTCCAAAACCACCTTATTATTTACAACCTCAAATTTCGCTCCTCTTGATACCAACCAACCACCCTTGCGAAGCTCTCTCTACCTTTCTATCTCGCATCTTCCTCTCCCGTCGTTCTCAGTCGCCTAAGCTATTGCTTATCTTCACCCCAAAGAACCCCTAATCAATCTGTTATCCATGGCTTCAGTAAGTTCTGCCGTTTCGCCGTTGGCCAGGGTTTCGCTTCTCGAACTGAACTGACCATATCTCTCTCTCTCTGCCTCTGCCTCAGCCCCATCCACCTCACGCGTTTACGAACCCTGCCTATAGCCTCCCGAACGGTTCGACGGTTGGGCCAACTCCCGGAGCGACTCCCTTGCTACCTAATAATGGCAGAGTTATTCAGAATGGAGCTGTGAGAATCCTCTGTATTGCCGACGTGCGAGGTGAGGAAGACCCTACATCCCATCCGCCAGTACAAGCCTACTGCCGCCAGGCTTCACGGAAATGGCCGTCCTGGGTAGTGATATCTTTTCTTGGCTGACAGCGGTTTGTTGATATCGTGCAGGAAACCTCAAGTCGCTCAACGAACTCGCCAAACAAGCTCGAGCAGACCATATCATTCACACGGGTGATTTTGGCTTTTATGATGATAGCTCTCTTGAGAGAATTGCGGACAAGTGAGATAGGCTGATTCTTGCCATAACTTATTCTTTTCTGTGTTCGTTGACTAAACCTCTTGATAGGACCCTCAAACATGTTGCACAATACTCTCCGCTCCTCCCAGAGCCCATTAAGCGCAGCGTCGCCCAAGTTCCTCCGCAACAGTCTATTAAACAACGATTTAGCCCCGAGCAGCTCCCGCTCTCGGAACTCCCACTTCTCCTTAACAAGCAAATGACCCTCGATGTGCCTGTTTATACCGTGTGGGGCGCCTGCGAGGACGTTCGTGTCCTGGAGAAGTTCCGTTCCGGCGAATACAAAGTTGATAAGCTACACATCATCGACGAGGCAAACTCGAGACTACTAGACATCGGCGGCGTCAAGCTTCGTCTTCTCGGCCTTGGAGGCGCAATTGTTATGCATAAGCTTTTCGACAATGGTGAGGGCAAGACAACGATTGCTGGTGGACAGGGTACCATGTGGACGACACTGCTGCAGATGGGAGAGCTAGTCGATACCGCCAACCGCGTCTACGATCCCGCGGAAACCCGTATCTTCGTCACCCACGCATCCCCCGCTCGAGAAGGAATGCTAAACCAGCTATCCGTCACCCTCAAGGCCGACTTCTCCATCTCTGCCGGTCTACATTTCAGATATGGAAGTTCCTACAACGAGTTCAGCGTCAACCCGACTCTGGATCATTACCGTGGAAAACTGGCTGCCTCCAAGGCATCTTTCAATGATGTCTGGGATACCGTCCGGGGCGAAGTAGAATCGGCTATAAATGCGAATGAAGCACAAAAGACCTTGTTGGATAATGCGCTGGATATCGTCCAAAAGATGCCTAGCATCGCAAACGGTGGCAACCCGTTCGGTGGACCTGTCACGGCGAGCAATGCGGGCGGCCAGGTAGACGAAAGTGCCTTCAAGAACATGTGGAACTTCAACTTGGCCGATGCTGCCTTCGGATATCTTGTTCTCGACATCGAGGGCGGCCGAATTGGTACCGAAATGCGCGCCCAAGGGTTCAACTTCTCTCATCGTGGCGGCAAACCTACGCCAGCTGGCGCTCCACAGACCGGCGCAGCTCCTCCAGCACTAACCAACCCCCCTAGTGCCACAGGAAGTGCCTCCGGAGGACCAGGCGGCCCTCCACAAACCCGAGTTGCGCCTCCACAGTTCGGACAGATACCAGCTCAGCCATCGCGCAACCCTGGCAACCAGTACCCCCCTCAGGTGCCTTCTACACAAGCCCACCCAGGAAAGCAGCATTCTCCTCTACCACCTAAATCAACTGCATCCCCGGCCCCGGTTGGCGCCAACAAGGAGAAGCCAGCAACCCCTAAACCAGCCACCCCGCTCGCCGGAGGACCTGCGCCCCACGGTGCGTCCACAGAGACCTCCGCGTCTGAGGCTAATGGCTCAGCTCACCCATCAGGACAAGGAGACTCGAAATCAGTCAGCTCGACGGACAAGAAGCTAACCAGTGGTCTTTTTATTTCCAATGTGGATACTGAAGAAGCCGTTCGACAGCTGTGGCCTGACGAGGATCGAGCAAAGATTATCAAAATTGAGAAATGGGGCAAGTTCAACTTTGTAGTCACTTTTGCTACTCCCGAAGACTCCAAGCTTGCTCTTGAGAGACAGCCACTGGAGCACAAGAAACCCAGCCCTGCTGGTCCTAACCGGAAACCCAATGTAAAGGTCTTCGAGGACCGGGCATCCCACCGCACCGTCAACCGTGATGGTCAGGGAAATGCCGGAACATGGCAGGCTAGCAGCCGCGGCGGCGGCTCATCAGTAAACCCACGCAGCGGATACCAGAGCGGAAGCGCTGCCAGCGACGGTGAGGGCGGTCGAGGCCGTGGAGGATACGGTGGACGCGGGCGAGGTGGACGTGGTGGTGAGCGAGGCGGAAGAGGAACAGGACGGGGCGGACGAGGCATGGGATTTAACAAGGGCCCAGGGGATTCAAGCTCTCCAGCGGCTACTCCAGTTCCAGCAGGAGACAAGCCCGCGGCATCCACCGAGTCATAGTTGATCCCCCCTTGATACTTACTACCTAGATATCCGTATTCCGTACATTCTCGGGCGGCATGCCTCTTTTTTTCCCTCTCTGTTACTCCCATTCTGTTCTCCTCCCCATGCCTGCTCTCTTACCATTCGAAATTCTACTACCCTGTTTTAAAAAATGTTCCATAAACCTGTCTTCTTCCTTCTCCAGGCTACGTTGATTTCCTCCATCTTATCCTTTACCGTAACCTCCTTTCCCCCCAATGTCTTCTAACCTATCTACCTCACATGTATTCGATACTTTCTTTAGGCCCTTTGTGATATCAGATCCTGCTTTACAAAGCAGGTTTTCCATCTTAATTGGTCTACGATCGTATCAGCCTCGATGTATACTTCTTCAGAGGCAATTTTTGTCTTCAAACTTTCGCGCCAAACTATGATTCATAATCGAATGTAGCTCAATGCCTTATGGAAGGCCCTACTATTAGTTCTTGTGGTGGCTACTATTGAGAGGCCAGATTGGCCATTTTTGTACGTATTTGCAGTTGGACTTAGGAAGGGATAGAACATGGTAGAGTTGCCGACTTTGCTGATTTGTATGGAATTGATTTTTTTGAATATTCCCCAGTATTATACACAGCCTTATTACTTGATTTTCTTGGTTTATAATGTTTAATATACTTCCTATTTCATATATTAATGGACAAAAATTTAGATAAATGATTGCCAAATGACTAAAAAAAAAGACCATACATGCCTGGAGGTTCTTCTTTATTTGGTACACAATGCTATACACACCCAAGACAAGTAATATGTAGTCCGTCCGTCCATCCGTCCATCCATCTGGATCACTCGCGCCTAAATCAAACCGACATTTTGTATAGCATGCAGACGGGCGATAGTCACGCTACTGTTTTCGCTGCCGTTGCTATTCGACTCCAATGTCCGTGCTCTGTGGTAAGGATACATATTTTCAATAAAAGAGACATATAAATATAACCGCTCAAAAAACAGAAAAGCCCACAAAAAAGCAGTAGATCAAGATAATTGTTGTTTTGTTCATATTGGCAAGAAGATAAATAAGACCAGACGTAAGGGGGGGTTTGACAGCTAACCTCGAATGTTGAAGATGTGCATGGTTTTTGGGTGTAAGCGAGGAGACAACCAGAAACTGGGCAGTTCGATAGTACGGAACTGTGTTTCGGAGCAGCATTCAACAGTGATGAAGAGGATATAAGAACATGGCACAGCAAATCACAACAGTCAATAAATTGGCACATACGCAAGGAATAACGATCAGTCAAGGGTGTGATAGATTGGTTTATATATAAGGTATCGGTTTAGTAAAGCAGGCTGGTAGATAAGTAAGGTCACGTCGCTCTGGTCATGATATCATCAACATCCTTTTGATCAATGACCACGCCGCCCTCGGAACAGCGGGCTTTGGTGCGAAGCTGCGTGCAAAGGTTATCCACGTCAATTTCGCCGTTGCGGAATTTCTCCATTCGTTGAAGGCGATCCCTATATACGGGGTTAGACCAATTACTTGGGTCAACGGTGTCGATAGTAGGAACTGACCATATCTTGGTACACGAAAGCATCTGTGACCTGTCTTCGCCAGGTACAACTTCCTCATCATCAATGTCCGTTATGGCGATGGGCTGGTCGGCCTTTGCTGGCGTCTTACCGGTGCCATTTGCGGCGGTGGAACCGGGAGTGGCAGCATCAAACTCCCCTGCACTTCCTAGATCGGGCATGGGGAAGGCATCGTCGAAAAAGCCGCTGAATTCTTGGGAGAGCACAGCATCCTGTGGATCGCGGTAGTCGCCAAATAGGACGGGGTCAAAGTGGCCACCGTTTTGCTGGGCGAGCCAGTCAAAACTGGGAATGGAGGGATCGGACAGAAGGTTAGAAGACGTGCCTGGGGTGTCGTTGGCAAGAGGGTCCGTAGATGTGTGCGTTGGTTGGGTATTATTGGTATTATTAGTGGTAGCAGGAGTTGTGCTGGTGTTTGGGGTAGAGCTGGTGGGGGTTGCGGTAGTGGCAGCTTTCTCAGGGCTTATAGAGCGTGATGCCTGGTTTCCCAGGCTGGGCTGTTTCGCCATAGCAGCGGGGATGGGGTTATCCACACACCCGCATGCCTCACCCAGTCGTTCATAGAACTTTAGTTCACACTGGGAAGGATTTTGTTGTTTTGGCTTGCTCTTGCCATAGGCAGCGCTGGCGGTGTCACTCTTTTGAGTGGTGGTAGGGGATGTTAGGCTAGACTCGGGAGAGGTGCAGATTGATGATATGTGCTGAGATTCCGAGGAAGCGGAGGGAGATTCGGAGAAGGGAACGGAGGGGTTTTCATATGTGTGTGAGTTATAAGTACTGGAAAGAGCATCAGGCCCTGGCTTCGTTGTAGATAGGCTATTCGGTCTAAATGTGCGTCCATTGGTGGGTGAGTACTGGGGCGTGGTTCCAAGATGGCTAGTTGCCTTTATACCGAGAGCTGGATGAGTCTGACTGCGAGTATTGGGATTTCCCTTGGAGAGAGATCCATTATTATATATATGGGCGCCCGGGAGGTCGCCGAACTTGGGGAAATCAAAGGAGAATTCATTGTTGATACGGGATTGAGCATGAAGGTTCCTGGCTTGGTTCAGCAGGCCCGTAGTAGGTGATATACTATTGCCGCTACTTATCCAGGAAAGACGTTTGCGGTATTCCTTCAATTCGACCTGGAGCCGTTGAACATGGGCGCGGAGCAAAGTGTTCTCGTGATTTGCGTTCTGGGAGGCACGTTCGAGGTCCTCGACTTTCGTCTCGAGGTCCTTGAGGTGTTTCTCTTTGCGATCACGGAATGCTCGCTGAGCTGCGCGGTTTTGGGCTTTGCGTTTCTAATATCAAGATTAACAAACGAGAAAACACCCAATAAGAAGGGTAAGGGATGCTCTGTCTTACCGTTGTAGGCTCCGAAGTCAGAGGCTTCCTGCCTGGCTTCTTTGCGACCTTGTCTTCATTCTCCTTCCGTTTTTTGCCCGTATCCGCATCCTCTACCCCATCCAAGCTCTTCCGCTTCTCACGCTGCCCGTGCTGCTCGCCCTCCGCACCTGGCAGATCCCCGATCAAGACCTGGTCCGAGACGTCAAATTCAGCGTCAAGGTCGAGTCCAAGAAATGGGCTGTCGTCCGGATCGAAGCTGAGCTGACCAGAACCAGGAATGTCTTGAGGGGGTGAGTCAAAGAGCTCGTTTCCGGACGAACCGTTTGCGGAGCCAAGATTGGACTGGGGACCTGGCTTGGTGGGTTGATTGTTGGACGAGAGGGCAGCAAGGAGCAGGTCCTGCTGGTCCGGTGAGAGGTAGAGATTGCGCTGGAAGGAGGGGTCAAAATCTGCCATGTCGAGCGGAGGAAAGCCTCGAGGGAGCACGCGGTGGATTGATCAATTGAGGGGGACGGATCGCGGGCTTCTCTGCCTGGAGATAATCGTAGGAACAAGTCCCCCTGGCCAAGAGTGAGCTGGAAAGAAAGAAGTGATACCAGCAGAGTGGGTTGACGAGGTAACGGCTTTCGTGGTGTCTAAGGTGTCTGGCGGAGGTCCGTCTCTCGACCTGTAAGATGATGATGATGCCAGGCAACGGCAACGGTCGTGGACGGGCCAAGGAAGGCTAGGAGGACGGTGAGGCAGCGATCGGGAGGATAAGCTGCCGGCCAAATTGCGGCACGACCAACTGGGACTAGGACTGGGACAAGGACTAGGATGATACGTGCAGTGCGGGCTCGAAGCGTGCAGAAGACGGTGGAACAACGAGCGACGAACGAGGTAGCGTCCAGCATCGAACTCTGAGACGGAGCAGCAGGACTGACCTGACGGCGGTGGTGGCTGCTGGGGGCTCAAGGGGCGCCGGTTGGTGGGCTGGCCGAGAAACGGGGCTCGTATTCACGTCTCGTAACGACTGGAGCCGCGGTTAGAGCAGCTAGGAAGGGAGTCCAACTGAAGCCGCGCGCAGCAGACTGAGAGAGCGGTGTCGCAGCAGCAGGAATGCCGTTATATGGACACAAACGAGAGACGAAGACGGGGTGAAGTTGGCGATGTCAAAAGCTGAAGTTGAAGTCGAGGTTGAAGTCGAGGTTGAAGTGGCCGAAGTGGGAGAGATCGCCCGCCGCTTTAAGAGGTACTTGCCTGCTTATAAATACAGAGCGGAAAGTTCAAGCGGCGCTTACTTGCTTATGTAATATATACTCTCTCCTCTTCTTCGCTTCTTTCGCTTCTTTCGCTTCTTTCTCTCCTTTAATACAAAGTACGGAGTATATAGTATATATTTATCAATTGCGTATATCTACTGCCTGATACCACCTCAGCACGCTCGACTTGTATCTTCCTGTTCATCCCCGCAAACATATATAACACGTGACATATCTTAGTCATCGCACGTGACCTCAACTTCTTCCTCGCGAATATCAAAGATTCAAGATTCAAGATCAATCGCGAGATCAAGAAGAAAAGACAGCATCTCCTCTCGCCTGCTATTTACCATATCTACGGCCTGGTATCTGCTCCATTCTCGACTTCAACAGTTGGATCTTCGTTCTTCGAACTAATCGCATCGTCTACCGTCCACCGTCCACCGTACGTCACCGACCAGTCTCATCGCTACCATGACGGATGTAGTTTCTATGGAGGCGGAGGTGAAGGAGTTTATGCTACAGGTACCATCTTATCTCGCTTTCTTCTTTCTTCCTCCCCTTCTAGACCTGAAGTACTGACACCCTGATAGCTCGAAACGGTACAGTCCAGTCTGCTGGTAGACCCTGATAACACAGAGCTGCAGAGTCTAAAAACCGAGCTGGAAGAACTGATAGCCCTCACCAAACAATCCATCGACGAGTTGCGACCCCCCATCCAACCCCAGCCTGTCTCGGAGCCGGTCAAGGAGAAGTGGTCCAAGGAGAACCACCCCGCCTACCAGGCAGGATACCGCAAACCAGCACCGTCGACGTCGACCGCCGCTGCAGACGCCACCCCATCAGAGGAAGAGCAGACACAGACGACAACCTTCTGCGTCAACGACAACGTCCTCGCCCGGTGGACCTCGGGCGATGGCGCCTTCTATCCTGCCCGCATCACCTCTCTGACCGGCTCGGCCACAAATCCCATCTACATCGTCTCCTTCAAGTCCTACTCCACTACCGAGACCCTGTCGTCAAAGGATATCCGCCCTCTCTCTGCTAGTGACTCGAGAAAGCGAAAGGCTGATAATACACCCTTATCATCAGGCACTGCGGCTCCCAACAGCATCAACGGCACTAATACCGGCAGCGGCAGCAGCGACGGCAACAGTCTAAATATAGGTTCCGAATCCAGCGTCATCTCAGCCGCTGCAGACATCAACCCCGACCTTGCGAACCAGGCGAGAAACGTAGCCAACGCGGGTGATGGCTCTGCGCGGCCAGCCAAAGCTCAACGTAAGGTTAAGCGCAAGAAAGACCTGGAGGCCGGCAAGAACAAGTGGCAGGACTTCACGAGCAAGAGTAAATTCGGCAAGGTCAAGAAGGATTCCATGTTCAGGACTCCGGAGGGGGTGAATGCAAGGGGTACGTACTTCCATTTCCCACACTCTCGGGCACCTCACTAATTTGCATATTTTCCACTATAGTTGGCTTCACTGGCTCCGGACAACAGATGCGCAAGGATCCAACTCGCAGTCGCCACACTTACAACCAGGAAGACGACGTCTACTAGGCTTCTCTCTTATCTGTTTCGCATACTTTCCTCTGTCTTCCCTGCTCACGCTTCTCCCATGCTTTCCCTTGAAATTCCCTGGCTAACTTGGTCACAGCGCAGGACCGCGACCAGTACTGCATTCCCATGGCGCTCGGGGGGCCTGACCAAAAGGATCACTTGCACACTGCCTTTTTACGTTCTGAGCGCTTTCATGTTGGTAATTATAATGACTGTACATTCAGCTATCACTCTATATAGCAATAGATCTACGTGATACTCTGGTTGATGCTTGCACACACACACACACACGTATCTCTATTTTAGTTGTGGGTATGGCTAACTTCTAAACAACTTCAACCCTCCTTCGGCATCGTCATCAGCAGACTCGCCATCATCTTCACTCTCTTCGTCTTCACCCAACACATTTCCCACGCTCCGTCCTAGCAATGAAGCAAAGAACTCATCCCTCGCCCGAGTCGACCACGAACCCCGATCCTCGGCAGCCATGAAGTTCTGGAGCTTCTCATGCACCGTATACTTCATCTTCCGCCCCTTGGACGCTTTCGTGTCCACCGCTCGCTTTACCTTATCCTTGCGCATCCCACTAATCGTATTTGTAGAACCACTTCTGGGGAGCTGCGCTGAGATCGAGTCGAGGATAGCACCGCCGTTGGTAGATGCGGACATCCGCTGCTCGACTAGGTCGCGGAGAAGTGATTGGTAGAACGCTGTATCGTCGTATGCTCCGGAGCCAGGTCCATCTGTAGATTCAGATGGCTTATCATCCTTACTCTCCTTCGCTACATATGCGTCTAGCACAGTAGACATGCTCTGCTCGTCTGAGCCGGTGTTCAATAGTTTCCCCCGGTTGTTGTTGGATAGTGTACTGCTACGGGATCCGCGCACTTTTCGGGACCATTTGTCAAGAACTCCACGTCGATGTGAGAGTGACTGGGCTTCCAACTCGCACATCTGGCTCCAAATGTCGGCGGACGATGTTGCCGTCGTCGCAGGTGCAGGCCTTTTGCGTTTCTTCGGGCTGGCGCTGCCCGCAGCGTAGTGGTCGGCGAGGGTTTGTCGGAGATCACCCAAGGTGTTCCACAGCGACAATGCAGCAGTCTCAGCAGACTTGATCAGTTCTTCGTTCTGGTCGGGTGAAGTAGACGGCTCCGCCAATTCGGCATTCAGCGCGGTAACGCCCTTTTGTAGTTTAATTCGCGTGTTGAGTAGGGCGTCAAACGTTAGCCTCTGCTGCTTAACAGCCATGCCCTTGGTAGCATCTGCTTTGGCAGCTTGTGATATCGACGCGGTTACCATCTTATCGCCGGTAGCCATCAACCGTCGTAATTCCTCGCGGTCGTTGTCAACTTTAGGCTCCGGCTGAGTTTTTGACTTCTTCCTCGTTGTATCCTCTTCCACCTCTCTTTCATCGGTTATGTCAGACTCGGATTCATCGTCCTCGTCCGATTGCAGGTCGCCCATCTCCGAATCTCCGCTCTCGTCTTCTTCATCTGAGCCATTGCCATCACTGCCGCTGTCATCACCATCCTCCTCAGAAGACTCGGGTTCGCTGGAATCATGGCCATTCAGATCCTGTCGACTAACCCGCGAGCTGGCATATTCGCGACCTAGCTTTACTTCAGCTGGCTTCCGGAGCTTGCTCTCGCTGTTTGTATGTTAGCAGGACAACTCTGACATAAGGCGGCTTTCGAACATACCTCACGACTTCATAATGCTCCCTCCCGGTTTCCCCGTTGTCATCAATAGGTCCTTCGCTATCGCTATCCTGTGCGCCATCACTCTGGTCCTCCGGGTCAAATTCTAGTATCCTATGGTTAGTTACCTGCCACTTCAAAAGATAACGAGCGATCAGAGCCTACCTTTGGGAGTGGGATCCTCAAGCTCGGCAATTTGCTCAGCCAGGGATTTACTGCGTCCTTTCTTTGCAGACATCGTGAATATATTTGCAACACTGGTTCTTCGTTGCGGATCGGAGTCGAAATGCTTTAACGGAGTACTTTTTTTGATAAAAACCTTTGAATTTTAGTTGGCCGTGAAAAATTGCCCTGCCCTTCAAGCTTGAGCCGCGATGGAGCAAGTTTTGCCGAGGCATCCCATCCACCAAAAATGCTCGAACTTCAAGCCGCAAAAAGAACGAAGAATAACAGAAGAATCACAGCTTCACGACGCCGACTGCGAACTGCAATTACCATGCGGCGGGCCCTCTTTTCTACTTGTAGGCAGCTCCAGCATGAAAATCCATTGGTACATTATGTTTTCTTCCAACCTTGGGAGCTCTAGCTAACGACGGCGAACGACCAGGGACTGCCCAAGTCCGGGACACCGCCGACATTCCAAAGCCGACGAGGGCTGCCTCAGAAACGGAAGATAAGGGATGTTAATAAGGTCGTGGCAGTTTCGTCCGCAAAGGGGGGAGTCGGGAAATCTACAATTGCGGGTTAGAAATGCGCTGCTACTACCGGTACACCGTCTCAAGACTGACATCAATAGTTAACATTGCATTGTCCTTCGCCAGGAGAGGATTTCGCACTGGTATCCTCGACACGGATATATTTGGCCCGTCCATACCGACTCTCTTAAACCTGTCTGGAGAACCGCGTCTTGACGGGAGTATGTGTTCTCCCTAACCTTACCGCCAGAGCAAGAAGCTGAGCGCTTTTTCTCCCTTATCCAGATAACTGCCTCGTTCCTTTGACGAATTATGGCCTCAAATCGATGTCGATGGGATACCTGCTCCCGCCGCCCCCAGAGGATGCGAGACACTTGACGGACGATCCGAACTCGCCTCTTATGGATACAACCCCGATATCATGGCGCGGCCTTATGGTTAGCAAGGCAATGAATCAGCTTCTTCACTCTGTGTCTTGGGGCCCATTGGATATTCTCATACTGGACCTACCGCCAGGAACAGGAGATGTACAGCTCACAATCAATCAAGAGATCGTGGTTGATGGCGCGGTCATTGTGTCGACACCTCAAGATATTGCACTGCGTGATGCTGTTCGAGGTTTCGGGTTGTTTGAAAAGATGAATGTTCCTGTGCTAGGGATGGTACGGAATATGGCTTATTTTGCTTGTCCGCATTGTGGGAAGCAAACAAAGATCTTTTCTCGATCGGGTAGTACCACCTCTGTGAAAGACGAAGTGGATGAACATGAACATAGCGATAATACCGGCGTAGTTGCAGCTTGCAAACGCCTCGGAATCGACTTCCTAGGAGATATCCCCCTTGATGCGCGAGTTTGTGAAGATGCGGATAGGGGTATGCCCACTGTGGTTGCAGAGGAGCGAGACGATAGAAGTGCTCGACGAAATGCCTTTTTGGACGTCTCTAAAAAGGTTGCTGAGAAAATAGGGCTTCAATGGTGACCAGCCGACAGTGCTGTCACTTGAATATGGCACCATAGGCTGGGCCGACTCTGTCAGGCTGTTATAGTAATGCTGGGGTGAATAGCCCTGTACTATTATGCTAAAGAGATATCGCTACTTTCAGGGAGCCTGGGAATCTTGAAGAGCTACATGTGTACATTAATTTAAATGATAAAAAATGCAAAGCATGTTACAATATTGTATTATACCAGGTTGCAGCTGTTAATGACGGGGTTGTTTAGTGGAATGATTATGCCGGATACATAGCGAAGAGATCAGCCATAGAGGGATAAAGCCGTCGTAGGGATATCTCGGTTGAGAGGATTAGACTTCTGTATAGGTGAGATTTGTCTATCGTTCATTAATTTCATTTAAATGAGCTAGATAAGGGTTCATAGAATATATATAAAATAAAAGTAAGATCTATTAACTAAAGAGAATCAGAGTATCGATAGAGCCTGTTAGGGCTTCGAAATTTGCCTGATGGAGGAATATATAACAAGCCAATATATTGGCCTAATGGACAGAATGGACAAAATGTTGAAATTCGTCTAGCCTGGTGAAATTGTGGACATGAAGGAAATATTGATCGAGACCAAGACGACTTTATGCCCCCAAAGTACCCTTTTTTGTTGACAACCGGGCGACCATCTACATCTATAGCTCTGGGAGTGTAGGAAGCGCTGACAGGTCGACGGTGTACCCAAAAGTACTCCGTAAGAGTGCTAGTCACTTCGTTGAGAAACAGCTGTAGCATAGCGGCATGGTAACATAAAGGAGGCCATCCGTTATACTTATAATCAGTTTCCCCCTCGCCCTGCCAACGTAAAAGAACTGCAACTCACGCTGCAACATCTATGGAGTGCTCCACACCCCGAGCCTTATGCAGGATGAAGTTGCTACTCGGGGTATTGAGTGACTCTGTACGTAAAATGCCCCCCCAATAAGTTAATATGCGGCGGCGAGGTTAGTAATAGTGATGAATATAAAAGATCACTGCCCTTAGCAAGGTACCTAGGTAGGTTTGCCATGGCCTGGACAGTTTTATCAGATCTACCTCCGTATTTCGTTCACGGCTGACATGTCTCGCAAGCTAGCAGGAAGAAGCAATCATGGCTGCTGGACTTGCCGGCTGCGGAAGAAGAAGTGCGACGAGAATCACCCTTCGTGCTTAAGATGCACCTCTCTCCAGATAGCCTGTGATGGCTACGGACCAAGACCCTACTGGATGGATAGGTGTTGAACGGAGATTCGGTGTAATACTGCCTGATCGTACGAAACACGTTAGTCAACTACGCCGTTTCATTAAATATCAGTGTCAGCTCTCCATCATCGAACAAATGCTACGCCCGGCGTTTTAACGCCTGTTTCAGCTGTAGCTGGCATCTCCGCGATGGCAAGATACATGGCCGTATGAGGAACATAAATAGGAGCTCAATATCGTGTATTTAGATGATCAGTGCTTGATAGATTGAAATCTCATAGATTGCTCCAGACCCACCTGACCAACCAAATCAATCAAATATCTCGTATCTCAGAATAGGGGAGACCTGCAGAGGGAACAAGCTCGCTACAAGACACAGGTCATCGCCAGGATCAAGTCGGCCCTGCGAGGGAATGTGATACCCTACACCTCGCAAGACGTGGAACATGGACCAGACACTCTGGGTGCTTCAGCCATCACCTCGCCCAGTCATCCTCTCCTGCAGAGTGGCCATCAGCCGGACGACGACAGAGACAGGGATTTGCATGCCTCCGGAGAGCTAGCATGGAGTGAAGCATTCAGTAATATTGATTTCTTGACGGAACCGTTCCAAGATCAGACAACCCGCATAAGCCCATACAATCAGTCCCCCTCCAATACTTCTCAAACACTAGCGACGAATATAATACCGTCTGTCACGGAAGAAAGCAGTGTACCAAGTTCCACCCATGCCTCAAGGCCATGTTCCTTATCCGAGGCAAATATGGGTGCTATGGATCTTTTGTGCGACCCGATATTAAGTGAATACTACTGCTTTTCAGAGTTGTCTGCCTCTGGATACAGCAGTGAACTGGACTGGACTTTATGTTCAGCTTCTGCAGATCTTGTTTCCCAGCCAGTTGGACTGGGTAATCCAATTCTGCATGGAGATGCGGAAGACATCTTATTCATGTACTACTTTGACTATGTCTTTTACATACATTGTCCATTTTACATTTCTTCCACTCGGCAAGGACGCGGTTGGCTGCTTTCAATACTGAAGCGGGTTAACTCAGCCTACCATGCAACTCTTGCTCTGAGTGAATATCACCACACAATCTCAACACAGCAACATGGCACCTTTCATACCAGGGCAAACAGTAAATACTACGATTTGGCCCTCCAAGAACTACAAACCGGCCTTTCACAGCCCTCTGCATGGAGCAAAAATCTAGGCCTTGCCCACAATATTGAAGTGCTTACTACTATTCTTCACCTACTGTTCTACGAAGTATGCTCTTTTGCCCTCCCTAGTGACATTTTTTTTAATGCTAATAATCCATGAAATAGTCATGTAGTGGTAGCAAACACAACTGGCAGATACATCTTAGTGGTGCAAATGCCCTACTTCCATCGCTTGTGCAGGCACAGATCGGATCAGCTACCGCAAGAAGGGTCCAGACAATGAAAGAAAATCAAAATGATACAATCGCACAGTCTGACACTTCAGTCAGCTTCTTGCTCGGTTTCTTCATTTATATGCATATTATCACCTGTGTCTCAACTCGATCAAGCCAATTTTTGATATCAGACCACAAGGTTTTGCTCGAGACAGGCGAAATCAACCTGGCGGATTTGATAGGCTGCAGTAACTGAGCGATGATCTTCATCTTCGAGATATCATCCCTAGATAAGTGGAAAAAAGAGGAGGAAGATGCTCACAGATTGAGCCTAATAGAGTTGACGAAACGTGGCCGCCAAATTGAGGACCAGCTACTAAACCGACTAGGTAGTATCGAGGACGACCTATCGACAAAAGCCCCAGTCGACGCCCAGCTACGACCGAGCACCATCAAAACCGAGATTACAAGGATATTTGCTCTCTCAGCTATCACCTATCTCCATGTAGTCATCTCCGGTCCTTATCCTGATATTCCAGATATCAAGAGCAGCGTTTCAAAAACGATCAACGCTCTTCAAAATCTACCAGACCCAAAATTGTTACAGCATGTGGTCTGGCCGTACTGCATCTCTGGATGCTTAGCAGCCGATGAGCAGCAACAAAAGGTTATCCGAGAACTTGTATCCTTACCCCAAATAACGCATGGGTCATGTTTAGAGGCCTTGAGTCTCGTGGAGGAATGCTGGCGGCTTAGGAAAACGGAGGCCTCCTGTCATGATTGGGCAGCCACCATGGAAAGACGTGGTCAGTACATCCTGCTCGTCTGAATAGGCCTAAAAAATTAGAAGTTTGGCAGCTGTAAAGAAAGTAACAACAATAATATATTTCTCTTTAGATGAATTACAAAAATCGAGTCTTTAGGTGAACGCGATCAGATCAGCCTGTGCATCAATAGCCCACCAACAACCACACTTGTGCCAAGCACTGCAATATTCACCAAGGAAAGGTTTTCTAGAATCCCACCCTCTTCGACAACGCGGCCCACCTTATATAGAGGTCGCGATTGCACGATGTGTTTGGAAGACCCTTCAGATTCATAGTCGTCATAGTTCACCTGCTCCATCAGTTTCTGGAATTCTAGCACCATTCCTGGCCAAAGTTTGGTGATCAGCCCTGACTCAGTCTTGTACCAATTAGTGCATTGGGAGCTGTTCACGGCGAAAGATTTGAGCCGGCGTTGCAGCTTCGCATTGTACTCTTCGGTTTTCTCCGGGCGCGGTGTAAGGCTCAGCACCCCTCCTTGGTTTCGGGCTTCTATCACCGGCTTGATCAAGCCGTTAATATACCTGCTTTGGGCCTCAATCATGAGAATGAAGCTGTTATGTAGCAAGCCAGTGTTGGGTCCTAGGATCATCCCAAAATTCGGCATATCATCGGCACAGGTGCCCCGGTAGGCTTTAGCGCCATCTTTCCACATTTCATGCAAGGCACGACCATTTCGGCCGAAGATCTTCATTGGGTGCAGAAAGTCGGTAGATCGAAAGCCAGTCGCCATAACTATAAGATCGTAGTGACAGTCCGCATCCTCTACGTGACCCCCAGTACCAACGAGACGCACGGTATGGTCTGTGATGCTGTGAATAGGCCTTACTTCAAGTCCAACCTGAGGGAGATTCAGAGCCGGGAAGAAGAAGTCTGAGACGACCACTCGCTTGCACCCCACGGGGTAATCGGGTGTCAGCTTCTTCCACAGCTCAGGCTGGTTTGGTAGCTGCTCGTGCATCATGTTCAGAGCTGCTTGTTTCAGCTTTTTATTTTCCTCATGTTCAGCGAAGTTGTTAGAAGTGTACTCCGTTTCGTTGAGATCCACATATCGTCTGCGCCAGTACCGTTGCCAGAAAGGGAAATAGCGGTACATCGTTTTTCTCAAGTTTGAGATCTCATAGTCCCCACGCGGTAGAATCCAGTGAGGTGTTCTTTGGAAAACAGTCACCTTATTTGCCACTTTTGCGAGTTCGGGTACGATCTGGACTGCACTACAGCCTAAACGAAGGTAAATAAAAAAAGTCAGTTAGGTAACAACGGGTTTGCTCTTATAGTTGGCATACCACTTCCAATAACGGCAATTCTCTTATCTTTCAAGTCGTATGTCCAGTCCCATGCAGCACTGTGCATAATCTTCCCTTTAAAACTATCCAACCCCTCAATTTCTGGCCATCTTGGTTGACTTAGCTGGCCCACAGCGCTAACAAAAAAATCACTAGAAATTGTGTAGTTAGAGGTAGCCTCGGCGTCTTTGGAACCTTTGGCAACAGTCACACTCGTGTTCCACTTCTTCAGTTCATCATCCCAAACCGCAGATTCGGCAGTGGAGCAGAAGCGGATGTGTTCATAGAGGCTGTACTCCTGCGCTACCCGGGTCAAGTAAGACATAATCTCTTTCTGCCCTGGAAAATCTCGACTCCAATTGCTGTTGGGAGCGAAGCTGTAGCTGTAGACAATGGACTGCAAGTCGACAGCACAGCCGGGATACGTGTTCGCGTGCCTATAAAGTCGTAATTAGATATTTACCTGTATTTGCGTGAGGAGGGCTAGTTTTTCTCACCATGTACCACCCACCCCGGCAGACTGCTCCAAAATGACAAAGTCTCGGCAATTATTGCGCTTGATCAGGTCAATGGCAACGCACATGCCCCCAATGCCGGCTCCAACAATGATGACCGTGGTATTTGTGAACGGTTGCCCGCTGCTCAGCGAGAATTCTGGCCATGACTTTTTGAACGCCATGTTTTGCTCTTAATGACTTTGATAGAGAAGCTTGACCAATTTCATCCTTTTCGGTGCTGAGTCGTCGGCTTGCTCGTGTAAGCTGGTATCAAGGCCAATCACGGCCGCACAGCCAACATATGTAGCCATGGTCCATGAAGTGCCAAATGATCTTTGCGGGTTCGGGGATGCTTGACCCCAAGCTGCTTAGCCATATCAGTGGACCCCACCTGGCGGCAGCGCTAGTTAAAAGAAGCATAACGGCGGCCCGCTGTGGTGGATACTCCGCTGCCGAGCCGCGATCCCTTAGGGCGGCAACTGTATCGCGAGAAATAGTGGGAGCCTAATCACCAGGTACGGAGTACATGATATATCCTCTTTAGGGCAGTGGGGAGAAACCAATCTGCAGGGGGAGCGCAGAGCTCGCAGGCGGCAAGGCTAAACCGAAGTGGTCACGAACTACATGGAGTGACTAGGCCGTTGGAGTATTATAACAGCACCTTAATGCAGACCCAGGACCTAGGAATGCAAACCAAATGTGCAGAGGACAGTGACATTCCTTACAACTATCAATCCAGCTCAACTCTATACAACCTTGTATATTTCTCATCAAGCGGTCGGTCCGCAGAAAACCAGAAATGGTTGGTGTCCTACTTCAGTCGTCTACGGACGTAAACCACAGTGATAATGGACTATTCCCTGCAGCAAAGGGAAAACCGCAACTGGACGATTCGAGACAGTGCATTTTGTCGACAGGGCAGGTGCCCGTACGCGATCTTCAATCACGAAAATCACTCGAGCAAGAGATTGGCGACATAGATTGGCCTCGAGATGTCAAGCTTGATCGAGTGGTTGAATCTGCGTGGGCAATCCTTCTGTCTTGGTATGGGGAGGCAACCGATACAGTTTTCGATGTCGTGTTGCCAGTATCAAAAGTCGAACAGCTTCCTCAATCCAGAACTGTTGCCGTATTCGTTGAAGAAGACATGACTCTGAGTGCAATACAACACCAAATGACATTAACTGGGCTGGCGGGATCATCGACAACTCAACGTGCTGGCAAAGAGGCTCGTCTGGGCTGGCAATCCAAATCACTGTTGATGATACAACCAACCTTCGACGAAAGATTAGAACTAGACATGTACGCCGTCACTTTACACTGCGAGGTTAAAGATAGCTCTCTTCTCACGAAAATGGACTTCGACTCCACTGTGCTTAGCGAGCAGGTCGCATTGCGAGTCATGGAACACTTCGGCCATATATTGCGTCAGATTTGTCGTGCCGATATGACCAGTACAAGAATCAGCGATCTGGACGCAATGACTGCCAAAGATCTACAGCAGGTCTGGACTTGGAACGCCAAGGTACCTGAGGAGGCAGACGCGTGCGTTCATGATATATTTTCCCAGAGCGTTTCTAAATATCCACACCAGACAGCCATAAGTGCGTGGGATGGCGAGTTGACTTATACTCAATGGGACGCGCTATCAACCCAATTGGCATATCGCCTCGTCCACAGGGGCGTTCGTCCTGGACATGTACTGCCATTGATTTTTGAAAAGTCCATGTGGGTGGCTGTCTCCCAGTTTGCCGTTATGAAGGCTGGTGCGGCGTCCGTGGTAATCGATCCTTCACAAACTAAGGAACGCATCAAGACGATGATCAGCATTGTAGGACCTGGCCTTATCCTATGTGCTCCTTCAACAGTTCGCCTGGTTTCACTTATCACCGAACGAAAACCATTTGTGGTGCAGAAAGAGGCCGTATCAGAGCCACCAGAGCAAAGACATAATGGGTGCTTTGAGACAACGTTGCCCCTTGTTAAACCGAGTGACCTGCTCTATGTCGTGTTTACTTCCGGCACCACAGGAAACCCGAAGGGTGCAGCAATAACGCATGCAAACTTCACTTCCGCCATCAAGCATCAGAATAAGTACTTGAATTTCAAACCGACCGCAAGAGTTGCAGGTTTCTGCTCGTACGCCTTTGATGTATCATGGTCTGATTTTATCCACACTCTAGCAGCTGGAGCCTGCCTATGCATACCCTCAGAACATGACAGAAAACATGACTTTATTGGATATATGAACAAGAGTGAGGTGACGTTTGTACACCTTACACCATCAGTCGCCGCGATTTTGGATTTGGATAATGTGCCGACACTTGACACTGTTGCCCTTATTGGCGAGGTTGTAGACTTCGATAAGCTGCCGCAACTTCGCAACATCGATACTACGATTATCACGTACGGGCCAGCCGAGTGCACAGTGACTACAACTGGAGCCATCAATAACGGTGAGAACACTAAGGCTACCATTGGATGGGCACTTGGATCAACGACCTGGATTGCCGACCCAGAGAAGGAAGCCCTTACGCCCGTTGGCCTGGTTGGAGAGTTGCTCCTTGAAGGGCCACTGGTTGGAGCCGGATATCTGAACAACGCGGAGAAGACAGCAGCCGCTTTCATTGAGAATCCAAGTTGGTTACTACGCGGCGGCGCAGGAGTGGAGGGTCGGCATGGACGCCTTTATCGAACAGGAGACCTGGTACGCTACACTCCTGATGGTGAAATGGTATACGTAGGGAGAAAAGATACCCAAGTCAAGATCAATGGACAGCGTACAGAGCTAGGTGATGTTGAGCATCATATCTGCCGTCTCCTGCGTTCGATGCCGGCTGTGGCAGATATTATCGCTGAAGTCGTCACGCCAAACGTCACCCAACGTCCAATGTTGGTAGCCTTTCTCCTCATGCCTACGACGAGTCCTGAGCAACTGAGGAAGAAAGCTGCTCCGATTATCGAAATCCTGGAAAGGGAAATGCCTGGCCAGGTGCCACCTCACATGATCCCGAGCACATATATCCCAATGGTCGATCTACCAAGGGGCTTAACGGGAAAGACAGACCGAAGAGCACTTCGTGAGATAGGTGCAAAATTAGACCGCAAAGCATTTGTATCCTCGTATAGCACCAATTCCACACAGCACATTCAACCCGCTACCGAAGCCGAGTTACAGCTCAGAGATCTTTGGGCGACGGTGCTTAATCTTCCAGCAAGCGAAATAAGTGCACAAGACAATTTCCTGCGACTCGGCGGTGATTCGATCGCTGCCATAAGGCTAGCAACTGATCTTGGGCGAAAGGGGGTGTGGTTGACAGTCCCAGATATCTATCGCCAGCCACAGCTCAGTGAGATGGCCAAGCTCATGTCACGAAGTGAGGCAGCAGTTCCAGAAGCTGTCCGACCATTTTCTTTATTGAAGGCTGAAATAGATAAAGATGATGCTTGCCGCCAAGTGGCAGAGCTTTGCTCCATTAGCGCGTGGCCAGTGGAGCCTTCACAAATTGAAGATATATTCCCATGCACAGCGCTTCAAGAAGGCCTTTTAGCGATGACGGCGAGGAGCCCGGGCAAATACGTGGGTCACCATGTAGCCGAGCTGAAGCCGGAGGTTAACAGAGCAAGGCTTCAGAAAGCATGGCAACATGTCTCTGAAAGAGCGTCTATTCTTCGAACCCGTATTGTCGACCTACCGGGCCAGGGCCTAGTGCAGGTTGTCGTCGACGAGGCATTGCAATGGCAGACCTTTTCCTCTTTGCTGGAATATCGTCGATGGAGAAATAATATCAGCAAAGGATTGAGGGAGTGTGCTGTTGAATCTATCTCTATGGGCCTGGGCACTCCGTTATCGCATCTCGCAATCATACATGATGAAGCGGCGGGCAAAAGATATCTCGCCTTGACACATCATCATGCGACTTACGACGGCTGGTCAGTGCCACTCCTGCAAAAAGACATTGAAATGGCCTATAGAGATGGGGAGGCAGAACAGTGCTCACTTCCGCTGCAAAGGTTTGTGAAGCATATCATGAACCAGCGTAGTGAAGAAGGCGTGGCTTTCTGGAAGGGACAATTTGCCGAGATAGAAGCATCGCCATTTCCTGCCCTCCCGGCAAAAACGTACGAGCCAAAGCCAGATAAAGTCCTCCAACATTCGATTGATAGCATTCGCTGGCCGACTTGTGGCGTCACGCCCTCTTCTGCAATTCGTACAGCTTGGGCAACGCTCATCTCCTGGCACGTAAATTCTCCAGATGTGGCATTTGGGGCTGTTGTGTCAGGGCGTCAAGCCCCTGTACCAGGAATCGAGGACGTAGCAGGCCCTACCATCGCCACTGTCCCTCTCCGAATCTTGGTCCAAGGAAGCGTCGACGAATTGTTGCATCAGGTACAAAACCAGGCAATGGAGATGATTCAGTTCCAGCAATACGGGTTGCAGCGTATTCGTCAAATTAGCCAGGAGGCCAAATATGCCTGTGACTTCCAGACACTGTTGTTGGTACATCCCTCAGTCAAGGAAAGTACGGTCGAGAGCCTGGTCCTTAAGGATGGTCTAAATGAAGAAGAAACGGGCTCTGGTACAGAAAATACATTTGCCATGATGCTGACCTGTCAAACTTCGGAGTCAAAGTTGGATATGCAGCTAAGCTACGACTCAGCCGTTATCCAAGAAGCAGCTGCAGCACGACTGCTTCGGCAGCTGGAGCACATATTAGATCAGATTGCCACGGTTGATGGGTCGACAAACATAGGCGATATGAGCAGAGTTAGCGAACGGGATTTGCAGGAGATATGGAAATGGAATGCTGTAGTGCCAGAGAGCGTTGAGGACTGTGTCCACAATGTGTTTGTTCAGAGGGTCGTTGAGACCCCTGAAGCTCCCGCTGTATGCGCATGGGATGGCGAGCTGACATATGCCCAACTTGATCGGTTTTCTACATTGCTGGCAAACCACCTTGTTGGCTTAGAACTTGGAATTGGACCAGGTGCCATCGTGCCGCTTTGTTTCGAGAAATCAGTATACGTGCCAGTTGCAATACTTGCAGTCATGAAAGCGGGCGCTGCGTCTGTTGCTTTGGACACGACGTTGCCTCACTCTCGGTTGGAAAGTATTGTTAGCCAACTATCGGCCAAAGTGGTGTTGACCTCGAAGACTTGTGCAAATCTTGCAGCAGGTATCACCAATGCACCAGCAATAGAAGTGGGAGGTGACTGGGATAATTTCCAGCGGCTATTTCAGCAGACTCCAGCTCCGATGATGCCAAAAATCACCCCATCATCAGCTCTTTATGTCGTGTTTACCTCTGGAAGCACTGGCACTCCGAAAGGGGCAATCATCACACATGCCAATTTCTGTAGTGCCATCCGATATCACCAACCCGAGCTTGGGTTTGAGGCGTCATCGAGAGTCTTCGACTATACCTCATATGCCTTTGATGTTGCATGGTCAAATGTACTGCACGCACTAACAGTGGGCGCATGTCTCTGTGTCCCCTCAGAGGACGAGCGTACCGCGGACATCAGTGGCACTATCAACCGGCTACAGGCAAATTTTATCCATCTTACACCAACAGTGGGACGTTTGCTCGATCCTTCAGCGCTGACTAGCCTCAAGAAGGTCTTGTTCATCGGCGAGACGCTCAAGGCTAGTGATGTTGCCAAATGGGAGACTTCCGGTGTCGAGATCTACAATACATATGGCCCTGCCGAATGCACCGTCACGAGCACAGTCGGGAGAGTCGGAACAGGGGATACCAGTGCCAGAATTAGTGACCCGAGCATCGGCAAAGGTACTGGCGCGTTGACTTGGGTCGTCCAACCCCGTGAGCCTGACAGGTTGGCTGCCATAGGGACCATAGGAGAGCTGTGGCTGGAGGGGCCGGTTGTTGGTGCAGGTTACCTGAACTGTCCCGAGAAGACAGCTAGTGCATTTATCGAGGACCCCAAATGGCTAATGAATGGAATCCCTGGACGAGTGCCTGGCCGCCGTGGACGAGTTTACAAGACGGGCGATTTGGCCTTCTACAACCCAGACGGCTCTCTTGGATTTGTTGGGCGGAACGACACCCAGGTCAAGATCAACGGCCAACGAATGGAGCTTGGAGAAGTTGAATACCACGTTCGCCAACTGCTTCCGACCGAGGTGGTTCCACAGGTTGTGGTGGATGTAATTACCCCGGACGCTACTCGGAGCCAAACTCTAGCGGTGTTCTTGGTGATGCCCGACGACAGCGACAGTGCAAGAGTCGGGCTAAACGGGGGAACTGCCTCGATGATAGCAACGCTTCGAAAGGAGCTGTCAAAGTTGCTCCCCTCGTACATGATTCCCCGCGCGTACATCCCTATTCCCCTTGCAGAGCTGCCCATGACAGCAACAGGAAAAACGGATAGACAAAGGGTTCGCGAACTAGGCAGAAGCTACAGGCCACCAACACCTTCGCCTTCAGACGCGTTGACTTCCGATGCTAAACTGACCAAAACAGAAGAAGCCTTGAGGGATATATGGGCTAGGTTACTTGGTGTCAAGCTAGATCTTATCGCTTCTGATCAGAGCTTCTCTGAGGTTGGAGGTGATTCAATAAAGACCATGTCACTAGCCATGGAAATACGCAAGCAGTTCGACGTTAATGTCGGGGTGCCTCGTTTGGTCCAACAGCAAAATAGCTTGCATGAACTTGCCGCCCTAATCGATAACCTGGTGGGCGGCCAGTCTGTTGAGGAGCCGATGCAGCCGACACCGACGGACCTGGAGCGTGAGATAGGCATGCTGATAAGCAAGATCGAGTTTGGCCGTGTTGACGCGGGGTCGACGGTGTTCCTCACTGGATCGACCGGGTTTCTGGGGACCCAGATTCTTCACTACACACTCATGAAGGGCGCATTCGACAAGGTCGTACTACTTGTGCGCAGTCTTGACGAACAGAAGGGGCTGGACAGGGTGAGGGAAACGGCAAAAATCGCTGGCTGGTGGAAGGAATCATTTGCTTCGTCAATTGAAGTCTGGAATGGAGACCTCTCAGCCGAAGGGCTTGGGCTAGAGGATTCACAATGGAGCGCGCTGTGCGGCCGCCCAAGTGTGCATGGCGCTGTTGATGCAATCATCCAAAACGGCGCCAGAGTGCATTGGGCAACAAGCTACGACGGGCTGAAAGACGTGAACGTTGGTTCTACGATACAGCTTCTGCAGGCAGCAATGGCCTCCCCTCTGCTGAAGAGTTTTGTATATGTCTCTGGCGGCCTCATCACAGATAGCCGAACCTGGACCGAGGAGGAGGCGAGAATGTCTAACGGATACGATCAAACGAAATATGTCTCGGAAAGACTGGTGAGCGCTGCGGCCACACAGTTCCGCAAACGAGACACGACATTCTCGGTCGTCAAACCGGGGCAGATTATCGGAGACGTGTACACAGGCGTAGCGAATGCGGACGACTTCTTGTGGCGGGTGGTGATGGGTGCCGTCCGCCTTGGAGCTCGACCAGTCGAATCCGAGACATCGTGGCTCTCAGTGTCGGATGTTCGTCACGTCGCAGAGGCCATTCTATGGCATGCAGCAGGCAAAAGCCGCGAGAATTTCGCCCATATCAAGAGGGGAGTATGGGTCAGTGCCTTCTGGTCTGCCGTCGAGGATCAATTACAGCTGCTGTTGCGGCCAGTCTCGTGGCGAGAGTGGATTGAGCTCGCCAGGGAAGACATGGCGCAGGAGCAAGAACAGCATCCGCTATGGCCAGTGCAGCAGTTCCTGGGCGCTCTTGGTACTGAAATCGAAGTCAGCGACCATGAGACCTACGAGTGGGAAATGCGAGAGGTACTTGCAGCTGCGCGACAGAATATCGCGTACCTACGATGTAGGGGTCTCCTGGGAACCGCTGGTGGAAAGCCGTTTAATGGAAAAATTATATCCAGGACCCGAAATGTACGTACGGCGGGCCTGAAAGCAGTGAGTGTTTGATTCAGCATATGTATATGTATATGTTCAGGTATTAGCCTTGAATAGAACTGCTCCTTTTGCAGCTTTGATATTGATTCAAGAAGCTGAGGTTGTCAAGCGATAAATTTGATTGGTTGGAAGGTCAGAGCTAGTTAGTCATCATAATGATTATATAACAACTATTTATAGCCTATTTGTCAGCCTATTTGTCAGCAGGTTCTCCGCTGATACAAACAAAGAAAACAAAGCAAACACCAAGTCTATATCAATCCTGCATAAGAAAAAGCAAACACCAACAATCGACCCTGCGTAAGAAAAAGCGCAAACAGGAATGCTCCACAGATGCATATGCATGCACCGTACGCCGGCCCAAGTAGGAGTCATGTTGGAGGTACGGAGTAAGGGCCCTATGGGTCCGGCGGCAACGCTAAAAGATATGCCCAGATGCGGCGCCGACAGGGACTCTGTGCCCTTCTATATCTCTCTGCTCCTCCGCCGTTGATAAACTGCAGCTGGTTGCAGCTTGAATATCACGAAGAACTTATCAGAATTCTACGGACCGCAAGAATTTGCCAAAGCATCAACCTATCATTCCACAATGGTTTCAACTCTCCCCTCGAACTGCCACCTGGTCGATATTGGCACTCACTCTCTGGCACTCTACACTCATGGCCCAGAGCCCAGCAGCCCCGCAGATCCCGTCGTACTGTTCATCTCCGGTGTGGCAAGCGATGCCCTCAACTGGCAGGCCGTAGTGCGGCTGCTGAGTCCCTCGATACGAAGCTACACTTATGATCGTTCTGGCTATCGCAACTCAGAGTGCTCACCTCTCACTCCCACGGCCGAGAACGTTGCCCTGGAGCTATCTCTTTTGATTGAAAAGGCGCCCATCACGAACCCTCTGGTCATCGTGGGGCACTCTGGGCCGGCGTGCTTTCGCACGAGTATATCGCCCTAAAGGGAACGGACCAAATCGCCGGCCTAGTGCTTGTGGACGCCAACCACGAGACAGCGCCACTGGTGATGGACGTTAATGATCCAATTCTCTGGACTGTTGCTGCAAGCGTTGAGGCATACTCTGCCTGGGGTGTAGAGGCAGAGCACAAGCTAACGCAGGAGGAGTGGGACGCGTTCAAGGCTGCGGAAGCAACCGATAAATTTAAGCTGATTGCGGACAAGGAGGAGCTCGAGAACTATTTGCCGAGCTTTGAGGCGCTAAGGAAAAAAGAGCTGGGTAAGAGACAGCCGCTGCTTGGAGACAAACCTGTTTATGTGATTGGGGGCACTCGGAGCAAGGATTGGAGTGGCTTGTACGAGGCTGGAGTTGCCAAGGGGAACGGGACCGAGGAGCAGAGAAAGCATGTACAAGAGATGATCAGGACTGTAGATGCAAAGAATGAGGGTCTCATGAAGGAGTTCTTGAAGCTCTCTACGAAAGGCGAGCTTGTCTTCGCCGCCAAGAGTGGGCACTTTGTCCAGATGACCGAGCCAGAAATTGTCGTGGATGGAGTTAAATGGGTCATTTCGTCCTCTTAGATGCTAGGAATAAAGTATTTAGCCTTAACACTTTCTCAAATTTAGTGGTTAACAAGTGAACCCCAGATCTTGGGCAATTCGGATTCAAAGTTTCACAATGCCGTAGAAACAGAGTTGTACTGGGTAAATAGGCAGAAGCCTGGAGACTACAAAATATAAACGTATTGGATAATGAATAAGATGTATAAGGAATCTATTCTGTTATATGGACTTATGGCCCTTGTTCTATAAAACCCACCACCCTCCCACTGTTCAATATGTCACCGAGACAACGATCACGATTCCCATTCACGTCATGACTTATACATCTTCGGCGGCATGACTTTCCCCGTTTCCCCGTTTAGTTGGAGATTTTGCGTCTGATTAGGTAGGCCAATTCGAACCCAATGGTAACAAATAACAGCAGTCCGGTGATCGATCCATATACAATGACCATGTTGGGATCGTAGGCGGCAAACGACACACCGACACCGAGAAACGAGCCCAAAGCACTAAAGAAGTTAAATAGAGCCTGGACAATTGATCTCATACTTGCTGGGGCCCTTGAATACGCAAGTTGAGTGCCAGACACAATCGCAAGGATCTCTGCCCACCCAAGAAATACATAGGTCGGCGTTTGAATTCCAACGGAAACATCGTTGGGTATGCCCCCACCAAGGCACTTTAATGGCTGGTTGAAACATGGACCAGTCGAGTATATGAGATGCTGGATCCCTGTGGTATATGCAATTGCAAGCGTCGCACAAAAAAGGCCCACGCCAATACGGTGCTCAGGCGAGAAGTTGATCTTCTTTCTGGCCAGTGTGGGGTAGATCCAGCTTTGAAAGAAGGGCAAGAAGATCATAACAGAAATCGGGTTCAGATTGTACATGATGTCATTTGGGAGGCCGTGGGTCTGCATGGTGCCTGCTTGCGCTATGAGGGTGCTGTCCATGAGGTTGATGGAGAGCAGCAGAGCTGGGAAAGGAAGGCTGATTCGGGGTAAGTAGTTATTTCATCATGAATCAGCTAAGGCTGGTGTGGAATATCTTACAAGACTAAACAAGCTCTGAGGGCGGCCTTTGCATCGGCTATTATAGACTCGTCTTCACTTGGAGTGACATGAGTAGAAGATTGTATTGCAGTTTCTGTTTGATCTGGCCTGAGATGGGCTAGGTTTCGGCGACGACGCAATGCGCTGAATAAATTTGCAATCGGGTTTCCAGACGGCGGTGCCGTTTCTAAGAAATGGTCAGCGGCGAAGACATAATGGTTGTCAAAGGGCAATGCATCTCTCACCAAACTTCGTGTATCCGACTTGGAATATTGCTGTAGCCATAGCAACTAGGCAAAGACAAATAAGAAAAGCAAACCCAAAACCGGCATAGGCATGCTTCTCTACGTTGGTTGTAATAATGCCACACAAACCGCCGACACTAATCACCCTATTTAATGGTCTGTCAGCCAGTCCTCGGCACAACAAGCTCAAAAGAAAAACATACCAGTAATTGGCGTTCCATATAAACTGAATTGTGAGCTCACGACTCACTCTCGCCGACTTTCCATTCTTCAAAGTCACAACTTTGGGTTCCTCTTCGGGGAGTTGGTCAACTGGTAATAATCAGCGTTTTCGACCATCGAATCAAATTCGTTCCATTTCCCAATGCGTACTCAAGAATACCGTTATATTTGGTTTCACAGTTCCCGTACCAGCGCCAATAAGGAGCATGCCAACTATAAAGCCGGGAAGGCCGCCAGTGCCGTAAATTCGCTGCGTAAAAGCTGTTGCAGTGACTATACCGAGCCCCGAGACGTAGATTCTGAGCCTTTAGTGTCAGTGTCTGTCCACAGGTGGAGCAAGATTGCTGAGAAACCTACAGAAATCCGATTTGAATTGTTTTGCGACGGCCGAGCCAACAGTCTGCCAACAAACCGCCGGCTAGAGGCGTACTGTAGCTGTATATGAACCAGATATATATGATCAACACTGCTCTTGCCGACCCTAGGCCAAGGGCTCCTGGGCGAAAAGGGTCATTTGGAGAAAGTTGGAGGTAATTTTCTGTAGAGGTATTGTTAGCCCAATGCCATACGCAGAGATCGTCCACAGGGAACCTACGGAGGATCTGGCTGAGGCCGTAGAAAGCTGCTCTCTCCAAGAAATACAAGCCTTGGACGAGCCATACCTTGTGCGGGACATGGCCTCTGACAGCTGGAAAATCTTGCTCACTCGAGCTCACGGACTCTGCATGTGGAGTATTTGGCTCTTTTTCCTCAGCCATAATCTTGAGAAAGGCAAGTTTCTAGCCGTTGGAGGGCAGGGCTCAAACCAGTTTGTGTGTCGGATCACAATGGCAGATGGAGCAGTGTTACAAAGACAAAGAACGAAGAGATAAGGATGTACCTTTTTATCATTTCATTTTTTAGGATACTAATACTCCATACTACCTAGCACACTAAAGTATGAGCACTCTTGGACGCCGTAAGCCGCCCTTCGAATGATTTCCTTACCTTGTGGACCCTTAGCCAAGCATGGCGGGACGGGAGCTTAGCTAGCGTTGCCGCCAGCCGAAAGTCTAAATAACTAGCGTTGCCGCCGGTGCTTAACCTTATTTGGGATATGCGAGACGAGCGACGTACGTAAATGCCTACCCATTCTCTATACACTAGGTATATACCTAGTCATACATCAAACATTTCAAATAGATCATGGGCTTGGCAGTTTTGATGGTTGTTCAAATAGGATTACAAATCAGATTAATTCAACGGTTAGTAGCGGCATATACCCTCACTGGCCAGCCCAAGTACGCATAAACAAAATTTCCGGCATATCACGATTCATGAATTCTTCATCGACATCATACACAAGATCCTCTCCCGCACTCTCTGCTCTAAACCCAAGTTTCTCGTATACACTACGGCCCATGGGCGATGCCTCAGTCATGCACTCTAACCCTCCTCTTCGTTTTGCCTCCTCGAGTCCCCATGCAACTAGCTTTCCCGCAACACCTCTTCGTTGGAAATCTGGATTGACCGCACATGTATCAAGCGCAAACATAGCGGGTGAGTCCGATTTCGCCTTTTCCTGCGCGAGGGAAACTCGACGTTTCCACAGCGAGCGATACATCTGGCTCGCAAAGCGTCTCTCGGTTGGAGTCAAAGTCGCAAGGCCAGCAGGACTGTCCGTCGGCATATCCCCGTATCCTTCCACAAATGAAGCTTGAGTCCAGATTGCTGCGCCAACAATTTTAGGCTTCAAACCATCTTGGGGATCTGGTAGTGTTGCCTTCAAGATGACGGTATTAGGTTGGCCTTCTTTATTCTTGGTTGCAGATTGCCATCGCGCAAGGAGTGTGGAGGCACCCTCTTTCTGGCCTTTAGGGGAGTTCCAATTTGGGTTCATGGCTATCCAAATCGAGTCTTTGATTTGGCGGCCAAACGCTTCGCTTATGCAGTGATAAATTTGGGTGAAGTCATCAGGACCATCGGCTGGTTGAACATGTACATTAACGTCCATCGTAAGTAAATACTTGTCAGCCTAAGGATCAAATTTTTGAGAGAGGGGGAGGTATGTCAATGCGACAACGTAGGATGTGAATAAGAAGGATTTAAGCAAAGGACAAAGTCGCCACTTCAACCGTGAACTCGACCGCTATTTGAATTGTTACGGTAGTAATGAAAATAGACAATTAGAAAAACATAACTAGTCTTTAACCCAATCCCTGCTGACACTCAATATTACCGCAGCTATCAAATTTTGCTACTCTATTGTTATTAGCCAAATATCACTACGCCACTTTCTTTACAACTAATATAGTAACAGAGATATTTTTAGCTTGGGTTGTAAGGCTAGCGCGCGGCATTAACGCGGCATCAAGGCGGCATTCGGGCGGCTTCAGGGTAACGTCAGGGCGACACCAGGGCGGCTATGGGACAAAGATTGCCGAGCTTATGGTAAAGAGAGAGCGGCTCGTCTTGCGTAAAGCGCCGCATTACTGTAGCACAGCAGGGTGTCCAAGCAAAAAACGTATCGGGGATGTTGGTGGCCAGAGACTGAATTTGTGCGCTTTACTTTTCTTAGATCCTGAGTCTTCCATACGGTATTCATAAAGCCATATTATCTCTAGCTCTGTTACCATATAACTATAAAGTCCACTCAAATTTTGCACCTTTCTTCATTGTTACAATCAGAGGCATCTATCAAAACTAAATCAACCAAAATCACGGATATCATGTCTAATATGGGAACCAGGTTCGGGGAAGAGACTCAGATTGACGCCGACGGATGGCCCCCCGAGATCGCAGTTTCTGGCAGTTTGGGGCTTCTCCTATCTCTCTATCAGCAGACACCAACACCCTTATTCCATGTATGCACAAGTACGCCTGGACAGCTGTGGGATGCTGGCATTGCAGTCAATCATGATTGTAGTGCGCATGACTTTCTCGAGAGCGTTAGGAAAAATACTCAGCTGAGCACGACACTTCCGGCCGGCCCAGAGGCATTCTGGTTGCGTACAGACAGCTTTCAAAATTGGGAGACTTCGAATTCACGAAATTCCGCCATTCCACGCCAGATCCTCTGCACGGTGAGAGGGTCGCAGACATCACGTTTACTGAAGCTGGAGATCATCGGCAAGAGCTCCCCAGCCAATGAAAAATTTCTCAGTCAACTGGTACATGTCGTCAAACAATTGCTGGTTGCAACGAAGGACGGACGGATGTTGCGAGCCCTTGATTTAATCTGCGATCTGGACCGCCAGGATCTACAGCGATGGAACAAGCAACCCCCTTCAACTATAGCGTCCACAGTCCACGAGATGTTTAGACAGAGAGTTCTGGAGAGCCCAGAATCACAGGCTGTAGAGTCCTGGGACGGCTGGCTTACATACAGGGAGCTAGACACCCTATCCTCGCGTGTGTGTTCGTTACTGCTGAGTGCAGGGGCACGCCAGAGCGACTGCATCCCTCTCTGCTTTGAAAAAACGCTCTGGACGACGGTGGCAATGCTGGGCGTCCTGAAGAGTGGCTGTTCCTTTATGCTCATGGATGTCTCGCACCCGACAAGCCGACTGCAGGCACTAACCAAGGAGACCAAGGCCACCATAATCCTCAGCTCCTCTGCTCAGGAAGATAGAGCAATCAGTCTCGCACCCCGGGCCATTGTTGTGTCGGCTTCCTCGTTGTCGACTCCCTCGCTGTTGACTCCGTCGGTAGAAGTTAGTCCCCACGATGGAGCAGCCGTCATATTCACATCAGGAACTACAGGCACGCCAAAGGGGATTCAGCTTGAGCACGAATCGTTGTGTTCTAGTCTTGTGGCATTGGCTCAGCTCTCCGGAATAAACAAACAAACTCGATATTTCCAGTTCTCATCCTATGCATTTGATGCCGCGTTCGGAGAGATCCTAATGACGTTGATGCACGGCGGTTGCGTCTGCATTCCTTCCAACGCCGATCGTTTGAACAAGCTGGCAGAGTCGATACGCAATTTCAATGCCAATGCGGTTCTGCTTACTCCCACTGTTGTGCGACTACTGTCACTGTCTGACGTCCCTTGTCTGACAACACTCATTTCCGGAGGAGAGAAGGTCACGCAAGATATCGTAGGGCTGTGGGAAGATAAGCTGGACTTGATCATAGCCTATGGCCCGGCGGAGTCAACAGTAGCATGCATCGCAAAGAAAGCCCGTTCTATGGGTGATGATGCTGCTCGGATTGGGTTTCCTGTCAACAGCCGCGCATGGATAGCGCGCCTGGATGACCCGAATCAGCTTGCTCCTGTAGGAGCTATTGGCGAGCTGGTGGTGGAAGGCCCGGGTATCGCACGGGGTTATATCAACAATGAGGCGGGAAATGCAAAGTTGTTCCTCAACTCTCTGCCGTGGGCAAAGGAGTCCATCGGACGGGCTTACAGAACTGGCGACCTGGTTCGATACGCCGACGACGGTGAACTGGTCTTCATCGGTCGACGAGACCGCCAAGTCAACTTCGTGGGCAAAGGATCGAGCTCGAGGAAATCGAGAGCCAGCTGAAGCAGCATCTTCAAGTCCTTGAAGCAAATATATTTCTAGAAGTACTCGATTTACACGGCACGGCTAATTTGGTCGCTTTTCTTCATCATCCTAGTATTCACGACACAGGTAGGCGGGATGTTGACGGAAACAACACCACGCAAACGACCGAGGGGTGGGAGCTGGAGATCGAAAGGCTTCGTGAACGTATTTCAGACGTTCTTCCTGCCTACATGTGCCCCGTCGCGTGGATACCGTTGAAGGAGGTTCCCCTGAGCCCAACGGGGAAGCTTGACCGGCGCAAGCTTTTGAGCATCGGGGAGAATTTCTATGCCAGAATGCGAACGGGCGGCAGTGAAGAAGAAGAAGAAGAAGAAGAAGAAGAAGAAGAAGAAGAAGGACAAAAAGGACAAGAGGACAAGGGCTTATCGCCCGTCGAGTCAGTGCTGGGTCGGATGTGGAAACAACTTCTCCCATCCGCCCACAGGCTCTCACCAGACGATAATTTCTTCCAACTCGGCGGGGACTCTCTCCGATGCATGAAGCTGGTGGCGATGGCCCGCGAGCAAGGGTTTCATCTGACTATGGAGAAGATGTTCAAATACCCCGAACTATCCAGGATGGCTGCCGCCATGCAGGAAGTCCATGCTGCTGATACAATTAAATCCCACGCAAGCCTTGTCCCGGCTTCATATTCACTTTCACAGGACGATCTTTCTATATTTCACTCCTTGCTGGATGAGTACGGTTTTGATTATGAGGATGTGGCGGGTATATACCCTTGCACGGCGCTCCAAGCAGGGTTGTTTTCGCTGTCACTGGTACTACCCTCCTTGTATTCGAGTCAGTTTGTATTTAATTTCTCAGCGGCCGTGGACGTCCAAAGGTTCAAGGCAGCATGGGAGAGTGCAAACAGTGTCTTCCCAATCCTGAGAACGGCAATCGTGCCGTCTTCCTCTAGCTTCGTGCAGGTGGTGAGACGACATCACTCCGAGTGGACCGAAGTCAGGCAAGATCTTGCATCGTTTCTGTCTGCAGACAAGACGGTATCGTTCCAACCCGGCCAGCCTCTCAGCAGACAATACCACGTCCAGGACCCATCATCCGGTCAGTCTCATTTTGTTTGGACGCTCCACCATGCTATATTCGATGGCTGGAGCTTGGAGTCCGTGGTCGATCATATTCGTCAAAATTATTACTCCAACACCGTGGCTGTGAACCCAGGAGGCTTCGAGGAATTTGTGCAGCTCTGTGAGGGCCTGAACCAAGGTGAATGCGTTTCATTCTGGGAACAACAACTTAAAAATGCACCTACACCATCATTTCCCAATTTCCCGAATGCCGGGTACCTAGCAGCCGACAGATCTTGTTTGCGACACACCATGGCAGCGCCGAAAATAACTTCTACAACTGCAACGGTTCTGGCCAGGGCGTCGTGGGCTCTACTACTTTCAGAGTACGAGGGTTCTGACGACATCACATTCGGAAACTCCCTTCACGGACGTCATTCCCTACCTCCTAAGCTTCAGGATGTCGTTGGGCCTACCATCACAACTTTACCGATTAGGGTGCGGATTGATCTCACGACAACCGTTCTTAACTTCTTAGAAGGCCTCCAAGAACAGTTTTCCGCCATGATACCTTACGAACAATTCGGGCTTTCCCGAATCCTGGGGATAAATCAGGATATCCAAAATGCCGCCTCGTTTCGTACCCTCTTAATTGTCCAAGTCGAAGATAACACGTCCTTGGAGGAAGTAGGTATCAAGCTTGACGAAGTCGAGAGATCCCTACACGAATACCCACTGGTAATTACGCTTATGCCTGGGAAGTCTCAGATTGAGATAGTCGCCACCTTCGACAGCGACGTCATTTCACCGCCCCAGGTTCAAAGAATTCTGGAACAATTCGAGGGGACATTCCACCAACTCAGCACAGTACCTAGAGACACCAAAGTTGGCGAACTGGACCTCGCAAGTAAGGCAGACAAGACAACCATGTTTGAGTGGAACGCTAGGCATCATACGGCTTACGAAGTTTGCGTCCACGAGTTGATTAGAGAGCGAGTAAGACACTCCAAAACTTCGCCAGCAATCCATTCGAGAGACGGCACCATGGACTACGCAACTTTGAATAGACTGTCTGATGGCTTAGCGGGGGAGATGGTGCAATCCGGCGTGAAGCCAGGGAACACTGTGGGTATTCTTTTCGAGAAATCGCAGTGGGCAATCGTGAGCATTCTGGCCGTCATCAAGACAGGCGCGGCTTTCATGCCATTGTCACCGACATACCCACGAGTACGTCTTGAAGGTATTGTCAGTGATGCTGGTATTGGGCTCATCCTCTGCTCTCCACTGCAAGAGGAAGTCTTCCGAAATCCACCTTGGCGGACTATGGTCGTTTCCAACGAGAGATCACATTTTTCCACATCCAGTGCACTGGCCCATGGCAAGGTTGCGACCCCTGACAGCCTTCTCTACATCCTTTCAACCTCAGGAACTACGGGGACCCCCAAAATCTTCGGTGTACAACACAAGAGCTTTGCTACTGGTGCTATCGCTCGGGCACCTTTACTCAAACGTGGCCCTGACTCTCGGGTATTGCAATTTGCACCATATGCCTTTGACCCGAGTGTGGAGGACATATTGACCACCCTCATGTTTGGCGGCTGTATATGTGTACCATCAGAGGACGATATCATGGGTGATATCAGTGCATTTATGAAGATGGCGCGAGTTGACTTTGCCAACATCACCCCATCAGTGGCCTATACATTGAAGCAGGATGAACTGCCGGATCTCAAAATATTGCTGCTCTCGGGAGAAGCACCTGACCAAGGACTAGTGGACAAATGGGACGGCATCGTACAACTCATGAATGGTTACGGGCCGAGTGAGTGTTCCGTCAAGTGTGCTATCAACTGCCATTTGTCACGCAATAGCCCCAGAAACATTGGTTACAGTGCTGGAACTAGCCTATGGGTTGTGAAGCCCCAGAACCACAATCGCCTAACTCCTCTTGGGGCAGTTGGGGAACTCGTCATCGAAAGCCCACATCTTGCAATGGGCTACATGAACCGCCCTGAGGCTAATAAGGAGAAGTTTATTCTTAGTCCACCGTGGTTGCGAGACTTCCGAGATGGCCAAGCCACGCGGATGTACAAGACGGGTGACCTTGTCAGGTATATGGAAGATGGCAGCATCTTGTACATTGGGCGCGGTGATATGCAGCTGAAACTACATGGCCAGCGGCTTGAGGGCGAGGAGGTGCGGCAACGCATTCAGGAATCACTCTCTGATGCTCAGCTCCAAGTGATTATCGATATAGCAAGATTTGAAGGTCAGGATTCTGACGTTCTCGTCGCTTACCTTGCTCAGAAAGGAGAGTACCGGGGAGGTGAAGTGGAAATCGACCATGTGCTACAACAGCGACTGGCGGGTATGAAGGAACATATAATTCGCCAAATTAGCACCACTCTGCCGAAATACATGATACCTGCTGTATTTCTGGCAGTGACAAATATTCCCGTCACCTCGAATGGCAAGGCGGACCGCCGCACACTTAAGGCTTACGTTGCGCGACAGCGTCTTGGTCCTCACCTGCTTCTTTCTGAAGAACATGAAATTCAACCACCAGTTTCAGAGTTAGAAAAGCTGCTGCATAGGTTATGGCAAAAACTGCTTGGACTGAACGGCGAGCAATTTGGAGCCAACTCCAACTTCTTTGAACTCGGTGGCAGTTCTTTGGCGGCAATCAAGCTGGCATCTGCGGTACGAGATCTTGGGCACAGCCTCCCAGCACATGAAATATTCAAAAATCCGGTCTTGTCTGTCATGGCTTCTCAGGTGGTACGTCTGAAGGGAACAAGAAAATCGAGTGCATCCAACTTCAGCCTGCTGGAGAAAATTGATCGCAGTATCCACCAACTGAGGAAGAGCTGTGTGGCTCACGGTATTGATGAGCATAACATTGAAGACGCATACCCTCTTACAAGACAGCAGCAAAATTACATGAGAGGAGAGATCGTTTCGCCAGGAGGTACTACTCATAGGCACATCATGCAACTACCAGCCAACATCGACTTGGTCGGACTTGAGACTGCTTTGAGGCGTGTTGTGCAGGCGAACGCACTTCTACGGACTCGAATCGTCTCGATATCATCACAATTAGTCCAGGTTGTGCTGAAAGAGGACTTCGCTTGCCGCCATGTTGAGGCCCTGTCGTCGCTTGTCTCTGAGGATCGAAAGGTATCGTGGGGTCTTGGACAACCACTATCACGATTCAGTATCGTACATAGCGAAGACTCTCAGGATAGTTGGCTCGTCTGGTCAAGTACCCACGCTGCGTTCGATGGCTGGTGTCGAAAGTTGCTCTTGCAAGACATCGATTATGCGTATCACCACAACGATAACCCGCCGGAACGGCCGCAGTACAACAGGTTCGTCGAGTACGTATACGAATTGGAAAAGAAAGAAGATGGTTCGGCGTTGATGAGAGAGCTCGAGAACACTGAGTTTGAGCGTTATTTCATCTTGGATGGCACAAAGATCCCAGCAATTACTCACACTTTGTCCCTCAATATCGATTTCCCGGCAACTCTCCCAGCTGATCTATCCTACCCAACCGTGATGCTTACAGCTTGGGTGATAGTTGCAGCCCACGTCGAAGAACAAGACCAACTCCTGTTCAACATGCTATTGGGCGGCAGGGATGCTGAGTTCACGGGAATAGACAGGCTCATGGGGTCTGTAAGTACCACAGCCCCCTTGACTGCCAGCATTAATTGTGACTCAACTTTCCGGAAAACTGTGGAATTTGTACAGAAGCGAATAAATGAAGCTAGAAGTATACAGCATTCGGTCAAACTCGGTGATAAGCTGCATCGGTTGCTGGCCTCTGCCCCTGTGGTCGTCGTCCATCCTGCCGATGACTACGAGGAAGTAGCAACCAAACACCTCGGACTGTTCAGAAGCCGTGTCGAAACGGTCCAGCGATTGGTAGACGCCATGTTCATGAATTTCTGTCTCCGGCCTGGTAATGCTGGGGTGGATCTTATCATGACAATTGACACCAGCTTTTTCCCAGAAAATAAAGGAATTCGGTACCTCAGCTATTTAGAGCAAGTTTTCAAGCTTATCTTTGCTCCAAGGGGTCTGGACCTGACCATCGGGGAATTGAAATTCGGTTCTAGCGCGCCCACAAGCTTGGTGTTGGTAAACACTGAGATAGTGTGATGGCAACAAAATGATTACCATATCTATTGCCACCTTTATTATCTTTACTTGCCAATTTCAACATGAACTGCTAATCGACGTGGTGGGCCTTCTGGCAGTCCTCTCGTGGAGGACTAGAAAATTCTGGTTCTATATTCTTTCTGCATGTGAGGAGTCTGGGTCAGCGGACGATTTTCTGGCTATAAATAAAGCATGTGTTAGTTTGAGTAATTGGACCACTATAGTAATTTGTACAATATAATTTCAGCCAATAGCATCTTTTAGGATATTAATATATATAATATTTCATCAGTTAATACTAATACTGCTTCTTTATTCCTATAGTAAGGCTGTTTTATTGGTTGATATAGGTATGAATTAATATTATGTAATCACGGACACATAAGGTTTCGATAAAGTGACACGTGATATCGTAGTGGAATAATATTATTCCATATACACACATGACTACGTTCTAGGAAACGGCCTGAGGTCAGGAGGGATATATAAAGGGGAAATGGAAGGGGATAAAGGGAATAGAAATTGCAAAGGTAAAAAGTAAAGAATATGATAGCTATATGTAGGAAAAACAAAATAAAACAAGGATATCATAAACTATAGTGTATAGCGAGCGGCCTCTGGGTATTAAATATTAAATATAGCCGCCGCGTAACTTTGACCTCCTATCCTTTTATCTAGGAGAATAGTGGCTAGAGTAGTGGCTAGAATATTCACTTTGAGTTTCTGGGACGTACACGGAAGGCATTGGAGGAAATGGCTCAAATTCTGAAGGTGAGTTGTGGTGCCCTGCAGAGTTGACGTCGAACATCATCTGTTCCTCCTTGTTCGTGCCATCTATGGTCCTGCTAGGTCCTAGATATTTAGTGGTCTCCTGGGCCGTTTCGTGAATAGTTTTCTCCTCCTTTCCAGGTCCCATGGGGTGATCAGCTCCATTAACGATTGGCTTGGGTTCGGTAGCCTCTGGCCCTGAGAGCAATGACGTATATTCAAGAGGTAGCCCATCATTAGGTATGGGGGAGGATGCAACTGGGGGAGGGCTAATAACCCCCTCGGAATGCCGGACCCTCCGCGTGCTTGATTGGTCTAAGGGAGGTTCATTGGTGGGTTTATTGTCATCACTGTGGCCCTGGTCCTCTGTGTATGATGGGGAGTAGATATTATTGCGCTCGGGCATCGACTTCGTCCTTTCAAACTCCTCACTGGAGGGAGACCTCCAAATTTGCGGTACAGAGGCCGCAGGGGTTGTCCTACCAGGATTGGTGGTAAGATCACGTTGAGACTCGTTAGATTGACCAATATCTGTAACAACACGAGTGTTTTTTCGGCCTCTTGGATGTGCGACATTGACTGTGGTTCCCTGAACGCCCCCACGCCATAACGTCGGGAATTCCTTGTCAACGGCTTCTTTCTCTTCCTTTTGCACAGCTTTCGCGTCATGAATAGCTCCAAGTTTACTCCAGAAGGAGAGCAGGAAGCTCGTCTTCGCTGGTTGTCTGATTTTACCAACGGTAACTCCTCGTCTTGCGGCCAGGGAGCTTGGTGGTGGACGATCTCCAGGTGCTATATCCTCTATTCCCAGCGGGACATGTTTTATTCGTTGTTTTTGTAATTTCTCCTTTTCCCTAGAAAATTTGGCGTCCCATTCCCCTTTAGCCTCAAGCCAGCGGCGAACTGGCGTTGATTTAGGCACTCCGATCCGATTGCGTGGAATTTGAAGCGCTGGGACCTCGTGTTCATCAGGGAGTGGGAATAGGTTGCCTTCGGTGTCAACGAGCTGGCGGATCATATGGTTTTTGAATGGAGGAATAGAATCACCGGCTTTTCCAATCGTCGTAAATTGTGGTGGTTCCGATTCTTGCCTCTTCGATCCATCTGCTTGATCAGGCCCAAGCAGAGACATGCCGGATAATGCAGGAGAGCCCTCTGGTATGTCTATACTTGACTCTTGTGCCCTCGACAACGCCCATGCGGAAAACTGAGCAATAGATCTATACATATATTTTGCAGGTCGGGTAAAGCTGAGTGTCGGCGCAACATGGCAAAGACCATTCCAAACTTGGAGTTGGACATATGTGGGTTTGTAATGAGAAAGGATTTCACGACCAGAGTCGTATCTGTCAAGATACTCGTCACTCGGGGGATAGGCTGCTGGGTTTGCCGCTTTATGTGCGAGGTAAATCTGCTCGTCCCTTAGTATTTCTCCTCCGCCCGAAAGTATAAGCAATGGCGGTAGGCCTCCTAACGACGATTGCATCACAGGGGAGACAAGCGGGTGGGATATCAGGCTATTTGTCGTGTACAGGTGAATCTGGTCTTTTATCTCAACAGTTGCACCGTCTATGTCGACCCGGAGAAGCTCCCCAAGCATCCGGCGTTGATTACTAGAACCGGGAATTTGGGAGGTTGCATATTCGTCAACGTGAGTAGATTGAGTTGTCGCACGAGCCTGGCGGGTGTAGAAATCCTCAATTGCTTTGGTATCTAGCTTAGAGGTCTTGTCTGCAACAGGAGGTGAATTTATAGTATTGAGAATTTTTTCACCAGCAGTTGACTCAATACCGTATTCATCTCCATTTGGAGGAGGCCATGCCATCGACGGGCGGTGCATGAAACCGTATATGGGGATATAGTCTTCTAGCCCAGCACCAGAAACACTAGGGAAGGAGTGCGTCAAGTCCACCCAAGGAGATATAAGGACAGCTCCAGCAGGCAATGGCACGTTTTGATCACGAAGTGTGACCAACATCCTAAGTATTGTCAGTCACAGTATTTAGGTTCAACTATCAGAATACATACGACATGACCATTCCTCCGCCAGAAGAATCACCGGCTAGTATTATTTCCTCGGGCTTCTGGATGGTTATTAGGTAGAGGTACGCTGCAAGACAATCGTGAAGCCCACATGGAAATGGGAATTGCGGAGCTAATCGAAAACGAGCTAGTTTATCGCCAATGGCATAAGTAAGTGGTACTTTTGGAACACATGGGTAATGATAAACGTACTATAGATGTAAGAGTTAGAGTATTTCTAAATCGTGGAGGCATGTCAAAACTCACCGAGCAAAAACACGAGCCTTTAATTTTCTTGCATGCCGCTGCAATTGATACCGGTGCGTATCCACACTTCCAAAGAAATAGGCACCGCCATGCACATAGAGCATGATACGGTTGGATTTCACGTTCCGTGCCCGTCGGTCATTATAGTCTCTCCTCGTTTCAACCCATTCTGCAATAAGAGCAGCCTCTGTATCTCTCCACTGCCACCATTTGCTCCCTCCAACGAGGGATACACCGTCTGGCCCCAGCTCTGCAATCAACAGATGAGATGCAGACTCCAGATGCTCAGGTGGAATAATCACGTTCCCAGCTGCCACCCAGTATGGCGCAGGCACTTTTTGTCCCGTAAAAGCCTGTAACTCTTCAACCGTATGGCGAGCCGCATGCTCAAGGAACCGCCGGATGACCTCGAGACCACCATGGTAGGAGAAGTGCGCAGCTGGCTCTGTCTTGCCGGGCTTCTTGCCTAGATACTGTCCATAGAAATTCCAGATTAGTATATCGTGAGGGAGCGAGGTGCTGCGTTTTCGATTGACGAGGTCATACGTGTGCTAATCCAGTAGAGACGGTTGTAAAGGAGGCATTGATAGCCACTGAAAATATATTAAATGGCATTTTAGCAGCCAACGTGTTCTAGGCAGGATCGGGGATTATAGATCGAGAAATAGCATCGAACGGCATGGGGTATAAGCAAAGTAACCGTATGAGAAAGATATGGCACAGGGATCTTGCCATTGGATAGCAATCATGGCTCGCGACGAGGCAGAAGAGAGGGGAATATCATCTTCGAGCGATTGAACCGCCACGGGATGTTTGCAGCCACCAACTTTTCAAGTTTGCCCTGTTGTTTACCCATCGACGATACAGAAGAAAAGGGACAGCAAATTATGAGGTCATACCCAATCTTGGCAGTCGTGTTCTGCTTAGTCAGACTATTTTCGCAATTTTGATTTTCCGATCCTTATTTTATTTTTTTATTATTATTTTTTTGGTTCTGATATCAAAGTCGAGGTGGGATAGTGGTGAGAAGGCTGCTGTCAGACTACTATTGCATCTCCAACGCTTTATAACATCTGTATTGCAGATACACCAAGCTCCCTAAGCCTCCTTGTATCATTTTATCGCAATGGAGCCCGTACAACAGCAGCAGACGCCCGGTACACTGGAGCAGAGCACCCCTCTTTCTCCCTCCGCCCAACTCGATCTTGCGATAACTCTTATCCTACACTCTTGGCCTTCTCTTACGCTGGCTGTTGAATCGTCTTGGGGAGGACCTACTTCCAGCAGCAAACGCGATTGGTTTTGTGGCGCCATTGCGGAGTTATTTACCACTAGACCTGAAACAGATGCGCAGGATCTGGAGGATGTTTTGATACAGGTGATGACGGATGAATTCGACGTCGTTGTGGATGACGGAAGTGTGAGCCTAATTGCAGATCAAATATGCGAATTAAAAGCCGAGATCGAAAAAGGGAAATTTGAGCGTGTTCAGGCGATGTGGGAGCAGTTTAAAGTCAACGAGCAAAATGGTGGTAGCAAGCTACCAAGCAATATCATCAATAGGGTCGGAGTGAATGGAAATGATAGCAGTGATGACGACGATGAAGACGATGGTGACGAGGATGACGATGACGACGAGGATACAGATATGGCGGATGCTCCGGCTCCCCGTTCTGCTCCAAGGCAGCGAGAGGAGCCCGAGGTTGACGATGACGGCTTTACCAAAGTTGTTGGCAGGAAAAAGAGATGAGAATTGAGGAGGCTGTCTTACGATTCAACCACGCTACCTTACATGCGGCCCAGGCCACTCTTCTCTCACGAGGGCATACCGCAAACCCGATTCAGCTATGAAGCCGAAAGGCAAGAGCTTGCTATACTATAAGTGACTCGCTGAATTCTAGTCCTGAGTTCTATCACTTGCCAGCCTTTAGAATTCTTCGCTTCATGGAGAAAGTAAGGCGTTCAATCTTGTCTGTCTATGACACCTTTGGATTCGAGATGATAAGCTTGAAAGATTGCCAGAATCTATTGGGTCATCCGCACCATGTCACCGATTTACTGATACTTGTGACTGTTTCGATTTAGAACATACTTGCGGGATGTTTTATAGAAGGAGGCTAACGGATTCAGAACGATACATGAATAAGCAACAATCTTGTTGTATGGATAACTTCGTAATTTCGAGTTAAGATACATTGATGAAAAGCAAATAACTCCGGATAGTCATAATCGTTAATTATATTATTTATTGATATTAAGTACAGAACTGGACCAGTAAATAGCGAAGTGATATTTCAGAGCGCTTTAACCGGGTGGGCTGGGTTCATCGAAGGCAATAAGTAAATAGTACCTATTTGGGGGCTGCAACTTGCACGAATGATACGGATATCGGGGTACTTAGAAGAAAATTCAACGGTAATGTAACGATGGGTGTAATTTGCGTTTAAATTGTGAAATATAAGCAACTGGATGACGTTAGGGTAGAGCAGGTGAGGAGAGTAAATGTTCGGCGAGAATCAAGGGCTGCGCATATAGACATATATAAGTCTATGGGAGGCCTCTTATATCTGAGTTGGCTATCCCTGTGGCTTTACTTCCCCCCAGAAGGAAGGGAAGGTAGCCTTTGGCTGTCATCACGGTAACGGTGCCTGCACTGAAAAGAAACCCCAAAGTAAAGCATACTATCTCAAGGTAGGTCGCTTCACGAATGACGCTGAGAGATGATTTCTCGATGGCCTTGAGCCAGCCAAACGCCCCCAAAGTAAAAAATATAACTCCGCATACTAATAAATGCTTGTAAGCTTATGGAAGTCAATTTGCTGAAACGGTGTAAGCTTACTACAGATGAAAAGAATGGACACCATAACCCTCGCTCTGAATATAATGGAAATGCAAAAGGCCACAGCACACCATGACAACCATATCATAGACGCTAGTGGACCTCTCCATAAGTTAAGTGTGTTAAAAACTGACTGGGCATCTCCGATGGCGGACTGCAAATATATAGCGGAGTTTGTAATGTTGTGTAGAAGGGCCTGGGTTGTGCGAAGATCTTCGTGAAACGATTGTTGAAGGCGAGTCTGGTTCATGATTTGCACGACCATCATGTCCTGCAGAATTGCAGCCTTCTGTTCAAAGTTATGCAACGCTGCATCGAAGAGATTCATGCGCTGTGAATATGATTAGCAGTTTCTATCTGGCCCATTGAGCAAATATATATTCTTACATCGTCGAGCGAAGAATGCTTCTGATTCACGCTTGAAACAATTCCACTCAAGGAACGCTATCACATTGTTAGCTAGTAAAATACATAGGAGCGGGTAAACATGCCATCGACGCGTGAAGCTGATTTAGCTCTTCCGCCATAAATCCTACCCCAACATCCTTTACCTCATGGAGTAAGCGGTTGATGTCTGTTATGAGATGGGCGTTTATTTGAAGGGCACTTTGTTCCGCAGCAACCAGGTCTGAGTTCCGCTTCACTCCATCCGCAAGCACCTCACCCAAAGCCTGTTTTACCTCTCGAACCGAGTGAATAGAATGTTGAATTTGCTATTCTTGGTTAGAATCGTATCTTGTTTTAATAGGAACAAGATGAATGGAAAAAAAACACGCTCTAGTTGATAGAAGGGGAATACCTTTGATAGAGTAGCCGCCTCTGCCGAAGTAGACTTGACAAACCCCTGGAATTCCCCGTTCGCGACCCGAAAGATATCCTTTGTACCTTTCAAGAGCTCTGTAAACTGGCCTTGAATGATCACGCTATCTTTGCGTAGATCACGTAGTAATTTTAGGCGAAGGTCATCGACCGCCTGTAAAAATTCTTTCTGCCGTCTAGCTTGGGTATACCCGTTCTCTAAAGAGCGGTTTAGATGTTCGGTTAGCCCGGATGTAACTTCAGTGAGTGCCCTGTGGTGGTTAAGCAGTTCTTCCTTTTCCACGTCAAGCCGGGCAGCATGACACATTACAGCAGCGTTCTGCCGGCTGTTGCTATAGCTGGTCCACCACTGCGGTTTTGATTCCAGAGATCTAAGACATGGTGCAAGTAGTTTCTCCGGTATAACATCTTTCTCCTCTGACTCTTGCGAAACTTGACGTTTAAACGTGTAGATGGGTTTCTCATTGTCGCGAGAAGGCAGTATAGCCAAACACTGATTTGGAACCGCAGCCCCCGCCCCTGTCACCTCACATATAGCCAGCCTCGCAGCATATAGCGACTTGACATTGTCCAAGTCTAAGGCGGAATATTGTCCCCGCTCACTTTTCCCTGAGGAGAAAACTTGGCACGAGGTTATCAAGTTCGCTACAGCGCGCTGATTACACGACGGCGCGTGTTGCATGGAATCCAGTAGCTGAAGGGCTTCCGAGAAGATGTCATTGTGTTCTGCTGGGTTCGTATGTAGTAAAAGGGAGAGATCAATTGCGGTCTTGGAGCTGTCACCTGCGAATATGTCAAGACCATGGAATCCGAGACTGGCTAAGCTTTGCTTTTACCTCTAAATGACGACAACCCAAACCCATAGACCCCAGAAACAGCAGATATAGAGAGTTGAACGTAGAGAAAGAGTAAAACCATGCGGAATATTGGCGGATTTGCCGTTCTAGCTGCCATTCTGATGTCTGGCCTAGAATAATTGAACTAAAAAGGAGACCACGGCGTAATCGAGGAGATAGAATTTGAGCTTCTAGAAGAGAAATATTATGGCAAGCCACAACTTAATGAGACAGGAAAGAAGGTCTTTAACTGCTAAATGAGTTCAGCCTGATAAAGTTGAGGGATGGTATCAAACTTGACAGCTCAGTCTGTGATTAAGCTGCTGCAACATTGTTCAGACCAGTGGGTATAATTAAGCTAGTGCCTGGCATTTATATAAATAAGCAGGTGAAGATAGTTGAAACCTGAGGTCGTGAAAGTCTTCTTGATGCGCTGCTCTTGTTGTTTTGTTTCTTGTCTTCTCTTTCTTGTGGTCAAAATAATCTCACATCACGTGATGCCTCAGATGCTCCCTGGAGGAAAAAAAAAATGCTTGGATGCAAGAAAGCAAGCAAAGACAGAGAACCGACACACCAAACCCGTCAGAATGGCACTGGCAGCATCCCGAAACTGCTGCAGGCAGCTCCTCCGGGAGTCGTCTCGAATCAATGCAGCTCCGACTTCGACATCACCGCCGTCTTTCTTGCTCCCTGCCTTTTCGCGATCCTCCAGATCTCAAGCTCATCCTTTCTCTACCTCCGCGCCACGCGAGTCACGAATTGGTGCTTCTCCAATTTCAGTACCGCCAGAGGTGTCGTTGGAATTTCGCGATTTGCCCAAGGTTCAGGCGGCGTCAAGGGCGACGGCAGAGTACACACCGGTTACTGCTGTCGACATAACGGGACCACTGGGTAAGGGAGATCGCAGAGCACGGCTGGACATTACTTTCTGGGGCTAACTTGAGAATGAAAGGGTCTATGACATTGAAAATTCCACCGTTTTCGACATTGAACTATGATCCGGAGACGAGAAAGGCGTCGTTCGAAGTGCAGGATTTGACAATTAAGCACCAGGCTGCTATGTGGGGTATGAAGAGGATATTCCAGCCCATTTCTACTGTCAAAGAGCCGTCTTGTTAACGCGGTAGTATGTTATAGGGACCATTCGACAGCATCTACGGAACTACATTCTCGGTGTCTCGGAGGGCCACATCTGCATCGTGAAGCTGGTAGGAGTCGGTTTCCGTGCCTCCGTCGAGCCTACTGCGGTCACTATCCCAACGCCCGAGTATCCAGGACAGCAATTCATTTCCCTGAAAGTCGGATTCGCTCACCCTGTTGAGCTTGGCATTCCGAAGGGTGTGAAGGCCCGTTCGACACAGCCAACGACACTGTTACTTGAGGGCATCAACAAGGAAACTGTGACGCAGTTTGCGGCTGATATCAGGAAATGGAGACCTCCAGAGCCGTACAAGGGCAAGGGAATATTCGTCAACGGAGAGACTATCAAGTTGAAGGCGAAGAAGATCAAGTAAACGAGTTGGAACTATGGAATCTTGAAACTGTTTCATGTTTTTCATTGTACAATATATTTGTCATTCGGCGTTGCGTGTATTTTATATACATATTTTTGGATCTCGTTTCATTCCATGCGTGAGTTTCGCACACGTTCCACCCTGATAGACCATACTCATAAACCATTGAATACCGTTTATATAACCTGCTTGCTCATAATGAGAAGAAAAAAAGACGAAAAAGAAAAAGGAAGAATCTATGCCTTGGCAGCGTACATGGCCTTGACGGCCTCGATGACCTGTGCGTGGATGGTTGCAGGGGCGGCAACGACACCCTTGTTGTCCTTGAGGGTGCGGCCGATGCTGAAATCGAGTCTCTTGCCGTGGATGTCAGTGACCTCACCGCCTGCCTCACGCACAAGCAAGTCTCCGGCGGCGTGATCCCAGATCTTCTCCTGGTAGTCGGGACGAGTGGGCAGACGGAGGTAGATGTCTCCGGCGCCTCTGGCGATGGAGCAGTACTTGGCCTGCGAGTCGAGACGGATGCTTGGGTTGGTGATGCCGAGCAGCTTGGCGACTTCGGCATTGTCACCTTGGGCAGAGTGGCCGGACTCCACGCTCTCGCAGAAGCAGGCATCGGCGATGTTGGGGACAGGTCTCATGGAGATGGGCTTGCTGGGGAGGAGAGCACCGTCACCGAGCTTGCGGCTGGTGGAACCGGCACCCTTGACGGTACCGAAGAGAACACCGATTTCAATGCCGTCAGAGCCAGACTGGCCGACTGTGGGGGTGAGGGCAGCGTCAGAGACTGGGAGGTTGGGGCAGCCGATGGCTCCGACCTTGAGGTCACCGTCGACGATGAGGCCGAGGCAGACGGCATACTGCTCGCCACGGAGGAAGCCCTTGGTGCCGTCGATGGGGTCGAGGGCCCATATCCTGCCCTTGGGGCCACCGGCACTCTTGCCGCTGTCGAGGGTGTCGAGGAAGACCTCTTCACTGGGCATCTGACCGCCGACGAGCCAATCACTCTCGGTATCGTTGAGACGGGTCTCCTTGACGAGCTCCCAGATCTGGCTGCTCAGAGCCTTGTTCTCCCTCAGCGAGCTCGCCTCCTCCTCGGCCACGATCTCGTCATCGGGGAAGTTCTTCTTGATAGCCTGGATGATGAGGGCCTGGGCGCCGAAGTCGCCGATGGTCACCGGGGAGGTATCGTCCTTGGACAGGGTACCCTTGGCCTTTAGCTGCGCGACCTTCTGGGTGAGGAGAGACGCCCGCTGGACGGCCAGCTCTGCCACACGCAGCTCCTGGCGATACGACGGGGTGGACGACATGGTGTTGTGGGAGCGAAGTAGAAGAGAGGGAAACGCGGGGAAGAGAGATCGGATGGTAGAGGAAGTCCTGGACGCGATCAATGCCACAACCAGGGAGAGCAGAATAACAAGCAGTCGAGTGAATAGGCTTCTTCTTCTTCTTATTCGTCGTCGTGGCAGAGGTGAAGACGGCGGGGAGATCGCAGACATCGACGTCCTTATATGTGTTTCCTGCTCCGGTTTATGAAACACGGTGGTTTACTTAAGCTTACTTCTGCTTACCTCGTCCGGCCCGGCTCGGGCTTCCTCGTTGCACAGCCGGGCCGGTCTTGGCGGTCGGCTATAACTGGCGCTTAATAAGCTCGAAGGCCTAGCCTGCTTAGTCATTACATCTTAGTCATGATATGGTCATGTGATTTTACTCACGTAGTCATCCTTCCTTAGTCATCATTTAGTCATCAGTGCCTTAGTCATCTAACGTCATGGCTTGGCGCACAAGTTCCCCGGTGACCGCGAATCTTCAACTTCAGAACTTCCCAAAACGGGGGCAGAAGAACTCGCTGATACGTAGGCTCCCAGGCTTCCTTTTGTGCTCTGCTACCTCATAGCTAACACCTCCAGCCATAGCCTGTCCGGAAGCTAGACCTGCGCTGAATAAGGTGCATGCGACACGACGAAGAAGACCTTGCTTCCTCGAACCCCCGGACCCCCGCATTGACCTACACGCAGGCGCCGTGTAGCCATGTTCTCAGGCTCGGTATATATGGCCCTTTGACTGTATCTGCGCGTCTTGCTCCTTTGACATTTCTTTTCTTAATATGGGCGAGATGTAGTCGCTAGCTTGTTCTCTCATTCTAGACTACTTGTAATATACGCGAAATGGTCCTGTCGTGGGCTGAGATGTTGATGCTGACTCGTTTGCTGAGCTTAGAAAAAACCATACACTGCCATAACCGTCCAGATAGATAGCCTCACAGCCGAGCAGTATGAGGTAGACGACTGGAGTGGCATCATAAACCTGATCGAGGTCATCCGACTGCAGGCCAGTGGACCCTCGGAAGCCAGTCGCGCTCTGAGGAAGAAGTTGTGCGTCATGAGTTTCATCACCATCATCATTGTTATTATTCTTTCTTTGACCAATAAAGTGAGCATGTCACTAACATTAGGTGCAGAAAATATGGAAACGTACATCGCCAATTGCGGGCACTCACGATCCTAGACTTCCTCATACAGAATGCCGGGGAGAGGTTTCTCAAGAGCTTTGCCGATGAACCCCTCCTAGAACGCCTGAGAGTCATCGCGACCGACCCCCACACCGACCAGGCAGTCAAGGACAAATGTCAACAGCTATACTCCCAGTGGACAGTGTCGTACAAGGGTGTTGCTGGGATGGAGCGAGTCACCGCGCTTTACAGACAACTCCCCAAACGCAAGAAACCCGCCGGCGAGCAACATTCGAAGATCCTCAAGGAGCCAGTCGAGGAACCTCTAGGCCACTCCGTTTCCATCGTCGCAGGGGACGGCCCATCGAAAGCATTAAACTCAAACTCGCCCACCACGTCTAAACAAAGCAGGTCATCCTTCATATCTGGGAGAAAGTTTAAGCGGGATATGGATAAACAGACGGCAGATGCTAAAGATGCACGCAAAGCGGAAAAGGGTCATGCCAAGAGTAGAACAGCTTCTCCTGAGGATATCCGTGCCATACAGCGTGCTGTTGTGGACGTAGGCTTTACCGTGTCCCGCCTAGAGGACGCACTGAAGCTTGTCAACCGCGAGAAACAACGAGTCAGCGAAGTTCAGGATGTCATGATACCTGTTAAACGATGTAAAGAGCTACGGGTCGAACTCCTGAGGCTTCTTCATAAAATCGACGATGACGACTACCTTGGTATCCTTATCCACAACCATGAAGAGCTGGTGAATGCCCTGTTGGCCTTCGAAGTCATGGATAAAAGCGTGGACGACGACAGCGACAGCGAAGAGGAATCAGCCATCCAGCCTTCCGAGTCGCCCCATAGAAACAACCAAACGTCACCGCCCGCGAAGCCACCGCGTCCGCAGGCAGATCCTAGTCTGCAGGACAAGTACAAAGATCTGGAGAGCGAAAGCGAACAATCGGAGGATGACGACGATATTGACAACCCCTTTGGCGACAGGAACGCCATTAGCACCCCAGCCTTGGAGAAGCCTGGAATGACCTGGTAAGCCCGTTGACCATGATCTAGGAATCGCTCTAATAACTAACTTTCTACGCAGGCGAGAAGTGTAGTTCGTTTATGAATTGAGTGGACGTCTCTTGTAATGTAGGCTTTTATTCTGCAATTTTATGACTTATGTTCTGGCTCTCAAACCAGCTTTCCGTCTATCATTTATTCCTGCACATACTGTCTGTCTTTGGTCGGGTTTATGGAGCGTCTGTCTTCATCAGTGGCGAAGGACGCAAATTTACTGGATACTATGACGCATCCAGTTGTTATCCCTTTACATTTAGCGTTGTACTCCAGCTATGATATCCTGCCCTGGACACAAATTTTCCTTACCTCTGTCTACATGAATGTCAATAAATTACTGGGTCGCGGAGTGCTATAAACTTATTTAAGGGGACTTCAATCCGTCTCTGTTCTGCAAAATTTACACACTCTACCTTGCAGCTTGAGAAAGAGGCGATTAAACTGCCAGAGAAGATCCAACGCCTATAGCCCTTCAACGTATAGTTACATCCTTGGACTGGTTTTTGTACGCTGATCATCTACCCCACCAAAGATATCGTTTTGTATTCTGACAGGGATAAGTTGCTACTCCGCACTGGTACCGTTATCCAAAGGATTTCACAGCTCCGTCGACAGTAAAAGGGTCCTCCATCATGTGTTTCGGCAAGTCGGCGAAGAAGTACCCCGATTTTAATCCTTACACATACGAGATTCCAAGAACTGTATCCCGCGATAGAGTGATCGCAGCCACATACTCCGACGTCCGAGTCGGCCATGCACGAGAGAGATCATGGTCTTCGGCCGATGATGGATCGCTCCGTAAAGGGCCCCGGGTAAATGCTACTCGAATCAACGACTAAGCGGTAGTGCAGCATTTGTTGCATGTAAATAACTCAGGGTTGTGACCTCAACTATTCAATTGTGTTTCGCAAGGCATATAAAACGTATCATGTATTGGTCGTCGGCCTACCGAGAGCTTGTGGGCAAGGAGATTATAAATCACCGGTTTGAATGAGCATTGTGACAGGAGTTACCCCTGGATGTCACATTTTGCATGCATCCTTTTCGCTCTGCCACATTTCATGCGGATTAAAACCAGGGGTGTCCAACCCTTGCCCCCTCTGTAAGGCGACACCTGCTCACTTGCATTGGCCGGGTCGATTCTGCGAGAAGATTCGCTGCGGTGCGAGGATAAAGCGTCTGACGGGACATCACTCCACACCTGACGTGCATATGTATGTAGGAGATGCAAGTCCGCCTGTAGATCTGAACGGTGCGTTTCACGGCCTGCGCTATTTGCTTCCGCTGCAAACTTTCTGCAGCCACCACACGCGATTGCTAGATGCTTTGAAAGCGAGTGAAATCTCGACGGGCCCATCGTATTCAGGCCGAGAACATGGCCCCCGTACATAGTGTCGTGAATGCACAGCTGCTTTTTCTATTATCTTTCGTCTTCCAACTATGCTCCGTATAAAAAAGGAACGTTTGGTTGAAGCGGAGGAAGTGGAGATAAGGTTGGTCAGCTGACCTGGATCTGGATAAATATATCTCCGTTCTTTATCATGTGATGTAAACTTTATTTTGCCTTATATCAAACGTCCAATTTCAACGTCCATCTTCAACAAAAGGCAGGATGCTGTTTTACATGTTCTATACCACTGCATTGTAGTCTAGACGTTGTCTTGCATGCTTTTATCTAAATTATTTCTTTATACCAAATCTTGTTGGTAGACATTTAAGGATAGGCAAGATGTCTAGACACGTTTTAGATACAAATCTAGGATGGTTATATACTAAGCCACCTTTATATTTTGATATAAACAATTGAATACCTGTCTTGTTTAACCATAAGCTCAGACCTTGATACTTTGGTGAATCATATGGCAATGGCATTGCAATAGGCTAGAGATCAATTCTTTCAATTAGCCTTGGTGACTACATCTCTCCCAGACATGGATGAATTACAGGACGACGAGCCTGTGAATATGTCATTAACAGGCCTGGGAACACATTCACCATATGTCTCGGCATACACATAATTTTGAGTGACAGCCGTCCTGTCTCTTTCTGGACAATAACTTGACTACCACTGCTCTTCCGTCTGATGTCTTGACCTACAGTCCTCTTTTCATCTACCACCACCAGATATAATACCCCTTGTGGAACAACAAGACGACTTCGGCTTGAATCTTTGACGTCGAACTATTGATTTAGCTTCCTCGACATGAATCCAACGACCTCGAACCCTCTTGAGGAAGGCGAGGGAGCGGGCAGCACTCACCTGGCTAGCAGTTCTTCGGCCCAAGGTGCGGAAATGACATCATCCGATAGGGCTGGTGGCTTTGGCGGTATTCCAGAAGCTCTGCTATCGAGGTTGATCATGGAAATGCCCGTCGAAGAACACGGGTACAATGGTCGAATGATCTGCGAGAACTGTGAAGAACGGGTTGAGAACTTTGGGTCATCTTATTCTACACCAGACAAGAGCCTGGCGACCCATGGGCCTGATAAGGGCTTAAACCTAGGTACTGCTCACCATGATTCCCGGGTTATTTATTTAAGACTTGTTTGCTGTACTGGAAATGACCCGATAAGATCTAACACTATGATTTATATTCCAGGAGGCCTTGCAGAGGGCAGTTCTTCCAAACATGGACGTGCTGGAAATGCTGAGCAGGAAGCTTACAACAAAATGAGAGCATCATACCAGCATCTGCAAATTGAAAACTATCGTTTGGCCTATCAGAATGGTGAACTCAAGGAACATATCGCTCATTTGATTACTGAGCTGCAGAAAGCGAATGCAAGGATACACGAACTCGAGAACCACCCAACCGCCCTGACTCCCGAACTCCAGAAATATTTCGAAGGATTTTAGTTATCATATGACATGGCCTTTGTATTAAGGGGGAGGAATGCATGGGTCGACTTTTTACCAGCGCCAAAAATCCGCAATGCATTGTGTAGCATTCCACCAAACTATTTTCCGATGTGTACTTATTTTAATGTGCAGTGGTTGCATAACCATATGGTCCCCTTAAGTACCCAGCAACGATTTGGCCTTGGTTGAACCTTTGGCGGTGGCAGGCAGTTTCTAGGCTGTTGACTTTGAATGGAAGCACTAGCTACTCAATAATTGCCTCATAGCCGGGATATATCTGCTTTTTTTTTTTTTTTTTTTTGTAAAAAAAACAAGATCAATGGCTGAATAATAGAGATTAATATTGTTCGGCAATTGAGCTTCTATCTAAAAATCTAGTTTCTCCATGTGCCCAAGGAATGCAGGGTTGCCCTCACTCTTTAAAAGAGCATCAATATCAACTCTACCAGACGTCAGATATCTCTCACTTACGCCCAAGTTGACCCTCTTGGACAGGAGATCATGTAGCTCTGCCCTAAGTTTCCCTAGTTCCGCTTTGGATATGCTACTAGCTTCTCTCTCTTTGGCCTGACGCCCACCGCCTCTTCCGCGCCCTCGAGTTTTCGATTCCTGTTCTGCGAAATCTTCACTATCATAGTCGACGCCCAAGTCTTCAGCGGCGGAACGTAGCCAGTCGCTCTCTGAAGATACCTTCACTTTGGCGAGGACACACTCTGTGATCTTCTTTGAGAGGCCTGCACGCGGACGAAGCCGAGTGACAATATCTCGGTCGAGATGAATGGACTGAAGTTGGGCGTCCTTCCCTGACGATTTTCTTTTATTCGAATGATGCACTTTGGCGACTAGTCGAGTGACGCCGGCTGTCTCTTCGGCGGAACAAATTAAAATGGATTTCCCGGAAGCAGATGCACGAGCTGTACGGCCAGACCGATGAATATATGCATCTGCGGTTCTGGGTACGTGGTAGTGAACCACCAGGTCAATTCCTTGCATATCCAAACCTCTGGCAGCGACATCAGTAGCAATGAGGATGGGCGAGGGGTCTGCTGTTGGGGAGGAGAAGCGCTCAACTGATCTGAGTCGGGCCTTCTGAGCCATGGAGGAATGAAGGGACAGAGCTGGTAGCCCAAGATTTTGTAAGAAATGGGTTAGTCTCCTAACGGAGGAGATGGAGTTTGTAAAGACTAAAGTGCGATGTTTCGGGTAAAAGAGCAATACTGAATAGAGATAGAGATCCTATATTAGAAGTTAGCATGCGATACCCGTTGGATACGGATGGACGGTTGATTATACCTTCTCCATAGCAGAACATTCGACGATGCCCTCCTTAAGATTATCTGCCATTTGAGATATAGGATTAACATCGACAAACCGGGGCTTTTCGTCCCGGAAGTTCAATTTCTTAAGGAGGTATTCCATCGAAGCCTTTTTGTCAAGCAGGTTATCATGAGAAGAATTGTCTCTTTTCGCCAGCTTTTGTTGCAAGCCCTTCTGGAAAGTTGCAGAGAACACGAGAGTTTGCCTTTCGACAGTTTCCTCTTCATCCTGTGCTTCCTCATCGGCGTCCTCGTCTGATGTTTTGGCCTTGTCGAGGGCCGAGATTAAGTCACCCGCCTCCTTAAAGTGCCCTTCACTTAAGAGTCGATCAGCTTCGTCAACCACTAGGAACTTTATGCCCTTCAGCTTCGTCAAGATTTTTGGTGTCGAGCTAACCACGTCCCATAGTCGGCCTGGAGTACCGACTATGATATCAGCCTTGAGAAGCTGTCGTTGCTGCTTATATACCGAGAGTCCACCAGTCACTGAGGCAATATATGCATCAACATGCGGAGCGGAGCTTGTGACTTCTTTTAAGTGATTCACAAGCTGATGCGCGAGCTCTCGTGTTGGAGAGAGGATCAAGGCAAGAGGCTTCTTTCCCACGGAGTCTTCCGATTTTTTCCTGATACCATTCTTCCCGTACTTGTACAGGTCTAGATAGTACTGTAGAATAGGAAGACCAAAGGCAAGCGTTTTTCCAGAACCAGTCGCAGCTTTGCCAATGACATCCCGTCCTGCTAAGATTTCGGGTATTGTAGCAGTCTGGATAGGTGTTGGTTTTGAGAACTTTAGCCTTGAGAGGCTGGTCTGCAATTCCGGGTGTAGATCCAAGTCATCCCAAGCAGAAACATCCACCCCTTCATCTTCTTCGTCACCCAATATACTGAACGGGATGCTGGATTGAACGCCCTTGTCATCGCTAGCTTGCTGCTTGGCTTCCTTTTTCTTATCTTTCTTGTCCTTCTTGTCCTTCTTGTCCTTCTTATCCTTTTGTTGTTTCGATTGACTCTTATCCTCGGTATTTTTCTTTTTGGCCTCGTCTATCTCTTTTGTCTCCTGGGATGATTTCGTCCCTGTAGGTCCTGGCGCATCCTTTTCCTCTGGCTCAAGATCGCCGAGTCCTTCCCACACCTCGCCATCGTCGCCGGAGAACTCTGCTACCGTATCGCTCGAGTCGTCCGAGAGCTTCTTGATACTCTTCTTTGATGCCTATGAATAATCCATTAGTCCAATCCAGGATGTCAATCTTGAGTGTATCTTCTCGTACCATGAATTTCAACTGAGCTCCCTCAGCAGGCCTCACGATGTCCACGCCCTCAATTTCTTCCAGCCCATAGAATCCCTCCGCATCCTCGAGGATGTCAGGAGGTTCCACCGTTTGCCAATTCAAAGCATCGATGTTCACTACCTCCTCTGTTAAGCTCTGGTCTTTCGTTGGCTCCTGTACGACCTTCCGTCGCTTCTTCGACGGCTGCGTGGAGCCTTTCGGCTTGCGGGTGCGTTTTTGTGTCATCTTCACCGATATAAACGACAAGATTCAACCTTCACTGGCGGAAACGAGGTTTGTGGCCGCGTTCACTCCTCGCTCAGTTTTGTTCCTCGCGCGAAAAGAATTTGAAATTTGCCCAAAGATCAGAAATCCTTATCTTATCTGATAAGAGCCCAAACCTTAAAATTCTCCCATCCCACATTGCGCTTCTTGAACGACGATTAAATGCGACTTGGCTCTTGAAGTTCAATATCTGCTTGCAATTCGTTATTATATGCTTTGAATATGGGCAAATCCTCAAAAGATAAGCGAGATGCTTACTACCGTCTGGCGAAAGAGCAGAACTGGCGAGCTCGATCCGCCTTTAAGTTGATACAGGTCGATGAAGAGTTTGATTTATTCGCACACTCGGATCCGGACAGCGTGACGCGCGTGGTTGATCTATGTGCTGCTCCCGGTAGCTGGAGCCAGGTCCTTAGTCGAGTGCTGATTAAAGGAGAGAGCTTTGGGAGGAGAGCCTGGGAGGAGAAGAGTAGAAAGGAGGCGCGGGCATTGCGCAGCGTTGGAACGGAGAATACACAACGACCACAGCCAGATGGGATAGAAGAAGGGCAAGAAAAGAAAGGAGCCAACGACGAAGAGGAAGAGGAGGAGGAAGACCAAGATAAAATACTCAAGCCGAGGAAAAATGTGAAAATAGTGTCCATTGACCTACAGCCCATGGCTCCATTGGAAGGCATCACAACGCTCAAAGCAGATATCACACATCCATCAACCATCCCACTTCTCCTCAAAGCTCTGGACCCCGAGCTCTACGAAGGAGATGACGCCAATTCTCCACACTTATCCCCCAACCGCCCTCATCCACATCCAGTCGACCTTGTGCTCTCCGACGGCGCACCGGACGTCACTGGCTTGCATGATCTAGATATCTACGTGCAATCACAGCTACTATACGCTGCTCTAAACCTAGCTATAGGCGTGCTACGACCAGGCGGGAAGTTTGTCGCCAAGATCTTTCGTGGCAGGGACGTGGATTTGATATACGCTCAGTTAAAAACAGTTTTCAAAAAGGTGTCCGTTGCTAAACCGCGAAGTAGTCGTGCAAGCAGCTTGGAAGCGTTCGTGGTATGTGAAGGGTTCAAACCGCCAGTGAAAGATTCCGATGGTCCTCAGGGTAGTAAAGGGGGATTGGGAGGGTTTGATAACCCTGTATTTGGAGGGGCGAGGCCAGGCGTGGCTGGATTATCGGCCGGCGATCACCATCGATGGATTCCACCGTTTATAGCATGTGGTGATCTGTCGTCGTGGGATGCAGATGCTTCATACGAGCTGCCTCCGGACCATGTCAGTCTTGATCCGGTCCAACCGCCGACTGCACCGCCTTACAAGCGAGCTCTAGAGCTGAGGAAGGAGAGAGGAGGGGCTTTTGGCAAGACTAAGAGTCCGAGGTAGTATCATGACATTAAACATTTATTGAATATAGATTAATATATACTACACTACTATGGAAATACATCGTATGAGAATAGAACGTGTATTAAATTAATGATCTAAATCTAATATGGAAGAAATCATAATTTTGGAATCATAACCCGAAACATCGCAAAGAGCATCGCTAATACACCTCAAGCACATATCTCTCTTCCTCCTTTAGCCTCTCGATCTCCTTGCGTGGATCAATCTTCTTCAAAGGATTAGATCGCTGAGCTTCCATCGCAATAGCCTCCTCCAACACGCTGGTCACGTCAGGGACAGGCCAGGTAGGACCGCACAGATAGAACGCTCCCTCTTCCTGTAGATATGCCTTGGCGATCTGCGGTAGGGTCTCGCGCATCCTATCCTGGATGTATATCTTGTGCTCCTGGTCGCGAGAGAATGCACGGCCAAGCAAGGTGATCACTCCAGCAGCCTGGTAAGCTTCCCACTCTTCGCCATAGCAGTATTCCTCGCGCTGGTGGCGAGAGCCCATGTATAAGAGGACGGCACCGATCTCCTTGCCCTGAGCCTTTTCGATAGCGCGATGCTGCACGAAGGCGCGGAAGGGGGCGAGACCGGTGCCCAGACCGGCCATGATGAGAGGCTGAGTGCTGCGTGGTGGGAGTTTCATCACGCTTGGCTTGACGCTGACTGTTACGGGGGCGCCGGGCTTGAGCTTGCTCAGGTAGTGGGATGACTGGCCGTAGCGTTGGGTTCCCCTGGAGTCGATCCAGTTGACGACAACGATCATGAGGGCGACGGAGTCTGGAGTGACCTTCTGGCAGGAGGCGATGGAGTATTCGCGACGTTTCATCGGGCTGACGATCTTGATCAGGTCGTGGAAGCTAGGGTGGGCAGAAGGGAATTCCTCGAGTATGTCGGCAAAAGTGACCATGTCGACCTCGGAACGCCGCTTGAACTCGTCGGCGCCTTCAGCACTGCCAAGTTTGAGCAGGTGTGCTTTCTCTTTCTCGTCTGAGGCGAACTCGGCGAGAGACTCGTAGAACCTCTTTGGCGGCTTGCCAAAGAGATCGAGGTGGTGCTGCAGGGCGTGGTAGACTGTTCTGCTTTCCAGGACATCTACATTGTCCCTTGACGGAACCTGAACGATGTCATTTGGATTGAGGCCGTAGAAGTCGATGAACTTGTTGATGTCGGCAGGCGTGTTTTCACCGTGGATGCCCAGGGCCTCGCCAATATCGTATGTGAGACCCGAGTCGCCGAGGTCGAATTCGATATGGAAGATGTTGCGGTCGTAGGTGACAGGGGTGAGCCGCCTGTTCTCTTTGACGTGCACCGTAAAGGTCTTCGTGGCTAGGTCGGGCCGTAGAGCGGCCTTGGTGTCGTATGCCTCCTTGAATGCGAGGGCCTTTGCAGCGGCCTGCCAGTCTCCGAGGACCGGTGGCGTCTGGACATCTTCTTTATCAAACGGCGAGAAGCTGGTGGGCTGGAGGTCAGCCGCCTGTTTGACGAGTTCAAAGGAACCTTCTTCGACCGTCTTCCACGACTCGGGAATAGTGATCTGGCGGAGGATGGATCCGACCACTTTGTCGAACGAGGCGGCGCCGGTCAGTCCAGGGGCCAGCTTCTCGAGCTGCTCTGGACCGGCGTCGGGGAAGGCTACATGGAGGAAGGCGGCGTGGAAGACGGCGGGAGAGAGCGAGCTGTCCTGGGCGGACGAGTCGACGACGAAGAGGGAGATGTCACGTCGAGCAAGGCCGAGCCTAAAGTCGGCAGGCAACTTGACATCTAGGTCTGTATCTTTGAGCCCTGGAGCATGGAGTATGACTTTGGCTCCGTCGGCGGCAGACGCAAGGACGTCTAGCTCTGATAGAAGCTTCACATCACCAATATAGACGATGTCAGCCGCACCGTCGACTGGAAGCGTAGATATAGTGCTGGAACTGAGTCTGATATCCGTACGAGCAATACCTCCGTATCTGAGGTTGTCGTAGATGGTGTTTACGGCGACGTTCTGCGTGGAATCAGCAGCAAAAGCCTTGGCGAGATCAAGAGCAGCAACACCGGACGAAGAGCTGTCAACGTCCAACACGACAAACTGCTGGACTTTGGGGGTAAAGACACCAGGCAAGAGGAGACCCTGTGGGAGTACTCGTTGGAAGACGGCAGAGATATCAGACAGAGACCACGACTGTGAGACGGCATACTTGATCTCGACACATTCAGGGGCAGCAGCGAGACCGGCACCAAAAGTGAGGGCAGCCAGGACGTCCTCATAGAGAGCCGCGTGAACCCCATTCTCATGGACGGCCAGCTCGGTCTGCACCTGTCCGAGGACGCCGACGGTCTGCGTGGTGGCCGGGAGCACCTTCAAGAACGCTTCTTCGACAAAGGGACGGTAGACGCGGACGTTGACTACACCGACACGGACACCTTGCCCTGCCAAAGAGGCCACAACCTGGCCGGCGAGCGAGGCCTCGACGGAGCCAAAGACGACAAGAACGGCGGTGGCCTCAGGGTGGCCGTGGTACTCAAAGGGAGCGTACTGCGTGCCGAGCTCCTCGTTGAACGCATGCAGCAGGTTCAGCAGTTTCCCCTCGGCGCTGAGATGCCTCTCAGTCGGCCCCGAGGCCCTGGCGAGTATGGCGCCGGACCGCTGAGCGAGTTCCGCCTGGCCGAGCACGTCGACGAGGCTGGTGGTCTCCCTGCCGACCCTGCCGCCGTCGTAGATGTGGACGACGGGCAGGTGAGCGGCCAGGAGGGTGGAAAAGAGGGCCATATGCTGGGACTCGTGGGCGGAGCGGCTGCAGACGAGGGCGAGGCCGAGCTCCTCTGCCAGCGAGAGGGCGGATGCATAGTCTGAGGCCAGCCTGCTGCTGCCCGCATCGTACTCTGCGGCGACGACGTGGGCGACGAGGGGGCTGGCGAGGGAGTAGAGCAACGAGAGCTGCTCGAGGGCCGGCCGCATGTGCTGGAGGCTGGCGGAGGAGGCGATGAGCGACTGCGGCAGATGGCGCTTGCTGAGGTCGAAGTCGCGGGAGAAGACGTAGCCGAGGGCGATGCTGCCGGCCCCCTGGCGCGTCTGCATCTGCTGGACGGCCGTGGGATAGCCCCGCGCGTTGGCTGCTCTCGTCGACGACCACCGTTGGAGGTCGACGTCGAGGTCGAAGCCGGCAGAGTAGGTGAACAGCCTGTCCGAGAGGGCGTAGGCGACCTGCTGGACGAGCGTCTGCGCAGTGGCATACGCGGTGCCTGAGATGGCAGACAGACCGGTGTCCTCCATCTGATCTCTTTATCTACTCAGGATGTATCAAGATAGGAGATCGTATCTATGACCTATAGAGATCTATATCAGGAGACTGATATAGAGGAGAGAAGATGACGAGAAGAGAAGAGAAGAAGAAGTGAAAGAGAAAAAGAGAAGAAGAGAAGAGAGAAGAAGAGAAGAAGAGTGGCTTCATCTTGTACTCTCTTCTTCTTCTTCCCTTCTTCTCTTTCACTTCTTCTCATCACGCAATTTCTCTTCATTATCAAGAATCCAACTTTATTGCGTGATCGGAGTCGCTTTTCTTACTAACACACTTAGTAAGCTTCTCTTTCTCTCTTTCTCTTTATCAGCTTCTCTCTTCATAGTCTCTTCATGGTCTCCTTCATGGTCTTTCTCTTCGTAGTATCCTCATAGTATGCTTCTCTCAGTTTCAGTTCAGTGCTCGAGACGAGTCAACTTGAGCAAGTGTAAGAGTTGGCCGGTCTGTTACATCAGGCCGCGATGTCGCTCAGACGCACTCGATAGTCTCGCAGGTTCCTCGGCCTAGTCCTGGCTTGGCTCCTTGTGCCTGTCCATCAGGTTCGTGGCCGCCGGAAGATCGAGGTTCGCATGTTCATCTGGTGTTCGCAGATCAGAGGGAACTTGTGTTCGCATCGCTAGTTAAATTGCCTAGGTACGGAGATTTTCAAGGCGCTTAGTCATGTTGCCGATACAGTCGATATACGGAGTACAGAGTACAGTTATATAGAGTACAGTTATAGAGTATATTAACAGTTAACGGTACTGTTTATTTCTATGCACCATAATCTCTTTCTACGTTTATTTTCCAGTTTTATTTTCCATGTTTTATTTTCCATGTTTTATTTTCCATGTTTCATTCTTATTTTTGTTTTTTATGTTTTATTTTTTACTTTTTATGTTTTTTTTCTGCTTACTAAACTTCAGTACCACGTGATATACATGTGCTGACAAAGCAAAGACTGCTGAATAATCAATCCATGTTGTAATGGAAGACGAAGTTGAAGTTGACGGTGAACGTTGAAGAGATAATTTAGTCGGCGGTAGACAGGACGGTGGAAGGTCCGTCTTCAGCTTTGATATTAGATGATGTGGAAGATATCCCGTTTCCGTTCGCTATTTCGTCTCCCCGTCCGCCGCGGATCCAGTGGTTCTCGGGGATTCACAAACTCAACGGCTCGTGAACACACGGTACATGACACCAGTTCGTGTAGTCCTCTGTCTGATTTCCTGTTGTTGTCTGGCTTGACTAGAAACTGACAGCATAGTAGAGGTGAACACGCAAGGCCCAGACGACCTGTTTAGATATACCTCTGGACGGTGGTTGGTCGACGAGAAGCGTCAGCTCGAACAGCGGTTTGTGAAATTTAGCATCGACAAGCTTTGCTCCCGTGCCGCTGCTGTCTTTGGGCCCAAGACGAAATGTGTGCGGGTTGTCAAGATCGAGGGAAACTCTAACAAGGCCTTCCTCCTCACGATGGACGATGGGAACGAAGCGATAGCGAAGATCCCGTGTCCGAACGCCGGAGCGCCATTGCTGACAACAGCCTCCGAGGTAGCGACGTTGAAGTTTTGTAAGCTCTTCACTGCTGCAGCTGCTTGTTTTGGTGTACTTACTTTTTTCTAGTACGATCCCGTATATCTCTTCGAGTACCGGAGGTATATGACTGGAGTGCGGACCCGTCAAACCCGGTGGGGGCGGAATATATCATCATGGAAAAGATCTGTGGAGTTGCCCTTGCAGAGAAATGGGAGTCGATGAACTCCCTGCAGCGCTACAAGATAATCGATAGGATCGTGGAGATGGAAACAGAATTCAGGAACTTGAAATTACCAGCGTACGGCAGTCTTTTCCTGCGAGATTCACTACCATCCGAGTACCATCGCTATCCACTTCCCCCGGGTTTGGATCCGGATGGGGTGTTCTGCATCGGCCCATTGAGCAGTCGACCGCAGCGTCATAATAAGTCCACCGAAGCATCCAAACTAAGTACTGGGCCATGTGAGTTCCTGTGATTTCTCACACGGCAAACATGTTCTATCATCTGACGCTGTCAAGGGGATACAATTTCGGACTTTACGCTATCCATACCACACAAGGAACTGGCCCTGATTGCCGCGGATAGGGGCAGAGTTCAAGCGCTTCTTAACCGATTCGACGACCACCAGTCTGTCGACGAGTATTCTGACCTTTTACAAAAGGCGACGCATGTTCTTCCCTATCTATCGAAGGATGCACAGGTACTCAAATGGTCAGACTCAGTCCTTTGGCATTCCGACCTCCATCTCGGGAATATTTATGTCTCCCCTGACGACCCAACCACGGTTGAAGGCGTGATTGATTGGCAGTCGATCGAAGCGTGCCCGCTATTTATACAGACACAGTTTCCCGAGTTTCTTCGGCCGCCAAAAATCTACCGTCCAGGAACAGAGATCCCGGGGTTACCAGGCAATTTCGACGAGCTGGACCCCGATGAAAAGAAGAGAATCAAGGAAGAGCAAACCCTGGCTACTCAATCAAAGTACTATGAGATGTATTGTCTTGGATATAACGCGCCTGTCTATAACGCAATGAAGCTGGATCGACGACTATGGGAACCCTTTGTTTGTTGCGAGCTTCCCTCAACCGGCTTCTTGGTTCCGCTACGGAACTCTCTCATACGGATCTTTCATGACTGGAGTCTCCTTGGGTTTCCAGGCAGCTGTCCGTTTGCGTTCACCGAAGAAGACCTGAAACGGCACAACGAGCAAGTCCGACGATACGAGGACAACCGGTACTTGCTGGATGTCATCAAGGGCAAACTTCGTACCGACGACAACGGCTAGGTCCCGATCGAGCGGTGGGAGACAACAAACAAGATGAACGAATATCTTTTCGATACCTATATGAAGACCATGAGCGAAGAGACGTCACCGGAGAAAGCGGAGGGGGATTGGCCTTTTCCTCCTAAGGCTGTATAAGCCTGTTTTGTTTTCGCTCGACAACATGCCATTCGATTTACTGTATTACCACTAACCTTGGATTTGCTAGCTATAGGCTGTACTTTCGGCATCAAAGAAATTCGGGCAGCCCAGAGATTATGCTTGGCCATTTTGATCAGATCCTCAATTACACGGCCTCCTTCGATACATTGCTCGGACTCCGGCAGTAATCTCCCTGATTAGCTTGGTGACCTGTTTGAGTCACCGAGGATCTTTTCAGCAAACTTCTTCGAAGCACTTGCCTTATTTCCTCTTTACCAGCATAGCTAACTAGCTCACCAGGAAGCAGTCGATTTAACACGATGCGCGAAAAACGTTGTATTTCTGAGAGAATACAGCGTAGGTATTAGGCTTGCCTTTCTGAATTCAAAGTATAACTACTTAGTTATATAATGGTTCATTCAACCTCGCCTAAACTCGGAACATCGGTATTCTAGGAAGGGGCCAGCATATTGTGGTAAAGAAAACACATATCTGCTTTTTCTATTGGTTCAAATTTTGAATAACCACCTCATGCATGATGTGATGTCTGCTCATAATGCGCTTGATGAGATGATTGGCCAGGCCCCTTGTCCCTAAGGGGAGAGTGCCACTTAATAGACATAATACTGGCGCTCTATCATAACAAGCGAATAATTAGTTAGATGCAGACCTATCCCAATCAAAATCGTCCCTAGAAAGCTTGGTTTGCTAAACGTATTTAACAATACAAGATCAAAACAAAAATAACTACTCCGTATTTCACACCGTTATGGAGGCTATGATTTTGGAATATGAGGTTATCGTGTGGGGATTTAGCTTAAGGTTCATAATCCGAGAAGGGCCACTTCCTCCTCTAATGGCTACAGACGAGTAACTAAAGATGAAGATGAGGGGGAAGAAGGAGAAGAAGGAGGAGAAGGAGAAGGAGAAAGAACTTCCTGTGCCCTAACTCCGTGCCCTAACTAGTCCAAATCGGGAAAGGTACATAATTAGAGTTCGAGATGTTCATGTCCCCGTAAATTCCCTAAAGCGGTTAGACAGTAAATGACGTCAAAAAGGGAAATAAACAAGGAGAAGAAGAAAACGACATCAACAAAGAGAAGAAGAGAAGAAGAAGAGAAGAAAGACACGAGAAGAGAGAGAAACGTGGAATATCTAGCATAACCAGCTTACAATATACAAATGGCGACCACCGCTATAGTAGGAGGCACAGGCCTTGTGGTAAACCAGGCAAGCCATCTTGATGAAAGGACAAGGATGAGCTGACTGCTGCTAGGGATCTCACATCGTCAACACCCTCCTGTCCATGCCGACGGTCTCACATATAGCTTTCCTCGCTCGCAGAGCACCGAGTAACTCGACCACACAGACGCTCTCGGAGTCGCATCCCGGAAAGCTGGCGACCTTTGTCTCTCCGGATCTCCCCTCAGCATGGTGCTCGCATCTGCGTACCGCAACCCCGGTGCCAGAGATATTCTTCTCCTCGATGGCCACCACTCGAGCCAACGCCGGTGGACTCGCTCCCCAGCGTGCCCTTGAGCATGATGCTAATGTCGAACTGGCCCGCGCTGCAAAGGAGGCGGGCACGAGGGTCTACGTTCTCATCTCGGCCACGGGGGCGGATAAGACATCTATGATCCCGTACAATAAGCTCAAGGGCGATATTGAACAGAGCATCCTAGACATCGGGTTTGAGAAGACGGTGATCTTGCGGCCGGGTATGATATCTGGCAAGAGGGAGGTGGGGCGACCGATCGAAGAAGCTATTTCGGGAATAGGCAACGTCATGGGGTGGGTGAGCCAGCCGTTACTGCGCGACTGGTGGACGCAAGATGCGTCTGTTATCGCACGGGCGGCTGTGAGTGCGGCGATGAAGGCGTTGCAGGGGTCCGGGGCAGAGGGAGAGAAGAAGGTCCTGTACCTGGGTGGGAAAGACATCGTCCGCCTCGGGAGAACGGAGTGGGAGGAGACTTGAGTGTATACGTTGAGATAGCAAATGTATTTATTCGTCTTGTCGTATGATATGTATTCCTATCAATCTTTTCAACTGAAACGAGTATATACTAGTAGACGTCCTGACCACGAACTTGACCCAATCCATCGACAAGACTTCTATCCCTTGGGCAGTTCGTCTCCCTGAATACTGTGACTCGGGGTTGGATGCTCTCCGGGGACCTCTGCACCACCGTAATCCACCCGTTTCCCTTTCCTGGGAGAAACACGCTTACTCGGCCCCCTTACTGTGCCGTCGTCATGTCTCCCCCATTCGTCTGTAAACCTCGAGACGTCCTGGTTAGCAGGGCTAACTTCGAGAGGGCCCATCTTCCCACTTCCCCCATCTAGAGTCTCACGATCTGATGCGGTACGGACTTCCTCGGGGTTATGGTAGCATATATCATAGGATGAATGTTGAGACGCAACTTCGCTATCAGTGCCGGACTTGGAGTACTCGCTTCGGTCGGTGTTGATGGCTGATCGCTCCTGCAGGCTTTCCCTTTCCTGTACAGACGATGTCTCGCGCTGGTTGCTGATACCCCTACTTCTCGAGACGGAGCAATCAGCGAGGGAAGCTGGGTTTCTGGCAATCGGCCTGATATACGTTGGTGTCAAGTTGTATATGAGACTATGAGATAGACAGGGAGATCGGTTATGGCTGCTATTGCGCAGTACTGATGCAGAGCATCCCACTAAGCGGTTGAGGCTCGTCATCGCTAGCCTAGATTTGTTTTCCTTCTCTCCTTTAACTATGGGGGGTGATACGTGGCAAGTATCTTCTGCGCTGCCAGGTACTCGTCAGTAATAAACACAGCCATCATCGAGCGGTGATACGAACACTCGTCACTTCGGCGGTAGAGGGCAGTGCTAGGGCGGCGACCGAAACAAATAGACTTGATAGTATCAACTTTGCAGAGCAGCATTCATCTACCTTCACCCCATCGTGGCCATGCCTTGTTTTGATGCATCCATCAACACTTCCCGGAGTTCCAAGTTAGAGTGACGTCATAAACAGGTGACATCACATGAGACCACAAGCCCTAACTTGGGCATCCCTGGAATAAGGCTATTATCAGTCGAATATTGCTGCGCCGCCGAGGGGAAGATAAAAAAAGGAAAAAAAAAAAAAACAATGCAGGGAAGATGGCCTGTTATTCCTACCTCCCTAAAGGGTAGTTTTACCCACGGCTCAAATTGTAGGAAATATCCGGTGGCACAGCAGAGAGCTATTGAAAACAGCAGCTACCCCTGACATCAACACTACCGTCAGGCAGCCAGAATCTGACCTATAACTTGCAAAAAAATGAGATAAAATAAATAAACGAAAATGCCACCTGAATGCATCATAAGATAGAAAAGGCTGGGGAGCTAAGCGGCTCTGCATAGGCAGTTACTCACCTGCAGGCTGCGGGATGCATTGAAGTCAAGCGGAGCCCTGCTCCAGGCAGTTAAGCAAGGATAGGATAGCTCGCTGTTCAGCGGGAGATCATGCCTCAAACTCTGATCCACGCACTAAGCCTCAGCGTAACTGACCGTCAATTAGCAGCCCGTAAATTTGCATCTCCACCTCCTGACGTAAAAGAAAAGAGATGGTAGAACTGCCGTTCCTTCTCTTAAACCTAAGAGCCTGCAGCTCTACATATTAAGCATGTGGGGATAATAGGTAATTGACTGCCTGTGGAGTATTGACCGGGAAAGCAATCCAGACCCTGTCGTGGCGGTGATGCGCAATGTTCAGTTAAAGAAGGGTGCCGGAAGGTGAACTCCTCACTTCCGGAGTATCGTGATAGTCGCACTGACACATTGCCCTACATGCAAGGCACTCCTCCAACACTTAATTTCCCCTAGGAAACATAATGCCATTGGACAAATTTCCTTGACGAATGCTGGAAAGTTTATTAGCTATGGAACCTCGCCCCTATGGTGCTGGCATCAGGATCGACTCAAGCTAAGCGTAGAGGAAATAGCGCTGATGCCTGAAATCAAGAGGTCAAAACAAAACAGTGGTAAGCGAGGCAACTCATTATTTAGTCTCATTCATATGTTGAGTGTCATGGCTCGATATTCGTCCATGAGTTGTGACTGCCACGTCAACAAATATCGCGTTTGCCTTGAATGGGACAGACCGACATGAAGATGTAGGAGGATCGTTCTCCCATATGCATTTGATCTGCCTTGCCTTGAGGTGATCCTAGTTATTGTCCTAAGGTTTATAGACCATCTTGACGGCGTAGCAATGAAGATGAAGGGCAGATCTTGATAAGTAGGTGTATATGTGTGCGGGGAGTCTCACCCTAGATGCAAGGTAGGCAACCTACAGCGACCCAATTATCAGGAATCCACAAATAGATCGCTAGGCTGCGCCCGATCAAAGTGCAAGGGAAGATAAATGGAGAAAACTGGACCCTAGTGCATGCAGCCTACGACGGCAGCCTGACCGTTGGATACGATTCAACAGTGGATCAGTGCAAGGCGGCGGAGAATCGGGAAAGAAATTCAGAAGGGAGGCTGGCGATTCCAGGGGGGTAGGGTGTAATGCCACCTGGTAGCAGGAGGGGAGGGGCCGCAGGGGGGAGGGGGCTAGGGAAGTGTGAGCTATGTGGCTCCAATGATATATGGAGGGTTGGTCAGCTAGTACAATCAGCTCAACGTGCGCACGGGTAACTGTAGCTAGGACTAGCTACAGCTACATTGCAGAAAGAACGAGTCGAACCGTGGAAAAAGAAAAGAGATGGATAGAAAAAAGAGAAAGAAAAAAAAAAGGCATTGAAAAAATCAATGCAGTTTCCAAACTTCAATCATGCCCCAGTTTAAGGAACGGACCATCGCGTAATCATCACGCATTAGCGTGTCGAGGCAAGAGGAGTGGAACTCAAAGGCCCCAAAAAACTCAAACCAAGGATGGGTATATATATTGGATAAACGGGTACAAATGTTTGTGGAGGAGCTCGATAGCTCAGGGATCGACCCTGGCTGCATAGGAAGCTGACGGCTGTCATTTTGCGGCAAGAAAGTGGATCCATCAGGCACACCGTCGGCCTACCCACCCAACCCATCGAAGGTTTGACCCGTGTGCATGCTGTCCGAACCCCTCAGGGATCTTGAGCCAGAGAAATAGACAGGCATGAGCAAGCCAATTCTGATTTGCTATCGGATACATATGCAAAGGAAGCTTCCACTAGTCCGTTTAAGATCAGCTGAGTAACGTCGACCCAGCTGTTTGGATACGTTTGTCTGAAGATAAAATTCAATTTCAACGTTCATGCTACTGTAGGTACACAGGCAATGCTGTCCACGCTGACTTGTTGAATCGAAACCGCGTAGAACTGGGCCTATTTAGCCTAAAATGCGATCATAGGATTATTTTGTCACTGGTTTTCCCCTAATGTGTTGTCGAGCTCAAAGTGAGCCGCAAAGAGGTACCCCTGTCCGATAAAAATGATAGCGTGGGGCAAATCGCGAAGCGAGGGAGACCATATCCCAAGAGTCGATCGGATAAAGACGCCGCGCCCAGTTATCGTCTATTGGCGTGTTACAATTTCACTCGGAGAGGCAGTGCTGGCATTCAACAAACTTTAGTTGGACGGATATTTAATTCCCGGGTTGCGTGGCATGTTGCGCAAGATGTAGACGTCGAGGAAGGGTGCCCCGGAGGGAAATAGAGGACAATATGCCAAAGTGAAACCCCCAAGCAACGGAGGGGTGGTTTCCTGGTTAAACTTTGAAAGGATCGGGAAACATATTCCATTGCTGCTCAATGTCATGACTTGGAGTAGAAGAAGCACCTTTGATAGGGTCTCAGACACATATATCGTTTTACTAAGCATATAGGAACTGATATATGCTAGATGAGACGGTGAGTAAGAGTCAATTTGGACCAGAGGAGGGCTGCCACGTCATGGCGGTCTGGAGAATTCTAGCACACTTGATCTCGGTGTTATGAACCCATGTCATTGTTAAGTTGAACTGTTTCATCCAAGTCATCCTGTCGAAGGCAGAAATGGGGCCATCCTGCCATCGCCCCCCAAATGGCAAGGGTCAGAAGAGGGGCTGATGCACAGAAATTGTCCGTGTAAACTTCATCGACGCCGCAATGAACGATCAGCTGAGAGATATGCATCTCTACTCTTGTACAACAACGGTGGTTTGATTGCTGAGGGTGGGGGCAATTGGGCTCAAGGAAGCGGATGAAGCTTCTAGGCTCGGGCAGGGAAATTCTCCCTGTATTTGCCACGACAAAATCTGGTTTTTTCAAGCGAGAGATGATGGGGCAATCAATGCATGGTGCAGGGCATAAAGTCAATCATTGTTGAGGCATTGGATAGTATTCCATAATACCCTGGTCCTGATCGTGGGCGGAGATGAAATCAAAGTTTTAGAAATCAAGTCTTAGGCATTAGGGGGGGAATCAATGGTCCGGCCGTAATGACGGAATCTTTTCAGTCACACCTCCAAGGAGTAGCAGCGGGGGAAGGTTTGCCTGAGTTGCGAACGAGCTGAGGGAGATCTAAACCCACCATGGGCTGTATCAATTGGGTGACATCTCTTAGCAGCGAAGGTGTATGTAAGACGGGTCCGTTTGAGGGAAGACGGTCGATTGGTGGTTGGCAGGTAGATCGGATCTAATCCCGTGAACGACGCAATATGTGGCCAGCCCCGTCGTAGCATTTTGATATTGGAACGGCAGGGGGAAGGAGGGTGTGTGGGACCCACTCGATAGTTGGATGCAGCTGGTCTGTCAACGAGGCCCTTTGACAGAGTAGTACAGCCGGTTCTCTCAAGAGTTGAGTTTCAGAGAAAGCCCGAGGTGGAGCAGCGATGCAGGGGTTGTGAAGCAGAATAAGAGAACGCAAGGGCATGTAGATGGCTTGCGACACCCCGTAAGAGAAAGGCGAGCATGGGCCAAAAAGTTAATTGTTAGATCTTCAAGTGAACAGAAGGGTGGTCGTTGGCCAAGGGAGTGTCCACGACATCTGGTCAACCGTGCTAAACCGGATCGCATTTACACAGCATGCAAGGGTGTTTGGGCCAAGTGTGTGAATGCGCAAGGCAATTGTGCTGTTCTCAAACTACTCCACTCCGCTGGCAAGGCAAAAGAGCCAAGATGAGGAGAAGTGAGCTAGGCAAGCAGAGAAACGGACCATCCGAGACCAGTGAAGGCAGGCAGCAGTGATGCGAACACGACGGTTGCCAGTATCCCATGCCTGCAGGGAGACGGATATCAAAGACCCAAAGGTGTACGATGCCTCGACGGGATGAGACATAAATATCGCGAGCTGTCCCCCGGAGAAGAGGGGGGAAATCATCAAGAAAGCAGACAGCTCAAGCACAAGACCCCTTCAATTGAGATCATAAACACACAAGATAGCATCAAGCTACCTTCCAAGCAAGCAAGCACATTCTTCCACTTGATCAAAGCTTCCCTCCTCAACCGCCAAACTCCACCCTATCAATCGCCTTTGTCAGCCAGGGACTTGACCAGATATCAGGTCCGGAGAGCTATTGCAGCAATACTTGAAACACCGGGACGGAAGGGTAAATAATCAAAGCTTGGTGAGTTCGCATTGAGTGTTCAAGAGGTGGACGGACAGACGACTGATAAAATGTGTTTCGAAAGTCACCATGTGCTTCTATAGCCAGAAGAGATTCCTCTGCGGTGATTGGGCCTGGGGTAACTTCGCCGCCAAGTGCAACCATGAATATCGAATGGGCGAAACCTGCGGTATGAAACTTGTCCACAACACCGAGAGCATCCAAGCCATCTGCAAGCTTTGCGAGAAGATCCAAACCAAGCACCGCCGACGCAACACGGAAGTCGAGCGCATCAACCGATGGCGCAGAGAGGGAAGCGTCATGAAAGCATCGATGGAGAAGTCTCAGGCCATGGTCAAGGATTTCGACCATGAAATCAGCCAATTGGAACATGAGAGACAAATGAAACAGAGATCCATTGGCAAGTGAGCACGACCAGGAGCATATGCGGGGGCCGAAATGGGGGAGAGAAGAAGGATGGTCCCTTTTCCTTCCCGAGGGGTCCATCAAAAGGGTATCAGACTGTTTTCCTGTGCGCCATTGACGATATCATGTATTTCAACATTTCTTTCTAATTTGCCATGTCTTCCAGTATCGCTTTTCTTTTTTTCCTTTCTTTTTCTTTTTTTCCTTTCTTTTTCTTTTGTCTTTCTCTCTCTCTCTTTTCTCTTCTGGCACCATATTTCGGGGATAAGCAGCATGGCATTGGGGCTTCCGCTAGCAGAATGGCTGGAGGAAGCAGGGACATAACTATAAGTTTACTAAGAATGAATAAACTGTTTAGCGTTGTCGCAATTGCAACTGAGAGTCGCCGTCTGCCAATGAATTTCGTAAAAGCGTATCAGCAGTCGTCTCAGGCCCGCGCCAGCCTTGTCATGGGCTGTCTGTTGTTAGGCGCCGAAGGGTCCTCGAACTCCGTCAACCGCCTATCATCCTGACCAGGAGGGCGGGAACACAGAGCGGGCCTACGCCGCAGCCGAAGAGCGAGCGCATGAAATTTCATCGCAGCAAGGCTAGCGGAGGTACCACAGGATAACGGACCGCATCTCAAGCGCCGTCACTGCTCGAGAACCGTCGGTCTGCTGCCACCGACTGAACGGCGGCCGTTTCTCTCTGTCGTTTGTGTTTGGATGAAGTTGAACTTCGTCGACGTTTTCGAAGTTTCGCGGTCAAAACAAGCGGGAGGCCCGTGACTTGGTCTACTCTTGGCATGCGAACTTCTGGGCACGAGAGTTGGCGCGCGCTTGGAGGTCATGTGATATAAGCGCCGTCTCCTTCTCTTTCTTTTCTTTCTCTTTCTTCTCTTCACTTCGTCTTCTCATCTTCACATCTCAATGGCTACTCCCTGGCTACAGGCAGACTAGGGGAAGACCAGGAGTAGCGAGTGGCCGGAGCAGCCGTTGTTTTAGATCTGCCCTGCATATGAATGATTAACGCCAGGACACATTCCCGACCTATCGATCTACGAGGTACCGCTTTTCGCATGACGCGCTAAACGATGCACCCTTGAGCTCTACCTCCGTTTCTTTCATAGACTTCGCTAACGGCCTCGTAGCTATGCGGTTAAGGGGCGTGAGACGGAATGGGCTAAACGGCTCCGGACCGCTGTGCTGTGTTTTACTTGCCGCCAGGCCCCTTGTGCCATTTATTCAATGCGGCTGGACCCGCAGGTACTAGCGCTGCTAGTATTTATGTTGACCTTCTATCTTCGTATGATATGCCGGAGAGGGCTTGTTTCATACGGATACGCATTCTGACAACCTCGCTGGAAGCTACTGGTGCCCTTCCAGTACGTACAGGAACCGTTGGGGACTCTCTTGTCCCTTGCATGCCGCTTCGCAGGGTCTGCTAGCCTCTCTTCCACCCGTTCCCCTCTTTTACTCTCCTTCTCTCCCTTCAACTGTTACAGACAGTACCCCTCACGTTGGATGGAGTCCCTAGCTCGCATCCAGCCTCAATACTCCTTCAAAGCCGCCAGATGACCTTGCTTTGCCGAGGTTTTGTCTCCCCACGATCTGCCTATCAACGTGTGACGGTCTCATCTTAGTGTTCCCTAGCCTAAGCCCTGGTCGCTATTTCCATCGCCAGTGATGTCACATACACACAGCTGTATAGCTCACAGCCTCTGCATATACCCTTTCGCCGGTCTAACCCCGTCGTCTACGCCCCACCCTGCATCATTATGTTTGATGTCAGTAGCTTGTTGGACTCGTATCCCCTTTCAAAAAGATATCTCAGGCCCCTGTGGATAGCATTAACTAGTAACATATCGACCCAACGTATGTTTGGATCAGGCGGAGAGGAAGAAGTTGGAACCCACGTAAAACAACAATAGGCTTTGCATGGTTATTAAGGCATACCCTTTACTAGCACTCCCGTAACTTCCTTGAAAATCCCTATATTCTACCAATAGATTAGATAAATGTAGCATCTGTATCTAAACTTGTTCTAGCGAGTAGCTTTCTATATAAACCTATCAAACGTGGAAATTATCAACCCCTTTACTCCTTTCCTTTTCACCCTGGCATACACCCGTCGTATACTACCACCTCCTAGTGTCCCGAATATCCATCTCCTAACTGCCGTATTTTGTCCTGTAAAATAAATATCCAGCATCCGCGAAAGCAGCACGACTCAGGACCAGACAACCAACTCTCGCTGAAATACTTGCCCTCCCCGTAGCCTTACCAGCGTGCGCTACTTGACCATCCACCCCATCATGGCCCCACTGGAATTGCTAAATTTCTACCATCGCGGAACCTCGGTGCAGATCTGTCCGGACCAGCGGACTCTACGTTGGGTAATCTCCTAACTCCGACTGCTACCTAGATGTAAAAGAATGCCATGAGCCTCTGAGCGTAGTATAGGCAGTCTATTATTGAAGAATCTCCGATATCTAAGCTCTTCTTCGTCTTTAAAGAGACCCTGGCTCGACACAAGCAACCATGTCGTGTCCCGACTGCTTCAGCGGCAGCACTCACGAGGGAAATCCCTCCGGCGAGGTTACCACATTGCACGGCCTCGAGGTCTACATTGCAAAGCCTGCCGGTGATATCGCGCCACGAGGAATTATCATTATAATACCTGATGCATTTGGGTGGGAGTTTATTAACAATCGTCTGTTAGCGGATCATTATGCAGAGAGAGGAGGATACCTCGTCTATCTCCCAGAGTTCATGAACGGTAGTTCTCTATAACATTCGACATGTTTGATAACGCCTGCTGACCATGAAATAATCAGGACATGCCGCCTCACTTACCTTGTTAAACTCAACGAAAGAAGTGCTGAAAACGAGCGGTGTTATCGGCTGGATCAAGGCGCCGTAAGTCACTGCTTCCTGAAGCATTTTTTTTTGGGTTCCTTTTTACATTTGATACCCGTTCAGAGTCACTACTGAAGCCATGTTACAGATACTACGTTGCGTCTATTATCTACGCTCTCGCTCCCTTTGCGTACTACAACGGCTTCGGCTCGACTGGGCCAGTTGTCAACGCCTTCTTCAAAGGCGTACGTGATAATGAAGGAGCAGAACTTCCAGTATACGCCGCTGGCTTTTGCTGGGGAGGTAAACACACCGTGAACCTCGCAAGCGGCGTTGAGACATCAACGAGTGGGAAGCCACTCATCGATGCAGGCTTCACGGGACATCCGAGTAGGCAGGCCGCTGAAGCAGAGGACCAGGCGTTGGCCTGGTTTGGCAAACATCGTCCGTGAAGATGGGAGTTGTAATGACAATGAGAGAATCCTCTAGTATATAACTATAGCCATGGCGATCCATTGGACCTGGCTAACTTCATGCCGGTGGATGGAAATGACGGAGAGATACAGGTATATGGGGCGTTTATCTACGCCGTTGGGTTAATTGAGCTCATTTGGGTAATAAGACATACGGAGCTCGATATATGGATAATATGACGTGGAGGCCTGCTTTAATAAGTACGATTGAACCAATTCCGTGGACTGCACAAGAAATATAAAAACGCCTTGTGGTAGTAGTAGTAGTAGCTGTAGAATTGTGGAATATATTGTCACTGCTAAGGCACATACACACAAAACCCGAGCTCCTTAGCCAGTCTCCTGGTCCTCAGGCTTGGCAAGTTCATGCTCCTTCAACAGAGCATCGATCTCGTCGGCTCCCCATAGGTGGTGGTAGATCTTGCCGTCCTTCGTTTTGCCGACGGTTGCAAACTCAACTAGATGCATGACGTTGAGTTAGGTTTGTTCAGAATGGCCAGTAGGATATGGGATATGCTTACTCTTCTCGCTGCTCAATTTGGTTGAGTCCATGGTCTTGCTCAACACTTTGACGGCCATGCCACACGCCTCCTTTAGGTCACAGTCTTCCTTGTAGTCTTGTTTTAGGAGACTCTGTGCACTGGCGTTGTTCGCCCCGACACTGGTCGCCTTCCATCCACCGTAGTTACCGCTAGGGTTGCTCTGGTACAGCTGGAACTGTCGGAGCGGGTCGTAGCCGGCGTAGATGAAGGAGACACCGAAAGGTCGGAGACCACCGTGTTGCGTATAGCCTTGCTTCAAATCACATAGTCGACGGACCAGCTGCTCGCACGGGATCTCTTCGTTGTAGGTTAATAGATACCGTTGGGCAGCCTGACGGGCATAGTTGATGAGGATGTTTGCATCAGCGGTCATTCCAGCAACAGCGCATATCATATTACTACAAGAACACCGTTAACCAACGAGCACGCACTTGGAATGCCGCCCCAGGAGCCACTCACTCGTTCAGGATGTAGAGTTTCTCTGCAGAGGTGTCCTGCTCCAAGAGCTTGCTGGTGACCTTCCTCTCGGCAGCGAGAACTATCCCATCCTTGGCTAGAATACCGAGTGCAGTTCCGGCGTGGGAGATGGCCTCCAGAGCATATTCGACTTGGTAGAGACGGCCCTCCGGCGAGAAAATCGTCGTCTGTCACCGAGAACAACCAGTTAGCTCAGAGCTGCTACGTGAGAGCGAGAGGTGGTCAGGATACCAACCCTTGAGTCGTATCTCCGCGCCATTGCTGGCTAGTATTCGGCAGTCTAAAGAACCGTCAAGTCAACGTAAACAGCCTGAATGTCGCTCGGGGTGCCAGGCTGAGAAATATCGTGGGACTCGCGGGCTGTTTATCTGTCCTGCTTGCGGGCGAAGTTGTTGATGGAAGCTCAAAGCAACAACTGGCTTAGGCAACCCAAACTCATCGCGCGGCCAGAAGCTTGGACCAATCACACGCAACCGCAAAACTTCCAGTTGCTGACGGCCAACAACGAGATATCAAAAACGCCAGAGCAGGCGAGTAAGGGGATAGACAGCTCCGCCAACGACGGCTCGTCGGTATATACGATGCTGAAGTCGACTTATACCCCGGCCAACGCCCTACCGCCGGGATGGACTGAACATAAAGCTCCTTCAGGTAGATAACCAGTTGAGCCATACCCATACCCAAGAATTGCGATTTATGCTGACGGTTACTATTTGATCAGGACATCGCTACTACTATAACGCCGAGACCAAACAATCGACATACAGACGGCCAGTTGAAGAAGTGCCTGTACAGAACATTGCACCACAAGCTGCGTTCCCGTCGTATCCATCGCCCTTTCAGAACACCATACACCAAGCGGCTCCGTTCCATGCCGCACGAGGGTTTGACCCCAACTTCCAAGGGCATCCCAGAAGTGGGAAGCCATATAGGGAGCGCCGTCAACCCGAAGACCGGCCAAAGTCGAAACATGCCATCCCAGGATGCGAGCCGTGGGTTCTTGTGAAAACAAAACTGGGCCGGAGATTTGTTCATAACACCGAGACTAATGAGAGTTTTTGGAAATATCCCGCCGACGTGATAAAGGGCGTCGTAGAGTATGATCGGATTGAGAGAGAGGCCCGGGAAAAACGTGAGCGAGGAGAAATGGAGGAGGAGGAGAAGGAAGATACGTCGTTAGTAGGAGGTGAGGTCGGGCCGTCAAAAGAGTCACAGTCCGCACCACCTGAAACCGACAAACCCGAGAGAAGGGACTCGGATAGCGAATATGAGGAAGTAGAAGTGACAGATGACGAAGATGCAGCTGCCCCAAAGCGGCTCAAGGGCGATGAGGAGGTTAACCAACAAGTCGAATTTAATGAGGACGATATCGAGTATCAGCTCGCAGCCATGGGTGGTGATTATGCGGCCGACACTGGTGAGTATGATGAGGCTGACGAAGGGGGTTGGGAAGAAGATGCAGAGGAGGCGCCGCTCTCTGAAGAGGACACTGTTGCGTTGTTCCGGGACTTGCTTGACGATTTTCATATAAGCCCATATACCCCCTGGGATACCATTATCGAGGAAGGGAAGATTATTTTCGATCCAAGGTATACAATATTGCCGAACATGAAATCAAGGCGAGAGGTGTGGTCAAACTGGAGTCGGGACCGAATCCATGAACACCAGGAAAGGAAGAAAAAAGAAGAGCAAGCCGACCCCCGAATCGGGTATTTTGCTCTTCTGCATGAGCGTGCTACCCCGAAACTGTACTGGCCCGAGTTTAGGCGCAAATATCGAAAGGAACCAGAAATGAAAGATGGTCGAATGCCAGAAAAGGACAAGGAGAAACACTACCGAGAGCATATTGCGAGGTTGAAGCTACCAGAGAGTTCTCAAAAATCCGATCTCTCCATGCTGCTAAAATCAATTCCTCTGTCATTGCTACACAGGTCTACGCCTATGGACGCTCTGCCGCCGAAAATCCTATCTGACATTCGATACATATCTCTACCCACGAAGACCCGGGATGAGCTCATCGAGTCTTATATCCAGACTCTTCCCCCGGCCCCTGAACAACCAGATGTGCAGGATGAAGAAAAAGAAGAGCGGCTAAAGAAAGAGCAGGAACGAAGGAAGCGAGAGAAGGCTTTACATGACCGTGAGATGAGGGTACAGGAGGATAAACGGAAGCAACAGAGGGCCGTGTTACAGGGCAAGGATATCCTCCGCCAGGAAGACGCGGAACTCCAAAGGGCAATGAAGGTGGGCAGAGAAGGGTTGAAAAGTTATATGGAGCAGGCAGATGAGGCCTCGCTAGAAAAATAGTGTAGTTAGGTATATACAACCAACTACTGGACTAGCCATCATGTTGTACAAGATTACTTCAATGACAATAGTCATTGGGCGGATTATATTTAATGCCTGGTAGTGTGTCGCTGCAGTGGATTTTTAATGCTTCATACATACCAAATACTCATATCACCTAAACCCCCAGCCATCCCAACCTTCTCCATCATCATCATCGTCATCGTCCTCGTCATCTCCAGCTTCTACTTCTCCATCGGTACTGGCTCCATTATTCGGCGATTTAACCTTCGTGTCTCCAAGTATCTGTTTATCCTCTTCTCGTTTCCGCCGAATCTCATCCCGCATCTCCTTGAGCCGCTTAACACGTTGGTCTAGCTCTTCCATCTCGTCGAATTCCTCTTCTAGGAACCTGGTGGCATCTTCCCGGTCGCCTAACAAGGTGGCCTCCTGGCTCTTTGCCGCCGCCTCCCGGTCCTGGCGGTCGCGTGATTCCAGCTCTGCCGCCGATACGGGTGCGGCGGATATTATTGCATTATTATTTAATACGCTATGTGGCGCGGTCGTTGCTGGCTGTTGCCTAGAGGGCTGGGCAACTTCACGCTCAAAAGCGGCCCATTCGTCTTCATCGACGTCTTGTTTTGTGGTAGGTATTGTTGATCGTTCTTCTGTATGCATCTCCTGGTCTGGTTCCATCGATGGAGTCCCGTCAAGCTCCGGTTCGTGAGCAAGCGATGGTGGTTCAATGACATTTGATGTCGTCGAAGATTCGTCGACTACAGCAACACTCCCAGCCGGTGTCTCATCTTCGGTATATGGCTTAGTCTTCTTCCGTCTGGGTTCCAAATCCAGGCCGTGTTTGCGTTTCTTGCCGGCCGTTGGTGCCGCTGACCGTCGTGATGCAAGTTCGTTTCGGAGGAGCTCCCGTACATCCGCCATGGTGGTTGCTGTAAACACTATGCGTGGGAGAGGCCGTGTAGACAAGCTGCCTGGTAGTATCCTGCGTCCGATGCAAGCGTTGGCCTGTACTCGACAAGCTTCGATGGTTCTCACGGTGGTTGATTCTCTACTTCAACGTCGAAGGTCGTTGCTCTTATCAGCCGCCAGAGCTGTTGGTCACGTGGAGCTGCTTGTCACCAAACTCTGGATCTTTATTTACACTTGCAAAAGGCGATGCTATCAATGTCGACTATACTTGGACTCTATACACTGGAATCTACTATACATTGGACTCTACTATACATTGGACTCGGTAGAGTTTCAAGGGTCCTGCCAAATCTAGTGACATTTCCCTATAGAGCCCGGGTTATCTTTCTCTCGCTTGGTTGAGTATAGGTTGGCCGTCGGGGAGTAATGATAGCATGAGTTAGTAACTAGCTATCTAATAGATTATATTATATATATATATATATATATATATATCTTGATATACCTGATATAGATGGTGTAGATGTAGGTGAAGTGAGGTGGAAGTATCACGTGACGCACTAACCCCTTTTGTGCTGACGGGCCAACTTCTTCACAACAACATCGCAACTTCAGCTTCTTCTCTTCTTCTTTGCATCTTTGCTTCCCTGTTACAAGAGATATCATACTTTGACGCGTCACAGGCTCCCCCTTCATCACAGACTACTGCTTGATCACCGTCTCGACAACGCCGGCAACTGTTGGCTGGTGGGCTGCCTCAATATCAGACAAGACCTGGCGCCGCTTCATAGATTTGGCCCGAGGAAGAGAATATACGCATAACCTCGCCACCTTCTCTGACGGCCATCGAACGTGGATGTGGAGGGCAGTTCCCACGCAGAATCACCCCATCTACGCAGTATAGCATTGAGGGAGGAGTACAGATATCACTTTTCCGTCGCGTCTGCTATCAAGACAAACCCTGTGTATTACTCTTAAGCACCTTCGATGCCTGTAGACAGAAAGGTTTCGTTGGGTCGCAAGAAGAATCAACAAAACTCGGCACTCTTGAGTTTCCAAGGATTGTAGTCTATCGGTTATCATCACTTCCTACGTCGCTCTTAACTTTATAATATGATGGCTGGTAAGCATTCGTATCCCATGCTGTACACACCGTCGCCCAAGGGGGAGCCCGAGCAGCGATGCCATATTGGTGTCGTTGTCTTCGCGTCTTATCCTATGATGGCCCGTGGCAGAGACGATGATATTACGATGAAACGCAGCAGCTAACTTGGAAAAATAGACGAACCGCGCCGTTCGGGTCGAGCCACGAAGGGCCAGCACAAGAGCCTCGATATCGAGCCACCGCAGAGCAAACGCAAGGGGAAAGGGCAGGGCAAGGGCCAGAAGCAAAGCTCACACGAACCCACGCCGCCGGCATCCAACGAGGAAGAGGAAATAATTCGTTGTATCTGCGGCGAATACGAGGAGGAGGAAGATGTGGAACGGGATATGATATGCTGCGACAAGTGCGCTGCCTGGCAACACAATGACTGCATGGGCCTCGTGTTCCCCAAGGGAGAGGAGCCTGCAGAATACTTCTGCGAGAAGTGCAAGCCGGAGAACCATAGAGAGCTGCTGGACAAGATAAACCGCGGAGAGAAGCCATGGGAGGAGGCAGCCACTAAAAGAGCCCAGGAGGCTGAAGAGAGAAAGGCTCGCAAAAAGAAGGGCGGGAAGAGGGGGAAGAAGGCTAGACAGAGCGATGTTAAATCGGAGCATAGTGACGCGCCGACCGCAGCGAAAGAAGACAAACGATCCCCGCCGATGCAGCAGAATATCATGGTGGCTGTTCCTCCTCACCCTGACCACAGTATCACTCAGAAACGGAAACATGAGGAGCAAGAAGACAGTATATCCCACGAACCAGTGAGTTCCCTTTCCCTAACATCTGTGTCCAATGGCTTACCATTTATAACTCCCGCACAGGGCCCTAAACAGAAACTGCAGAGACTATCAACCAGCTTTCCAGCATCGCCCCAAGAAGCCCGAAATTCGCCCGTGCAAAACAGAAAGCCGAGTGCCACGAGCCCTATGACACCCGGCCAAGACGCCAAATCGAAATCTCGTTCTGGGTCTACGGCAGGGATAGACCATCTGATTGTAGCCAGGAGAAGCGCGGCAACTGCATTGGCCAAATTGATCACTGACATGGCTGCCACAGCAGCGAGTAACGGCACGTTTGCTATCCCCTCAGGCAAGACGAAGGAGGATGTTGGTGAAAATCTTGGGACAGAGATCGAAGAGTGCTTGTATAAGAATCTTTGCGGATCCGCAGGGGAGCCCAATGATGCCTATAAAAACCAACTGCGGACCATCTTATTTAATGTAAGGAAAAATCCTTCGTTACGTGATAGTCTGCTCGTAGGTCGTACAACTCCCGATTCCATATCGACTATGAGCACACAGAACATGGCTAGTCAAGAGCTGCGTGAAAAGGACGAGGAAATCAAACGGGAGGCTGAGAGGCAACATACCATCATCCAAGAGCAGGGGCCTCGGATTAGACGTACACATAAGGGAGAGGAGTTAGTAGAGTCTGACCCCCAAACTGTTGGCACGGAATCGGTATTTTCTACCGCCCCAGCCCGTCGAGATACCGGTACGGAGAGCGAGTTTCAGCCAGCCATGAGCCCACGGCATACCAGTCCTACCTCCCCTCAACGGCAAAGCTACTCGGACGGGACCTCTCGAGAAGCGATTGATACCTCAGGCGTTGACCCCAACCGCCGTACCTCTTCCAATTTCAACATTGAAAATGTTTGGTCCAGCGTTCACTCCCCTGGTGCATCCCACCCGGAGCAGCAGTTTGGCCCAGCATCTTCGTTCAATGAACCCCCATCTATGGTGAACAGAGTCCAGGATGATGCAGAGATCGATAACCTTTTAAAAGACGAGGCTGATTCCCCGCCCTACTCGCCCAAGGATTTCCATGGAGACGGAGATATCTGGCATGGCACCGTGGCCATGAGTTCTGTTGCCGATTTCTATACCGCAGGTAAACACGTTGGCGGTGCTGATCTCAGTGCAAGAATCCCATGGTCACAGCTCGTTCCTCCAACTATAACGGTAGATGGGCGAATTGATGTCCAGCTGGCAAGCAATTACCTTTGTGGGCTGCGTTATAGCCATACCACTGACATATCGGTGCTTGCCCTCACGCAGCCCCATGTGGCAAATGATGCTGTTCAATTCAACAAACTGTTCGATTATTTCGTGGACCGAAAACGATACGGTGTGATTGGAAAACATCCTCTGTCTGTGGTCAAGGATGCATATCTCGTTCCCGTGGAGGCTGGGCACAGCAAAAAACCCGACTTCATCGAGCTACTTGAGAACAATCAAGTGGAAGACCCGACACCAACGCGGTTACTTCTTTTCGTCCTTGTTGTGAAAACGAACAATAGCCATTCTACTCCATCACATACCACTCCACAAGCTCCGTCTCGCAGTGCAGCCAGCCCGGTGCAGGCAGAGAACGAATACAACCCCGTCGACCCCGGAGGGCTAGGCCTTATGCAGGGCAATATTTCTACCTCAGGGAACAACGGCCAACAGGTTCAATTCAATAATGGCCTGCCCCCTGCGCAGCCACCTACCCAGGGCATGACAGGCCAACAAGCAGCTAACCAAGTCCTCGGCCCGCTAGCCTCGTCTCCTGCCATTCAAGAACTACTCCAAAGAGCACCACTCGCAAGTATTGAGCAGCTTAATGTTATTGCTGGCATTCTCGCACAGAACCCACTTGCAGCCAATGACTATCAGCTTTTAATGGGTGCTCTGTTTCAAGCAACAAACGGAGTGTCCCCTGCTTAAGAAGCTTGTCCATCACCATCTACACCACACTCTACTTCCCTCTACTTCCACGGCAAAAATTCCTTTCTCAGCTAATGATAATCTATGTAAATTCATTGTCTGGAGACTTGAGTGCAAGTTTAGTATTCTTTTTCAACACAAATGCAGCTTCGATTATCTCTGTGAACCAACAATGCTCTCCCCTATATTACTACTGTTTAATGTTTTTGTTGAACATACTTACCCTTCTTTGCCCTCGTTGATTCGTCATGTTTGCAATAACATTGTCCTAACTCTTTTACTACTTCAAGTACATATGTTTGTGTGACATTTGACATTGCCTCTTGTTCTACCTTTGTTTCCTCCTTTTTCTTTTTCTTTCTTTCTCTGTTTTTCAAAAAACGGCATGCCTATACCCCTTTCATCTTCTGGAGGTTTTCGTCTCTAGATACTTATTCACAGAAAGGATGGTATAGGGTGGCTTTTGTTTCCCTTTAACTGTGAGAAGCCTGTCTATGTTTGTTTGTGTATTTGTTGGTGTACGTGCATGATTTTGAGTATCGTATGATACCGCTCGGCTGTGGCATTGCAGGTGTTGCTGTCGCCTCGAAATGCTGTGGGTTGGTGTTTGTATTGACTAGGAACAATGTAGGAATTGAAAGCAGTGTGTAGTGTGTTCGTGGAAAATAGCTTAGTTATCCTGAATCCTTTACAGAGATCTATGGTTTATGCTTTGAACGAGCCTGTGTAGTAACCTGGAGCAATACTCCCTAACAGGCCCCGGTTTTGTTCCTTGGCCTATCCGGATAGAGAAGCTGACAGGGAGAGAAATTAAATATAGATCAATTATTTTTCCAATAAAAAAGACCAGGACCAGTAGCAGTCAATTTCCCCGGATGAGGAACCCAGTAACGCCAGCGCTATGCAGAGACGCCCTTAAAGAATTGGTAGAGCAGTAGATCACCATCGTCCGTAACCACCACCGCCACCTCTTCTCCTATAGCCACCCCCACCGCCTCTGAAGGCGCGACCGCCATATCCTCCCCCTCCTCCCTGACCCCAGCCACCATCATCAAAGCCAGATTCACCCCGGCCCGAGGGACCATCGTCGTGCCTTGACGGAGGTTGTCCTTTCATCTCCTTTTGTAAAACGCTGTAAGTTTCCCTCATCTTTGCATAGCCCAAGTGCATTTTGCCAAAGAAATGATCTGCCAGTCGTCGGTCATTATCCAGACGACTCAAATACGCTCCACATACGTCGCAGACTTGCAGCTTCTGATGTCCCGATGGCCCTGACGTATCCGCGAGTGCCTTGAGATCACGTTCCAAAGATTCCTTTTGGTGTTTGGCATTGCGCACTTTGTAAAATTCGTCAATCGCTGTAGATACGGCCCCAAGTTCACCGAGAACGGAGGTCTCTTCTAATCCGGTATTGATTGTTTTGTTTAAATCGGATATTTGTGCTAGCTATGGGTTTGACAGACTAGTCGTTAGCAACGCCGTTTGGTATGTTTGGGAATTTGAATGCTTTACCAGGTGATTAGTTTGTCGTATTTCGTCAGGAGTCTTTTCGAGCCGACGCTGCGCCGAATCTATCCTCCGATTGCATTCGTCGATGTATTTCTGCATATCGCGCAAGTAGTCATATTCAAACCCCCATTTGGCTTTCTCATGAGACGATGCAGCATCGTACTCGGTCTTTAGGCCTTCGTTATGCAGTTTTGGACAAGGCCCTAGGTCCTGTTTCGTATTGGTGAAAAGGTCGTGAGGGCATGTTCCAGCGAGATAAGAACGGCAGACTTTGGGATCGGTAATTGGAACCTGGGCATTTCTGCCCGAGCTAGGTCCTCCGATTAGCTGGTCAGCTAGATAAACGCAGCATGTTAGCATTCGAAGCATCCAATCGACGTGAGGCAACCCTACCTCCCATGAGCTGCTCCAGCAGCTTTCGCTGCTCTGCAGCCATCGCGTAAGTTGACGGGCAAAAGTGCTTGTAGCCACGGAATGCCGTGATGCGCAAAGAAGTCTATATATCCCTCGTCGTCGTTGCAGGAAATAGACAATATCCCTACACCAGAGCTGGATATCTCGACTATTCTTGAACTTGATGCGAAAAGCTTCCACTTAGCCGCGCTGCTTATATAAGCGCTAGTTAGCCGCGCTTCCCGCTTCAACCTCAAGAAACGTCCCAAAACGCGCAGAAGAAGCAACTCTGGAGATAAACGATTTCGAAGGTCACGGCGGATTCGTTTGGCTTCCTCGACATGCTGGGATGACACGCTCTTCGCTTACTCTGCTCTGCACGCTTGTTGCATTTGTCTTTCACGCCGTTGCCAATGCGTCTGACTACCACGAGCAGCTTGTGCTGCATCCGCTGCCGCCATCAAACCTCCTAGCATCGTTCAACTTCCGTAGCAATGAATCCAGCATCGCCTTTGCGCAACAGAATTACCGCTATTTCCCGCGCTCACTAGGGCAGATTCTGCAGCATGCGCACACGAAGGAACTGCACCTGCGGTTTACTACCGGGCGATGGGACGCTGAGAATTGGGGCGAGCGGCCGTGGCATGGCTTCAAGGAGGGAGGCACAGGAGTAGAGCTTTGGGCCTGGGTTGAAGCCCCGGATGCTGATGCGTATGAACATACCATGCCTTTTTGAGACGATTAGCCAGCTGGCGGCTAACGTAGTCTACTCAGCGCATTCGACAAATGGATTTCACTCACGCAATCACTCTCCGGGCTATTCTGTGCCTCTATGAACTTCATCGACTCCACACGAACGACTACTCCGTCTCTCACCTTTACCCCTACAGGCAATCATTTCACTCCTAGTGAGAATCTGCATCTCCTACACGGCACTCTGCCTGGAGAGGTTGTGTGTACAGAGAACCTGACCCCCTTTTTGAAACTTTTACCGTGTAAGGGTAAGAGTGGCATATCTGGGCTGTTTGATGGCCGTAAGCTCTTTGACGCCTCATGGCAGAGTATGTCCGTTGATGTTCGGCCAACTTGCGAGGACCAATCTGAACACTGCCAGGTTCAAATCGAACAGACTGTCGACATGGTCCTCGATCTAGATAGGTCAAAGCGGGCGAGGGGTAAGTATTCTGTTTTTCAATGTCGGTCTTACTGTGCCATCTAGTATTAACTGATACTTGTCAGATAACCCGATCCCCCGCCCTGTGCCCGCTGGAGATTTGATTTGTGATGAATCGAAACCCTATCACTCCGGCGATTTTTGTTATCCAATTGGCGCATCTCGTTCGCAAACCTGGAGTATAGAAGAGGTGTTTGGACGCACTATGCCTTCCAGCTGCCCCCTCGGCAAGGATGATGCGCAGGTTGTTTGCATAAATGTTCCTGGCAGCATAGAAGTACTACCGTCTCCTGGAACCGTTGAATCACGTTCCATAGATGGCAATTCGCGATGTTATTCGCTGCACTCCAACGGGCCCTTTAATTTGGTCGTTCCAGCACAACCGTCTGCCTCTAGCAACTCCTTGGAGAAGCCGGTCGTGCACCTAGAAAGAACCATTATTGGCCACGGGCAAGAACGAGGTGGTCTGAGATCTATCTTGACGAATCCTTCTAAAACTGATACTGTCGACTTTGTCTACTTCGAAACTCTGCCCTGGTTCATGAGGCCATTTCTGCATACCATGAAGACAAAGTTGAGCCGCGAGTCGGGTCCCTCGGTCGAAGTGCCCCCTACGGACATTATCAGGGACGTGTTTTATCGACCCGCCATCGACCGTCGCCGAGGAACCCAGCTAGAACTTGTCTTGTCTGTCCCACCGGCCTCAACAGTCACGCTGATATATGAATTTGAGAAAGCCATACTGCGATACACGGAATACCCACCGGACGCTAACCGAGGATTCAATGTTGCTCCTGCGATAGTTCGGGTGCTACGAAGTAACGACCAGATGTTACCATCCTCCCCCGTATACCTACGCACGACAAACCTACTGCTGCCGCTTCCCACCCCAGACTTTAGCATGCCATACAATGTCATCATTCTGACAAGCACGGTTATTGCGCTCGCCTTTGGGAACATATTCAATGTTATCATCCGCCGCTTCGTCATGGCGGAAGAGGTACCTCGACGGAATATCAAGGCCCTTATTTTAGGGAAACTGGTTGCATTAAAAGCTAGGTTCGGGAAAAAGACCGATAAAATAGCGTAATGATGTAGAGGAGGGCCCAATGTCATCTTGGCCATTTGACAAATCATGTCGTATATACCCAGCAAATAATAATTTTCTTCTTACCCCATTGTGCACTACCTTTTCATATGCTGTCATTTGGAAAAGTAGAGGTTGAACTAAATCATATAGACATTCATTAGTAGGCATTAATAGGTTTAATATGAATAACAAACAGCCTACCCAAGAGCTATCACTTTTATCCTAAATGAGTACACTATTATTAACCCTTGCAACCATTATTTATGGAGGTAGAGATAATATATCGCATCACATAACCTATCCTGCTGTGCTCTTCTCCAATGCCTCACTAACCTCCACTTGATCGGCCCATGTCCCAGAGGATGCAATCGGCGATAGCAGATCTGAAGTTCGATCTTCTGTTGCTGTGACATCCTTGAGCCCCTTTTCTCCCTTATCACTCGTTTTTTGTCTAGCGCCAGGTAATGCAGGGAATTCATCCTGAGCAGTAATCTCAGGCGGCGGTAGGTTGGTGGATATTCCAGTACTCTGGCCATCTGCTTGTCGGCCTCTTCCACCAGGACCGCCGCCTCTTCGGCCCTGACCTCGTCCTCCACGACCACCCCGGCCTCGACTTCGATCTCCAACGCCCAAGTTTGAGGGATTCTCCCAGTCTCCCGCTGGAGTCGGGGCCGGGGCTGTCCGTATATCATTTACTATGCCACCATGAGCTCCTCTGCGATATGAGGAGCCTCCTCTTCCGCGCTCTGAAAATGCATCTACCGACTTCTCTGCGTCCCACTCGCGCCCTGTCTGTGAATTCAGCTTTCGCTGACGGTTCTTCTCACGCTCACTGAGCATAACACGACGGTTCTGACGTTCTTCCAGTCTCTTTGCTAGAGCTACTTTCTCACGCTCCTGGAAGGACGCTTCGTCTGCTTCGGCGCGCGCATGGGCGGCGGCCTTCTTAGCGGCCGTGATTTTAGCAGCAGCCATACGCTCTGATAGTTCTTCTTCTGTCAATTTAGGCTATAGCAGCAATCAGGAGTTAGCTTTGTGCCGACTTTGGATATAAGAGGCAGCTTACCTTTCTCACTCCTCCAGTTCCGCTACGATCTCCTCGTACCGCAGGAACCTTTTGCGCCACAGGCTCTTTGGCCAGCTCTCCATTCGCAGCGACATCCCCGTCCCCTTCAGCTGCTTCATCTCCAATCTCGGCTTCTTCTGGCGAGTCTGGCTGCTTTGCTTGGGGAGCAACCTCAGCGCCTCTCGGCTGTTGGGTGGGCTCGTCGACCGCAGAAGGCTGAACAGGATGGGTAGCGGCCGTCGTCTCCGCGGGGTCCTCGACTTTCTTAGGAGTCTCCGGCTTCAATCTCCTTGAAAATCCAGCCCCTCTCCCTCTTCCCCGGCCGTTAGCGCCTCGTTTACGGTAATGCGACGCCGGTAGTTCAGATTGCGGCGGCTGTTCGTGCTCGGCCTGCGCGGGGGAGGTATTATGGTCTATCAGAGCCTCCTGCGGCTGTGCAGATGGGTACAGCTCCCCTTGAGGCTCCTGAGCTGGTTCATGGACGGGTTCTTGATGCAAGGTAACAGGGGTTACGTCGTCGTCAAAGAGGTCGTCGACTCCGCGGGTCTGGGCGAACTCGTCCATAGCTTCGGACAGACACACAGTCCCTTGGAGTTCGAGGGCGGGCAGAGGGCGTATGGAGCGCGGAAATGTGGACGGAAGCGTCAGCGAGGCTCTGAGATTCTAAACTGCAAGATTTTGTTCTGTGAGGAAGGGTGTTAATGCTGTGCAGCTCTATGGAATTTCTCATATATCAAATAACTAGTTATGCGATAAGATAAGTGCAGCCAGTTAACCAAATCCAAATAAATAACCAACTACAAACTACGCTAGCCTTGCCTTAGCGTATCTGGCGGCACTGTGAATTAAATAGTTCTTTGACTTCACATCATGGTGGAGGATTTTATAAGCGAAAGTGTCTGGATTAATGTAACCATCTGGCGGCCTATGCTTTATAAAGGTACAGGGGCAGAAGAAGGAAATACATCATGTAATTTTATTTGAACGCCATTTGCCACCCATGTCATTCCGATATCATATCAATTTCAAATGCATAACATGTCGTTTTGAACCATCCCATTCAACCCATATTTTACTGGACGGCAAATAATTTCTGTCAACAGGGATGAAAAAGGATCTAATCAAGAAAACAATGAGTAGGAGTAAGGGAGGGGATATGCGGTACCGTGTTTAGGCAGCGAGCTGTGTTTATCGCACGGTAGGTCGTGATTGCTTTGAGAGTGGGTTTTAGGGAGGGATGGATAAATGTGTGGAGAAGCTATGGGAAGCCTAGGATAGGTGGAATGCCCCCTGGCCCTCGCGCATCGCTACACCAAGTTTGTCGAGGAGGACCTCGGCGGAGGAATAGTCCGGCAGCTTCAAGTAGTTCACACAGGTCATGACGCTAGGAAGGTAGTCATCTGGAGTATACGGTGGTTCGCTGGGGCGGCAAACCACAGTAAACATTGGAGTGAGGCCTTTGAACCCTACGTTGACGACGGTGATTAGTTTTGTCTCTCGCAAAAACCCGGATTTGATGTTAAACTCACCTCCAATAGGAAGCTTAGGACTTCCAGTGACGAACTGTAAGAAATCACGACGCTGCTGAAGTGTGAATCCGCTCAAGGTTTCAAGCAAGTTTCGAACGCTCCTACTATCCATGTTGAATCCGTGATCGGCTTTGATAGAATCCATAAGAGCTAAGAAGAGTATGGTTAGCCATGGTTTTGGAACAAACGTAAGAATCGAAGGGCAGTATTTGGGAAACATACTTTCGATAGACCAGTCCTCATCGACCTGGCCAAAGAGCATCACCAGTTCTTCTGGCGTGAAGGCTTTCAATGACGAATATAAGAATACTTGCGAGAAGCCAGCGGCGAAGGCGTCTAGCTGTGGCTTTATTCCGCTGCCAAGGGTCATATCGATCACTTTGCTGACGTAGAGTTCGACATTTGACATGGTGATAAGCGTGTTATCGCCATCTGGCACAAGTTTAATGCTCGGATACCCAGGCAGAACAAAGTCAAGGCCAAGGTCTGCCAATTTAACATTATCAACTTCGCATTGTTCCATTGCTTGGGCAATTTCGTGGGCAGATAGCGAGGTGTCAACCTTGATTGCTGTTGCTTTGTCTGCGAATTTCTTCAATAGCATCAAAGAATTTGCCAGCTCTGGATCCACTCGTTTTACCGAGCTAATAGATGGTGCCTTTTTAGCGTATGCTCCTCGGCCAGCACTAAAGAATAGAGGGTTGAATCCGATGTCGATAATCCGCGAGTCCAGCATTGAGCGAGCAACAAATTTGCCCAGTGCTTTGAAGTGTTGCAGTTGCTTCTTCCCTGCTTCCTGGGTAGTTTGCTCGTGGCTCATTGGCGCTGGAAATAGTCCTAATTTATTGTTGACATACTCTCCATCTGTGTTCGCGTCTGAGTCCCTCCATAGCTTAAGTTTCTTCTTGGAGAACTCCCTGGACACTGTCGAGTAGAATTCAAGAGTTGGACCTAGGCCGGTTCCCACCTCCTCGAAGTATTCGATTTCCAGAACACTTGGCGACGAGCCATACAGCTCGAGGACCTTCATAGCGGAATCTAAGATGCGTGTACGGGAAATCCGTACCTTTTGTCTTTGCAGTCGGCCAGTGTAGGCACGATCATCCCTGCGGTGTTCACGCTGCGATTCATCACTTGACTGCGATCCTTGCCATCTTATCATAGATCGAGCGTAGCCAAAGGAAGTAGACTGTAGGAAGAGATGGCGGGTCTCAAATGGAAAAAGGAATGCAAAGTGGCGCCCGAGATCTTCGCTCCAACTAGGTAAACAACTGCTCGCAACTATCAGTGGCTCCTCAAGCTGCCGGTTCAACTTCGCGGTGAGTTTAGTATTGATGAACAGTGAAGGAGGCTCAGGAGTTATCCTCCCTAGTCCGTTTTCATTGACCAGGTCATCATCAGATTGAGAATTAAGATAATGCAAAACTCGTAAAAGGCGGAGAATAGATGCGGTGGTAGGCGCTTTATTTAGAGACTCTGGCATGTCCGTTTCGTCATCGATAGCAGAGAGATTAGATGATGTGGGAGTGAGTGTTGAAGGCTCAGGGGGCTGTGGGCCTTGAGCACGTTTGAAATGGACGGTGTGAACCGCCGACCAGACATTCCTTGATGCAGAACTGTCTGAACTGCCACGGGTCCCATGAACTGCACGGTAAACGGTGGTATCATTTGATATAGGTTTTCCGTTTAAACTGAACTCAATGTGCCAATCCTGTGGCATGGCTACCATTGCAGCGGCGTAGGATGTAAATGACCGCCCAGCCAAGGAAAGGGATCTACCAAAGGACTGGGGACTCGATCTGGCGAGCGACGACGAGGACTTTGCCACTGGAGTAGACTGCGATGGAGTCGAGACCCTTGTACCGTCTTCCTTCCTAGCCGTCACTTTACCAGTGGAGGCGACCTCCATATTGACAGCGGAAGGATCCGGCGCCTCATCTTCGGACAAATCGTCGTCAATGTCGTCTACAATTGTATCGAGAGCGTCTTCCTCATCATCATCCTCTTCCTCGTCACTTATATGAGTTTCATCGGCGCATTCCAAAGGTCCGTCAGTGTCGTCACTTTCCATTGGAGGTGGTGGGGGCTGGTGCCTAGCCGAGCGTCTTCGCCCTGTTCCCTCCTGCTGGCCTTCGCCCGAGTCTTCTCGGAGGGTGGAGGGTGGAGTGGGCCTGCCTTTATTTGCACCCCGGGCGCTAGTTCCGCTGGAATTACCACGCGCAGTAGGTAATCGATAAGATGGGAAATCAGAGAAATGAGGCAGGCCCGATTCATTTCCCCTGCTTGTAGATTCGGGATCCTGGAGATAGGCACCGCCCGTGAGGTGAGAGAAAGTCGGGTCGCGATGCCGAGAGTTTCGTGGGCGTTCGGAAAGACTGATCCTAGGCCGAAGATAGTCATCCAGGGTTTTGAAATTGGCAATTGCATGAATAGACACCATCATATTCTTGTATGGTTTGGGGATATTAGAATCCTCCTCGGCTACTAATCGGAGGCGGATCTGCTTAGACAGCATGGATAGAGTGCTTCTGTTATCGAACGCGTTGTGGTGCACCGTGACAACTTCAAAATTCTCCGTCCGGCTGAGTAAGTCTTGAAGTTTGTGAATAAAGGTACCAAAAGCAGTCGTCTTTTCGGAGTTAGGAGACACAGCCGCAGGAGAGCTTGTAAAAGCTTTCAAAAAGTCTGCGCCAGCTTGTTCTATCAAAGGAAGTAAGGGGTCAGTGAGGCGGCCAATAAATTCGATGAACATCACTGATTACATACCTTTTGAACCCTCAATGACATCTAGAAGAACACGGATGATACCGGAATTCAGCAGCTCAAAACTGGTAATACTATCAAGAGCGTTTCCGTCAAAGTAGGTCGCAAGCTCGCAGAAGAGTTTGTAGCCATTAGTCGGTCGAGCAGAGTCCTTATAACAGGCTTCGATCTTTGTGGCAAGTTGACGTAAGGTCTCCAGGACAAGTTCGGCCTTTTCGTGCATACCTGTAACTTTGCTATCCTCGTATAGGCGAAGGAAATGCTTTGCGCCAGTGGTCATCAGGTCTTGCAGTGTAGTGTCAAGGGACTGGGACGGTGGGGGGACTATGGAGGAGGTTTCACTATCTGAGGCATCATCGTGTTCATGTCGATGAAGTTCAGGTTCATCCGGATAATCTCCATTGAAACCATCCTCATCGTTGCTTTCGTCGTCGTGGTCGTGTGCTTCATCGTGGAGTTCGTTCTCATCCCCACTATCGTGGTCGTGTTCATCCTCCATATCGTGATCTCCGTGTACTGGGTGATGACCTACTTCCGATGTATTATTGGACCTTGTAGTCACAGGATTCTCCGGTTTGCTCAACAGTGGTGTTTCAGCTAGTGCCTTGATTTCAGTGATGACACCCTCTCGATGGAACTGGTACTGGTAAATCTCCCTCAATCGCTCGAATAGAAGCTCTGCACATTGCAACGCTAGTGCAACTAGAGATATGTGATCCTTTTGAGATAGAATTCCAGCCAAAAACGAAGCGTATGGGACGGATCGAAGGGCTTCTTCAATGATTGTGACATCAAGGGCTTGGACCATTTTCAATTGTGCCAACAAGACCTTCTGTCGCACTCTCAGGTTTACTGTACTAGAGTAAACATCTGTAAGGGTTGGTAACAGAATCGTGGTAAACCTTCTGATTTCTGGCTGACACTGCTTTAGCAGCTCCAGTCTCTTTTCACCCATTGCTTTTATTTTGGGCGTAACTGAGAGTGGTAGGACACCACAGCCAAGAGTTGATCGAAGCTGATCGTCTGATAGCACCAATGAACCCTTTGAGACGCCGGGAAGTATCTCATACACGACGTTCAGGGTCTCGTATACTTGCTCTCGAGGGCGATGAATCAACGCTTGCATGATGTGCACGCTGTCAGACTTCATTGGCCCTGAGCCATCGTCTGAGGGAGGCGAGACTCCCGTGAGGATTTGATACAGCGTATCCACAACGTTCATCTTCAGGAGCTCGACAGATAGACGCGGGCTGGATTTGCAGATGATCCCTAAGACGCGGAGGAAATATGTGTGGATATGCGGACCAATCAAGTTTGTGGTGCCTGGAAGGAGCAGCCGAAGGACCGCACGTAGAAGGTCTGGCTCAATTAACTCCTCCAGCTGTTCTGGCTTGTACTTGAAACTTTCTACCACGCGGCAAACGCATAGACAGCCTTGCTCCACGACCTTTTGATCGCTACTAGAGAGGACATTTAGCAACGTTGGCATTACCTCCTTCACAACAGGGAAGGAATCTTGAGGCACATTGCGGCAACAGTTCGCAGCTGTTGTAACGGCGGTGCGCTGTGTGCTAGTAGGGAAGAAGTCAAGGTATGTGAGGCATGCGGTAAGCCCACCCTCCCGGACGATCGAAGCAGGGAAATCCACAGATATCTTCGCCAGAGTCTATATAGCCATCGTTAGCACTGTTCCACGCACTGTCAAAGATAAATAGAAAAAAAAAAAAAGTAAAAAAAAATTGTATAACGTACGCTTAATGCCTGCTCGGCGAGGTCGATAAATTGTATATCCAGCAGCTTCTGACAGAGAATCGGTACAGCTCCACCGTGAACCACGTTGGCGACAGAGCCCCGAATTGCTTCCATCATGTTAGCTAGACATCGGCAGGCCAGCAACATTATCTCCGGGTTTTCCTCTCCGAATTCATTGGGCTGCATCAAGTTTACTAGCTCATGCACGTACGGATCTGGCGAGAAGTGCCCTGCAAGATTGTCCTCGTTTGAAACCAAAAGCAGGTCAGAGAGCTCTTGCAATGCAATTAGCTGAACCGACGGGTCCCCCTTTGTCTTCAAATTGGAAAGGATATCCCGGAGGCGGGAGGACATGCCCGACATCATGCCACTGAGAGCGCGTAGTGTACTCTGCAGCCCAAAAGGGCTTCCTGCTCCAAAGATTCCGCCTCGGAATGGGTCATGTTCGTCCTCTTCGGCGGTGTCCATCTGGTTGGGTTCTTCATTGCTATCGTTAGCCGGCGATAGGTCTTCGTCGTCCTTTTCCACCTTCTCGTGGTGTTCCTCATCCGCATCCCTCATCTCGGCGTCACTGCCTCGTTTTCCTCTTTTCTTCTGGCGTCGTGGAGGGGAAACATGCTGTGACCCGTCTTCAATACAGGATGAATTTGTAAGCATGATGTACCACATTTAATATCATATCAGAGTATACCACTTACCTCGTGAGGCCTTTCTGTTTCTAGTTGAGCGTGGCTTTGAGGATGACGGTGACGCGGTGAGCGTTTTCGATAGTTCTTCCGGAATGCCGGGTGATCTATGTCTCTCGATTAGTATAATGCCGTGTTGATGTTAAGAACTAAGCTGTGTACGGTGAAAGGTGACATGGTACACACCTTGACTGAGACATGGCTGCAATCTGACGAGCACTCTGTCGGGTGGCAGGCTGGCGAGCAGCTGACGTCGACAGCTTTGAGCGTTTCGGTCCTCGAGACGGGGACGGCGAGTGAGGTGTCTCGGCGTCACCTTGTACTTTCTCGCGTTGAGACGGGGCCTTTCTCTTTCGAGCCTGAACGGGAGGATTGGATGGCGGGGCGGGTTCTGAGGTATTGGCAGCACTGTCGGCAGCGAGCCTGGCGGCGGAACGGGTAACTCTGGAGTCCATGAGTACGTCTTCTACCATAAACGCAGAGCAAGGTGGTAAGAAGGGGATATGAGAGAAGAAGAGGAAGAACAAAAGCAGCTGAGGTACGCTTGAGGCTAGTGAACGATAGACGGGGCCGGGACCACCGAGCTAAGCCATCAAGCTCCGAGAGGAAGATATGATGCCGGTGAAGACGGTTGATATCGCCAGTCTGGGGGGAGTTTTTTCAGCGGAATTTACCTGGGAGATGAGGTCTGGCTGGGAGAGAGTGCAGCTTCCGGGCCAGGATGCACAGCCTTCTCTGCGGGCTGTCCAGACTGGTCGAGGGAAGCAGGAGCACTTCGCTTGGCCATAAGTAAGTCACACACCAGCTGCTCCGTCAACCCGCCATCCGCAGCTGTGGTGGACTGGGGGATCGGGGGAGGAGGACGAGCAGCGAGCACAAGATACAACTGTGTTCTGCGGAGCTGTTCAGGTGTCGAGGCGGCACATCGCAGGGCCAGCGAGCCAGGCGGTATTCAGCAGGGAGACGAGACTCTGAACGGGCAGCCAGACTCGTCAACGGACGCTGGCTCGATGTCGGAGTTGCGAAGGTCGAAGGTTGGAGTTTGGGATGAAGTTGAAGTCCAGACGGAGAATGATGGCAAAGGAGATAACGTGCAACGCCAAGAGCCCCATCATCATCGTTGCACCCAGAGGTACCCAATACTTGACTTTTGCAGGCATCTATACAGAAGAACAAGTACCAGTGACCTGACATCGAAACTCCCCCGATGCAACCGAGCTGGCTACGCTACACAGATTCTACGGTGGTCGCTCTCTCATCGAAGCCATAACTGCAGCATGCGGAGTGTACGTTGTCTTCATTCTATCATGTCGGTTTCTTCTCGAGGCTACCAGTTGGCTGGACTGGTATGAAGTCAGAGATGGCCCAAGTCGTATTCAGGAAGACAGAACACCGGCTCTACTCGAGGCCATCGTCAGTGAACGAGGTCATAGGCCTGGAGCTCTGTGATCGAAGCTATAGAGATATGTCAGAGAGTATTAGTTATATAGTTAGCCGATGTGCCGGCGTGGGGTTAACTTCTTTAGCTGCTCTTTATTATATAACTAGTGCATCCCCGCCGCCGTATAAAATCCCCGTAGATGAAGCAGGCAACATCTTCTACAAGACTCAGAAGACGTCAATTACCATCAGTCCCTACCGTCCCTTGAGCTCTCTGTTAATCGACACTGCCAGTCGCAATGGGGTCTCTCGATGCTCTCCCGGCGATGAAGACGAAGCCGCAGGTCATCTTCTTCACCGACTTTGACGGCACCATCACCCTGCAGGATAGTACGCTTCTCAATGCCCGGCTCCGGATGAAGTGATGGTCAATCTAACTGTGGACGCCGCGGTATCAGGCAACGATAACTTGGTACGGATGGGTATCTCTGCTTCTCGTCCGAGTTTCGTTAACGCTCTGCTTAGACGGATAACCTTGGGTTCGGCCCAGACGAACGCAGCGCAAGAAACACTGCCATTCTAGAGGGGAGGATCAGTTTCCGGTAGCTCTCATGCATCCCCGGATATGCTCCCCAATGATGAAGGCGCCCATGAAACTGTTTAGTAACCTCTACGTGTAGGGATGGCTTCCGGGAAATGCTCGACAGCATCGATGCGCCCTTTGACGAGTGTGTCAACTTTCTGTGCGAAAGAGTGACTCTCGACCCTCATTTCACCGCATTCTACGACTGGGCCAAAGATAACAATGTTCCTGTTGTCGTCCTATCCTCCGGCATGGTCCCCATTATCCATGCTCTCCTGGTGAAGCTCCTCGGCCACGAACCGGAGAATCTCCAGATTGTTGCGAACCAGGTCAGCAGCAGGGACGGGAAAGACATCAATTTCAGGGGAGGATGGAAGATCGAATTCCATGACGATAGGTAGTCATAAAGTTGCCCCCTTCTTTTACTAACAGCTTATATAGGCTAACGGTAAATAGCCATTTCGGTCATGACAAGTCCCTTGAAATTCGTCCATACTCCGCCGTCCCTAAATCGGACCGCCCCATCCTTCTCTATGCCGGAGACGGGGTGTCTGATATCTCTGCAGCCCGCCAGACAGACCTGCTATTTGCTAAGAAGGGCCATGGTATGTATGTCCCTCCACGTTATTGTAACGGCAGTAACTCATAGATATGTATAGACCTGACTATCATCTGCAGACGGGACGACATTCCCTATACTACTTTCGAGGACTGGTCCACCATCCTCTCCACCACCAAAGAACTACTCGAAGGGAAGACGACCGTTGAGGATGTTATCGCAGCCCAAAAGCGCGACGGCGAGTAGGAGAATGACACTTTTTTATGGTGACGACTTTTCCTTACCCATCTTGATTGCAATGGCCAGAATGAATAGGATGATACGCCATTTGGGCAATATGGCTGATTCTCCAGGAAATATCCACTAGTTATATACGTACACACGGCTTTGGATGCAATTTAGATATAGACGATGTCAAGAATAGAAATTTTACAGTCACAGATAAGAATGCGCAATCTTTGCTGGGTCCAGTTTTAAAGTGACATCTGCCACTTTACTCGCCTAGATCGCATTGCTTTTAAAACACCCAACGGTAACAGGGATTTGTCAACAATGCTAAGCCCGCCGCATTTCTCGAACAGCTCGTCAGCGTATAGCTGAACCGCCCATTTTACCTCCAATGACATATTTACAGGACTCATCTCTGGCTGCTTTCGAGTGCGAGCCAAATCAAGCAACGCAGCCTTGACGTGGGGCAGGAAATCCAGCTCCTCCTTGACCGCGGCCTCCAGCAGATATGTGTAGAGATTGTAAAACTGAACATGGGGTTTTTCATACCACTTGAAGTATTCTTCAAAACTGAAGAAATGCTGTGCATCATCCCATGAAAGGCTGCTGTGCTTAGCCTCCTCGTCTAGCGGGAAGGACTTTCTAAACCGCTGACGGCGCTCGAACTCAGACAGGCCTTCGAACTCCCGTTTAGCTGTTTCGTAAAACGTGCGTTCATTCTCGAGAAATGCATGGATGCGCTCAACAGGGTCATCGCAAACGCCATCGTCAACGAGGGTCAGCGGTATGAACGGATTAACTAACCCTAGGCCACCGAATGCTTCTGGAAGGTAAAGGAACCCATGAGGGATGCCATGCACATCGAACCGTTTTGAGATCATCTGGAAAATATGATCCGTTGCGTTCAGTCCGTTGCCATTTTTCCCATCGAAAATGAGGCATTGGATATATTTATGTGTCTCAAGCACTGAGTCGAGGTGCTCGCGACCGAAACAGTTTGCTGGTCTAAGAAGTGTTAGAATTCAACATGATCGATCGTAGCGCGCCAGGCCGTCAGGATGAAACTTACTCGCCAAATGTGTAGCTGAAAAATCGACCAATGCAGCTATTCCAGGTTTCCACCCATGCTAACACACTCTTGCACTCATCTAGCTGTTTCTTCAGCTGCATTACATGCTGTTTGACGTGGTCCTTGTTCACAATCCATTTTCCGGTACCAGGGTCCAAGGTAAGGAAGTTTATCGTCACTGGTCCATCTGGGAGTTTCTTCATGATCTCTGGTTGTATCTTCTTGACCTTGGTATCCACAAGATATACTGAGCCGGTTTTTCTCTTGTTGAACACCAAGCCTATTACATCCGCAAACTTTTGCATAGCTGTCCATGCGTCTGCACACTGCTCAGACTTTCCGCACAGCCAGAAATCATCATGGAAACGATAGAGAAGCATATTTGCATCTTTCTCGACAGCCAAGTCCATGAAAAAAAGGACAACTTCTCCAAGCAGCTTTGCCAGGATATGACCCATAGGAAGCCCTCTCGCTCTCTTTCGGACAGGGCCACCATTCATCATATCTAGTGGAGGCTGGATAGCCTTCTCAAAGAACGTCACCCATTCTTCTTGGAACCCCAAGAACCTTAAGCATGCAAAGATGGAAGTATGGGTCAATCCGGTTCCAAACCACTGGAAATCACTCTGGATTACGGCCACCTCCCCCTCAATTGATTTTTTCACAAGGACCTCCGTGGCTAAGGTCCGGATGAGGAGCTGCTTTACACCGACGGGTGACAACTTGTCGGCTTCCTCTTCATCATCGCTATCTTCAGCCACTTCGTCGTCATCATAGGCAGCGTCCCCAAAAGGCTTTGAAGGGAGCGTTGACAAGAAGAAGTGTTGTTGAAAATCGCTTCGTCGGTGATGCTCGACATTAAACGTAAATTGAGGATCCAGCGCATGGTCACCAAGATAGTAATACCGCCTATTTAGCTGCTCCCGAGGTATATTTACCTGATCTCTGGGTGTGTGCAACGCCCCCTTCAGCGCATGCTTGACTGGCGATGCCCATTTATGTCCGATGTAGTGAACAAGCAGAGTTTGTAACACATCCTCATCTATCACCACTCGCCATTTTCCATTCAAACTTTGGCGCCTATGACAGTGTTAGTCCAAATACACGCTGGGAGAAGTTTTAGTTTTTAGAGGGCCTGAGGAAGACTTACGGCCGAACAGGCATTCCTCGGGAGCCTAAGTTCCAAGACCATTTGTCTAGGTTTGCATATCTCATGTTCAAGACATCTCGGATCTCTTCCAGTACAGTATCGTCACGCAAGAAGTTACGTAGCGTAGCCGCTGTCTCCTCCTGTAGTAGATCGTTCTTTAACAGGGATTTAATGCATAGCTTGAGCTCCCCTAGCTTAATCGGCCGCCTGTTTCCCAGCAACATTCGCCCGTTCGCGCTGATATGGGCTCGAAGGGTTTCAAGTCGCTTTTTCCCATGGTCATCAGCGAAGAGTGAGGAAAGGTGTTTGGTGATTTTTTCCTCGTTAGTGTCCAAGGGCTCGAACACGACATTCTCAAAGCTCTCCCTCAGCTGCTGGAACCGCTCGTTTTGGAAATCATGAACCACATTGAAATCGTCATCGTGGGTGGGTTTTTCAAACTTTGATAGTTCGGGGACCAACTCTTCCTCGGAAGCATCGGTCCATTCAATTAGAAGTTGCGAGTAAAGGTAGGCCAAGTTAAGCTTGCGGCTCTGCTGGTCCAGTTTGGAGCGTAGTTGGTCCTCGAACTTGAGTAACATCGAATCCGTGACAGTGGAGTCATACCGAGATTGTGCTAGCCAGCGTCGGATATTGTTCAAGGCACTCCAGCTCCAGAGCTCCAGCTTCTCTACGCCGTCATGAAGTCGAGCAACGCGGGTTCGAACATCGTGGTCTTCAGGGCGAACGGAGCCAAGGAGCTTGCCCTTAACGTTCTCGAAGGACTTGCGCTGGGAAATAAGTTCTTCGATCTTTGTTTTGGTAATTGATTGCAATGTTTGTGATAATATAGACATCGAAGCGGCCATGATGGCAGAGGGGAAGAGAGTGTTCTGGGTAAATCTGGGAAGAAGAAAGAAAAATGCGGACAGGATATATCTCGGTATTTATTCAGTGATCCCGTTGACTCATAGTATACTCTAGGCCATATTAGCAGCCTAGATGTGCATGATTTCATGGTCCATGGCTTAATCTTTCACTTGGCTGCATACATATTTGCATTCTAGCATGTTCTTCTATCTGTGGCTCTTGAAGCCACTTGTTCTGATGTAGCAAAATTGGAGGCATCATGGCAAGACGAGTGGTCTCTTTTCAATCCAGGGCATGTACAGAGTAGTAACATGAGTTAAAGAGTTTTTATCTATCCTCGTCGCCGTCAGCATCTCCTTCGAACATTGAACGTTGATAAAGTTGAAGTTCCATGGAGTTAAGCTTAATTTTTCAGATGCGGCTCAATATCACGTGGATAGATACAATATTTTTAACTCGACTTCAACAGCTTCAGCGTGTCAAGAAGCGAACATGGCCAGGATATCGCATTCGGATCTCTTCCACCACCTTCTTCCCCGCGCCGTTATGAGCTGGTTGTAGACAGCAAGTGGCCGTCAACCAGCCTAGGCCCACTGAAGATGCAAGGTCTGTTGTGTATATCCTTGGCTCGAGCCTCACGTTGTCCATGGGTTTCGAGAATGCACTACGGCATATTCGAGGATGGCTACGTGGCCGACTCGTCAGCACAAGTCCTCCGTACCCCTTATTCTTATTTATCAATCTCCATGCTTATCTGTCACCCAGATACCAAGGTCCCCGTGCAATTTTCCCTTAACGTTATGGTATCGAGTTAGGGACTACTTTATAGTCGCTCATCTCTAATCCATCCAATAGTTGTTCACACTCCGCAAGTGTTTGATCGATTGAATGGATAGCGCACTTGGAGTGGCTATAGAAATATGTGCTAGTTCGCTGGGCAGCTGGGAAGTACATGCCGTGACGAAAGCGATATGTGAAATCTTCAAGGTTTAGGCCAGCATATGGTGCCTTGGGGCAGTCCGGCAAGATGTTGAATGTGCGAAGACGTTTTGTTAGGGCTCCAACCTCAAAGCGTCGCATTCGAAGCTGCAATGTTCGTTCTCCAGATAATCATTTAAATGACTGAGGAGAGTGGAGGTTATCCTACCAAGGGCTTCCTCTCTTCGGCTATTGATTGCATCTAGTTGCTTGATCAACATGTGGTTTTGTTAGTGTTGGGGATTTAGAGAAATGCTCTTACCAACAACGAAAGACGGAATTGGCAGCTCACCAGGGAGGAACGCGTCTCTTCCTTCTCGCAATAGCAGGCGAGTAACTTGCTTGAACGCTTCCGGCTGGTTAAACACCCAACATATACAGGCCCACGATGGGGTATCGTCTGTATAGTATTTGGGGATGGTGGGTTTTAGATTGCGAAACCAGAAACTGGCTAACACCTCAGTGCATTCATGCAGCTCATACTTGTCCACCAGGATAGCCAGTTGCGTTAACGTCTGTAGATCGACCTCAAACGGAACCTGGCGTAGGTGGCTGTGGATAATATTTAATATTATGAGAAAAGCATCTGGGTCGTCATCGGGAAGAGAGATTTCCACACTCCCGGTAACGCGTAAGATATTGCTCTCGTTGAATTTACGCTGTAGCATGGCGCGAAATACAGGGGATGCAAGAATCAAGTGCCTTGATGAAACGCATATGGTAATCTCTACATTGTACGAATTAGCTGCGTTCACGCCTGCACCAGAATTGGCTGTAGGAAGAACTACTACCTTCTTCACAGGGACAGCTACTGCTATCCGCAGAAATGGAATCGATCGTTTGGTCCACACCATCGCAAGATTCTTTGGTATCATATTTTTGGTCGTCGATGTACTGCACGAACCTGGTCATCAATAGGATGACATCTCCGTCTGGGTCGAGGCGATGCACCTCTCTATCAGAACCCTTGGATCTGACTACCAGATTTGGTGGAGAGGGTGTCCTGATCGTCGCTGGCATCGTCTAGAATGTTTGATGGACGAAGCGTTGAAACCAATATAGGTGAGAGTTTTTATATGACAATGACTAACTGTCGACTGAGGTAGAGGTAGAGATTATATTTTTTTTTCTCCCTATTATCAATGACGACGAACGAGGAAGAGAAAGCGAAGGGCGATACTATATCAATCTACTGTATTTCTAGTCCATCGACATCGTGTGACATGGTTATAAGCAGCCATCTACTCGGGCCTGTCTCGAGCACAGCACCTACGGATGCTGCCCTGTCACGGCATGTTATTCCTGCATGGTATCCTGCGGCCTTTGATCGATGACCTTGAGCATTGGGGATTTTCAATGAGACCAGTATTAGCCGCAGACTCCGAGTAGTTGGCGCTCTCTGGATTCCTCGACCCTCCGTCCACCTGGCATAGGTTGGGCCCAAGATAAACTAATGCACCACCACGCCACCAATGAAAGCCCGCATCACAGCATGTTGACTATCCTATTCTGTCCAGAATGCAACATCCTGGCATGGCATGGGGGAGGCTGACATGCTGGGCGGCTACCACTCACTTTCTAAGGGAGTAGGGTTCCTTGAGGTTCAGAAGAAAACGAGAATATGCGAGATAACGATCTTGAATGCCTCGATCGTCCGCTGCGCAGCAAGCAGGAACCAAGCGTCGCTGATATAATTCCCGCCTTTGACTGTTTATCGAGAGACTGATGCGCCTCACATATCGGTTTCCCAAGGCTATGGTACTTTAGGGCTCGCTGTCCAACCCCCGGACAGAGTGACATTTCTCCTCGAGACAATGAGTGTAGCATGGGCCGACAGATATCCCACCTTAGCTATCCAACAAAAAGCCGCGGAAACTGCGGAGAACCAGCCAGTCAACAGCTGCGTCCATCTGTCCGAGATGTTGGTTGTACGTGAGCGACCTCGTATGCGACACAGTCGGAGTACTTCCTCTGGCCAGACGATTGTTATAATTGACTGTCATCATTCACCCGCTCAGCCGACCTCATTTCCAGACAACAAACTTGTGCTTGTGCTCCAATTCATGGCACGGATGTCTGCCATCTATTACCGTTCGCCACTGACCCTAGATACTGGATGCACTTACGGGCGCTGGCGACTACCCTGGGCCCCGATGGCGACCTCGATAGCCGAGATGGAATGCACTAGGTGTGTGACGCTTGCGCATTTTTTTTGTTGGGACCATGTAATATGAATCATACGCATGCATATGCGCTCTGCTGCCGATTACCTGTGCCGCAGGGCAGAGACGATCTATACTATCAATGGGTTATCCCATAGCTGGCTCGACATGTCTCTGGGTCCATCAACTTTCCATCCCTCGCGACTGAGTTTGTTTTCGCATAGCCTGCAGGCGACGAAGTCGAATTTCATATGTATATTGTTGCGCGCTGAGCTATCTGGTTGCTCGCGCATGACCCTTGTCCTATGTAGGGCCAGGCTTTCGGGCGTCGCTGATAAAGTCCGCATCCCCAGCCAATTATATCTGGAAAAGAAGCACTAGCTTGGTAGGAGTGAAATCGCGCATGTTTCCGCCCATGGGCGTCCGCTTATGAAATATTATGTAGGTGTAAACCAAAAACGCCATAATCTCTTTGCTTCCCTGAGGATAGACTGTATATTGCATCTGCGAAACAAATATGCAGGAATAATGCAACCAAAAAAAAAGCGTCAACAGCCAACAATAACCACCACGGTAACAAGAACAATGGTAATCAGCCCACTGGCCGGGCTGGTAGGCACCGCAATTCCAGTCGAGGGCTTCTGCATCTCGATCTTAGCCACAAGCTTGTCGCCAATAGGAGCCAGGGATTCCTCAAAGGTATCAAAGTTTTCGGCCTTCCAGTCGGCACCCTTGGCGCCAGGTTTGGCCTCTTCGCCTTTAAAGGCAACGAAGAGGACATCGTGGTCCTCGTGGCCGTTATTGCCGGTGAGGTTGTTGTGAGGAAAACAGGCCTGGGCGAGAGAGATAGATACCTCACCGGTGTCAGTGTTGCCGTTGGTGTCGCCCCATATGCCATAGAACTGCGGCCATCGTTAGCTCTGGATACACATATGTATATATCATAGGAAAGATGGATATACCAGTCTGTTGTTACAGACCACGGCCACAACGCTGAGCGGCTCTACCCCCGAGTCTGAAGGCAGGTAGCTAGGCTTCTTTCCCTCGTTCCCAAGAACAACGTAGCTATGTAAGTTAGAGTCCAGGTCGCTGAGACCGTATTCAGCAAGCTCATCCTTAAAGGTCGTCTGGCTCTGGCCGGTCAGATCGTTGGCACAATCCCCGTTTGATCGGTTCGCGCCGTCGCAGTCAACATCTATGTCTCCTAGTCCCATAGAGTTAGACGGGCCGCTAAGGTAGATCACGCCTCCGTAGTCACAGTACGTGAAGCCGCCTGCTGCCGTTAGTGACGAACAATATCCTGCCTGCCTGCCGTGACGGGGTGCCACATACTATGTCCATGGCCGTCCTTGAAATCTTTACTGCTGAGAGGGGAGTCGCAGCGGTTATTCTACACACGCATATCAGCATGGGACATACTCCGTACATCTGGGAGCGGCGATGGGGGATGGGACCGTACCTTTGCGTAGTTGTAGAGGCTCTTCAGGTTCTCGGGGACATCACGGCCGGCGGCAGAGGAGAGGCCCGCGAGGCCCAGGACGGCGAGACAGAGGGCGTTCCTGAGGGCCATTGGTCGCTGTGAGATGGCCAGACATGAATCGAGGGCTCGACCTGGAGTTTTTAACAGTCGCAGCGTCGTCCCAGCGTCTCACTGGTGACACTGCCTCCTGAATTACGCCAGCTTCGGCTAATATAGTTTAAGGGGCAGAGTTAGTGCTTTATCTGGAACTGGAAGAAATAAGAAGAAGACTTGCTAGTGTTCGTTTCATCTATTCCTTGCATTGCCTTATATTCGTACCGAGGTCCTTCGTATCGTCCATGAGCGAGAAGTGCTGGCCTTGGAGCCTTGGATGAGGCCGCTATCATGGAGGACTCCGGACAAGGATGTACACAGCCAGAAGCCAGAATTAAAACTCCTCTAGGCCCATGGAGATACACCCATGCCGCCGCCGCACCGTTCGACCGCTCGTCTTGCGATAATGCAGCGCCATTGCTGGGAATGCCTGCGACTCTGCCTGGTCTGCGACTTTACCCAGCCTTCGTGCCGGCGCTGCTCCGCGTCTGGAACCGTGTGTCCCGGCTATGGCGATGCGAAGCCGAGAAGACTAAGATGGCTGGAGCCTGGAAGAGTTCAGTCTCAGACGAGACGGCGACGACCAGCTCCAACGGCGAACAGCGAGGACACAACCCGCGGCGTCATGGCGATGGCGGTGCCTCGTTTTCAGGTGAAGACCAAAGCCTGTGCCATATTCCAGGCAGCGGAATACTGCAAGTGATCGCGAGAAGAGATATCCGTCTTCGCATGGGCTGGAGCTAACGTCGAGCTGTAGACAACTCCTGCATCTATCTCGATCTCGCGCCAATCCAGGGTCTCGGACACAATCCTTACATATATCGTATCTCGCCGACACACCTCCGAGCGACGACCTCGTTGCCTGACTTCATAACGCTCGGTGTAGTTTGCATGACGCTGAACCACCGGATGCACCGCATACGCGACCAGTCCCATTGTCGCGACTTGACGGAGACATATTATCGGTTCCGGGCCAGTGTGATCCGCTCGCTCAACGAGAGTATCAACATCGAATCGCGGCGGACTACAGATATCGTGGTTGCCGGGATTCTGACACTTTTACTTATCGATGTAAGCTGAAAGGAGCCTTGGAACACTGGCTATGAACACTCGTGTTGACGGAACAACCTGTCGTCAAGGCTCAGCGGGGAGACTCGACTGGTTGGCGATGGCATATAGAGGCGGCTCGAAGAATAATCATGCTTCGCGGCGGATTTCTCACGGCGGCCAGATCAAAAGCCTTGAAGCCTCTACTGCTAGTCTTCCTGTGGTATGTTCCCGCAGCTACCAGTCGAAATACCTAGCAACTGAACGCGCATAGTATTCTAGTCATCGGGAACACAACGTCCTCTTCATCTGACCTTGCAATAGCTAGCCCTCATTGCGACGAACTCAAGTATGTACTCGGACAGACGGGCTGTGCAATATCCCCGTTCCAAATGTGTCCCCCGCTTCTGTTTGTCGAGGTTCTCAAAATTAATCGCCTTCGGATGCGCGCCGTGAAACATGAGCCCAACCAGGCGGAAGCCCTACAGCAAGAGGGATACAAAGTGCTCGACTGCATTTATAATTTCTCGCCAGAAGAATGGGGGGAGACCATGCCTTCATCAAGGGAGGATTGGAAACTCTTGGGAAACGTATACCAATTGGCTGTGACAGTTTATTGTATTTCTTCCCTTCAGTCCCTATCAGTCCTTCCCCTGGCTCCCTCACTGAGGGCACAATGCATTTCACACGGCCAGCTTCTGCGGGTACTACTTGAAAAGGCACTATTATCTCCACGGTTGAAGAGATTTATGACCTGGCCGCTGGTTGTGCTTGGCGTGGAGGTCGTACATGGCGTCGCCATGCAACTTTTCGTCAAGAAGCAGCTTGTAGAGATGAGTAGCCATATCGGCTCATATGGACCGCTGATGGCGAAGGCCGTGCTTGAAAGGTTTTGGTACTCTGGAGAGACAAATTGGGATGCTTGCTTCGATAGGCCGTACCTGTTCACTACGCAGGTTTCGGTGGACATGAGCGGGATATTGTGAACGCGATGCCTAGGCGCCCTGAGCGGCTTCGACTCGACTCACGCTCACAGACTGGTACAAAGTTTATGTTGTCTGAACAATGTCTCTTCTTCGCCTAGATTACCAATTAATGGCGCTCTAACTAAAGCAGCCTGCGGCAATGGTATTTAGGAAGGCTTCGACGTAACATTTGCTGCGAACCCGACTGAAGTTATATAATATAAACCAAACAGGAAGCATGTTGGCGGTGTCGGCACTAGGCTTCTATATTGCCCTAAGTCACGGGGAATGACTTCCATTGATACAGATCTGCCTCCTATTATACCCCGCCAGTATAGTCATCGAGGCGAGGCTAAGAATTGGCAGCTGTTCCTGATCATGTTCGCAGACCTTGTTGAAAGAGATTCAAGGTCTCTTTCTATGATTATATCAGCCTACATACCCTTGAAAATATACTAGCATATCCAACCTGTTAACGTCGCATATTTTGGGCGTTATATATACTAAACTAAGCCTTATTGTATAAGCACCCAATTCATATGATCTGTATATGCCGGATGGAAGTGAAGTAGCAAGCTCCAATGAGACTTTGCTGACGATAGACTCCGGTGACGCGAGCAGTAGTGGCCTCACTTTCTAGTGTCGACCTCGTTTCAATTATATCCCTGTAGGTACAGTTTCTGCTAGTACCCATCTATCCGTGATGAGAAGCGATTCCGTCAACTTACCACCATTAATATACCGCTATGCGAGGAGCTTGACTTGACGTCGAAATAAATTCACATCCCTACTTACGTTTATAACTATTTATATCCCATGCAGATATATGGAGCCCATAGGTTAGATCTTGATACAATGTTGGCTTAATACTTACTGACACTTGTTTAATCTTACCTTATATATAATGCTCTTTATGTGAATAGGGCGCTTTGTCTAGCATGTTATGTTGAATTGAAAGCTCTACTTGGCACCTGCTATGGTCTATAATGTTGTAAGACAAGAGTCGTATTTGCTAGTAGTTTACAGTGTACATGGCTTAGGGATACAAAGTTCAGTATTCCCCATCTTTAACTATACAATGAGAGTAATATACCTTCTCAGATCCGCTACCACGGCCAACGACTGTTTACAGGCCCCAGGCTAGACTCCAAAGCCCTAGATATCCAAAACTAGATGAAAAAGCCTGCTCGTCCACTTGAAGCGATGATTATGACAAAAATCACGGTATCATAACAATCAGGTTGATAATCTAGGATGACATTGCTTGATAATCACCGAGCTCGTGCGACGGTCGGCTTCCCATCTTCTTGCCGAAAAGTATACCAAACGTTAAGATATGCCCGGCCTTCGCCAGAAAAGTCCGGTCATCTTTGTTTCCCTGTCCCTCAACCTCGCTGTTTCCATCCTCAGCCAAATGGATGAGATAATTTCGAGGCAGAAAGCGGCCAGGATTCCATACATTCCATAAAATGGAGTTAATGAGCATAAGGGTTGCCTCGAAGATGTAAAAGAAATACTCGTATCGTAAAATAGGACTCAGCGCTTTCAGTTTGTCTATACTGTCAAGGTCCACCACCGTGTTTCCCAGGTGCTCTATTAGACGGTAGATGCAACGTAGTAAAATCAATGCCATGCTTATATATAGCACAACCAGGAGAGTGGTGATGGACTTGAAGTATTTGATGCATATATTGGCTTTCGCGCACCGCCGGTGGAAGATAGCCGCTAGAATGAGCAAGATAAAGATGAGCGCGAATTGAAGTGAGAGTGAAGCGATTGTTAAATTCTTCCCTAGGTGTTGCTGAGTTGACTCTGAAGAGGGATTGGCGCTCAGGGATACTCCCAAAGAATTTAAGGTCTCGACAATTAACATCACAAGGCCGAAAGTAGAAACCACTCTGCCAGGAGGGAATGGAGCGAGGTGGGGCACGTAGTACAGTATTCTACCAAGAACGTGGTAGTTGGCAAGTTCGAGAAGCGGACTATAGTTTATAGTCAGTGAATTATCCAATGCATAACCAGCTAGTTAAAAATCACTTACGGGCACACATATATAAAAACCTGGCCGAGGATAAAGACGATAAGGGTCGCAGTGTCGCCCATATACAGATAGTTATAAGATCCGTACTCCCGCATGGCATAGCCAATTGTAAACAGTACCGCACAGACCGGGTGCAGTCCAACCAGTTTCCATGAGTTATAGTAGCTAATTTTTCGTGTTAAAAGGTGTGATTTCTTATGCTCAGGAAATCATCGACTCACAGACACTGCCAGATATGGCCAACTGCCGAAAGGCCATACGCAACCGTAAAGATGATGGGTGTAACCTTATTAGGAGCATACACAAAGAGGCTTCCCGGGACTAGAAATGTTAATATCAGTGTAGCAGATAGAATTTCCAGGGAATCTTACTGGGTTCTCCGCCTGCAGCCATTTTGGGCTAAAGACAAGGTTTTTATATATTTGAAAGAATGAATGCTGGAAGACTCTTGATCTTTGATATGGTGTCAAATAGAGGATATTCTTGATATTTAAGTAAACCCGCCATTATAGTATCGTTGATGTCACCAAGTAACCGTCCACCCAACGGGCCCTGATTTAGACATGTCTGTATTAGGATACGTACAGGGCTTAACCCAAAGAGGATAACCTAATCGCCAAGATGCTGAATCCTTTGGAGCTAACGCCATCGTCGTAATACCGCTCCTCCTCAACACTGGCGGATACGTGTATATTTATATATGCTTAACCCAAATAGGAGAACTTGAGTGCCAAGACGCGGATCCTGCCGAACCACGAGTCGCCTTGGCGCCTTCCGAAAGTTCCGCCTCCTTGGCAGGCTGAGCCTAAAATAACCCCAGCGTGCACTTTCGCAGGTGTATCAAAGGCTCCGACAGGCCCATAATCTCATTGCAACAGCTAAGCCAAGGAAACTATCGATTTTTATTACTAGAGAGAAGAAATATGCGCATATTCAACGGGCCGCACGTTCCAATACTGGGGCTACCAAGCTACCTACCTTATCAACATAAATACTTTCTGCAAGCATCCATGAAGCAGCCGCCCAAATTTTGCGAATCATCGCTCAATTAGATTCGAGCATAGATTCATGATGCACGTGAGCTTGTCTCCGTAGGTATTCGTCTCGGCCTCCAGCACGCGACTCGCCGGCCCGAACCGGTCCCAGACCTGGATGAACTGCCCGTTCTCCAATTTACCGATCCTGGTGAACGCCGTTTTGAGGATGTCATGATCAATGATCCTATCCACGTCCGCTGGCTTCACGAGCAACTCTGGCCCAGCGACGTAGTCCTTGCCCTGCTGAACTCTGGTAGTGACTATGGCTAGCGCGCTCGCCTTGAAGCAGTATGTGATCAGGGCCGCTAGGCCGGCTGCCAGGGCCGTTGCAATACTGGATCCCGTAGACTCTTTGGTCGATGAGGTCTTGTCGGCGAGATACACGGGTAAGCTGCTACCGGCGGTGGTGTTTACGTTGACACCAGGGAAAATAAAGTCGTTGTCCTTCCCGGCATGTCCAAAGGCGGTCCCGTCGTCATGGGCTGCGCCGATCAGGAAAAACCTCTTACGCTTGTATGCAGAAGGATAGTGCTTAGTGGCACTGATTTGGTCCGACGAGGAGCAGAACATGAGGACCTTTTGTGAACACGCCCTCTCGAGCACGGCATCTAGCAGCTTTTTTTCCTCGCTACCTTCTGGTGGCTCGGGAATTGTCCACGACATGGAAATTATCGTCGCGTTTTTCTCCAAGGCGGCTTCAATGGCCTTGGGTCATGTTAGTGTATATGAAGATGATGAATTTGGAGATCAGCCAACTTACCGAAGCTGCGGAAATGGCATCGATGGTAGAGTGGGCCTTGTCAGGGCTAGAGTGCGTCTTGAACCGGATAGAGTAGATGCTAGCCATGGGACAGACCTTCAGAATCATTCTGGCCATCTCTGTACCATGGCCTCGGGCTGAGATGTAATACTGCCCTACACCTCCATCCTGATAATCGAAGGTCTTACCCCCAATGACACGGCCTGAGAAGGCAGAGTCACACGAGTCAACACCATCATCGATCAGCGCCACGACGACATCCTTCTTTAGGTTCTGCAGGTCAGTCAGGTTTTGCATATCGACGTTCAACAGCTGGTTGCCGTCGCTGGGGTCATGGCTAAAACTGTCGAGGGATATATCAACCGTTTTCTTCCAGAAAATATCCATGCTTCCGGCGAACCTCTCCATGCAGGTGAGCCACTCGTGTTCAGTGATGGGATTGGCTCTGCCGGCTGGCTTGGATATGTCGCTGGATGACACGGGGATTTCAATTCCCTTCTTGCCTTCCCTCACGACGACTTCAATATTGCGTTTTCGAGGCAGCGTTGTATTTCCCTCAGTCTTGGGTTCTGAGGAGGTCTCGATATCTCCCGACTCGCTCGGAGCTGTCACATCGACTATTGGCTTTGCATTGGCATTCTTGTTGAGGCGGACCCGAAACTCTTCCAAGTTTGCCTTTACCCAATTCCTGGTGTCATAAAGCTGGAATGAACCAAGAATCAGCACGGCACATTTTCCATCATATGGTGAACAGCTGTTGGTCACTTACATCGGCTTGTGCTGGAATACTCAAGTTGATGACTTCGAGCTCTGGCAACTGCGGCAAGCCTTCCGGTTCGCTCCAGGCTCGCAGGACGGCATTATTCCCACTCCACCGTAGCGTCACCTCTCGCAGCTTGTTTTTGACCTGGCCTGTGGCCTCCGTCTCGGAAGAGCTAAAATCTTCCGCTTTGCGGCCGACCTGGACGATGATCCGAGGGTCTAGATCCGTTTTCTGCCAGTCCAGGTGCTCTACTACTATCTTCTCTAGGGCAATCTGGATCGACTCATCGCTGTGAGGGAGCTTGCCGCTATCATCAACCTCGACCTTGAGAATGCGTCGGACGCCCTTGGTGTAGAGCCAGTCGAAGAAGAATTCCATGTCCTGTCGTCCCATCGCTCGAGGCTTCGGTGCTCTCCTCCCAGTGCGATTTACCGTCACGTTCGGGAATCTGACATACATCAACACCTCGTCGAAGCAGATCCCGCTCTTGCGGTCCTTTCCAAACCGCTCCGTGAAAACGGTGTCTTGTATCACGGACGGCAGGCCCTCGTAGTCGAAGCAGATTTGGATATCTTCTTGGATGTTCTTGCCGTAGAGAAAGGAGGTAGCCATCTTGATGCTCCGCGTCCGCATATAGTGCAACTTTAACATGCTGAGAATTTTGGTCGAGTTCTTGGCCAGGATCTTGGGATCTGGCTTTTTGGAGATACTCTTGGTAGAAGGCCTCTGCTCCTTCTTTTTCTCCTCTTCGACATTGAACCTCTGCGTCGGCACCCTCTTCAACGGCGTATTGGGTGCATGGTCACTCCCGATAGAATTAGTCATTACCTTGAGGATACTCAAGTTCGCATCATCCGGCCGTTCTCGGTGGTCTCGACCTGGTCTTGTGCGAGAGCGATCACGACCGGATGCTTGATCTCGCGGCTGTCCCTTTTCTCCCCTGGCCTTTCGCTCCAGTCGCTCTCGTTCTTCCTCTCTGAGAAGCTGCCGCCGCCTCTCATTCTCGTCCAGCCTCTCCAGGTCAGGCTTTCTAAGTTCTCGATTACGATCTGTCTTCTTAGGGTCACGCTCTCCAGTACCGCGGCTTTTTGGGTCCTTTTCGCGAAGGCTTGCCTTGGGCGGTTCTTTCTCTCGAATCGCGAGGTTAGCGTTTGGTACTTTCGTATCCCCGCGTTCCTTTTTAGCGAGTTCACTGGCCATGTATGCCCTTGCGGTCCTCTCATGCTCGGCATAGACAGAATATTCGGTCTTCTCCTCGTTCCGAATGTACTTGCAGTCCAGGAATGTGTTGATGGGTTGAAAGGTTGCCTTCGCCTTTAGCTGGTCAACAGCCTGACAATCCTTCTCGAGGAGTAACTTGATGATGCCCACTCGTTCGTCGCTACATTGCGAATACTGCACTGCGTAGTGAAACGGCGTTCTTTTAGTGCCATCTTTGAGCTCCAAGGCCGTCTCACTGGCATGCCTGATGAGGTTCTGGAGCACCTTGGGCTTGAGATCCTTCTCGAAGGCCAGAGTCAGACAGGTCTTTAGGGACTCGCCCTTTCCATAGGGTAGCTCGAGCGCGTCGTCAATACACTGTGTGTCGGAGCAGGCGTTTAACATATAGTCGACCAGCCTCCACGCATATCGCTTGAGGTAGATGGCCCGGTACAGAGGAGTCTGGCCCTCATCATTCCGGGTCCTCAGCAAGTCGGGATACTGGCGTACCAACCTCTCCACCAGCGGACGGACATCTAAGGCGCTGACAGACTTTTCATTGGTCTTCTCACAGACTAATTGGACGATGGTATGTAAAAATGTTGCATCTGGACCGCTATGGACCATAACCTCGCGATGTTTGTTTATGAAGTCATCGATGTCGTCCTCGGTTGCTCTACCATTGAAGATGCTCTTCATATCAGATGTGGCCTGCTTCAACTTTCTGGTGAGGTCATCCTCCTCATCCGAGTCCTCATCCTCCTCGTCGGAGAGGTCTCGGTCCTCTACGTCTGACATCTGAAGGTTTTGAGTATTAAGAACAAATGAAGCTTCTTGGATTTTCTTCGGACTAAAGTCAGTTGGGGATGGAATTCCTAGTCAAGCGGCCTGGCTTGTTTTCGACGATGGAGTTGTGACTACAGTTCGCCTAACGGGGGGGGGCGGACCCTAATTGTAATATAGGTGACCTCGCGCGAGACTTTCTTAGCAGCCCCAGCAATATGCACGAGGACTCCTCCGCAATACGCCGACCCCGGTTCATATCGTAACGTCGCTCAGCCCCGGACCGAGCACTTTTTAGGGGAAACTTAGTGGACGGTCTTGCATCTGCACGGCTGAGTGTATGTTACGTAGGCGGGACCAAGGGTGCGTATTAACTTGCAGGCAGGCGCTCGGCTGTTAGGCATAATAAGGTACTACGGGCCCCTAGACAAAATCTCTATCCCTTTCGACCCTCTGGAGATTTAAAATTCACCACCACGACCAATACCTAGTGGCGTTAGTTGTACTGCTTACTAGGTAAACATGTCTGACCACGGGGAAGAAGAAAAAGAAGCGAGACTTGAGGGCTTCGAGGAAAAAGACGACGTCGATGTCTTTGACGTCGGCATGTTCGAAGGCGGCAGTGAAGGTAGCGGATTCCATACTAAGAACAACCCCAAGGACCCCTATCAACGATCCGAGGTGATCCAGCGGGCTGGCCATGGTGTCGACATTAGATGCACACTAATCGATGCCATTCACGGAGCCATGTCTGCCGACAGTGACTACTGGGCGACGCTGCTGGTTCTACAGTTTCGCTTTGATCCAGCCAAGCGGGCACGTCGTGTAGCAGAAGCGACCATCGAGCTGCGGTTCGATGTCTCGGACGCGAACAACCAAGTCCCCGAGGTCGATGCCATATCGTTCGACGGCAACTACAGCTTCCTGCCCAGCAGACAGTCCGAGACCATTATTAAGGGCGGTAGCGGGAGCATCGGAGCAAGCTACGTCGCAGACCTGAGCGCCTCAGCGAACTGGGAGAAGACGGTGGCTCGTGAGACGACAGATGCCACTACGATCAGTGGCGGCAAGCTCGTCCTGAACAACATACCGCCCAACCGCGTCGCCAAATGGACGCTGCTGGAGAATAAGACGCTCAAGACGGGTGTCCCCGCCACGATCCGAGTTGCTGTGCGGATCAAGAGGCGCGACGAGGCCATCTTCACCTGCATCCCTCGGCTGGAGTGCAAGGCTGACAAGTGGACGAGGCTGGAGTCCTTCTTCGGGGGCGTGCCAGAAGATGACCCCGTGCTGCTCAAGCCGGACATGAAGGCGACGAACAAACTGATGGTCTACGACACGGAGGAGCTGGGCAGCGTGGACTTGCAGAAGCTTAGTGACGTGACGTTTACAACGATGATAATGAATGCTCAGAAGTAACATTCGTACTCGAGAGCGTTCGCTGGAATTCCGGCGTGATGTATAGGCGCGGTACGGGGTACAGCGATAGTTAGGGACTACTCGTACATACGTACCAAATCTTTATGTCAATATACAAGGTACTACTCCAACAACCCCTTCAGAGTCATTGGGCTCACATCTCGTCCAGCTCGGGACTGCGCCAAACGCTTTCATCCCTCTATACCTAGAGAAGTCGAAATGGACGGCAGTTGCCATGCTGGCGGTGCTCAAAGCTAGAGCTGCATTTATTCTTTTGGATCCTTCTTATCCAATTCACCGGCTGCGCCAGATCTGTTCGGACATTGGAGCAAATATGGTGATAGGATTTTCTTGTGACAAGAACATGGCAGACTCCCTCGGTGTAGCGAAATTCGTCGTACTCAAAGATGAACAAACATGGAAATGTCAAACACCTCGCCCTTTACCTCACCAACGTTCCTCATCCAGTCCAGCCTACGCTGTCTTCACCTCTGGATCGACCGGTCGCCCTAAGGGAGTGGTCGTAGAGCATGCCGCTTTCACCACCGCAGCTCATGGCTTCATTCAGAGGACCGGGCTAGGGGTCAAGTCACGAGTCTTTCAATTTGCTTCATATGCCTTTGATGTGAGCATTGCCGACCATCTCGCGACCCTCATGGCTGGAGGTTGCGTGTGCATACCATCAGACCCAGATCGACTCAATCGCCTTCCTGAGACCATTCACAAATTCCAAGTCAACTGGATGGATCTTATCCCTTCAGTCGCCCGTTTGCTTTCTCCCAAGGAGATACCCCTGCTGACCACCTTGGTCCTTGCTGGAGAGCCCATGAGCGAACAGGACATTACTTCATGGGCTCCGCACGTCAATCTAATTAACCACTATGGCCCAGCGGAGTGTGCTATTGGGACGAGTCTTTCATCCCCTATCGAACCAAATGCAGAGCCTGGGAACATTGGGCACTCAATGGGCTGTCTTAGTTGGGTTGTAGATCCCGAAAACCATAATCGCCTGCTCCCCTTTGGCGAGGTCGGTGAACTTGTCATTGAAGGTCACATTGTGGCTCGAGGATACGTCCACGATCAGACCGATGACAATTCGCCTTTCATCTCCAACCCAGTTTGGTTGAGAAAACTTCGGTCCAACAGCTCTCCACCAGCACCGTTATACAAGACAGGTGATTTGGTGCGGTATGTGTCGGACGGCTCGTTGCAATACATTGGCCGAAAAGATCATCTCGTGAAAATACGCGGTCAGCGAATTCAACCAGAAGAGGTTGAATATTACGTCCAGAAATGCTCACTCAAACCCATCTGCAGTATAGTCCAAGCGCTTCAGCTCTCAAATGGTGATTCTGCTTTGATCGCCTTCATTTCTCAGGATGTCGCTGACCTGCAAATTTCTTTACAACCTCCCAACTATGACTTTGTCGCCTGGGCTTCGAATATACAACGCCAGCTGGCAGAGTTTCTACCCGCTTATATGATACCATCTTTCGTGCTGCCAGTTTCTCAGCTTCCTTTGACAAATGGAGGCAAGGTAAATCGTCGAGCGCTCATAGATCTGGTGTCCGGTGTCCCAGTCTCGCGTCTAGCAGAGTACCAACAGAAATCGTCGGAAAATTTGCACCAAGTGGAAACCTTCGGAGAAAATGAGAGAATTCTCAAGGACATCTGGTGTGAAACTCTGAATCGCGCCCCCGAGATTACCAGTCGGGATGATGGATTCATCCAGTCTGGTGGGAACTCGATCCGCGCCATGCAACTGGTGTCTGCTGCTCACAAACGAGGCCTCCATCTGACGGTCGCTGATATTTTCAACGCCTACACACTTTCTGAGATTGCTGCCTGCATGGGACCCGCTTCAAAACTTTCTTTGTTAGAAAATTCATGCGAGTATGTGCCGTTTTCATTGTTGGGAAATCTCGACAATCAGCAAAATCTTTTACACCTTGCTGTTCAACAATGTGCCGTGGAAAAAGCCGAGATTGAGGATATATACCCAGCTACTCCTTTGCAGGAGGGTCTGATGGCACTGTCAATTCAAAACCCGAATGCCTATGTTTCTCAGCATGTTTTCGACTTTGCTAATGGAGTTGATCCTCAACGAGTCGGAAAAGCCTGGCAAGAGACAGTCAGAACAAACGGGATCCTCCGAACTCGAATGATCTCTGTCAGCACCGGATCATTCCAGGTTGTTCTTCGAAGCGGTATTGAAATTTCAACTACCCAAGATCTTGAGCAGTACTTGCGTGACGACAAAGAGCGCCCTATGGCCCTTGGGAAGCCTCTTATTCGTCTGTGCTTGTCATCCTCTTTCGTTGTTCTTACATTGCACCATGCAATCTATGATGGTGTTTCCTTGAAACTCCTCCTAGGTCATTTTAACAAATTATACCAAGGCCTTTTGGTCGAGGCACCTGTTTTTGCTCCCTTCGTCGCTTACATTCAACAGCAAGAGAACAATCAACAATTCTGGCAGTCACAGTTTCTCAATTGCAGCGCGCCAATCTTCCCCGCTCTCCCTTCCGCAGATTTTGTGCCCAGCGCGAGCGCTCTCTTCCAGCGTCGTGTTACTGGTATCCGCCAGACCAGTGGCTACACGACTTCAAATACAATTAGGCTCGCTTTGGCCCTTCTGATATCTCATTACACGAATTATGAAGATGTTGTCTTTGGAGTCACTGTCAACGGTCGCGGGGCACCTGTTCCTGACATTGACGAGATGACTGGCCCAACATTCTCAACTGTCCCAATGCGCTTCACAATAGGCCCGGATCAGACTGTTCTCAAGGCACTGGGCAGTGTGCAAAAGAAGGCCACAGATATGATCTCTTTTGAACAGGCCGGGCTGCAGTTCATACGCCGAATCAGTGAAGATGCAGATGCTGCTTGTCAGTTTCAGACTCACCTTGTGGTACAACCACAGGCAGTCGAAGTTCCTCAGGAGGTCTTGGTGCCACAGCACGGCCGTTGCTTGGATATTGGCGAAAATGAGAAGTTTGCCTCGTATGCCCTACTTGTGGTGTGCACTCTCGATGAAAAGTGTAACGCAGTCGACGTTGCTGTCAACTTTGATCCACGTGTCATGACTGAGATACAAGTTCGGCGCTTTGTGCAGCAGTTTAGTCACATCTTGTTGCAAGTACAGGATCCTGACCCTGAAGTGTGCTTAAGGCAGATCCAATGTATAAGTCCTGAAGATCTTGCCGACCTCAGTTTGTGGAACCATTCCATCCCAGCCCCCTGCGATCAGTGTCTCCATGACATGATTTTGAACAAGTGTGCGTCTCAACCTTCTGCGGTTGCCGTTTCTTCATGGGATGGGGAATTCGCTTACCGTGAGTTGGAACAACTCTCTGGTGCCTTTGCTCTACGGCTGCGGGAACTAAACGTCACCAACAATACCTTGGTCCCCTTCTGTCTTGATCGATCCAAATGGGCTGTTGTGAGCATCCTGGCTGTTCTTCGAGCTGGAGGCACCTGTGTCTTGACAGACCCAAGCCAACCCCGAGCAAGAGTGCAAGGCATCATCCGAGAGACTGGCGCCAGGTTAGCTCTAGTGTCACCCAGACATGCGAATATTCTCGAAGGGCTGGGGTGTGCCACACTTTCCATCTCTGATGCCACATTCGAAGATTTGCCCAAGTATGAGCCCGAGAGACTTCCGGCAGTGGCACCCGAGGATTCTGCCTTCATTGTCTTCACCTCAGGTAGCACTGGCAAGCCCAAGGGAATCATTGTTGAACATCGCAACCTGGCCACATGTGCGAGAGACCAGTACGGGCCCATGGGTTACACTGCTGATTGCCGAATCCTTCATTTTGCGTCCTATACTTTCGATCTCAGCATCTACGAGACAGTAGTCACTCTCATATTTGGAGGCTGCGTCTGTATTCCATCCGAGGAGCAACGCCTTACTGATCTTGCGGGCTGCCTGCGGCAGTACCGCATCAATTGGGCCGTTTTCACCACTTCATCGCTGCGTCTGTTCCGGCCCGACGACGTCCCCGACTTGAAAATTCTCTGCGTTGGTGGGGAATCACTCACACAAGCTCATGTGAATGATTGGGCGCACAAGGTCCAGTTCATCAATTCCTATGGGCCAGCGGAGACCTGTTTCTGCACTGCTGGTGTCGTCGATCCTAGCAAATGGCAACCTGGCGATGTGGGTGACATGTTTGGTGGTCTTGCTTGGATCACACTCATAAACGATCCCAACCACCTCGCCCCTATCGGAGCTATTGGGGAATTGGTCGTTGAAGGTCCTGCCGTTGCTCGGGGTTATCTCAACAATGAAGAATTAACTCGCGCCAGCTTCATTGATGTTCCGCCTTGGCTCAAGAACTGGCGGCCTGATGGTAAAACCGATAGGCTCTACCGGACTGGGGACTTGGTTCGATACGGCGACGATGGAATAATCTGTTTTGTTGGGCGACGTGATACACAAGTGAAGTTGCGTGGTCAACGTGTAGAGCTGACTGAAGTTGAGTATCATCTGCAACGATGTTTCCCTGGTGCTGAGGTCGTCGCGGAAGTCATTGTACCTTCAGCTTTTGAAGCGCCAGCATTCTTGGTTGCTTTTGTCTTCACTCAAGAAGTCACCAACCGTCGTGCGGCTACTTGTCTCGCTGTTCTGACTGAACGCTTCATTGAGACAGCATCACATGCACTTGCAAAGCTTCGGATGTCTTTGCCCGTTTATATGATTCCCACAGTCTTGCTTCCCCTGGCTGCAATTCCACTGACTGGCACCGGCAAGATCAATCGACGAGAGCTTCGCGAAGTGGCAGCCGGCCTCGCTCGTGAGGAGATCAATTCATACCTCCCGTTGGTCAGTAAGACTCAAGCCACTTTCAAGCGTCCCCCTGGCAACGAAGTTGAGCGGAACTTGCACTCTATCTGCGCTAGGGTGCTCAACGTTGACCCGAATGAAATCGGCATGGATGATGACTTCTTCCGCCTGGGTGGCGACTCCATCAGTGCTATGCAAGTCGCAGCAAAAGCCAAGGCTGTCGGTCTCGCCATCACTGCGGCAGATATCATGGTCCGCAAGTCTATTGCGGACATTGCATCTCGCAATTCTCGAGCGCCCTTACTGGCCATGAACAACGACGACTTGGAGATCATGGCTCCCTTTGGTCTTTCGCCCATTCAATCTTTGTTCTTTGACACGATTGAAGAGAATCACAGCTATTTCAATCAAAGCTTCTCGCTCCGCCTATCTGAAACTGTTGAGGTCAAAAACTTGGATGCTGCTTTGCGGGCTGTGGTGGCGCACCATGCCATGCTTCGTGCTCGGTTTCGCCAGGAAAACGATGGTGGCTGGGTGCAGCAAATACAAGCTGATGTTGACAACTCCTACATTTTGCAGTCTCATGTGGTTCAATCAACCGGTGATACTGTTCGCGTCATCTCCGATAGCCAACAGTCTCTGGATATCTTCAATGGTCCCCTTATTCGAGCCGACCTGATTGAAATGCCCTCTGGTCACCAGCATCTCTTCCTGGTAGCTCATCACTTAGCCATGGACCTGGTTTCTTGGAGAACAATTTTTGCGGACTTGGAGGAGGCTCTTCGCACAGGAGGGAAACTCTCGGCCGGTCCATCTCTTCCTTTCCCGATTTGGTGTCGCATGCAAGCCGAATATGGCAGACAGAAGCTCTGGCCTGTGGATGTCTTTCCATTTGATCTTCTACCCTGTGCGGATGGATTCTGGGGCGACGTGGTAAATAGAAACACTTGGGGCGACATTGCAACCCTCTCCTTCACTCTGGATATGAAGACCACAGCTTCTTTGTACGATGGGATGCCATGCCTAGACGGACTTCCAGCCACGCCGTTGGAGATCTATCACACTGCTTTACTGGCAGCTTTCGTCCGCACATTCAAATCCCGTCCAGCCCCAAACATCCACTGTGAGGGCCATGGCCGAGAGGTCTGGGATTCATCGCTCGACCTTTCCCGAACTGTGGGCTGGTTCACCACCATATGGCCCTGTCCAGTACCTTGTGACAACACATCCAACTTGGTTTCCGTTCTCAACGCTGTCCATGCAGTACATACCGAAATGCCATCTCACGGTTGGGGGTACTTTACCTCTCGCTATACCAACACTGAAGGGAAAGAGAAATTCAACACACTGGCCACCCCTGAGATCGTTCTGAATTACTCTGGTCTCTACCAGCAACTGGAACGGGATGGCGCGTTGCTCCAACAGACAGACGAATTTGATGGAACAACTTTAGACATCATCAAGTCTGCGCGCAGATTTGGTTTGATCGAAGTCTCCGTGGGAGTTCGAAAGGGATTTATCAAGTTTGAAATTTGCTACAACCGGCACATGGATAGACAGGAGGATATCAAGTCCTGGGTGGAACTCTGTCGAGAATTGCTTGTGGAGATAGCTGGATGGAGTTCTTGAAATTAGATTATCCTCTTTTTAGGTACTTCTTACATGACGTGAATACATTTCCAAGTCGCCTGAGTGTTCAAGTTGTGGATTCCAAAGTAGAGAGGTAGTAAGAACAAGTAGTAGTCGCAAGGCTAACCTATCCTTCCAGACCCTCCACACTGGGCCTAAGGATCGAGCCAAGCCAGGACCTGGGGTAGCTTTTTGAGCCTGGACATTCGGATTACCTTATCTCGTCTCAAGCGATCAGTCAAGAAGGATTGTCTTTTCATCTCTTCGTGAATCTGCACACGTCCTCCCCTCCACCGCAAGCTCCAACCTAGCACTGTGGTCTGTGCGGCCTAGCCGCCAACCTCCGACCGAGCTCCGCTTGTCGGAACAACAAATGACCGTATAGAATAAGATCTTATGTTGCCCATGGTGCATTTTTAATCTAGCGTTATTGTGCCCCATCTGTGTCCGACAGTTATAAGCCCGAAGCAACATTGGGATACATCGAGTAGCATACAGCCTGCTTGCTTGCCTCTTCTATTCGCCCAACGATAAGCTTCCAAATCAGCCTGCTACTTCGCCCTCAATTGACCAATCCCCGACTTCGCCACAGAACGTCGGCCGCACCGTTCTGTCTATGGGTTGCGTGACCTCAAGTCGACGAACATCAAGAACCCCTGGTTTTATATGCAAAAATGGCTGGCGCCAATGGAGATCAAGCGCCTGCTGGTTCCTCTTTGGACGGACTACTTCGTAACGAGGACCAATGGAGACTTTGGCTAGGTCACAACATCGCCCGGACCTGTCAGGTGTACAGGTTAAGGTTCTTTGTGACGATGACGAGGATCCACCGAACTGGCAGACAGTTGCGCCGGATGCTGAAACACGCGCAGACCTTACTGAAGAACAAAATACCCTCCTTCGCGAAATGATTGAGGAGTACAAGATCAAGGAGCGCAGGATTGAGAAAATCCTCTCGCGGCTGAGCAAAATCAAGAACCTTATTGTGAGCAAGTTGGACCGGGAATTCGACAATTTTATCCTTGATAAGGAATCTCCGGAGGAGAAATTGATCATACTCTCGAAAATTTAAGACCAAGGCAGATGACCGGTTCCAAAAGCTTCGCAACGCTTAGAGAGCTATGGTTCTCAACCCAATGGGGAGAATGTCATCCGAGAAATGGACTTCAAAGTGGCTAGACCTCTACGCGAAGGCTAAAGCAGCCAACGTGCCATATGTCTGTCACACCGGAGACATCCTATGGGAACACCAGGCCCCAATTATGGACTTCTTGGGGGCAGTCATATCGAAGGATCGATACATTTACGACACATGGACGACAAGGCTCGAGTCAACCGATGACAAATTGAGCTTCACCGACGTCGTCCTCGATTACCGTTCCTCCCGGACAAGGGATTCGTCCGAAAAAAGTAAGTCGAACGTAGTGACTGCCTTTTGCAGCGACACTCAATGGGCGTTCGAATGGACAGATGCCACAGCAGAATGGCCAACAGGGAGCTCAAGGAAATCAGCTCACTACAAAATGCCCATGTGGGAGAAAGACGCGCCCCGCCAAGTACTTTCTTCCCTCTTTCCCAATAAAAGCTGTAGGAACGCAGCGACCATTCATGATGAACGGGCCCCTTAAACATAGTGACTGATGTAGCGTCCCAACAGTTAATCGTCGAGATTCAATGTTGGTTCAACGGCGAGCCCCTTTGGTTTGGAAATAGTTTGTCCAGCTATACGCTCCATGGTACGCAGAACGATCTACACAAAGTAATGCATGCCTATATCTATCCGAGGAACAAGACCCCATTGACTGCTGTTCGATATTAGGACCCGCTCATTCTTGCCTCTGAAGTTCCTGCGCCGGATTGGGGCAACACTTGCGACTGCGCACATGACGCACATCGAAAGCATGGCGCTGGAACGCCATTTGATATAGCAAGGCTACTTCGCACCAGGTTGCACTTGAGTGGCTTTTCTTTTAGGTGAATAGCGTCAAAAGTGGTGCGTAACACACCCAGCTTTATGATACATCTGGAAGCGAACATGGTCACGGAGCCCCGTATTTGCAAAGCATTGAAAGCAAGCCTCTGGCTTCTCAGGATTCTCGAGATATTCTTTAGTAGTACGCGATGGCTTGCCAGCCACAGAAACAAGTCCCTCACATGAGTTGGAAACATTTTGGGTCTTCCCTGCATCCTGCGGCTGGTGTATGGGAATAGCCGACGTGGTGGATTCAGAGACCTTCCGCTTAGGCCAGCCCCTTAACGGGCTTCCTTCAAGGACGTCACAATACTGCACGACGGCTGCAGCACCCATATCGCGCCGATTCCACTCATCCTCTGACGAGTTGGAGATTGGGTAGGAAAGAAGACTCTGCACTAGATGCAACTGAAGCGGGTGCATAGTGTCCTCCAAGGATGACCCACCCTCAATCTCTTCCTTGACCAATGTACCAGACAGCAGCGCCTCAATGTCAAGAAATGCTTGTTCTTCATCAAAATTCTCTCGGATTTGATACCTCAAGCTCCTGTGCAACCGTTTTCGCGTGTTTCTCACCTCTTTTTCCCTTTGCTGGGTCCGAGGTAGCAGGGCGGGCTGTTGAGTCTTCGCGTATTGCGCACGGATCTGGCTGAGACTGCACCGGGCATCTTCTAACTTGGGGTGATCCTCAATTTGCGCTCTCTGTTGATCAGTTAAATAGCGTGGGCGTCGTGTGTTTCGCTAATGACTCTGCAGCGTGACGGCTTGTATTAGCCCTTCATTAGGGTTGAGGTTATAGATAACCTGGATTATATTGGTGTCGAGTTGTAGAGGATGATAGTGGTCAAGAAAGGTCCGGGGGCTGGCGTGCTTCATGATCAACATGTGTTGTCCCTTGCTCACCCACTCTACAGACTATATTAGCCACTGACAGAACAGTAGGAAGAGAAGTATTAATGGCCTCCATAGAAGTACTCACCGCTCTCGTTGATCACTTTACCACTTCCATACCGGAACTGATGGGCATGGAACGCCCCTTTCCAACAACGGATCTCCCCGAAGGTGACCAGCAAAGTGGACATGGCCGACTTAAACATCTGTACGGTCCGTTGAATGATCAAAGCGCCATTAACCAACTCCATCTTACAGAAGATATACCAATTAGACTTGTTCGGGTCTAAGGCACCGGGAGCTGCTCACAGCTTTTGCTGATAAATAATTTCCGTAGCTGAGCCTTCGAGGTCAGCCTCGAATTCCGGAATGCGCGGCATGGAACAGGATGCCGAAAAGCAATGTATGCGGGCATATCACCAGAGAGGGCCCGTAAACGATCTCGGGAAGTGCAAAAGTAGTTCTACTGATTGGTTAGCTGCATGACCCTAGCCAAGGATTCCAGAGACGAAAAGAGAGATATTATGTATCTGGGGGTGGCCGGGGAATTGAGAGAGGGAGAGACGGAAATTGCGCTCGCCGTACAATTTGGTCAGACCGAAGAACTTTTGGTCCCTTCGGGAGTAAGTTCAATCATAGTGACGGGCGGGCCTCCACGAGGATTCTTCTGAAAGGAGGTTTGCAAATCCTTGAATTGCATACTCAACAAGACGTTCCTCCGGTGCACAGTGAACAAAGCGAGGAGTTGAACAAGCACACCTGGATGCGTTGGAATCCCAGGTAGAACTTCTTTTCCTGCGTCGACAAATTGGTTTCGTTAAACAGCCCGATATCCTCGATATAAACTGGCGCCTTCTTTCCGGGTTGTGTGTCTAAGCCATGCTCTTGGACCAAATACTTCATACCCTGTATTCTACGGTTAGACGCGATGATTAAACAGGTCAAAAAGAACTTAGGTTTATGTTACTGGCCCTCCGTACATCTAAGCAATCCTCATCGTTGATTTTGATCTTGGTAAGCTTTTGGTAGTAGCCGCGTGAGGTTTTTCCAGTCCGTATTCAACGAGCTAGCTTTGTGGATGCCTTTTAACCATTGGCCTTCCTTGCCGCGCTGGAGCTTGAGACACCAGCCTAGGAACCGATACATGTTATTATTCGACGTCTGGCGTAGCCCTTCCTCGGGTTCCTGCTATTTGGCTTAATGCGCTTGTTTATTCGTTGGCTGGCACAGTACCTACGCTTATATTAGTAGATGGAAACAAGTTGGATCTCGGTCGTCAATAACCGTTTCCATCGGGTCTTAGTCCGCTCTCGTCGTTCAATCGTACCGGGGGCCTTGTCGTAATCCTCAGGAATCTCGGAGAGATCAACTCCATCATCCAGTGGATCATCGTAGAATTCTCCTAACTCGCCAGGGAGCCCTAGCTCCAAGGTAGAGCAGTTCTTATCCGACCGGAGACGTTTTCGTGGGCTCGTTTAATGGGGTACAGTGAGGCCATTTTTGGCGCCCTCGCAGAGCGTCAAGACGAGCGACCTTTGACGGAGGCAACTGAATTGCCGGGGTGATTCCCAGTGGTGGAAGAAAAGTGGCAGTCATTTGGTAAACCTAAAAAAGGTTGTTTTAAGGGATGCTGCGTGATTTCTCTGGCCTGGAATATTGTAGCCTTGATGATCCCGTGAGGAATTGGCAAACACGTGATCAGACCTCTGCCTCAACTTCAACTGCAGTGATCCTTTTCGTAGTGCCACGGTGATAATCCTCTATTGATAGCCGAACTTACAACTATATCTTCCTATACATTTCGTATATATATTATATATATACCTTTGGCAGAGTGCAATTCTTTTACTTGTCATCCGTGATCATGTTAGGAGACCCGATATCACTTAGCTCTGGGCTCATTACGTTGGTGGGGTTTACTCTCGGGTCAGCAAACACCCTCTTCAAGACTATAGATAGCTTCCAGACGAATAAGAGAACCATTCGTGAGCTCAGAGAAGAACTTAAAGACCTGGAAGAAGTTCTCAATAACCTCAAACGGCATACTGCAGAGAGTGGCTCGGAGCTTACTTCCCTTAAGCATCCGTTGCTTCGGTGCGGAAATGTGTGCAAGGACTTTGATGATACAATCAGAAGATGTACTACAAATTCCGATGGCTTGAGGACAAGTTTCCGCGACTGGGCCAAGTTAACGTATATGGGTGAGGATATATCTCGATTCAAACTTATGGTTTCGGGATATAAGTCGACAATTAGTATCGCGATTGGCGGCGCTATTCTGTAAGACCTCCATTCAGAGTTAAATTTTTTTTTTGTTTTTTCCGTAAAAAATAAAAAATAGCTCAACTAACTTCTCGCAGTCAGAAGACCAGTGTTAATGCGAAAGCCCTCGAGGGATACAAGAAGTTGGTCGCGGATACGACATCTGACCTCAAAGAACATCTGGTGGAAATAGAGAGCAAGCTCGATGCCTTCGTAATCCCCAGCGCTGAATTATCCGACAAGACGAATCAAGAGCTGGCCAATATCAAAGAGGAAAGGGAGAACACCAAAAAATGTCTCGAAATTTGTGCCGAGGTCGGTGATTATATCGACATGGTCCAGCATCGTCGACTTAGCGATATTTCGTCCTCGGAGCTCAAATATGCAACAATCAATACGTTGAAAGGTTGTAAAGATACGCTTACCGCCTTTTCCACTCAGATGGAACAGCGTTCAGAACAGGCAAATACCAGGCTAGGGAAACTCCTAGCACTGAATGCAGATGATTCTTATGAGGAAGATGCTAAGTTGGTAGAGGAAATCCAGGCCGAAAGAGACAGTCTCAAACATTGTATTGGTGTCTGCAATGAAATGTCTGTGGAGGCAAATCGCGTGCGGACCAACATCTTCGAAGACATTACCTCGTCAGATGATTCTCACCTGGTGTTTATTTCAACCGTTGGTGATCTTATTTCCGCAAGTCGGATTACCACAGGGGCTAGGTCGGAATACTGGATGGGTCAGATGTCTGATGACTCCGTTAAGCAACTGTCTCAAGATCGCACCGTTATTACTCTCCGAAAACCTTTTGAAGGTACTTCGAGTAATACATTGGACAGCTCCTTGGATAATAAGTCATCTCCAAAGGACGGCTTTCTTCACCGTCATGGCTCAGGCCGACAGGTAGGGGAGAAGTGATAGAACATATATACAACGCACCTAAACGGAGATTTAGGAGACATCTATTGTTTTATTTTACCTTTGTTGCTTTGGCTTTAAGTGTTTCCCGTACTCTAGTTTAACCTATATATAGTGTATAGACATTGACATTGTCACATTCATGGCCTCTAATCATGCGGTCGAGAGGGCCAAAAGCGGCCACAGAAACTGGCCGCATCTGGCAGCAAGCTTCCCCTATCACGTGCTCTGCCACCTACGTGACTCGCAGCTTGATATTCGCTCCGAGGGATGAATGAGTTCCTCTTTAGTCAATTATCATTTTCGTCTATATATCATGTAGTTACTAACAGAGACAAATATAATTATAAATTACGATACCATAATCTCACAAACATATGCCTCAAATCTTCCAATAACTCCCGCTGCCTGATCATCAGATAAAACAGAAGACCAATATGTTGGCCTCGCTTCGAGCGTGGATCCAGTGTCGACTCCAGATAGAAGAAGAGCGTACTAATTCCGTCAGTATAATAGTCCTCAAGCCATATAAGTATTTGGAAAGTTATTTGGGCTTACCTCCGTTGATTCTCCAGTGTCGAAGTCAGTAAATGTCACAAGCTGACGGCGCTCCTTGATTACCTAAAGGTGATCAGAGGTTTACACCTGCCGTAAGACAGAAGGTACGAAGGTCTTAGGGAAAGCTTAGGTTGGAAGTGAGTTATTATAGGAGACGGCTCGGTACTAGGGTGAGATAGAATACTATAGTGAGACTATCCCTTAGTTCTAAGTGTAGCTTTAGTTAGTGCCTGGGTTGGATGAAGGCTAAAGGTCCTTATAAGTAGTGAAGATAAAGTTGACTTGCGTTAATAGGCAAAGGGGTATTTAGTGAATATAGTATAAGATAACTGGAATGGTGCTTTGTATTAAGTAGTATAGTAAAACTATAGCTAGTTTGATTGCGAGTATAAGACTCTTGATCCTGAGGAAATGAGCGTCTTTATATATATGGTATATCTGGTCCCTTCCTCCTGATTCTTCTCAGGTCCCATTGTGGATCTGATGTCCCGGTCCCCTCGTGGACCTTTCATGTTTGGTCCCATAGGGACCTGTCCCTGGTCTTGGCATCTGGGACCTGTCCTTATGGTCATGTGATGTGTAGTTATTCCGTCTTGGAATCTTGTTGTCCAATGAGTGTATATCCTGGGGCTGCGCCGCAGGTGGTCTGTAACATTTTTGTCTCCACGCTACGTGACCCCCTCTGGCAATCTTAGTTAAGCAAGTTAGGTGTTAACCTAAAAAGGATAATTAGGTTACAGGAACTAAACAAAAATTTTCTAGAGATACAACTATAGGAGAAACTTAATGATATTTATTAGCAGCGAGAGGAACTAGACAAAAGAGAGAAGGATACTATTGCTACTATGATAAAAGAAGATAAAGAGTATAAATACCTAATAATATATCTATATCTTTATATACTATACTAGCATTATATATCAATTCCTTAATAGTGACTCCTAAATATAAGTAGAAAGGTGCTTTTTTTCTTAATTGAAACATAGGCTTGATCTATATATATATAGTAACTCTCTAGCATCCAGAGATATAGTAATTCCGCCCCGAGTCACAGGGTCACCAGATCCCCTACTATAGTATATATTAATTCTAATAGCTTATTTAATTATCTAGTTAATTTTTTTTAGTTATTTCTCCATTTATATAATTTTGTCTTTAACTCTATCTTTTAGTCTTTAATAGAATTGTGTAGCTAATACTTTATTATCCTATTCTAGGTATAATATAATTTATTAAAAGTTAGATATATATTGTATTATATTCCCTATCGAGTATAGTTAGTATAGTTTTTATAAAGTAGCTCTTTATTAATTTCTCTAAAGGTAATCTTAATTTTCTTTATAAATTTAGGGTATAATTTAAATATAAATAAGATATTATCTCTAATTTTATTATATAGATTATTAAACTAAGTCCTAAGGTAGAGCTTAAATTAGTCTATTATAGTTCCTTTAAAGAATATTAATACTATAAGTACATTATTAGTTTTATTTAATAGTTTCCCTATATTAGCTAAGAAGTAAAGATCTATTTAAATTAAAAAAATATATAGCTTACCGCGTTCTCTTTAATATAGTATTCGTTTATTAACCTTAATTCCTCTTTTTAACCCTCCTTTATAGTTAGTTAGTACTAGACTGGGGACGGGTCGGTTCGGGCCGGGTTTTTGGCCTATTCCAACTCGACCCGGCGGTGTCACAAGCTGACGGCGCTCCTTGATTACCTAAAGGTAATCAGAGGTTCACACCTGCCGTAATGTTACAGACCACCTGCGGCGCAGCCCCAGAGTATACGCTCATTGGACGGACAAGATGGAACGGAACAACCACGTCCCACTCGCCCAGTCGCCCAACTCACTAGAGCGACTGAGAGAGCAGGGAGAGCCAGTATAAGTCGCTAGGTCGACGGAGTTGACGGCGCGACCAAGTGACTCAAGAGAATAGGATATACAAGGACTTATATATAAAGATGCTTATTACCTTAGGATCAAGAGTCTTATACTTGCGATCAAACTAGCTATAGTTTTACTATACTACTTAATACAAAGCACCATTCCAGTTGTCTTATACTATATTCACCGAATACCCCTTTGCCCATTAATACAGGTCAACTTTGTCTTCACTGCTCATAAAGACCTTTAGCCTTTATCTGACCCAGGCACTGACTGAAGCTATACTTGGAACTGAGGGATAGACTCACTATAGTATTCTATCTTGCCCTAGTACCGAGCCGTCTCCTATAATAACTCACTTCTAACTCAAGCTTTCCTTAAGACCTTCGTACCTTCTGTCTTACGGCAGATGTGAACCTCTGATTACCTTTAGGTAATCAAGGAGCGCCGTCAGCTTGTGATATTAATCGCCCCGACTTCACGGTTATAAAGAGGCATAATCAATTTTGACTTGATAGAGCCCCGACTTCACGGTTACAAAGAGGCAAAAGTAATTCTGACTTACTAGAGCTGCCATACTGTCATAGACACTCCGACCCGAGTAACTTACGATTATATATCAAGAAGGACAAAACTAGGTACGTATCACCCTACCCCTGAGAGTATACTAACTACAGGAATATACCAAAGCAAGACGAGCCAATATGTCATCAGCAAGTGGACCAACCACCAACACCAACGCCTTGTTAGGGCAAATGCGACAGAAAATCATCGAGCTGGAAAAAAGAGTCGAAGAGCAACCCAACGATGAGCAGCTGGATGAGACCAACAAACAAGTGGAAGAACAACGAAGATTACTTAATAAATGCAAAGATATCGTTAAACAGACTTTAGAACAAGTTAAAAGTCATAAAGATGCTATCAACGTACTCAGAGTCAGAATCAGAGATAAGAGAACTACTATCAAGATCCATAAACCTGATACTTATAAAGGAGACCGCGCCAAACTGGAACACTTCCTAGGGGAATGTGATATCTATCTGGCAACTAAACCAGCAGTCACTGATATAGAAAAGGTTATCTTCGCAGGATCCTATATGTAAGAGGCAGCGGCAACATGGTTCAAACTATATCTCGAGGACTGGACTAATACCAGAGGACAACCCATACTATACGCGGATGTACTCAACAGCTATGCATAATTCAAACAAGTACTTAGACAATTCTTTGGAGACACCGACAGAAAAAGGACCCTACAATGCAAACTACAAGGACTTAGATAAACCAGGGACGCAGCGCAGTACGCAGCGCAACTATAGCAGATCTGTCAAGAACTAGGAATCCACGACGACGAGCAGAAAATGGCTATATTTGAACAAGGACTGAAACCAGAAACCTAATACGAAACCATCAAGATGGGACCATATAACAGTTTTGAATGAATGGTTGAAATGGCAGTACGCATCGACAATCAACTCTACAACCTACGAAACATACAGCAAGGGAAGAACACTTTCTGGAAAGCAAACCAATATAAAGGGTTAAACAAACGCAATGATTACGGCACCACACCCATGGAATTGGATGCCACTGAAAAACAACCTTATAATACTAAGAAAAGCAAAAGATATAGGGACAAGAAGCTATATTTCTACTATAAGAAACCCAGGCATATCATAAAAGACTACAGGAAGAAATAAGGGGATACTAAGAAGCACCTCAATGCTACCACTACGTCTAAGACTAGTAGCCATGAGAAGGAATAGGGTAGAGGAGGCTACTAAGACTCATAGAACGTCAGACAATACCTTAGGGCAATAAGGAAAGTCACCTATCTATAGCCACCAGAAAACGAACTTAACGACACATATAAACAAGTACCTGATATATAGCAACGATAAGGATGGCAGAAACAGGACAAATGGATTAAACAAGGAAAATAACCAGCGTTGATACGACAGAACGCGATAATAGAACAATGAACATACAATCCAGCGATAAGCCTGAACCAAGGAATTGTGACACCAGAACAAACAGACTCAGAAGGAGAAACCGAATCAGAATATGAAGATACATAGGAAATAAACAATTAGGAAAATGAAGCACTACAAATAACGTTCAAAGACAGTCACGAACTACTACGGGAACAAAGAGAGAAATGTGATAACCAGATACCCAACAAACACTGGACAGTGTGCAAAGAAAAAGAACTATATTTCAGACATAATAAGGAAAAACAAATGGAAGTCAGAGACCCCAGGCACCCATGCCACGACGAATACGGGTGGGACTGCCACTACAAATACCATATCTTTAAAGAAATATGGAAATCAGGACGAAGATTTCATTATAAAAACTACATGAAATGTCCATCGTGTAGAGACAGCAAGAACATCTACTGGAGGTATTGTATAGACAAGGAATGTCTGGTACACATTGACAAATACTCAGGATGGATAGTTGGAAAAAGTGTCAATATAACGGACCAAGAAAACATAACGCCACACGAACGACTGGAAGTCTTATACTAGAAAACAGGCAAACAAATCAC